CCCTCCTCCCTCTCCTCCTGCCAATCCCAATCCCGCCGCCAAACTAACCTCCCCCACCCCCCCACACAGAACATGTGCACCAACCGCGGCCGCGCCGACACGTACAACTCTTCCTTCCTCAACGGCGGCCGCGCCTACGGCGGCTACGCCACCTACAACCGGTGCCCGTCACACTTCGTGATCCCGATCCCCTCCGGCGTCGCCTCCGCCGACGCAGCGCCCATGCTCTGCGGCGGCATCACGACGTACGCCCCGCTGAAAAACAACGGCTGCGGGCCCGGCAAGCGCGTCGGCATCGTCGGCGTCGGCGGCCTCGGGCACTTCGGCGTCCTCTGGGCGCGCGCCCTCGAGGCCGAGTACGTGGTCGGCATCTCCCGGCGCGGGGACAAGCGCGCCGACGTGCTGAAGCTGGGCGCGCACGAGTACATCGCCACCGAGGAGGACGAGGGCTGGCACAAGGCGCACGCGAACTCGCTGGATATCATTGTGTGCACGGTCAGCAGCCCCAAGATGCCGCTGCGGCACTACCTGGGCCTGTTGCGCAGCAGGGGGATTTTCGTCCAGGTGGGCGCCCCGGAGGATAGCTTGCCGCCGATCATGGCGTTTGATTTGATCCCCAAAGAGAAGAGGATTGGAGGGAGTGCGATCGGGCCGCCCGGACAGATCAGGGAGATGTTGGAGTTGGCGGCGCGGAAGGGCGTGAAGCCTTGGGTGCAGGAGAGGGGGATGCGCGAGGCAAATGAGGCGGTGAGGGACATGGAGGCCGGGAAGGCGAGGTATCGCTATACGCTTTGTAATTGAGATGGAAGACGAGGGAAAAAAGGAGACTGGAGGGGCGGAGGATGTGTTTGGTATATAGAACATCTTGCTGTGAGTGGAAAAGTCGGGACTCAAATGCGCTAGAATCCGCGCTAGAATACTATCTATATCTCGGTCGCAGTGTGCATTGCTAGCGACTCGCGATCCACGTGCATATTTGTGGCCCCAACAACCATCAAAGGCCTCGGCCGGCATTGAAGCGCTTAGACATGGTGACCGATCGATCCAAGTCCACTTAATCAAACAGAGTGCCTCAAGTTACCAGGTAGAATGGGTCGGGTACGGCACGCCTCCCGGCTGCAAGAGCGCATCGTCGACAAAGCCATGCTGTTCCATCCACACCGCCATGTTGGACTTGTCAGCAATGAAATCGACACTCGAGAGATACTTCGGCACATGCTCAGCAAACGAGGGTGAAGAAAAAGCTGGGTCTTCCTGGCTCGGTCGGGCAATGGTAAACTTATCGAACGGCTCATTGGTAGGACTGTACGCCACATTGAGCTCCATTGAAGGATCGGTGAGGAAATTGAGCACGGACGCTGGCTCCGGCACCGGTCTGTAATTCGAGAAGTCAGAAGAGGAGGAGGATTGCATCGACTCCTGGCGATGGGTACGGTACTCCTTCTCTTGCTTCGCGACAAGGTCGGAGCACCTGCGCAGGACTTTGTCACCCTCTCGTGCGACATCGCTACGGGTGCGCATGTGGCTAACTCGGTTGACGGCTTGGATTAGTGCGTAGCGGATGTCGTGGATAGGTATTTCGTAGTCCTTCTTGGTAGTGTCGTCTGCCTTGTTGGGTTTGAGGTACATCAGGACCATGGATGTCAGGAATATGACGGCATCGACGGTGTAGAATAGCAGGGTGTGGATCTTGTAATGATGCTCATCGCAATGCTCAAACAGCCACTGCTGCGCCGAGAGGGCTTTGAGCGCCGACGAGATGGCCTCTTTGCGCGACTCTAGCCGCAACGTGGAGTGTGGTCTGTGGAGGGCCAGGATGAATGAATTGGCGACAATCGCGATGTGCATCCTTTGCTTGGAAAGGTTGGGGTATTGTGCATCCCAAGAGATTTCTGGGTTATTGTAGCGTGAAGCCGGCGGAAGCCGTTCAACCATAGCAAGCACCTCATTCTGAAGCCTTGTGACGACGCTGTAGTCTTCGCACGGCGACTTGAGCGCCTTCAGAGTCAGAGCTTCATGGATTTTCTGTGCAATGAAATACTTGAACAGCTGTGCGGTGTACATGGACGGTCGCCCTGAGGCAGTGGCAGGTGCTGGCATCACCCATGATGGGTCAGGTGGAATATCGCAATCCATCGGGACTTGGGCTGTGCAGTCGGCGGCATTTATCATTCGGGATCGACCAAGCAACAACGACATGAGAGCTTCCCAGGCAAATACGCTGACCCACACCCGGCGCCTGTGCTCGTCGTACCAGAGACTTCGGATCGTCCCGTCGATTCTGCCATGCTTTGGTAAGTCCTCTTGCTCATGCAGGCCAAGGTTTTGAGCCTGCCTAACAGCGTCACCTAGTACGTGCCAGGAGTGCGTGCCGAGCCCTGAATTCTTCAACCATGCACAACGTAGCAAGTCGGCCAGAACAGCAGTGATCGGAGAATCAATCCTTCCCAACATAGACATGATCTCCATACCAGCATCGCTGTAGACCTTGGACAGTCTATCTGCAGCTTTGTGGTCTTTGAGCTTCAGGCTGTCCCTGGTAGCGCAGGAGGTGGGAAGGAAGTGCAAGGTAATGGCGGCGACTTGGAACAGTAGTGCTGGGAAATATCGTACTTCGGCTGCATCGCGTACGAATATGCGCCGGTTCGGATCCGTTTCGATGAGGGTCGACGCCTTGTCTGGTGAAGAGTTTCGGCAATTCCACAGGCTCCGTAGCTCTTCGAAGAATGGCCGGTCCAAAACACAGAAGTACCAGTCTGCTTCGGCGAAGAAGATGTTGGCAATGTCATCAATTACGGCCTCGGAGGGTAGCTGGCCTATCAGACGTTCGAGCCTGCTCGACGACGACAACGATTCATTCGTCGGGGGCGAGATTGGTGTTGACAGCAGTGTAGGAGGCGTAGAAATTGAACCCTTGATGGCTTGCTAGACTATCATCAGCCGCCATGCCTCGGTAAGAGACAACTCCTACCTGCTGAAGATCATCAAGCGTTGACTTGATCTTGTTTGAAGGCGAGTAACCCAAGCTTTCGGCCAAATTTACCGGCTGTAAGGTACTTTGGTCGGACTCTTCAGCAGAACCGAGGTGATGTTCGGGCCATTGTGGATATATGCACTTTTGATCGACGTTTCGAGCTACACAGCCGCCACAGGGTTTCTGTCGGTCACACTGTACAGCGCATCAGCGCTGGATGTCCTTCATGCCACGCAAGGGTAAGAGCAGGACGTACTCTCTGTTTCCGCCGTTGGCATTCGAAGCAAGCTGTGATGGGCCGCTTTCGCTTCTGGGGCTGGGATTGCTCCATATACGGCTGTCGGACTGAATGGCATGATGCAGTGATGGAGGCAAGTACTGGACCATCGGCGAACAACGGTCCAGGCCGAAGCTGGCCATGCCAAGATATGGTGAGCGGGGCTGGCAGTCACAGTGTCCAGCGCTCACTGCTGGGCTGTGTCCATCGAGCAGAACGTCAACAGACGCGTACGGTCAGTATGGTTGACTATCAACGTTTGCATTATTGGGAAAGATTGCCTGATAAGCTACGTGCAGACAGGACCTGACCGAAGATAAAGCAAGCAGCAAACTTTCGTACTGCCATGTACGATCTTGGCGTGGATTCGCAGGTTCGTACAACCGGCGATGAACTTCGTACACGTCCATCCTTATGGTCCAGATCTGTCTTCCTTATCATCTGCGGCACTCACCGAGCACCTCAGTGGTAGTCGTAATAACATGGGTGGCATAGCACACTTTTCATGGCTTATATCTCACAGTAAAAAACTACATAAACGTAGGTCGTGGACGTTGAATTTATCCGCTACGCAATCATATTCTGCACAACAAACCGCTCCAACATCCAGATTTCCACCGTAACAACCCCTCCCAAAACGTCTGTCAAAATGAGTGCTCTCACAGTGACCCCAATTGATGCCCTGAAGCCATTTCTGGGCGCCCGCATCGACGACATCAGCCTCGATAACCTCCAAGAAGACGACTTTGTCGCGCTTCGCGAAGCCCTTTACACCTACAATGTTGTTTGCATCAAGAACCAGCAGTCACTCTCACCACGAACACAAGCCGAGCTCACCCGCCGCTTCGACCCTACCGCCGTTGGCTACGGCCACGGCAAGACCATCGACGGCAAACGCTCGATCCTGCACCCGGACCTGAAAACCATCCCTCACCAACCTGAAGTCCAAGTCATCGGCAACGGCTTCGTCCCCTCCTACGAAGGCCTCAGCGAGATCACATTGAAGCACCCACACCACCGCACTTTCCACGCCACCACCATCCCCGCCGAGAAGGACCTGGACTACACCCGCTTCTATCGCTGGCACATCGATGCCGCGCTGTACGGTCCTCTGCAGCCCCCACGCGTCACATCGCTGCTGGCTGTCAAAGTGCCCCAAGGCCGCACACAGACCTTCCTCTACGACGACGGCAGCGCCGACGAGATGCAGGTGCCACTTGGAACCACGGCCTTCGTGAGCGGCTACAAGATGTTCGAGCTGCTCAGCCCTGCCCAGAAGGAGTTTGTGCTGACCAGCAAGATCGAGTACGCGCCCCATCCGTACGTGTGGATCAGCAGCGCGAAGAGTCGGTCAGATGGTCTCGGCATGGTGAGCGAGGGCAAGGAGGTGCCGATCAGCGAGCTGCCGACGGTCCAGCCCGAAGACGTCCAGGTACACACGATGGTGTGGAAGAATCCGGTGACAGGCCAGCTGGCGCTGCAGGTGCACCCGAGCGTCGTGAGGCGGATCCACCTCAAGGATGGTACGGTGATCGATGATCTGGAGCAGGTGCGGAGGATCGTGCACGAGTTGCAGCGGCCAGGCATTGCGCCGGAGCTGGTGTACGCGCATGATTGGGAAGAGGGAGATTTGGTGCTGTTCAACAACCACGGCGTGCTCCATAGCGTTGTGGGAGCGTTTGCCGAGCATGAAGTCAGGCTGTTCAGGCAGTGTAATCTGGCTGCCAGCGAGCCGCCGCTTGCGCCATGAGTCGATTGCAGCCCTGTCCGCTGAAACCGAGTGTGAATATTAGCCACGTCTAGAAAAGCGTTTGATACCATTGAATTCGTCAAATATATATACAGCTCACTCCTTCATCGCCTCCTTCGCTCCCGTCTCCGCCTCCTCCGTCTTCCTGCTCACGTACCGCGACAGATACTCCGGCACGTTGGCCACCTTGTTCCCCTCATCCGCCACCGGCTCTCCATACACCTCCATCACCGGCACCACACCCGTCCACACCCTCCCCCTCAACGCCTCGTCCTCCTCATCCTCCCTCTCATCATGCGCTACCCCATTCCTCACCTTCCCGCTCCCGCCCTCAACCCTAATCCTCAGAATCCCCGTACTACTCATCTCGGCACTCTTCGGCGGCACCCTCGTCTCCGCCCACCTGTCCCTGCACACCTTGTCGGTGATCAACTCCATAGCCCACAGCTTCTCGGCCTGATCCTCCACGATGCTCGCATACCCCATCAGCACGGCGGACTTGTAGTTCACGTCGTGCGAGTACGGCGTCAGACTCAGCACCAGGCCGTGCACCTTGGTGGCCGAGACGCAGACGGGTAGACCCTGGGGGGAGTCGCGCGCCAGGCGCGCCATGCGGTTCGTCACGTAGCCGTGCACGTAGCAGTCGAGGGGCTCTGAGAGCGAGGCCGAGGGGTGGGCGAAGCTGCCCATGGCGCCGACCATGGGGAGGATGATGGGGAAGGGATTGTCCGGGGAGGGGGCGAAGGCGACGTTGAGCACGATGGAGGTTTGGATCGTGCTGTGGATGGTTTCGAGGTCGTAGGCGGCTGTGGAGGGCTGTTAGTGGGGGGGTGGGAGAGGGATGCTTGAGGCTGCACCTCGCGCGTTGTAGCGCTGGACTTTGTTCTTGTCGGTCTTGGGGTATTCGAGCGTGCGGACCATGGTTGCGGTGCTTGCTGCTGAGGAACAGTGAGGTCGAGTTGAGCGAATGCTGAATGCCAGTCGACTCCAGAATGCTCGTGGGTCTCGCCGAAGATATGGGGGTTGCCTGATTGTGTCTGTAGACCACAAACACCTACTATCTCTCCAATCACCGATGGTAGATATAGATTGACCAGAGGCTGCCTTGAACGGGCAGCCGTAGCCGAGGAGAGGTCAACAAGCGACCTATCGTAGTGATCCGAGGATGCATCCGCGTACCGCTTTGCCTCATCGAGCACAGCGATTTCCAAGACCGCTCTTATCAGGTGTCACTCGCAGTGCTCGAGGGCGGACATCGACGCCGGGTCAACATCAAGCACGGGAATACGAGGATAAAGATACGAGAACGTGAGGCGAGCGGCTTGGTCAGTTTTGCCCAGCTCGCTAGTGCTCTGTAAAGAGTCAATCTGGGGTAACAGCCATAATCTCCACCATGCTTTATCATGACAAGTGTTTAGCGAAGTCGGCCGGGGACGTTCACGTAGGCTGATGTCCGGAGAGATGGGCCCGCTGTGCCGGTATCGGCCTGGTGATGGAAGCACTGTGAGGAAGGCTTCTCACGATTAAGCAGTCACTGGGCACAAGGTCTTGTCTCTCGACAATCATCTCGGCGTGACTAGCGACGGATTGAATGCACAGACCCACTTGGGAGGTGGATATCTCATCGTTCCGATGCATACTGACAGTAGTCCAACCGCTAGAAGCAACTGTTGAGGTTGGCAGAAGGGCGAACTAGAGACGAGCGAATATACATTCAGAAATTGTGAATATCGCGATCTGGCTATGAAACACAGTATACGCACCGGCCAGACCATGAAAAAGTCGCCTGAACGAGCCTCAAGACTTGGACAACCCCTTCCTCAAAAGAATGCAATAGTCCTAATCTCCACGCTCTCCCTCATCTTCGCGTCCTTTGCGCTCGTTGGGTCCTCGAACGCTGTATGGCCCACGAACTGCGCGCGGTTCTTGTCGCTGTCGTACGTTTTCAACAGAATGACCTTATCCGGCGTGATCTCAGGGAAGTACCACCATTTGTGGCGGTCCGAGTGCCTCATGACATAGTTCTCTCCGACACGATCGCGGTAGCGAAGGTAGAGCTTGAAGAAATCGTCTGGCGGGGCGGAGCTGACATCGCACATTGCCAGCGGACGTTCCTCCACCTTGTTGAGTGGCTTCCAGACGTTGATAAACGCCACGCGGCTCTTCAGCAGCTCCTCTGCCTCGTCCGGTAGCAGCTGCCGCACACGCAACGGGCCGCTCTCGGCGGTGTAGTCGCAATGCACCAACATGACAGGGGCTCGCTGGCTGGTATTTGTCTCCTGCGTGAGCTTCTTGGCTTGGTTCGCTGCGGTGCGAATGGTATGGTCGAACACCAAGACCTTCTTCGCACCAGTCTCTCGCTTGAGGAACTCCACGATCTCCGGGTAGAACTTGGATCTGACGGCCTCCTCATCCTCCCAAGCGCCGTTGAAAGAGGCGTTGAAATCTTTGACCGCGAAGCCGTGCCTGTCTTCAGAGAACTCGTGCACACGGTGCCAACCGTCATGGAAGGCCATCTCGTGTGGATCATCACCCGGCTCGTGAATGCCCTTAGCTTTCTCGTCCTCGTAGAAGTATATCTCCGTGAGCTTGTCGCCGAGGTCTTTGGTGTAATTGATTGTTGCACGAACAGATCCATTGCTTGTGCCGTTGTTTGTACCATTGATGATGCCGCTGGCACTTCTGTCAGCCGGGTCAGCCATGTCAGACGGTTCACAGATGATAATGCCTGATCTTCGGAGGCAGGAATTTGAATCAGGCTCATTGACTACGTGGAAGCTACTCCCTAGCTAGATCATCCCTTCGTCTGGCAGCGCGTATTACCTGCTTTCTGTCAGACCCGGTATAGGGTCGATCCGCTGGGTGAAGCAGACGGAGGGGAGCATCGACAAACTAAGAGCAGAAGCCAAGAAATCTACTTACTTGTGACCGGGCATTAGATTGTCATCCACAGCAGCCTGCCGCTTGTTCCACTCAGGGATCTTCTCGATATCCTGGATCCACCGCTTCAGGTTCGGGTACTCATCGATAGGCACCTTTGACGGTCCCCACAGGTGCAATGGAGCAGCGACCGCAATATCGGCAATCGTGGGAGTATCCCCAACAAGGAACTTGTTCTTGCCAAGTTGGTCGTTCAGGATGCCAGCACCTTTTCTCCATTTCGGCTCCTCATCGCCCAGTGCCTTGGAATCTGGGTCTGCCTTGAAGATCCATGGCTTGGCCACATTTTCGATAACGTATACGTAGTTGGTTGCGAACCAAATCGAAGCCTCCCATAGTAGCCAACGGTTGACCTGAGCGCGTTTTCTTAAATCCTTCGGGTAGAAAGACTCGTCTTTGGAAAGGTCGGCGGCATAAGCCAGGATGGCATTAGATTCCGTCAAGACGAGGTCGCCATCGGTAAGCGCAGGAATGGTTTGGCACGGGTTGACCTTCGTGAATTCGGGGCTCTTTTGTTCGCCCTTGAAGAAAGAGACGTTCTTGATTTCGTAGGGCACTCCGAGTAGATCGAGACCCGATAACACCTTGCGAGAGTTGATTGTACAAGGATCAAGGTAGAGGGTTATGCCCATGATGGCGGAAGGGACTATCAGCTGCTTCGATTCGGTCAGAAGTAGTATGCGATCGTTAGTGGCAAAAGGGCTCAGGTTGGAGGTAGGACTATAGGCTACTATTGTAAGAAGTCCTTATACCCCGGTTCGTGGCACGTAGTCAAATAATTTGTCAAAGCGGGGTTCTTGTGTCGGGTTGAATCGACATCATCGATCGCGAGACCGGACAGCACCTCGGGAGCTACTCACGACTCGAACGAGAAGTTCTTCTCAAGCCATGGTGTTTGCTTAAAGTTCGCGGGGGCTAACTATTTGACAGCTGAGGGGTCGATGGAGTCTAGATCGAGAACTCCCCCCGCCCGGAGTAAGCGTCTCGCTCAGCCTAGCTAGATCGTCTGAGCAGGGTGACGGTTCGCATTCGACCCGAATCGTGAAGGAACTTCTGTATTGGCTGGAGGGAGGGGCGACAAGGGCCTCGAGTCAGAGTCGGTTACTGGTACGACGCTGACAGGCCGGTAAGCTACACATGGGAAGGGGGGTGGTCTAATATGCCAAAAACAAGATCCTGGGGTCGTCTCTACCAACAGTGGATGTCGTAGGGGTTTGGCAATGTAACTGTTAAATGCAAGCATCCCAGACCAGATCTGCGCATCAGTAAAGACTGTTAGCAGAGTAGAAGCGGCCGGGGCACGATAATGCGGCCTCCCCATGCTGTCCGAACGATGTACCTGTGAACGAACGCCTCGGGGGGCCAGGCACATATCTTACCGCTCTTCATACACACTTCCGATGAAGACCAGGACTGGCAGGCGTCAAGAGTGAAGGACGATACTGCCCACCCACAAGGCTGCATGGAAGCCTTACCGGCTGTCCTTGGCAAGCCGACTTCCATCTTACACCTCACCCAAAACCACCATTCAATCCGACCACGTCAACCGCGACTTCATCACCCAACGTCGCAGATTTAGGCTTGCAGCATGGCTTCTGCCGCGGAGCAGACCCTAAACAGGGATCCAGCGCTCTTGTACGCATCCTTTCCGCCCTGTACCGACCTCAACTAACACGAACAGCTACTGGATCCTGATTCCCATAACCCTGGTCATGATCCTGACAGGCGTGCTGCGACACTATGTTACAGTCCTGCTACAAACACCACCCAAACCGGCCGCCACGCCGTCCGAGTCGCGAGAGCGCCTGTCCCTGCTCCGTGGTCCTCAACTGCGCGCCAACTGCCCCGCGCTCTCTCAAGCCGCCTTCGAAACCCGCAAAGAATACCTGATCGATAACTACAAAAAGGGCTCCTTCCTCAAGAACCCGGGCAACAAAGAAGGTCCCGCCAACCCCATGTCCGACCCCGCCGCGATGGAGGGCATGATGGGCATGATGAAGGGCAATATGGCCATGATGATTCCGCAGACGCTGATCATGAGCTGGATCAACGCCTTCTTCGCCGGCTTTGTGATCCTGCGCCTGCCCTTCCCGCTCACCATCCGCTTCAAGAGCATGCTGCAGAGCGGCGTCATGACGCGCGACCTCGACGTGCGCTGGGTCTCGAGCCTGAGCTGGTATTTCCTGTGTCTATTTGGTCTGCAGGGTGTTTTTATCTTCATCCTCGGCAACGAAGGCGCTGCCGCGCAGATGCAGCAGATGGCTGGTGGAATGCCCATGGGCGCGCAGCAAGGGGCTGGGCCGTTGCAGCCTGGCCAGGATCCCGATAAGATGTTCAAGGCGGAGGCTGAGAATCTCGAGGTTGCAGAGTGGTGGGGCGTGCTGGACGGTGCGGAGGATAGATTGCTGGCGGCCAACGCATGACTTTGCGCTGCACGGAGATATGTACTTGTAGAGAAACAAATATAGATCGACACTGGATGAAGTAGTTCCAGATCGCGAAGAGCGTGGTCAAGCTTCGAACGTGGGCACGCCGCGTGTTCGGCCTGAGTAGGAACATGATGCATGATACTATACTCTTCCTCATTTCACCCTCACTGTTTGTCTTCTTCGGTCTCAATGCGATAAATTATATGTTCACTGCTCCACTTCCCGCCAACTACACGTCTTCCGTCGACCCATCCATCCATTGACCACCACCGGCATCATCACATCTCACAGGTATCTCTCTGGCTGCTCTGCTATACTCAAATCCATCTGGGCCTCCACGGCCAGCGTCTCGACCGCGCACCATATGAAAGTTATGATATATGCATTCCAAACTTTGAAAACCCGCTGGAAAGTCACGTACTTCCACACCTCATGCAAGGCCGTTAGAAAACAGTGGTTTGCCACTTCAGACGCTCCTCCTCTTGCTTCCTGCTTCTTGCCTCTCTGCACCGGATCTGCACGAATCTCAGACGCCAATATGCTGTTCGTAGGCTCGCTCTGAAATTCAACACACGTAAGCGCGTAAAAGTGTCACATGCATTTGAAAGCTGCGTGACGAAAGAGTCGCTCGGTAACTAGAAACCAAACGGGTTGGAGGGTGCTGAAATCTTGATTAGCTGATGCATGCCTACTCGGTAAAGTTGATGACTTACTAGCAGCAGACAGATTCGCCCTTCGCCCTGTGGGCTGAGGCGCAAGTTTCTTTGGTTGCGCACCGAACTTTACATCTGGTGCTGGGCCCGTCTTCTGAGGTACAAGCGGTGCGGGCGTTGTTGATTGTGGAATGGGTGGCACAGGGGGAGGAGAGAAGCTCTGGAAACCGTTCTGCTGGGGAGGTTGCCCAAAGCCCGTCTGTTGAGGTTGAAGCTGGGGTTGGAAGCCCGTCATCTGTGGCTGCATCGGTTGCGGCTGCTGCTGCTGTTGCTGCTGCTGCTGCTGGAAGGGTTGCTGGGGTGAAAACTGGTTCATGCCATTTGGTTGTTGTTGCATCTGATTGAACCCAGTAGGTTGCGGTTGCAGGGCAGGCGGAAGTACCGAATTGATTCCTGTCTGTTGTGGTCTGAATTGTTGTGGTTGGAAACCTGTTTGCTGAGGCTGCATTTGAAAGCCAGGTTGAGGATCAGCGAAGGGGCTCCCCGCCGCATTTCCATTGATGTAAGGCTGTTGAAATTGCTGCTGTTGGAATCCAGTAGGCTGAGACCCAAGTCCATTTGGAAATTGGTTGAATTGTTGTGGCTGGAAACCTGTTTGCTGAGGCTGCAGCTGCATTTGTTGGAACTGCTGCTGTTGTATGCGCTGTTGGTTGAGTTCTTCGAGACTTTGCCCGTAGGGTGCCTGTCTGGTGGCAAATCCAGTCAATTGAGGTTGCAGTGGCTGCAGACCAAAGCCTTGTTGCGGGTTATTCGGTGCGGACGTAGGCCGCTGCGGTGGAGGCAACAGTGCGGACCCGGTGAAAGACTGTTGTGGAGGTGGTGCTGGGCGTTGCCTACCTCCACTTGATTGCTGACCTAGTTGGGCGAAGAAGGAGGGCGTAGCGCCAGTCTGCTGTGGCTGCTGTGGTTGTGCAGGAGGCACCTGTATCGTAGGCTGAGGCTGCATAGGTGGGGCAGGTGGTGGTTGCTGCGACTTCGGCTCCGGACGTGACGGTTCAAGGGGCTTGTCCAGCAGAGACAAGTCATTCATGCCAGCCGAAGCTGCCCGTGGAGGAGGCGATGCAATAGCTGCAGGAGCGGGCGAAGATGGTTTCTGTGATGGTTTGACAGTCCACGCGTCATCGTCGAAGCCGTCCTTTGCCTCGCGAGCGGGAGCTTTTGCAAGAGGCGTTTCTCGAGCTTCAGGCGGACGTTTCTTTTCGTCCTGGTCTTTATTGAATGCAGAGGCGTCGACTTTGTCGCTGACTTGCCGATTTGCTTCGGGTCGAGATCGCCCACTGTTGTCTTTCAGCGCTCCACCAGGTCCACTGAATAGCCCACCTTCACCATTTGCATTGTTCTGCCTGTCTGGCCTGTACTTTTCGTTCAAGTACTTCATGACCTTGAGCGCATCGCCCTCTTTCAGGCCAAGAGTTCGAAGCGTATCATGCGTGATTTCGGATAATACGCTCTCATCCATCGAATCTCTTATCATGGCTTGGGAATACCTCTCACACGTATGTGGATTGATTCCAGCCTTCAAGAAGAAGTCAAACCAGTCATAATCTGATTGCTTTGGTTCGATCGATGCGCCGCTCGCGCCTTGACTTCTGCGTTTCATCTTGATAAGATCAGCCACCGGTATATTGTCTTCAATCGACTCCTGGGTTACCTTTTCGACATATTGAAGGTCTGTGGGCGACATTTTCGAGACTGGGACTGCGATTTTGACGCCGTTGACCTTGTGCAAATGAATTTTCCCGTCTGCCACGCCGATGAATTGGGCCTCCACCTTGAAGGATCCGGAGTGATCCGTCCAGGTGCGCACTTTGGATCCGTCGGGTTTGGCCCGCGCTTTTGCGTCATTGCGGCTTGAACGCTTGTCTCTCCGGGACCTTTTTGAATCGTCCTCACCAAGGCTGCTGCCTCTTGTTGGGATCTCAGCCTTAGCTCTAGCCTCTTCGGCCTCACGACGAGCTCGGTCGGCCCGGGCTGCTTCTCGAGCGAGACGCTCTTCTTCCAGCCGATTCTGCTCAACTAATGATTTTCCGGCGTTGACTCCAGTCCGGGAAGGGGTATCGATAGCAATGGTACCCGTCACTTCAATATAGCTGCTGGGCATGACTCCTTCCTTACCGTTCTTGAGTCTTCTAACATTCCACCAGTCTTCTGATTTTGTGTCGTCCAGGATGATGACATCGTCGCCGATCGCAACTGTGACTTCATCGTCGCCTTGGGCCATGAAGTCGTACAAAACCTGGCCCTTCTTGTGCACAGAACCTCCAGTCGCTGCCGCCATGACCTCTTTGATGCCCTCACCCTTGACTGCGCCAGCAATTTCGCCCAGAGCCGCTACGATCTCCTCCGCCGTATCTTTTGTGCCAGCATGCAGATCAAGACTCTTGCTAGGACGGACTAATTCCATGAACACGTGCTTTCCTTCGATCGAGTAATGTGTAAGCTTGTCAGCAGTCCATTCCTGAGATGGCCCGTCTCGCGATTTCTCGGGAGACAGCATGACTATACCCGTAGCAATGTTTAAGCCTAGTGTTGTTGGCATCTTTTTCCTCCGGCCCATAGCAGAGACCATCTCATTGATATTGTAAAGGTGATAGCCACCAGGACTGTAATGGTCCTCTGTGGCTGATCGCGATGCAGCTCGGTTATAAGGTGGGGAGGGAAGCACGCCTGGAGCATCATCGTTGGCGTAAGGGGGCTGCGGGATTTGGACCGGGCTGGGAATAGACTGAGACTGCGGTCTGCCCGGAAGAGGTGGGCGGGCTTCCTCAGAGTCGGAAGGTTCGGGTGTGAGCTCTTGCTGAGGTGCTGGTGGCGAAGGTATGCTTCGTGCTGCTGCAGGCGGAGCACGGCCACCCAGGACAGCAGCAAGATTGGCAGCAGGGCCAGATACTGGACTCGTTGGGCTTGCAGGAGCGGCCGCTTCAGCCGATGCTGGTGGTAGAGAAGCGATCGACTGTCTCGCGGAAGCTGCCGTTGGTGAGGTAGGAGCCGCAGCGCCGCTGAGCTCAATGTAGTTGGCGGGAGCGAAACCAAACTCTCCATTTACGCCAACCAAGGTCCAGTCATCGTCCGACACGTCGTAGACGTCGAGAGCCGAGTCCTCGGTAAACGACACCTCCTCGTCAGTCTGTCGCGAATAGTCATAGAGCGCTCGTGCAGAGTGCGTGGGCTTCGCCTCCTCCACGTAGTTGTTTGGAATCAGACCCTCGGGCTCGTCTTCGTCCTCTTGATCAGCCTTCTTCCTAGCTTTCCACCAATCATCGTCGCTGCTCTTTTCCAATATGTACAAAAGATCGTTCTCTCGGATCTCGAGCTCACCGGCACCCTGGGGCTGGTAATCGTAGAGGGCCGTACATATTGCAACGAATCCCATCGCGATGATCGGGGAAGGCAGAGCGTGACAGCGGTGTCTCAGTGTCTAAATGGATGCCATCAACTAACGCGGAGATTATGTGGTGGACGTGATGTCGTGGCCCGTTGTTTGATTACGCTGGGGCGGATGACGAGTGCAGCTCAGAAACAGCAGGTCTCAAAACAAACAGCAGATATCGCCAATGCTCGCAAGGTCAAGAAATGACACCAGATAAAGATGAAGTGTGAGTATGGTTACAGCGACTAACGAGTTCAACTTCACGTGAAAGAGGGAGGAGAGTGTTGGAAGTGGAGGACCGCCAGACGACGCAGCCTCCATGCCAAGCGACGCGGCTTGGGTCCGCTCCGGGGGACGCTGGCCGCGGCGTACTATCGACGACTCAACATGCGGCGTAATATTCATGCTCGTGCTTCTATTCCTGATTGCTTCAACCACTATTCAAAGAAACTACCATCGCGTGAAGTCAGGATTGGCGACATGGCGTGCCTCAGAGATTCGGTGACGGAAAGAGAGATTCTGGAACGGATGCTGATGAACCAGGAACGACTCGCGACACCTACAGGGCTGCTTGGTTTCAGAGCATTCTCGAACATCTATTTGACTGAATGCAATGTCAATACGGATGACCGTCAGCTCTCGTAAGATTCATTCGCCTGTCAATTGGCGAGCGAGTCAAGCGAGGCACGGCAAGCATGCTTGACATGGTTTGCTGTGGCATGTACAATGTCATTGTTCATATCTCCTCCTTGAATTCCTCCTCACTACCTGTTTCATCAGCTTCTTCCCCAGCAGGCTTCGCAGTGTCTTCTTGCTTATTAGCTTTCGCAGTGTCTGCCTTCTCATCCTCCGAGACGACACCTCGTAGCTGGATTTGACCATCAACATCGTCAAGACGCTCGATCTTCCAGTCTTTGCTTCCCGCAAGCTTCTCGAGCTCTTTTCTAAACTTCTCGATATCAGCAGGATCTAGCTCAAGCTTCTTGAGGTCTGCTTTGGATATGGCAGACACCTTCCCGTCCTTCTGCATGGCAATAGTCTCGGCTCTCTCATCTTGGGTGAGCACTATGCGACCTCTTTCAAGCTTCTTGCCGTCTTTAGAGTATGTCATAGCGCCAACCTGGACACCGCCAACCACAAGAGGTGGTTCTGCGCCTTGCTCCACGAGCTTCGCCTCTTCTTTTCTTAGAGCTTTCCATTCGGGGACCTGATCCTCGGTGAGGATTTGTTGACATGTAATAGAATGAGCCTTCGACTCCTTTGGGGGAAGGAAGGCCACATCGCTGCACAATCGAGGCGTGTAGACGATCATTAGGTATGAGCAGGTCGAAGTCTCCTTGATCCAACCAATGCGATCCGTGAGCTGAGGATTGCAGTGGAACTCGATCTCAATCTTGCGGTTTTTGCCAGTCAGATCACATGATGTCCCACCCTCTAGTTTCTGGACAAGATAGCTGGTCTCAGACTTTGTCTGGAGCTCGGTGGACACAGAATTCTGCGATTGTTGATCCGGGGCGGCTGGATCTTTGGTAGTACCATCTACCTTGCCCAAGACGAATGCTGGGGTTGTAGGATCCTCCTGAGGAGGCCATACTCGCCCACCCGTCTGGCCAGGCGAAAGTGCATGAAATTGCCGTACTTGCTGGTTGTAGCAGAGCGAGTATGTCCACCAGCCAGTTGAATAGAAGAGGCACTGACTGCCCTGCATCCCAGATAGAAGCTCGCGGCCCTTGTCTGCTGCTCTTGCCAGCTCTTTCTGGACTTCTGATTCTGTGGCCTTCTCTTCGGTCTGATTGTTTGTAGAACGCTTCACAATTGGTATTTTGCAGAAGTAAGCCTGGTCGCCCGACGTCAGTATTTCGTAGTCGACTTCTGCTGCCGGGCCGCTTGATTCAGAGGCGAAAGACTCGCTCCGGGAAGGGAGGGAGACATCCTTGCTTTCCCGCGCTTCGGCTTTTTCGAGCTCGCTTCGGTCTAATGATCTGACTGCTTCATCCAGGGTGATATAACTGTCGTCAAATACAACTTCATACTGCGTTCGTCAGCGTCTGTAACGAGAGCCAGCGGAAGCTCGGACTGACTTGGGGAAATGCGAAGAGGTCATCGTTGACACTGAAAGTGGTCTCGCTGGCATGGGCAGGTACACTCGCGAGGGCTGCGAGTGTCAGAATTGACCATATCATTCTTGTATCATCCGCGATCCTCCATCCCGCTCCGGCGCGCTGTGAAGTTGCTGGACACGTAGATCGATCAGATCCATTTCAAGACACGTCTCATCTTAGGGTATCTTTGGGCGGTGACCATAATGACGAGGGCCAAGATCTCCGCCCCGGAGATCTGCCAGCGCGTCGTTGCGGTGTCGATTTTGTTTACAACCCCACCAAGAAGATTCACTCAAAGTCAACCATTGCGCCCGATTTTCAATCCTTTGTTCTACGTAGGTCGGCAATGTCGTCCACAACTTTCTCCCTGGCCGGCAAAGGCCTCAAGCTCGACACCAAAGAAGACCTCGAGACACATATACAGCCCCTTGTAGATTCTGGCGATGTCACACATATCGACCTCTCAGGCAATACTTTCGGTGTACCAGCGTGTGAGGCTCTTGCGCCCATACTGAAATCTAAATCCAAACTCGAGTTCGCCGACCTGCACGACATATTCACCTCCCGTCTGCTCGAAGAGATCCCACTCGCTCTCTCCTCCCTCCTAACAGCACTGCTCGAATGCCAAAACCTCCACACCATTGATTTAAGCGACAATGCTTTCGGCCTCAAGACCAAAGATCCTCTTGTCGACTTCCTCTCGAAGCATACGCCCCTGAAACATCTGATTTTGAACAATAACGGCATGGGCCCAATTGCAGGCACATCAATAGCAGACGCTCTGACAACACTGGCTGAAAAGAAGGCTGCTGCTCGAAAAGAAGGCAAGAATGTGCCAGATCTGGAAAGTATAGTCTGCGGGCGTAATCGCCTGGAGAATGGCAGTATGGTTGCTTGGGCCAAGGCTTACGAGGCACACAAGTCTGGTATGAAGAGTGTCAAGATGACTCAGAACGGCATCCGGCCCGAGGGTATCACACTTCTGATCACTGCTGGGCTGTCGAAATGCACAAATCTTGAAGTCTTCGACCTACAAGACAACACATTCACCTTCAAAGGTGCCAGCGCACTGTCAAAGGCTGTCAATGGCTGGGGCAAACTGCAGGAACTCGGAGTAGGCGACGATATGTTAGGCGGTAGAGGCTCTATCAAGGTTTTTGAGGCTTTGGGCCAGGGCTCCAACGAGGCCATTGAGATTCTACGGCTACAATACAACGAGATTACACCCGCCGGGCTCAAGATCCTGCTGCAGACTGCGAGGGAACTCCCAGCTCTACGGCGGGTGGAACTCAACGGCAACAAGTTTGAGGAGGAGGACCCCTCTGTCGAGGCACTCTCGGAACTTCTGTCTCAACGCAAAGATGAACATGGTAAAGACAGCGATGCCGATGACCACTGGGGCTTGGATGAGCTAGATGAATTGGAGGGCGAAGACAGCGATGAGGAAGAAGAGGAGATTGAGGAGGAAGTGGAGGAAGATACCCGGGAGAAGCTCTTGAAGGATACAGACGAAGCTGAGAACGAGCCTGTGAGTCAGAAGAAGGATGCAGATGTCGATGCGCTTGCGAAGACCTTGGAGAAGACCGGCATATGAGCTGCAGCGATTGAATTCTCGCATCCATCCGACTGTTCAGCCAGCACGACACTTGCTAGCTCGATAAAGCCACTTTCACCAGCCTCTCAGCAATCCTAAACCGACCGAACTTTTCCACCTCCCAACGCGTATGCTGTCCGGCGGGCTGCGGGCTTTCAGGGAAGGAGGTTCGCAAAGTACAGTACATGAGAAATCCCCGTTGTACGTAAGGTGAGTACTGCTGCAGACTAGGAGGTGTGCCCTTGTGATAGAGGTTTCAGAACTGTTTCAGAATCTCAGGATTTTCTCCAATTTCCAAAGTACTTTACAGGACACCATCAAGCCACTCAAATCACAGATGTGTCAATCTTCAGAGGAGCTCGAGACAAGCCATCATAAATTCGTGCCGCCAAAAGAGTGCCAATATCGCTTGTTGGCGAGCCAGCATGGCCGCCATGACCGGCCACTCTGGTTATCAACACAGTGCCCCTTCCGCCCGCCGGGTACCGGCAGGTTTCCTTCTCCCATCCTGCGTCGGTGGTTCAAGCGACTGTGATCCTGGTTGTGCATAGTTTTCTTGGGCGTTCGATGCTATTCCACGAAAGCTACCGTCGCTGTGAAGTCACCGTGCGACCAGGCCAGTCGAGAGCAAGCAAGCAGCTGACGGCTTCTTCATTGTAGCCTTACGAGAGCATCGCTCACCACCCCTTCACCTGGCCGTGTTCTGTAATATTTCCGGCCACTTCCACCGGTTGCAGTCATTGGTTGCCAGGCTGCCGCCTGTTATCTTCTCTATCCCTATACATCGCCGTTCTCTCAGACGAGGCTTCCCCTATGCTACTCTGGGTAGTCCTCTCATTTTAAGCACCTTCAACGTTACCCCAACGTTCGACTGACTGACTACACAACACAACGACTCAAGCAGCTTCGCTCTGCAACATGTCAGATTTCGTGCCTGATAACGGATATTCTGACATCGAAGCCCTGTCTGATGACACTTTTTTCTCGGACTACGAGTCAGACCTCGATACTGATCAACTTCAACCATGCAGCAGAAAATTCAACGTCGTCCTGGACTATGTCAGAAACTGGGACCGTCGAGAGGCGTTCCGTGAGCTCTTCCAGAACTGGTAAGCCATCCTTTCATATTCGATGGAAGACAACTGACCCCAAAAGGCGCGACGGCATGGCTGCGACAAATCGACTCAACCTTCACGACTTGAAACTGGACCACACGGAGACCAAGAACGAGATTCGCATCTGCGCCTACGCACCGCAAACCACAGTCAGTAGCAATGAGCGACAACTCCTAGGTTACATCGTGTTCAAGAAGAAACAAGGCCGTCTCGAACTCACGAACTTCGATGCCAAGCTCAAATTAGCGCATCTGAAGATTGGACAGAGCTCTAAGCGGAATCAATCGCAGTCTGCTGGTGAACATGGCGAAGGGCTCAAACTTGCCGTCATTATCTACCTGCGTGATGAACTACATGGACACGGGGTCACAATCACATCTGACTCGTTCAACTGGAGCTTCCGCCCCACAAGAGATCGAGATGTCCGTTACACCTTACGTCCCGTCAAAGCTGGGAAGAAACTACAACCCATTGACCGAACAACAGACCGACGATTGATCGCGAGCGCCAGGGATGATGTAAGTGTGGTCATCAGTAAGCCTAAAAGACGCAGCGGAGATGCTATATCCGAGCATGACTTCCGAGATTGGATGAAGGTCGCGTTGGACATCGATGGCCCAGCCCACACGATCCGTGGCCCACATGGTGAACTTATTCTTGATAATGCCTTTGCCGGCAAGCTCTACGTCAAAGGTCTTCGGATCAGTAGTGAGGGACACAGCGGATATGCGCCCCGTTATGGGTACAACTTCTCGAAAGCTCACCTCAATCGCGACCGCGAGAGAGTTGGTGATGCAAGAGGAGAAGCCGAAATCCTGGCACGCATCTGGGCCCACGCAATCGAAGAGACTACACCGCAAGGGGACCACGAAATCGTTGCTCGATACACAGAGCTATTCCTCGATCAGCCTGAGTCTGCTGACATCGCTCTTGCCGACAAAACAGTCTCTGAAGGGGTGGCCAAGGCTATGTGGACACATCTGAACGCCTCAAAGCCAGGAACGTTTTTCTATGAAGAGTCGTCAACCGAATCCGCAGCAGTAGAGAACATCATCAAGTTTGAGAAGGCAAAAAGAACCCAGGTCGCTGCCTACGACAATCTGGAAGATATTTCAGAAGCACAACCTTGTTCGAACTCCCCAACAGCAGAAGTTTTTCTTATTCAAGAAAGCTGAGAGTGTTTCCATCCCCGACACCGCATATGCCCAAGCTGTTCTCAAGGTTTTGAGGGCATGTCTCAGCCTCGACGATCGATTAGCCAATGTGGAAATCAACGTGGTGGATGGTCGCTTACTCTTACTTGATACGCTCTTTGATCAAGAGAATAATCGCCTTCTTATTCACCGGAAATGGTTTGACTTTCATCAGGCTCATGAGTTGTCTAGCTGTGAGGTGTCGCGGTTGCAAGTAGATGGAGGTGAGCATGTCGGGCTACAAGCTTTTGCTTGTGACCATATCATCGTGGTCCTCCTACAGTCGATCCTGGACGCTGCCGTGGAAAGCAAGTTACTCGAAACAAAAGATCGCGTCTCACTGAGTCGGACTGCTCCGGAAAGCATCCGCCAGATGCCGAGAGACGTCAAAGTCGTGCCTACTGAAAACCCCGGAGAGTTGCGCGTAACCTGGAAGAGCAACGAGTGCGGCATGGTCAACGAATTATGCAGAAGCCAGATGATGTACACTGTTGCCCTGCACGATGAGAAGCTATGCGTCGCAAAGCAAGCTGAGCTGATAAAGTTGGCAAGAGATATCGACTCGATCGGCGGTGAAGGCGGTCAGGTTACGTGCAGCTGTCCTGTCACAGCAGCTTCAGGTCGAGTTTTCGAGGCTACTTTTGAGAACCTAGACCCGGCTATTACCTACTTTGCTATGGTCGCCAGGTCGGTCGACAGTTCTTTCTGGTCTCTACCAGCCCAAGGCACCCAGACTTTCTCAGGACCAATTACCGAACCCACGACAACGTTGTCGACACCATCTGACCGGTCAGAGCCCTTCAGTGTTTCTACTGAGCCAGTATCTCAGTGTCGACTGAGCCGCTGCCTTGCCACACCCTCCAGATCGTATAGCGCTTCCGAGGACTTCGTCATGCTGGAGCCAGGAGAAAGCGATAGCGAGAGCAGACCTAGCAGCTCCGGTTCTATCTTGGGACAGACCCCCGTGGATTCGAGGCAATCAACTCTGGAGCTCCGCAGCTCACCTCCACTGTCGAGGTCAGCACACAGGACTCGGTCACGCACTGTTTATAGTTCTGATCGAAACACACCAGTGGAGTTAACTGAGGATAGACAGCTCGATCAGGTATGCTAGAACATCTATCAACCGTAGACGGAAGAAGCACTAACAATGACAGGATCGCCCCAGCCGAGAGACTATCACTCAAATGGCTGAGCGAGCCCGAGATCTCCTGTTCCAAGGAAAGCACATCTCTCGTATGCGCATCCGAGTTGCCAACGAGGACACGGTGTTCAAAGGGCTCAAATTGATCGATCACGCGGAAATGAGGGACGAGAATGTTGAACTCACCTTGAAGGCGGATAAAGTATCACAGGCAGGTGCTGGACGAGTGGGTACGAATGGTGGAGTGAAGCGTCGGCGTACTGGCTACTAAGATCCCATCGGTCATTCGGGGACAGGGGCTGTGGGTTGGACTTCATGCTGGATAGCTCAGGCGTTACCGCGCGGAGTAAGGTGGGAAGGCTGGAATGCAGGTACACGGCAACACAGTGGTTTCTAGTCACGAGTAATGTCCAGGTAGCCACAATCCAAAAGTGCTTTTGCGAATTGACCTTTGCACGTGCACGCATCCGTCGGGACGCGGGGCCATACTTGCCTGATAGATTTCGCTTCTCTCAGATGTGACGATCAATGCAAAGCGTCTGGACGTAGCAGGATAGTGACCGCAGACCTCTTGTGGGGATCGACGAGCTACTTGCGGAGATGAAAGCGCTCCTGAAGTCGAGGCGATTCCGGAAGAGCTTGTGGCTCGACGGGGCAACGCGGGTCGTATGCCCAACGTCTGCTTCGTTGCCCCTAGCTGTAGCTGAACGCGTGCTCTGCTTCCAGTCTCGGATCTGTACGATTGTTTCGTAGTTGCTAGCGTCGTGAGTCACGACAAATGGGCCCTGAAGCTGAAATCTCATCCGGCCAGCTCAGATGTTGCTACCCAAAGTGAGGCGGCAAGGCTAAAGGTGCAGCCGGGACCCAGGCCGACAGTGCCATATGAAGAGAGCGAGCTGTGGCTCTGGGACTGTTATAAGAGAAGTCGTAGAGTAGCACTATACTTGAAACCATTTAGTAGCGCTCCGGATCCAACACAAAAAATCTCCATGACGGTACTGATGAAGAAAGGGGGAGTACACGAGGCTGTGCCAAGCCGCATGGGACCAGACCCGCCAAGCCACCCACGAAAACAACAAGTGCGCGTTCACTACACTCAACAACAATCGTTCATCTCCACGACGAACGTCTCTCATGCCTCACCGCAAACATGGCGGCAGTATCAGTGGTCTCGAGGCTTTAGTCACGCGTCATCTTCTCTTCTTCGACGGCCTTCCGCCCTGGTACCGGGCCTTCGTCTTGGCAATGCTCTTGTCGGTGGCTTCGATCTGTTTATCCAGATCTTTCACGTCCGCGTTCACATACACCAGCTCCTCAGCCTCTGCCTCGCGCCTGTTGCGGCTCTTTATCTCTTCGCCAGACAGGAGTGTGCTGAGCCGGTCAAATTCTCGTTCCTCTGCTGAAATGTCGTCCAAGACTTGACTATGCTGCCGTCGTCGGCTCTGGTCTTGCTCTGCTTCTGCCTGTCGTACATTCCTCCGGTGCTCTTCCTGCTGTGATGTGACTTGGTTGTCTTCGTCTCTCCTCAATTCTTCACCCTTCTCTTCGAAATACTCACGTCTTTCTGCTAGTAGCCTCTCCACCTCTTCGGCCACCACCGAAGCATCCTTGGACGGCTTTCTCTGCCAGGCCATTTCAAACCGGAGATGTGGAAAGGACCCTGGATCTTGGTACGATTTCCAATGCAGGACACGGTCGACTATGTGGTAGGCAGCTGCCTGCGATTCATCGAAACGATCAACTCGCGCATTATGAGCGATCAGGTCTGCCCAATACGCACCAGTGCCCCTAAGCTTCTCTTCACGCGAGATAGCCAGGTCTGCCGGCAGCTGAGAAGGAACCGCGTTCCAGCACGAGGTCACCAACAAAGTTTTCTGAAGTGCATCCTTCCCGCACAGGTTTGAGAGCATGATCTTATTCCGGTCGCTGGTCTTTGCGAATCTCATCATCGTGATGGGATAAAGATATACGATGCCTGCGAGCGTCACTCCATTCGAGAAGTCGACGTCCAGCTCTCTGCGGACCATTTCTAAGACGTCGAAGTCCGTCATGGAACTACCATCGAAGCCAGGGGTGTCGATCAGCCAGAAGTTGCCAAACCGCTCGCTTTCGCAACAATATAGCTCCACTTTTTCAGTATCTCCAGCACAGTGAGCGGTCACATCATGAAGGAAGATCGTGGGGCAGCGTACCTGGACCTCTTCTGTGATGTTCTTGCGGAACGGACCGATCGGTACGGAATTGGCGTATGAGGCTCGTCTTGCCTGCGCCTGCCATGCCTATGACAGCAATCACGTTGTCTCCCTTCCTGCACACTTTCAGCACTCGTTCTGGGAAACTTCCCGGCACGATACGTACCTCAGACGACGTCGAGGTTCTCTATAAACCCGAGCGCCATTCGATCGATAGCGAGAATCCATGTTATTTCAGAATGACGCCAGACCAGTGTTCTGCTCCAAGACAGTGGTTCACGCTATATGCAACGAGTGGAGGAACGAGGTTGACCCAATAAGGCTGGTGGGCGGCCGGTTTTTGACTTGCATTGTCACCGGGCTGGGGAAACTGGCAGGTGTGGTGCCCTGCTGCAGAATTGCGTCTCGGGCCCAAATCGCTCACACACCACTTCCAAAATCACCATACAACCATCAGCCTGCCTGATGGGCGATTTGGGATGATGTCTCCGTGTCCAACGTTTTTGCATACGAAACCACGCGAACTTGCGACGACAGCGCCAGCACCACATGAAGGGCCTATCTTTTTCCAAACATCCCATGCACATGACGGGTGCGGACCGAAAGCCCACTGTCAAGATCTCACCGGTTGCCAGGGCCTACGCCGGCGTCGACCGGCTTCTAACACGAGGTCTTCACAGCACACTGGCGACTTAGAGCATCATGCTTACCTGGGGGTAGTCTTCACACCAAAGCGGCTTGCACAAGCCTAATGATGTGCGCCACGCATACATTACGAGAGCTTTGAAAAGTGCGCAGAGTCGGGAGATACGCTGAGATGCACTGGATCGCGCTTTGTGGTGACACCGGAGATGCTCGAGCTCGCGGAATAAGTTACCCCAATTCTGAGAGGCCCCCTCCCGAGTTCCCTAGGAGGTTGGCCATGACCAAGCCCCAGACGCTCGCCAATCCAGCATCAGCATCGTCTGCGCAATATGCACGGACCTTCCCCCAACACCATGACCCAAGCCTTGACGCGTGACCTATGGCTTCCAAGTCACAGGCAGGAAAATTCTTTCTCGTGCAGGCTGACAGACCTGAGCCAAGTTCATGCAAGCCTGCATGCAAGAGGCACGCAGGGGCTTTTGGGTCTGTGGTGCCTCCAGCTAATCTGGTCTACGGGTTTTCAGCTTGGAGAAGATCGTCATCAAACTGGCGTCGTCTACACGGAAGGCAACCGTCATCCCCATGCGAACCACCACCATGGACTACGGCGCATTTAACGAAGGGTCCTGTCTAAGCCACACTACTGGCGGAGGCCCTTGCTCACTATGATCGGGCGTTTAGCATGGGCATATAATGTCAGCGCGATGCTGTTCCGAGTCGCCGACACACATATGCCCATCACAACATAGCGGCCCCAGCTCAGCCTTACCGCGAATTCATTCTGCAGAGCCACGAGCTTCCACCACAATGCCGAGCCAATATTCACAAGGCGGTGGCCAGTCACCAGCGATTAACATTGCTGTGATGGGCGAGACTGGTAGTGGAAAGAGCTCATTCATTAAACGGGTAACTGGACGACGCGATGTAAACGTCGGCCACGGCATCAATCGAGGTACCTACAGAATTCAACCATATGAAGTCACCTTGAAGTCGCCTGAAAACGGCAGATCCTACAGAGTGCGGTTGATCGACTGTCCTGGGTTTGACGACATTAGCGTGCCAGACAGACAGACCGTCGACGATATCCTGTTATGGCTCCGGGACATGTACGGAGAGAACCGAAAGCTTCACGGAATCATTTACACTATCAACATCGACAGGCCTCGCGTGACTGGTTTTGCAATGCGGAACATCGCTGTTTTCAGGGAGCTCGTTGGTAACGATTTCTACCCCAACGTAGTTCTCGGCACGACATTTTGGGATAGGCTATCGAACGAGCTTGAAGGCACGGAGCGTGAGCAGGAACTGAAATCTACTCCAGGATTTTGGGGTCAGCTAGCCGCCAGAGGATCTCAGATTCGCAGGATTGGCAACCAGGGTCGTCAAGCAGAGTCGTCCACGACATCCCGGCATCGGCCATCAGCCAGTGATCTCTCGGTGGTCTATGAAATCGTGCGCAACTTTCGCCCACAATGGGTTGCGGCCCAGGAAGAAATGGCATATGGCTTCAGTCCCTCGCAAACGTCCGCAAGCAGAGAGTTCGACGAATGGGAACATTATTGGAAAGCAGTACGCAGAATGGAGGAAGACCATGACCGCGCCAGGAGAGAAAGCGAACGCAGGGTGTCAGACAACCAGACACAGCTGAATGAGGAGCTCCGCCGGCGGAAGGATATGTCCACCCGACTTCGACCGCAAGACATCGAATTTGCAACAGACGAGAAGCGGCGCCGCAAACTCCACGCCGACGTGCTGGATCTGAAGAGGCAACTCAGTGCTGTGCGCGAAGCAAGTGAAGTGCGCACAAATGCGGAGCTTGAACGTGCTAGGGAACTCCGAAAGGAAAAACAGCAAATCCTCGCGGCCAAGAAAAGTGAAGAGGCCGCTACGCTGGTGAAATCCAGATGCAAGCAGTTCCGCCAAGCCGTTCCTGCAGAGGTGAGGTGTCAGAGCTCAGATTGCAGGAAACGGCATGCGATCAGATTCAAGGTCGAAGATTATTATCGTAAGTCTCAAGATGAGGTTTGTTGCCTGTACTGTACTAACCGCAACGCAGACTGCTGCCAATGCAGAGCTGACAACTACGATCACTGTATCCAAGCAGGGGCAAGGTGTGGGAAACCCGGCCACCCTCCCATGGCACGCATTACGCCTGCAGACTGGGGCTATGAAGTGAGTAAACTCACGGAAGGCTTTCATGATCACGGAATTTGAGGGACGTGTGGTTTTGATGGATATACCCCTTATGTACGAATCTGTATCACCATCCAGTATATCAAACATACAAGGCTTCCCTGCCTGCCTCAACGCTTCTGCACACTCCACCTGCTATCACTGTTGTTCTCGCGAGAGTGCTGTCGCAGCAGGTACAGACCCGCGTCGGTCTTCGCGAGAGTACCAAGTGCTTTGATCTGACTCACGACGGCCAGGGGTTGAACGCGATAGCCTGGCTTTCGCTGCTGATCGAAGAAGGATTTGATCACCTTCTCTGCCGTCGACCGGTGCCGACGGCTGAAGGAGTGGCTTCTTGCCCGGCCCGTTACGAACGGCCTCCAGAAAGAGTCGTGGTTCCTCAGTTCGGTCAGGCGTCGGTGGGCCGCTTCCCGGTCCTTGTCGCGCACCACGTCCCACATGCCGGTCACCAGCGCCACGCGCTCGAAGAACTCCGCTCCGCAGATGTGCTTGATGAGCTGCGCCGTCCGGATGGCCGAGCCGGACAAGCGTATGTCCGTGATCCGGTGCAGAAAGATGACGCCGTGGATCGGGCGAGTTCGGAAGTAGTCGACGAGCCTGGACAGGATCTCTACATCGGACATGCGTGGGTCGTCGAATCCAGGCGTGTCGATGAGGTTGAACCTCCTTCCTTGGAGGGTACATGGGAATATTTGGACGTCAGCGGTGCATGACATCAACGTATGACCAACTCTGGCCTTTTCACGGCCATCGCTGGACGCTGCAAGAACGTTTATAAATGTGCTTTTCCCGACACCAGTGCCACCCATCACGGCGATGTTGATCACCTCCGGCTCGTCTTGTGAATCAATGGGCGGGGTACGGGCACTTTGCCGTTGCACATGCCGCTGTATTAGCACCCTCGTGCTCGGTGAGTGCTCATGGTGTCGTTGATTTGACGCTGTGGGCGCTGTTGGGCTGTTGCTCGCTCTGGGTTCAAGCGTGTCGCGCCTGCTGCGTGATGGATTCCTGTTGAGCTCATGTCGATTGCTTTCGATCGCGTGAGAAGGCCGCTCTGCTAACAGAGGCTCGTGCCCTGTGACCTGGGTCCGGCTATAGCTCTGGCTGTGTTCATAGCGCTTCCCAAATGTGTTGTCATAACCGGCTGTATGTCGCGAGTAGTTGTGGTCGATCGGCTGAAGACCTGCCGCCTTCCTCTCCGCTGCTCCTATTCCGAGTGACCGATGGTGCTTTTTGGTCAGGCTGTACGGGTGTGGAAGGTACACAACCGTGGATCCGGCAATCTCCGGATCACCATGCCTGCTCATGCCAATAGCCCCAGTCTGCCACGCGCAGCAAAACCGGGCAACTGGATCGCCCGGGGAACTTTCTCAAGGAGAAGAGAAGTGCTTGAGGCGGAAGTCCTGAAGAACCCCAAAAATCTGACTGCAGACCAAGAACCAAAACACGAGGGAGGGTTCTTCGGGGGGGTACTAAAGGGAACTTTGGCACCTCCTTCATGTACGACCAGGTCTGCTCGGTGCAACCTTGTGGCAAAAGTCGTGCACGGAAGCTGTGTGTCCCCAGACTGCGTGCATCAGAAGAAAGAAAGAGAATCTGGCACGCGTCCTCAAGGAGGGTCGCCTCGTTTTGAGCTATGTCAAAATGTTCCGTGCTTCGTATCCTGTGACATGGCTCTAGGGGTTCGAAAACAATAGTGTGGCCCGGCGGGAAATTGCATGCTTTGTAAAGGCACTTCCCCGCCTCCCACTGCTGGCCTCTGCATACAATGGATTGGATGCAGGACTAAGATATGTTCGAGCTCCCAACCATGTGCTCCGTGAGGGTATATCACATCCCGGTTCGTATCACCTAGTGAAGAAGACTGGTTCAGCAGACAAGCGCCAAAACCCAACCGCTTGGTCATGGAGACAAGCTTGGATACCCAGGCGCGCCAGTGAGATGTTGAGATTCTCATCCTACGCGCTCACGCGATCACGTCGCGCCATCGGACACGCGGGCTATGGGCTATCGATCTCTGTAGCGCTGCTCAGCCGTAGCTTGGGGTCCCTCGCTGCAGCTGGCTGCCTGAGCAAGGGTTTCTCAGCCATCTGGACTTGGAGAGGCACCGCAGCCCAAAGAGCCTACCAAGGCCTATTAGTCTGGGGGCGAGTCTCAGAGCCGGGCTGACGAGCTGGGCAGATCACGGGCGTTCAAGTCTCATTAGCATCCCTTGCGCAGATGCATGAGGCGTGCACGAATTAGGCTTATTGTTCTCGAATCGAGGCTTTAGGTTTCAGCTCATGCCCAAATCCCCGCGGATTTGGGCAGAATGAATGAATGTCATCCAATGTTTCTGGCCAAAAAGGGCTTGAACAGCTAGTCGAATTTCAAATCCCAGTGACCGTGAATGCAGGTGACGTTATAATCTGTTCTCAAGGGGCTCAAGAAGGAGGGGTTCTGACTGTGATGCTCTGAAAGCTGGTTTCATGGACGCGAGAGTGGGGTGACTTCAGGCAGTAAAAGTCTTGGCAGTAACCTGTCGAACAACGCCTACTTCAGAAGGTTGGGTATGAGCTTACTGAGCACGTGTAAGCCTGGATATACCCTATCGATGGCGTGGCAATGTCTTTGTGGCCTGTCGTCTGAGCTCGAACTCTCAAGCAACTTCAGTGGAGCTCTCTTCTTGAGACAGGGCGACGATGCAGGTTGGGGCATACTACCGTTCGGCTAATGTTGTTCGCTCTGCTTCAAGAGCATGTTCTTGATCAATTCCTCAGCTAGTTCTGCAGAATGATCAAGCTTAACAATTAGGCAATCTACCTTCGCCGGGATACCACACAGGGTTTTAAACGACGAATTGTAGGTACGAATTGAAACGTGCCCTCTCACAGAGAAGCAGCCTATCTATGGTCCGTTTGAGGTCTACCTCTTGAGCACATATTTACGAGCCAGCCCATGTTGATAGTGGATACGCAATCACTACGCCAGAAAGTGCTTCTCGATCCAGCTATCAAGTGCCACGTACGAAGCCGTCACATTGGAGTGCAGAGGCAACACATGACCCGCTCCGGGCTGGATGAAAGCCTCAATCTCATCGGTTCCATTGAACACCTCCCATGCCGAGCTGCCTACTCCAAATACGTCGTTGCAGTCAAATCTGCACGCGATGTCATGCTCAGACGCAAGGTAGAGCACGGGGTTGCTGAAATCCGGTGCCTGTGTTGGCAAGGCACCACCAGCGAAGATCTCGCCAATTGCAAGAGGCTGCTTGATGGCTTCTGAAGCCGCCAGCACCGCCGGATCGAAGTTGGGGTAGGAGAAGAATATGTATTGCTGCTCCAGCTCGGAGTTCCAGGTGAGCCACCCGTTCGAATAGACCTCTTTAGGAAAACGTTCAGGGTTGTTCTCGTTGGCGAGCTGGAAAGCAACGGTGCCGAGGGTCGTGGCGAGGGAGCTCGCGTCTCCTGCTAGCCCTGTGATGACTATTCCGTCACTGACTTCAGGTGCTAGAGCCGCCATGCCGATGGTCAGCTGCGACCCGAAACTATGGCCAACATGGATGATATTCGCAGGTGGCTCGGCTTGTCCGGGTATCTTGCCGGCACGAGCAAGGCCTGTCAAAGAGATGAGGATGCCCACCTCCACCAAAGCTTGTACCTCGCTATAAGGATCAGCGATGGTCGATGGACTTGCGCCAAGACGGTTCCAGGACAGAGTGCTGTAGCCTGCTGCAGTGGCTGCATGTACATGGCTGTACTGCGGGTTGTCTGAGCCAGGCAGATAAAAGTCCCAGTAGGTTCGATTGTAGCCGATTCCGTTCGTCAGCAGTTGGATTGTTGAAGACTTAGGTCCAGGGTTGTTGGGTGTACACAAATCGCCCGAGATCTGAAAGATTTTGGTCAAGGATGATGTCTCGGGTGGTGGTGGTGGTGTATCGCCTGGTGGTGTCGAAATTGCCTGACCATAGCTGATTGCTTGGTAGCGATTTTCAATTGGTGGCAGCGGCAACACAATCGTCGTGGCGTTCTCGACAGGTATATCGAGCAGAAATTCCGTGCAAGTGTAGCCCTTCTTGCTACTATAGTCTGCCACGACTAGGGTGAGCAAGGGCACAACGGGGAGAAAGATGCGCATCGTGACGGTCAGTTCGGTGATTGGGTTCACTTCTTGACTGGTCTCTTCCCTTGCGAGGGAAGGCCATCCTGCATTTATAGTGATTCCAATGGTAATCAAACATCTCAATGAGGCAGCGCGTGCTTGGCAAGGCTGTTCCGCAGAATGATTATAGATTCGTGTTCGTGTTCGCTTAGGGGGGCCTAATCGTCTACAGCAGTCACTAGCAATTTACAAATCTTTCAGCAAGCTGAACCGAAGTGACGACAACCTAGTGATCAGTTGCGACCAGATGCTAGCAGTGGGTCGAGCCTGGTAGTGCACGTCTTGGATGGATGGCCTTGATTCAATCTCTGTAGCTGTGCAAAGGGGATGTAAGCGCCATCGCCTTAACAGTTTGCCATTAGCACATATGGTAGCATGCATGGAATGATGATTCGAGGTGTCGTTAATTAGCACAGCTTGGCTATGCCCTTGATAGCTGAAATTCTTTGCCATGCTAGGAGTGCACTGGTACGTGTACCCCCGAGGCCTGCAAACGAAAGTGTGGGTGTCATTATTTGTGGCCCTCGTGTGGCTGAACTGGCATCGAGCAGAGTCATCTCACTAGGCGGGAGGCCTTTGTAGCAACTTCAAGGTAAATAAGGATCGACATCAGTACATCAAGCTCAGTACAGAAGCATATCTCCCCTTGCTCGTCTTGCAGCATCGTTGCTGGAGCCTCTCATATAGGTGAGCGCAATGGGATTTTCTTTCACCAGATCACATCAGCAGACAAGATCTTCCAAGCCCAAAGTAATAGCGAGTACAAAGACCGTCTCTATATAAGCTAGAGAAAAGGTATGTCAGAAGATGCTACTGTGCGTATGGACTCTCAATCGAGCTCCCGAACTGGTTTAAGTGAATACGTAGTCAGTATCCACTTAATGTATCGTGCTCTTTTGTCGCTGTCTAAACGGCAAGAGATGGTTGCACTGTATCGCGACTTCAATATGCCTATGCGCATGGAGCGTGTCGTGACACAGATCTGTTAGTCTCCGGTCGGATAGCGTATCTAGGTAGAAGGTCTTGTAACCGCCGGTGCTTCACTCCTCAATCTCGTAGCCTCGTGCCTTATAAGGCTAAATACAGTGGATCCTTGACGTTACCGTAAATTACCCGTTCGGCGTGCAGCAACACGGTGTTCAATTTAGATCGCCGTAGACGACACGCCGCGGTAAGACTGCCTGTAACACCAGAGATTCGAGCAATGCCAACTCTCTCACCAACCTCATAAGCACCTCACCCGCGCCGCACAAACCCAACATCCTTCAGAATGACGACGCCCAAACCTCAAAAAGTCCCGCTCTACTCCCTCCCGGACCTCAAATCCGCTATCGACGAAGCCCTCCCCCCAATCCTGACCTCCCTGCCCGCCTCCTACCGCTTCACGCAATCCCACTACCTCTCCACCGTCCGCCTGACACTCGGCTACAGCGCCGTCGCCATCGCGGGCGCCCTCTTCGCGCTCGACTACAAGCACGGCTGGGACGTGACGAAGCCCTACACACTGCCCGCATGCGTGGCCTACTTCATCCTCAACGGCGCGCTGACGCTGTGGTCGTACGCGGTGGAGCGGGGCGCGGTCTTTGACGGGCGGCGACCCGGCGGACAGCGCCTCGTGCTGCGCAGCCGCGTGCAGAAGCCCGTCGCCGAGTATATCCTGACGATCCTGTACGAGAGTCCCAAGGGGGATACGAAGTGGCAGGACACGGTGGTGAGCGTGCCGTTTGCGAAGCTGTTCAATGTGCATGGGTACCTGCAGCGAGCGGAGCTGAAGAAATGGTTGGCGCGCGAGATTGAGGTGGTGGGGCTGGCGGATCCGGAGGCTGCGAAGGCGGTTATGGAGTGTGAGAAGGAGTTGGCGGGTCAGATGGGTGTGGACGTCGGTGTTAGTATGAGTGGGGCGTTGGGGGATACCATTGAGGTGCAGAGTGCAAATGACACGGAGGAGGAGGGGCTGAGCAGTGCGCGGATTACGAGGGCGAGGAGTAAGAGTCCTTTGCCAGACACGGGGAGCGCGACTGCTACACCGTCGAAGAGAGGGCCGGGACGACCCAGGAAGAGTAAGGGCTGAACGGGCACTGGCGGATCAGGCAACATACACTGGCTTTCGCTCCGAGATTCTCAGCGACTGGCGACAAGATCGCCTCGGTACCGTGACACAAGCACAAGTGTGGAAATGGATGATGCAGCAAGACGTCGACCGCCTTGCAATCCACGGACGCATCTATTCGTGATGTCGGCCACAAGGACCGAGCATCGGGTATCTATCCATCTATCTCTCCACAGGCGAAGCTGATGAAGCTTCTGCGCCAGGGCGTGTCAGTTGAGGACCGCCGGCGAGATCATGTCTATCTTTCATGATCATATGAATGACCTAAAACAGTGGCCATGATTTCCATCCCCGTCATTACATCGTTGAAGAAACTTTTTTCGTAATCCTTTTTCCCAATCTATGCGTTGAGCATAAGGGGTATCTTGACAAAACATGACCTCAAACTCCGTCAATGCCAAAATTGCAAATATTAGTAGCGGTAGATGTCGGACTTGTAAGGACCCTTGACATCCAAGCCGAGATACTCGGCTTGAACTTCGGTGAGCTTGGTAAGCTTCACGTTGACGTGCTCGAGGTGAAGAAGGGCAACCTGCTCGTCGAGGATCTTGGGCAGGACGTAGACGCCAATGTCCTTCTTGCCAACCTTGCCGAACTCGGGGTACTTCTTGCCGAAGGCCTCATCCTCGGCCTTGTACAACATGATCTGAGCCAGGACCTGGTTGGAGAAAGAGCAGGACATGACGAATGAAGAGTGACCGGTGGCACAGCCAAGGTTGACCAGACGGCCCTCAGCCAGGAGGATAATGTTACGGCCGTTTGGCATGAGATAGCGGTCGACCTGGGGCTTGATGTTCTGGACGCTCTTGGCGTTCTTCTTGAGCCAAGCAACGTCAATTTCGATGTCGAAATGGCCGATGTTGCAGACGATGGCATCGTTGCGCATAGCCTCAAAGTGCTTGCCCACGAGAATATCGCGGCATCCAGTGGTGGTGACAAAGATCTGACCAAGGGAGGCAGCCTCGTCCATAGTAGTGACCTCAAAGCCGGTCATAGCAGCCTGTAGGGCGTTGATGGGGTCCACCTCAGTGACAAGGACACGGGCACCCATCGCATGAAGAGAAGCAGCACAGCCCTTGCCGACATCACCAAAGCCAGCAACAACGGCAATCTTGCCAGCAATCATGACATCAGTTGCACGCTTGATACCATCGATGAGAGACTCCTTGCAGCCGTAGTGATTATCGAACTTTGACTTGGTGACGGAGTCGTTAACATTGATGGCGGGCACGAGCAGGCCCTTGCTCTTGAGCATGCGGTACAGGTGGTGGACGCCAGTAGTGGTCTCTTCTGAGACACCATAGCAGTCTTTGAGCATCTCAGGGTACTTGTTGTGGACAAGAGCGGTCAGATCACCACCGTCGTCAAGGATGAGATTCAGGTTCTTGCCTGAGGGGAATGCCTTGAGCTGCTGTTCCAAGCACCAGTTGTACTCTTCTTCGGTCTCACCCTTCCAAGCGAAAACGGGAACACCGCTAGCGGCAATGGCAGCGGCAGCGTGATCCTGAGTAGAGAAGATGTTGCAGCTGGACCAGGTGACTTCGGCGCCGAGGGCTGTGAGGGTCTCAATCAAGACAGCGGTCTGAATGGTCATATGAAGGCAGCCAGCGATGCGGGCGCCGGCGAGAGGCTGATCCTCAGCATAACGCTTGCGGATAGCCATCAAGCCCGGCATCTCAAGCTCTGAAAGGGTTATTTCCCTGCGCCCGAAGGCGGCGAGAGACAGGTCAGCGACCTTGGACTTCTATTGACTGCGTTAGTGGGGCGAATCGTTGAGGTGGAGGAGCCATACCTGAGCGGGTGCGGCCATGATTATGAATTCGAGATGATGAGCGTCGAACGATGATCTGGAGTACTATGATGAAGCAGCAAGAGAAGGATAAAGAAAAGAAGAGGGTTGTCTGGAGCGAAGTTCAAGTTGTCAACGTAGCGGAGAAAAGTCTGGCGGCACAGAGGGGCTCACTCCAACTGCCTCCACACCGGCCGGCATGCTCCCACCCGGAGAAACTGCCGGTCCGGCGATAAAATTGACCTAGCAGCCACTGTACTAGATGGAAGCACAGTCTTCCACGATTGAAGATAGAGCCAGCACATCAATTCTTCCAAGTACGGTGCCCCAGTATGTAGACTATCATATGTGTATCTACGATCGGAGCCCGTCCATCAACTGTGTCGACCCACGGTGACCGCTATGCTATCGTCACTCTGGACACCCAAGTTGGACGGACTGTTGCTCTCCAGAGATGAGCCAGCCCCAGACCTTCGCAGGTCCAGCAATCGAAGACTCTTTTACGATTCATGTAGAGCCGCTGATATTATATTGACGGTTAGACAGTCCCAGTGCCTCCCAGGCCACCCCGAGCCCCACGCCTTGGCGCTTTGAGGCGCGGAATAACCAAGAACCGAGCGAGCTGGTACCTGCATGACGGTAGCACCATATTACTTAACGAGGTTTGAGAATCCGCTGAGCGCTTCTTTATCTTCAATCTCCTGCTTTGTGCAGGTGCCCAATGGCGGAGCCTATCTGCAGCACCGACCTTGGTCCACGTTGCAGCGCTAGACTTGGCCTATCTTGGGCTCAGGCGATGACTGTACAATGGAAGTTTAGGACCAGTCAGTGTGAGCGCTCCAGCGTCCATTGGGAGAGGCCATGTATCAAATTCAATTCGAGGGAGTCATTTTGCGCGAGAAGGGAGTCTGCAAAAAGGCCGTTCGCGCCTGCTTCAAGTGACAAACCGCCTCGATGGTGCAATCAGCACGCAATTTGGCGAATGCTCCGAATTGCATCTTCCAGGCGGTCAACGTTTTCCCCAGATTCTATATTTGTATGACTTCGCACACATCAACATCCATATCTGTATCTCTTACTTCTGACGTGTTCACCAACACAGCGCATCCACTAATCCAGTACGCAATATTGAGCAACCATGGCAGCCGCGGCAGCCGTCTTTCAGCCCGTCCAACTCCCCATCCCTGAAGACGTTACTTCTGCCCCCAAGCCAGCCCTTCTTGCATCTTCGCCATATCTCGATCAAGGTCACCTCCTCAATCTCGACACTCTTGACCCTCAAAGTCGTCTACTTGCCCATGCTCTTACCAAGCTCCACAGCCAGGGAACCGACTATGCGACAGTCAAGTACGAAGACAGCTTGAACCTGGATAACGTCTTGACCGAGCTGGAAAAGCTGGCTCATACCGCGAACCTCCAATGGGAAGAACAGGATTTCTATGTCGTCGAGTTTCGTTCCAAGCTCAAGCCTCAGATCGACAATCTCCTGCTTTTTGAGCTCGATAAGGAGTCTCATAGAGAGGCCAACATCAGCGGTGGGCTGCTGAAGTACTGGTACGGTGAGCCTGATGCTGAGCGTCGAAACCTCGCAACCTGTAAGTAGCTCAAGCCTCGATCATTCACAGTACTGACCGTCCAGGCTTCTGGACCCACAAGGAGGCTGCCATCGCGGGTGGAAGAGGTCCTCTGCATAAGCAGGCTCGCGCCATCATACCACAGATGTATGAGTCAATCAACATCAAGGGCCTAAGGTTCACCGTCAAGGACAACGTTGCGGGCTGGACTCTCGAACCCTATGCATGATCAGCGACGAATGCGTTCATTTGCGCTGTATTATTGCACGCGCAAACAGTCCATCACGCTCAGAATCCACCATGAAGATTCATCATGCAGCGTGTTCACAGCGAGGCGTCGGGAGTCAGGTTTAGATATCATCGACATCGCTCGAAAAAGGTCATAGAGGACAAATTCATAGACTGAAATCATGTCAGCAGAGTCTTGACACCAATCATGATGACCTGTACTCGATTTCCTCATTCAAGCTGTGCCCAGATCAATCGACCTTGTTCATCAACTCTCCTGACTCAACAGCATCCTTGGTCTTGGCATTAGTCCGAAACCGGTATAGCTCGCAATCCGCTTTCGCAGCCAGAAACCTCACAGCTCAAGCTACCTAGAACGATACAGCTTCGAGATCCCGATCCCACCAACTCTCCTCTCTCTCACGACTCGAGCTCCGTCGACTCCCTATCAGACGGATCTTCCTCGCCACCATGTCTGCCGCACGATCAATCCGGCCTGCGCTGGCCGCCGCCAAACGAACAGCTCCCCGAACTGCCTTCCGAGGATACGCTACCCCCGCTGCTCAGAACACCAAGCCTCCTGTTCAGCTATTCGGCGTTGATGGCACCTATGCCAGTGCTCTGGTATGATTTAGCCTTTGCCGTTGAGACAAATGGCGGATTGCGCCTCCCTGGCCGCAAAGTCGCTTTTTCCTCATGAAGTCCAATCTTGCACCATCATGCCTACTAACTCTCATCCTATAGTACACCGCCGCCGCAAAGCAGTCCGCCCTCGACAACACCTCCCGTGCCATCTCTGCGCTGTCGCAAGTTCTTCAGCAGGAGCCCCGCCTGCAGGCACTGATCGGATCGCCCACGCTTAAGGCCGACGACAAATCCCAGATTATCGCCGAGCTCGAGAAGCACACCGGCGGCGCTGACAAGAGCGGTACTGTCAAGAACTTCCTGCAAACTTTGGCCGAGAACAACCGCTTGGGTGTCTTGGCCGGTGTGTGCGATAAGTTTACTCAGTTGATGAGCGCGAGTAAGGGTGAGATTGAGCTACGGATTACAAGTGCACAGGTACGATAGCCCATACTGCACCCGGACCAGTCTCGATCTGTTCGATCGTCAATATACGTAACATGTGCCCCGCTGACAGCATCACAGGAGCTCGACAACAAGACCATCAAGCGCATCGAGGCCGCCATCGCCAAGTCCGAGTACAGCCAGGGCAAGAAGCTCAAGGTTACACCACATATCGACCCCAGCATCTTGGGCGGCCTCGTCGTCGAGGTTGGCGAGCGTACCATTGACTCGTCCGTTGCTGCGAAGGTCAGCCGGCTTAACAAGCTGCTGCAGGAGAGCGTGTAGGCGGTTCGAAGGCGAGTTGAGGTGGTGGAAGCGTACTCTAGAGTACTCCAAAGCGGATAGATGTTTGTGACTGGCCTGACTGCTGGCCCCAACCCTGCGAGCATCGTTTTGCTATGTATATAACCGTGGCAAAGTTGCAGGCGGACCCGAAATTCCATTGAGCTTTGTGCAACACCTACAGCCTTGATACGGTATTTCCCCCCCTTTATGCACCAGGAACTCCGGCAGAAGTCTACTCATGATACTACTCACTCCCTCCGCCGAAATTCTCGCACGTAGTTTCTTGAGGTGCTGACTTGGAATTGACGAAAGTTGGTGGGACCAAGGAACGCTGCTCGCAGGAGCGCCACGTCGAATATATTTGCTCTCCGCAGAGACCCTTGGCTTTCCGTCTCTCTTCCATCCAGCAGCGCAAGCATATTTATCTTATCAACACATACACGCGCAAGAACTTTCGAGATGAGGAAGAACGATATGGAAATGAACCGCTATGCTATTGGGTATCTACCTTATGATCCTCAACAGACCTTCGCCTACGCCTGCGCCTGCGCTTGCTACATAGACCTATACAGAATTTCGCTGCTAAAGAAACACCATACCATGCTCGCGAGTCTCATCTCTGCAGTTCAATTAGCGTGCCCGTCTGCGTGCCTGCCTACCTGCCCAGGAACCAAGATAGCCACGCCATCGTCGCACCGGAAAGTCTTCAAGCCCCCTTCCCTTCCAGCCTCGAGACCAGCCGGCGCATATTGACCCACTCCTCCTGCCCACTCTCGCCCGCGCCGCCCTGCAGCCCTTTACCCGCCTCGAATACGGTGACGACGCCATCTAAGCCGCCGACGGCGACCTGCGCACCACGCCTCTCGTCCCAACTTACCTTGTTGAGACCACGGAACGGCATGACTCCGTTCTTGCCCCGCGTCGGCGTCGCCTTGGTTATGGGCACTTCGGTGTCGTAAAGGAGATCAAACACTTCCAGATCGCCTGCGCCGGTGACGGTCGCGAAAATGCTCGAGCGGTGGGGATGCCAGCGTGCATCGTAGACGAGGTCTTCGCGGCCAATGTCTAGTAACGGGGGAAGGGCGGCAGGCTGGTTGGCGGGCGCTCCGGTTAATGAGGAGAGTGAAGAGGTATTTGCTGCGGCGGCTGCGGAGGAGGATGCTGCGGGTTTGACACGCCACAGTTTCAGGCTCCAGTCTGAGGAGGAGCTGAGAAGAAGGTCGCCTAGGTCAATTGGACCGCGGGAGGGATGGAAGTGAGTGGACATGACAGGTGCGGTATGGCCTCGATAGGCGAGGCGAGTGTCAACGCCTGCTTTCGCACCTGCGCGGTCGTAGCGGTGGCAGGGGTATATGCTACCCTCTTCAGTGCCAACGAGAAAGAAGGTCGGATCTGCGGCGGGGAAGGAAAGGGCGGTAGGTGCCAGATCCTCGGTTTTAGCTGGGGGTGGCGTGTGCAGGACGAGGTACTCTTGTGCTGAGGTCAGCATGTCGAAGGACCAGGAGCAAACGACGCCGTCCATGGATGCAGTGAGAATATTGTGAGCATTGGGGGTGCCAATGATGGAGATGTTGTAGACAGGATGGGTATGGCCGAGGTGTGAGCCGGACTGTGGCGTACGTTGGACAGGCTGTGGGTTATTGGAGCGGGTATCCCATAGACAAATTTGACCTGAGTAACAGCCACCGATTACGTAGTTGGGATGGAAGGGCGAGAACCGCGCGGAGAGGACATCGCTACCGCTCGCAAACACATACTCGGGTCGAGAAGGTGCGTGTACATTCCAGAGTAGTACTTGCCCGGGAGATTCGTTAGGAGCTGAAGGGTTCTTGGTGTATGAGGTAAGGAGCAGCTCGTTGAAATGAGGTGAGAACTGAATATCTGAGATCATGCGTCGCCGGCTGTGCCGATCGGAGAAGAGTTGCAGTGTCTCGCGTAACGAGTGTGCTTTCCTGCTGGTACGAGCATATGGCGCTTCGTCGTCGTCCTCGTTGAGAGTGGCAGCTCGGGTATAGTCAGCCAGCAGATCATATTCTTCGTCGAGAGCACGCTCAATGACTTTCGAGGAACGCTCCACGAAAGAGGCGAACTCGGTCGACGCTGTTACCGCGTTCAATTCGTTGTCTGTAAGTGTTCGTAGAGGAAAACGTTGCTTCTGGCCGTTGACTTCTGCTCCATGCTCATTGTGCTCCGCCGCGCGTAGTTCCTCTTCAATCTCCTTCCGCAGGTTTGCTCGGATTTCCTCCTCTTGATCAGGGTCCCTTCTACTTGATCTCCTCCTTGACCGGCGTCGCACATCGTCTTCATCGCTGCCTTCAGGAGCAGCAGAGTCGTCTAGATAAGAGTCTGTCTGGACGCCTTTCGTGTATGTGATGTATTCGCTCTTCGCGGGAGTGGTTGGGGGAGGGGGTGCTGTGTCGCCATCCTCGATCATGGCGTTGGCCGGTAAAGTCTGCGTGCCCATCGACTGCATCTGTGGTCGAGGCGACGACTCTCCAGCCTCCAGCGAGGCCGTGCCAGCCCCAGCACCATACAGGGAACTGGGTCTGCTGCCATCTCTTCGGCTTGGGGATGCAGTGAGACTGTCCCGCTTGCGATCGATCAGACTGGACACCAAATTGTCGATCTCGCTTCGACGCTCTTCTGCAGTGCGACCTGGTGATGGTGCCTTTCGAGAATCAGCCGCGATACTCTAAACGCCGACAACTACATACCTCTGCACCAATACTCTGTCGCTTGGAAGACAGTTGCTCCTGTCGTAGTTCTCTCTGTCGTTTCAGCTCCGCCAAGCGAGCCTTTTTGGCCAGGAGCTCTTCCTGACGGGATGCCATGGTCAAAAATTTAGGGATTGACCAATTTGACGCGAGCGTCGCGCAGTTGTCGCGTTGCTGCATTCGTCCATCACTGGGGGAGAAGTTCAAGTGGAGTGCCAGAGTGGGGAGTACCAGCCAATAGGAGCTGGAAGCTGAGCCTGAGCTTGTTCCGGAGCGAAAAACGCAGCTTCGCATCTCAGTATCGACTTCGACACAGCAACTCTGGGCAACTCACCGGTCGTGCTCGTTCATTCAATTACCTCTTCCGACCTTCGAAATCGCGCTCTCAAGCTTCGCGCCTGTTATCGTCGGTCCAAACAACAGTGCTGTCGAAGCTTGAGCCATGTCTACCAGCCAAGGAGTAAATGTGAGCTGACCTCCCAACAACCGTGGAAAACGGCAACACGCGACAGCACATGCTTGCAAGCAGCTTACTGACGAAGTGCAGGTGCTGCGGTACTCCGCGCTGTTGGTTGGCATATTCTACGGGTTCTCTCATCAAAGGACGTTGAATGCCAATACCCGAGCAGCTCACGCCCAGCAAGAATACCATCATAAGGAAGACCTAATAAAACAAGCCAAGAAGGCATGGGCCGAGAAGCAACTACCTCCGGACCAGCGAGCAAAGGGTGATGGTGGTGCGTATCAGTCCCCGACGTCCCTCGGACAGCAAGCTGAAGTGTTACTAGTGATTACGGACCCCGATGATAAGAATTTCGACTTGGAAGCATATTTGAAGAAGGTGGAGGCTGAGAGCTGAAGCATCAGCAAGTGAGACTAGGAATAAGACCTCAAAAGCGACAGAAGCGAAGCTACGAAACTCGGGCGCAAGATAGACGCGGCGTCTTATCAACCTGATATCCCTGTCAGATGCGCGAACAGGTTTGATGATGGAAGCCGCCATCGCGCGATATAACATAAGAGCCACGCTTCGGACCTGTACATACATGCATTCGGGGCGCTCAGCTGTACCACAACACTTGATCCAACTTGGCGGGAGTCGGGTCTACAACTTCCGTCGGCTCCTCTCTCACTAGGTGATCTGGTTTATTTATTCTAACCTACCTGACAGTCTCTTTTCTGTATCGGCCGGTTCTGGGGCTTGTCGTGAAGTAACAATGTTCATCCAAGATCAAACAGCATCCAGGTCGGCTTCCATATAACGAAGCACGCCTTGGGGATTGCCGCATTCACGGACATGCAGTTCAGAGCGAGGCTCACCCGACTCGACCACGGGTTTTTCAGTGGTCTCACGATTGTGGTTATGACCATCTTCCGCAGTGTCGCCGTGCCACACCGATCTCCAACAGTGCTTTTCCCAGGCCCAGGGTTGTCATTGTCAGAAATTTGCCATGGCCTCCCGTGTCTAAATGACAAGTTGGTTCAGAGGGGTTCGTGCGGCCACCATCAAATGCAGCCACTACTGTGGCCAGACACACTTGGTACTAGCGAACCAACAGATTCGCAAGTGTGCGACTAGACTCCCACCGCAATGCAAGTGTTGAGCAGTCAATGGATGCTGACTTCCCTTAACACAGCGAGCACCGCTACGAACCTCGTATGTAACGGAACCATTGTCGTGGAGGTACTGCAAGGTTCTGCATCAGGCTTTCTTCGGGTTCATGCAGGGTCCGGCCACCGCAGGAAACGGTCGACCACTTGTTTTCCCGGAGTGGTATAGAATACTGTACATCAAGGCCACACTGCCGCTGTCAAGCCCTCAGGATCAAAGGACTTGCGGGAGCCATACAGTCACGTGACCATACAAACCACGCCGGGCGGGAGGAAACGGGCCAAAACTCGGCGGTGCTAGAGTGATTTACAGTATCAAACCACCTCAACATGGCGTCGGACTCGTGGAAGTAGAAGGGTCGCCCATCGAGGATGCACGCATGGGTACGAAGGGGTGATGGCGTGCGATCCGAAGTGCATCGACTCGCTAAGAGGTCCAAGAGATCAAATATCGTGGACAGGCAGGAGATCAGCAGGTACAGCAACACGACTTTGCACAATGCAAAACTCCAGCCTCAATTGTCGATAATGCTGCTACTCCGTACTCACCGCATTGATCAGGGCTATAGGTCTGACTGCATAAACAGAGACCAAATGGACTGTGATCTCCTTTTGTCCCTGGTCTGATGGTCAGGCGGTGGTCGCATGCGCTTCTGGACACTTCCGCATTTCCGCCTGAGCCCGGAGCCCCAGAAAATTGGCCTACCCCATCCACTTTGGGCGCTATGCAAGCCCTGACAGCACACCCACGACTCGATCCGAAGCCACGCCTTTTTTTCATTGGAATGAGTCCAGCACTTTGCTTCGCTGACACTGACGGCACGGCTCAAATATAAGCTCCAAAACAGGAGTCGCAGCACAGCGTGGCTGCACTGAACAGAAGCTCTAGCCTCCAGCGTGGCATTTATCTCATTTTGGCAACGATGCATCACCTCCATCGGTCGTGTATGTTCCGAGTCAGGAACTAGGAAGCGTCGGATGTCCGACAGTCGAAATTTCTGCCACTGCCACGCCCTAAGAAATCAAAGAATGATCCCCCCTTCGGCTAGCACTGATGCCGCGCCACTCATGTCTCAGCATCCACGACTAAGCAATCACCATTGCAGCACCTCGGTTCCAACCCCGCAAAACAATTCCTTCCGAGAATCGCGCCGTCTCTTACTAACCGCAGCCAGTCAGTGCTTCTCTCGACCTTTGCTCTGTTGTCTTTTCGCCCGCTTGTCCAGAAACCGAGCCATGATCGCGTCAGACCGGTTTTTCGGTCACTGCTGGGGAAGTTTCACCTCCCGACTCATGGATGGTCCTTCAATGGACCCAAAGTGCTTGTCTGCCACCCCACCACTATATTGTAGGTCTTTACCTCGGTGTTGCAAGGTAGCGCTCTCTCGAATTGGATGAGATCGTCATTCCCAATCACTTCGATTGACTCTGCCGGGGCTTAAACGCACCGCTCGATCGAAGAAGCTCACGTCGACCCCAGGCATTCCCCCGCAAGTACTAGATGCTTTGGGTACTAGCCCAAGTCTAACTGTCCATGACTCGTCTTGATTCGCAAACTCTCCCCAAGCACGTCCCCGGCATATTCACCTTCATAGCTTTCGAGCTCGCAGCCGATTCATGGGAGCTTTGCGCGAGCCTGGGACTGGATTGATGCAATCTCAGCTAGGCCAAAACAAACCCCAGTCCCATCACGTCCTCCCGCGCCTGTCAATTTGGTGGCTAGTCACTTGAGCTGCTCGGAATAGCCTTTGGCGTCTGAGATCCACATGAGCTTGAGACGCTGGCGCTGGCCTTCCTCTTTCATCTTCCAGCTGCCCGGATGAGCGGCGTTAGGGGGTGCTCCCCCCTCCCACCGAGATGAGTCTATTTGTCGATCGTAGTGATCGGTGACGCCAGTACAGAAACACGGTCCTTACTTATACTATTCCCTCGCTTCCTCCTCCCACACGCGTCCTATTCCCTAGCTCCTGATCCCCGGATTTCCTTGAGATCTAATAAGACCTCACCGCAGCCCCCTGCCCGTCGATTCTCGCTTTCAGCCGCATCCCTTCACTTCAAAGTCTACGCCTAGCAACCATGACCACCAACGCTCAGAACTACGCCGACGTCGAGAAGGACCATGCTGGCCATGACTCGGTCAACGGCAACCGGGGGTACGACCTGCACCACGATCATCACGATGCCGACACTGCTCTCAAGCGGATGAGAACCGCAGGCTCCCTGACCATCACTCCTGAACTCTTCGAGAAGATCTACCTGTCTCCCAAGAACCAGGTGTCTAACAACATCCGGTCGACCTTTGGCAACCCTACTCCTCTGTAAGCAACCCCCCAGTCCATACTGCCAACCCAAGGCTAACATGTCTTCAGCGCCCTTGTTGGTTTCTTGCTTTCGCTTACGCCACTCTCTAACATCTTGATGGGATGGCGCGGCTCTGGTGGTCTTGGTGCTGCTGAGGTGTAAGTACCTTGTCTCGCATATCTGTGGTGAGACTGTCTCTGACTGGCCCAACAGCGGTGTCTACTACTTCTTCGGTGGTCTTCTGATGGTTCTCGGTGGCTTCCTCGAGTTCATCCTGGGCAACACCTTCCCCTTTGTGGTTTTTGGCTCTTTCGGCGCCTTCTGGCTCACATTCGGAGCAACCCTGACCCCTTTCTACAATGCGGCCATTGCCTACCAACCTTTGGAGCCCGAGACTGCCACCTCCGCCCCGCAGTTCAATGCCACCTTCGCCTTCTTCCAGGTCTACATGGGAGTCTTGTGCTTCGTCTACATGATTGTGGCGCTCCGCACCAATCTTATCTTCGTCATGATCTTCGCTCTCCTTGTCCCTGCATTCGGCTGTCTCGCAGCGGTCTTCTTCCAGGCGTCTAAGGGTATTGTGGCCACCAACATCCAGACTACCGCCGGTGCATTGACATTCGTTGTTTGTCTTCTGGGCTGGTATTTGTTCTTCGTGCAGCTCCTCGCTGCTGTTGACTTTCCCCTCAACCTTCCTGTCGGTGATCTCAGCGGCTACATCAAGGGTGCCAGCGAGCGTCGCAAGGAAGCCTAAGCGACATATACGCTTGCACCATAATGACACGGTCGATGAATAATACCCCTGGGGCGGCAACTGGTTAATGGTGATTTAAACCTGGTCGGCCAGATGACGGAACATTGAGCGAGATCAAAACCTGCTGTTGACAGCGGCTGGGCCATGGCTGTTGTGCGGGTAAAACCAGGCGTTGCATTGGCAGAGTCGCAATAGGTGCTTGTACAGAACTAGTGGGCGGCAGATGCGGTGCGCAGGCACCAAAAGTATCCAGAGACAAATTACTACCTTATAATAAAGCAAAGTTACTATTCTTTCCTCTACAACCTACTTTGTGCTTGTGTTCCTATGCACCGTTGGAGCTCTTATTGCCAATAGTTTCGGTTCAATTAAAGAGTTGTGTAGCCCAACTCACTTATTGGTGAGCGTTTTGGGTATCACAAAGTAACACAGAAAGTGTTTGTACCTTCCTGGAAGGTACTTTGAGATGGCTTGGAGGGAGATGCTAGCAATGACCAAGTACTGTAGATCGGGAGCAGCGGTGACACGAACATCACATCACGAAGACAGCCAAGCAATTCGGAAGAGACCCAGGAAGTAGGGTTAGGGCTGAGTCCCTAGGGCCAAGCACGCAGACCAGTTGCGAGGCCAAGATTTCATGCCAAGAATCCACAAATTCGCAGTAGTTTCAATCTTCGAAGTCCGCAGTCCTTGGTCACAAGAATTTCGCCCATCTCTCTACTAACCACAGGTCTTGTCATAAACCGTCAAGGTACGTCCGAGCGATACTGAAGAGACTGTTATAGCTGACGTCTTACAGATGGGTGCCCTCAAGTATGTCGAGGAACTTCACAAGAAGAAGCAGTCCGATGTGATGCGATTCCTCCTCCGAGTGCGCTGCTGGGAGGTAAGAACCTTCCCTTGAACCCCGTATGGCAGCAGACATGAAAGAAACAATACAATTTCTGCCATCGTCTCTGTGGCGCCGTTTCGGTGTCTTGCTATACACTCGTTGAACATTTGCTGAGAGTGCATCAATATAGCTCCGACAACTCAATGTCATCCACCGCGCAACTCGTCCCTCGCGCCCCGACAAGGCTCGCCGTCTCGGGTACAAAGCCAAGCAGGGCTATGTCATCTACCGCGTTCGTGTTCGTCGTGGTGGCCGCAAGCGACCTGCTCCCAAGGGTGCTACCTATGGTACGAAAATTCATACCCGAGAAGAGATGGGTAGCGAGAGACTGACCAAGATCCAACAGGCAAGCCTACCAATCAAGGTATCAACCAGCTGAAGTACCAGCGATCCCTCAAGTCCACCGCCGAGGAGCGTGTCGGCCGCCGCTGCGCCAACCTCCGCGTCCTCAACTCGTACTGGATCAACCAGGACTCCACCTACAAGTACTTCGAGGTCATCCTCGTTGACCCCCAGCACAAGGCTATCCGCAAGGATCCCCGCATCAACTGGATCGTCAACCCAGTTCACAAGGTACATACTCTCCACTTGCTGGCTTGGAAGACAACTAATAAAGTTTTCAGCACCGCGAGTCCCGTGGTCTTACCGCCACTGGCAAGAAGTCGAGAGGTCTCAACAAGGGACACGGCTACAACAAGACCTCTGCCGGTCGCAGGAAGACCTGGAAGAGACACAACACCCTGTCCCTCTGGCGTTACCGCTAGTGCGGATGATGTTGATGTTGATCCCTATTTCCTGGCTGGGCCTGCTGAGACGAGGCTGCAGCAAAGACACAACAGCGAGTCCTTTATGTCTGCCATGGTGAAGAAGTTGGGCGTAGTGATCACAATGCTCACATGGCATTTTGCAGGCCTGGGTCACGGATCGAGGCCTCCTCAGCGTGGCGCCTGCACTCGAGATACCAAAATGAGAAAAATCAATTTCACGACGAAGCCTGGTTCTATGATTCGTGACCCGCACAATATCCTTTCCTTTGCTCGTCCTCCATGTCGACCGGATTTCGTGAGCCTGGATTCTTGAATACAACTGCCCCACTTTAATTTTCCCGCATCGACTTCGAGGTGTGACTCGCAACCTTGCCTACCGATGCAAACTCGACAACGACAAACTCTTAATCATAATCCGTACACAGCATTGCAGATAGGGAAAAAGTGACAGCTCTAATACGTTATACAAGAATACCCTGCTCACTCGCGCCCACCCTGCGCGACTGCGCAAAACCATCTTTGCCAGTTGTCCGCCACTCATGGCCAGCACCACGACGCAGACACAGACCCAAACCTCCACCTCCACAACAACTCTGACCGCCACCTCCCCTTCTCCCGAGGCCTCGGACTCGAAAGCGGCGCCGCCCACCCAGCAAGATGAGGAACTCGACATCTACGACGAGATCGAGATCGAAGACATGACCTTCGACAAGACGCTGCAGCTCTACCACTACCCGTGTCCGTGCGGCGATCGCTTCGAGATCCACATCGACTCGCTGAGAGACGGCGAGGATATTGCGGTGTGTCCCGGCTGCAGTCTTATGATCAGGGTCATCTTTGATCAGGAGGATCTGCGTGAGAAAGAGGATGGCTGAGCTGGTGCAATTTGTGTGTGTGTATGTGCGCCATGAGATTTGCCCGCTACTGTTCAAGTACGATCTATCGAATGATTGAAGAAGGAGGGAAGTTGACAGGTTGACGAGACCGGAGCAAAAATACACTGCTGATGTGTGCTTGATCTTCGACGCCAGTCTCTCTACACCCTCAGTCAATATTGGCAGCGGCTGCGATGTGGCCTTACCATCGTGCCCATGATGCTGGGCTCAGTTCCTTCTGGTCCTGGTGCCTTCTAGCCTCAGTGCCGTCAAGCTGTCTCTAGTGCTTACTACGCTGCGACCTCACGGCATTCCAGATAACCCTAGGGCTAGTCTGTTAATGGTCTTGACCGTGGTCAGGCTTGCCCCTAAGCTGACGACGTTGTGTTCTGCGGGTCAATTCAGCGGGCCAGCTGACTCCAAGCTCTTTGATGATGGGCTTGGAACGCGAGCATATTTCCATCTGCGACGGCGTCTCAAGTGCCCATTGACTTGTGTCTTGAGCACGTTGTCGCGCAAGTCTATTATTACGGAATGGACCTGGTCCAACATTGAGGTATTGCTGCAGCAATAGTGACCGGCTTCCTGGGTTAATACCGTGCCACTGAACCCGCTGGTTTGGCGGACATGGTGATCGGGCTTCATGGCGCCAATGGCACTGAGACGACCTACAGCAACCTCAAAGACACCAGACGTTGTCCCTGGCTATCGATCAATTCCCTCTCTATCTATAGACTCGAAGCGCGTAGCCATGAGCTGAACTTCTGCGGCAGCCGGGCCTTCGTTATGCCACAGGCTTGGGGTCGAGGCCCAGAGTGTACCGGTGACACTGCATTCATCTGCGGCAAGCGCTTTGCTGACGACGAGAGTGTTCTGAGGAGGGCACACTCTCGCCGAATAGCAGATGGCGAGGAGGACTATCTGGCGGTGGGAACAGGGAGCAACGACGATTCGGGATTTGGCGAAGAGGATGGTCTACGCACAGGTGACGACCTGACATCATAGTCTATAGATGTGCCGTATTCTCGGAAGACGGTCTCCGTGGCTACTCCCCGAGGTGGTTGAGTGAGCAGAGTCCAGGGAGGATTCCCGAGGTATCGCAGAGTATGGGTATACTGGCGATAGTAGCCTGACGCTGCTGCTGTCGTCGTCATGACTAAGCTCCCTCGGTGGAAATTGTGCTGCGAGACTTAGTCATTCACGGGGAAAGGTGATCGGCGCTCAGTCGCATGAGGCAGTGAATTGGGGCTAGCAGCGATCCATAGGCCCATTCTGGGTTTAGTGTTGCTCAGCACTCAGCCACCTGCTCTAGCATTGCTGCTTCGGCCATAGTCTATAGACACCACGAGTATAATAGGAAGCTAGAGCCAGTTCGAAAAGTTGTTGTCAAAATCCTGTACTATCATACTCAAAACTTTGTGACATAATTCTTTAAGCGCTGCCAGTATCAAGCGTTGCAAGAGATGTCCACCTTCAACGACGCACCTCCACCTTACGGAGCACAGCATAACAACTACCCACCACCACGACCTCCCATGGGGTTTCAACCACAACCTCAATGGGCACCACCACCGACACAACCATACTTTCAAGGGACCTACGCACCACCTCCGCAACAACAACAACACTCCCCGTATCCACCACCACCAGGTCCTCCGCCGCAACAACAGCACTCCCCATATCCACCACCACCAGGTCCTCCTCCGGGACAGCACTTCCAACGTCCACCTCCACCACAGCAGCACGCCCCGCCGCCCTCCCAAGCAATGGCAATGTCACCACACCTCACACTCTCTCCCACCCCAACCCTAACCTTCCACGGCCCCCAGTCCACCTCCCTCCTCTCCACCTCCTCGGCCACCATCTCCCTCGTGTCCCCAAATCCCAACCAACCAGCAACCCCGCTCTTCCACGTCAAAACCTCCAAACACTCCAAACCCAACGTCACCATAACCCGCCTCTCCGGCCCACCCAACGCCCCACCCCTCGCAACCGCCACCTTTCACACCCTCACCTCCTCCATCGACATCTCCTTCGGCGGCAGCAGCAACAACCCCGGCCAGGCCCTACCCCCACTGAAGCTCTCCCAAGACTGGACCTCCGTCTCCCTCGGCGCCAGGACGTTCCACTACGCGCCCCGCGGGCTCGATCTGAAATGGCGCGCCCGCGACGCCCTCGACGGGCATGAACTGCGCGATTCCCAAAAGAGGGTGTTGGCGCGCTACAAGTCCTGCAGTGGTGGGGATTTGTTGGGGACGGGGCCGCCGGTGCTGGAGGTGTTTGTGGTGGGGGCGGATGAGGCGTTGGTGGACATGGTGGTGGTTACGGCGGTGAGCGTCGTGAGGGCGGAGGAGAGGGAGGTCAAGAAGGTGATGAAGATTTTGGGGGATTTGGGCTAGAGCTGATGTTGAGATGGTGGTGGTGATGGTGATGAAGAGGGAACAGTGGGGATATATGGGGGTGGAAGGGATGGACCGGCTGCCGCGCGAGGAGGGGGATTTGTGTGTGGAATTAGATCCAGGCAGTCGAGGCTTAGGGCTCGGGTTCGTGCTGGTGGGTGTGCTGGTGCTGGTGGTGCTGCTGAGGTTGATGATCGCCTGTGTGCGCGCTGGCGTCTGTAGGAGCGGCTGTGTCATCCGAAATATGTTGCACCCCACTGATTCCGGGTCCATGCTGCGCTTGAGCTTTGGGATCTGGTTTCACGCCTCCATCGTGGCTCGCTCCCCTAGTCTCACCACCTTCTCGAGAGGCGTCAAGGCCATCCACACTAGGCGCCGCCTGGTCAGCTGCGTGCATCTGTGGCACCTCAGCTGCATGTCTCTGGGCCTCCTCGACAGCATGCCTCTCCGCCTCTTTCGCCTCGAGCTCCTGCTTCTCTACCGCCAACTTAGCCGCCTCCGCTTCCAGTTTACTGGTCTGCTCCTCCAATTTGGCGGCCTGTTCCTGCAGCTGCGCCGCTTTCTTACGCTCTTCGGCCGCCACCTTTTCGGCGGTGAAGTTCTGCCATTGCGCCGTGCTGAATTCATATCCGTAACCATCAGGAAGCTGGAGGTCCGCGATGTCCCTGTCAGGAGAGTGGTCCGGGAAAGCACTCTTCATTGTCGTGTTCCCCGTCAGCAGATTGTGCAAGTTCATGCGTGTGCTGAACATCAACCTTTCGCTGTGTGCCTCGGAAGCCACAGATGCTTCTTCAGGCTCGTGGCCCGCATCGCTACCGCGGTCGCTGCTGCCCGCCGGCTTGGAGATTCCAACTACCGTAGGGTGTGAAGCCACGCAATTGAAATTCTTGGTTGGGTCTGAGCAGAGTAAGCCCATGCCGATGTCGATGGGCGCGTTGTTGGCCGTCATGCTGAGGTAGTAAATGGCTTTCTCGGCGCCTTTCAGGCTGATGGCGTACGCAGCAGTGCAGGCGCCGAACCTGGCCCGGAAGATGACACGGGTCTTGTCCCCGGCGTCTGCTGCGTCCCAGAAGCCACCCTCGGGTGCGTCCCAAAAGGTACGCTGGTGTGGCGGAAGCACTGTTGGGTCGTATGGAATGACCCACCGCTTCTTGTCGTCATGTAACGGTGCGGCGCTACATTGGCCCAGCCAGAGAAGGTCCCAGTCCTCACCGTAGGGACTATGAGGCACAAAGGTCTCGTCCGCTTCAGTACCGCTCACGTATCGGCTGCCACGCGCAAACTGCACCAACTGCTGCTTCAGTACGACATCCCAGTCCGCGTCGTCTTCAAAAACTATGGCCGTGGCGATCTTGCGGTCGAGAATCTCCTCGAAAATGTTCATGTGTGCCCTCCAACAACCGACCTCGGCTATTTTGATGTCCATGGTGTGCGGTAGGGCCTTCAGCGGCACCTGATCTCCCTCGACGCCGTCGATGGGAGTGTATGTAATGTTAGTAGCCAGTGCTTGAACAGCAAATGCATCATGCTTGTCTCGACGAGTGGGCATTGAAATCATGAAGACTTGCTGAGCGCCTAGAGTCTCGTTGTGGATATCGGACAAGTTGTCCGGCAGTGATGGAATTGGCTCTGCAACATCGAGGGCGAGGTTCGACGGCGGCCGTGTCGTATTGGAAATGAACACAGCCGCATCACCTTCGCTTTGATCGTCGTGGGTCTTGTATTGGGCGTAAGTCGCTAGCAGGGCGCTGCGATCATCTTCGCTCAGAAGCTGGAAGTACACCAGGGCAGTAATGAAAAGACCAGCGCTCGAAACCAGCAGAAATCTTAACCTCATACTGGGAGAGTATTGAGTGACCGAACATACTATGAATGCATGGAGAAATGCCAGAAGCATATGTGAATAGAGAAGAAGCGATGAAGGAAAATCTTAGTGAGAACGCCTCCATTATGGTGGAGGGCGACGCTTGGTCATGAGATAAGAGACAAGAGCCTACCATCATGTCCATCCGCGTGATCGAAAGACTGCTCACCAGGGTCGTAAGCATTGGGCAGTTGTCTTAGGGAATGGTCGTGGTAGAGACGAAATTGGACGTTGTAATCAGTCTTGTAGTCTAGCTTCATTAGTTCCACCGGCAGGCATTTGCTATTTTTGCGCTTCGGGGAATTATTTTGTCGTATCGGAAGAGCGAACCGAGATGTATTCGAGGTCTGCCCAGTTCTGCTCTGAAGTCAGCTCTCGACGTGATTTCCCGAGTTGATAAATGAGCGCCGTATGGTTGGCACCCGTGAACCGGTTTGGGGGCGCTGCACGGACTGCGTATCTCGCTGCAGAGACACTGGCCCGACCTCCGGAGGTACTGGCCATCTCATTTGTCGTAGAGGAGTAATGACACCAGCGCCGTCCAATGTGACATCCAGAGATGCGGTTTCGGGCCATTTCGCAATGGTAAGGGGTCAGCCAGCCAGAAATGCTTGGTGGTTCAGCCCTAGTCGATTGAAGGTTTTTGATGTTTAATAATACCAGCACCTGGGGTCCGCAAGGACTCGCCGAGAAGGCTTTCCCTGATGCTTAACCTCGTTGGGGACGGCGTCGTGTTTCATGTTGATGACAGGTCTCGCGAAGAGAGCCTCATTTGGGGGCCATTGTCCAAGCGAGGTCACAGCGCCGACGTGCAGCACGTTAGCTACCCGTTTTAGTGTTTTAGTGAGGGCCGGTGGATTTCGATTGGTGTATGAGCATGAATGTATCAGTGAGGGAAACCCTTGGTATGAGTCCGAGTGTGGTAGAACGTTGGTGTAATGAGCGTGTAACGCGTGCGCGGCAAACGTCTTTGTCGTCTGCCGTAGAAACAGCAATCAGCACATCGACACCTTGGACTATCAGCTGGATATACGACACATATATTACGCACTTGTTCCTCCCTTCTGATTGAGTGTTGTTCAATCAGTCTCCTATCTGATACGCCGCCCAAGTCATGTTCATGCCGAGCGGCGACCAGAGTCATTCTGAAGAAATGTGTCTGAGCGTGTGGGAAGTTGATCCTCTGTCCTGTGCCCCCCAAACCCCCTCCAACAGTCGAAGCATTCAAGTGCTCTTGGCCACACGCAAGTGTCAAGAGTTGACTTCACGAAGCTACTGTCTCCCAAAGACGCCTGATTGCTGACGCGCTAAACCTGCTCTGATGAATTCGGATCGTACAGCATTGCGTGTTCAACATGCTGGCATCGCTCCTGGTACCCGTGGCAAAGACACAAGTATAACTCACTCCTGATGGTGGCTTCACTGAATTTTGCGCACGATTGAGTCTAATCACCACACCTTCGCCTATGCGAGGCGGCGAGGCTACAAGGCAACCTGGTGGACCCCAATTGCATCGAAGACAAGGCGAGCGTCTTGGAGTCGGCCCTTAGACTAGACCAAGTTCAGCGAACCGAACCGAGGAAGAGGGGGCCTGCCTCGGCTACACATGTAATACCAACAGGCCATCAGGGTATCAACTAACTCCTGTGCTACTGTTTCTTAACATATCGTTGTGCAACGGCCGACAACGCAAGGACGAAATACCTCAGCAACCATGAGTAGAAACTCGGAAACGTCCGCCCGCCAGGCGTTGAACCGGCTCGACGTACTGCAGTCTCACCTAACCAGCCTTCCTACTCCCGCTGGTCGACTTACCAAGCTATCCCGCTCACTAGCCGGTCGCAAAGCCATCGTCACCGGCGCGGCATCCGGCATGGGCAGAGAGACGGCCAAAGTATTTGCAGACGAAGGCGTGCAGGTCGCCGTCCTGGACCTGACTTCGGACGGCGTGCAAAGCGTCGTCGACCAGATCAACGCCGTCCATCCAGGCCGCGCGCGAGGTTGGGTATGCGATGTCTCTGACCGCAATCGTATCAAGCAGGTGAGTAAAGAGGTCATTGTCGCTTTTGGCGGTCTAGATATCTTGGTCAACAACGCTGGCGTTTCACTCGGTGGTGGCGCCTTTGACGACGACGACTCGTTCGAAACACGCTGGGACAAGACGGTGGCCATCAATCTCGACGCTCTCGTCATATTCATACGCGCCTGTGTCCCAGCTTTGCTGAAGAGCGATGCTGCGCGGATCGTCAATATCGCCAGCACAGAGCATTTTGTGACGGGGCCTGGAAATGCGTCTTACAGTGCCACGAAATCTGCTGTTACAGGCTTGACGAGGTCCATGGCGGTGGAGCTGGGGAAGTATCAGAACATCACGGTTAACACGGTTTGTCCGGGTCCCATTATTACTTCGATGACGGCGCGAATATCGCCTGAGCTTAAAGAATCGTACGCAAAACGGAGGGTGCCGATGAGGCGGTATGCCGATCCAGAAGAGGTTGCTCAGGGTAAGTTAGGCCACAAGATGTCTTCAATAATATCTTTGACGGGTATTCTACACTCACTAACTTGTCGTTAGTAACCGCCAGCATCTGTTTGCCGGCCTCGTCCTATCTTCACGGTGCAACGATACCAGTCGATGGCGGCATGACGATCCGGCATACATGATCTAGAATTCTACAAGAAAGGAACAAGAACATCTTGGGCAGGCATTCAGCGTAACGAACGACATGCGATGAACATGCCTCAATCTAAGATATCCTCTGAGTTCTTCCTAGTAGAGCTGTCCACCAGCAGTCGTATCAACCATGTCAGTCTTCTGATCTGGATCCTCTTCTGCACCTTGACCCATAACCTTCTCGAATTCTTGAATCGCCTCCTCCAGATCCCTGCTATAATCTCCTCGTCCATCATTCTCGCTCGTAGTCTTCCCCTCGCCATCCGGCAACTCAATGACCTCCACCATTTCCTGAACCCTCGCCTCCGGCTCGCTCGCTGCCTTCCCCTCGCCAACTGGCAACTCAATGACCTCGACCACCTCCTGAACCCTCGTCTTGGGCTCGCTCTGCTTCTCCAACTGCACCGTCGCCACCTCCGGCTCCTGGCCCCCGGTATCCATATACCAACTCGCCGCCTTGCCCGCCCGACTCGTGACATCCGGATGCAGCGCAATCACGGGCGGCAACTGCGCCTCCTCCCCGGCCTTCAACCGCACGAAATCCGTGTCGACAAGATGATACCTCGCAGCCCAAACATTCTGTCCCGGCATCTCCATCGTGACCTGCGCCTTGCTGTTATGTCCCAAGCCAATGGAGCCGCCGACCGGCACGCCCGCCAACGCGCCCACCGCCGCCGACGTGACGCCGACCTTGCCCGTCTCCTCGCAGCTGGAGATGCTGACGGTCCGGGCGTCGTCCAGGAGATACTGCCCCGTGAGCATCCAAATCTTGGGTTTCCGCGCCCACTTCAGTTTCAGCATGTACGCCGACCGAGCCGCCGAGAGCCACAGCATGAGCGCCCGCTGCGCCTTGGGTTCCCGCAGGACGTGCTCTAGGAGGAACGTTTCAGGCCTGCCAAAAAAGGCATAATGCATGAGCGTGTGCATGCGCAAACCCGCGTCTAGGATAGAGAAAAAGGTCTTCCTTACTCATTCAGTTGCACCCGCAGCCCCCTCTCGGCCACCACCCTCCTCTCCCCCTGCACCGCATGGCCCAGCTCGAGATTCACCAGCTCCATCGCCTCCAGCGACGCCTCGGGGCTCCAGCCGCGCTCGTAGCTGAAGCACGGGTTCTTGATGCTCTGCACCGACGCCCAGTTCTTGATCTCATCGTGACTGCTCTGAAACATCAGAACTTTGTTCTCAAGGATCCGAGGGAGTGGGATGGGAAGCCACAAAGGGGCCACGCAAGGTGCAAGGAAGGTTGTGTAAACGTATGCGCAACGTTACCTCAGTTCTCGATGCGAGTAGTGCCGCACGAGCAGCGGATTCTCAAAGTCGTCGAGGATCAGGCTGCCCAGCGTGAGGAGCCGGACGGGCTCGCCCACCGAGTAGAGGTGGAAGGTGTGTCTTTGCGGCATTGTCCCATAGTTCAACTATAAGTCTTTGAGGAAAAATGACAAGTAAGGAACTGACGGTTACGAGAGCAGATGATTATTGATTGATCTGTAGTGTCGTGGGCTTCTGCCAACTCATCCCGGTATGATCATTACCCGATCTGGGTTGAGGCTCGATCTCGGGTTGGTGGTGGTGGTGGGGTTTTTTATGTCAAGAGATGTGTGCCCCTCTCATCTGATGCTGTGTGCGTTCTGGGTGACCGTGTGTTGAAGATCGGTCGGCTTGCGACGCAGTGCTTGTCTACCTGGGCATGACTCATGTTCAGGAACTGCTGGTTTTAACGCACGTCGGACTCATTTATGTGGGTAGTGATCGCCTGTGGACATTGTTCTCCCAAGAATTCAAAACGCCTGTGAAACATATATATGAATACTATGAACCTATGCTTCCATCGCCAAACATAAGAGATCATCACTGCAGCAATCTGATACCCGGAGCCTCGTCTTTCCACCTCTACGAGTCCCAGGTCCAAGCCTTCACGCTCTCCCCTTTCCCTTCCCCTCAGCCCGTGTCAACCGACCGCGAACGTCCTCAAACCATGCCCGGCCGCCCTCTTCCCCGCCAAGAAGGTCCTCATGACTAAACAGGCCCATGGCAAGGTACCCATCCTCCACCTTTGCCTCGACGTCCACCGTCGGAACCACCCACTCGATGCTCTGTGGATCCGGCTTCCGTCCACCATCGTCCAAGAACGGCGAGCGCTCCTGTTCCTTTTCCTGTTCCTGACCAGGGCCGCGCTCTCCAGTAATTGTAACCACAGGCTCGCTGCCTTGCCCGGCCGCCATCTCCGCTCTGACTTCCTCGCTGGCGTGCCAGACCAATCGGTCCTCCTTACCCGTCTCCGCATCCTCCCCACCAGGCAAGCTCAGCCAGTTTACCACGCACCCCACTCTTACCCCCGTCCACTCCCACACCTCCCGCAGCCCAACACCACAGTGCTCCGCCCGACTGATCTCCGCCAGATCACGCTGTACCTCCTTGGCCGCATCCCAGATCCCCACGCCATCTGCAATGGCAACGCGCAGCGACACGATGTTGACTGTCGGGGCGGCGAGCGTGGGTAGGTATGGGATATCGAGGCCGCGGTTGGAGAGGTAGATCCCCAGAACCACGTAATCGTAGTCATGTGCTTGATCCGCGGATGTAGTGGCCGCAGCAGCAGCGCAGAGTGTGGAAGCGTAGACTTGTCCTACCATGGCGAAAAAGAGGGCTTGGATGGAGACTCCCTCAGTACGGAGCCGAGGCTCAAGATCTGCAATGGCGTGGAGCTGGGGTATGAAGCGTTCAATATGCGGCACATCAGCATCCACGGAGCGAGCGTTCGCTGAGCAGTCGAGGATCGAGCCCTGAGCCGGCCGCAGGTAAGAGGTCCAGAAGTTTCGCTGGCGGGTTTTGGCTCGCGGAGAAAGGCAGTGTGTCGTAGAGATGAAGGAATCATAATCATTGTGCTGGACTGCTGGAACCAAGCCACTACACAGCTGATTGAGCTGCTCTAGCAGGATGGCAATGCTGACAGCGTCGTACAGGGCATGGTGAATACTAAGGGTCACGAATAGGCCGTTGCTGTCGTCGCCGCGTTGCCGCCACTCGTAGTTCCACGGCGGTTTTACCTTGCCTGATCGAACGGTCGCAGGAGAGAGCTGAAATTGAATCATCTCCCGGCCATCGTCGCCAAAGGTAGTGCGCAGCAGTGGACAGATATCAACAAGCTTCGACAGCGCTGCTTTTAGAGCTTCTGGAGAGACGCATACCTCGAGCCAGAAGCTTGCGTAGAAGAGCTTGCCGTTGCTTGCGCGCCAGGCCTCAAGCATGTAGCGTTGCCCGGCAGTGGCAGGTAGAATCTCCTCGACGTCATCTTCAACGAGGCCATGCTTTGCAAGTAGATCCTCGTGGGGGGAGTATCGTCCAAGAGTAGGTGCCGATTCGGGTCTATCTTCAGTGCTTGCCTCGGATTGCGAAACAAGTGTATCCGCGGCTGCAGCGATCCCTTCCACAGTCTGTGTCTCTATGATCTTACTGACGGGAATCTTCAAGCCATGCTTCTTTAGAGTACTGGCCAGTTTGATAGCGCTGATGCTGTCGAGTCCCAGATTGAAGAGATTCGTTGTCTTATTAATCTTCGATGAATCCGTCTTCGACACTTCGGCGAGGACGTCTCTCACGATCCCTTCGGTGCTGGTGATTGTTACGGGAGCGTACTGTTGGGCATCTGTTGTGTCCTTGGGAGAGAGTGAGCGTATGGAGCTCCTTTTAGCCTCATCGAAAGCCCTTTGCTCACCTTCACTAAAAACCGGCTTCTCAGGAGCAGTGATCAGCATGTTCATCGTCTGGTCTAGTTCCCGCAGAATGTTGTTGGCTGCAGCCCATCCATACATGCCTTTCTGACTTGCAAGTGTCCATGTGAGGCGATCCGCGTTAACCTCGAGCTCGATATTGACCGCATATGGGGGATTCACAGACTCTCCACTAACACTGAGCTCTTGGTAGATATTCGAAACGTCAGAATCCCGCCCAGGTGCCTTCTGGAACGTGAAGAGCGTATTGAACAGCTCCGAGTGACCGTGCCGTGCTCTTGCCAGCTTCAAAATCTCCTTGAGCGGGAAATGCTGGTGTCCGGAGACGTCCAGTGCGATATCGTGCAAAGACTTCACAAGCTGACTGACTGTTGTGGCAGGATCAAGGTGGCTGCAAATAACTACCGTGTTGAAAGTCGGGAACATCAGCGTGTCGGAGCCTTCGGAAGTTCTTCCAGAGAGAACGAGTCCAAAACAAACGTCTAGACTACCTGTGTAGCGCGCGATAAGGTGGGACCACGCGGCTAATCCCAAAGATTGCAGCGTCACGGCCTGGTTCTGACAGAAATTCTGGACTGCTGCCGCTTTGACTCTAGAAGAGTGCTGTAGGAGCTGGGCAGGACGCTCCTGCCTGTCTTGAGAGGAAGGTCGCAAGCGTGTTGGACGAGCAACGTCCACAGTCTCTGTCCAGAAGCGTCGTGTTGAGTCATTGCTGGCTTGAGATAATGCTGCTTGCATGTGTTCCTGATAGTTTAGAAGATCATCTCGGCTGCCATTCGGCTGCTCCTCCATCAACCGCCAGTACCTAGCTGCAACTTTCTGATGCAACAACTGGAGGGACCAGCCATCGTAGGCAGCATGTGGCATGCCAAGGAGTATTACATTCTTCCCACCCTCGTCGGCAACGATCAATTTGATGATCGGCATGTCGAACCCACGCATAGATACCTCCTGCTTGAGCTTCGTCACAGCAGAACTCATGTCTCCTTGCTGAGTCTCTTCAACCTCCAGCCTTGCTGATCGGGTGATGGCTTGGAGCAGGACCGTTCGATGAGCTCCTTCCTCGACTGCGATGAATCTGGTGCGTAGGATGGCGTGGGAAGCAACCACGTCCCTCCAGGCTCGTAGAACAACATCAACCTCCATTTCAGGAAGCAGTTCGTAGGGCATGATGTTGTAGTATTTCTCGAAGTCGAGAAGCAGACCTTCTTGCATGGCCGATACCGGTAGCACGAACTCGATGTCATCTCTGTTGATGCCCTGCCCCGCAATCAATGCGCCGTAGCGCTGTTGTCGGTCCTCGAAGAAGGATTTAGCTGAAGATGCCCCTTCGTCGATCTGCTGTGTCTTTTCTATTGCAGCCGCGATACCTGCCACAGTCGGTGCCCGCATGATGCTGCTGATCGGCACCTTGTAACCAGCACTCTTCAGTCTTGTTGCAAGCTTCATCACGTCGATACTGTCTAAGCCCATCTCAAAGACTGAAGGCTTATTGAATCCGATATTATCAGCATCAAGTCTAGCAAGTTCCGAGAGCTCGGAGCGGACGCTTTCGGTCGTTGCTGTCCAAATATACACAGACACGTTGTCGTCTTCAGAGGCTGCAATTTCCTGAGAAGACTTGCCTGCGGAAGGCGACCGCTGAGCTTGCGAAGTGAATGCCTCAGGGAGCAGAGGGACTTCATCACGATCAAGCTTCCCGAGCAAGCTGAGGAGAGCGGCAAGCAGCTCTTCGCATTCCGTATTTATGAGACAAGTATTCTTCGCAACCAGTGTTATGGCGAAGGAGCCATCTCGTTTGTGCTCGACTTCGAGATTTAGTGGGTAATCAGGCGTGCTGGTAGAAGGAAATGCCTGCCACAGGCCATGCTCATAAGCATCGGTACGCTCTCGTTGGAAGACAAATAGGCAGTCAAAGAGTCCGTCGTTGGCATTGAAGCCAAGAAATTTGGCTATCTGGCGTAATGCAGTGTGCTGGTATGGCAAAGCATCGACCGTGAAGCTGTGGCAGGCCTTGATCAGGTCGTGCACAGTCGTTGCATTCTTCAAGCCTTCGATCGTGGCAGGGATGGTGTTGAACATAGGCCCAATCGTGTACTCGGCACCGGGGTGAGGGATCGCGCGGCCAGACACCACCAGACCGAGCGTTGGGTTGGCATGAAAGTGCTGCTCTAGACAAACGAGCCAAGCCGCATGGAATATAGCGGGGAGTGTAACATCGAGCTGTCCACAGAGCTTTCCTAGATGTTTCAGCAATAAGTGATTGTGGTGTGTGAATGGTGACCCTTCTGAGCCTTCTCTGTGGTGCTGACTTGCCCTCTCAAAGCTAAGTCGTCTGACATTTGGCAACGCCTTCCTCCAAAACTCTTCTGCCCCTTGGTGAGTGGCCACCGGTCCGTACGGCAAAACATCATAGAAGTTTGATCGCGATGGCTGCTTCGAGTGCTCCTGGGTGTAGACCTTCGCCACTTTCTCGAGCAATAAGTCAAGCGCAATGCCATCATAGATGCCATGGAATAAGAAAAGCTGCATCGTTGATAAGTTCTCGTTGCGCTCCAAAACGACCTTCCACGGCCGGACTTTCGACAGAGCTTTCGCTTGAGAAACCCAGGAATCAAAGTTCTTGTCACTTTCAGAAAGGCTGGCATCAATCGAGCCCGGCGCGGAGCTTTCTGTCAGCACGACCTGCGCCCAGCCGTCTCCAGTTGGCACAAAATGCGTGCGCAATATGCTTGTGAGTTCTGTGACAGACCGCCATGCCTGACGCAGCTTGTCGATATCTGTGCCTGGGGTGAGCTCAAAGTCGAATTGAGCAAAGTAGGTAGTGTCCTCTGCATCGGAGCTGACTACTTTCGAGATCATGCCCTCCTGCAACGGCGTACAAGGACTGATGTTTTCGATACCGTTGCTAGGAATCTCGAGACTCTCCAAGATGGTAGTTTGATTACTTGTCGCAAAGTTGTTGATATCTTTCTTCGCCGCATTGAGATCGATCGCGCTGCCATCTCGTTCGGGGCTCTTCAGGCGACGCACTAGGTCGAGAACGAGTGGGCTTCTTAGCACTGCCTGGATGCTTGCGGCTTGGAAGCCCTCGCTCCTTAGCGAATGCGCAAAGCCAATTGCAGAGACAGAATCGATACCAAGCTCGAACAGCTTTGTGCCTGGATTGACGCTTGCGGGCGCAATATCAAAGTGCTCCGACAGCAGCGATGATATATGGTTGAAGGCTACTTCATCTTCAGGTTGCAGCTTGATGCTGTCTCTATCCACTTGCTGTCCGGTAAGATTGACCTCTTCGTAAAGCTTCTTTAGCACTTTCGTATCGACCTTGTTGTTTGCCGACAACGGCAAGCTGGAGAGCAGGCAGACTGAGGAAGGCACCATATAGCCTGGCATCTTGTCCATACAGTGCCTGCGGATGCGGTCTGCAAGTTCCGAAGACTCCTTGTTGAACACAATGTGCACGCCATCTGCCGTTTGCCGCGTCTTGAGAGTGGTAAAGAACGCAATCAATTGTTCTCTGCCTTGAGTTGGGTGCTTCAATACCATTGTCGCAACGTTTGTGATTTGCTCGTCGGCATTCTTGATGACTTGATTGATCTCACCGATCTCCAGTCTCTGCCCTCGCAGTTTCACCTGGTCGTCAATGCGACCCATGAACTCGAAACTGTCGTCATGGAGCATTCGAACGAGGTCCCCGGTGCGATAGATTCGTTTTTCATCGGGCAAGATTGCAAATTTCTCGTCCGTCAGCTGTGGCCGGTTGAGGTAGCCTTTACCAACAAGCACTCCCGAAAGACAAAGCTCGCCAACAGCCCCTCGCATGACGGGAGTTTCGGTACCTGGCTGAAGTACCATGCCTCCAACATTGGCCCACAATTGTCCGATGTTTGTCGGCTTTATTCCCCTCTGCACTCGAGGATGCACAGTGCAGCCGATAGTGACTTCACTAGGGCCGTAAAAGTTGTACAGACAGCCAGCGTCGCCCCAGGTGTTGATGATATCGTGGCTGACTTGTTCACCACCTACAATGAACACACCCTCACACAGACTTGGCACATCTTGCGGCGTAATTAGGCGAGCCAAGCTAGGCGTCAAATCGAGATGTGTGATCTGGGCCTGTCTGAGAAAGGTTGGAAGATCCTCGAGGATCAAGTCACGCGGCGCAGTCGTCATGCAAATCCCGACACTCCAGCTCCAATACTGCTCGAGCACGCTAACGTCAAAGTGAAAGGAGGCAAATTGCAGCCATCGCGAGTCAGAAGTCCAGTGGCCTTCGAAGATCCGACTGAAAGACATCATTGCTTGGATAGCACTGTCATGGCTGATCAGACAACCTTTAGGCGTCCCAGTTGTGCCAGATGTATACAGACAATAGCAAGTGTTTTGTGGTGTGGGCTTTCTCTTCAGACTTGGTTTCTGCTCTGGTACGCCTTCGAGCGTCTTCTTATCGTCCACGATCAAATATTGCACTCCATTCTTGGTCTCGAGGGTAGCGGCAGTGGCTTTCGTAGTCAGCAAGAACTTGCACCCAGCGTCACCGAGGATGAAGCTTTTCCTGTCAAAGGGAGCTCCTGGATCAATCGCAACATATGCACAACCAGCTTTGAGTACACCCAAAATTGCGAAGGAAGCCTCAGCACATTTGTCAAAGCACGTTGCTATCAGGTCACCTGTCTGCGCCCCAAGTGAGAGAAGTAGATTCGCAATGCGATTGCCTGCCTTGTCTAGTTGGCGGTAGGTCCATGTCTGCCGGACAGGTTGGGTGTTGTCAAACCCCGTGATCAGCTCCAGGGCTTGGGAGTCCGGCTGGCGTGAAGCGGAACTCTCCACGAGCTCGTGCAGTAAGTCAACTTCGGCCACAAGGTGGTCCTCAACAGGTGATAGTATTGACAAGAGCTCAGGGTTCCGGTTGACAGTTGAATGCTCTTCCTGGTGCAGAACAGATGACAATTGCTCTTCAAACTGACGGAGCACAATATGCGACGCAAGATTGGGCAAGAGGCTCTCCGAGAAAGTCATTCGGAGTTTCAAGCTATCCTGCTTAGTATCCGGCAGGATTTCGAGTGACACGCCATACTCGGCCCTTGCAGTTTCATCAATCACTTCCCAGGGAGCATCTTCCGTGACCCGAGAGTCATACTTTTGAAGAACCAAGATAGTGTTAAAAGGCTCTTCCTCTAAGCCTTGCCATCTTCTGATAGATGTGAGCGGCGTATGTTGATGTTCGAGGAGACTCGAATTTATACTTGACGCGGAGATCAGAAGCTCTTTAGTGCTCCCTCGAAGTGAAGTAGTGAAGGGAAGCGTATTGATGCAGGGAAAAGCCGCTGCATCACGTGAGTCGCCAAATGTCCGGCCAGATAGAATAATTCCAAAGGTGACCCTCTCCTGTGCAGTGTAAGCAGACAGTAGTTGGGCCCATGCGACTTGGCAGGCGGCTTGCAAGGTGACGCCAAGATGCGCACAGCATTGAGTTGCTGCCGTCAGGCGCATGGCCATACATCTTTCAGAAACGTCAAAGTGGCTGTCTACAACATTGTAGATATTCAAATCCGGGAACTTGGTCGGCTGCATCATGTTCTCTTCTCTGGTCCAGATCGCCTTCGAGCTCTCTTGTTCTCCCATTGATAGGATGGTTGATAGCGTCGGTGGCACGGGGACGGTGTGCGCAACGGTCTGGTTGAGAACTATATTCGCAACATCTGCCAATATCATGTCCAGCGACTGAGCATCGTAGAGCGCATGAAGAATGGTGAACTTCAGTTGGTGATCGTCCTCGTCGTAGTCGAGACGCCAGGGTGGACGGAACATCGACGCTGCAAGTTCGCCCCTCGTTTCGGACGGGCCAGACATATCTTTGATCTCGTGCCACGGCAAGGCAGCTGTCGCTGCACGATAGACAACCATGAGAAAAGCCTGTTTGCCCGAGCCGTCGACAAAGCCCGCTCTAAGCATTTCATGACATTCCATTGCGATTTGCCAGGCAGATCTAAGCTTCTCCTTTGACAGGCTTCGATGCAGCTTAAGGGTAAGTGTGTTGTAGTACAGTGCTCCAGCTGACTGCAAATACTGAGACAACATGGCGCCCTGCAAGGGTGTGCAAGGTAAAATGGCAGCAACAGAGTCCTCGCGCAAGGACAGTCGTGAACATATTGCCTGTCTATGTGCTGCATCAAAAGCCTTCGTATCGAAAAGATCATAACGGTTATCCTCGTCAGCTTTAGAACGGCTTCTAGAACATTTGGTTGCTATCTCCACCAAAGTCGGACCCTGAAGGATCTCTGTAGAAGTTATTTGATATCCCTGGTTCCGGAGTCCTGCTGCCAACTGAACAGCATTGATACTGTCGAGACCAAGCTGGAAGATGGTAGTACTTGGTAATATCTGTCGATTCTTGAGCGGGCTCATCTCCTTCAGCAGGTGGTTTACGCTCTCCATCTCCAGAGAAGGGACATTGTATATCTGCTCCGTGTCTTCAGAAGAGCCATTGACAACGCCGTTCGACGGCACAGAAGCAGGTTTGAGGAAGCCTGCTAAAGACGAAGATGATGGAGAGTAAGCTGCCCGCTCCGGATAGCGAATCGTATCGAGCAACTCATTGTCGAAATCTTGGAGTATCAGATGTAAGACCTCTTCCACAGCAACCGTTGAATGAAGTACAAGTTGCAAATAATCATGCTTCTCGGCTTTCATCGATACTTCGAGTATGAAAGGAAACACCATGTCGCCCTGCTCTTCTTCCAGCTGCCATATATCGTTGTCAATTTCTTGGTCTTGCGCCTGAAGCAGCAGCAGGAAGTCAAACAGTGACTGACCATCCGCGCTGTACTGCTTCTGAAGCCGTCGCAGTGAGCTTGGCTGAAACGGTAGCACGTCCACATTGAACTTCTGGAGATCATGCAGCATTCTGGCAGTAGACGTGTTCCATTCCACGCGGACTGGAACTGGCAAGGTGTTGAAGCAGGGACCTACTATCTGATCCATACCTTCGATAGGGAGGTTTCTGCCACTGTAGACGTTGCCGAAACAGACTTGTGGCGATTCAAAACACCTCATGAGTACTTTGCTGGTGGCGGCTTGAAGGCAGGAGAGCATCGTCACTGAATGCTGTTTGACGAACCCCTCCAAATCGGCCAACTTCACGACTGATTGTTGCTTCGCTTTGCGAACAGACCCATCCATGAGTTGCGCCGAGTCTTCTATGATTGACTTCAGTCTGCAGGTCTTCACATTGCGAAGCCGGGCCATCCAGAAATCTCCAACACCTCTCTGGTTTAGACTCTCGGCATACTCCAGATAGTTGTCAAAAGGCACAGGAGTACCAAGGGTAGATTCTGAATAGGCTGCAAGGACCTCTCTAAGAAGAGTATCCATAGCAACTGCGTCGTATAGAGCGTGATGAATCTCAAAAGTCAGATAGCAGGTGTTGCCCTGTGCCGCAAGCTTCAAATCATACCATTTGCGCAGGGGATTGGTATCTCGGGCGGCACTTCCCGGGCTTCTGCCTTTTACAGTCCACGGTAGCTGAACACCACCCAAGACAACTTGCACATAAGGCATCTCAGGGTCGTTGGAGCGTACGAAGACTGTGCGCAGCAGCTGTTGCCGATTGAGCACTTTTTCCCACGCTGCTTCAAGCCTCTTGACATTGCCCTTCACTCTGAAGGGAAGTTTGTTACGGTACGCACCAACATGCCCATCTTCCGTGGCTGACAACATTGAGAGCTGCAAATCAGTGCAGGCAAGCACTTTCTCAACTTGGAGTCCGGCTTTTCTGAACGGGTGATCAAAGTCAGAATGAAGATTCAGGTTGAAGGAAGCCTTGTGCAGACCGTTTCGCCTTTGTATGCCAATAGACTCGTTCTTGCTTTCAATTGTGCGAAGTAGCGAGCTTATAGACGGATTCTGCAATATGGTGGAGACATCAACTTGTGGCAGACCCTGTCTTCGCAGTTGTTGAGTGAAGCGAATAGCGCTGAGCGAATCAAGCCCTAGCTCATAGAATGAGGTACCTCCCTCAACGACACTCGCTGCGATGCCTAAGGTTTCCGATAGTGCACGGGCAATTGCAAGCGAAGATCCCTTCAGAGGCTGCTTCTGCGTATCGTGAAGCGCCTGCCGCCAGGAACACTCCAATTCTTCTCTCGGGAGGTTCATAAAAACTCTTCGCAGCTGGGCTTTGTCGACCTTGCCTTGCCGAGTGAGGGGGATGTTCGAGACCGGAACGATTGCGGTAGGTATCATGTACGAAGGCAGACGATCTTCAAGCCGATGAAAGAGCCCGAGTACTGCTTCTCGCTTTCGGCTCGCATCATCCAAGACGACGAATGCCAACAGGCGAGCGACATCCTGCACTGTGTCAATGAAACCAACGGCATCTTGCACATACCCAGCACTTAGCAAGTGAGAGCTGACCTCCCCAAGCTCAATTCTCTGACCCCTGAGCTTGGCCTGGTCGTCCTCGCGGCCGAGTATAGTGAAGCTGCCGTCCGACAGAACTCTACCAATGTCGCCAGATCGATATAACCAGCCGTATTCTGGATGGTCAAGAAATGCTTGCTGGGTAAGAAGCGGATCAACGTAGCCACGGCCAACTTGATCACCTCCGATCCAGATCTCTCCACTTACACCCTGAGGCACGAGCTGGAAGTCATTCAAGTTCAGCGGCGAGTTTCGTAACATTTGATCTGAATGCAGTCTTCGGCAAACGAAAGCAGACGTGTTCGGGAACACAGGGCCCACATTATTCGAGGCATGGTAAGATTGCACCTCAGGTCGTACGTTGCAGATATTCGTGGTTTCACTGGGACCGTATCCTTGATACAGGCCGCGTCCGGTCCATTGCTGGAAGACTCTAGAGTTCATCGGCTCTCCAGCAGTGACCAGCATCTTGACTTTCGGCACCTTAGACGGTTGAACGAGCGCAGCCACAGACGGCGTCATGCTCAGATGCGTGACATCAAAGTGATGAATGAATTGTTCGATATCACGAAAGAGAATATCGTTATGAGCAGCAATTAATGTCATGCCCACATGTAAAGTCCAGAAAATCTCGAATACCGAAACGTCAAACGCTGGAGAGCACGCCTGGAGAAGTGAGTCTCCGGACCCATTATGTGGGTATATCGATGAGAGGTGTGCAAGGTGACTGCCGAGGTTCCTCCTGGTCATCAGTACGCCTTTCGGCGTCCCAGTGGTACCTGAAGTGAAGACCGCATATGCGAGGTGGCTTCCTCTGGCCTCTAGAGGAAGTCTGATATCAGTCCGGCCGATCGGCTCCAGCAAGTGTTCTAACAAAACAGAATTGCTCTCAACAGCCACAAGTCTCTCTTGGCTATCCGCCACGACCAATGCGCACTTGGCTTGCCGCAAGATGTGCCTGACTCGATCAGAAGGTGTGCGTGGATCGATACACATGTAGCCTGCGCCGCTCATGACCACAGACAATATGGCAACGTATAGGTCGATAGATTTAGGAGCGTAGATGCAAACAAGGTCATCTGGACCAACGTTGTGCGCCGTCAGCCTGTATTGTGCATTGTTTGCCCTTTGATGGAGCTCACGATATGAGACTTGCGTACATGACTGTTCTCGTGTCACAGGGTCATATTCGTTCACAAACTTGATGGCGATGCGGTTTGGGGCTTCTGTGGCGAACTGGCCCAAATCATGTGCGATGTCGAGCCTCCCGGAGTAGGCCTCAAATCGAGGGTTTGCCACCGATAGCAGACGCTTGGGTAGTGATGCCCATACATCGGTCAGAGCTCGTTGCGGTTCCCCAGCGATCGCGTTGAGCAGAATGTCGATCTGGTCTGCCATGGCCTGAGCCTGCTGCTTGGGGATGAGCAGGTCGTTCGCAGTAATCTTTAGTAGCAGTTCCTCGTCAGTCGGTTCCATTTCGACGACAGCAGTGTAATCAAGGGCATCATAACCGTCGGCCGTCTCGACGTACCTACGACGGTAACCGCCGCGAACGGAACTCTCTTGCCAGACGACGATAGAATCAAAAAGCTTTCGTCTGCTGTTGACTCCTGCCGCTTTTCGGATGTCGTGAAGAGGAGTGTCGTAATATTCGAGGCTATCCAGATTCTGCCGCTGGATATAGTTGAGTAGGTCCCGGATGGTTTTCACCCTGCCAAGCCTCAGCCTTGTAGGCACAGTTGCCAGACATGGTCCAATAACTTCCTCGATCCCTTCAATCACTGCGTGACGGCCGGAGACAACCGTCCCAAAGAGAACCTCTTCCGAGTCCGTGTAGGCGGACAAGACAACTGCCCAGCATGCTTGGAGGAAGGCCTGACGGCCAATACGTAGGCTGGTGGCTTGGGCTGAAAGATTCGCGAAGCTGAGATTGAGCCGGTGGCGATGGGAATACCTCGATGAGTTTTTGGGACGCGTCGAAACGAGGGACGGAAATGCTTGATGCTCAGTGTCCTTCAGCAGTGATGTCCAATATCGCATGGCTGGATTGTGTGTTGCCATGTCCGAATGGTTTCGCAAGGCACGGCTGACTTTGTCGAAGGGGGTTCGCTCAGGGGGTTTGGCTTTTTCCAGTATTGAGTTGAGGTCATCAAGTATGAGGTCCCACGACCAGCCATCGTACAAAGCATGGTGGATACGGACGACCGTCTGGTTCGGATCATGCGGATTTGGAGCGAGCTGTAGGGGATTCAACATACTTAGTTCGTTTCTATCCAGCTTCTTCCAGACAACGCGCACGAACGGCATCGCCTCGTCATGGGTTGCGACAAAGCCTGACCTGAGCAATCTCGTGGATCTCGCTAATGTGCAAAGTGCACTCCATACTGCTGCTTCGGACACCCCTCGTCTTTGTAACAAGATCGTATTGAAGTTCAAAGTCTTATCCGCCACAGTTTCCGCCAGCATTGCAACCTGGATGGGTGTGCATGGGAGGACCTCATCTAGCTGAGCTCGTGTTTCGGTAGGGAGGTACTCGCGAACGGAGTGCTCAGTTGCTTCCCACGCATCACTGTCTTCATACAAGCTTGTTGAGTGGCCGTTCTGCGACGAGCCATTGCTGCTATCGATCTTTGTAGCAAGTTCAACAATGGTACTAGAAGTCAGGATCATGCCTATGGAGAGGCTTGGGACCTTTAGGCGCAGTGCTGAGGCGATCCTGATTGCGCGCAGCGAGTCCATTCCACAGGCCCATAAGTCCTCGTCGCGGTCGACCGGCCTAGGGAGCTCCTGCGCCAGAGCCGAAGCAATCATTCGCTCGGTCGAGGTGGTGAGGTCTTGCATCGCGGTGACCGTCTGCTCGCGGCCTCGAAAATCCGCTTCAAGCGCCTTTCTGTCGACCTTACCAGAGGGCAGTTTTGGTAGATCTTGGCCCATTAAGATTATTTCACTTGGACGCATGAAAGGGGGCAGCCAGGACTTGCAGGTGGCCTGTATGTGTTGAGTTTCGGTTTCTGTGCCCGCTGCACAGAACAATATTAGAGTATCTTCGATGTCAGTCGCCACGGCCTGAACCACTCCAGGCGTTTTGAGGGCAATTTCCTCGATTTCACCCAGCTCAACTCTCTGGCCTCTGAGCTTAACCTGGCCAGCGTTCATTCTACCTAGGACTTCAAGGGTACCATCCGAGGCACAAATCGCTCGGTCGCCGGTACGGTATACCCTGCCGTGGCCGCTGAGCCGCACAAAGGCAGCCTCAGTCTGGTCTTGACGATTTAGGTACCCGTCTGCGAGCTGGCCTGCGATGGCTAATTCGCCGGCCTGACCAACAGGCGCAATTTCGGCATTTTGAGAACCTGTGTCCTTCAAAATAAATGCCGTGACGGTGGACAGCGGCCGTCCAATGTTGCGAACGGTAGACGAAGATGAGACTTTCGGAGCCACTGTACAGTGAATAGTTGCTTCTGTTGGCCCGTACATGGCGTACAACATGCTATGTTTGTCCTGATTACCTCCAAACTCTGCCACGACAGATCTCGTAAGCATCTCGCCAGTGGTTAAAAGGATTTTGAGGCATGGAGCGGCATCTCGTGTGCGTAGAAGTGTTCCAGCAACAGTCGGGGTCAGCTCTGCGGCATCTGCTTTCAGCATGGTGATGGTGCCCGGTAAATCGGCGAGCATATGCTCTCTCAACCTGCTGACTAGTGTTGCGCCTCGAAAGAGGGGGAAAAAGATTTCGAAAACCGACACGTCAAAGGTGGGCGAGGCGAATTGAAGAAAGCGTTTGAACGTCGGAATATGCTCGTCGTGGGCAAGCAACGATTGAGTTGCTGCAGAATGGGAGATTTGGACGCCTTTCGGCAGTCCTGTTGACCCTGAAGTATACATGATGTAGGCAGGGCTCCGAGAATCGATGGTAGACGTCCGTCGAAGCCTCCTCCCATGACTTTCAGTGCTCTCCAGGTCCTCTAATACTACAGAGAGGCAGGAGAGGCCTCTGACACTGCTCTGGATCAGGTCGGAAGTCTCCTGAATGCAGAGGACTAGATCCGCGGAGACATCGTTAAGAATGAAGTTGAGACGCTCTGGTGGCACGTCTGGGCTCACCGGACAGAAGCACGCTCCAGCTTGTAACACGGCTCGCCAAGCAATGTACAGCTCCGGGCACTGGGGGATAATGGCCGGGATGATATGTGACCTCCCAGGCGCCGAGATGGCGTCTCTGATTTGGTCCGCCAAGCCATCACTGAGAGAGCGGAAGGCGCCATACGTGAGAGTATAGAGAGACTGGTCCGCAAGGATGAATTCGACTGCGATTGTATCGTCGTCTGGCTCTGCAATAAGCTCGTGCAACAAGTCTGGTCCGGGGAGCGTTCTGCGATATCTGTTCACAACCGACATAACGGTCAAGTTTCAAACAAAAAGAGGCTGCCGTCGAGTCCCGGCCCGAAAGGCTTAGCGTTTAGGAAAGATGGAAAACGTGGGGGCAAGGATGGTGACGAAGACATTTGCCACGACGCGCTGCTGTGATGGGCCAGTAGCAGACATTGATGGCGAGCGTATGCCATCAGGGGACATCTGTCTAACAAACGAGAAAGAAGCGGGCTCGACCGGCGGGTGAGCGTTGCCGGCAAAGAAAGGAGCAGTTACCGGCGGGAATAGCGGATGGGATCATTCGACCGGGGGATGGGGGATGGGGGACGGTGGAGGGCGTAAGGATGGCATGTGAACACGGCGCCCAAAGGCCCAAAGCTACAAAGCTACGAGTCGTTTGCATCATTGAAAATTTTTCGCCGAGCAGTCGCGATGCTCGTAGCTTACTGTCGACTCCTTCGGTCGTGAATACATGCAAGAAGAAGGCGCGGATCCACGTTCTCAAAGCTGCAAGAGCTCCGATAGCGCTGCCAGTGTTGTGCAGGGCTTCAACCGCGTCTCAGACGAAGCGTCACCCACTTCACACCCCGCTGCGACGCCGTCTCCATCTTGCCACTGTTGATTGGACCCAGATCAGTCAGAATTTTTATCAGATAGCAGCCAACGACGCATCTGATAAGATCTAATCGCTTGGCCCACGTCGGCTTGGCCAACCTCGACCGGGGATCAGACCACTCAACGCCTGCGACTAGGTGAGAAATGAGCCATGTTCCGTTGTCTCCCAGTAGAAGCGAGCCATCTACAAGGATCGGCATGAGGCTTAAACCTTCAGCATGGCACCCCTAGCGCAGGACAGAGATGCGGGCCTTCGCGGTCCATCTCCAACCCATCATTAACCGACCTGCCAGCTCTCATTCTCTCCATTGCCTTTCCAGCGTCAATTTCATGTTGTAGCATCATCAACGATGGCACCTGGACTAATCGCTGAGCAGGTGGCCGTGGCTGGCGAGTCAGCCATGCCTCGACGTCCACGGATATCCAAAGCGGCGGCTAGAACCAGTGGTCTCGATGAGCTGGACCTTGAGGAAACGACACACGCGGATCTCTTGCAGTCTCATCCACCGGCTCTGACCACCGCGGCCGACGATCAAGTCCACGACATGGTCTGCATAGGCTTTGGTCCAGCCGGTGTTGGCATTGCCGTGGCCCTGAGTGATATGCACGAAACCGAAGAGACTATCACGTCGGTGCCCAAGGTCCGCTTCCTCGAGCGGCAGGATGCTTTCTTCTGGCACGCTGGCATGCTTTTACCAGGAGCCAAAATGCAGATCTCCTTCATCAAGGACCTGGCAACCCTGCGCGATCCTTGCAGCTACTTCACCTTCCTCAACTATCTCAAAGAAAACGACAGACTCGTCCAGTTCACGAACTTGAGCACCTTCTTGCCGTCAAGAGTAGAATTCGAAGACTACATGCGCTGGGTCGCCAACCACTTCACCGATGTTGTTGACTATTCACAAGCTGTTGAGCGCATCAGGCCGATCAAGACGACTTCCGGGCATTTGTACGACTGTCTCGAAGTTCAGACGCGCAACACCCTCACCCGGCAGCTCACAACCCGCATAAGCAAAAACGTCGTCATCGCCGTGGGTGGCAAGGCCAACAAACCTCCCATGTTCCAGACACCACATAGCCACGTCTTGCACACATCCGAGTACCAGGTCCGTATAGGTCATGCTCTGCCAGATGCCAACAAAGCATACTCGATCGCCGTGGTCGGCAGCGGACAGAGTGCTGCAGAGGTCTTCAATGACCTACATATTCGATATCCCAACGCTACCACGAAGCTGATTATGCGGGATACGGCAATGCGGCCGAGCGATGATTCGCCTTTCGTCAATGAGATCTTCAACCCGGAGGCTGTTGACTCGTTCTATGAGCAGCCAGACGGTATCCGGTCAGAAACACTGAAGAGGAATAAAGCCACCAACTACAGCGTCGTGCGACTGGAACTGCTAGAGCACATCTACGAGAGCCTCTACATGCAGTGTATTCATGAGCCAGACAAGAGCAAATGGCAGCACCAGATCCTGAACTCGCGCGAAATTGTTGATGTCGTCAATGACCCCAAGACGAACAAGCTCAGTCTGGTCGTCAGTCGATTGAATGGATCGGGCTGGAACAACAAGGACACGATCGAGTTCGACGCCGTCATCCTTGCAACAGGCTACAAGCGGGATGCTCACATTGACATGCTGCATGAGTGTCAATCGATCAATGGCTCGACAGATGGTAATTGGGTACCTTCCCGCGACTACAGCCTCAAGCTGGATCGGTCCCAGGTCCAGAGCGACGTCGGCATCTGGCTGCAGGGCTGCAATGAGAGCAGTCACGGCCTTGCTGACTCGCTCCTCTCTATTGTGGCCACTAGGAGTGGCGAACTCGTGCAGAGCATGTTCGCCTGAGAAGGTCTGAGCAACGCGTAGTGACGGCTGTCGACTACCGTCTACCTAGGGATGCGGTGTTGTTGGAGTGAAGGATGACCGGACTTGTGGACCTACAAGATCGGCGTGAATACTATATGCACACATTTCTGACCAAAATAAATATATCAAGTGGGAAGGACATATGCAGTGCATGGACTGATTTCATTCATTGTGCCACAGTGCGTAGATATGGGTCGTGGACAGCGGCGATGGAGGGACGAAGAGATGGCCATTAATGCCAACGCTGGCCGACTTGCCGAGGCACAAGAAAACGGCTGGAATTGACCACGCTGATCTTCGTCTGTGTGCTCTCTCGAATTTTAGCATTGCTCTCGCAACTCTGAGGCGCCTCCGCCTCTCAGATCTGTGCTTGCTATTTCAGCCATGGATTCCTACGAGCATCAGTCCGAGCACCGCAAAAAGAGACGACGGCGCGAGGTGTTTCCCCGCCCCATCTCCGCGCGTCTGACCTTCGACGATTCCGTCGCTGGAGATGTCGCCCTGGTCTCAGCTTCTCTCTGGCAGCTATTAGCCAAAAACAGTGCTCTCAACGGTGAGAAGCAATAGTCGAAAGTCCTGGTAGCCCGCGCTGACATAGCTTAAGGAACTGAAGCAGCTCCCTCTCGATCTCCGGCCCCGGTGTACGTTGCCATTGCTCCCTCCACCGCACTGCACACGACCATACAAGATTCAGTCTGGACTATATTGCCAGCAGCGGAAGAAAGCATAAGTGTTGCGCAGCATGACCAGGGTCAGCATCCCAGCATCAGACTCTCCTCCAAATCCTCCACCTGCGCATCCTTCCTCAGAGCTCTCGCCGCGCTCGACCACCATCGACATGGCGGTCGCGTTCCGAAAACCATCGACGTCAAGGCGCTGTCGGCTGCACCTCTAGCCCTCGAAACCGTCTATGTCGAGGTTGAAAAGGGTCTTCTCGAAAAGGTTGACGAGATTCAGACCAAGTTCGGTGGTGGCTTCCAGCAGCATGGCAAGGCTTGGAAAACCCCCAACAAGTTCCATGTCGATGACCTCAAGATGAAGCCCGAGGAGCGCCTGAAGACTCTCATCCGAGGAGCGTTGTCACATCTGTCCGTCATCCACGCCGGTGATGTATTTCCCTTGCCTCTGCCGCCGCATCCAATAACCCACGCTCGACCGTCTCCTGCCACAGCTATCGAATGCGAGCCTGTCTCTCAAGGGCTGGTTTCGTCAAAGACCAAAATCGTGCTCATTCAGTCTGGCGCTTCGCACGCCAAAGCAGTCCAAAAGCTGGAGTCTACGCAGCCCATCATTGAAGAGTCACTGGAGGATACGGCGGAAGACACCTCAAACGACCAATACTATTCTGCTGCCGAAGATCGCTCAACCACCACCGCATCCGAGGCCGAAGCGGATCACGAGGATGAGTCTGAGAATGAGAATCAAGAGTCCGACCAGGACCAGAGCGATGAGGATTCGGATTCGATGGAGGATATGATTTCTCTTTCTGCCCCCGGCTTGCCTCCACAACAGGCCGGTACTTTGTCTGCCATGACTAGCGCAACCCCGCGGCCGGGTGACCGAAGAGGCATGCAAACTCCAGGCTCGGTTTATTCCAGCTTCAGTGCTGCTACCGCTCGAGCAGGAAACAGGCCGGGCAAGGTATTCCGAACCGAACCTCTCTTGAGGAGGATCCCAACGGACTTGCTCTATCCCAAGCCGATGGCAGACGACGACCAAGATTCATTTGTGTTTGTAGATACGAGCACTTTGGCCAAAATCGACTGCTTTTCCGGTGACTGGGTTCGTATTGAAGTGTCGAAGAATGTGAGCCTGGGAAGTCTGCCCATCGCTTCTTTCGGTGCTTTGAGAGGGCTTGGAGAGGATGAAAGTGACTGGCGGGCGGTGCGCATATTTGGGCTTTCCGGTATTTCGGACCAGAAGGCTCGCTATGCCGTCGACAAAACGGGTGATCGAAGGACAAGCTTCACTCACCGCGACTCGGGATTGTCTCTGACACCACAAATTTTCCTATCGCCGATTCTCCTTGCGAATCTCGGAAATGCGTCGTTCCTCAAAGTTGGCGCTCTGCCAAAGCCCCCAAGACACGACATCAGGCAGAGACCTCCAACGTCAAAAGCTCCACCATTCGCAATCAATGTCTCCCTCGTAGGTGTCCCGTCACCAGTCAACAAAAGGAGCGAGTTGGACGCTGCGATTATGTCAGGTCTGAAGCAGACATTTGAACTGGAAAAGAGACTCATCAAGAGAGGCGACCTGCTTGCTATCCCAGTGGATCAAGAGCTTGGAAGTGTCATCGCGCCGACCGGACCAGGTAGCAATGACACGACAGCTGAAGAGCTGAGTGGCAAACTGCAGGCTCTGGATCTCGGTCGAAACAAGCAAAACGCGATCGCTTGGTTCTATGTTCAAAGTCTAGACGCCGAAGAGCAGTCCGACCGCAACGACCTTGACGGTGGACATCCATGGGGCGGTGTCGCTGTTGTGGATATCTCGACTGTCAGGCTCAACGCAACAAAGTCTTCTCAAGATGGGAGCAGAGCAGCCAGCATCTCGGAATCAACAGAACTTTGGTCAAGCTACTGGCTGGGGTTGAGGACTGTTCCTCACCAAAATGCCTACAGATCCGATATTATTGCTACGCCTTCGGCTCTGCCACAGCCACAAAAATTACCACTGGAGACGAAGTTGAAGAACTTGATCTCGGCAGCAATCAGCCCACGAGCAATCAATTTAGGGATGCCACCAGTTGTGATTCTTCTGCATTCTACACAGCGACAAGTTGGCAAGGTCTACACTGCAAACACAGCCTGCGCTGCAGTTGGCGTTGACACGTGGAAGATATCCGGGCAGGATCTGCTGTCCGAAAACGCATCGACTACTGGGGGTGGAGATGTCAAGACAGAGGCCACTCTCAAAGCCAGGGCAGAGCTGGCTTTGTCATGCGGCCCACGACGAACGGCGGTACTGATTCAGCACGTTGATGTTCTGACGGCTGCTCGCATCCAACCTGCGCTGGAGGAGATCATCAAGTCGTCTCGAGTTCTGATCGCCACCACTTCCAAGATTGATGATGTTCCTGATGGCATCCGGAGCCTCTTCACGCATGAATTCGAAATCTCTGCCCCGAACGAGAATGCTCGTGAGGTCATCCTCCGCAATGCCTGCATCGCAAGTGCCTTACCACTTTCGCCCAGCATCAATCTCAAGAATATTGCTCTGCAGACTGCCGCTCTCGTGGCTGGCGATCTCATTGACGTAGTCAATCGCGCTTCATTAGCACGAGAACATCGTCTCCTCGAGCTAGCTGAAACCGAGTCTTGCAGCATAGCCGATATCATGGTCTCGGGTGGTCAAGCAACTACACACCTGCTCCCTTCCGACTTCACTGGTGCCATTTCTGCCGCTCGCGCTACTTTCTCTGACGCGATTGGTGCCCCTAAAATCCCGACGGTGACATGGCAAGATGTCGGCGGACTTGCTGCACAGAAAGATGCCATCATCGAGACCATTTCTCTGCCGCTGAGCCATCCCGAACTCTTTGCCAATGGCATCCGCAAACGCTCTGGCATTCTGTTCTACGGGCCGCCTGGCACGGGTAAAACCTTGCTCGCGAAAGCGATTGCCACAGAATTTTCTCTGAACTTCTTCTCTGTGAAGGGCCCCGAGCTGCTCAACATGTATATCGGCGAATCGGAAGCCAATGTCAGACGTGTGTTTCAGCGTGCTCGAGATGCTCGCCCATGCGTCGTCTTCTTCGACGAGTTGGACTCTGTGGCGCCGAAGCGTGGCAACCAAGGCGACTCAGGTGGTGTCATGGATCGTATTGTGTCTCAGCTGCTAGCAGAGCTGGATGGCATGTCTTCCTCGTCACCTTCAGATGACGACGACCCGACTTCGTCCAATGCGTCAGGCGGTTCTGGAGTCTTTGTTATTGGCGCAACCAATCGTCCTGACCTTCTGGACCCTGCACTACTTCGTCCTGGCCGCTTCGACAAGATGCTGTATCTTGGCGTGGCAGACAGCCACGACGCGCAAGCAACGATCTTGAAGGCCCTCACCCGCAAATTCACCCTCGATGACTCGGTAGATCTGATGCGAGTCGCCAGTCGCCTACCATTCACGTATACAGGTGCAGATCTCTACGCTCTCTGTTCGGACGCCATGCTCAAAGCCATCACCCGTAAGACGGAAGCAGTCGACAAAAAGGTCCAAGAGATCTCAGAAACACGAGGCGAGGAAATCACCACAGGCTATTTCTTCGACCACCTAGCCACCGCAGCAGATACCGAGGTTGTCGTCAACGAAGACGACTTCCAAGCCGCACACGCCGAACTAGTTGGCTCCGTCAGCCAGAAAGAACTCCAGCATTTTGAACGGGTCCGCTCCCTCTTTGAGGAGCAGGATATCGGCAAGGGCACAGAAGCTGAGAAGAGGCAACAGCAGCAACAGCAGCAAAACCTACCAAAAGCACAGCTCAACCGACAAAACACAGCCATCCACTCTCCGCCCGCCCCCATCGACGGCGACAACACTCCTCCCTCGCCCCTTCAGTTCGCCACGCCTCCCCAACAACGCCAGCCCGGCCTCGCCGCCCTACAGGGCCTGCGTACTCTCAGCAACAGTGGCGGCGGCGGTAATAAAGGCAAAGGCAAACAGCCACAGCCACAGCAGCAGTCACAGAATCCGCCGGTCAAGTCTATGTGGAGTCAAGGTGGCGGTGGTGGCGCGCAGAGAAACAACGCACGCATCGCGAATCCGGATTCGGGCGCTGAAGAGGATCATTACTTGAGTCGGGTGGACCCCGTGGCGGAAGGGGAGGAGGCGGATGCAGATGCGGATGTCAGTGCGGCGGGCGAGAGTGATTGGGGGATGAGTAGGAGGGGTCTTGGGTTGGCAGGTGGGGGTGGAGGTGTCAATGGGATGGCGGGCATGAATACGAATGTGAGTATGAATATGAATGGGAGTGTCGTGGGTGGGAAGGGGAAGGGGAGGGCGGGAGCTGGTGGTAGCGGTGGCGGTAAAGGAGGTGGTGTCGGTGTCAGTGCTGGTGAGGGTGAGGGCGATGCTGCCGGGGCAATGTTCCACAGTGATCTGGGCGAGGACGAGGAGCTTTATGACTCTTAGCTGAGTTGTCACCCATCATCACCGTCGCCGCACCGAGTGAGCTATCTTCTGCCACGCTAATGCCATGTTGCGGAACGATCACGTGGGTATTCCGTATATACAACCGAGGGAGATTGTATACATTTATACCAACTATCTATAAATGTACATATATGCTAACCTATAAACGAGCAAGAGCCTGTCTAGATTTGGTTCCCATCACTTAGATCGATAAAATAACCACATATGGGTCGGGTGAGGCCAGCACAGAACATGACTAGACTCTCATATAGTACTGCTTGAGGTATTGGGACTTTGAAAGCACGCGCTTAGCTTACTTGCTTATATCCTGAATGGACACAATCTGTCCATCCTATTGTATACTGTATACTGCATACTGGTTGATCCGGTCAGCAGTTCGCCTACGATATCCGTATTCGTCGCTATCCCATCTTATCCTATTCCATCATCATCAATGCTCATTCATGCTGCTATTGTGTTGTGTTGTGTTGTGTTGTGTTGTGTTGTGTTGTGTTGTGTCGTGTCGTGTCGCGCCCTGCAGATTGCTTCCATGCTCCATGCTATCTATACCAGCCCTATTAGCCCTCAATACCACCTCCTTGCGCTAAACCTAATGCTAAATGATAAGAAAATGAGCAGCTCTCATGGAGAAATACAGCTCTCTTTGCCTGGTTGTCTTCGAACACTCCTTCCTCCAACATCCACGCCCACTAGACAAATGGGGAGCTAGCTCTTTTCCACCGCCTCCACCCCATCCCACACCACCACCCCACGCAACTCACGCCTCAGCGCCTCCTATACCTCACCGCCTCCCACTCCGAACGCTACTGACCTGACTAACACTATCCTCGGGCCTCACCTCCGCCTCCCTGACCTTCAACCTCGCCACGTCACGCATCTTCCCCACCACCGTCTTTGCAGCCCCCTCGTCCTCCCCCCTGCCACCGCCTCCACGTCCCCCACCACTCAAAGCCGAAACAAAACTCTCCGCTTTGCTGTTACTGCTACTGCGCGGTCCCCCCGCCGCCCACGTCGCGGCCCTGCTAGGGGGAAGCGGGTAGCCGGCCGCCGTGGGCGGTTTGGCCGTCGTGGCGGCCGAGCCTGCGCCGCGGCTGGAAGAACGCTTCTTCTCTTCTTTGGGCGTCGATGAACTCGTCGTTGACCTGTTGGCAGCGTGCGATTTCGTCTTTGTGGTGGAGACCGATTCGTTGGGCAGCGGGAGATGCTTGTGTTCGCCCCACTTCTGGCTGGCGGGGACGGGGCCGTAGGCGCGCTGCGTCTGCACGTGCAGCACGGTTTCGTAGTCGTGGCCCGAGCCTCCTGACTCGCTGGTGCCGTTGCCGTGCTTGCTGTGACGGTGGGAGGAGGAAGAGTAGCGGCTCCGGCTTTCCGAGCGGCTACGCCGGGAGCTCGAGCGGCCGGCGGCTGAGTCGGTGTCGCCGCCACGGGTTTTGGAGCGCGAGCGGCTGTGGCTTGTGGGGGCTTGGGTGATGACGGTGGGGGCTTTGTAGCTGGTGGGCGGAGCGTTGAGGAGCTTCATGCTTTTAGACTTGGCGCCGGAGCGAGAGGTGGACGATGGGGGAGAGATGCCGATGCCGGAGTCGACGCTATTGCGGCGGCGAGGCTTGATTGTTGAGGCGTAGTCGTTGTCGAACATGTTGATATGGTGGTGTGAAGGAGCGGCGTCAAGGGCGCGGTAGACCGTGGTGGGCTGTGCGTAGTGCGGGTGACGAGACCATGGTTCTGAGCTGCTTCGGCCTGCCACGCTCGGACGCCCGTCTCGATCGTGGCCGTGATCGTGTCCCTCGTCGCTGTTGCTATGGCTGCCCTTCCTCGACTCCGAGTGTGATTTTAAGGCGTATGTCAAGGCAGCACCGGCCGCCACGCCGAGTAAAGTGCCTAGGACCGCGTTGCTTCCGTCGCCGGGCTTGGCAAAGGCATCAGGATTGTGAATCACGCCTTTGTTCGTCGATGGTGCAGGCTCGGAGGAAGTAGCAGGCAGATGTGGCCGTACTTGCTCGACAAGCTTGCGAGCAACATCGGCAGTGGAGCGGGCTTGATTCAGAAGGACCGCAAGAGCGTCACCCTCGGGGGCAGCCGGTTTAGGCTCTGGCTCTGGCTCTGGCGCAGCAGAGGTAGCATGGCTGCGAGCTTTGCTGGCTGTGGAATGCACCACGCTACGAGGCTTGCTAACAGTGGAAGGTACGACGCTTCGAGCTTTCGATGCTGAGGACAAGGCACGAGAGACAGTTGACGGAGCTTTGCTGCTGGATCGCTTGGAAACGGTTGACACGGCACAGTTCTCTTTGTCCTCCTCACCCAAGCCTGGACGGTAGACGGCTTCAATGCTGTTGCCGTCGAAGTCTATCACGGCTGCAGAGTAATAGCCAGCAGCATCGCGGACGCACGGCTCTCCGTAGATGGTAGCGCCAGCTTTGAGCGCAGCATGAAAGAAGTCTTGGACGGCTTGGCGGTTGGTGGCTGGGAAAGCGACATGCGCAGCGCCAGCTGGCACTCCAAGGGTCTCCTGCGTAATCCAGAAATCGGCGGGCGCAGGCGAGTCGACTGGGCCAAAGCCAACGGTCTGCTCAGCGCGCCCTCGGTAGCCGTAGTTGAGGGGTTGAAGCGCAGACAAGAAGAAAGACGTGGACGTGGGCAGGTGTGAGACGGTGAGAGTGATAGACGACGGCATGTCGAGTAGCCCGCGAGTAACGATGGAGCGGGGCAGTTGGGAGACCGTTCTGCTCAGAGTCTGCTTTTTGATACCTGTCGGGCGGGATTGTATATGGCTGGTGCGCTGGAGAGGACTGGCTGCCTCAAAGGTAGGGCTGGGAGCCTCGGACCTGGGGTTCAATGGGCGAGACTGACTTCTGTCGACGTTCAGATCTCATCCACGGTCGTAAATGACACTGATGGAAGGAGAGATATGTTGTGAAACGTCGTCGGGCTCGGAAGGGTTGTGGGGAGATATACGCCTTGGGGGTACAAGGACGCCTGGCTTGTGCTCGGAGGAATGCGCGCAAATCAAGCGTGCTGCCGGCTATTGACAAGGGTGATCATGGGACTGTGACCGTGAACCGCATGAATGCTCGGCTAGGGTCAGATGCAAAGAGGCAGTAATAGTCAGAAGTGGAAGGCATGCGAATCAATGACATAGGGACCCAAACAACTTCACCTGTAGCGAGGAGGGGATCTCCTAGGGTGGGTGTGATCGAAGACCTAAAGATTTAGCATTCGCCCTCAGTCATCCAGGTAAGGCAGTGCCCGAAACATTGAGCTAGAGGATAACCACGGGGCCGCGGATACCGCAACAGGGCGCCATGGTCTTGAACGTGAGGCAGCGTAGTCACCCACGGAAGTCACGGGGGATCGAATAGGGTACCCCGGGTAGGCAGAGAGGCGAAGTCCACAGGCTGCCACGTCGAGGGACCACCCAAACATTAGGCGGAAGGAGGTAAGGCGGATGCAGCAAACACGGCGATTGAAGGAAAAGGTGGAGGCGAAGGATCATCTGCATTGTCGGTCGAAGTATGGTTGGCGGAACGGAACGTTTCGTGTTGGGCACCAAGGCAAGATCCACGCCTCTCCAATAGGCGGTCTGAGTCTCTGCCGCCGGGATGAGATTGGTCTGTGACTCCAGAATTTCGCCCAGCAGAAACGTAGCCGAACAAATCGGTCTGAACGGCGGAGAATTCGAAGCGAAAATGATTCGAGCATGTAAAAATGGATTTTTGGAAGATATTTTGACTCTAGGGTCGGCTCCGACAGACGAGGCGAGAGCCGTTGGGTTTGGCGCATGAAGTTCCACGCGTGATCGTTACGTATTCCACCGTGACATTCCGTCATAAGCAACAGCGAATCCATTGCTCAGTTTCGCCGGCGCTATGCAATGCAAACTCATGATGACTTTTGATCCATATCCAGGCGTGGCAGCGATAGACACGTTGAAGTGTCTATCTAAATTGACGAATGAAAGCTCGTCATTGAGATTTGTTGAACCACGTATGTCTTGTTGTAAAAACAAAGCCAGATCCAACACCCTCAATGCGGGTGGCAGGAAGCTCATGCCAGGGAGCCTTGATGTTGCGATCTTGGCTGTTGCAGAGTCCGCCTCGAAGAAAGGAAATCGCTTTTAGTGGGGAAATGCATACCTTTACAGAATGTTCCAGACATCCTCAGCTGCGTGGCAGAACTTGCTGCAGGCCACGCTGGCGCTCAGACTATAGTTGCTGATCGAAATAGCATCGTCCTTGAATGCATCGGCGAAGTCGTCCCGACCTTTGGCCATGGCACCAACAAAGACGCAAATGCTTTCGTTGGGGTCGAGCGTCTCAACATAGTCGCGGACTCGCACGACGTCCGCGTCAAAAGAGAGGGTGACCTTTCTGCATTTTGGAGGCAGATGGTCTGTGATCGGATTCTTGATGACCTTAAGAAGTTTTTCCTGCGAATTCACTGACCTAATGGATAGTTTGTGGAGTAGTTGGACCATTAAGCCAGCGAAACGCTTGAATGTTCGTGGTATACGCACAGTGGGACTGACTTCGATCAAGACACCTTTTGCGGTGTGAATGAAGATCTGAAGCTTGCCGGCTTTGTTGATGGGCGAGTCCAGTAGAGTGAGGAGGCACTGAGGTTCGTGTTAGTCCTGGGTGAATGCAGACCGAGCAGCGGGTAGAAACCTGGTGAGTAATATCCGGTCGAGCCTCGCTGATGTCTCTGCCCATCTTCCGCATAACACCGATATGCTCATCACTATTCAGTAGTGAGAATTTCTCCTCTTTTGAGCCAGGCTTTGCACTGTGTGCTGCTCGGTAAGTCTCCAAGCTGGCGTTGGACAGCACGACGATGAGCCTTTGGGTGTCCTTGTCGTTGTTGGAGATCGGCACGTGCTGCTCGGCCACAAGCCGGGGGAGCTCGGGAGGGGGAAGAGATTGGGCTCCTGCAGTGGTCGGTCAGTCTGACTCCAGAAGAGGCTTCACCTTTGCTCCGCGGCCGAGGTAGGCTACGTACTAGAGAGCTTGCGTTTGAGCGGGTTTGAGGCAGCCATAGCGATAATTGTCGGTGTGAGACAAGGCAGAATGTAAGGTAAGAATAGGAGAATAGTGGTGCAAAGGCAGGTTTTCAAGGAACTGAACACTGGCTCTCACCTCTCCGGTGAGTTTGCAGACTTTGATCGGCGGTGCGCAAAGTTTGGAAGTTGCCGGCGAGTCATGAATGCTCCGCACACGTGATCAGCGCCAAGATAATGAACAAATGCACCATCCGCGGCAACGGAGCTGCACTTCCACCCGCTGGCACCTATCAATTAGAACATGACAGCGGCTGAGGATGTCGAAGAAGGTACGTTTATGGTCTCATCGGTCCGTGCAACAGGCGCCGGCGGAGTTCTAGCAACATCAAAATCGATGGTGCGCTGCATATGGACGTCAATAAAACCCATCGTTGTATCGCTGGCACCATGTTTCCAGGCAGACGAACGATGCACGACGGTGGGGGGCTATGCATAAGCCGAACCTCGCCAACAGGTCCCACGGCACCACATGTGGTTCTACAACTTCACAGATCATGGGTGTCGCCCAGTGGTGCTCCCAGGTCTGACCCAAGGAGGTTCGTTGTTCATGCTCGCGCTCAAAAGTAGTCCGAGGTCTGGAAAAACCAGCCATCGATGGCCACCAGCAGCAAACCGATGGTAGTATCAGCATGGGCACGGCCCCCGAGGCCAGGTGAACGACACTTCTGCGAAAGACAGGCAGACCAGTCGCAGACAGTCGGAGAGCCATCGACCTCGGTCCTCCTTCATACTTCTAGTCCTCCTTCGTCACCACCGACCAATACAGCTTGCCAATGCCCACGGTATGCACTTCCTCACCACTCCTGACCTTCCAGCCCCGTAGCCCCTCCTCGCCCACAGCTTGCACCATCAATGCTTCGATTTCCTCCACCGTTCTCGTCCGCAAACACGAAACCAGGCCATCAAACACCCACACGAACGGCACCAGCGGCACCAAGTAGGTGAAAAACAAATGAGCCGGTCTCCGCCAGAAGTAGATGGGCGCGAGCAGCATAGCCAGCGGCCACAGTAACGACACCATGAACAGCGAAGCAAGGTTGCGGGACTGCAGCTCGAAGATACTGTTTTGACGGAGCGTATAGTCAGCCAGCCTGTCCCCTTCCAAACAGCGTTGTAACGCGCGCAATGTGGCAGCGCAAAGAGAAAAATGAGAAACATACCAAAACGCATCCCCCCTCTCCATCGTATCCCTCAGGACCCTGACCGCCAACTCATCGTCAAAATGATGAAACGCAAGACTAAACAAGCGCATCACCCTCTTCTCGCGGCCCTTCTTCCCAGCTTTCCCCACCCTATCTCCCCCAGGCACCCCCCTAAGCAACACCTCCCTCGCCGGCGCCCTCGTAGCATCCACCCCCTCAGCCACGAACCCCAAGAACCCGCTCCCGCTCTTCTTGACCGCGCCCTCCCACGCCGCCACATGCGGGCTGATGTCCGTCATGACGAACGCCACGGGCTCCTCTCCGCGCGACTCCAGCTGCCGGTTGACATGCCGCTCGATGTAGGGCGTGGGCCCGCCGGAGCCGCTCGCAAAGTCGACGTAGACGTACGAGTGCAGTGTGCGAGCGGCGCCGAGGACCGAGGTTAGCGTTGTGGCGGCGAGCGCGCATGGCGCATGGGTTTGTAGTAGGGGGAGTCGCACGGTCCAGCCTAGCGTGAGGTAGTCTTGCACCATGGCGCGGAGGGGGGATGGCCACCTGTGGGGGGTTGTGTTAGAATGGGGGGCTCAGGTAGTGCTGTAGGTGATAATGCGTGAGGGTTTGGAGCGTGACGCCCCGGTGCCATGTTGTGCAGTGTAGGCAAGGCATCGTTGGGCAAGCGCGTGCCGGTTGACTGACAACGAAGCGTGTCCGTGCAAAGCCCGACGAAGGCGCAAAGGTGGCGGTGATGAAGCCAAAGACGGGAAGGACAAGGGCAACGAACGCACCATGACTGATCATTGATTTCATAGAAGTGCACGCGCGGAAGCCATGCACGCGCGCGTCTGCGTTCATCGCGAGGTCGCCTGATTTGTCGGACGCCGTTCGTTTCGTTGGCCATTTCGGGCGGGTTGGCCTAACGACAGTGTGTGTGGCTCTGTTGGATCTCTGTTTTCTAGGCTCTAACACAAACCAAAGAACATTTCTGATCTAATATTAATTTATCCAGGTGGGAATGGAACTTGCATGACATGAGTGAGGATGATGATGATGGTGATGATGAAGATGAATTGACGGTCGTTGAAGGCTGTGACATGCTGCTTGAACTTTGAAACCGTAGAAATATATTTGCCAACACGGTATGCAAGCTCCGGCCGCGAGCGATACCTCAATCTTTTCACCACTGCTACACACGCCACAAAACCCGGCCTAGGATACGTATACAGCTCTGCTACAGCTCCTCCACGACAAAAAGCCCCATTCCCGCATCAGCTCACCTCCCTCCCTCCCGACGGGCAAACCCAACTCCGTGTCGCGACGCGAGGCCTCGTATCTGAGTCTATCTGACGACATCCAAAAAGACCCTCTCTTTGAGCCCCAAAATGGCCGCCCTCCTCCTCCACCCCGCCACCCGCCCCTTCCTCCTGCACATCCTCATCGAAGTCCCCGCGACGCTGACTTTCCTCCTGCTCCCCTCGCGCCAGCTGGGCCAGCACACGCCACACGCGCACGCCATCGTGCGGCAGTACGCGCTGTCCCTGCTGGCGTCCGTGCTTGTTGCCGCCACGTTTGCCTTTCGTGACACAGCCGAGGGCGAGGGGGCGTCGGATCAGCTGCGTGGAAAGATCGCGGGCGCGCTGGCGGTCTATCACGTGGGACCGGTTGTGCGGGCTGCAGCGAGGGTGGCGCGGCAGGCGCGGCGGGGGGAGCGACTGGTGCTGAGCGAGGCGGGGCTGTATTTGGTGGTTCATGGGCTGGCGGGGTGGGAGTTGGGGAGGGCTTGTTGGGAGGGGTGGTTGGGAGCGTGATGTTTCCAGGAACATGGATGGTGTGAAACGGGAGAGGGCTGGAGTCATAGAGGTCAAATACATGTCGTCTGTCGTTCACTACATGTGTTTCGCGTCTGAGCGTGCCATGTCTATTGGTATCTGTGCATCTAGATTCTGGGAGGAGCCTTCCCTCAATCTACATCCTCGGCCACCAACGTCTCAGCCGGACTTGTACTCCCGCTGCTGGGCCTGGAGCCCATGATGCGCTTGAAGACGGCCATCTCAATCGCAACACCAGGTCCGAATGCCGAACCGATGATATGCTCCGTCGTCTCGCCCTCTAACAGCCTTTTCAGCACGCTGAAGAAGGTCGCGCTCGAGCTGTTGCCATGCCCAATGTAGATTTCGTAGCTGGCCCGCAGATGCTCGGACGTCAAGTTCATGGATTTCTCCACGCCAGACAGAATCGTGGCGCCGCCGGGGTGCAGTGCCCAATCGTACTCATTGGCTTTCAGCTTACCCTGGTCGACGAGCTCCGGGATCGATGAGATGAGGCTTTCGAAGACCTTGGGTACCGCGGAACAGGCGAGTTTCGGCACCCGTTGCGTAAGGACGACTTTCCACCCTACCTCGTTGTCAGCTTACTTCGGCTGTGAGTAGGCCTGTGTGACTTACCAAGCGGGTGAACGTCAAAGCCCAGATCTTGCTCTGTGTCTTCCACAATGCGGTGCTCCCAGCCCAGCACCTCGAGCAGTGGCTCTTCCTCATCGGCTCCGTCTGCCCCCATTTCCCGTTCACTGACGCCGTTTCCCAACACTATCGCACTGGCGCAATCGCTGAATAGGCACAATCCAATTCGCACATCACCGTCCTGCACCACACTCTCCAGCTCGCTCCTAACAAAGGTTGTGCTCACTTCGCACGCCAGCACCAGGATCCGAGCTGGCTTCCCACGAAAGCTGTTTCCCATAGCTATGTTAGCGGCGGTGCGCATCGCCGCCATGCCACCAGAGCAGCCCACACCATGTAGCAGCACTTTCTCGATGCTCTGATTCAAACCCAGTTGTTTGACAACATAGTGGTCGAAGCCCGGGTTAGCCGAGTTGGTGCAGGTGGTGGCGACCACGTGCGTGATCTCCGACAGATCGCCACCCCACTGCTCAATCGCCTTGCGTGCAGCCGCAACAGACAGGGACACGCCAACGTCTAGGAAAACTGCGCATAGTTCGTCAATCGTTGGAGGTTTGGGCCCGTTGACGATCGGGTGATCGATGTCGCCTATCGAGGAGCGGGTATCGATGCCAGTGTAGCAGTTGATAGTGAGAGTCTTTTCGAGTCTTGTGTGCAGGTCAGCATTGAAAGAGACGAGGAGCAGGTCAAATGGTTGAGGCTTGGCAGGCAGTGGATCTGGGGATCAAGCTGAGGCGCACTTACGCAGGGGTGGACGGGTAGAATCGCCGCGCGAGCTGCTCGAGATCATCTGGTTTGATGCTGTTGGGTGGATACTCGACGCCGATACCGTGAATGAAGATCTTTGGTCGTTGATATGGCGGCGTGACCTTGTCTTTGAGAGGGACCGCGGATGGAGACATGATGTCTTGGGCAGGCTGGCCGCAGCCACGCGCCGAGAGTTATCAGATCGTCTGCACTTTATCTAACGAATGTCGCGTATAGACGCTTGCATTAGGACCCCAGAGCTGTCGCCAGTAACGCCGAACCTGGAGGAGCTGGGATGTCGCGTGCGCGGTGTCGGGAAAAGCTGCCGATGCCTCGGCGCCTCAACAAAAACGAGCGGCAAACAGTGAGATGACGATCGACGGTGACCAGAAAGACAGCGCCTTGCCGTACCAGAAGCGTGAGACCAAGTGAGCGTCGCCTGCAAACCAAGAAGACCGAGAGTCCAGATTGAGTCCCTAGGGGCAGTGATGAGGATCCGCGATGAGCTCTCCGTGTTTTATATGCGCCTCATCCTGCTTGCGCGCTTCAGCCTCGCTTGAGAAGCCGCACCTATCAACGCCCATGGAACAGGGGATGGCGATTTCCGCTGGGAACTGTCGTCAGCACAATCGGCTGCCCTGCATTTGGGCAGCTTGGCTGAGTGGTCGTCATCATTGAACATGTTCCCGGCACACGTTTGATAGTGGCATAGTTTACGAGGGTGGGTGCCCGCCTGGAAGCTACCGCTCGGGGCGCCGCGGACCACGCATGATGTTCACACCTACATAAGTACCCATCTTTTAGTCACAGGTCACCTCGATCTAGGCAGCATGGAGGATTGCCTCAACGCGCCGGCTTCGACTCATCAGAGCGCTGACCCCTTCCGCCCCCAGAAGCCTATTGACTCCGAGAACACTCGCGCACGATTTCAAAGTGGCAAGCTCCTTTTTCTTCGATAAGCAACATATCATATTCGTAGGGCATAGAAGCCTCTCTCGCTCGCTCGCCAGCCCCATTCAACCATGACTATCCTCCTCCGACATCTACATCAGTAAAGTAGAGGCATCGTCTACGAAGCCCCAGCCCCGAATTGTCCTTGAATTCCAGCCCTGCCGCGTGCTGCCATAGTGGCGAGATCTGCTTCAAGCTTTGGAGTCTTACCTGCTTTACGAAGTCCTTACCGAGGCTTTCCTCCTGGGACTTCTGGCATCCACGTGGTGGCAGAGTGGCGAAGCGCTATGTCGTGACATACGGTGCACAAGTACAAACGGTCTGACGGGAAGGCAGCTCGGTCATTGGGCGTAGAGCCTTTCGCCACAGGGTGGGGGGCACGCGTGAGAGTGGCTGTGCGCTGGCTAGATAGACATCTTACAGATGCTGCATGGACTGAAGCCCGAATGGCCGTACTTGAAGGATAGTCGGTCTGCGAGAGAGTACAGAAATGGATGAAATTGTGGTGTGTGAATGTTGCGCTAGGTGATAGGGGTGTTGGGGGGAGCAGGGGGCCCTATAGGCCTTTCTTCTAGGTAAGGCTCGGTAAATGTTCTGTTTTGGGAATACTTCTGGCACTGCCGCGACTGCGCTGGCACTCACGGCCCCTAATTCTATACGGAATACACGGACCCAGATCGCCTGATTGGGGGTTTTCAGGATAGCAATTGTAGTAGGTTCGCTACGACGGTGATTTGATCGTAGTCAAGGCTCAAAACGGGTCTGAAGGTGACGAAGTTGTGGTCTCATGCGGGCTGTCCTTTGATCTCCATTCCGGCGTCTCCTCCTCTATTAATCTATCTGATCATATATGATACAGTCTAATGCCTGGCTAATATGCAACCAACTCGCCTTGAAATACAGTAAAACGCCTTTTCCATGCGATACTAAAGAGTAAACCCCTTCTTTCAGCTTTGCGCAAAGGTTGACCTCTCACGCAGGGGCTTGCCGTACTTCCACAGGAGTACCATGCCGACATTACAGATGACCATGAGGCCAGCGCAGAAGCTGACTCCGCCGTCGACGCCGAGTGCTTCGAGCATGGGCCTGCTGTAGAGGATGGCGGCGAAAGCGAAGACGCTTCGGCTCAGACTGTTGGCAGCGAATATACTCGCAGCATACCGGGGGTAGATCATGGGAATGTACATGAGAATACTCTGCGCAATGCAGTAGATGCCCACAATAACTGTTCCGAGACCTATCGTAGGCGCAATCCAGTGTACACTAGGCCTGTATTTGGGTCAGCAACGGTATTAGCAGGGTAGCAGAAGATATACCTTGAAGTCCAGGCGTAAATGAACAGTCCAATGGTGATGAGCGGTCCAGAAAACACGCCGGCAAGGAGATGATTCTCCAGCTCGCCGAAAGTGCCGTTCATCAGTCTGGGAAACGCACGCTTCACCATATAGGTGATGTGTAGGCAGAAGCCGATCATGGCGCCCAAAATGACAGCCAGGAATATCAATGATGTGTTCGTTGCCGGGAAGTTGTAATAGACCGGGTACACTAGCGGCAGCGATTCGAAGAAGGAATAGAAGATGCCGTACACCAATCCAATATAGATCGTGGTGAACAGCAACGCGGGGTCCTTGATGTTCATCTCCCACGGCTTGATGATGGCATCCCAGAACAGCGCACCCATGCTCAGGCCCTTCTGCTTCTGCTCTGCCTCGGATGTGACGTTGATGTCGCCTTCCTGCTTGAGACGCTTCACGCGGTAGTACAGGATGGTCTGCGGCGAGGTTTCCGGAAGGCAGAAGAGGACAAGGATGATGACGGGGCCGGACAGCATGAGCAGGATCCAGCTGTGCCAATGCCAGTCGTCGAAGTGGGCAATGGCGTACGCGGAGAGCGTGGGTCCGAGTGCTGGCGACGCTGAGGCGACGAACGACCAGATGGCGATGGCAAAGGGCATCATCGGCGGTGCCCAGATGTCGGTCAGGGTTGCTCCTGCGGTTGCTAGCAGGGGAGAGCCCATGAAGCCGATCAGGAAACGCAGGACCATGAGGCCGGCATAGTTGTCGATCAACGATGATGGGATGCAGAGGATCACGAAGAGAATGCCGGAGATGGCATATGGTGGGTTGCGGCCGACGGCAGGGATCTCCGAGAGTGGTGAGAAGAGGAGAGAGCCGGTGCCGTAGCCTAGGACGTAGAGAGCCAGGCCGAGAGCGCCTTCCAGATGGTTGACGCCGTATGCATCCTGGATGTACGGCTGGGCGGGCGAGTAGATTGAACTGCCGACGTAGACGGCGAAGGTGTAGGCACTGACATGCGTGTTAGAAGGTGGTCCGGAATGATCGTGGAGGAAATACTGACCTAATAAGCAGGGTGATCCAAATCTTTTGCGACATTGGCCAGTTCTGTGGGTTGTCGGGGTCATCTGCATTGACTCAGCATTGGCCGTTGGTGGAGGAGAATACGATATTACCCTTGCCGTTCCATGTCACGATACGCAGCTGTCTGCCAGAGATGGTGCGCGCCACATTTGTCTCAGCATCCCGCTCGATCTCCTTCTCGTCCTTCTCGGTATCGGAGGATTCAGGGGGCGGAGTGACTGTGGCATCTTCAGCAGCCTCCTCGGCGATAGCTTCAATATCTTTGACATCCAAATTCTGACGGGAGAAGGTCGGAGTCTTGCCACGACAGATGGTGATGAAGACTCCCACAGACGAATTACGAATCAGACTGGCCATCTCGAACACGAATATGAAAGATTAGGGCGTGCGACGGTTGGGCGCCATGTAAGCGGGAGATAACTCTCTTCATTATATACGGCATGTCCACGCTCGACCACAACTACAGGATCAGCCATAACCATGGCTCATCCGTAGCACTTCGGACGAAGCGAATGCGAGAAAAGAGATGCTGACAGTGGCCAAGGGGGAAGTCATTCGCGGAGGCAACGTTATGCTCCGCTCAGGCAGACAGCAGAGGAGGCTAATCGTTGAGTTCATGCTGGACTCACGATAAAGTTCCAGCGGAGAACGCGTGAAACTCCACTTCGTCATGTTGTGTCAGACATACGCAAACGCACAAGACTTGGTATGTCCGGTGTGACTGAGCTGAGATGGACAAAATCGTTGTCGAGGAGGCGTAAAGACACCAAGTTCAGGCGGGCAATGGCTGATCCGCTGAGCGATCACGGCGGAATGCGGAACAGTTTTGCGGCCCGCAGATAACAACCAAGTCCGCCGTAATGTCCAGAATCCTGTTCAGGGTTCAGGGACTTCGGACGTGGAAATTATGATTATAAGCAGCCAATGGTCGATGAGTCACTCCCAATTTTTTCGTATTCGATGCGTTAGGTTTCTGCCGTCCAACTCACTGCGTGTTGGGAGGCTGTTTGAGCAAAGGTCGTTGCTGATCGTCGCCCACTAGTCCCAAACGAGTGCTTGGAGGTCTGCGATACCGCACTGGACATCTTTTCTGACTCTGCAGAGAGAGGCTCTGGCGAGCTTGCGACTGTATTAGGATACCAGTGCGGGTACGCTTAAATGGGGAATTTCCTCATGGATATACCCACGAATGATCCGGGTCACGAGGAGCTGCATCAAGTGTCGGAGACCGCATTGTGATGGTGATGGTGATGGTGATGGTGATGGTGATGGAATCACTGCAGCCCGATCTTGGCATTTGCCTCAGCCTCGTCAACGTTGCCCGTGCATCGTGCATCGAGCATTTCATCTATTTTGGATTACCTCAAGCTTGATAGTTCTACCATTACTGTCATATCACGGCTGCAGCTCTTAGGAACCACTGTCTCCTGAATGGGACCAACAGCTGACCCTTTACCGAACTTTTGTTGAAAAATCTGCATTAAATCCGCCGCATGTTGGATTCAGCACGTCCATGCTGACTTCCGCCCACGACTCATGCTTCTGGCCGGCTTGTTTTGATTGCCAGTGAGACCGTTGCATGCATCCAAGTATGAGTCACAAATTCTCCATGTTGACATCTCATCCACTACCGCCATATCCATAAAACTATCTACCTAGTGCCGGGTTTCCTATGCACCATGTGGTGGCTACTATTGGTAGGCCTACTTTCGCTTGCTCTCACCTACCAATTTTCTGGGAGGCCTAGGGCACGTCGTGATGGGACGTCTCTCCCGTACGTATCCGCTCATCCGGCGAAGTGCTGTAATTTGCTTATAACTCCATCAACAGCTGCCCACCAGATACTCTACCACTTCTTGGCAATGCCATCCGCTTCTTGCAACCCCGTCATGTGCTCTTCTCCTGGTTCGTCGACCAACAAGCCCGCTATGGAGACGGTACGTACGAGATATCAGTCCCATCTCTGCCACCAGGAGTGGTCATCTCCAGCCCTGCCAACCTCGAATTCGTCCTGAAGAACGAAACCCTCGTCACAAAGGGTGATTTCTTCCGCTCTCGCGCTTGGGATCTCTTTGGGCACGGCATCATTAACGCGACAGGCCCTGTATGGCGTGCCCAACGCAAAGCCGGCCTACGCTTCTTCAGCGGCACCACACTCGAAGCCCTCGTCGACGATGTTCTGCCAGAACTCTACCATGACGTCGAAAACACCCTCCTCGCCGCTTTCCAGTCCGGCGAAACCCTCGACCTCCAGCGTGTCTTTCACGATCTAACCACCAGCATCATGGGCCTAATGGCCTACGACATGCACATCACATCCGCGCACCCCTTCTCCCAAGCCTTCAACCACGCCTCTGCGCACATCGCTTCCCGCTTTCAGAACCCGCTCTATCCCCTCACCGAGCTCTTCTCCGGCGGCCCCTTCCGCCGCGCTGTCCGCGAAGTCAAGCGCTTCGGCCTCTCCATCGTGACCACAGCCAAAAAGCGTCGCGGCCACGAGGCCTTCGCCTCCCTACTCGAAGGCACCGAGACCCCCCACTTCGGCACGCTAATCGACTCGCTGATCGAATCCCTCGACTCGGACCCCACCCTCGTCGCAGACGCCGCCATGAACTTCCTCTCCGCCGGCCGCGACACCACCGCCGAGTCCCTGACCTGGACTTTCTACGCCCTACTGCGCCACCCCGCCGCCCTCGCGCGCCTCGAATCCGAGATCCGCGCCGCCTTCCCACCAAACAACACCAAGGAAGAGGTCGCCCCTATAACGATGGCGGGCCTCCAGCCCGCACACATCCCCTACGTCATGGCCGTCTTCTACGAAGCCCTGCGCCTCTACCCGCCCGTCCCCATCGAGATCCAACAGGCCGCCGAGCCCCTCACATTGCCGGACGGCACGCACCTCCCCCGCGGCGCCGTGCTCGTCTGGTGCATCTGGGCTTTAAATCGCTCCCACAAACTCTACGGTCCGGACCCCGAGGCCTTCCGCCCTGAACGCTGGCTCGATGACGCCACCGGCAGATTCGTGCCGCCGCGGGATAACTGGGTGTTCCCGGTGTTTAATGGCGGGCCCAGGGCGTGTTTGGGGAGGAAGATGGCGGAGGTCTTGGCTTGTTGGGTGCTAGTGAGGGTGGTGAGCGAGTGGCAGTTCCGGGAGGTGGGGATGCAGAGGGAAGATGGGGATGGGCTGCGGGAGCGGGTTAGTGGGCTGAGCTTGACGTTGCCAATGGAGGGGGGCTTGCCGGTTAAGGTGATGAGGCAGAGGCGGCGGAAGGGAGGTGGTGGGGTGGAGGCGAACCTGGAGAGGAGTGCTACGGGGAATGAGTAGTAGAAGCGTGAGGGTAGATCGTTGAGAATGGGACGGGCCTGTAGTTAGGTGGGTATTGACTGGGAAGGCCGTGGCGGTCATGCTCGTTCCACGTGTCGTATTATATACACCATTGTCCCCCTCTTCCAACGCCCGAACGGGCGGCAAACGGGCGACCTGCTACGCTGATATCTTACACCTCATTATCCGCCGTTGCGACGCTGGCGTACATCATCCCTCCGCGATTGCGCAACCGCATCGGCACATCATACAGCCTGCTGTAGTCCACCACCTCGCCCCCCAGATAGCCCTCGCCATTGACCCGCCGCCCAAACACCGGGGCCGGATCGCACCAGAAGTCCTTGCAATTGCCGATCAGACCACGGGAGAACGGGTTACCGCGATCCAGGCTCTTCATCTTGCCGTGACTGGCATCGCTCGCCGTCGCGAGGAAGACATCCAGCCCGATGGTGCGCTTCCATTTAGTCCAGCAGCCTTCGTGTCGAGGTGCGGGTTGCAGGCGCGTAGACGACGCGGCGGTGTCGTTGAGACCGTCGGTCAAGTGTGAGTGGCCTTGAGTGATCGGATGGCGTGGCCGATGAAGAGGAAGGTGGGGATTCGCCTCGCTGTGCGAGTGGCGCTTCATGTTCTCGTACGTGGTCATGTTCTTGGATATCTGTATTGATTGCACGACGACCAGCATCGCGATCCAGACAAGCTGTAAGAGCGCCCAAAGAGATAAAGCGACCGTGTAGGGATCGCGGAGAGTGAACTGGCAAACGGCGGGCGAGAGGATATGACAGGCATCAGAGGCTTCTTCTGGTGGAGCGGGCAACGAGAAAATGTAAACAACCACAAGGTTCGTGAAAATTGCAATGCCGAGAGCCATGGAGATGATATACGTGAAGAAGTGGCGGTGGTTGTTGTTGGCAACGCAATTGTTGATCCAAGGGCAATGGTGATCTTGTTTAGCAACGCAGCGGCCGCATCGACGGCAATGTTTGGAGCGCAAGGGTTTGCGGATCATGCATTGCAGACAGAAATTGTCTTCGTCAAACTTCCACAGCGAGAAGAGCTCTGTGATGACAGCACGTTGTTGGTTGCGTGATGACAGCTTCGGAACCCAGCCGGGATCTTCGGTTGCGGCGATGGTGTAGAAGTAAGCCGTCAATCCGTAGAAAACGACGAAAAGTAGGTTCGAGAAAGGGTTGCTGCCGAATGTCGCAGGAAGAATAGCAGTAAAGTAGCTGATTCCAACCCAGAAGAGCGTACCAGAGAATACGCCGGCAAGATAGGGTGTTTTGTGGATTTGCCGATATTCGGGAAGTCCTCTGTTACCAAGGAACTGGGCTCCCCATTGCATGGCAAACACGGCCGCAAATGCCAAAGGCACTGCGATGTAAATTGTGTAATGGCTGATAATGTACAGGCCAACAAAGACGATTAAGAAGGGGTATAAGAAGAAAAACTTGGACATCTTCGACCGATCTCGAAGAATCGGTCCGAGCCCAAGTGGAAGTACTCGTGCGTTGCCGTCCGGACCATAACCTTGATCAGCCAATGCGCGGTGAAACTGCCTTTGTGAGTTCATTTCTGATGCAACTGCTGCGGGTGTTTTGCCGTCGTTCGTTTTGGCCTGTCGATCTGCTCCATACTCGATTAGTCGTTCAATACACGGCTTCGAACCTTTGACGAGCGCCCAATGTAAAGGTGTGAAGCCGTTGTCGTCTGTGGCATTTACGCTAGCACCCCATCTTAGTAAGATATCGGTCAGGGCCGGCCAGCCTTTGTACCCTGCCCACATCAAGCTGGTATGTCCTTGGGGGTCTGGCGCATCGACAGGGATATTTTGGTGTAGCAGGAGGACCAGTAGTAGAGCATTGCCGTCGATGGTCGCCAAATGTAGTATATTATAACCTTGTACATCCTGGGCCAGAGGATCTGCGCCGTTCTCCAACAATAGATGAACAATGTAGAAGTGGCACCTCTGCGCAGCCCACATAGCAGGTGTAGCACCAGAATCGCCTCCTTTTTGGTTCACATTCGCACCTTGCTCAATCAAGTACTTGCAGGCGGCATACTGGTTGTTGATGGCAGCCCAATGTAATGGGGTAATGCCTTCATCGTCGGCATATTTGGGGTCGACCTTTTTTGATTCGATCAACTTCTGGATATGTTCAATTGCACCCAAACGAGCGCATTGCATGATATCCTCCTCAAGAGGAAGACTCGGTGCTGGCGTGCCATTCTGCACGGGTGTGAGTTCAACGTCGCTTTGTGGCTGGGGAGTGGTAGAGGATGCTTTCGGAGGTGGTGGTACAGAGGACATGACGATTGAGTGGTGTTACTGGAGAACCAAGTGCTTGTACATTCCGGTCAGTTCACTCGGGAAAGGAAAACGAATATAGGTCAGCACAATAATCGCGAGTCCAGCTAGAATGACTCCTGAATCCTGCTGCGCTGAGCCCCAGACGTCGTCGCAATGCTGCAGCTCGCAGCCTTATAGAATGAGCCTTGTCGGTGTGCCTCAGGGGCCTCTGATCCGCCGTAGAGGTACTTAGTGGCTTGGCGACTTTTGCAAACCTCCTTCAATGTTCCTCCGACCCTCATGAAGCTCCTCTGCATCAACTCACTTCCTCTCCACTCCCTTTGATCTCCTTCCATCTACCCATCTCGAGCTCGAGAGTTGCTGGTTAAGCTTCTCGAGTAGGCAGGATGATGTCCAGAAACATGTTGCGCCAGTCCGGCCGCATCGCCGCGGCCATCTCTCGACCAGCTGCTGTAAGCTCCTATCCGCATCCGACCAGCCGTGGAAGCTCTCAAAACATCTGCGACACATACTCAGAGCTTCAGCTGGCCTTTACGAAGCATGCCGGCGTCTCTGAGAGCTGTCAGCGACATGCTTGGGGCTATCCGCGCTGTCACTGGAGCTCAATGCTAACTTCAAAATCTGCAGGCCCGTATCGCAGCTCCCTCCACCATCACTGCTGCCTCCAAGCAAGCCCGGTCCTACGCCTCCGATGCTAAGGCCTCTCCCACCGAAGTCTCCTCCATCCTCGAGCAGAGAATCCGCGGTGTGCAGGAAGAGTCTGGTCTTGCTGAGACCGGTCGTGTCCTGTCCGTTGGTGATGGTATTGCCCGTGTCTATGGCATGAGCAATGTCCAGGCTGAGGAGCTGGTCGAGTTCGCCTCCGGCGTCAAGGGCATGTGCATGAACTTGGAAGCCGGTCAGGTCGGTGTTGTGCTTTTCGGTTCCGATCGTGAGGTCAAGGAGGGTGAAACTGTCAAGCGTACTGGCCAGATTGTGAGACTGCTCTGAAAAACCATCAGACCATACACTAACAGCTACAGGTCGACATTCCGGTCGGTGAGGCTATGTTGGGCCGTGTCGTCGATGCCCTCGGCAACCCCATCGATGGAAAGGGTCCCATCAAGAGCTCTGGCCGCATTCGTGCCCAGGTCAAGGCCCCCGGTATTCTACCCCGCAAGTCCGTCAACCAGCCGGTACAGACAGGTCTCAAGTCTGTCGACGCCATGGTCCCTATCGGCCGTGGTCAGCGTGAGCTGATCATTGGTGATCGTCAAACTGGCAAGACTGCTGTCGCCCTCGACACCATGTTGAACCAGAAGAGGTGGAACGATGGTAGCGATGAGACCAAGAAGCTCTACTGTGTCTACGTCGCCGTCGGCCAGAAGCGATCAACCGTTGCCCAGCTCGTCAAGACCCTCGAGGAGAATGACGCCATGAAGTACTGCACTATCGTTGCCGCCACTGCCTCCGAGGCTGCTCCTCTTCAGTACATCGCTCCCTTCGCTGGATGTGCTATTGGTGAATAGTAAGTGTCTCAATAAACTCGAACAGGGACGAATGGGCGAGCTCTGGGAAGTCTGCGACTTATGTCTCAGATATTCACTCTCAGAGCTCTTCTTGCTATCCCTGATTCCCCATAGCCCCTCATTGGTTGCGATACGAGTCTGACTTGAATACAGCTTCCGCGACAATGGCAAGCACGCCGTCATCATCTACGATGATCTGTCCAAGCAGGCCGTCGCTTACCGTCAAATGTCTCTCCTGCTCCGTCGTCCTCCTGGGCGTGAGGCTTACCCCGGTGACGTTTTCTACCTCCACTCTCGTCTTTTGGAGCGTGCCGCCAAGCTTAACGACAAGCACGGCGGTGGTTCCCTCACTGCTCTGCCCATCATTGAGACCCAGGGTGGTGATGTGTCCGCCTACATTCCTACCAACGTCATTTCCATCACCGATGGTCAGATCTTCTTGGAGTCCGAACTTTTCTACAAGGGTGTCCGTCCTGCCATCAACGTCGGTCTATCCGTCTCCCGAGTCGGCTCCGCTGCTCAGCTCAAGGCCATGAAGCAAGTCGCCGGTTCGCTCAAGCTCTTCTTGGCTCAATACCGTGAAGTCGCCGCCTTCGCTCAGTTCGGTTCCGATCTTGATGCCGCCACCAAGCAGACGCTCAACCGTGGTGAGCGTTTGACCGAGCTCCTCAAGCAGAAGCAATACTCTCCTATGGCTGTCAACGAGATGGTTCCTCTCATTTTCGCTGGTGTCAACGGTCATCTCGACTCCGTTCCCGTCAACAAGATTCTGCAGTGGGAGGCTGACTTCCTGTCGCACCTCCGAAGCGACAAGCAAGACCTCCTCCAGCAGATCGACAAGGAGGGTCAGCTCAGCAAGGACCTCGAGGCTCACCTCAAGGAGACTGTCCAGAGCTTCACCAAGAGCTTCACCTCATAGGTATGCCTCGGTCTATCGAAAATTTATGTTGCGATACTGACAGGCGCCCGGCAGACGTACCGAAGCGTGAAAGCATGTAAACTTTTGGAGGGTGGTGCTGATGCTGGAGCAGCAGTCGAGAAGGAGGCAACACCAAAATCTCGAGACACCATGCAGCAGTACGGTGACACGTTGGGGGTCAACTGCTGAGCGATTCATTGCAATCGTACAAGTCGGTGCCTCTTTGTAATTAGATACATACCTCCAATCGATTCCGTTTGTCGTCACTGAAAAGCGATCTAATGCTCTCTGAAGACTCGGGTCGAGACCTTCTTATGCAGCTGACTTATTGTACAAACTGTGGCGAGCGTCTTCTGTACCATCTCCCACCCCGTCATGAACAGCCCAGCAGAGTCGATTTGCTGTCTGCTTCACTCGTTTGTTTGCTTATGGGTGCCAGGGTGCCTGTAGATGGGAATGGAGACATGTTCGAGCCGCCCGCCACTATACAGTAATTTTCCAATGCCCCCTCCCCCCCCCCCCCCCGGTGATGCTCAGGCTCCTCCATCCCATGAAAATTGAAATCGGCAACGAGCGAGAGAGCCGATGTGCAGATAGATTCATGCAAGGGTCGAGCTGTTCACGCGTTCACGCCCACGCCCACACTTTCACACTTTCACGCTTTCACGCTTGTGTCGGTCTCCACCTCTACTAGAGTACATAAGCACTTCGTGATGCGATGGTATGCATCTCTACGGTTCCTATACTGGAGGCTTGGCGGCATGCTGGGCGGCAGAAGCAAGGGAAAGCGGAAAGCTAGTCATGATGAGTGCAGGACGATGGAGCGCCTGCAAAGGGTACCTCGAGAGGGTGGAAGGACTGGTGACGGCGAAAGATTGCTCAGGTTTGTTTTTGGCTATGGACTTCTGATCATCTTGGTTCTTCAGTTCCATACTGGCTGTGCTGCAGGTCTGTCGTCGGGAGTGGAATTCGTACCGCAAGAGTCAGACCCAGCAAGCCACCGCGTGGATGTGTTACGGGGTTGGAGACTAACTTGCAGGTGTGCAGCCCCAGGTGAGGGAAACCTCAGAGGAGGTTGATGCTTCGCATGGGACCAGATGCCGCATGTTGTTTGCGTGAGTATCAAGCCCACGGCTGGCGGTAGCGAGTATATCGCTTCTTTACCTCTAGTGGGCGCATGAGCTGACGCATTGGCCGTACGCCACACGCGCTATGCCTGGACTCATCTCACTGTTTCTCATCGCTCCCTTGAAGGGGATCATATCGACTTTTCACAAATGCAAAAGTCCGCCCAAGTCACGATCGCTGCTATGATCTCTCACGCGCGAGTAGATCGAGTCCCCAGGGCCCCAGACGCCGAAGTTTCTGGGCCCCAGCAGTGACGTCTCGAGCGATCTACAAGTGGAAGAGGGTGCGTTTTCCGCTGAGTCGACAGTCAAAGCGATTCACACCCCCGACTGAAATGAGCCACTCAGACGATGGTGTATTCCTGGAGATAGTCCGCTCCATCAAAGTCGAAGGGCTCGGGCGGCTGGCCGTAGTTTGCGAGGCTGAAGAGCTCTGGCCTCACGCAGTCTGGAACCGAATCATGATCCATCCACAAATCGAATCGCCCGACTCGCTGGAAGATCTGCGCGTGTATGTTGGGTCTATCGTCCTGGATTTGACGGAGGATCAGGCCGCGCAGGCCCCAGTATCGATTTCCGAGATCATTCGCACGTCCCTTGAGGGATTTCGCTGTAGTCCTGCTTGCTATTATCACCCCGGTGTAGCCTGAAGGAAATACTTGGCATGCAGATGACCAGCATCTTCTGATGGTGTTGTAGGTAGTATAAGTTAACGGGTGTCCCGGTATCGCCTCTGTAGCGCGGTCGCTCGATGATTGGACACACCAAACGGCGCCGTTAGACGCAATTCCAAGTGCCTTGTTTCCAGAATCTCGTAACAGTCTCACCCCCGACGCCTTGATCTTGATGTAACCCTCCAGAGATTTCTGGTCAGACCGATGCTGAGGTTTTCTGCATCCGATGGATACAGACTTCGCAACAACACGGTCAAGATGGTCGTTGAAGATGGATAAGTCGTTCACGAGGCCATCGCTGGAGGCCCATGACCAGGACGGATACCTGAGGGACGTTTCTGGCCGCGGCGCTGCGGTTCTGAAGACAGACCACAGCAATGCTTGCGGTAGCAGCTCCTGCCATAGACCGGCAATCCAGTGATAGCCAGTGATCTGAGAGTATCTTGAAACGACACCATTGATTGCATGGAGCTTGTCGTCCGGGTACGTCAAGTCCAAGCTGGTGTATTTACAAAGCACCCGGTGCCAAGTGTTCGTTCTGAGAGCAACAGACTGCTGATTCTTGCTGAGAGGCTCATGGGTTGAATCTTTGTGCAGTTGCAGTCGTGCTCGTAGCGGCACGAGTGATTTGTCATGGGCAGAATACATGTGTGAAGAATCCTCGAATACCGCCCTGTCCGAATGTGAGCAAAGCTCTGGATAAAGCTCACTCCGCCGACCACCAGCACACTCCCAGAAGATGTGTTGCGCCCCAAAGAAGAGAGTTCGGCGTGCCAGAAGCCTTTCCTGATATACCCAGCCGCGGCGAAGTAGGGCTGCATTCTCGACACCATCTTCCCAGTGGGCCCGGTCAAGAATCCTGGTTCTGGATTCGGATCTGAGGCTACCATCGGTGATTAGAGTGGATAGCGGGCCACAGCCGACGCTGTAGCGGCTGAAGAACAGGTGGTCGGGGTCGCCAACGACCGCTGCAATATTAACGCTACCTCCAGCGTAGATTCTGCCCATCTGTTGAAACTCACTGTGCAACTCCTGGACATTGTCTTGCATCAAACACAAGCTGTCCACCCAGAGATACCGTATTGATAGCGCCTTCACCACCTGCAGGGCTTCTTGAATAATATTCGGAAACGCTGAACAAGGCAAGCCGTTGCGTAGGTTATGCTCGTTATCGGCTGTAAGTCTGAACATCTCCGTAGAAGGCCCCCACCTGTGACTGAGAGTGCAATAGCCTGAGCCAGCTTCCAATGCCGCTGAGCCATCTACCAAGCGTACACGATTACATTGCGCCTCCTCGTAAATCTCCAACAGTCGTCCGGGGAGGTAGCAGTCTCGGGTTCCTAGGCAGGAATGATGCCATTCATCGCATTCTCGAAGCCAACGCCTAGCCAAGTGGAGCACTTCATCGCTACCAGAGTAGCCGGCTATATCAGAAGACACTGGGTAAGCATCTATATCATGGGGAACATCATGCTGCAAAAAGTCGGTCCCAATAGAGCCCACACCTAGGATCTGTGTTAATAGTCCTGTAACATACGCCGGGTACGACAAATCAACCATAACCTCAATTTCGACGTATGGTCTGGCCCACTTCGTCCGCAACAAGACTTGCGCTAGTCTCTGGCAATGCCGACATCCTTTGTCTGCCCTGTAGAAGATCGTTTGCTTTCTGACACTGACAACAGGCAGGTCCCTCCGTTTAGGGCTCTCGAGCGCTTCTCGAAACCAGGCCGTGCATCTCCCACAGTACATTGACACAACAGATTCGGGGGGTTCTCGTCTAGTGTATGTCACAGGACGGTTGGGAGGGTAGCGGTAGTCGAGAAAGAGTGGCCGATTTAGGGGCGTCCATGCTTCGGCAGAGAGACAAGAGCATCGTTCCCGATCTGACGGACCTCATGAGGACTGCCATCCACGACTGGCTCTGCATTGAAGTCGAGACCGCAATGAGCTAGGACGAAACAGAGCTCAAGCGCCGCAAATCAAGTGCCAAGCAGAGCGCAAAAACCCCCCAAAGTGCCTGCAGCAATAGTGGCACGAAGGAACCGAGACCTTTCGACGCCTCACCCCGCAGTACGCATGCATGCACGCCAGACACAAAAGGTCTTTTGCCACGTAAATAAGGCCTGGAAATATCGACCGATCCTCAGCTTGAGCGGAGATCCTAGCCTATCAGACCATCTGGCGTTGTGATGGCCTTGAGACCATGTGTCGCCGGCTTGCCTGGCTGCGTCTCGTCACAGCGAGCGTGGTCGAAGATGCACGGAAGGTCAGTGGCCGGTTTTGGCACGCAGCATGAGAGAGCTATGCAGATCTGCACGATCGAACACCATCGACCATTGTAGATTGCAGAGGAGGGGATAATGAGATGGGGTGAGATGAAGGTTTCGTCATTAACGCGACGGCAAGCGGCAGTCGATCCTGCCGTCCTGGCGTGGACGAAGATGTGCCCTCCGGGCTTTTCTACCGAGATCTACGCAAAGAAAAGCAAAGCAAAGCAAAGCAAGGCATAGGAAAAGGACAAGAGCGACAACAATCTTGGTGTAATCGATCAATTGATCAAATTGTTCTGGTCTACCAGGTGAGCTACTTATGAAGCCCATCCTTCTGTTGTATCAGTGAATAGAGAGTAGCAGTTTCCCTAAAACCTGCTCCATCCATCAAACCTCAGACACCGAGTGCTGACAATCTTCGCTCAGTCTGTCGTCCACTTCTTCTTTCCATTATCGTCACAACACTCAACCTCTCGACATCCTCTTTTTTTGGAAGATCGGGGAGTGACAGGAGTAATTCTCCTGACGAACGTTGTAGAATACAAAACCAATTTCATTCCTGCTAAAACTCCTGATCCGTCACATTCGTATGATTCATTCTGCCCATATTCCCAAAAGCAGGTAGTCCAACGGTGGCAACATCTAATTGGCACCGTAGTCGTAGTTGGACTCACTCTCCGAGTAGATCTCGTCAATGAGCTCCTTCTCCACGGCAGCGTGGAACTGTTCGTCGTTCTGCATGATGGGGAACAGAGTGGCGTTGGCGGCAGAGGGATTGGTAAAAGCATTCCTGCCGCTATCACCGACGCCACTAAACAGATCGAAATCATGGTCTGGGGCAGCCGTGGTGCCTGAGATCAGGGGGTCGTCGAAGAAGACGTCACCACCGTCGTACATGTTCGACTGCTCAACATCCTGGTACATGGGCGATGGGTTGGAGATGGACTGATGACGGGAAACTGACTGCAAGAATGACTCTGGGGTAGGCAGACTGGCATAGTTGTCATACGGAGTGGTGTAGTCCATGGCAACATCCATATGAGCCGAGAAAGGTGACTGGCCGGTGATGTTGCTGTAGGCAGGAGTTGAGGGAGTCATGTTGCGGTGGCTGCTGACTGGCGAGATGTAGCTATTGCCGGGAACAAAGCTGTTGAAGTCAAAGGTGCTCTGTTGGTAGGCGTCACTGCGTGGGAAAATGGCAGAGTGGTTGGATGCCTGGCCGTAACCTTCGAAGGCTGACAAAGGCCGCTCAAATGGAGTCACCTGCGCGCTGGTGATGCTGGGGCCTGCCAGGCTGACCGAACGAGAGCGGCTTTCATCCCAAGCACCAGAGGTATAAGACATGGGGCTCTGCATGCTCGAGTTGTAGTCGAGGGCAGGAGTCTGGGGCGTTTGACCAGGCGTCATCTTCATGGTCATGTTCTTGTCTTTTCCCTTTGCACGCTCGTAGTTCCAGCTGTGTTTCTTCTCCATGTGCTGCTTGCAGTTGGACTCGCGCTTGGTCTTGAACTCGCAGAATTGGCACTGGTAGAAGTGAGGATTGGGGTCGTGCTTGTCGTTGATGTGACGATCACGCTCCTTTTCGGTTGGCAAGCCCATCTCGCTGTACTTGCAGTCCTTGTGAGGACACTTGAAAGGGCGCGAGTGAGTCTTCTCATGTTTGGCGAGATCACACTTGCGAGTGAAGATCTTGTCGCATCCTGGATCAGAGCATTGCATCTCGATGATCTCAGGGATGACGCCCTTCTTACGGCGAGCCATGGAGCGAGCGACATCTTCGTCGTGCAGGCTGCTTGCAGAACGCTTGATGCCAGGGAGGGGGGTATATTCTTCTCCTGTACGAAGAGAAGTGGCCCTGCCATTCTTCCAGCCGACAAGTTCTGCCATGTTGCCGGTTGTGCTGAGACCACCTTCCAAGGTGACCTCGTCGTAAGGTGAATCGAAGGAGTCGGTATCAAGTTCACCAGACTCGGTCTGGGTGTGGCCTATTTGTGAGGCTAGTCTGCCAACTTGTTGCACAAGGTCGAGGAAGTAACCGTTGTCGTATGGACGGTCGTCTGCTCGACGTTGCTCGGTTTCAGGCAGTTGTTGGTAGGTATCAAGGACGAGCTGGATCGAGAACTCGCCAAAGGTGCGGTAAAGTTGAGGTGTGATGTCAAAGGTCTTTTCAGACGTTGGGTCAGACGGCGAAGATAAGCTGGAGAGGACACTGCTTACCAGAGGCTGGAAGATGAGGGAGCGCTCAATATCGCGCAAGCATCTGTTTTTGTTGGACTTGACACCAAGAGAAGAGACCAAAGGATGGAAGTCTTCAAAGCGCTCTTCACGGAGGATGGGCGCGATTATGTACTTGTTGATTTTCTTTCTCGCAAAAGGTGAAAGGAGGGGTTGTGAGGTACTCCGGGATGGTGGGGCAACACTCTGAGTCACTGCCGACGCGTTTGAGCGCGTTGACTTCTGGCGTCTTTGAGGCGGGGCTGAGCCTGAGGCGTTAGTTGCTGAAATTTTGTCAGAATCAGATGAACACATCAACAAGCAGCGGACAAGCCAACCTTGAATCAAGTTCTTGGTCGAAGAACCGTCTTCCTCGGAAGCGTGACCACCACTGACAGAGCTCCGGTCACCGATGGATGACCCCAACGCACTGTCCCTTTCCAAAAGGTCCAAAGCTCTTTCGAATTTCTGAGATAGACTTTTGTCACTCGACGCCGACACAACGGAACCACCGAGGCCTTCGTCCGATGAGACGGAGCCGCGACGAACCTTGACCCGGTCTTCAAAATCTTTGATGGAGCGTCGACGGTTTGATGATCTTCTACCTCTTGCACCTGAGAAGGTCTCTTCAAAGTCGCGCAGCGATTCGGTGACGTCGGTCTTATCAGAAAGCCAGCTGGCGAGCATAGACTGAGAGCATGTCGGGGACCGACGGGCCAGGTGATGGATGCTCAAGATTGGATCGTCGTCCTTGGGAGGCGATGAGGAGTAGTGGAAGGTGTTGCCTTTGTGCAGGGACATCTTAGGATGAAGGCATGCTGGCAGGTCGAGTGAAGGCTTGACGACGAGACGGTTTGAACGACGATGAGAGAGTGGGGTGGGAGGAGGAGGCATGGACGAAGTGGGCGCCATGATAGAGATATATGATGCGAGGCAACCGGACGAGCAGATGACAGACTAGTGGCTAGTTCGCACTCAGCACGCGACTCATTGGACGAGATGCGCAGATGCTTGTGGCGTATGACTCACCTAGCCAATGGGCGAAGACGAAAGAATGTCGAAACAGATGCCGATACTGAAGTTGACTTCGTTACTCACAATTGTTGGTTGTCGGATAGATCGGTGATTGTTGGCGAGAGGGGCCAGGAGAGCACCGCCGAGTGTCTGGAGAACTTTTGTGCTGGTTGTTGGTCGTAGCGGGGGCCGCCACGAGGTTTGTTTTGCCCGTCCAACAGATGTGTAATGGTTCAGGTTGGGTGGAAAGGGCTGGGTATGTTCTTCGTGGTTCGGGGGCGGGTTGCGGTGGATTATGAGCGAAAAGGACAGATTGTGACTAGATGAGAAGCCCGAGCACCCGGGGTAGGTTTTAGAATATGGCAGAATCTGGATCTGGATGCCCAAGGCCGGTACAGAGAGGGAGTAAGGAAGAACGTGATGGGGGAGTAGGGCTCATAATGACCGGGTGAGTGAATGATCGGGGCGCAGACGACGCTAGTCACTGGTACCGCCAGGCAGCCGCCAAGACGCATTACCAATCGGAGCGCGGCGGGTGGGGCTTCTATTTAGGTCTCAACTCTCTCCGAGTCACCTGCGCCCCTCCCTCTGCCGTAAACAGGTCGATACAGTATAAACGTCGCGAACCGCACCCCCCAGAGCCCAGAGTCGCAAGAGGCGCATCGGGTTGTTGTTGTGGCCACACTGGCACCAGCGCTGCTCGACCAGAACAGCGAGGACTCAGACCTATCGCGATACCGCCGCAGAATACCCTTCACCTGTGTAACGCAACGATACGTACCGTCTCGGATCCACTTACGACCGGTCAGCAGAGGAAGACGCGCTTTTGCAGCATAAATGAGGGTTTTCCACCAAGCGACCACAAGTATGCACTGAGACGACAAATTACCGTCCATGACGCGCTTTGTCGGTACCCGCAGGCTCGGCGTTGTGAGGAATCGGTTTACTGAATGGACATGCCAAAGGTCCTCTTTAGCGTGCTTACAAAGCCATACTGGATGTAAGTGGCTGTATTGGCCCCAACGATAACTCCGACTGCACAAGATTCGCCTGGCAAGCTAGTCGGCTCAACTGGCCTCCGCCTCCGAGTCAGCCGTTTACGAGGCGAAAGCCCGGCCCGGAATTCCACAGTGGTCGGCTTGCTTCTGTCCCCGCGCCTCTCATGCAGGAACTGTGCATACCTATGCGCACGCCTGCGGTGCATCATGCCCTACCATTGCGCTCCTATGCTCGATGCCTGGATGCGAGCGCGTCGCATGCACGCGTTGGAGACGCTTGAGTGGTTGGCTTTATGCAGTTCTCTGACCGGTGTCCTGGATGGCAGCATGCCACAAATTTCCCCACCCAAGTTTCCGAACATATCTGATACTTTCGAAACGGACAGATTGCCACTTTGAATCCTTTATCTCGATGCACAAAGATCCTGGTGCCAAGCACAAAAGTTCCCGGCTAATTGTGCCGGAAGCACTGCCCGCGTGGGACGCCTGAGGGATCCAACGTCCGGCTCCCCGTGTGGGTCACCTTGATACATTCGATGCCTCAGGCTTCAGAGGATGCTCGTGCCAGGTGGCTTGAATTTTACACGCTTCAAATATGGTTGGTAGAGAGCACCGTGTTTTGATGTGGCATGTAGCTTTCCGACAGGCTCTGCCGCTCCGTCCCTTTCCTGCTCGCCCTTTGCCGTCCACACCTGCAATGAAGATGTCTGCGCGGGCATCGTGCCTCGAGCTCGCACCATCTCCGCCAACCCTTCATCGCTCTGTAGCGACTCTTCTTGGCACTGAACTCGTCTCCATGCAACTCTCGTCCTATGCCAACGCGACGGTCGTGAGAACACTGGCGCTCATGATGGCCATTCTGCCTGTTGCACATAGCATTCTCTGGTGTTTATTCGCCCCTCGGCCCGTCAGAGCAGCGATATGATGTCGACTAGCCTGCTGATAAAGGCAATGCAGCCTAAGTCAGACAGTACACTAAGTATGATGAAATCAGTAGCGAGACAACGTACTTGCGAACTTGAAGAAAGCCATATTTCGGCGATCACGACTTTCAGCGAAGCTGAGGCTATGAGGCTATGGTGGTCACACGAGCCGATTACCCCTTAGCTGTAGGAAGCGCAGTTTACGTTCAGCTCAGATCCTTCGATGTGATTATGACGACTCTCTTGATATGATAGATTTATTTAACTACGAGTTCACATAACATGCAGCGAGAGATCCCCAGAACGGAGAAACATTTAGGTCACTGCCGGGACACGTTCATCATGGTCGTCGGATAGCCAATCCCCCAAAGCAAGCTCGACCTGGCGACGGTTACCATCCTGGCTGAGGAGATGCACGCTCAGCACGGTTGCTGCTCTCTACACTGCACTAGCAATCGGCTTGATCATATTGCGGCGATTAGACATCGCACTCAATGGCTTCCAACCGACCATCATCGAAAATCACTACACCTGGACATATGGTCCAATCGCTCTACTTGTCGTTGTGGTTAGTCTTTGGCGGCAAGTCGACTATTACGCAAGGGTCGTCCAGGCTTGGGCAGTGATGCAATCAGGACCAGAATCTGTTTGGAAACCACTATTATTCGGTTATGTGTCTCCGATCCAGGTCAACAGTTTTATCAAAGCATTACGGTCTCGACATTTTTTGGTTGCAGCATCAGTTGCTGGTTTTGCAATGCTCAAAGGCTTGTCTGCTCCCAGAAGCTGTCACAAGTTCCCGCCAGAGTCATCTATGACAGACAAATGCATTCCCTGCTGGACATTGAATCCTTCGGTCCGGTAGACGAGCAGACTTTTCTGATCAGTGGTACAGAGGGTTTTGACACGTTCTCTTGTCGTATTCAAAAGCACTTCAACCATCTAGCTCAGTTTTCTCGCCCGGCTCAGATGGACGAAGAAAGAACGACATCGGAAGATCTCTTCGATACACTGTTTAACAACATCATCTGGGGCTCTGAGCAAACTCGTAAGGAGGACTTGGTTGGTCCAGAGAATAGTAGGAACCTGATTGCGGCGCTCAATGCGTTCTACAACAGATATATGCAGCTGGTCCTTGACATAGATCTTCGCGCAACGGTCCCACAGGCTGAATGCGCAACCAATCCTGGCGATGAAGGCTACATAGAAGGAGCAACGCTGACTACACGAACGAGGGTCTTCAGGGACAAGCCTTTGAAATTGGTGCTGCAGATACTACTCGCTTTTATGACGCTTTCAGGCGTGTGCACACATCTCCTCGCTAATCCCAGAGGACCCTTGCCACAAGACCCCCACACAATAGCGAGCGTGATGGGCTTCTTTGCCGGGTCCGATCTATGTAGCAGAGATGTAGCGGAGCCGCTACCCCCGAGGATATCTCATGTGCCGCAAACAATATCGCTTGCGGGGTGGCAAGCCTCAGTCTTGTATATCTAGGCGAGGCGAGCGCATGTTCATCAGTCCACCAGGTGTCGACAAAATTCAAGGCAAAATTCCCGGGTTGACTAGAGACTCACACAATAAAGGACCAACAAGATTCAAGAGCGGGTTGCCCGGTCTTACAGTAGATAACTGTTTGGTGGCTGATAAAATTGACTGATGCCCTCCTCAAACCCACGTCAGGGGCTTTGGGGTAGTAGTCTGCTATGAGTGTCAGGAGCCTTCCCGTCATCTTTATCGAGCCCTGAAGGCTGCCGTCGGTTCTGTGACAGCACTCAACACTAGCCATCTCAAGTCCCAATACTTCGTCCGAAAGCATAGATCCTCCGCGGATGGTGGGAGTTCGCCCTACAAGGATTTCTCCTCAATATTGCTGTTGCCTCCCTTGTTGCCATTCTTCTGTATAACTTCCGCAATGCCACTGCTGTCATCGTTTCTCTCTGGTTCCACCCCATCCAGCCGGGCGTTCAATTCTGGATCCTCCTCGGGTCTGAAATAGTTCTTGGGCTCATGCCAACCCGACAGCATGATCATAGGTCGTTTGACCAGGTTGCAGATCCAGAAAACGACGAAGCTGACGATCAGTCCGATCGGGTATGCCAGGTAGTAAGCACGCGTAACTCCCATCTGGGATCGCCGTCAGTATGGCCCCGAAGGTAATAATCGTGGAAGGGTTCACAGGGTACTTACCGGCATTCTGACCCCCATGTTTCCCAGGAAACCAGCAAAATTGGGCGCGATAGCCAAGACGTAGGCTATGTAAGCTCTGATGTTCCATCCTTTTGTGAAGTAGTACGATCCATCCCTCCTAGCTGTGAAAAGATCGTCGATCTTATAGTAGCCTCGACTGATGACCCAATAGTTGCACATCAAGACGCCCGTGATCGCCGATAGGAAGACCTGGTACGACGCCAGGAAGTTGATGAAGACCGAGGCCGATCCAAGCAAATACCATGGGTTTATCAAGACGGAGATAACTTGGCAGATATACATTCCCGTCTTGATACTGATGTATTTGGGAAACAAAGCTGCATAGTCGTTGCCGGCGGGGATCGAGTTCTCGAATACCGAAGAGAACAAGGCTGAATACGCGAACATGAAGGCGACGAAGAAGACACCGGCTCGATTTGCTGGGGTGTAGTCCCGGGATTGGATGCGATCCAGGTACGTCAATGGGTTCCATTCGAGTTCTCCCAGCACAAGGACGGAGCTGGAGGCCACGATGTTTCCCACCAGACACACCGTCAAATCGGCTAGGGGAAATCCTAGCACATTGCCTAGGATAACGTCGTTGGGCTTCTTGGCATACCGTTGGAAGTCCGATGCGTTGCTGTCTATGTGTCAGAGACAGCGAACTTGCTTGACTGTTACGGAGGAAGCTCACCTTGCGAACGTTGCACAGTTTCCGGCAGCCAAAAACAGAAAGCGGACCATCAACCAAGCCTTCTCACTGCCATGGACCTGAGATGGCTGACGTACGACCGGGCCTGCACCGCCGGCCAGAGTGAGACACCAAGCCAGCATTGTCACCGCACTGATTAGGTATACCACAAGTTTGATATCTGAGAGGTTTAGCATATGTTGAGTGTTGACTGATCTTGATACGTCAACTTACAAACGAGCACTCGCATCTTCGGAATAGGAATGGTGAGAAAGAAGCAGACTGCGATCCTGATGACAATCAACATCTCCTGCGGTTCCGATCATGCTGATGGTCAAACATACCAGAAAATAACGTAGCCGATAAAGCCTCCTGAGTCCAGAGCCGAGCCTGGTCCCATGATATTAGGCAGGGTCGCGATTCCAGGAAAGATAGCATGTAGCATAGCACTGTGAAGTGTCAGTGAGCTGTTCGGCACAACACCTAACTTTAGAGCATACTAGACGCATTGCCCACCTTGAACGCCCTAGATCCAGTCAGCTAGGTCTCTCTCGAGTGTCATTGAAAGGCATACATTAACCCCATTCCACACAGTCGCCATCACAGCTCGGTTGAAAGTCGGCCACCAGCCTCCAAAGACGCCAAAGGCTGCCCTGCAGTTGATGGGAAACCCTACATGGTAAACGGCACCGGCCCGTCCGTTCAGCACGTAGATTGTGGCAATCAGGAACCAACCAGCGACCTGACAGCCCAGAACTTCCCACAGGTTCAGTCCGAACGATTGGGCGGCCGATCCACCGTACCATGTGGCAACTATGGATGTCAGCGATTGGGCCTTTCTCGGTGTGGGGAGGTCTCCCTATGCTCACCAGTTGCGACGGCGGAGAACCAGAAGGTAAAGTATGTTCGTTGAGTCCACGTCCGGTCCTTGATGGCGAGTGGTCGGATATCATCGTTGTCGAGCAAAGCGTCTCTGCCATGGACTTCCTCGCCGCCCTTGGCGGCAAGGCGCCTCTTCAGGTTGCCCGCAAGTCCCATGTTGTTAAAAACAAAAGGCCGGGCAGCGAGATACGCTGTTGGTCTTCGACTGTCTTCTGCTGTCAAGTCGATAAGATGGATTCAATCAAAAGGTTATACTAGTAACTCATATTGCTTGGGGTAGTGATCCTCTATCAATTGCACCAATGACACATCCTGCTCCGAACCGAGGGTCAACCCTGTCAACCCGATAAGACCTGACATATCTAGAATCACCAGGCAATGCTTTGTGTGTCCTTCCCAACTGCCTTCTCGAACGTCAATGCGCGCCGCAGAAGCGTTATCTTTTGGTGCAAAGCAAACGGTCATCAGCGCGGCCAAGGTTCGTTTGGGGGCTGCAACGGTGCGGTATCTCGACCCCCAAATGGACCCCCAAATGGACCCCCAATACAAAGTCGATGATCTGATTGGTTTCTCCAAACGACAGCCGTCGATCATTTTCCATTTGATAGCAACGTGGTATGGAAAGCTCTTGGGCTTCGGCGAAAGCCGACATCTACAACCCAATCAAGATCGTTGCGCGCTGTGTGGGATGCCGCGTGGTCGTAGCGAATCCCTAGATTCCACGGTAAGGCTATACAAAGCGGAGTACCCACAGGGTCGTGCTCCTAGGGCAGCGGTACGGTTCTGACGGCTGTGAAAGGACTGTTAGCGGCCGTCGACGAGTGTACTTAAAGACGAACTGTCTATACAGCACAAATCCAACACCGACATCAATACCGCTTGCAGAGTACACAGTCAGACACAATGTCCGCGACAATGACAGAAGTCGCCCCAGCGACAACCCAGCTTGAACTGATGACAGCCTATGGACCTGTATTCCGCACCGTGTCCACCTCCGCTCCTCGAGACAGCCTACCGGACGAGATCCCCGTGATTGACATCAGCACCATCTACGACGGCCCCGAAGCTCGACGGGCACTTGCAGTCAAGTTCAAAGCCGCCGCCGAGAACATTGGCTTCTTCTACATCCAGAACCACGGCATCGGCGAGCAAATCGTCAGCAACGCGGCGAAGCAGGCTTGGAGGTAAGGTTACTTCCCCCACCCCATGTTTGGCTGCACGGCGGCTCAGCGTCATTTTCCGACAGGTTCTTCCGTCAACCCGCGGACGCAAAATCAAAGGTCTCCAAGACCCAATCCAAGTACTACAACGGCTGGAGCTCCGTCGGCTCCGGCAAGATCTCCCCCTCCGAGTCCCGCGACAAGAAGGAAGGCTTCCAATGGAAGTACGAGCCGAGCATCGACCCGGACACCAAAGACCCAAGCCAGGTCCCCGAGGAGGTGAAACGCTGGATCCGCGCCGAGGACTTCGTCTGGACCGGTACCGCGCACCTCCCCGACTTCCAGAAGGAGGTATTGGAGTACTGGAAGGCAACCCTGACGCTCGCGCGGCAGATGATGAAGGTCTTCGCCCTCTGCCTGGACCTGCCGGAAACCTACTTCCAAGCGCTGACCAGCTACCCGGGCGCCGACGGCGTCTTCAACTACTACCCGGGCCTGACACCGGAGCTCGCACGCGAAGACGCGGGCCCCATCGACGTCGGACTGGGGGCGCACACGGACCTGCAGTGCCTGACGCTGCTGTGGCAGGACCAGGTCGGCGGCCTGCAAGTCCTCAACACGCGCGGCGAGTGGATCAAGGCGCAGCCTATCCCGGGCACCTTTGTCGTCAACATCGGCGATTTCCTCATGCGCATGTCCAACGGCCGGCTGAAGTCGACGGTGCACCGCGTGTACAACCGCACGACGCAGGATCGGCTCAGCATGCCGTTCTTTCTGGGGTTCAACTTCAACGAGACGTGCTCGGTGCTGCCGACGTGTACGGATGAGGATAATCCGCCCCAGTATGAGCCTATTTCCTGTGGCGAGGTGAGTTCCCATAGCCACCAGCTTTGAAGTGGAAGGGCTGCTGACAATGTCTTTTAGTGGTGTCGATTGCGGTTCGAGAAGGCTACATTGTCAGCCCGGGCATGAAAGTGTGTGGAGGATTCGATCATCACATTCCCTCACACGGGCTCACCACGCGATGGCTTTGGGCATATTGTTCTTGTCTATTGAGGTGTCATAAATATATATCGTCTATCTGAGCTCTTCGTTGGCTTTTGATCTATTGTTCGTGATGCTCCTGCTTCACCAGACATGAATGACCGCACAAGTACTTCTTTAGGACTCCGGGTATTGATCCTCGTATTCGTCAACAACCCACTGACAAAACGCTTCCCATTTCTCGTGCCATTGTCGCAGCCTTTCTGCTTTGATGCCCTTGCCATTTACCCCCATTGTGATATCTCTAATCCACTCAACCTGCGACTGGTCCTCAAAATTTGCCCAACGCACGCTGTTCTCTGCCAGGGCACCCTGTGTACCGCGTTGTCAGTTCTCGACCGCATACTCGGGATCGCGTAACACTTACCAGCCCAGCCAACCCCAGGTTATCACTCGCCTGCAATACCTGGTAGAAGTCGAATGACAAGCCCGGCGCATCCTGCCCCATCATGCTCGGATCATCATTACTGATAGCCGTCGCGACGCCATGCGCGATCATAGCCCCGATGGGGTGATGCAGCACATCTGTTGCCAGTCTCAGCACCTCACTCGAGATCGGACACACCTCGACCATGACGTGATTGTCCTTCACATCCTTGAGTAGCTCTGGATGCTTATAGAGCGAAAACCCGTGGCCAATCCGTCGGGAATCGAAGAGCAGGGCGTCGAACAAATTGTGGTCCGTGGCGTTGCCGTCACCGAGCGTCTCACCGGCATGGAAGAAGAAGGGCATCGTCACATTGAGCGCCGAGGCCTGCTCTTGGAAGAAGATCAGCTCCGGCGCCAGGTCAACGAGCGGCTGGCCCAGGTCTTCCTGCTGCACGAGGTCGTAGCCGGAGATCAGGTCGGGAAACGCGAGTTTGCGTTCCAGCGCATGTATCATGTTGTTCAGGATCAGGGTGCGGTTGAGACCTCGTAAGTCCGCCCAGATGAAACGAACGCCCCAGAAGTCTTGCCCCTTGTCGGTGGCCTGGAACCTTTCGATCTCTTCGACGGTCACGCGCCAGAAGAAGTCCAGGTCAGGGCTGTCGTCTTCTTGGCCATTGGGGACGAGCGAGGGGCTCCAGCCATGCCGAATCTCAACCCAGGATATATTATCGTCGACGAGTCCGGCGAGGAGATTGCGGTAGTACGTGCGAAGAAGAGGCTCGTAGCTGATCAGTTGCCCCGATACGTCAAAAAGTGCTTGAAACGTCCGCCAGATTGCATCCACCCCCAGGTCATGGCGCACGCTCTCCCCAGCCTCAAGTACCAGTCTCGATTTGAGGTAGGCGAAGAGCTCGTCCTTGCCACCTGCGAAGGAAGCCGCTGCTTGCTTCACCGGCATCTCGGTGCCTGAGATGTAATCCTCGGATTCAAGCGAGATCTCGCTCGCCTCGAGCGTGGTGTTGACATGCCTGATACTGATCGACGCATTCTGGCGCGCCAGCTCCGTCGTCAGCGCCTGCGATGTCGAGATCACCATGCCGTCCGTGTCGTAGAGAGCCTGGAGCATCACGTCGAAAGGCTGCATGGCGCTGAGATGTGCATGCAACAGGGCGCCTTTGGGCATTCGAGACACAACCTTCCATAGCTCCGTGGTCACGATGGTCGATCTCGCCTTTGCAAACATCTCTCCCGCGAATTGCTCGAGGTCCTCCTGGCCAATTGCTCCGGGCTTCCTCCAAACCTGGTCGATTTCGTTTTGGCGAATGGCTGCCACAATGGCGTTTGCGCGTTTTGCGTTGTCGGAAAGCGACTCCTTGAATGCATGATCTGGCGAACGGTGAGTGACTTCGCGTTGTGCACTCTCTGGTGAATACTTACCTTGACGTAGTTCCTTCTCAGAATCAATGTACTCTGAGCGAGCTTGCAGGTAATTTGTGATTACCGAACTGTTCAGCCCTGGAACACCGTCGGGCGAGATGATTTGAGCGACATCAGCTGCAGCGCAACTCAGAAAAGTTGCTGACCAGATGAGAGCCAGCAACATCCAAGCGTGAGTACCATCAAAAGCCATTTGTGACTCGCTATGGGATGCTGGTCACCACAACAGGATGACACTGAATCAACTTTCAGCCTTCGAGTAGAGCCCTTGGATGCTTTTTCAGTGTGCGAAGGTAAGCAGCGCTGTAGCTGCAATACGGCCGTCTCTATATTGCAGCTGATTGGAGGCTCAATCGGCGCTCAATGGCTCTCGATCGCCGTCCCAAGACTCAAGGCCCCAATATCTCCACAGCAGCAGGGCTTGGGTCTGGCACCACACGTGGCTGCTTGGGATGTCGTGCTAAAGAACGCGGCGCAATGCGATAGAGCCAAAGTAGCCTTACCGTCCCCAGTCGCCATGATAGTGAGAATGCCACTAGTACGCACTGACAGGTGCCCAGCTGGGCTAGTGGCTAGTTGGGGTCGCTTCGACCCCCAATGACCCCCAATCTCCATGTCTTCTTGGTGAACCTTACGATAACGTTGTTATCGACTTTGTCAGCACCATTCAGATGTATCGGAGATGGCCGTGAGATCCGTGCTCCCAATAGAGGTCCGGTGGCCGATACAGCGTAATGCAACTCATTTTTGGACCGAATGATATCTACGTAGTATCTGTTGTTCTCACGTCTTGAGGCCAGTAAGTCTGCGCAGAAGTTCTGTACCCTCTCGGATCATGCCTATGTCGAAGCAAGACTCCAGGTAGTTGGTCACAACAACCAACATCCCCATCGTGGAAGGGAATCCCGACGATTCTTGTCTTTGAGTATGCGATGCTGCACCCGACTGGGCCTCAACGTTCATGCTAGACGCCGTACGGAGATAGCTTTGGCATTGCTCCTGTGCTGCTTCAAGTGAGACCAATCGACCGCTATGGACAAGATTCGTCGCTGGAATTGTTTTCGTTGTTGCAAATTCGTAGTTCCAGCATATTATGGCAGCAAGATAAACGCACCACAGACAATGCTGGCAGTGCTTCTTGATCGGCTGTCCACAAAGCCGTGCTTGAATGATGCTGGCGGCCCCTGGAGTCTATCAGTGACCGGAATGTTAATGGAAGGGTACACACGGACCGGCAACCCCTTTTCGACCCCGTTCCTCTTTTGCCCACAGTCGTATCTTGCGCTGTGCGTTTGAGTAATCGGTTGGGCCTTTCCGCTTCCCTTCAATGACATGCTTTCCGGCAATGACCTGTAGATCGACGGGTGAGACATCGTAAAGGGTACTTTGCGCCAGCTGCAAGACGCAGGTGCAGCTGGGCACCATCCATGGTAAGTTGCTATTCGACCGTGCTGTTCGCCATGACTGTTCCCACACCACCAGAGAGCGCTCGACGGTATTGCCCAATGACGATGGTTGGTGGTTTGGCCGCTGAGAAATGACACTGTCCTCGCGCCGTGCCACCTCCCTCGCAACAGATAGAATGCCGTACATGACCGTAATAGATCCTGAAAGGCTGCTGTTGGAGTATGGATCTGAGGCGGTGGGGCGCCAGAACTCTTTCAAAAGTTCGATGAACGAGGGCGGCGTTGCAGTAATATCTACGCAGGACATAGCTGTCTCCCACTCCCCACTCGTCTGAGCATACCACGCTCCATCTAGGTCGCTGGGAATGCGAAGATTCATCATGTCCCGGAATGTCATCGTAGGTTCGCCGCCAAAGAGGAAGGCGTGTTTGACGTCCAATACGAAGGTCTGAACGATGAGTCTGACGAAGTACGTTCAACATTGTTAGCATAGAGCTGCGGCTATGTAACGTTTTGTTTGCGACCGCGGACTAGCGGCAGAACGATTTCACTTACCGTCTGACAGCTTCAGCTTCCACCCAAGCTATCCAGTTCAATGTGGCCGATTCACACCTCCTGCGAGGGTGATTGAGCACCTTTTCAGCGCCGCAGTCGAGCCTCAAAACGGCCTAGAGAATTATAAGCTCATCCTTTTGATCTATGGAAGACCAACCTCTAACAGGACTCCATGAAACATCGAAGCGGCACCGCATTCCTCAGATGTGCCTTGGTACCTCGCGAAGAGTAACACAATGAACAAAGTCTGGACCAGCCACAAAGGTGGGTTGCTGGTCAATCTTGGATGCTTGCGTGGCTTGGTCAGTTTGTTGCCGGCAATCAGTTTTGGTACTCACACTCAAAATGTTGGTCCTGATGGCGCGTTGAATTCTGGAAGCAGTATGAAATTCCTGATCATTTTTGCTCCTCATCAGTGCCCAGCCAAAAGTGATTGTGCTCCAGACGAGCTGGGCGCCCGGTGGTTCTCCCATGATCTCGAGGACTGCTTCACCAGTCTCGTCATGATCACGTAAGAAGAGTAGCTCGCGGTGGAGGAAGCTGTATTCAGTGGAGATCTCTCGCGACCAGAGGTGAATGCCTTGTCTCATACTGTTCAAGGAGAAGGTTGGGTCCCGGATGTCGACATCGATGATGTCGCGCAAATCCATCAACAACTCAGTTCGTCTTTCCTGTGTTAGCGCAGTACAAATGGGAAATCCACAGTTGGGGGCTGCAATCTCTCCAGGATGGGCGACGTAAACCTTGGAGTTGGCTTCCTGCAAATATCTGGGAGGTGGATGTTCGCCACTAGAGTCACGCTCTTGTATGAATGTGCGGATCAGAGGGACACTGGGCATTTGATCAGGCAGGATCACTTGCTCTAGCGGAGAACTGAATTCTGAGGCCTGGTGCTGCCAGAACCAGTCTACCTCATTGTCATTCAAGCGAGACGACTGGTTCCTGGATACCTGAGACTTCCAATGATCAATGTCGTCTAGCCAGGAAAACTCCAAGTTGTCCGTCACCGAGCCGGGTGAGGGCAGGAGTCGACCTTCAGAGGCAGGAGCGGGAAGCCAGGGTACAGCATCTGTGCTTGATGCTACAGCAGAGCCATGGTTCAGCGTGATGTGTCGCTGATATAGATCTTTCCTGGCAAAGGAAGTCGTGCACTCGTGACACTTCCATTGCGCCGCATCATCTATGCACGAGGTTTAGGCTGGTGGTGCGCAAGGGCGAGATGTGTGGGTGATACGCACGATTGAGTTGATGCCGCTTAAGATGCTCATGCCGGGTAAAGGCCTTCCCACAGCCCTCCACCGGACAGGTATACGGGCGACTATAGATCGGTGTACGGCAGTCCTCCGATGCCAGTCTGCGGCTTCGGCTTCGTTGACCAGTCTCCAAGATCTGGGGCATTCCTTATCAGAACCGAGAACAGTGGTTGGGTTCAGTATGGTCTAGTTGTCTTCGGAATGCTAAGCAGGCAGGTAGGTGAGCAAATACTGTCCGGAGCAAGCCCAGGTACTTGTAGTCAGAGTCATCAGTGAAGGTAGTAACTGATTCGGTGCCCTCCGCAGGTATACAATCAGTCGAGGGTGTCGGCACTGGTGTAGGTAGACTAGTGGGGCTCATCAGGCTGCACCGGAGCCTCGTCAACGTACCTCCTCCTATATCTGGATCTATGATGCATTTCTTTGACTCTTGCCATGAAAGACACTATGCACAGCCTTGCAATACGCCTGCATCGTACGCTGTGGAAGACCTTTACTTGTCCAGGTAGTGGAGACTGTTTCTAGGTTGTGTGAATTTGCCACAATGGGCGTGTGATGCCGGAGGTGGCAGCGCCCGTTTTTCATCTTCGAATGCCTCAAGTAAAGTCATCAGCGGCAGAAGAAGCATGAAAAGGGGAAACACTTGGCCAAAACCCCAACCGGCCTCGCCGCCCATGATTGGCTCGCAATCTAGATAGCCGGGAATATCTGCCGGATGTTGAAGCAGTCGCTGACCAGACCTCCAATCGTCGGTGAGCCAATGTACACCAAGGCCAAACCACGTAATTTGGAACGCTGATTCGAACAGCGTAGATCCGAAGAAGTCCCATAGGTATTGCAGCCCGTCCAATAAGCGCCGATCCAGCTTCACCAACACTGGACGAGCCGCATGCTTGACTTGGCGCCAGGACTCAGCAGTTGGCCCTAGCAGGTAGACCATGGTGCTTGAGTATGCCCAGCTAAGCAAGACGATATTGGTGATCATCCATTGCTGCGGTGACCCACCGGCCTCCGAGGTACTACCAGGCCAGCGAAATGCCGTACACGATGCAGGACATTCGAAGTAAGAGTACATCCAGCGGGATCCGCTAAAGATGACGATCGTCAGCATCAAAGCGAGCATAACGCTCATGAGCACGAAACGCGTCATGCGCAGGCCAAAGTATGCCCCGAGTTGTGATGCGTGTCTTGCCTGCAGAGTGGTCGAGGCTGGGTGTGACTGCTCCTGCTGCTCGATCCATGCGCGAATGAGGTGTAAGCTGAGCAGGTGCGAGTTGTTGGATAGCCAAGCGAGATCTTGTATGATGTTAAAATGATACGTCGACAGCTCGCCCGTAGCCATGCGAATCAAAGCGGTGGAAATCACTGCCAAGCCAGATACCAGCTGGGTGTCGCTCAATGAGAGGGCGAACCTATAAAAGACTTGGAACCAGAAGTCCTGACCATATGGTAGTTTCATTGTTGGCATGTACTTGGCATGAAGTCGATCAATATACTCGGTCCATCGGTCATCAACTCGATTGTATGCGACAGGTTTCGCCATCCCAGGATGTGGTATCGGTTGCGGTCTCTTTAGATCGAGAAACAAGCCAAGGAGTGAAGCGAGGACCGTTAACGCCGAAGCGGTGACAAACGCGCCTATGACCTGTTGGTTACAGTCAGTTGACGAGCACTTTCTCGTGGGCAAGAAGTAGGAGCGAGTCATTACCCCTTTACCTGCAATATCTGGATCAGGTTGAAGGCAGCCGCAGCCGCTGGGACATCGGAATGGTAAATCATCTTGTTCCCAGGACGGGGAAGTCATGGTGCTAATGAGAGAGTCTCAAACCTCATCCGATAGTTTTTGGCCAGCAGACCATCGATATGAAATTATAGGCACTCTCGTGTACTGACGCCAATGACGTAGTGACGCGCTGTACCGTTCAACGCCATCTCAGAATGGTCTGGTGGGTAGATGGCAGCCCTATCGTCGCTTCTTGATGGGCGAAAAGCCTAGCCTGTGCAGATAAAGTGATCGACAACGAGTAAAAGGAGGAGCCCTGAAAATGGACCATCATGGCAGGCTCCATATCATCCACAAGGACGGTGGTGAGACCACCTACGGAGCTTACCTGATCTATCTCAGTGCTGGCTGATCTTGAAATTGAGTGCCTATAGTGTGACCCAGGGAGTGATTCTTCGCGTCCGGGGACTACTGGCACGACGCGGATGAAGCTAAAGGCCCGGCGCCGTACGCCACGGCAGTGGGGCCCCCACCGGGCCACGCCGGGGGCGGATCTTACATTTATGAATCTTGGCCCTCCGCCACGACCAGGCCCTCCTCGTATCTTAGTCATGCGCTTATGCGACGTGCACCATCCTACTTCTCCTGTTTCCTGATCGCATTCTCCACGATGGCTATCCCCAAAATTCCAGAAGCATCATGACGATGTTCCCCACGTGGCGGCCGTGTCAACATCAAGCGCCCTCATAGGCCTTGACCTGCGACGACACCAACGATGAAGACTATTGGACCCATGCCGCCATTGCCTCTACACAATGCCTACTATACCTCCAGACGCAGTCACATCCTGGCGATTGAAGCCGCCGCCCTCCAAACCAACCAAGCCCAGGATCAGGGCCTGGACACCCAAAACCAGAACTGGTTGCCTAACCTGTAAGCAACGGCGGGTCAAGTGCGACGAAACCAAGCCGAAATGCAAACGCTGCATCAACGGCAATTTCCGCTGTGAAGGCTACGCCGACGCGAAGACGTGGTTATTCGAGTCAGACTCGCTTCCTTCGAAGTCCCCAAGTACCTCGTCTTCTTCAGACTCGGATTCTGCATCGGAGAATCAAGCGCTGACCGTCATTCCATCAATCTTGGCCAACGAGGTCGGCATGAGCGAACGGAGGTCTCTCAAGTACTTTACTGAACGGGCGCAGCCAGAGCTGGCCACTTTCACCTATTCGGCAGCCCACTTCTGGAACAATATCATCCCCAAACTCTACCAGACCAACTCTACCGTAAGGAGTGCTGTGATTGCTGCGTCATCTCTTCATGAGGCGACGCGCCATCGCGATGCGGCGTCAATGAGCCCGGCAACCAACCAACTGTATCTGAAGCACTACTCCAAGGCCGTTCAAGACCTGACGAGGCAAGACTCGCCGCCCTCTCGAGACATCATTCTGATGAGCTGTCTGATATTCCTCACCTGCGAGAACCTACTCGAGTCAGCCCCTGGCGTCCTCATTCACCTTCAGGCAGGGCTCCAAGTCCTACGTGAATGGCACAATACATCCAACACCCATCCAACAGGCGCCGCTGATTCCGTATCGGATGTCCTCCTCAACTACCTAGAGCCGATCTTTGCGCGCCTTGAAGCACAGTCCTCGCTCATCCCCATCATCCCCAACAAGATCAACTTCAACGCCTACGACCTGAACTGGAAGAAGCCCGACCTCCCCAAATCTTTTGCCAACCTCAACATCGCTCGCAACTGTATGCACGACGTCATTCAATACTGCTGGTTCCAGGGCAAGCAGTCCACCGGCCTCTTCCTCCCCTCCAACCCTGTCTACCGCCACTTCCTCTACCAACTAACACAATGGGACGTCATCTTCACCACCTCCTTCCCCAACCACGACTCCCCCACCTGGCCCTACTACCGCACCGCCACCGCCCTACGCATCCACGTGCAAGCCCTCTCCCTCGCTTTCCGCCAAGAAGGCTTCCAGGACCCGACCTGGATCGACAGCCAGTACGACCACATGGCCTCCATAGTCGACAGAGCCGAAGACATCATCCTCGCGGGCCTCCCGCCCCGCAACAAACTGACCTACGGCTTCGACGACATCTGGACGCACGACTTCTGCCTGCAGCCGCCCTTGATGCTGCTAGCCTTGCACTGCCGGCACCCCCTCCTCCGGCGCCGCGTCGTGCACCTCAAACGCCTGCACCACTGCTGGTACGATACCAACGAGTCCTACATGGCCTGCAACTCGGCGCGCATGCTGCAAATGGTCATGAATATCGAGGAGCGCGGTCCGCTCGAACCACCTCGCTCCGACGACAACGAACACGGATGTTCCCTCAACGAATCCCTCCCTCCTTCCTCCTCTTTCTCCTCCTCCTACCCCGACCCGAACGCATCCGCAAAAGTCTCCACCGTCCCTATCGCGCACCGCATCCGCCCCCTCCGCGTCATCCTCAACATCCCCTACAAGGTCGCCCTGGAATACAACTACCTACGCGATCCGCCCCCAAATCCACTCGACCCGCAGCAGGGACGGGGCAGCGTGCTGCTGGAGACCCTCGACGTTCCAAGCTGGGCGCCCCCACCGATCCCGTACGTCGTGCTGTTCCCCTTTGCGGAGATGATCGTGCACGGCAATTTTCAGGGCATGATTCGCCCCGTCAGAGAGCATTGTCTGTGTCGGAGTCTTGGGGGGCCGCAGGAACGGATGTGGCGGGAATAGGGAGTAGCAAACTGATTTGAGACCTTCACGGGCGGACTTGCTGCTATAGCAAGAGAATGGTTCCATGAGTGACCGGCGGGCGGCGGTTTGGGCGGGGCCGTATGTGTATTGCACCGTGGATTAAAGCGAGGGGACAAAGGGGCGGAGCTGGGTTTGTGCTTTGTGCTTTTGTGTCAGCAGCAAGCCCCCATTGCGAGGATTCGGGAAGTTACGAAATCACTTTTATATGTCTAGTCAGCGGGGCGCAGGATGGGAGGGGCATAATGATATCTGTGGTTTTTGTTCATCGAGAAAAACGAGACATGATGAGCCTGGAGAGATAAGGAGGGATTTTGCAACACACATATGGACAAGACATGCAAATGAGAGACAGACACACACACACACACACGTCACCCGGCCGTTTAGTCGGGGGGGGGGGAGTTGGATGAATTTTTGGTTCATGTGCTTTTTCATTCATGGGTGACGGGCTTCCCTGTTGCCGCAGGGCGTCTCAGTACTAGCAGCGATATCTATCGTAGAGTCTGAAATGAAGCATCACCCACGCACTGGCGATGTGCAGCTACTGCCAGGGAAATGCGCATCACAGTGGTCGGTCGCTTCGTGCTCATGCTCATGCTGATGCTCACATATGCTTCCACGTATGCTTCATTTCGAATGATGATGCAGCTTCAAACAACACAACTACGGTCGCGCATGCACCACTCTGTAGCGGCAGACGTTGTTGCGGGGGTCTGTCCGTCCGTCTGAACGCGGTCCGAGACCACGAGTTGTGCTTTCACCGTTCATTCCTCTGCGCAGCCCTGAGCTGCTCACTGCTGCTGCAGCTCTACATGGCTCCATGTGGTGTTGCAGCTACTCGTCATCCGCCTCCATGCCCGCCATAGCGCCCTCGCCGTCATCCTCGTCAAACGTGTTGAGCGGCACCTCATACAGCCTAATGACGCTCTTGTTGGGGTCCTTGACCAGCACATACTTGCGATCCTGGCCTTCGTCCGTGCCATCATCGCTGATCTTCATGACCAGATCCACGATCGTGCGCACGATGCCCCAGCCATTGCTCAAGCCCAGATTCATCTGGCTCGCGAACTCGCGCGGCTTGTAGCCGACGACGCCCAGGATGACGTGGTTCTGCGCGGACTTGGGGTTGGCGCGCGACACGAAGCCGAGCTTCATCTGGTCGGCCTTGGCGAGGATGGCCTGCGTGGTCCAGCGCGCGAGCTTGCACGAGTTGTTCTTCATCTCGGTCGCGACGACGGCGCCGCGCTGCGAGTTGAGTTTGGAGCGCCAGTCGAGCGCGCCGCCCGCGCCCTGTGCCTTGTGGTCGAACTCGTTGAGCGCCTTGATCGTCAGGAACTGGTCTTCGCCGCTGATGTTGTTCTTGACCACCGCGTCCAGCTCCGTGCGCACCACCAGGTGCAGCGGCTCTGCGTCGGTGGCGAGCGAGAGGTCGAAGCGCCGGTACTTGTAGGCTTTGGAGGCCAGGTGCTCGTCCGGCTGCGAGGAAGGATCGTGGAAGGGGTTGGCGTGCGGGAGCTCGAGGCGCTGCGACGGGTCCGAGGAGCGCACGACTTGCATGGGGAAGAAGTGGTTGATGCCTTGGGCTTCTTGGGCGAGGTTGAAGGGTGTGTTGATGCTGTCGGCCTTGACGCCCGTCTGGTTCTGTTGCGGTGTGCTGGAGGTGTCGGCTTCGAGGGGTGCGTCGGCCGCGTTCTCGTTGACCGTCACGAGGTCGATGGACGAGTTGACGCGCTTGTCGAGGAAGATCTTGTTCGCATGCTTCAGGATCACAATGTCCCAGCTGTAGACGCTGCGCGTGGCGCACATGAGCATGGAGAGGATGTCGGCCGTGGCGAAGATGGTGGCCTCGTCCTTCTCGGCAAGGTCTTGGATCACCGGGTCGGAGGAGGTGGTGACGTTGTAAGCGGTGCCGTCGAGGGATTCGTTCAGCTTGCGCTCCGTGCTCTTCACCGGCGGCTTATCGTAGCTGCGGTCGTAGTAGTAGAGGAAACCGTAGCTGTCAATGTCATCGCCATCAGATGTCTCGAGGTTGAGTTTGTTCAGACGACTGAATTCAATCTCCTCCCGCATCGTCCAGTCCGGCCGAATGTTGACAGAGGCATCGCGATTGCGCTGCGGCTTGTCATAGTCACGCCAGCCGAAACGTCGACCGCCTCGGCCTCGTCCACCGCGGTTGTCGTAGTATTGGTTTTGCTGCTGACCGCCACGTCCACCCTGGCCTGCACGTTGATAGCCACCGCGCTGAGGCCCGCCACGTTGAGCAGCGCCTCGCTGGCCGCGTCCGCGGAAAGTCAATGGACCCCCTCGGCCGAAGGCGCGAGTCTTGGTGGATGTGCGGGTGTTGTCGACGATGGAGAACGAGGATTCGTCTTCGGCAACTTGAACAGCGAAGATTGACGAGGTGCCTGCGCCATAAACTTGTTGATCTGACCTTATTAGCGGAGTAAAAATACCAGAAGACGTTCGACTGACCTCTGAAATTGCGGCCGTACTGTCTGCCACCCCGATCTCTTCCCTCCTTGCCTTCCTGCGTCCAGTCGGCCATGCGGCCCAACTTGTCGCCTTTGGAAAATGGTGCGTACGGAACGCCATCAAGTGTGGTGGATGCGGTCGTTTCGGGACCCCACTCGTCGCCAACGCTCAGTTGGCTGATTGTGTCAGCAAGACTGAGGCCGGGCATATTGGCGGTATTGGTAGATGGGACAGTGGTCGTAGTCCGTGGGCGGGGAAGCAAGTCATTGAAATTCGTGCACTGCAGCGACGAATATTGCCGGACCCACGCCAAGATTTCGCGGCCAAAAGCGGACTAGTTGGGGCAAAAGTTGTCTACTATGGTCATTCACTGCCTGGCCAGATGGCAGCCAGCTATGCTATGCGTACATGTCGTCGTCGATACCAGCGGTATACTCGTCAAATTCTTCATACATTTCGGGCTTGGTTGCGAAGATGCTCGAAAGTGCATCGCGCAGCTCAAAGTCTTCCATGACCGCTCCGAAGCCGTAGCACCGCACGTTGCCTTTGATAGATTCGATCATGCGGATCACATCATCTCTCGTAAGAGTTTGATAGTTTCGATGGCCTCGCAGGCATTGAAGTGCCATCACCGGCGTCACTTGCCCGCCGGGAATGGCGTGCGAATCTCGAATCACCGCGCTGAGATTCAGCAAGCCGTTCAAGGCTTCGAGGGTGCTCGCATCTGGCATCTTATGCTCGTAGGTTGGCTCAAGACCACCAGACGCGGATGGCACAGAAGCGATATGGCTTGGTGGTGGACAGGTGGCCATCAATGCATGGCCAGAATACAACGAATTCTCGTCATCGTCCGGCGAGGCAGCTGATCGGCGCACCAGAAATTCATCATGATCTCGACAGGTGTGTTCCAGTCTAGATGATGTCAGCTGTCTTTCTACCCCCGACGTGTTGCAACTTACTGCAAGATGAAATCGATGCCCAGCTGCGGGTCCTTCTCGAAAATTCCTATCGGCATATCAGGCACCCCTTGGTGCTCCAGCTTGATGGGGTTATACGGTGAGTATTCCTGAACCTCGGGGCCAGAGGGGGAGCTATGGTGCGTAGCAGTGCCGGGCGAGTGTCCGACGCTTAACGAGCCCCCGTTGGCGTACGATGTGTCACGCATGGGAGAGTAATTGATGGTCGATGAAGGTCCGGTCGCCAGGGTCTGATAAGGATGGGGTTTGACCGACATCGGGTTGGGTGACAGGCTATTGCTGGCATCTCGCTTGACTTGCATCCCCATATTGACCTTGCGTGCCTCAAGTTCGTTCTCATACGCGATCCCGTGAGCGGCTAGGACCTGACGCAAGATGTTATTCTCTCTCCGCTGCTCCTGAATGACGAGGTCACGCTCCTGGATTTGTGTCGTCTTATCATTGGTGTAGTTCACATAGGCTTCTTTCAGGCGCGAAAGCTCCAATTCAAGAGCTTTGATATATTGCTCCTTGCGTTCTCTGTGCGTCCTACTAAAGTGAGTGAAGAGGCCAGGAAGTGACGATGACAACTACCTCTGGGCCTGCCTGTTGAGTTCCTGCCGCCTTGTCTGCGCCGGTTTACTATCTGGTTTCGGACCGCGTCGTTTCGCCGGCTGGCCGTCTTCAGGATGCGTGAGTACACGTTGACTAAGGCGAAGAAATCAACTCACCCCGAGTAGTCTTTTTCTGCATGCCCTGGAAACCTCTCAGATAGCCCATGCCCAAGGAATTGGGGTCTGGCATGCCATTGTCTCCGTCTTGGTGGGTTAGTATCCCTACGTTCTGGTCGTCAATCGGATACTCACGCGCTGATAGGGTGTAATCATCAGGAGTGCCCCAGGATTCAGCCCCAGGAGTTGGCATGCCATGGCCTGGGATTTGGCCCCCAGGTAGTCCAGCCATGTTGCTCAAGGGGGACTTTGCGAGATGGCAAACAGCCGGTGGTAAGAATGCTGTCAGCCTGAAATCTCGAGTAGTGGAGAGGTCGCAATGTGAAGGTTGAGTACGTGGTGCGGCGTGATGTCAAAAATCAGTCCAGTCAATGGCACGACGAAGCGGCGCGTGGGCTCGGATTGCTCTTGGTGCTGTCCACACCTCAAGAGGGTAGGAGGCGGACGAAGACGATTTGGAAGTTGATATGGGCGTTGCAGGCCGGGAGGTTGAACGTTGAAAGTGCTATTTGAAAGGCGGGCAAGGTTGGGGCTCGTTCCTAATCGCGACTGTGCAACGCGACGATCGCCGGCGGGAGGTGCTTGTAGAACCAGTCTCGTGAATACCGGCAAGTGGCATACGGCGGGCAGAAAAAGCTATCCCCGCGGAAGTGGATGAGGGCGGAAAGAATGCTGACAGGCCGGGCGGATATGTTGATCCGGTAGGCACGCCACCGTCCAGGTTTGGAGGGATTTTCGTGAACTTGAAAGACGGCGGGAAGCGGAACTGATGAAAGGTGGGTAGGTGTACAGAGGTTCAGATGAAGGTGTGCGGTGCGAAATGATGTGCGGCTGGGGAAACAGGGTCGCCTAGTCGCCGAAGCTGCGTGTCACAATTGGCCAGGGGGACGACAAGAAGCGAAATGGTCGTATCGGGAAGACAGGGATTGTAACACGTGAAGGGTCAGGAGTCACTTGGATCGTAGGTTTTGTGCGAGGATGGCCGCAGTAGAGGGCGGGAGCCAGGATCAGGTGTGTGACGACGATGGCCAAGCGCTATCAATAAGCAGCAACAGTCCAGGCTCGCTAGCTGCTGCTCTAAATCCCCAAAAGACGATCAGATAAAAGCGTCCAAGAACTAACGACGTCTGTGCATGCAAGTCGTTGAGTGCGACAGGCGGAAGACTGTGGGCGGCGAAGAGCTGCATCTCGTGGCAAGGTCCAGGCGTGCTGAGCGCTCTGCGGCCGCTCCGATTCCATCATCAGCCACTCTGTACTCTGCTCTCCTTGGCCGCAGCCCCGTGGCTCAGTGTCTTAGGTAAACATGTTGCTAGTATTCCGTTCTAGAAGTGCAGGACCAAAGAAATAACGCCTATGGGGCCCGCCGGCCCACCGGGACTATGGGGACTCATTAGCTAGTCCCCCCGTACCTGAAGGCAGTCCCCGGGTGCCCCAATCAGCACTTTCTAGGTGCGCGTCATGGACTTGCTAGCTACGCCCCCATCCTGTCGCTGTTGGGGAATTCGCAGTGCAATACCTGGCAACAACAGCGGTGGTGTCGAGACCGCAACAATTTCTTGCCACCAGCTACATTCTCCTTTTCCCCTCCGACGGCTCTTTCTGTGCTCTGACGCTCCCGCCATGACAGTCCCGACATTACTGAAGCCCCTACAGCCCCGCGTCATCCTCTCTAATCTCCGAGCGGCAGCCATCTTGGCTCCATGGCTCGTGCATCTGCTGGGCAGTGACCTCGTACTATCACTTTTGCTGCCCATATCTTTCTTTGCGCCTACCTTTGCATATCACCTCTCGTCCAAGATCGCGTTCTGGGTATGGATCGGCATCCAGTCTATTTTCACCAAATGGAACAAGGCGCGCATCACCGTTTCGGGGGACAAGTTACCACAGCATGAATCGGCCATCGTCGTCTGTAACCATGTCTCGTGGACAGACTTCTATCTCGTCCAGCAACTGGCTCTCAAGTCCAACATGCTCGGCTACTGTCGCTACTTCGCAAAGCAGCAGCTGAAGTGGGTGCCATTTCTGGGCTGGGGTCTGTGGGCCACGGGAATGCCGCTCATCTCCCGCAATTGGGAGCGAGACCAGACAGAGCTACAGCGGGTATTCCGGGGTCCCAAACAGTATCGATGGCCCATATGTACCACCCTTTCCCATTATCGTCGGCTACAAACACTGACGACCAGTAGGGCTTGTGAGCTACAGCGAGGCTACACGCTTCACTCCGCAGAAATACCTGGAGACGGTGCAGTGGTGCAAGGAAAAAGGCAAACCGGTCCCGAGATACACTCTGTTCCCGCGTACCAAAGGCTTTGTCGCGACGGTCAAGGAGCTTCGGCAGTCCAGCAGCATTCAGGCCGTCTATGACTTGACAATCGCCTACGCCCACCAAGGCCATTTCCTAGAAGCGCCGACGATGTGGGACTCGCTGTCAAGGCCGAACCTCGATCGGGACTTCCAGCTGCACGTTCATGCCGACAGATTCGACATCAAAGACTTTGCCGACAAGTCGGACGATGAGCTCGCGCAATGGTTGGAGGATAGATGGATGGCCAAGTCGAAGAAGCTCGAGGCTTTGCAAGAGGAGCTAGACACTTCGAAACAGTGGACTGACTCCGTGGACGAGCACGCCACCAAGAAGTCACTATAGCATCTCCGAATCAGCATACCCCAAAGTGCCAACCAGCATGGCAACGGCCACAATCTACATCCGACTCTTCTCCAACCCCTCCGTCTCCTCCACACGATACACATACTTGACTGCACTCGCCTTGCCCTCCCTCAGATTGTTCAACCCCTGCCCCACGCCCCCCAACCCGCCCGGCACCACCTCATACGGATGACCCTCGAACCAACCCTCCCTCAACCCCAACGCAAACGCGCGGAACCACACAAACGCCAAATCCGATAGATCATCCGGCACGCCGTGCGCGGACCCCACGGTGGTCAACGTCTGCTTCACCCCCTCCGGAATCTCCGGATGCTCCCTCCCGGGCAACACCGTCGTGATACTTCCCTCTTTGTCATCCAGCACCTTGCAAATATTCCCCACGCTGCCCTTCTCACTGACCGCGTCAAACGCGTACATCAATTTCCCACCCTTCGGCACCGCCCCCCTAATCCCCGCCACCACAGCCTCGTCGCCCGCCCGGTAATCGAGCACGACATCCCCCTTCGCCGGCACCAGCAGGCCGCGCACATAGTCCATACCGCGCCCTGCGACCGCGATGATGGGGTGCACGTCCGCGCGCACCAGCAGCTTGATGGCGAAGGCGCCCACCGCGCTGGCCCCGCCGTAGACGACCACGCCGCCTTGCGAGGCGAGGGCGCGCGCGGGGTGGACTTTGGCCCACGGCTCGGGGAGGCCGAGGCGCGCGTAGAGGCCGACGGCGGCGGTCATGGCCGCGAGGGGGATGGTGGCGGCGGATTCGAGCGGGGTGGCGGGTGGGACGGGGAAGGTGGTGTTGGCGTAGGCTAGTCTGTAGAGGGGCGAAGGCGGTGAGAGAGGTTAGCTTGTGTGTGTTGGTGGTTGGATTTGTATGCTGGTGGGTCTCGGTGTGGTGTTAGGAGACGAGAAGGGACGGGCAGGAGCTGCAGACATACGTGTATTCGGCAAAGGCGCCATGAGGCGTGCGCATCTCATGGAAGGCGGCGACGCGGTCGCCCACGTGGAACTCGGTGACGTCTGAGCCGACGGCGTGGATGTAGCCTGCCACGTCGTCGCCGGTGTTCTGCGGCTTAGGGGCCTTGGACGGGTCCTTGGCCATCTGCGCTGAGATCACGGGATACCTGCCGATGAAGAACGAGAGCGTGTTAGCTAGAAAGTGATCTGAGAGTCAAGGCCGTAGAGACGATAAAGGCAGAACAAAGGAGCGAGCATACTTCCAATCCTTGGGGTTCGTGCCGACGACCACATTTCGGATCACGACCTGCTTGGGTCCCGGCGTGGGGATGGGGACGTCGTGGATGTTGGTGATGAGCTTCTTGGAGGCGTCAACGGAGATGAGGACTTCTTTCATGTTGGCTGAAGGTGCTGTGATTGTCAATTGCCTCGTTTGTTGCTGCCGGGTATGGGAGGCAATCGTGCGTGAATCGGTACGAGAATCTGCCGATAGCTTCCTGGTAAATATATTTCCTTGCGGACAGGTAACAAACAGTGATGTTTTACGAATTGTGGCCGAGTAGAGCGCAGGCCTACGAATGCAATGATTACTGAGGAGGATGAGCATCTATCAGCACTCGGAAGAAGCATGAGATGTAGATATGCAATCCACGGCCATGTGCACGCCATTCTCGAGGTGGAGCTAGGTCGGTAGCTATTCAAGCATTGCCGGGAGTCGTGCGAACCGAGGTTTCCATGACGAGACCCTGAGAGCGACGTGTGAGGGGTATACCTATACCAGTGTATTTATCGCTGCTCAGATATATTGTGTGGTCATTGCGAAACCAGCTGTGTTTACTGACGCTGAGTATGTACATCGCGAGGCAGCTGGTCCGTGTTGGTGAGTTTTGTGATGCTCCCCGCACAATGCATGATCGTTCTGCACTCCCTCGTTTCCATGAGGGCCAGCCATCTGTAGACTGCAGAACAGATCTTGTCCTCGACCATGGATCACAGCCTGTCCTGCACACTCACGACACTACCTCGGCGCTCCACTCTCTCCCTGACTTCCTCATCAACGATGGGCCCCTTGTACACTTTTCTGCCTCGAATAAAGTACCAAACTATGCTAAAGATGATCACGCCTCCGGTGACAACCACGCTGTAGTTCATGGTACTCGCAGTCACCGGAGTCGCGGGTGGCCATACGCTCCAAAAGATCACAAAGATCATATACACGCACGCATACGCGTTGTTGATGGTGCCCAGAATGCCAGGAACGTGGAAAGGTCCCCAAGACAGCGGCGCAGTCTCGAGGGCGATGGATTGCTTGTGTTGGTGGTCAATGTCGTCAGTAGCGGGGTCTGTGGCAACGATTTTCTTGACATCGTCAGTCGCTGCAGGGTGACCGCCACTGTGGTCGCTCGGACTTTCCTCTTCGACTGAAGGGCCGGTCTCGGGATCGTAGCCCTGGGTCTCGACCGGCCGTACGTACGGATGGACTTGTCCCTTCGTACGGCGATACAATAGCATCGCTGCCGGTAGGAAGTACGAGCTGTAGAATCCGGTAATCGTCAAGCTGACCACGTCGTTGAACGCGACGGAGCTGCCAATGTAGATCAGGTGCAGCAACCCGGCAAGCCCGGCAACAACGCAGACAGCGATGATGGGGACTTGATTGTGCTTGGCAACTCGGGACAGAGTGGAGGAAAAGGGCGTGCCATTATCACGCGCAAATGACCAGGTCATGCGTGAAGCCGTTGTAGTGATGCCAATAGCACAGGCCCAAGTGAGCGACAAGACAACCGCGCCCATGGCTGTTGCACCGGCACGCGAGTTGACCGCGTCTATCTGATGTCAGTCGATGTGTGAGCTAGGGCTTGGTAACCGTACTCATGAAGATCTGTATAAATGGATAGCCGGTGGCAGTCTCCAGGACAGAGTCGACGTCGCCAATGCAGAAAAGCAAAGTCAACATCATTGTAAAACCGACAGCACCGTTTATACACATGCTTGCAATGATAGCTCGCGGGATGTTGACCGCCGCTTCAGAGACTTCCTCCGCCAGGTGGACAGATGCATCCGCGCCAACAAACGTAGCAACCTGAAACCGGGTCAGATTCACGGCCGGGGAATTCTTCGCAATCTTCGGCCAGGAAACTTACATTTCCAAGAAAGCCAACGCAGTATGATAGACCTTGAGTAGGCCAGCCACCTTCATTGAGCGAGGTTGCAAAAACAAAGTGGGCCGAACTATGAGGCGCAAATTTCCAGAGAACAGCCACGATTGCCACAAAGCCGGCCAGGTGGAAGACGATGATGAAGATTTCGAACTTGGGTAGCATGCCTGGGACGACCGAGTTGACAAGGACACACACGGTTGTTACAAGCCAGGCCAGCATGGTTCCTTGCCAGAGCTTCGATTCGTAGTCTGGATAGTCCAAGATCAGAAGTCCCTGCAGAATCGTGCCAGCAAAGAGACATTCAGTGGCGACAGTGGCAACCCAGGCTAACGAGGTGAGCCATCCAATCACATAGCTGCAAAACACTTTCCATTTTGGTGCGGCGAGGATGTAGACCCAGTAGTACTGGCCTGCAGCGATCGGTGCCATAGAGGCCAACTCGGAGATGACAGTGTAGACCGATAGAGTCGAGGACCAGGCAATGATGAAGCCATAGACGAGTCCGGCGGGGCCGCCATTCTCAAATCCTTGGCTGAATAGTGCAAGAACTGTTTCCCATGTGATACTATAGATAAGGGTTAATTGACATCAGAGCAGTCAAAGAAGCAATTAGGGGATATGGAAAAGGAGACTGTCGAGAGCACAGCTCTTGCAGTGGCGCAGCTCTACCGCTCCAATGCAGAACAAAGACAGCTTATCGTATATGGCTCGGGACGATTGAGGAACCTGCAGATTGCTGAAGCATAGCAGATAGCATCAACTTACTGTCGAACGGTCAGTACAATTCCGTACGCAGAAAGGTTACAAGAAGCGCAAGTAGTCACCCACGTTCCATTGCCCCGAGAATATGTTCAAGGGCTCAACACTCACCAGCTCGCACACAGCAAAACCAAATAACGACCAGAAACCGAAGCGGCGCTTAAGGACTTGCTTCTTGCCAAGGGCAGCGAGTACATCGCTATCGCGCGTGGAGGTGGGTTTAAGATTGACCATTGTGGGATGCGGTAGATTCACGTGAAGCTTGTCGAGGCCGGTGTCACACGACGATGCCGAGGTTGGTGCTTCTGGGCCAAATCAAAAAGGATCTGAGACAGGCAGGTAATGGTGGTGAAGTGCAAGATCTCTTCCGATATTCAGCGTCTATGTAGACGGGCGGTTGAGAGTCCGTCGAGTAGTGAGTGACGAGGGAGAGAGAGCAGGTTTGATCTGAAGAAATTGGAGGAATTGTCGGCTCGTGTAAAGCAGGAGTGGGGCAGAAAGGTTGCCAGCGATTCGGAGAGAGCAGATCTGGTAGCTCAAGGCGGCCCGGGACTGGGACCGTTGACTTCGGATTCCTGCTCCACAGCTCAAGCTCAGAACAGCGATATGGTTTGAAAGCTATATTGACCGTGTCAAAAAGTCGAACTTCGAGCTGTTCTCTGTCTGCTTGAGGAGAGCAGTGGGTGAATTTGACGGGAATGATGCCGGAAGCAGGTTCGGCAGGCTTGCAAGCTATCAGGCTCTGCTCTAGCGCGTGCTTAGGCGTCTTAGGCGTAGTGCTTGTCACAGCTAAGGCGCCGGTTGAGAGCGAAGCTTAGCGCCACCAGGTGCTTGTGCTGCCATGCGGCCACCCCGCAATACAAAGTCGAGAACGTCTGCTCGCCGTTCCTGAGCCCTCTCTGTCCATGCTAGAGACGCTTAGAAACCAGTCGGTCCAGAGCATGTTTTCGAATCTTTCGGTAACATGGAAAGTGGGTTGTGGCCACCCTCTCCCGAGTCAGTGCTGTCGCTTCGTCGAGCACACTCTGTACGCTCCGGCAGCTACACAAGAAGTCGTTCTGGGCCTTTGCGATGTCTGGAAGCGCCGAGCTGTGCATGCAATATCGTCTAAGGCACTTTGCGCACAGGCTGGAAAGTAAAAGCTATTGACGATTGCTGGACTAGATTCTGCCATCCACGAAACATGGCGCAGACATTGATGCCAATGGCCTCGCCTTCCCGAAGCCGGCGGAAAATGAGCTGAATGTATGGATCTGGATCGTCGTGAAACCATTCGACACGGTGCATCTTGTCCTCTTTGCTAGCGTGGACGTTGGTGATTATTCTGCGGCAGTTCTGAAGGGTCGGTACAGATGTCTGGGGTAGCAGCAGACCAGCTTCGAACCATGTCGAGGAGTTTTGGTAAGTTCCATGGTTGGCCTTGTCCCAGCTCCAGCCCTGGTCATGGGAGGTTACGGTAAAGATGACACTACGGATTGATGGTCGGTGGATGTGAGACGGGATTGGCGTGACTGCGTGAACGATGCCTGAGTTGCGTTCGCTCACCACCTGGCTGCAGTCGTTGGCGACAGCGGCCGCGTGTGCGCGGAAGCCCGCAAGATCGATGATATTGGGGATGACATCTGGCGGAAGTGGGAGGTCCCTCAGCAGTAGGGCTACTTGGAAGGCGTCTGCTCCGCTACTTGAGACCGACAGCCTGTCGACCTGAGTTTTCTTTTTCGGCCAGATCGCGTGTATGGAAAACTTGCGAAGCATGGAGATGAGGAGGAATTAGTGGCAGTGTACACGACCAACGGCGAGAAGGTAAGTAGCGGGCGCAGCTGATAGACTCTGCGAGCGATGACCGGCTGTCAGTGTTATCATCTCACCTTCTGCCGGCGATGCCGCTGTCGCTATTTCGTGTGCGGATCCCCAAGTGATTCCCCCAATCTCAGGCTGCTTGAAGCCAAACGTCCAGGCGCCATCGGCTGTGGGTAGGGTCACGATCTTGGCGGTCGAGTTCCGGATCGGCATTCCGATCGCCTGGGGCTGTCTCGTACCACCTGTTCCATCTCTTAAAGTCACGCTGTCTGTTCTGGCGCGCTGGTTGAGCTTTTAACAGCGAGTCTGTAGCAGAGAGCTGCTACAAAGCTGCAGAAGTCCATCATGCTACTTGATGCCGACATTTGCGCGCTTTCCACTGCGTCGAAAGCCCAGGCTGCGAGTGCTGCGGCCGTTCGCTTCTGACATCACCGCAGTGGGAATCACTACGCTACGAGAATACATACATCACTCTCCCACTGATCCTTGCACAAGAATAACCAACTGCTCTGTGCCGTCTACCTCGTCTTCCCCTCTCCTGCTTTTATCTCATACCTATCTGCGCACCACCATCCCAATGACGACCGACAGTACCAACTCCGCGCAGCCCAGTATGTCCTCTGCCTCACGCGCCATGCTCTCCAAGGTCCGCCGCCTCGTGCCACCCATGCTTGAACACTTCCACAAGGGTCAGCTAGGCCGCGTCGCCGTCATTGGCGGCTCCGCCGACTACACGGGTGCGCCATATTTCAGCGCCATGGCCAGCGCCCGCCTCGGCTGCGATCTCAGCTACGTCTTCTGCGAGCCTAGCGCAGCCCCCACTATCAAGTCATACAGCCCAAATTTGATGGTCAGTCCCATACTGAGAAGCGTGGCAAGCATCAGCCAGACCCAGAAGGACCATGGAGCAAGTGGAGAGGAGTTGGCAAAGCCCATTCTAGATATGTTGCCGCGGCTACATGTGCTGGTTATTGGTCCTGGCCTTGGGCGTGATGAAGTCACACAAAAGCAGGTAAAGGCTGTGATAGAGGCGGCGAGAAAATCAGATCCGCCATTGCCTATGGTGTTGGACGCGGATGCTCTCTGGTTGGTTCAAACAGACCCAGACCTTATCCGAGGCTACAAAGAGTGTATCCTGACGCCGAATGTGGTCGAATTTGGGCGGCTTGCTAAAAGCGTCGGCTTGCATCAATCGAGTGGTGATGCAAGTAAAGTGTGCCAGGAGCTAGCGGATAAGTTGGGTGGGGTGTGTATCATTCAAAAGGGACCCGTTGATTACATCTCGCAAGGTCGGGACACCACAACCTCTGATTTCGAAGGTGGCTTGAAGCGCTCGGGAGGGCAGGGCGACACTCTGACCGGATCACTGGGTACTTTCCTTGCGTGGCGACAGGTGTACCATGAGGGTTTGTGGGATGTTGGCGACGAGAAGATGGACCGTGCGGAGACGCTGCTCGTGGCAGCCTTTGCTGGCAGCGCCATTACGCGGGAGTGCTCGAGAAGGGCATATCAGAAAAGACAGCGGTCCTTGCAGGCCAGCGACCTCACAGAAGAGGTGCACGAAGCGTTTTTGAGCTTGATTGGCGAACCCACCGAGCAACAGGACAAGAAGAGTAACCTGTGAAGAGACAGGAACACATGATACATGGCTGCAGGTTTTCAGATAGGTTAAGAGCATCCTTGTTTCTTTGATCGGGGCTTGCTGCCCATATATGTACACCGCCACCCGTTGCTGCTCTTCTTCAACGTCTACCGTCTTTGTCTTGCGGCATCTGCAGCATCGGCCTGCTTGCGCTGCGTGTCTTCGTAATGCTTTATCAATGTCGACAAATCCGTAGTGCCCTCTCCTGCGACCACGTTGATCGGTGAGCCGGCGTTCAATTGTCTATTGAGATGTTAGAAGGCCTTCCTCAGCGCTGTAGAAGTGGACCATACTCTGGGTATCTAATGGGTGGTCCCTCGACGGTCCTCGGCGTAGTCTTCAGCACGAATCGGTCACTGATAGCCTGCTGAAGCGCAGCGTCGTGTAGATTGCTCTGCTTCCCATCGATGTCGTCTTTCACGGTCACGAACCCCTCCACGAAGCGGCGTACGAAATTATTGGGATTGGAGGCGACTTGGTAGGACAGGTAAAAGGTGGGTGTCGCGGCCAGGGCGATGTAGAAGCCACGCTGTGCATCAGGTCAGCTGCTGCCACGATCCAGCCTTTGCACTCTTCTGACTCACGCCAAAACCTTCGTTGCCTGAGGCGTTCCCTCCGTCAATGTGGTATGCGCTGGCACCGTGGCCATGAGCGTCATGGCCGTGGGACTCGCCGTGGGAAGCGTATCGCCGGGACTGGATACGTGTAGATTGGCGCAACGAGCGAGCTGCAGCTCTCGCCCCTCTTGAAGCGGAACTCATGGTAACCTGTGCTGCAAATGAGTCTGCTCAACAACTGACCTCTGCCACGGCTGCGGCAACGAACGATGTCGAGAGAGCTTGGGCTTGGCGCGGATCAGCCCGAGAATTGCAGCGATGTTGATTGGTTGGTCACTCAAAGCCGAACGAGGCCTTCTCATCCCCTTCTAAAGGCGCTTGAACAGTCATTTGTGCCTCCTAGCCCCAACCTATCATGGCTGGCCACATTACTGCATTGGCCAGGCTAACACATTACCTACGTATGCCCACGTTGATCCCTTGATGGTTCATGCAACCAGATGGTGCCAATGCAGCGCTCGGAAAAGCCTTTGCATCACGGTCGGGCACCAACTCGCCAAAATTAGGCCTAAGCACACACTACAGGGAAAGGCCTTCATAAAAAGGTCAAGTATCTTGCCCATCTCCTTCGCTTCTCTTCCTGTTCCCTGTTTCCCATCGATAACATGATAGACCAACCTTGCACATACAAAATTCCAAATCGCCGCAATTCGTGTAGCATCACTTGTCAGGTTCAACGACCGCCGTGAGGACACTTCTGATCGAACTTTTGATGCCCGAACGCGAAGCTATCCACTTACTATCACAAGCCACAGCAGCGCTACCCCCATGTCAACAACTATGTATCAAACGACGGCCAAGCCGCGCGGAAGGCGGGATTTCGACCCTGTTGATCCGCAGCCGCTCAGCAGAACCTCTAGCAATGCTTCACAAAGATTAACGAAAACGTCCTCAAGGCCGCTGGAAGACTCTTCATCTCAAGTCAAGTCTAGATCACATTCGCCGGCGCTCTTCTGGCAGCGAAACAAAACAGCTGATCTAACTGAACCCCGTGATTCAATCACAAATCCGCCAAAAGGTTCCAGCACAATGGGCGAAAGCCATGAGAAGCCAACTGGCACGGCCCAGGAGAATGTGGGCTGGGCAAGAAGAGATTCCGAGCGCCTCCAGTCGTCTATGCCACCACCAGCTGCTGCCTTCTTTAGCAAGGCAAAAGGGCCAGATCAGCCAGGATTCCGAAGGTCTCATTCACGGTCCCGTACTCGGTCCCTTACGCAGTCGATGATTGCCCGAATGCAGCCAACAGTCGCGGATGCCTCGGAGGACGAAGCGAAAAGCCCTGGCGCAAGATCGAGTGCAACATCGCTCGAATTGAATAGCGCTAACACTTCCGATATTGGCGAAAAGCTCTCCAACAAGGCAAGTGCTATTTCGGCCGCCCCCCAATCTCACGAGGCCATTGGAGAGCCACTAAAAGCATTCTACTCGACACCAAACGTGGCCAGTGATACCACGACCTCGCCGCCCCAACGCCCCGTAGACTACCAAACCCAGTATGCCACTTACGGCTATCCTGCGGTGCCGGGTAGCTTCCCATCACCTCTTCAGCGTGGCGTCGACACACCAACTCAGAACCGGCACTTGGTTGCAGGCTATTCTTCACCGCATCAACGACCGACCGACTCGCGTGGCCAGGCGCCGCAGGATCTGACACCGACGCCGACTATATCACCTCCGCTCTCGCCGCGACTTGTGCACCAGCAGCCTATGTATAGTTCTCCTCCAGTACCGTACCATTACGGGTATCCGCCGCAGGTCGGCCACGGACAGGGAATGGCAACGGGCTACTATCCTGCGGTCGATCCGCAATACATGCCCAGCCCCCCGATGACCCAGCCAGACGGTGCGAGAACATCTTCGGAGAGCAATCAGGACGAACATCAACGCGATTGGCACAAAATAACGGGTGTTCTTCCGGAGCTGAACCGCATTCTTGCTCATTATCAAGATCAGAAAGGTCAGGCCTCTAGCAAAGACTCATTCGCCAAGCAACTCGACTTTCAGCGTACCCAGGAGATGGCCAGGATCCGTGTGGAGCTTGAAGCGAACAAGGAGGAGTACGAGAAAGTCATCCAAAGATTAGTATCCGAGTCGTTCCAGTACAAGCGTGACATCAAGGAGCGTGATGAAAAGATCAACAAGATGCAAGCCATGATTGACGATCTCAAGATCCAGCAGGAGGAGTTTCGAGAGGTCAAGACCAAATATGAAGAATCGACCGCTCAGCTCGAAAAGGCCAGAAACGAGCACGGATTATTGTCTTCGAAGCACGATCAGACTAGCTCCGAGCTGCAGTCCCTCAATAAAACCTGCGAAGCTTTGCGGAAGAAACATGACGAAGTCGTAGCCGATGTGCAGTATCACAGAAACAAGTGCCAGGAGGCCACGGCGGCAGCGGACCAGGCAAGGCTGGCAAAAGAGGATCTTGTCTCGGTCAAGATGAGGCTGGAGGAAAACCTCGAAGATATGCGACGCAGGCACCATGGCCGCGAGGAGAAGCACCAGAGCGATCTGAAGGTTTTGAGGAAGGAACACGATGCAGCTTTGGACGCCAAGGACAAGGAGAAGCATAACGCTGCTATGGAACACAAAGGCATTGTTGCAGGCCTCTCAGCCGAGTTGACGGGCCTGATGGAGCGACATACACGATGTAAGAAAGAGCTTGAAGCCGCTCGGACCAGCACTGCCAGCGCAGAGAAGAAGCTGGAAGATCGCACCAGAGACATGGAGGCACAGGCCACGCACTACCGTCAACAGATCGATGCCAAGAGCCGTGACATGGAGGCCCAGGCGTCGCAATATAAGCAGCGATTGGAAGCCAAGTCCAAGGAGATGGGAGAGCAGGCAACCTCTCATCGACAGCAGCTAGAGACCCAGTTGGCCTCGCTCACATCGCAGCGGCATCGAGAGCTGGACACGCTCCGGGACGAACAGGCCCAAGCACTGAGACGATTGCACCAAGACCAGGAAGCGGAGGTCTCTCGCGTGGCCGAGGAAAACGCCAAGCAAATGCAAAAGGTGCACACCGAACTGGATAGCCAGAAAGACATATTCGACCAGTACAAGAAAGAGACGGATGACTTGAGAGCTGGTCACGGCGAGTTAGCAGCAACTCTAGTGGCATGGAATCGACGGCAGCAGGAATGGCAGGCCGAGCAGAACAAGCTCAGCAAGGTGTTGGAGTCCCTTGGCCTGACTGCGGCGACTAGCACGAAGGAGGAAGCGTGAACCTCCAGGATACACTGTATGATGCCTGAGAAATGGCAAACCCTGGCGACGGGGTCGTTATACTGTATGTGATCTGATCACTTAGATACAAATAAGGCAGCGATACAAAGATGGCAAAGGAGTGGGAAATGCATGAGGACTGAAGGGGCCGTCGGCATAGCGTTAGCATGTAGTCTGTAGCGGGCGGATTTTGTGTGTATTGAGCATTTTGAGCGTTCTCTAGTTGCAGCGTCTTGGTATAGCAGATTCCTAATTCAGGAGGACGTTCATGTCGACTATACGCTCCCTGATCCACGTGACAGCACAGTGCTCGGAAGTCATGTGGCAAAGTCTGGTAAATTCTATTCTTCTACAAGTACCGCCAGACTCGCCCATGAGCCCCACCAGGGTGCCGCAGCACCATGACCTGTACACAATCAAGTCTATGGGCCGTCTGACCAATATCCTCCTGGCAAGTCACACCAGAATCACCATACCGCGCCAAAGCACTAACAGTGACCGGGGATTTTGGTAGTTTAGGAGTTTGACGCCAAAACACCGCCCCCCTCGTATGCAGCCCTACGAGCGCCCGGAACTCTTTCTAAACCCCCATGCGCTCTGGGCGTTCCTGAACGAGTCGCAAGGCTGAATCTGACCTTATCGCATTACCCATCTTGTGGCGCTTGCGGGGACGTGGAGGGGCTTATTGTGGCTCGGAGAATAGGTGACGATTTGTAAATGGTGGTCGGTAGAGGGTGCATACTCGACACAGTCTATGCTGCTACCGTCCAATGCACAACAGTCTATCGACAAGGATCGCTGAATCGTCATAGCCTGGAAGTCGGCACGCGCTGCCGGTGCGCACCCCCGTTGATGGATTAAACTGCAGTGGACCTTTTGGGGGCCGACCGCTCAGTGGTGGCTTGACGTGCGGCGGTGTTGGCGGTGCTGGATTAGCTCTGCCGCTTGCTGCATGGCGCAGCCTACTGCGCTTCGACCAGAGCACCTTCATCCCCTCCGACTCTCTCCAACCACACATGCACTGACAAACCTCCGCCCAACAACCGCGAGTCTGCCTGGGATCAGCCCGTCAGTCGCGCTAGCACACTGTCCTGCATCATTCATTCTCTTTCGACCTACGTCTGAACGGCGCGTGCTCTCAATCTGTCGCAGCCGGTCCCGCAATCCACTTCAGACTCGATGGCAATCGGCACCTCGTTCGCTCACAAACTACTGTCCGTATGTGTCTAACGACCCTGCCTCGGTCTATCCACTTCCTCTTTCGCAAGGATACGTCGGCTCTTCCAGGCTAGCAAGAACCCTCCGCGCTGGACCTCGCCTACTATACACAGTGCTCCTCCGCATCTGCACAGCCATCGCGCATAAACCCCATCTGATACCGCGCCGTCGAATAGCCTCTGCCCGGACCATGTACCAGAAGCTGCGGAAGGTCGATCCCTGGTCGTGACCGGTGACTCCCACTGTACTTTACTTGTACAGCTAGCTCCACTCTTCCTGGGCCAAGTCCCAGCATATACCCAAATATCATGGCCTCGCTAGCCTCCACCTCGCCCCTTCTACACTCGAACCAGTATTCTTCTCGATCCTCCAATCGCCCTGATACTCAACACGCGTCGCCCGCTACTCAGAATACTCTACAGAAACGTCCTTCGCCCCCAGGTCATAAGCAGCACCCGAGCATTACTTCCAACCCAAGTCAAGACGCTCAACATCAGATACCCTTTCCAGACCTGCCCGACACCGTCGATGATTTCTCCACGGCAGACCAGTACGCATATGTTGCGCCTGCAGATCTGATGTCGGCCGCATACGTTGACAATAGCTTCGGCACCACGTTCGAGGATTTCATGACCCCAGATTATTCAACAGACAACCATATCAGCGAGCACACGACTCCGCAAGAGGCTATCTGGGAGCAACAATTCAACAGCCGACACTTTGTATCTGACTCTTCACACCCTCATATCCTGGACGGGAGCTCCCAGAATTCAGAACACGCTTCGCCCCCAAACCCAACCAAAGAGCTCCAGAGCATCTTCTCCGCGGCCTCAACCCATTCACCTCAATATATCTCGGGCGCTCAGCTTCTGAGCCCCCGGCTCACCACTCCCAGCCCTTCGAGAGTGGCAGAACAGAGGCGCACATCGACTGATCGACAAACTGATTCCATGGACCGTACTAGCAAGAAGCGCGGAGCAGAGTCGTTGCACGTATCAACTGACACGAACTCATTATGGCCTCAGCGGAGCCACGGGACTCACCAACCTGGACAGTCCCCAAATCAGAGGCCTGTCAGTCCTGTCATTATTCTGTCGTCTCATCCACAGGGTGATTCCCCAGCTCACGCAAGTCCTCCACGTAATCGAAGTCTGAGTCGGTCTCATGAGAGTCCACTGCACAATCCCGTTGAAGCTGAGAGCAACCAAAACTACTTCGCCGCGACACAGTCAAGTCTCCTTGCCCCTGGCTACCTCGATTCCGGAAGCTTCGATGAGTCGAACGAGCGCCTCGGTCTCGACCCAACAGAGCGAGGGGATGCCGAAGTGCCAACCATAAATCAGCTTGCTGATAATCGACAGCGGAAGGAGCGTAATTTGGAGGTCGAGGAATGGCTGCACACCTGTAGCCCCGATTTGCACCCAGGAGAAGCCGCAGTTCTGCGGCAGATTCAAGCCGATCGCCCCAGAGCACATTCGACTGGCGTCAAAGTAGACTCAATGGGCATTCCCATCTATTCTGACAGGGGCATCCCTGGTCCTGGTGTTCTTGTCGATGAGGATAGCGAGGATGAGTATTCCGAAGACGAGGAGATCAGTGTGCTGGCCTCGTCAGACGATGGAATACCGTTGTCTGAATCTCCACCGGTCGAGCAGGACGATCTGCGAAATCAAAAGGACGATATCGGCTATTTTCCTCCTTACGATGAAGACTCAATTCCGCCGGAGATGCAAGAGCCTCACCCAAGACAGTTCTACCGGCGCGGACCATGGCAAGATCCTCCCCAAGGTCCTATAGTGCACGATAAGAGCCAGCCTTTCTCTTCCAACTCGGCGATGATGAGATTCAACGAGGAGGCAGCAAAGTGGGAAACTGCATCACGAGCAGCCACCTGGGGTACTCGACGCAGACTGAGCGACAGTGAAGTCCAGTCAATTGTTGACGGAAGTCGTGTACGTCACATGTCGCTTGTCAAACGTGGTCGTGCTCGCGGCAGCACTATCCTGAAAAGGGCCAAAGACAAAGCCAATGACCTCATCCCACGGCGAAGCAACAGCAACATCAAGAAGGCGGCCGAAGCGCAGCTGAGCCCGGAGGCTGTGCAACTTGTCGAGAGTCCCCAACCTCGAGAGTCGCTCAGCTCGAGCAAGCCACTTCAGCGACTTTCGAGCTTTGGGAAGTCCAAATCGCCTCCGCTCGACACTTCGAGCGCCATCAACGCAAGTGCGTTGGCCGCCAGCGGTGGAGAAGCTGTGAGTGCAGACTCTGCCAAGGTCAAATCCGAAGGGTTGCGTAGCCCACTGCAAATGCTTCGGAAAGCACGCAGCAAGAGCGACGTAGGCAAGTCTAGTGCCAAATCTTCGCCTGGTCTTCAGGAGCTTATGACACAACACGGTGGTCCTCCGGTCCCAAACTTGGCTTCGCCTGCAGGCCCCGTGGCCGTGTTACACAGGCGCAATACCAATGATGCTATGGACGACGACGACGACGATCTGGACGAGGAAGGCATCAAAATGGATCTTAACATTAAAGCTGAGACGATCATTCCCAATTTCGAGGGCTTCAAACTGCACGCACGACAACTTAACCCACGCCTTCCGCCTTACTTGATCGATCGGATTGGGCAGGAGCAAGTTCGCCGCTACAAGAAGTTGGTCGAGAACCGGGTGAAGCATGTGAGAGCTGTACAGAACAAAATCTGCCCTTCCAAGCACCGCTGCTTCGAGCTGGGTGGCGACGCTGAGCTGCTAGCGCCTCGACAGAGCACGAAAGATCCTGACGCAACGTGTGCCCAGTTCTCCATCCCGAATACTACTGACGGCGACGCTGAAGACGGAGAATACGAAGACGGGGTCGTGACGCCTGCTCTGTTCCCCACCGGCATTCCTTTGCCGCCCGTCAAGCGAATACCAGCTGAATTTGAATGTTTTCTGTGCTTCAAAGTCAAGAAGTTCCACAAACCATCAGACTGGACAAAACATGTGCATGAGGATGTTCAGCCTTTCTCGTGTACTTTCCCCAACTGTGGTGAGCCAAAGAGCTTCAAACGGAAGGCCGACTGGGTGCGCCACGAAAACGAACGCCATCGCCGATTGGAGTACTGGAGGTGTAGCGTTCAAGAATGCAGCCACGTCTGCTACCGCAAAGACAATTTTGTGCAGCACCTGGTACGCGAGCATAAGAAGACGGAGCCCAAGGGCAAAAGTAGGGCTGGCAAGGCTAGATCGGGCGCCGCCACGCAGACCGAAGACAATGAGGTTTGGCAGTTGGTGGAAGCATGCCGTTACGAGACCAGCACCAGACCCCGGGACGAGCCGTGCAGATTCTGCGGAAACGTATTGAACAGCTGGAAAAAGCTCAGCGTTCACATGGGTAAACACATGGAGCAGCTTGCAATGCCAGTACTGGAACTCGTCAATCTGAAGCAAGTGACGGCAGATACGATCATCAGCCCCATCGAGCAAAATCAACACAGGACATCAAATCCGAACATGACAGTGCCGAGACAGACGATGAGGGGCCCAATGCCGCAGGCCATGTCCATGGCAGATTCGAACACGTACATGGCACTGCCGAGCCACATGACAGTGAGCCCAGCGATATCGCATCACGATCCGAGCTTGTCGCCCTACTCTCACAGTGTCCACTCTGCACATAACTCGTCGGCAGGGCACTCCCCAGCGATGACGCAAGTACATGCGCAGATGGGCCCATTCGGCTACGGCCAGTATTATACAGGGCATGAAATGAGCACACCTGGACACGGCTCCATGTCGCAAAGTGAGGCGTATGTGCAAGCCGAATCATACGCTAACAGTGCTTATCCCACGAGCGGCATGTCGGTGCCGAACCAGTATGGCGGAATCAACAACCAAGTCAACCAGTCCTATGACAGTGGTCATAGCATGCAGACACCGATATCGGCACAGTCGATGCCAACAACGCTGGGACCCGTGAGCGGCGGCGGGTTCGGCCCTCATGATGCTGCGTACGCACATGGCAGCAGCATGGGCCCGTACGAGCAATACCCGCCAACGTCTCAAGCAAATGGAAGCTTCCAGGACGGAACGCAGCAGACGGATCCAAATCAGGACTATGTCTTGTCCAATCAATACGGCCAGCAAAACAACATGTACTACCATTAATGATGACGAACACACCTCGCAAAGTGAGGCAAGACTACTAGCAAGAATGAAGCAGCTCACGAACTATGGTTTCCAAGGGATGGCTGATGGGGGACTTTACGGTTACACCAGCAAGGAGCGCGGCATGATGAAGTCAAATGGGGTTCTGAGGTAAAGTAAGCTACTAGATGAGCAACAAACACGGACGCACTTATGAAGACCGTCATGGCATTTCTTGGGATAGGACTTGGGACTTTTGTTAGATACCCGTACTGCAATTTGAATGCGAAAGACCATGATCGAGGAGTCGAGGACTTTAGCCAGCCGAAAGTACCTAGTAGCAGGGTTCTTTGGAAGTACAGTAGAACCGGCAGAAGCAACGATGGCGCGGGGTATCGAAGCCGGGCTTGACTCGGAAGCACGGAATGTGCGCAAGGCTTGTAGCATTTTGGTACGAGTACTGTTGTTCTTGGGCCCAGGGCGAACCAGGCCGCATGGGAGCAGAACTGGGCGAATGGCTCGATGTGGTTTAGTCCTGTAGCAGGCGGTTGCCTTGCCAAGCCTTTTCCCGTGCGGCTCTTTCCTCACCGGTCTTGAGGCAGCCAGCGACTGATGCCTGGCTCCCTACTCCTCTGTCAACCTTCACTTCTATTTTTTCGACCATTTTTTCCCGGACCTCTGTGAACAGTCTCGAATCCTATCTACGAGCCCTTTGGCACATTTTTTACGACTGTTGTCGTCGTGGGGTTTTGGTGTGTCGTCACTGGCTTTCTGGCGGCTTGACACAGCCTCCACCTGCCAGATTCACTGCCCAAAGCACCACCACCACCACCCTTCAACTCATCCCACCGCCGTCACCTCCCCGAGTCTTCACCTGCAGACCGCATTCAAGCTAATAGCTTCACTCCAAGCATCTGTGAGACTCTTTGCTGCTTGCGCGCCTCGTCTGTGGAACACGATTGGCCGCTTAGTCGTGGTCCTGTGGCCCGGGCGCCCTCCTAGGCTTTCTGGGCTCCGGCTGTGCCCTTAATATCCCCGACTTCGCCTACGCCCACTTCCCAAAACACCTCAACTTTGACTGCCTTGTCAAGGTTCTGGCACTATGGCCTTTTGAAACATTGTGTTTGTCGATTCTTTCCCACCTGACAACCGTAAGCCGCCATTTGTTCTTTCCTTTTTGGCTAGTATCTAACCGCGTCAGGTAGTCTCTACACAGCCGCTCAGTCTAGCGCACAATGGCTACTTACCATGGCGGACGCCCTGGACATGGGCAGCTTCCGGAGGATTTGTTGAGTGTAATACCTCCCCGGGCACAGCCCGCTGCCAAAGTCCATATCCAATCCATGCTGACAAAGGTCCTCTAGGCGGAATCGGGTCAGTTCTATACTGGCAGTGCAATGGTGGAGCCTGACCCGGGACTTGACTCACCAGAAGATATCGACCTCAATAGTTTTGTCTTGCCGGAGCTGCGGACCAACGACCCTAGGACTACCCAGCAGCTTCCAATCTTCCCTTCCTTCTCGTCTTCTCACCAGGGCGGCCTTGTCTCTTCCTCAAGCACTCAATCAGCTTTTCAGTTATCTTCTCAAAGCAACTCTTCAGGTTTTCACCACGAAGCGAGCCAGTCGCAGAGCAGCGGCGCCATCAGCCGCCCCAAACAACGCGCTCCCTGGCACCCCCTTGACGTCGCCGGGCCACCACAAAGGTCCATACCCTATCATACAAAGGAAGCTGAAAGGGCGCCTGCCTTCAGGGCGTCTGCTCGACCATTAGGTACCGCCTCGGACTCCGGATATCGAACTGGGTTGCAGCATGATACGCCTTCTCTTCTAAGCACCGGTACTCACATGGATCGATTTCACTCAGATGTCATGGACTCTCAATCCGACTATGCGGCATACCACCCTGGCGACTATGAACTGGACGACACCCACAGATTTGACAACATCCTCGAACATACCCAAACCCACCAACAGTATGAACCCGACGCTCACCCATCTTTTGTTGAGCAGGAGTACAATTTGAACGACCAAGAGGCTCACGAGAGCGCCTCAAACGAGCACGGACAGCGCCATGACCTGGACTGTCCCGTGTGCGGTGAGGTCAGCAAGACGCCTTCAGATGCCAAGTAGGTCTATCCACACGAGCCGGTGCTGACACTGACAAATACTAGGAAGCACCTAGCAAGACATCAGAAGCCCTTCAGGTGCACCGATGCCAGCTGTGGCCGTCACAATGAAGGTTTCGCAACCGCCAATGACCTCAATCGACATATAAAATCCGTGCATAAGGCAGAAGTCAAGGGGAGCCGAAGCTTCAAGTGCTTTGCTGAAGCATGTTCGCATCCGGAGAAGATATGGCCTAGAAAAGACAACTTTACCCAACATCTCCAGAGGATGCACCGCGACGAGGACCAAAACGCTCTCCTGGCCAAGTCGGAAGAATGGTACGACCAGTTGAACCCCGTGGATGACAAGGCTGAGGAGACCATTGTCAAGGAGGTGCGTCGACAAGAAGACTCGGTAAGACAGCAAAACCAGCAGCAGAAACGTGCCAGTGGCACTGCTACAGGCTCCAAGCGAAAGCGCAATGCACCAGAGCAACCAACGCCGGCGCCACAATCGCAACGTACACGGCACAGTCTGCCAGGTCTTGATACTGCTTCGTCACACAATAGCATGCCCCCTCAAGACATGAGATTACTCTCGCCCTATTCACCAACGCCTGATCGACCTGTCGTCGATCCGCGTCAACATGTCTCTGGCCCTCGTCAACGTCGTGCGCAAAACTCCCATCGGCAGGCGCAGCCCCAACCACAAGGTCCATCTATGATGTCGCGATCCGTGTCGCAAGCTGGTCAATACATGCCTCGCACTCCTTTCCACGGCATGCAGCAACAACCCTATTGGAGTTTCGATCCACAGCAGACACACGCACAGCACTTCTCGCCTCAGGACGTCAGATCTCAATTTGAGCCTCGGTGGCATCCTCAGCAACAAATGCCCCAGCCTCATCTAGGCCCGACTGACCGACACACGGTTGCTGGCGACATTGATACTAGGGGCTACGAGTGGCTCTCGTCCCCTCAGGACCACCCGTTGCAATATGGCGGCTTCACGAATGCCTCTATGCCTATCCCAGCAGCCTCTGAACTGGTGGGTCACATGCAGCCAGCGGCTCCAGCATCAGTCTCGCCCACTACTACCGGCATGAACCCGGAGACTCCTACGTCATCTACACCAGTGTTGAGGCTCACTGTGGATGATAGTAGCCGCCCTCCGGTAGATACGCTCGAAATCTCTAATTTTTTGGAGAATCATGACGACTTTAAGAAGGACTACAATAACCTCAGACAAGCTGTCATTGGCTTTCCAGCAGCCCAGCACGAATTTCTCAAGATTTTGCGCGCGGTTGGAGGTTCTTCGAACGCAGCCGCACCACCGTCTGAAGAATCGCGCAGCCAGTCTCAGTCCAAGCGTGGTCATCATCGCCAGCCTTCCATAACCACGACAACCACCTCAACTACCGCCGTCAGCACAAATGCCACCCAGGGCGCGCTTGACCGTGCTGCAGCCGGCAGGGAAGTTGCCCTTTGCAGTGTTTGTAACAAGTTATTTGCACGCGGATCCGATCTGAAGAAACACATGAAACGGCATGATCGTCCTTACGGCTGCGTCTCTGATGGTTGCAGCAAGAGCTTTGGCTCTAAGAGCGACTGGAAGAGACATGAAGCTACGCACGGCGAGGTGGAAGGTGGCTGGCGCTGTGATGGACGTCACCTAAACCCTCTGCAGAACAACGAAGAGTGTCATATGTGGTGGCCTCAAAGGGACGTCAGCCAAGAGCAGTACTGCAACCACCTTCAGGCCTGCGCAGTGCCGCTTGAAGACATTCAGCCAATGTCGGAGCGCTGCTTCATTCCTAGAGCTAACACGGAGGCTTACTGGTGCGGCTTCTGCTACAGTGTGATGAGGTACGTCGACCCTGATCTCGAACCCGCCAAAGAGCGGGTCAATCATATCGAGCGCCATTACAAGAATGAGGCAAGGATCAATGATCATTGGCGAGACTGCAACGGAGGAGGCAGAACCAAGTTGGAGATGGGCCAGGTCATCGCCGCCACTTAAGCTATATCGGCCGAGAATGCGGTGACCCTGCGGCCCCCTTGGCCAATCCGCTCTGGCATTTCATGTTCATGATGAGACGACAAGATATGAACCGACGTCAGAAGATGGACTAGATGGACTACGACAGAAGATGAAACTAGATGAACTACGACATATGACGAAATATTTTGGGACGAACTCAGCGCACGACGTTACATGCTATGAACGACATGATACAGGCATGGTCGACGACGATACAGCCACGAGACGGTACAGCACACTACAGCACATACAGCACCGCAGGCCAAAAAATTGCAGCGACATGGCCAACAGCACCCACCAGCGGAGCATATATCGATAACTCCTTGTGTCTACCATGCTACCTACCACAAGTACTGCTTTCGACCCTCCACCCTCCCCCCGGCGAGGCCGGCTTGCGATTTTGCTCTTTCTATTGCGCCCTGGATCCGATTTATTTCCGATTATGTCCTATTCTTTGGCCCATGACAGCTTGGGAGTTTCTGGTTTGGGGATTACAGGTCTGCCAGGCACTGGAGTCTGGATTATAGATGGATCGTCGGCTCGGAGCTTCTCCTATTGTCACCACAAAGACCGGTCTGGCTGTTGTTGGATACTTCTTTCGCCCGGATGAACTGTCTGAAGGGGTTCACAGTCGGGCTTCAAGGATAGGCTTCACGTTTGGTGTGCATGCATGGTTCAAGGACGGTGATGGTTGTCTCTCCTTGGGGGGAGGCGCACTTTCTTTTGTGATACCCAATGGTTAGTTACCTAAGCTTTCCTATATTTCCATATTGTATGCCACGGTACGCGATGCTACGCGACGGGTACTGGTGTTTGGTATAACAATTCATCAAACCCCCAGTCTTAATTTTATTTTCTCGATACCTGATTTTTGCAGCCATGCTGGCCTGGCCTCAGGGTTTATACTTAGTTGCCCTCTTGACCCCCCGACTTCTTTATACTTCTCGGTCCTTATACCCCTGATCCTTACCCTTCCCTTGGCCTCTTTACCCCCTAACCACTCCCCCTCCCCCCTCCCCCGCCTCCCCATCGCAAACGACTCACATCACACTCACACTCACAACGACAAGGCCAATGCCAATGCCAATTCACAAACCATGCCACGTCGTCCTCGACACGACCTCGACCCCCTTATTGAGCCTGCGGTCGCTCGTGCTCTTGACGAGACCCAAATGCCGCAATTCGGCGAGCGCGCGGTAGAAGAGCGTGAGGGCCTGGCGCTCGGGATCTGCGTCCGGGGCGCTGTCGTTGTCGTTGTTTGAGTCCTCAGTAGCATCGTGGCCGTTGGGGTTGGGAGCTCGGGTCCTGCTATTGCTTTTGGCGGCGGCGGCGGTGGTGTTGGATTTGTCCTTGCCCTTGCCCTTGCCGGAATCCGCTTCACCGGCGGCCTTGCCCTTCTTCGTCGTCGTAGTTTTGCCAGTCGAGACCTTCCCTTTCTGCCCCTTGGCGCCCTGTCCCTGTCCGCGGCCAGAGCCAGTGGGGTCGTCAGTCTCGCTTCCCAGCGTCATGCGGTCGCGGAATGTGCTCCACAGGTCAAAGACGTTGACCTCTCGACCCGCTTCGGCCAGAAGACCGTAGAGGACGGTTGCGGGCTCCTTTTCTGCATTTGCTGCGGCGGCGCCTTTGTTGTTGGTTGTGGTGTCGGTGCAGCAGTCGCAGCCGAGGTAATCGGAGGGTGAGGACAGGGCGCGTTCGAGGGCGAAGCGGGGGCGCGGGTTGAAGGCGGAAACGAGGGGGCCGCGTGACGTGATGAGGAGTGCTTCGTTTAGGTAGGGAGGTGGTGAGGAACTGGGTGGGGCGAGAATCGTGTTGATGAGGTGGTCGATGTGGCCGAGGAGGTTGAATGGAGTGTTGATGGGTTCGCTGGAGGTGAGGTTCGGTGAGAGCTTCGTCAGCAGGGCCGTGAGAGATGGACCAGGGAGGGGTGGTAGAGCGTCGAGAATCAGCTGATAAGAGTCTGAGCCGACAACTTGGCCACGGTGGAGGGCTTGAGTCAGTTGGTGGTAGTGGGTGAATGGTGAGGTGGCGCTGCTGCCCGTAGAGAGGTGAGAGGCAACGGTAGCCAGAGTATGTAGAGCAGCGACCTTCTGCTGATAATGTCTGGATGTTTCGTGAAGCTGTTCGATAGAGTATTGCAGCAGCTCGCGATCGTCGTCTAGGAGTTTGCGAACTATTGAAGGGTTTGTGTTGGGTAACCTGCCGTCGAGAATGCTAGAGCAGTGCACTTGAAAGCTGGCGGTGTTGCGGATTGCCTCGCAAAGGGTCAGATTCGGCGCAGATACATCGATCGCCGTGGGCCGGAGGAGAACGGAGAGTGGATTGGCGAAGAAATGCGTCATGTGGGCGTACTTGACAGCGGCGGTGAAGGTGTGCATTGTCAAGGATTGATCTTGGGATAAGTCGTTCAGGGCGGAGACGACTGAAGGTCCTACGTATAGTTGTGGTGCTGTACCTTGAATTCGCGGGTCTATGCTGGATGATGCAGGCTGTTGGACGGCCGAGAAGATATCATAAAAGCTATCACCCTCAGACTTCAACGAAAAGACCTCGGCATCGAGCAGTCGTGCTGTTGACTTTGCGAGGCGACTTTCGAAGAGATGTACCGTAGTCGCAAGACCGAGGAGAAGAACGAAATGGATACGATCTTTCCACGAGGCCAGATTCGTGATGAGCTCGGAGAAGACGTTTAGATCGAAGGTCTCTGCGTCCGGCATTGCAACGACAACCTTGTGCAGACCCTTTTTTGCAGTGTACCTCTGCAGCAACTCCAAGTCAAAGATCATGGGTATCTGCCGCTTCTGTGTGGCGACAAAAGCATTGTACTCCCCAATGTTGCTATGAGTCTCGATGGCATTGCGGATAAGCGTTCTGAGTGCAGTCTGTAGAGTTGGGGCATGACTCGCTTGCAATTCTACGACCAGATCTGCATCGTCGGACTGTCGTAGTCTACGGATGCATTGTCCTAATGCGCTGGTGTCGGATCCCGAGACCACGACAGCAGTCCGCACCCTCTCGGCAGGGTTATTTCCTTCGTGGACGCATTGTACAATCTTCTCAACGGCTGCCTCATCGATGCTGCCAGCGCCATTCTCGATTCTCGACTCGGCCACTCTCCACGCCTCTCGAAACGCCTCTTCTCGACTGCGTGCGTATTCTTCTAGCTCGGCGCCGGCACATAACCTCGGCCAGGACCGCGGTGCGGGTGAGCTGTCCTCAACAGTTGCGGTTTTGCGACGCTTCTTCGGGCGATCGTCGATGTCGAGCTCTAGGGTGGAAGTGGGTTTGAACACGTAACAGGCTTGGTACGAGAAGTCATCATTGTCGAGCTGGCCATCGTCTGCATCCTGCCCCATCTTTTGGTGCGGACGCAGTCCTTGAACTTCACCGCGACGCGTAAAGTGGTTGCCGCGTCTAAGGCACAGACCTGATTGGTAAGAACGCGAAAATAAGTGGATCCAATATTTATGCTTTCCGTGGCCGACGACAGTCTTGACTACCTGCTGATATCTCCCACCACAGTTCATACCTCGAGCATTGCGGTATTCTGGATTTCGGCAATGCTATGTCTCCGCCAATGCAGTAGTTGAAACCCGGAGGACTCCCGTTGCTGGCTTGCTGGATGAGGCTTGAAGCAGCACAAGCCCCGTGCTCGTTGATCTGCGAACTGCTGCCAAGAGTGCCATACCTGCTTCGAGGACTTCTCAGTGACCGGGTCCTGTAAAACCCAAGCAAGGGATAGCTCACAAGGTGCGCTTTCTTGCGTATGCAGACCTATTTACGGCAAGCTACCATGTTCTGTATCGGCTAGAAAGCTGTTCGAAAGCAGCGACATACCCTACCACCATTTATCGAGCATGCTCCTAGCTCTGCACCGGCACAAACTTTTCATGCCCATCCCACAGACTGACCAGCAATGACCGCTTCCCAACCCACGGCGATCGAGCGTGCTATATAGCCAATGAGTACGGCATCCTCGGTATGATCACGGGGCCCATGGTTTGTGAGAAGAATACGTACCTGGACCGTGTAGTTGTCGATGAGAGCCACGTCTCCCTCTTCCCAGGGCACCAAGAAGCCGATATCATCAGAGATCTCCAAAAGCTTCTCCAGATACTCTCTCGGAATCTCGGTACCGTCACCATAAGTTGTCGGCAAATGGTAGTTGCCATCTGTCCCACGGTGTGGAGGATTCAACGCCCCCCTGTCTCTTTGACGGCCGTAAACACCACCGAGCCCATTGAAAGGCACAATCTGTCCAGTGGATTCGATCTGACGAACGGCTGGAAGATGCTGGATGACATGCAGTGCTCCGTTGGGCTGCCATTCCGCCTTGGCTGACAGCCGCATCTCCAGCACATGCTCTACTTTGTGCCTTTGAATTTCGAGGGAATCGCCTGGCTCAATGTCAAATCCGTACGAATCTTGCCAGTTCCAGCCAATCGTCTGCGCCTCGGGATCACTTTTCAACGGATAATACTGCCGGCCAGCAATGCCTGCGTCTGAATCAGTACAACTCTATCGAGCCTCTGGGACAACCTAGACCTTTCTCAGTCAACGTCTGCACGAACCTGGGGGTTTCTCTGAGAAGGCGTTCGTAAAGCTCAACCGTCGAGAGCAGGGGCGACTGCCCGCCCTGTTCTGGCACAACTTGCGAGAAGAAAAACAGAATTCCGGGAAAGTGCGCACTCCTGCCATACTCGTTGTGGTAGTAGAACTTAACATGCGACGGTTCCTCATTCGCCGTCTTCACATTATCGCCAACAGTGGTTCGCTTGCCAGACAACCCGACTTCTTGGTGAGGCTGTGGCAACTTGAACGCCTTGGTGAACTTCGAGAAATCATCCGGAGTGCTGATCGGAAGCCCACGAAACAATATTACCCCATCTATCTCACTGTCAATGGCTATAGTAAGCAGTTGGGCAAGTTCATGCTTACGCTTCTGCAGCAGCTCTCGAAAAACTCCGCGCTCAGCCAGCTCCTCGATGTACTTCACAGCCTCATCAATGCCTGAAACGTGAGCATTGTCATGGACTTTCAATCCCAGAGGAAATGCGTTGCCTTGCACCCGGCGACTTCCAGGTATATCAAAGAAATCAAAGTTGAGATCACTGATACCCCCTGATGATGGATGGCTCGAAGCCAATGACGGATTCTCAGTTACCTTTGCCATGATGACAAGGGTCTCTGAGTTTTGAAGTTGAGACAATCGACGGCGGGTATGGCAATATAGCAGCACCCGACGCTCGGTTTGTCTCCGACTTACCGCGCCTTTCATCAAGGTGTTACACACCGGACCATGGGTCTACCTAGTCTATGGCGCAATACCTTGGCTTTAGCTTATCCGCCTATCAAGCAACATTCGCTCATCCTCCGTCTTGGCCAGTATGGCGAGGATCCCGCTGTTGTGCTTTAGTGCTACCGCTACATCGATAGCACTGGAGACGGGCCTGTGTAAAAAACGTCACTTGCCTAGAAACAGCTTCGATATTCTAAAAAGCCCTCGCCTTCCAACAGGAGGGGTAGGGACTTCCCGCAGGAAGTGGGTTGAGAATCTGTCGCCATCGGCTTCAAGATGACGAGCTCGCAAAGTCTTGGCAAGGGATGCAGTGCTCCGTGTGGGCTGGGCGGGTATATAGACCACATATTGCCAACCTGCGATAAAAACGATAGCGAAGACATCAAACTCATTAGCCATGAGGGCCACACCCCTGCAGCCAAATATTGAACGTGGAGACGTGGAACAGAGAATTGACCCAGTCGGGGTAACGGCCGGTCAGGATGCATCGACAAAGAACAGGACATGGCGAAGCTATTTCTGGGATTCCTGGGACAAGACCCCTGAGGTGCGAAGCCATGAAAAGATTGTCAGGCTCATGCATACTAACCTATCTATCAGGAGCGGAAATTGATCTTGAAGGTACCCATTACTTTGACTTTAATGATGAGACCATCGTTAATTCCCACAGATGGACTTGACGCTTATGACTTTTGGCTGTCTAGGCACATTCATCAAATACCTTGACAAGTGAGTTCCTTGGATCATACGCGACCAGCCTTCTCACAGCACTAGGTCCAACCTGCAAAGCGCTTTTGTGAGTGGCATGAAAGAAGACCTCGAGCTGTACGGAAATGTAAGCTGCAGACTACATTGCCCAAGCACCCACTCACAAGACTGCAGGAGCTCAACTACGCCAACACAGCATATGCGATTGCCAATGTAAGTCGATGAATCGACGATGTGTATCAAAAATAATTGACCAGCTGGATAGGTTGTCGCGCTCTGGCCCAGCAATCTGCTTCTGACCCGTGTCAACCCTCGCTGGTTTATTCCTTTCCTTGAAGCTGGCTGGACGATCATCACCTTCCTCCAGGCGATTATGAAAACACCGACTCAGATGTACGCCTTGCGTGCCATTCTCGCCATCTTCGAGACGGGTCACTACTCCGCGGTGGTATATCTATGTGGTGCCTGGTATCAGAAGGGCGAGCTCGCTCGCCGCCTCGCGATCATCAACATTACTACTGCCATTGGCCCAATGTTCTCATCTTACCTACAGGCAGCAGCGTATACTGGCCTCAATGGAGTTCATGGTCGAGCAGGATGGCAATGGCTCTTCATCATTGACGGCATCATCTCCATTGGCGTCATTATACCTCAGATCCTTTTCTATCCAGACGTACCAGCGCGCCAGAAACCAGACAGAGCCTTCACCGAGCGTGAGATTGAGCTTGCGCGTGACCGTAATCCGAAAGAAGGCCGGGTGCGACAGGGTGCCTTTACGCTGAAGCAGGTCAAACGATGGTTCCTGACGCCTGACATCTGGATGCTGTGGACGATATCGTACTGCAACGCCGTGGTCGATCAGCCCATGCTTTCCATGGCATTCTGGCTCAAGGAATGGAACGTGGTCAAACCTGGGTCATATACCGTTCCCCAGATCAGTAAGCTTGCCGTCCTACTCCAACCTAATCCATCACTCCGCAGAAGACACTTGCTGACACCGCTACCCAGACAACTATACCACCGGCATCCAAGCCGTTACGGTCGTCACCACACTATTCATGGCGTGGTCAAGCGACACTTGGCTACGTGGCCGGCGCTGGCCTATGCTTGTGCTGGGAAGCACTGTCTCAGCCATTGCATGCCTTAGCCTCGCGAACACGCCCATCTTCCCTACCGGCACCCGTGCTGGCCGTTGGGCACTCTATTACCTGACGGGCTTCTGCCAGGCCAGTAACTCGATGTTCTGGGCATGGACGCAAGACACCCTATCTGGCGATCCGGCCACGCGTGCGTTCGCGAGCGCCGGCCTGAATGTCTGGGCTAGCATTAGTCACGCTGTGATGCCGCTGGCGCTGTTCCGTGTAGTCGAGCAACCAGCGGTCGTCGCAGGAAATTACGGTGCCGCTGGCTTCGCGTTTCTGCATTCGGGAACAGCGCTGGCACTGGCGTGGTGGCAGCGGAGGCAGAGCAGGGCCAGTGACAACAGCGTGGAAGAGGAAAGCGAGGTAGAGGGGAGTGATGTTGATGTGGACGTACAGAAGACACAGCAGGAGGGCAAGGTTTCGCACATCAGGGAGACTGCCATCCCGGAAGGAGTGCCCAACGCAGCCACGAAAACAGTGCTAAAACAGTAGGGGCCGAAAGACCACTGAAAATGCTAACCACCGTCCATTATGTGCACTAAACACATATGGAATGGACAAGGCAATTAGCATGCAGATGGTCTTGCTTTTTGGCCTGTTATTCCTGGCTAGACCATTGATCTCGTGCCCCGGAAATCAACTCTAGCGCTCTGGGACACTCGTACGGGAGTTCGCTTGGTGGACCTGGTCTGGGTCTCGAGACGATGGAATGCAATATCTATCGGGGTTGTTGGCATCAGCAGCTCCACTTCTCCACTTCTCCACTGTCTGGAGTGATGAAGGTCGCTAGTACATGGGCGTAAAGGCCTCACACACAAAGAAATGAAGGCCCAATGTTTCTGTGATGCTAGCGGTTTTGGCAGCCTTTGATAAACTCCCTGCATGTTTCGGAACAAACGAAGATATGAGAACCCGAGAACAAAGGCAGCAAGCAGGGTGATGGCTTCCCTAGGTTACCAACTCCTCCTAAGGATGTATGGTCAGCCAGTGACATTCCCTCGTACGACCAAGAGAGTATTGGACGCTGCCCAGCTAGACCTACTGAGTTGACAATACGGCCAGAACGGCATTAGTGCGACCTTTGTCGGAACTTGCATCTAGCATAAAGAACTGTTTGACCCTGACAATCAAAGTCTTTGCTCTTCAAGCTGGCCGCGCATCCACTCAAGCTAGCTGCCGCGAGCAAACTGGTTCGCGCCAATTCGATGTGAAGTATTGCCTAAGTAGTCGAGGTGAGGTTGTTTGTTGTGGACAGTGCGAAAACAGGATTTGAGGTAACTCTATTTATGAGCGAAGTTGATCGCTTGGTTGAGAGCACAAGAAACCCAAACATCTTCATGGCAAAAAGGTCATTTGCTCCCGTGGTTCGTGGAAGATATATTCCGGCCCAACCTTGTCAATACGCACCAGTCAACATCAGCTACAGTCACATGGTAGAAATGCCCTCTACCACACTTCGAACTACTTCTGAGGCCGGTTCTGGCATCAAGCACCTTTTGATGGAATATGTCAGCCTACTCACCTCTAGGCCGATGCCGACCCACTCCTACCCACGAAAGCACGATTCATCCAGTGCCGTACCCACAACTGGAAGGCTATAACCATGCCTTCGATGCCTCCTATATTAGCTGCCTGTACCAGTCAGTGTGTTATACTTACTGATGTCTCCAGACAGCGACGAGCCTTTCACCGAGACACATCGGTGCTTGTTAGTCACCCTCATTCAGAGCAACACATTGCAACAATGACACTTTAGAAGGCAACAAGTTACTTAAATCACACTATATGCTATATATACAGTGTACTCAGCATGTCGAAGCTACTTGCTTGTCGTCATCACATCAACAACTTTCAGTTGAATCATCACTACACCACACGACAAGATACAAACAGTATGACCCCTGTCCCGCGCCTCCTGGTCGAACCGGCCATGACCATCGTCATCGACGGAGAGTGTCACTGTCGCAACCAGTCGGCGAACGAAGCTCGTGCTGGTATCAGGCGCAGTCAACGTCGCATGACTGATATTGGCATTGCTGCTGTCGACAACTGTAAGCTCCCTACGTATGGAGCTGAATCACTAGAAGACGCCCAGGACGAGGTCGGTGACCGGTTCACGTCTGTCTGGAAGTCTGATTCTGTCAAGGCCTACGATATCGCGATCAGAGAGCACAAACACGATGCCAGCCAGTTCAGAAAACACCCAACCTGGTGCACGATCCAGTCTCCGGAGAGCTTCATCTTCGGTACACCTGAATGGTGTTCAAAGGCTGCCGCAAAGTACAAGGTCATCAACAAGATTCGCGAGCTCGTCGGCGACAAGCCAGTGCATCAACTGCCCAGCACTAATTACTGGAACAAGAAGAAGATCTTCTTCGTCTTCTTTGCCCAAGCTAACGATCTCATCTGGTTGGCTGAGCTCGGCGTGAACCTGCAAGTCGAGTTTCCGAACTCGGAGATCATCGACTTGCAACGACAACCGTTGGCGAGTGCGATCGCGTACAGTCGTGGACACCCTCAAATCGGTGCTGCCAGTCTGTTCCGCAGGCTGGGTATGGAGACCAAGTACGAGCACAACGGCGGCAACGACGCCGTGTACGAGCTGAGGGCTCTCCTGGCCGAAATGGTGCTGACTCCTGAACAGCGTCAACTCGCCTTCGAAGAAGGCCAGAACCTGCCACTGCTCGACATGGACGGCAACTTGGTGCCTCTTCCCGCCAGTGAGACTCTTGGTTTTGAGGACCTTGTGATCGAGAGCACCGACACTGACGGCGTGCCAGAGTGATGAATAGCTGCCGGGCGGCTATCAAGTTCATTTCTCTCATAGATCTATCAACTTAGTCTTTAATACACACAAGAAACTCTACCAATCTGTCATAACACTCGTTCCAATCTTTGATGTCCATTTTCGCTTGCAAAATCTTCGAACTATGCCTGCATACACCAATTCTGGAAGTTTAGTCATGAATCAAAACCTGATGTAACTACCCGTAACGCAATACTGGCAGAGTATACAGCATCCAGCAAGACGTGTGAGTTAACCTCCAACTACCGCAGTATAGACATCACATATAGTCAAAGTCTACTTAATACAGCAGGGCGTCTAGGCAAGAAAGAGAGTGATTCTGTATATTGTATACCATAATACGATTATCCAACTCTTAACAGTTATTCAACCCATACAAAGCTCCAAGGGAAATGCACCCTGTTGCCGCTTCAGATTAGACTACGCTATCTAGAAATAGTAGACGCACCTCAATTGGCAGAAGCTTGGCCCCCGACCACAAGGCTTTCAGTTTCACTTTTCTAGAGGCCAAATCCCGACTAGACCCTCCGATCCAACGGTTACCTTGTAATTCCCATCCCTATTGCCTACACATTCTGCTCAAGCAGCAGGTCAGTTGAGACTCTCGTAAAAGACCTCCCCTGGGGACACACTCTCGCCTATCTACATCAGCAAGCAAACGCTTGATATGATGACACAGCCATCTCATCAGGTAGATAGGCATGGATGGTTTTGACGATGATACCGGCCGAAGGTCTGAAACCAGGAGTTATTTCAGTCGGTCCGAGCACGAGACTGGCTTCGCGGAGTCGAATGGCCTCGTGAGCGGCCGAGAACAAGGACAGTCGAGACGATACTTACTACTGGCTCAGGACACTGGTAGGTGTCTTGCTTCCTCTGTTAATCACCGCCCATTATGCTGCATTATGGAGGTGGTGCATCCATAAGCATGACGGCACTGCACCAGTACTGACAGAACTCCCGGCAGGTCGGTATGCGTACTACGTTGTGTTTTGTTGTGTCTGCTGCTGTTGGCATTGGCCTTTTCAAGACTGCAAGTATGCGCCTGCTGGCGTGGAGGCATCCATGATTATAGGTCCGCGATGGGCGCCAGCGAATGGGGAGCAATTGATGGCACACGCGGAGACAAGGTGAGATTTCTCTACGTGAGCCCACCCCAATGGGCGGTGATACTGACTTTACACGAGCGGTCCTGAAGGATGGGGGATTCACTGCCAACCAGGTCGAGCCTAGGTGGTGTGCTGCACAGCGTTTCGACTATACCCGACATTGCCCTTGCTCTCTCTGGTTTCGCGATGGAGTTAACCCAAGGCTACACCCGTGCTGGATATTGACACAGGGATATACAGGTCAACCGGCCGAACCAAAGAGACAGACATTCCTAAACCGAAATCTCGACAATTCTTCACGCATTCCGTTGGCCGCTGGTGCTCGGCCTGCCCCTCCGTCTTTGACGGCCGGTATGCATTCTACGTACCTGCAAAAAACAATACCTCACTCAGTCGGTAGTGGCTACAGCGGTATCCTAACAGTTGGCCCGATAATGTTCAAAAGGTGCTCCAACAAGAGTTTTCTGTAAGGTGCCTACATGGTAGTCATAACGGCCTGATTCCCATAAAACGTCCCCATGACGTCCTCACCGCTCCTGACCACCGTGGCTCCCTCATCATCTTCCCATCCCTTCAACCACTCGCTGTGGTCTCTCACCCTCGTAAGCTTTCCGGTCTGCAACCGGTACATGTCCTCCATCAGGCCGAAGTCGGTGGGAAAGAAGATATCGAAATAACCCTGGTGCACGAACGGTGTGGGCACGGGAATACTACGCCGCTCGTACCGCGTCTGCACGACTGGTGCGTTGATGCCTGGCACGGCGTCGGGTAGGGAGGTGAAGTCCGCGAGCACGAGGCGGTGGTGTGGAAAGTAGGTGGAGAGGACGTCGAAGAATTGCATCAGCCGGACGGGGATGTACTCGGGTTGGGTGAGGTTGGGAGAAAGGGGTAGCGAGTGTTTGAACTTGCGAATGGCGGGTGGTGGGCTTGTGAGCGGTGTTCTAAAAGGAGCTCTGGCAGCTAGGCGTCGGAGCTTCAGGTAACGTGCTGCCAAAGGGTCGATATTAGGCTCATAGAATTCAACGAATTCGCCGTCCTCGGTGATGAGTACGGAGCCTTGCATCGCCTGCTCCGTGTAGGGATCGTAACGGATGGAGTCATGGGAAAAGTTGTCAATGACTTCGAGGGCAAGGAAGAAGCAAGGGTGTGGTACAGGCTTGTCCCAGGTGAATATGGAGCTGTTGATCAGCTCGACATGTTCAAGGTGATCTGGGTCTGATATTGGCGTTGTCAGGCTGGTCTTCTGTAGCGAGTGTAACGAGGACGAAATCTCGATGACACGAAACTTGGTCCTGGCATACACGGATGGGTCTGTGTCCCGGATGTAGTCGAGGATATTGCGCATCATGGTACCGTTGCCGGCGCCCATCTCGTAGATTATGAGGTCGTGATATGGATACAGGGACATCTTGTAATTGGTAATAAGGTAGCGAGCAATCGCGTGCCCATAGTGTGGCTGGAACAACTCCGTTGGCGTATGCCATAACTGCCGGTTCGGATCATAGGCTAGGTCATCTAACGCATCCTCAAAGTCTAGGTAGTTCTGATTGATAAGGCGATTGAATTCTGCCTCGTCTGCTATTGAGGGAAAGTCGAACGGCTGTGTGGGAGTAAAGATGGTCGCATGTTTGGAGAAGTAGCCATAGTTTGGATTGTACAGACTGTCGTCTATAAAGTCCCTGGTATACATCTTCACGCGTCGCGGCCGCTGCGCTCGGTGCCGCAACTCGGCTGCAGTCACTCGTGGGTATTCTTTGATTTCTTTTGTGATGTCCGGTGGGAAGTGATCAAGCCGCTGCTGCCAGTTGCTCCGACCAGAGCCGTCATCTTCGCGGTGTCGGAGCGCATAGGCTCGCCGTTGGGTGGGAGTGCGGAGTAGCGAACTTCGAGCTCGTGCTTGCGCGTGAAGACACTGTCTTGCGGGCTTTGAGAAAAGCTGGCGGAAAATCTGGGTTGCGAGTACCGTGTCCATCTTGAGGCTCCTGGACGTTTTGATGAGGGGGGTATGAGCACAATCGGACGCCAGACACGCGACCAACAACCAGCATCGTACAAGATGTGCGGAGAAAGGAAGTGAAGCTTGCTCGGAAGGCTGAACAATGAGGCTGAGATAGAGAAGATGTGATTGGCGGCAGGTTGACGTCCTCCAGCAATCTCCTGCTTTCTAAGGCCTACCCTCTAGTATTGCTAACAGATGCAGAACGCATGCACTGTGTTGTGCGCTCTGTTCACGAATCTAGCGGTCAAGCTTTCATTTGGTTTCGTATAGAAGACGTATTACTCTCCGAGGGAGAGCAACGAATCCATCGGCTACGTCCACTTTCCCCCAGGTCAACAAAGCTAAATATGTCGTGTAATCTAGGCGCAAGAGAAACATCCAGGGCAGGCATTCATAATCTTTCTCAGCATGCAGAGTCTTGATGCCTATTGCACAGCAGTAGTTGCGCCCATAGCTCGAGATTTGGCGAGTTGCTGACACTGCAAGACCCTTAGGGTACTAGTTTGTTGAAGTACACCATGTGTGTCCTTCAAGTGAATTTCACCTCAGCCAGTTCACTTTCTTCTCCCGCATCGCCTTCCACGGGCACCCTGATAGCAGGATACTCCATTCCCAATACTGGATCCTCACTCTTCACAGCCCCCATCTTACAAATCCTGACCCTATCAATCACGATTCCTTCTGCCCACGAATATGCTTTCCCCGGCCAGGCCTCGCTCCCTCCTTCTCCAAAAGCCTGTATGACCTCCCTAGCATCGACCTCTCTGCCCTGCCTCCCACCTCCACTACCACTGCCGCCCCTCTTCCATTGTCGCTGTACTTTCACATACTTCAAATTCGCGACCGTAGCATGTAGCGTCAAAGGCCGAGGTTCTGCCCGCACCACACCTTCGTCAATGAATCGTCTCTGTACTGCCTCTGCGAAGCTCTGCAGCCGTCCAGACGAATCGTGAGGCGCGGCGTAGAAGACGCGCGATTTCTTTGCGGAAGGAAATGTCCCAAGCCCAATTAAAGACACTTGCAACGGCCGTGGCTGTGGAGGGCTGGCAGGACGGGTTATGTCACGCGTGATGGCCGCCGATGGTGGTGGAGGTGAGACAGGGCGAGTGAGAGTCTTGAGCGCGGACGCGACTTCTTCGCCCGCATCCATTGCGGCTGACGACCCTTGCTGGTTCTCAGAGCCCTGCACAGTCGTCTCGAACATCACTTCCGCTCCAGAACCCACATCAGCTACTGATGCTGCAACTTGCTGCAGCAGTTCTGCGTAATTGATATCTTTCAGCACTTCCAACGCCCGCTGAAAATCCGCAGCCTCCTTCAGCACCATCGTGCCAAGAGTGAGATGTAGCGTGCCCGCTGGCCTGTGAGCCTGTGCAGGAATGATCTTGAGTCCCGGACCCTGGGCCACATTATTCTCACCGTCTGCTCCTGTTCGATATTCCTCCGAGTCGCGTTCCGGTGTCTCAGCCACCCTCGCCCTGTCTCTGGCTTGGAGCTGTGATGGCTTGAGAGGTGGAGGTGAAGTGGTGACGGATTGGAAGTGATTGATACTGCGTGACAGCTGAGGTAGCGCGTGGGCATTGACAAGGGGCAAAGCGAGAAAGTGTGTCGGCTGTGGAGAGCCATTTGCTTTCTTGTTCATCCTACCACCGGGCTTCGAGCTTCCTGCAGATGCAGCAATATTCGCGCGACTGGAGTCGGACATATTTCTTACGCACACGTCGCGCTGACGACTCTGGGTCCGAGAGAAATGCGAATAGCGATTTGAAGTGCACTCCGAGGTTTGAAATAGCTCAGCAACACGGTTTTGCGATAGGTACGCGGTTGGTTGACGGCTCAACCGAAAGCAGGCGGCGAACATATGTGCGCCAGGCGGGCCGCGAGAAGCAACGGTCCTCTAAAGCTTCGGAGCAACACTACACTCCGAAAAGAATAATCGCCAGGGAATAAGGCACCGAGGATGGTATTTGGGGGCGGTGTAAGAGAGATTCAACAGTTTGAGTCACTTCGCAAGGCAACAAGGCAGACCCTTATACTTGGCTGAGATCAGGCAATACCGTTGGCCCTTCTCTTAGCAGGGATTGGCTAAGACGGGAGCATAGTTCATTTTCGACACAAGGACTTGAGAAGCTCGTCTATTTCAGTGCTTTTCACCCATTCGACATAAGCTACTGTCATTCCGTACATGGATCATAAATGTTGACATCAGCATACGTTGACAGTCCTGTCGGCGCAGACGTACAGCACGACCTGGGCCTGCAAGCCTACTGGATTGTCTTCGAGCCACAATGTTCCCGAAAATGTTAAGTCTATGCCAACGCCTGAAGTACGCTCATCGCCAGCCCCTCCTCATCACTTCGCAAGCTCACTTTAACAGTGACACCACTCTGTTTGCTGAAGGCCATCTTCACCAGCGCAGCCACTCGTCCACCTGTAACACTCTTACCATACAACTTGAGTGTGTGTGTTGTATTCGAGAGCACCACATCTGTGCCTTCCAGTGGCTGAAGGGACAGAGTGCTTGGTAGTTGCTCAGCGGCATCTGCACGAGAATTAGTGACAGCCCCCTAATGATCTGGAGATTACACATACCAGCCAGACTCTTCAGATTGCTTAGAGCCAAAGTCTCGCTCACTTCTTCGCCATTGGCGCCTGTTCCTTCCCAGATGTGGTCAAAGTTGCCTGCAAACGCTGGAGTCACGAAATCGGCGCCCGACAACTCTAGGTTCTCAATTTCATACTCATCATCGTAGCCTGTATCTTCTGGCTCGTTCGTCGTTGGATCGATCTCCTTGTTGGTGAATTTGAGACTGTTCGATAGCGTTGTGGTAGGGAACAGCGTGCCCTCGACCTTTTTGAAGGCCACATATACCACGCCTGGCTCGTTCGTCTTGAGTCGCGGAGCAGGTATTATGAACTCTTCCTCAAGAGCAGGCTCGTCGTCGTCGGATTGGCCAACAAGTACAGTGACGTTATCCAGAACGAATCCTTCAATGGTATTTTTGATATCGTACTGAAGGACGATGTGGTCTTTCAAGATGTGCTTGACAGCAGAGACCACGTACTCGGTTTCGCTCTCCGTCAGCTCGACTACAGGCGAAGATTTGAGCACGTCGCCGTAAGCTTTCAGCTCTGGAATGCGGCTGAATATTTCGGTGTACTTTTGTGCGGCAGCCGCTGACGCCGCGGGAGCTTCCGCCGCGCCATTAATCTTTGGCTTTGTCGGTCCCGTCGAAGGTGCTTTCAATGTAGGTGTGGCAGTTGTCAACTTCTTGGTCCGCTCTTCTGCCAAAGCCTGCTCATGGGATACCACAGGCACACTAGAGACATCGAAGGCTGTGCTGAATGTAGCCTTGTCGGTTGATGTGACGTACATGACGAGCTTGTGTTCAAACGTCGAAAGGGAAAACATGGAGTCATTTTTGATGAAACGTTCCGCGATGTCATCCTCCTCGTCCATCAGCCGGAGATTCAGTGCAGCACGATCTCTGACTTCGTCGTCGGTATCGTCCAGGCATCTCGTCAGCAGCACTTTTACACTCGCTTTCACTTCGGGATCTTTCTGGCCAACACCGAACTTCGCCAAGGCTGTTACGGCAGCGGCCCGGACCAGAGCATTTTCCAGTACAACTCTGTTGTAGATGTATCGGATGTACTTCGTTGGCTGAGGCGTCTTTGGACCCTCGACGCCGATAAGATGCAGGATTCTGACAGCCAGCTTGGTGAACTCGCAGTCTTCAATGAACTCACAAAGGTGCGACAGAGTCTCCTCCTTACTCCCAGGGACGAATTTGATGAGATCGAACATACTTTCGACAACGGCGCGCTTGAAGTCGTACCCTCCCTCATCCCGAAGAATACCGCTGAGAAAAGTCAACATACCAGCCTGCTTGCTAGGGAACTTCATGCAGAGCGTTCGGATCGCCTCGACGATAGTAATCTTGAACTCGTCCGTGATCTCGGTCATGAAGCCAGAGATTTGTTTCATCAAACGGTCCACACTAGCTTCGTTGCCGGTCTTGAGGAGCGTTGTGATGGCGAAGGTGGCGATCGACCTGTTGCTGTTGGAGATCAAAGCTTCAATGTCTGGATTGGCTGAATGCACAGCCTGCGGCTTGAATGATGCGAATGAATGCAGGATGCGGATTGCTGCGAACTTGGTGATGGCGCGGGGTGACGTGAGGAACAATTGTAGCACATGGATGGCCTGACTGGCCTCCGCGTCGGTAACATCAGGCATGTTGCAAATGGCTTTTGCAGCTTCGAAGTTGACCATTTCACTCTTGTGCCGGAGCCAGCTATCGAGCATCTGCATCATCGGTTTCCGCATGTTCGGGTCCTCTTCAGCCAGTTTGGCAGCCAGTCTGACTAGCATCATGACCCCTGCAGGACTCTTGACTGCACCAGCAGCGCCGTACTGCTGGACCATTTTTTGGAGGGCCATTCGGTCGTGCGATCGCATCTGATAGAGTAGGCCTATGGCGTGATATTGGTTCATGTAGTTCGTGTTCGAGGCGGCTAGGGTCTGAGAGCTACCGCCAAAGCTCAGGAACCCGCCGCCCGACTTTGAGGAACCGGCGGCTTCTTGGGTTTCTGACTGCCATCTCCGCACAACATCTCGAGCCATGGGGAGGAGGTGGTAGGAAGAAACAAGTGCAGCAGACGAGACAGCGGGTGACTTGTCCACAATAGCAGTTTTGATCAAACGTTCCATGCCCTGCACGCTGGAAGCGTCAATAATGCGGCATAACGAACGTATGGCATTAGCCTTGTAGATGATGTCGCTAGTAACTGTAAGATCTCGCTGAATGATGGCTGTGAACATGATGATATCCTCAGCCGAGGAGGCCAGCTCTTTCACGATCAAGTAGACCATCTGTCGGAGCGAGGGGTCTTTGTTCTGGAACAGCTTGGAGATACCGAAGAAGAGGGTGGTGGCTTCGTTGGTAGGGAATTTCTCGCCGGTGAAAAGAAGGACAGCAATCTTGGTGAGGAGAGTCCGGCATTTTCGAGGGGATATGGGTGACGAGTTAAAGAGTCGTGCTATGGGCGGTCAGCGCGGAGGACTGTAGCAAGGGAGGGGGCTGCTTCTACCATCTTGGAAGACGGACGTGCGGTCCAGCTTGAAGCCGGGATGGTCCGCGTCCTCATCCTTTTTTGCGTAACTCATGCTGGGCAGTTGTAGAAGATGTCACAGTCAGATCTGGATATAGTTGGCGAGGGTGCCCCTCTGGCGTGTACGACGAAAGGATGGGATGGGGCGCAGCTACCGGGGTTTCATTGCGCGGCAAGAAAAAGGGAGGGAAAGAAAAGCGCGATGACTCGCGTTCTGGGGTCTGGTGTAGGCCGTGCAAGTCGCGGGAGAGAATGTCGTGGCCTTTCGAGGAGCGCAGTGTCCAAGGTGTTCACTCAGTGGTAAATTGTGGGCTCCGCTCCGCTGAGCACAAGCCACCTTTCGGGGGACCGTTCTAAGGGTTAGGGCTATCGCCACAATGTGGCTGCTACTACATCGAAAAATCGCTGCCTTATGCTTGACTGTCCTTAAACCCACATCAACTTAGGCAGCTTCCATTCTGTACTTTTCAAACTTATCAGCAACATTCTTGGACCAACACCAAGATGGATATGCCGGTGAATGTGCCTGTCGATGATCCCAACGCCGATACAGAATGGTTTGTTATTACCCCCATCTGCTCTCTTCTCTGGAATACTCTCGCTGTGTACGACAACAGTCTTGAGCGACTGTCTGCATACATCATAGGCACACAGGATGAGCCCATCCATCCTCGAAGACCCTCACATGCATATCTCATTACCTTACACTTTCGACCGGACCACATCTGACACCTTTCTTTCCTCATAGGAACGACATTCTCCGTAAACAGGGCATCATTCCCGAGAAGCCACCGGACCCGGAGCCCATCATCCAGGAAGCACTTATTGCTGCCAAGCAGCGTGAGCACGACAATCGTTTAGAGGACAAGACGCTCGACGAGCTCGACGAGCTGGAGGATGACGAGGATGAAGCCTTTCTCGAGCAGTACCGCCAGAAGCGCCTCGCCGAGCTGGGGGACCTGGCCAAAAAGGGCAAGTTTGGCTCGGTGCTGCCGCTGCAGAAGGCGGAGTGGGAACGGGAAGTGACGGAGGCCAGTAAGGAGGCGTGGGTGGTAGTGGCGCTGACGAGCTCGGAGGGAGGTAATGTGGAAAGTCGAGTATTAAGTGAGGTAAGTCATTACTTGCATCGATCCTCCTGTTCTTGTGGCAATCCGCACACCCGACTGTGTCACATGAGGTGGCCTGCAGCCACATTGACCACGCACGATCCGTCCCTGGTCGACGCCATGTGCAGAAACAGTCTAGACTAGAAGATCACCTCAGCAGCTCGCTTGTACATCGAGCTATGCTCACAAGGCCCAGAAAGTCGGCGTATCTCGGGCATGCTTCGCCATGAAGGCCTGCGTGATTGCTTACCTTACACTCACAAAGCTCACATGGCGGTTCACCTCGACGGCCCGTGAAGCCAAGCCTCCGCTTTCCCCCCGCCTGAACACCACGCTCTTTCAACCCCGTCCCCCCTCCTAGCAAGTCAGACAGATACACTAACACCCCTCCCCAACCACACAGCTCCTCCCCCGCCTCGCAACCAAATACCCCGACATGAAATTCCTCTCCATCCCCGCCCCGCTCGCCATCCCCCAGTACCCGGAGCGCAACACACCCACCCTCCTCTTCTACCACGCCACCAACATCGCGCGCCAGGTCGTCACTCTGGCGTCCCTGAACGGCGTGCGCACCAACTTACGCAACCTCGAGATCCTGTTGACCGAAGTCGGCTGCATCGCCGAGGGGGATTTCCGGCTCAAGGAGGGGCGCGAGGATGAGGATGGGGATGGGAAAGACGAAGGGAGGGGAAGGGGCATCAAGCAGGGCGGGACGGGACGGGGGACGGGGGCCCGGGCCGATGAGGATGATGATGACTGGGACTGAAGTGGGACTGAGTGGATTGATTGACGAGGGGGACCGTTCGTGATCACACGAGGACACATATCGAATTCGGCGCCCCGGCGGCAGTGTTTACAGCACATTGTCGATGCGGGCAAACGACCTCTCCACCCTTTCGAGACAGGCGGGGTTGAGGTGCGGAGGGTTACAAAAACCGCAGGCGCTGCGCAGCACTATCGACAGCACAGATCCGACGAGCAGGTGTATGGCATGAAGACCCAAGGCTGGACTGATGCAGGAACCCTCTCCTCACAACAAGGAACCAGTGTGGCATGTGGTGTGTCAAGAATCGTCCATTGATGCGCGCCCGCATCCCACAACCTCGGATCTCAATTTAGAGGTATATACCCTTGCTTCGCTGGTATGGGGCCTTGCCCAGGAGCATGCATCTGTCTGGGATCAAGTGCATCGCTGAAAGAATCTCGCGTATCGAGCCCCCATCGGCCACGCCGGCTGCTACTACCGACGTCAAAATAATGCTACCGTTACGTCCGCTTTCGTGCGGGACCGTCATGAATCGTACATCATGTTCAGAGAGTTGCAGAGCCGCCAGTCGCCTAACCGCATGGCTACGCAACCCCTGTCAATGTTGCGTGGACCTTATCTGCACCTTGATGATACAGATCTTGTTCTCTGATCGTACGCTCGAGGCGTTGAGAGATCGATCTAGGCAAGAACGGGTATTCGTTAACGTTCCGTTCGTGTCTCTCTGACACAATTGTGGATCGCCATAAGCTTTGAGGAGATCTCTGAGCGTGACGTGAGACACGCAATCCGCCCCAATCTCCCGTCGCCTGCGTGGACCTGCCGACCAGTGACATGCGAGCCGTAGGTCAACCTCGCGCGTACCGTCGAGTGGGGGTGAGGCAGGCCACCTATGCTGCAAAGACATGTCAGGCTGGCGAACGGAATGATGGTAGCTGTTTGCCTCTTTTGGCCAATGGAGTTGAGCGCTGCCAAGACCACGCCTGGAGAGAGTTACTGGACACAGGTAGTAATGTTTCCAGTTAGTCGGGAGTAGGGAACTATGTCAGTCGGTGGGAATGCTAGATATGTGGCCTCATTGGGCACTCTCAACGGAAAACAATCCCAGGTTTCGAGCTTTTAGGGCCAAGGCGAGCCCGTGTAGAACCGTATGGGCAGGCCTCAGCCAAATGCATTCAGACCGACTGATCAATGCCGAGATTTCCGGTGATGATATCCCTTGGAGCACAAGACGTGCGGGGGAACCATTATGCATGGAGCTGCCCGGTTTGGGGGGCTCGTTTGGCTCGTTGGATGCCCCTGGGGAACAGTTGATGGAAGTGCCCAAGTTGTGCGACGGTGAGCATCAGTCCAGGCCGGAATCGTTCAACTTAGAGGACTCCATAAAGCCTTCCACTTGCCAATGGCGTCTAATGCTTCCAGTATCTGGAGACCATGATGATAACGCTCAGACTCCCTCGCTTGATGATGCGCCTGCCGTGTGGGTTGCATTCCTCAAATGGGTACAAATGCTAGGTGATGTTGTTGGAAGACAGCTCCGGTGCATGGCGTCAAATGAGTTCATCACGCCCCCCAGCTACAGCACTTTCAGCAATCACTCGCCGAACATCACTCTCCTGAAAGACAGGACCTCCTTGACCGTCACACCTTGCCAGAGCCTTGAGTCTCTCGCAGACATCTCCAACGTCCACGAGGCCTTTCCGAAAGAGCTCATGTGCCTGGATGTAATCCCAGGTCGCCCCCGCCCCCAGCAGTGGCTCGCCAGTTTCATCATCGAGCGTCAACATCTTGAGCGTGCCGAAATGAGCGTACTTGGAACTCAGATCGCTTCCGTACGACGAAGACGCGCCTGAGTGGTCTGTTGGTACATACCCAAGTGGACCAACCAACTCATCAGGCTCAGTCATGAACGGGGTCGGTCCATTGGTTTGAGACCCTGACGTAGCACGCAGGATCTCGTTCTCGGTAGCGAACTTGGCGATCTCCCTACGAAGTCTCTCGTTCTCGCCATTGAGTGTCACGGACTGGTGCTGCAGGCTCGTCAACTTGGCTTCCAAGTCTTTTACATGCTTCTCTTTTCTTTCCCGAAACGCGCGTTGCCTAATTCACCCGTCAGCAAATGGTGGTGTCAACTGTCGCGGGGCGAACCTACGCTGCCCTATTTTGAGCCTTCCTCCGACTTTGTTGCGGGGTCATGGTGTCTTTCTCCTCACTACTGCTCCGTGCAACTGCGGGGATGGATTCGTCGGGGGACATGTCGTTCGGCGGTACTTGGACGTTGTTGTGATCGAACTCGGGAAGGGACAGCGACAACTCGGGGAGTGTAGACCTGGTAGGAGAGACAGATTGCGATTGGGAGGGGATGTGGTGCGGTTGGGCGAGGAAGGTGTTGGGGTCATAGTGGAAGTTCTGCTGGAAGGCAGCGAAGGCAGCGTCGTATTGTTCCTACCAATGGTTAGAGAGATAGGGATATAGACTCGTTGAACCACACTCACAGATGTCAGTTGTGATGGATAGGGGTCGAGATTAGGAGTGTGCTGAGAGTGACCATCTTGCTGATCACCGGATTGCTGTGGTAGCCCGAAGAACTGATAGGGCTGAGGCGCCGATGTGAAATACGAAAAGTCCATGGCGCTTGCTGTAGTACACCGCGGTCGGCTAGAAGTGTGCCAGTCGTCAACCAGGCAATCGCGAGTGTCGTTGTGTTCAAGATGGGGAGAGTGGAAGGAATAGCACGCTCAAGCACAGCAATGCACATGGAGGCCCGGTGTATACGAGGGTTTGTTCGCCGATCGGGAATCAGGCAGCAAATTACAGGACAAGCGTAACTGCGCGAATCTTTGGTGGCGGTGGTGGCGGCGACAGCTCGTGCTCCGGGGTTTTATATTGCAACGGGTGTAGCAATAGACATTATAGCGGCCATGCCGGTGAGCGTGCGGGCAAGAGAAAGGGTGGGAAAAAGGTTCGTGCCTGAATGTAGATTGGCGGGATATTAGGTGCTTCATTGCAATCAACTAACTGGTGCACCCGAAGTGTCTGCGAGGCCGTCCGCGCTTGAGACCGGTAGCGCCCAAAGGGCATGATCCTAGCCCATCGTCGAGGCTTAAATTTCATATCTCCCGAGCTTGTGCAGACCAGATGCGTTGGACTGAAACCAGGCCGCAGTGTATGTACGCGTTATTCGCCTCGTCATTTAGAGATGCTGCTGCATCGACGTCCAATCGTAGAGCACACACAGATGAAATACTGCAGCGCGCACTGTCATTTACCGGCAGAACCAGGGCATTCTGGCCCCCGCGGTAATGCACAGTGGTGGGGAGACGAGGGTTCCTCCGCCCCAGGGCTCAAACTTGAACATTACGAACACGTCTCGACCGGCTGTATTTGCCACGGGTCACGCTGTCGACCCCGTCACGTGAAAGTGTTCATGATTAATACGATAATATGTGCACTGGATCAATCTCCATAACCGCTTCAATGTAACCACAGGATCTATGAGCAAGCGAGTGGGTAAGTGAGCTCGTCTCCACTCAAGACGATGGAACGGTGGGCGATGGACAGTTGAGAATGTAAGCTAATGGTCGGCAAGCTCTCTGAGTCAGCAAGAGTAAAGCGACAATGAAACCCGGGCCACCGCCCGTTGATTTGTGCGAGGGTTTCGTTGGGTTCGCGCCCGAGCTCAAGTGCTGACCCGCGTGCAGACTTGCAAGCATCTTGCGGCGAGCATGTTTAGCCTGTGCTGCTGTTGGCTGGCTTCATTCGCTGCTCCTTGCGGTAATAGGGTCTCTTCCCCTCGCTTGTGGTAACATACAACGGTCCACGCAAAGGGTCCAGGCTTGCTACCGCCCGGTCTCAGGGTTCACTGTGGGCCGTGGATTTGCAAACGATACGAGCTTGCTTTAGGTTTGACTGGATCTAAACGTTCATGCGTTCGATGCATACGGTCTTGTATACATCTGGGGTCGATTGGCGATCAATCACCGTCGATCCCGTCGTTCTGGTCGTGCTGCGTAAGCACTGCTGCACCTAACACTACATCCTTGGTTATCTGATCGGCTTGGCTGGCCACGTCGGTTCGGCACAGAGAGGCCGTGTATAATCCGGCGCAAGTCTGGGACAAGCCCAGGCAGGTTTCGCTCAGTCGCTGCAGTGCTAGTGTAGCACAGCATCAGGCAGCGCCAGCATGCCAGCATTCCAGCCTCACTTCGGACACACTTCGCCACTTCGGGCGTATATTCCACCCAATATGACCGAGCCGTGCTGGCTGCTTTGGTGTTCTTAAGGCAATTATCCGTCGTTGGTAAGCCGGGCATAACAATCACTACTAGCATAGTTTGCAAAGGTTTATTTCCTCCAAGATGCCACATACGATGCGCGGCCCAGAGTGATTGGAGTGTCGCAGCCACAGTTGCGTACGCAGCTCGTGGTCTACGCCTTGGATCAGTAGCGACTGTTGCTGAGACAGTTGGACCATCTCGCTGAAGCCTTGTGGTAGCCAATTGAGGATCAATTGTACCGATATTCAGTCGGTATCAACGGGATCCTGTGCGACCCTGTTAGATCAAATGCTTAACTTGACGTATCAGGGTTGCTTACCCAGTCTGTCACCAGATACTCATCCAGGCCTGTCAGAGTTTCCATGTCGTCCTTCTCTATCTCGAAAAAGTTGACTTTGCCGTTGGACTGGACACATGTCAGTAACCGAAGCCTTCGGCTCCTGTGGTGGTATGTACCTTTATCCTCTCCTTCGAGACGCTTTTAGGTAGGGGAATGAATCCATTTTGTAGACTCCACCTAACCATCAACTGTGCCGGCGTGCAGTTATACTTTTTCGACAGCGAGACAATGGTTGGGTGCTTCATTCGCAGTGCTCGGGCTAGGGGTGCGTATGCTTCGACCAGGATGCCGTTTTCCTGACAGAACGAGGTAATATTGGTGCGGGTGTTGAAAGGATGGACTTCTATCTGGTTGACAGCAGGCAAGACGCGAGGCTTCGAAGCAATGAGCTCCTCGAGATGCTTAACGCCAAAGTTAGACACGCCACCAATCTTGATCTCGCCATCGTCGATGGCATCCTCGACCGCTTTCCAGGAAGCTAGTCTGGCCGACTTGCCCCCATAAGGGCTGTGAAGGAGAAAGAGATCAATATAGCCCAGTCCGCAGGCTTCGACGGACTTTTTGATGGACTTGCGGGCGGCGTTGTAACTCGAATTGCTGGCCAATTTGGAAGTAAAGAATATATCAGACCGTGAGAGGCCTCCACCGTTGGCATGCTTGTCACTCAACCACGACTGAATAGCTTGGCCACACTCGTGCTCATTGCGGTACATCTGAGCCGAATCGATGCCTCGATATCCTGCCGAGAGAGCATGCTTGACGGCATCTCCAGCCTCTCGACCTGACATCAGGTACACTCCAAGATGGATCTGGGGGATGGACAAGCCATTGGCAAGACTGATGCGCGTCGACAGGGAGAAGCTGTTAGGCGCCATTGTAAGAGGTAGGACTTCACCCGCGGACAACAGGCAGCGTTGCAACGAGGAAGATGATCGTTGCGTGACGGATGGAGCAGCCTACATATCCGCTCACCAGTTTGACGTCGGCTATTACTGACATGACGTGCCCCCCAACGTGGCCGGATAAGACCGCGCCCGGGCCGCCAGCTGTCAAGCTGAGCCGAGCCAAGCCCAAGTGCCGCTTGGATGTAAATAATTGTCCCGGCTCGATGTCGCTGTTCAAGGGTAGCTTGGTGTTTGCTAACTCTCCGATTCTACACGTACATCGCGTGCATCATTGTATGCTTTCAGGCAAGCTCCGACGTCGGTCGCACTCTGCACAAGTCAACAAATGACCAGTCATTCAACCGGGGTCAGATCAGACTCTGAGTTGGTACTACCCGCTCCTTGTACCTCATAATGAATCTGTGGCTAAAAGGAACGACAATTTGGTCGCTTCCGCACCTCAAGTCAGTCACCAGCGCTTCGCTGTGCCGGTGAAAAGATCGACTTTCCACGGCGGCTATTTGTTTGACTTCTGAGCATGGCATTCTCCTCTTCATCCAGCGAAAACAATTACGGCGACCGCTCATATCGCGACGCCCGAGTTCCGGGCTTTGGTGGCAGCCCGGAGGCAGGGACTGCAAGCACAAGCGCTCCTCGAGCACCCAAACCTGAGTTTGATATATTGCGCTGGTACCCTAAGCATCAGAGCTGCCAGAGGTACTTTCTCGACCACGCTCAGCATCTCCCCGAAGTACAGGCATTCGCGAGCTTCATCAACATCCTGTTACCCTTTCAACGCGAACCAAATCCAATCCAGAGCTATTCAGGAGGAAGGCGAGGATCAGGCTTGAGCAATGACTGGGCGCCTGGGCCGTCCTCGACCAAATCGTCCGCAAGTGTGGCCACCGTATCATTGATACCCTATATCCGAAGGCTTGTCGTTTGCGGCATGGACATCCCTCCCATCCTGCAAGGATTCTTCGGTAACGACTGGGCCGCTGGCATTGGCCCCCAGCGAGAGCAGGAGAGACGAAACTATCTGTTCGCTGCCAAGTCTGGCGGCTGGGCGGCCGTCAAGCGCGATTACGATATGCTGCCGCTGGAGACGGTACCGTTCATGCAGCCGCTCAAAGAACCGACCGATGGCGAGCTGAATGCCGCCGAGGAAAAATGGAGCGAGTGGCTTGCGCTGGAAGACTGGATGGTGGGATCGAGAGCTCCTCCGTGAGCTGTCCCAGTTAGGGTCGCAGACCCCGCGTACCTTCGTCGACATCTGCGGCCGGAAATCTCGAGCACGAATAACGACTCACGACATCACAGCCGAATAGTATACTCTACAGTATGCCATTTTCAGGTTGTGGTTCGTGGAAATAAACCTTTTCTGCTTTTGCGCATTCTCGAAGCCTGCCACATCATTGGCAAACCACCGTTAGAGCTCTAAACCTGGAGGCTGTCCTTCTGAGCGACATGCAGCAGGCGCTGCTGGTCCAGGATCCGCACCTCGATGAACTGCCCTCTCTCTTGCCTCGACATCTTTTCGTTGCTCTGCTCAAAGCCACTCTCTTGCTGAACTTTCATCCTAGCTGCCAATCTCTCCCGGATGTCAGCATGCTTGATCTCATAAGGACTAGGTAGATCACGCCACGACTCCTCGCCAGCTGCTAGCTTGGCAGCCGTTATCGTGTTGAAAAAGTCCATGAAGCTGGCCTTGCTGATCGACTGCAGGATCTCCTCTCTCCGCGGTACGGTCACATTCTCCGACAAACCGGCTGTAGCGGCAGCTAGTTGAGGCTCGATATTGTCTCTGATGTACGCGCAGAGCGCCTCTGCATGCTCTCTGGGGAATGGCTTGCCATCGACACGGACCACGTAGACAATTCCTGCCATGCCAAAAGTGTATTTTTGGACACACGAGCCGAAGCCTGTCGCGCCAACCCGGAGCCGACGACAAACCTGGGCGATGATGGCCTGATTCTCGTCTGCGTTGGGCGTCCGCACAACCTGTGGACCTTTTAGAGGGACGTCGATACCTGGGAGAACAACTGTCGAATTCAAGTCGCGGGTGAGCAAGACCAGTTCGTCCTTCTGGTAGCCAGGGTCAACATCGACCTCGTATGAGTTATGAATGCTTTGGACCAAGATCGGAAAGCCAAGTAGGTTGGCAATATTTCCTCCATCGGCGTTCCAGATCGGGTCACAGCCATCGAGCACAATCTCATCCCATTTGGAACCGCCCTGCTGCACGCGACCTTTGCAAGCAATTGCTGGCCACAGCACACGCAGACCACGGAGGTGCTCCTGGTCGAACCATCGCGATATGTCTGGCCAAGGTAGTCCGCTGCGTTACGCATATCCCGCATATCCATGTCGCCATGGGTCAGGCGCCGCTCCTTATCCTTGGTAGCACGCGTCACGAACACGGGGCTCCTGAAATCATCCCAGCAAGCTCCGCCTCGGGTGAAAGATCGCAGGCCGAGGTTTTGCGGATCCACGGCAGGCTCAAAGGGTGGTTTGATTTTCTTGAACCAGACTAGTGTGTCGTCGGGGCCTCTGGAGAAGTTTCGTCCCTCCACAGCGTTGCACATGAAGCTGCAGCCGTCTTTGTCGTTTGTTGCGAAGAAGCTACGACTGTCGAAATCTTGCTGTCCTGTTCCTTCACCGACTTGCAAACACAGCTCTACCCACTCGAAGCGAACGGGCTCGCTGCCACCCGGGAACAGAAGCGCGCGACGATGAAAGGGGCCAGTACGGTCGGTGTTGAAAGTGGAGCACAGAATCTTGTGGTTCTTCCAGTCGATCTTCTGGCATTCTGCACAGCTTATAAGGTTCAAACACATCTAACGATCAGATGGACACCATACCTTTGGAGCATTAGCGAGCATCTTTGCACACCTGGCACAACTTGTTCCCCTTGCGAATACACATGATGCAAGTCTCATTGACGGCTGCTGCGTCGGTGTCCATCGTTGCCGACCCAGCTCGTCTTGACGGAAGATTCGATAGCTTGGGAACACTGGCAGTCGTTTCCCCAGTGGGGCGAGATATCTGCGCACAGTCTGATGTAGTAGCTGAGAGGAGCCAGGAGGTTTTCAGAAGGAGAAAAAATGTCAAAGCCATGGAAGAAAATTACGAGTCAGAAAGGTCGGCAAACAAATTGTGACCTGGGCCAGGTCTCCGTCATCGAGCGACCGTCAATTCACTTGTAGTGGATAGCTCAGGCATGCGTCAATACTGAGAGGAACTCTTCAGCTGCTGAATGCTTCCGTCTTGGTCAAATGTTCGCTCCTCGATTCCGGCATCAGACTGAACAGAGTCCTTACTCACTCGCCTGCCGACGGGCCGTTCTGCTCCAATTGATGGATTGCCCCAGTGTGCGTGCAGGAGTTGCCCAAGTGGCGAGCTCGGCGCAGCCACACAGCATCCCAAGACCTGTCTCACCATTTTAGAAGGACCACATACCACTGCTTCACGTCAAGTCACTGCCATTCCGCCAGCATGACGAAAAACATAATGAGACCGTAGCTGCCTGACATAATGCTCAGACAGAGTGGTCTCAAGACTCAGCCAATACGTAGTTGGTGCTCTGTAAGTCACTTCGTTGCTTTCTGCCACTGACTGGGATGAAATGTTACTCCTCGTAGACCGCTGTGTGAGCAAGGCTGAAATCCCTGGCAAGGCTGACTCTATGTTCGTGAGCTTTCGGATCTAGGAAGGGCAGGCAGCTGCGGTGTACGTCAAGGATGTCCTTGGTCATACGACAGTTTTATGCTAGTCTTCATAAGTTCAGTTGAAGCAGATGTTGCTGCCCCACGAACGGCCACATCGGCGTCCCATGCCCGGGCTTGGAAGAAGGAAATTGGAAAGGTCCTCGGGTCAACGCTCTGCCAGGCATTATTCCGCACCACTTGGAGCTTCTTTGGAGAAATGCTACCCCTGGCTCCTTAGCAGCAGATACTGGAGGATCGGCAGTCGTTGGTCGAAGCAAGCCAACAGTCAGGCAATCCCACTCGACTTGGCATTTCCCCGCACAATCAGCCACTACGCCCGGGACAAGCCGTCGATCCCTGCCGCTTCTTGACCTCCCAGCTTGGAGAACCTTCTTGTTTCTTGGTGCAATGCCACACTTGGGCTCGATGTGTCCCATGCCGGAAGGGGTTGCCGCCTCCCTTGAGGAGATGGGACCGACGCACCAGTCCGATCGGACACGGAATTGTCGGTCAATCTGCCGGCATGGCCTACTAGTATAAAGGTGCCATGCTCCTCAGAGCCACTCTCCCTCGAAAGCTCGCAGACTCGTACGCCACCACTCTCATCAGCTTTCAACAGTCGTAACGATGGAGAAACCGAGCCCACCGGACCATGTTGAGGAGCGCAAGGATGAGGTAAGTTAGCCGTGCTCCAGCTCGTGCCCACATGAGATAGTCATTGACCGCCGGTTCAGACCAAGACCAGTCCTGATGTGTCCAGTCTCGAGGAGAACGGTGAGAACCGTGCTTTCCAGTTCGATGAAAAGCGGGGCAAGAAGCTCAATAGGCGCTTAGATGCCAGACTGTTGCCCTTGCTCTGCTGGGTTTATCTTCTCAATTTCTTGGATCGCGGCAACATTGGCAATGCTCGGGTCCTCAACGCCGAGACCAACGATGACCTCTTGAGCCAGACCAACATGACTTCTGATGGCTACGCTGTCACTGTAACGCTGTTCTCGGTTGCGTACGCGATCTTTGAAGTCCCTAGCAACTGGGTCATGAAGCATTATGTCCGCCCATCGTTATGGTTGGCATTCCTGCTTTTTGCGTGGGGATGTCTCACCATTGGCACAGCTGGTGTGCAGAACTATGCCACTGTCGTTTCACTACGCTTCCTGGTGGGCGCATTCGAAGCTGGCTTCTTCCCGGGTATTGTCTACCTGATCACCATCTGGTAAGCCGCCTCGATCGTTGACCTCGTGTTCATTCGGCTAACGTCATATCAGGTACCGACACAACGAGAGGGCGCTCAGGATCGCACTGGTGGTGGCATTTTGCAACCTCGCAGGAGCTTTTGGCGGCAGGTCAGTCCAGCACCCATATGTCCGACACCACTTGTTTTCTGACAGGTTACAGCATCGCTTACGGGATTGGCCATGTCAATGGCGCCGGTGGCTTGGAAGGATTTCGATGGCTATTCATCATCGAAGGCATCATCACCGTGATTAGTGCCATCCCTTTGTGGTTGTGCCTCCCCGACTATCCGGCTCGTGCAAAGTGGCTGAACGAGGATGACAAGCGCTTCGCCGAGGACAGGCTGAAGGAGCATGGAGGTGGTTACAACCGTGACCATGCCACCAAAAAGGAGTGGAGAGCGACGGCCTTCTCTCCCCGGATGCTGGCACATTACGCTGCCTACATCGCCGATGTTGTCCCTCAAGGTTCCTTCACATTCTTCACGCCCACCATCGTCACCGGCCTTGGATACGAGTCTGTGCATGCGCAGCTTTTGACCGTCCCTCCTTGGGCTGTCGGTTTCGTCGTTGCCATCTGCCTTTCCTATTCCGCCGACCGCTTCGATGCTCGCGGCTGGCACATAACAGGTGCCTCGATCGTCGGCGGTATCGGCTGGCTGACAGCTGGCTTACTCCCGCACGATGCCTATATCGCGCGATACGGCTGCTTGTGCATGGCTGCGTGCGGAGCATTCCCCTGCGCGCCTTCGTTAACCAACTGGGTGACCTGCAATTCCCCAAGCCTACTCACCATTCCCTTCGCCATCGCCATGAACAACTCGTGTGCCGGACTTGGGCAAATCATCTCGCAGTGGATCTGGAAGCAGAATGAGCGGACAGATGGGTATCCGACCGGCAATTTCGTGTGCGCTGCCTGTTCCTTCTACGTGGCGGCAACCGCGATTGCGCTGAGGATCACATACGGGCGAATGAACAAGAATGGGACACTAGATGCTCGGGGCGAGAAACGCATTTGGTCGTACTGAATTGTGTAGTCATGTGGTCCCATGGATTGTCGCTACGTTTATATTTGGCTACCCAACTGTCGTGTAAAATCGACGCCTCCGCCTCCATGGGAGAGTACGGCAGTATAATGGCAAATATATCCATAAGTTCCAATTCAGCAGCAATATTTCTGCACTAATGCCTGCCATCGAGCTCATAGGAAGAGTGGCAATTTGGGACGGCAGAAGCAGACTCGAGGGGATGGAACTAGCCGAATTTGGACTGATGCCTGTTTTCGCCGCCTGATGAGGCAAATCTTCGATGGCGTCAAGATAATTCATCCCTCGACAATATTCCATTTTATCCCATAGCTCACACTCCCCGCCGCCAAAACGATGCGACGAGAATGACATTAACGAAGGACATCAGCGGACCCAGATTCCGGCCTGTCGGGCCAGTTTTGCAGGCCCACGTTAGGACGGCTATCGGTGACATTGGCGCGTTATCTCTTAAGTGAGGTTTTCACCGGCCGCGACCAGGGTACAAAGATGGATCCGAGGCTGCTGCTAGACCCGAAGGCTGCTCTGAAGAACAAGAAGAAGGCTGGCAGTAGTGAAGGTGCGCTCACAGCCTTTCCAAGCACCCGAGTCATGCCTGGTGGTGACACCCTTGAGACAGACTTCAGTCGCACTTCACTCTTCACCCGGCTCCATTTTCTGCCAAGACCACGCACCTACTAAACTGCGCACCGTTCCTGTGTTTGCTTTGAGATGTTCTCACTAACCATCTGAGTCTCCAGCTGCGAAGGGAAAGGCACCGTTAGACTCGAATCCACCTAAGACTGGGCCTCAACCTACAAGCAAGCAGATAAAGCCAGGCAGCTCATCTACATCGCTTTCGGACAAAGTCTCAACCTCGCCATCACGTGCCGCACCAGCATTCGATCCTCGCCGTCTCCTCGACCCGCGCTCACGTCACAAGCCATTACCATCTTCTCGACCACGGCCGCCACCCGCTATGGCCCCTGATGGCACGACTGGAATCGAGTTTGCTTCTGCGCAGGATAAGCTCGGCTTCACCGGCTCTTCAGCCACGAATGGTGCTGTTGACTATATCGCTCGCTCCGAAAGCGACCACCTCAATCACCCTGACTCACCTCCAGTCTTGCAACGTGAGAATAGCTCGAACATTGGCAAGCACATGCTCGAAGGGGTGTACAGTGTAGAGGCTCGAACCGAACAGCCTCGGAAAAAAGTCAAGACCGACAACGAATCTACAGAGGCGTCCTCATACCAGCATCAGAAGTTCAACTCATCTGGCACTGGCATCGTGGGCGAGTACATGAACCCTGCAAAAGACGCCGATGCTGCCGACAAGCCTACCCTCATGCCGGCTGGTATTGTCGATCTTACCAATGACGACGAAGACGATGACGAGCTACAAGTCATCGGTACCAACACCGTCGTCGAGAAACAAGTTTGCTACGGTGCTCTCTATGCAAACGTTGATGCACACCTTGTTCCGAAGCCAAAAGGATCGATGACGGGCTTTGGTGGCGCCGGCAAAGACCAGTGGCCGTTGATACCTTGCACCCTGCGGCGACCGACAGAGGCCACCCGAGATACCATTGTTCAAGTAATTGACCCTCATGGTAAGTACTTCGCCAACGTCGAGCACAAGTTGGCCAAGGTTTTGGCTCCTGCTCTCAATATCTTCCCGGGCTTCCGAGTGGTAGTGCGCTTGTTGAATCGCAGACATCACCCGGGTGAGTGGCACCATCAACCATGCTCGCAGACCATGAAGGTTACACTTGTCTTTTATGGTCGTAAGTACGATGCAGAGAAGATTGGTCGCATGTTTGGACAGGAAAACCTATGGTTCATCAACACGTCATTCAAGGAGCCAGGCATTGAGATGCTCAATCCCCAGAAGATGCGTAACGTCCGTCAGACTCTGCAGCAGCAACAAGCTCGCCCAGCTGTCGCTCGGAGTGTGACGTATGATACGGTCTCACCCGAGGAAGCTGAACAGACTGTGGCCAAGATCTTCAACCACTATGCCAGCGAGAAGATTGCAGAAACCGAGCCAGCGAACACGGTACTCACCTCGCTCCTCCCGCATCAGAAGCAAGCTCTTACATTCATGCTGCGACACGAAAGCCGACGGACCTTTGGAGAGGATGCATCGGGAAACTCAACACTCTGGCACAAAAAGCACCATAAGTCGGGCGCCGTCTACTACGAAGAAGCTGTATCTCAGATGACCTGCGCTACCGAGCCTCCTCAAGTCTATGGAGGCTTACTAGCCGATGTCATGGGATTAGGTAAGACATTGGAATCACTGACACTGATTGCTGCCACCACCGCGGAGGCGAGTGAATATGCCAAGACACCGATGGTGCGCTCCCACGAAGACAAGATTGACTTCCGCGCATACACCAAAGGGACTCTTATCGTCTGTCCTATGAGCACGGTCGCCAACTGGGAGAATCAAATCAAAGAGCATTTGGACGGCGGTAGCATCACGTGGTACACTCATCACGGCAGCAATAGAATTAGGAACCCTTACGAGCTGTGCAAGTTTGACATCGTCATTACTACCTATGGTACGCTACAGTCAGAGAGTCGCCAAGGCAAGGACAATGCATTGCGGTCTCTAAAGTGGTTTCGTGTTGTCCTGGATGAGGCTCACACTATCCGCGAATCGTCCGCACAACAGTCGCAAGCTTGCTTTCAACTTGAAGCCCAACGTCGCTGGTGCCTCACCGGAACACCTATTCAGAACAAACTCGCCGATCTGGGGTCACTTTGTCAATTCTTGCGACTATGGCCCTATGATACTGCTCAGAACTTCAGCTACTACATCGGCAAGCGAGCCGCGGACGGTGATCCATCGTTCTTGCTCAAGCTGCGGATCTTCATCGACTCTTTCACTCTACGACGTTTGCGAGACCAGATCAGTCTTCCTCCTAAACAGGATGTGAGACAAGGCATCAAGTTCTCAGAAGCCGAGTTGAAGCTGCACACCTTCTTCCGAGAGCGAGCTCGGATTGCCGTACATGAGATGACTAAAGACAAGGAGTCTAAGAAGCAGAACCTGCAGGTTTCTGTTCTCCAGGGCATTACCACTTTGCGTTTAATATCTGCTCATGGCCGAGACCTGCTCCGAGAAGCTGATCTCAAAGACTACAAGGGGGCTGCTGCTGACGAGCCGATTGATCTTGACGACGGGGATCCGATCAAGACGATAAACACGCTCGAAGCATACAACATGTTCAAGATGATGAGCGACGCGGATTTTGACATTTGTCGTAACTGCGAACGGGCGATCGCAGGAGACTCGCCATCTGCTGAGGCCGAGGACGACACTAGACCACGAGCATATATCCTGCCATGCCGCGACCTCCTCTGCTACGATTGCTTCAAAGTCCAGAAAGGATTGTATGACGCGCAGGCTGACCAGACGGAGATCCAATGCCCCTTTTGCAGCTCTATCACGGCTTCACAGTACATTCCAATTGAAGGATCGGTCAGTGACACCATTGAGCGATTGCAGGAGAGCCGGGAACCAACTCCCGCCGGTGAGAAGTCAACATACTCTGGACCTCACAGCAAGACTCGAGCGCTGATAGAAGATATTCACACCATGACGAATGAGAGCAAGGAGCTGGAAGCAAAGGGTGAGCAGCCTCTCAAATGTGTGGTCTTTTCCGAGTTTACCTCTCATCTCACCCTGATCGCGCGGGCGCTCGAGGACGGAGGCTTCCGTTGCGGCCGCATCGATGGCTCCATGTCTCTACCCAAGCGGAAGAAGGTGCTCAATGAGCTAGACAACGATGCCTCAATGACTGTTCTTCTTGCTTCGGTCAAAGCTGCTGGCCAAGGGCTCAATCTCACTGCCGCCTCACGTGTTTTCATCATGGAGCCGCTGTGGAATCCGGCCGCAGAGGCTCAGGCCGTCGATCGAGTGTATCGAATTGGCCAGACACGCCCAGTTGTTGTCAAGCGATACTTCATGGAAGATAGTATTGAGACGGTGATCATGGAGTTGGCAGGGAAAAAGCAGGCGCTGGCCGATGTGTCGCTGAACCGCAACCACAAGGCTCTGAACAAGAAAGAGCAGCGGGAGCAGCACTACAATGCGATCAGAGCGTTGTTCGAGGTGAAGAAACGATAGATCATCAACGGGTCAAGTCGCCACTGATTGGGTCGACAAGAGTGAAGCCATGAAGATATCGAAGATCGGCTGCGTCTTTGAGTCATTTCATCTTTGTCTGTATTACTAGCGAAGGAGATTTGCACAGCATGTGCTGAGGAGCTAGTAGAGCTAGAGTGGTCGACAAGGCCACAAACTCGAGCAGCGGTAGATATTCATTGCAAATGATTAGATCGCAAAAATCATCCGGAGTACGGAGTACCGATTACTGGAATTTCTTTTTCCCATCTCTCACCTCACCGCCATCCCACGCGCCGAGCCTGTGATCAGCATGGTGGATAAAACACGCGGGCGATAACAGCGGGCGCTAGCCAACTGGAAACCCCACGTTTCCGGGCAAGCGGTGCCCCTCGTTACGGCCTAGATGCTCGAGTTGCCCGCCATGCTACGGGCATGCAAGCCACCTGCACCCGCCCACGGGCGAACCACTGGACGGCCGAGCTCCCGATGCCTGTCAGTCGCTGTCCCAACGGCTTTCCCTAAAGCATTTTTTTCGCCGCCGCTCAGCAGAAAAATAATCAGACCATCGGTCGACGCGGAAAAGCTTCGCTGGCTGTGGCTCATGCAAGGCACTGAGGCTGCTTGAGCGTTCTTCCTCATCTCTGTACATTTTCCTCCTTTCAGAACGCCACCCGACCTTCTTGCTCCGAACCAGTGTGTTGGTGAAGAGCCAGAGCGATACGCCACGGCGGTGAATAGCTGTTTGCGAGCTTGACACTTCAAACCGCAGACCCACCTCTGTGGGCCACTTGCGAGCACCAGCACGGACACCACCGAGTCTAGTTCTTTGGTGTGCATGTGCTGAGTCCGCAAGCCCGCACGCACGAACCTACCAAAAACTCCTGTGCCTCTAGCCGTCCATCGCCGCTATGGTCATCGTCGACCACCACGAGTATCTCTGCGAGGAGGAGAAGCGCCTCAAGGAAGACCGCGAGCGTACCAAATACTGGAAGAAGTGGGGGCCCTACGTCGCCGAGCGCCAGTGGGCGACGGTGAGAGAAGACTACTCAGAGAACGGCGATGCCTGGAGCCATTTCTCGCACGATCAGGCACGGTCCAGGGCCTATCGATGGGGCGAGGATGGCATTGCGGGTGTATCGGACACGCATGGCCTGCAGAACATTGCCTTTGCCTTCTGGAACGAGCAGGATGACTATTTGAAAGAGCGCTTGTTTGGGTTGAGTAATCCGCAGGGAAACCATGGCGAGAGCATCAAAGAAGCACATTTCCACCTGGACAACACGCCAACGCATTGTGAGTTCGAGCCTGCAGATTTGATCGACCTCTTACTGACAAGCCATAGCTTACATGAAGTACCTCTACAAGTTGCCCCAGCGGAAATTCCCTTACGAAGAGCTCGTAGAGGAGAATGCCAAGCGGAGCAGGAACGAGAAGGAGTACAATCTCATCGACACTGATGCATTCAAGGATGACCGCTATTTCGACATCTTCATCGAGACTGCCAAGGACACGGATGACCCTGAAGAGCTGCTGTTTCGAGTCACGGCCTACAACCGCGGTCCGGAGGCGGCACCTTTGCATATTATCCCTCACATGTGGTTCAGAAATACTTGGACATGGGGCCGTGAAGACGAGAAGCTAAAACCTCAGATTCGCCTTGTGGGACCCATGACAGCACAGTCGAAACATCACTCGCTGGGTACGAGGTTCTTCCAGCTCTCGCCCTCACCTGGTTGCGGACCCGAAGCAGAGGATATTCAGCCTCAGGTCGTGTTCACCGAGAACGACACCAACACCGATCGGTTGTATCAACAGAAGAACAAGCAGCCATACGTGAAGGATGCATTCCACCGATGGATTGTGGACGAGGAGAAGGGCGCCATCAACCCGCGTTGTACGGGCACAAAGTGTGCGGCGTGGTACGACTTTGGCCGTGGCGACGGTGTGCCTCCTGGACAGTGTGCCGTTGTTCGTTTTCGCCTTTCGAAGAAATTCGACGGCTACCTTAACGAGGAGCTGCTCGACGACATCATCGAGATGCGGAGAGAGGAGGCCGACGACTTTTACCACCGCATTAGTCCTCTACCCATGGCCGAAGATCTCCGCAACATTCAGCGCCAGGCTTTCTCCGGCATGCTTTGGTGTAAACAGCATTACTACTTTATTTGGGATCAGTGGGCTCATGGTGACCCGAATATGCCTCCTCCACCAGAAGGACGTTTTGCGGTCCGCAACTCGCAGTGGAAACACATGTTTCTCGACGACATCCTCTCCATGCCCGACTCTTGGGAGTATCCTTTCTTCGCTGCTTGGGACACTGCTTTTCACTGTATTCCACTTGCCATGATCGACCCAGAGTTTGCCAAGAAGCAACTCGATTTGATGACTCGAGAATGGTACATGCACCCCAATGGGCAGCTACCAGCGTATGAATGGAACTTTGGCGACGTCAACCCGCCCGTACATGCTTGGTCTGTCTTCCGTACTTTCAAGATCGAGCGCAAGATGTACGGCCGGCAAGATCTCGACTTCCTGGAGCGCGTTTTCCAGAAGCTGTTACTCAACTTTACGTGGTGGGTGAACCGTAAGGATTTCGATGGGAAGAACGTCTTTGAGGGTGGCTTCCTCGGTCTAGACAATATTGGCCTCTTCAATCGCTCCGAGCCTCTACCTACTGGAGGTGTACTGGAACAAGCCGACTCGACAGGCTGGATGGCCTTCTACTGCTTGTGCATGCTGAACATCTCGCTTGAGCTGGCAAAGCACCGGCGGACCTACGAAGACATCGCTTCCAAGTTCTTCGAGCATTTCATCTTGATCTCGGACGCCATGTCCTTCCGCGCCGGACGTGGTCAGGATGCTCAAGAGCAATCGCTGTGGAACGACGATGACGGATTCTACTACGATGCCATCTCATGGGGCGGACCTTGGCAGCAGCAGCTACCCGTCCGCTCGCTGGTTGGCCTAATACCCCTCTACGCGGTGTCGACCCTTGAACCTGAACTGATCGCGAAATTCCCCAACTTCAAGCGTCGGATGGACTGGTTCATCGCCAATCGCCATGACGTTGCCGAACGCAACATTGCCTCTATGCGCAAGCGCGGCAAAGGCGAAAGGCTGCTCTTGTCCCTCGTCAGCAAAGACCGGCTTGAGAAGATTCTCCGCCGCATGCTGGATGAGACAGAGTTTCTCGCCGATCACGGCGTCCGCTCGCTGTCCAAATACCATGAGGACAAACCTTTCTCTATGGATGTCAATGGTCAACAATTTCGTGTTGCGTACATCCCTGGCGACTCTGATTCGGGCATGTTTGGTGGCAATAGCAACTGGCGCGGCCCAATCTGGATCGCTGTCAACTTCTTGCTAGTCGAGTCGCTCCTGCGCTTCTACATGTTCTACGGCACCTCCTTCCAAGTCGAATGCCCGACAGGCTCCGGCGAGTACATGCATCTAGGGCGTGTGGCCGAAGAACTGCAACATCGTCTGCAGCACCTGATGGCGCGTGATAATGAGGGTCGTCGTGCTATCAACAATGGCAACGACAAGCTCGACTTTGACGAGCACTGGAAGGACTATCTGCACTTCTACGAGTTCTTCGATGGCGACACGGGCCGTGGGTTGGGCGCCAGCCATCAATGCGGCTGGACGGGTCTTATGGCTAAGATGATCCATGATACGGGTGTCAACTGTCGCCTGCCCATGACGCCGCGAACGCCCAGTACAGCGGCCGCGCATTACTTCGACGACATCCTAAGTCGGAACCCCAAGGGTAGCTTGACGCGTCGCAAGAGCAGTCTGGCGTCAACGCCAGGCCCAGGCCGCATGCGCCGTAGCAGCACAAGCAGGAGCATCGGTAACCGCGCCTCGTTCACTACCAACGGCGACTACCCCGACGATGACCCAGATAGCCCGAAGCACAGGCGCAAGGGCAGTCAGGCATCGAGCTACTTTGGTGGTAACCACGGTGGTGGTGACCATGATGCAGGTGCGAGCGTGGTGAGTGATGAGTGGGGCGAGGAGGGCGCGTTGAGCCTGCGTCGGCAGAAGAGCGAAGCGGAGATGACAGAGGATGATGAACGCATCGAAGATTATGTCCGGGGAGAGCTGACGAAGATCAAGACGGGCGAAGGGGAGGTTGGCGTTTATGAGGATGAGTTTGAGGCGCAGTTGGATTAGATATGGACCCTGGGGACGAAGGTCAGTGCGATCTAGAAGGAATGTGGGGTGGGTGTTTGATGACTTTGTTGGCACTGGGATCTGGGATCAGCATAGATTTAGATGCATAGAGTTGCAAAGAATAGAGGAAAGAAGGATAGAAGGCATGCGTTAGATCGCGAGTACTGTGCAAAAGAAACACGAGAACACAGAGAGCGACACTGGGCGTCTATTCAGGGAATGTCAAGATCTCTTTCCCGTATAAAGTGTTGCTTCTTGGTCCTTGCTTAAACTTTTAAGATACGTATTGCGGTGATCCTGTACAATGAAAGGTGGCGTTGTTTTGTGCAAGACTTTGAGACCATTTACGGGCAGGCCAAACAGATGGTGCGGAGACACAGAAGTCGGTCGCTATCGTGGAGCTTAGCAATTGATCTGAGCCTAGGCGTACTGCATCTGTGACATTATTGAATGTCGGTCAAGGATCATGCGAATAATTCAACCGAGTGCCACAGACATGGGTGGCACGAGGGTACGGTGATGTTTCGAGGCCATAGCTTCAAGGCTGTAACTGAGTGCAAGGCTGTGACAAGGCAACAACATAGCCAATCAAATCACCATGCTGCCTCAATGCTGCCTTCCCTTTCACCTCATACCGCGCTGTGTTTCTACAGCCCTCAAACTTTTCAGCTTCTTCCTACCCGTCGCACAGCACTGTTGCAAACTGTATCTAGTACCCCTGTCATCGTTCAGTGGCAAAGCTGCCGGGACCACCTGCATGTTTATCTTGACCATCCCTCCCGAGCGCGGCTATCTCACAAGCAACCCCTAATTGAGCAGTGCGCAGCCGAAGACCTCCTGAACGCCTTCCCCCATACTTCATCTACTCGCCTCACATGCTCGACTCCGGCTCCGACCTCTCCGCCTCCCGCTGGGCGCCCCGCGCCCACGCACGTACCTCCTCGCCATACTACTCCCAGATCTCCACCTCACCTTGCCGCGCCCACGCCCACCCACGAGCCACTTCCACCACCTCTAGGTCCCCGACACGACCGCACCATCCGATCACATCCACGACCTCAACACCTACGCCACATGCCCGGAAACCGCACACCGCGCCGTCACCCACCCAGCAACGCCAGCACTCGCTCGCCCTCTTCGCCCGCCTCAGCACGCGCCTCAAGTGGCGCGCCTCGCTTCTCCTGACCGCACACACCTTTGCGCTTTCGCCTGCTGCACACGGCATCGGCCTTGACGCCACCGAGGCCGACGCCCAGTTCCGCATTGATTTCTTCGAGTTCTACGTCCTGCTGGAGCGCTGCTTGCTGCTGCTTTTGGGCGCTGTGGGCGTCAAGGTGAGTCGCGGGTACGATCCACAGCGCGACGACGATAGTGGTGGTCCGCACGGTCATCGGGATCGAGATCGGGGCGGCGGCGCGCGTAGAGTGGTGGTGGATGGCCATCAGAGTGGTGGCTACGGCACCAGTCGGCAGCGCGGCTTGATCGGCGACAGCAAAGTGGTCATGGGCGGTGCTGGCCACTCGTTCCACCAGAATCTGCTCGACGCGCTGTCCTGCGCCGACGGCAACCCGCTCTTTGACATACTCGGAACGGGTAGGGTGAGGGAGTACATCGGCCTCGCGAAGGATCTGCGGAACGGATGGAAGGAGACTGCATCTGAAGTTCCGCTGGTTGCTGGAGATACAGAAGAGAATGGGGGCGTGGAGGCGGAAAAGGCGCGTCTGGACATGCGCCTGAAGAGGCGGTATGCGGATCTGCTTAGCGAGCTGAGGCTGGATGAGATGCTGCGGGTGGTGTTAGGCGCGGTCGAGCACGCGGGCAGTGTAGCGGCGGTGGAGGTGGATAGAGCTGTGGCGGAGGAGAGTCAGCGGATCGCGACGGGCGATGCTGATGCTCAGGGGAGAAGGCTAAGTGTCGACATGACGGACGTGATGGCAGACGAGATGATCGGGGAACGGCCGTGGGAGAGCATGGGTCCCGGTACTTGGGAAGTGGACGAGATGGAATTTTGAAACATGAAACACGGATGGAGACGAGAAATGGAAGAAAAGACGCTGTGATCGTGCTTTGCTACCTGATGATAACCCTTATCGCGCACGCCCGTATGGAAACCGACCTATCCATCGACGCTTGCTTGCCATCGAGTACTGCTGCCCAAGACAAACTCCGCCAATCGATGTCCCGTAAACTTTCTGCGACCTGGTTCAGCCTGTCCATTGCCCCTGACCTCGGTCCACTAGACTTGAACATCGAATACATCATTTCTCCAGCCACCGCCTCTCTCTTCGCCGTCCACGATGTTCTCCTCGGCGCGCATGGCCTCCTCGTGCCAGGTCTTGACGATGCTGCCCGGGGCATAGACGCCGCGGAAGACGCCTTTCTTGGGCGCATCCAGCCCAACGCGAGTGTACAGGTCTGGATCTTCCTCTGGCGTCAGCCTTGCGGCCACGGCCTTGAGGAACGTCATGACGTCCTGTGGATCAGCGATACGAGTAGCTCTCAGCCTCTCACGAGCATACAGTAGCTCTCTATTGGCGGCACGCAAACCGCCTGCGATGCTCTCGGCGATCTGCTTCTCGAGCGATCTTCGGATCATCTGTTTGAGGAAAGGCTTGAACAGCCAGCCCAGCCAGCTGAGCTTGCTCTTGCGGAGGGTGTAGTCCAGCTTGTGGATGTGGACACGGACACCCCGCAGAGTCAGAATTTGTTCGAGACGCTCGCGAGCGATCTCGAGGTCGAGCGAGATGTCGATGCCGCGTTCGTCCAAGAAGAAGCTGGCAATACCTTGGTCGGCGAACTGAGCAATCCCAGCATGGCCTCGGATCCAGTATCCCAAGTCTTGGGCCGCAACGGAGATGCCATTGACAGTGACGGTCACGAGGGAGGTAGTCTTGGAAGCTGTCTTTTTCGAGTGAGTCTTGCGGATTTCGAGGTCATTGCGAGTAGAGATGTTGAGGCGATAGGGGAAGAAGGAAGTGCGGTTCACACTGCGGCCAGGCTCAAGAACGAGGTTTTCCAGGAGGAGATCCATCTCGGGAACAGACACTTCCAGGCGTGGGATTGGAATATATTGGATAGACCGAATGAGCAATGGCAGGAAAATGTGCATGGAGTCAGTAATCAGATCCGGATTGGTAACCATGTCAGGAGGCGAGAGGATGTCGTAGATGCGCTTGGTGGCTCGGACTAGACCATTGACGTCTTTGTCCTCCATGACGGATCGGACAGTCAGCGAAACATCTTTCAAAAGCTGATCGAAATCGTTTCGGAACTTGGACTCCTGGCCAAGTTTGGAAGATTTCTCTCGGAGCTCTTCAATCTTCTTGTCGGCGTCATCGAAGAACTCAGGGTCTGTAAGCATTTTGCCCACGGCGTTCCCGACCTCGACCATAAAATTCTCGAATTGAGGGTCGGATCGAGAGTGCTCGAGGACTTTGTTCCAGTCCGCTTCGACCTGTTCCCAGGCCTTGCGATCACCAAAGGAGCTCAACAGATTCCAGAAGTTGCGAACCGCACGATCGAGTGCAGGGTTTGTGTGGACGTCATCCTGGGCGGCCGAGATTGCCTCGTCACCGATCCTTGAGTAAGCCGCAGCGTAGCGCTGAATGAGCTTGGTGATCGTAGATACGGAATCCTGGTAGTCGGTGCGCTGCCGCAGGTTGATGACCGTTTGCTTCAAACGGTAGAGCAGCGTATCTTTGTGGTCTCCCGCAAAATTCTGCTTTGCACTTGCGATGGCATCTTGACCGACCTTCAGTGCCTCATCTTCAATGACATCAGCCGTCTCTTTGGCTCCATCCTTGACATCTTGCTTCGAAGGCAAAGACCCTTCATCAGCTCCAGGCCCTTCAATGGTCTTCTGCTCTTCCGAGGAGAGTTTCAACTCTTTGCCAGTCTTGTCTGCGGCATCGGAGAGGGAGAAGGCTGTGTCGGCAAGGACTTGCCTACCTATCGTTGTAACGTCATTGACGAATAGCCTGAAGTCGGCATTCGTGAGCAATAGGCTTCCTACGGTACGGAAGCTCTCGTAGGTAGCTGCAGCATCTGCTCTTGCTTTGACTTTAGACGCTTGGTTTGAGATATCGTGGATATCAAGGGAGATGCGGGCCTTTGTCAAGTGCCATATGAAGTCTTGTATGTAGTCCTCGTTGTTCTTGTTCCGTAGAAGCTCAATGAAAAGCTTCAACCAGCCTCGACAGTTTCGAATAAGAAGGCGGCCAGACTCGCTGAGTTCTGGATCGTTGGCATTGAGGACGTCGGAAGCAAGGAGCGTTCGTAGATTGGAGATGGTCTGCTCATTCGAGGGCATATAACCTTTGGTCAAGGCTCTGAGCATCTGGTAGGTATGCAGCTTCTGGTGCAATGTCCGCTGCCTGACAGTATCATCTTCGTAACGCGGAAGGAGAGGCTCCGTGTCCTCACTCTTCTTGCGGCCGAAGCCACAGCAGGAGGAAAGCCAACTCATGGTTGGACACGACTAAGTCGACAGCATAGAATGAGCTCTACAGCTTTGCAGTGGCCGAATGCCAGAACTGCTAAGTGATTGATGAGACTGGCAGGCGGAAATGCAGCACGGCCAAACGTCATGCATGCCAAGACATAGCAGAGCTCTAGTCCGCTCCGTCCAATGGTGCCCGTCCCACTCCTCCACGAGAATCAATTTCTCCATCAGATACCTGGAATCCAGAATAACGTGTCCTACTCGCTGACGAGCGCGGTCACTGGCTCTGGAGCTTTTCTGATGGTCATACTGTGCAACGACTTGACGACTCCAGCTTGACATGTGCGGGTGGTTGCTGACATGTGATACCATGCATTTGCAACATCTACGTCTCCCGGCATGGACAATCAACCATAGTGCCATCTCAGCGTGCCGTTGCAATGTATGGCATGTGAGCGCTGTCTGCCGTCGAGAGGATAGAACCATAGATCCCTGGAGAGTGTGTAAAGCCTAGCATCACTTCGCAAAAAGTGTTCTAGATCTCCACGAGGCTGAAGTGACTCAGGGGCGGTCGTTCGCCCTTCAGGGACTCGGGTCTATGGATGTACAAGCTTCAATCACATGCATGGCAAGGTGAGCTATTGACCAGAACTCACGAATTGACGAGCTGGGATCCGCGGCCCCGGACCTGGGTGGTCCCTGCAACTCCGACTCCAGCTCCATCAAGCCGACTGTAGCATCAAGCTACCCCAGGTTCTACAAGGCTTGTAACCCACAAGCTTAAAGGGGCTGTGGGAGGCTATCATCAACACGAGGAAGCTTCTCATGTACCTCGGGCAGCGGTCTCCGAATACCTCTAGGTTCCTCGTCCTACTGTGTTTGCCGGAATATCTGCCCTGGTAGCCTACTCAGAACTCTGCACAGATGAGTGCAGTGCATACGAGACGTCAAACGCCGTATAAAGGCCGTCTGGACTCCTCGGTGGTCGGCGGGTTGGGTTGCTCCCTGCTGAGCTGGCAAAGCTCCCTGTCCCGGGGAACGGTCAGAGTCTGGGGAACGCTAGGGAACTGTACATTAGCTCGGCGGGTTATGTTGTGGGTGAGCCCACCACAGGACGGAAAATTCATTGTAGACAGCAGAACACGATAATTTCACGGGCGGTAAGTGATACGATTTGCAGCATGACTTTGCTTGTTTCACACCGCTCATGTTTCGCCCTGTGACTCCGGTGCCTCAAAGCACGAGAAAACAACGCCCCCTAGGTCCACCCTCGGAATGGGAGTCCTGTCAGCTAAGCTCTACGTAGTCTAGCAAGGCACCGGAGCCCTATGGGCGGCATCCGAACCCTGGATTTAGGCTGTACCTCGAGGCTGCCACCGGCGCGGGCATTGACCGCGCCCGCCTACCGCGAGCTCGATTGCCCTTCTGGGACGCCTTGCAGCTCAACTTTTTTTATTTTGGATTTTGTTTGGCCGCTGTTCGCGTCCGGATGACTCCCTTCAACGGATATTATACACCCTGTTGACCAGGATTCAACGTATGGGGCCATCTCTTAACGCCCGTCTAAGCCTCCGACGATTCTCACCGGCCTGACCTTAGCTGTCAGTTGTTGAACGGTGTCCGTACTAAGAGCACTGCAGACCCATCCACTCTCTTGTTTCAATTTCCCAGGCTCCGACTTCTTCCATACCTGTTAAGTCCTTTCTGACGTTTCGAACGGCACCACGTATCTACGTGACATCCACTGCCTGTACAAGTTTCAATTGCCGGCCGCCGCTTCCTTTCCCATGCTGTACAAAACCTCAAGGTTGTCCGGCCTTCCTTACTTTCCTCCCAAGAACCTTTCCTTCTCCTCACCGTTATCCACCATGGCCCTTACCAAGCAGTCTTCCTCACAACGCCTTAACGGCACTGGCCAAGCGGTCTCCAACCTCGCACACAGGCCGAAGCATACCCATGCCGTTGCTCACGTGCCAAACCCCGTCGCCCACTACGACACCTCTATTTCCATACCTGTCCGAAAGTACCTACAGACATACGGTCTGACCCCGCCGCAGCCCGACACATACGAGGTCCAGGAGAAGAGATGTTTACAACAGTTGGCACTCAAGCCTAATGATCTCGAGCGCTTCCAGTATTTGGCCAACATCAGAGCACATAACGTCCATCTGTTCTACAAGCTGCTGATTGATCATTTCACCGAGATCACCCCTCTCGTCTACACCCCCACCGTTGGTGAAGCCTGCCAAAAATGGCACCAGATTTACACCAATCCCGAAGGCATGTACATCAGCTGGCGGGACCGCGGCCATATTGCGCAGGTTGTGCAAAACTGGCCTCAGTCCAATGTTGAGATCAGCGTCGTCACAGACGGCTCCAGAATTCTCGGCTTGGGAGATCTTGGTGTTGGTGGAATGGGCATTCCAATTGGAAAGTTGGCTCTCTACACTGGTTGCGCCGGTATCAGACCTGACGGTACCCTCCCAATCACCTGTGATCTCGGCACCGGTAACAAGGCCCTGCGGGAGGATCCTCTCTACATGGGTAGCCGAAGGGACAAGGTGACCGCGGAGGAAGAGAAAGACTTCCTGGATGAGTTGATGGTCGCTCTCAAGGAGCGCTGGCCAGATATCGTCATCCAATTCGAGGATTGGAAGAACCCATTTCCATCTCTGGAGCGCTACCGTCGGGACTATGCCATGTTCAATGACGACATCCAGGGCACTGGTGCTGTGATCATGGGCGGCATCATCGGCGCTGTTCAGCAGTCTGGCATTGCGCCGCAAGATCACCGCGCCGTCTTCCTTGGCTCTGGCTCCGCTGGTGTTGGTGTTGCCAAGCAGATCGTGGATTACTTCATGAAGCAAGGCATGACCGAGGATCAGGCACGCAAGTGCTTCTGGCTCGTCGACTCCAAGGGGCTTGTTACATCAGACCGTGGCGACAAGCTCGCCGATCACAAGATCTACTTCTCTCGCACGGACAATGGCGGTCACCAGTTCAAGAACCTCGACGAAGTCATCGAGTACGTGAAGCCCACTATTCTGATGGGCCTATCTACCATCGGCGGTGCTTTCACACCTCAGATCCTCACCAAGATGACCAACTGGAGCAAGCACCCCATCATCTTCCCGCTCTCGAACCCTTCGTCTAAGTCTGAATGCACTTTCGCCGATGCTGTCAAGTATACCAACGGCACATGTCTGTTTGCCTCCGGCTCACCTTTCCCGCCTACTGAGCACAACGGCAAGATGCTACATCCTGGTCAGGGCAACAACATGTACGTCTTCCCCGGTATCGGATTGGGTGCCATCCTCTGCAAGGCTGTTCAAGTCACTTCGGATATGATATACGCCTCAGGCGAGGCTCTGCCCACCATGATCACTCCAGCGGAGAAGGAGCTTGGGCTGCTGTATCCTTCTATCAACCGCATCAGAGATGTGTCGGCTCGCGTTGCGCTCTTCGTTATCCGTTCTGCCCAGCGAGATAACGTCGACCGCATGCACCACCTCCGGGACATGGACGACGCAGAACTTGAAGAGTGGATCAAGGCCAAGATGTACGATCCCCACCACGAGACGCTAGAATTAGAGGAGGAGGTCCGGGATATTGTCACCGGCCTGACCACGTCCTTTTCGCAGACCAACGGCCACGGCAAAGCCAGCCTGTGAGCTCATACCCTCTCTATTGTACTGGTTATTCCGGAAGCAAGCGTGTGCTTTGAAAGTGTTGAATTTTGTAAACACGGTGCCTACGGATATGCAGCAAGGAACTGCGACGACAAAATCACACTTGACGTGTTGGCGCCGATGTGAGTCGCCAGGAGCGCGTTCCCTTATTGCGTATGTAGCACTGACGCCGGAAAAGCGACATACAATAATGAAAGTGATACCCAAGACAAGCATCATCATTTCTATTTCCGCGCTGCCCACTACTATTTTCATATTTGACCAATCGTTGACTACAGCTACCTGGAGCCACGGTCGATAGATCTTGACTGCCGTGGACCGCCTGACTGGGGAACAGTCAAAATCAACCAACTGGGTCATCCTTCTGAGCCTCCTTCGCCTGCTTCAGCACATCCATTGCCTTCTCCTTCTCCTGCTCGTTAGCCGCATCGTCACCCTGAAGTACCGGTTAGCATTCGAGATCTTGTCGTACACGTCCGTCGTCTTCGACTGGAGGAAATTGGACAGGATAACAAACTCACCAAAAGGCTCTCGAGCTTTTCTCGCGCACTCGTGATCTTCTCGCGCAGGCCGGGGATGACCCTCTTCGTTTCCTCGAGCGCCTGCTTCTGTGTGGCTGGTTAGCATCTGCAATCGCCGAGAACGCGTAGTATTCCCGTGGCCCCAGTCCGGCTTCGGTCTCGTCCCCGCCGTTGCACTTCTCAGGACGCCTAGAGGTTTCTCCGGTTCACATTGGGATCGGTAGCTCAACAGCCTCCACTCCTCTCCCGTCGCTCCTCACCTCAAAAGGGGAAAGTCTATGTGAAAAAAACAACGTACCTCCTGCCTCAGCTCGAACGCCTCGTTGCCATCGCTCCCGCTGACCTCGGTGCCCTTCTCGCCCTCAAGCTTCGCGATACGGACCTTTTGTTGCTCCATCTCCTTGTGATAGGAGGCCTCCTCTTTGACGAGGCGTTGCAGCGCGCCGGTCGCTATTGACAGGTGTGATGGCGCCATTTTGGCGAGTGCTGTGGGGAGAGAAGAGGAATTCCGGGTTGTTGTGGTTTGTTGTGGCTGACACGAGATTTCCTTAAGGTGAGGCAGATGTTGGTCGAGACGGATATGTTTAGTTAGATTCATATGTTTTGGTGTACGGTACGATGTTTACGTCCAGGGTGCAAGGCAACAGCGATGACTGACCGGAGTGGGCCAGTGGGAAGGTGGGGGTCTAGGAGCGGGGTCTTGGCGGTCTTTTGAACACGTGTGAAGCTTGTCATTTGCGATGAGGCGGACAGCAGGCGCTTTTTTCGAGGGAGGAACGCGGAGAGCACTACGGAGGCTTGCACTTCTCCCCGGCAAGGTCACAGAGGAGTAGCCGCTATGCTCAAGAGATCCAACCTCTTCAATCGAGGTGGCAAAGAAATTCCGCCAATGGATCAGTCATTTGTGCTGGTGGTTGATCGTGTCTCACTCGACGACTATATCAAAGACGAGAGCACTGGTCTCGTCCGGCTCCATGACATCGACAGCGACGGTACAATGCCGTCCATATTGTGGCGGTGCATGGCTTATATGGCCTTTTCTGAACACGAAAATACCCTCCAGACGGAACCGTGTGTTTGCGCGATCTCCAACCTGACGGACTTGAGATGGGCCTCGAATATCCAAGGCAGGATTGTAGGCTTCGGCTACGACGCACGGACTCTGTTGACCAGCTCTGACTTGAATACCAATACCATTGCTTCAGATCTGCTCGATCGCATTGACGAAAGGGCACAGACAGACGTGGAAAGAGCACGACCAATCTTTTCAATATCTCATAGTGTCGTGAACAAAGGCTCAAGAGTGTAAGTTGATGCCTGTCGCAATCTGCATCCGAGCAAACTCCATGCTAACCGCACAAATCACTTATAAATTGTACACGAGCACATGTCAACGACAGGCTTCCAGTTACTGGAGCAGTTGACTGGTACCGTGGGCGTGAGTCCGCAAGAAATGGATGTTGCCATCCACAGTCATATGGGGAATGTCGCTTCCTACCTTCGTCGTCTCTTGCGAGAATCTCGACTCCAGTCTGGACCCTCAGAGAATCTGTAATCGAGTCTCGCTGTCCACAAAGGATATTGGTGTGATGATCATCCGTGGCCATCGAGTCATTGCGACACGATACTACTTTATGCAAGCAACGTCACCGGAATGGGAGCTGCTCACAACAAGAAACTACCGTCGCCGTAGCACAACTGTTTAGAGGCTAAGCAACTGACTGATAATGGTAAGACATCAAAAAGAGAAACAGTCTCAGGACGACTGGCGATTCCGAATCACTCTCGTCTACCGATAACTGCCACGAAGTAACGGAATCTCTGGCCATACACAAATGACGAATCAAGACCCGGGTACAGTGGGTGGGCAAGCCGCGGCATTTCAGTCCCGAGCACACCTACTCGGAGGCGGAAGATACTTCGGCTATGACGTCCATATTGGGGCGGTTATCCCTGAAATGGTAGTCCGATACGAGCTAACACGAAAGACTTGGCAGATCAGGTATAGTAGAAAGTGTATATGCACCGGATCCGTCACAGCCAAGCTTTGTTAAGTGAGTGGGCAAGAGCTTGATCGCTGCCTAAATACAGTCACCATCGGCTGAAGCTCTTCTGAATCCGAATCTTCCAGCAGAGGCTCAGATAGACCCTGGTCCAGGCCCGAACGGTTGAACCTCGAAGTCCATCCCGCATTCAAAGTGGCTTGCAGCGCACCTCTAATCCGGAGAGTGTGGTGACCGGCCAGATACATGCTAAGTGACCTGGTCGGTCTATACTATGCGCAGAAGAGCCGTGCAACTGCACTTGCTAGAACAAACCCCGTCTAACGGGGCAGATCGATCAGCACTATCCTCAAGGCCTCACAACAAATGATCTGAACTTTAATTGTGCGATGGCATATTCTGGCCACTTATATCACTGTGCGGGAGAGGTGCCGTGGGGTTCTATTCTAACTTTGGCGGGCTGCCTTTTCCAGAGAGCTTCGCTGATCAAATTGTGCCTAGTAATGTCTCCGGGTATCTAGATACGTGGGGTAGCAGTTGTGTACCTGCAGACGATCCTTTGGCATCCGGCGCGCCACAAAGTGGCCACGAGTAAGTCAGCCGATACACCTATTGGCGGAGTACTGACAGAACGAGGGTATCTCTGGTCAAATAACGATCTGCACTCAGCTAGGTCGATGTAGCCGTGGCTGTAGAGAGTCCACAATGCGGAAGCATAGCGCTGTGGACGGCAAACTGGGCTCAGATCGACGACTCCTTTTGTTCATTTGTGTCAAATATTCTGTCAGTGGCGTCGCCTATGGAGCAAGTAATTGTTTCCCGTCGGTAACATCAAAAGAACGTGACCGTGACGTTAAGTATACATACTGACCATGCCCTGCGAAAGGCGATTAAGGGTATCTGCTGAAGCTTCCCTTTCATCGTCAATATGAGGTCTTTATCCGCGACTGTGCTTGTAGCATTTTTGTCTACACGAATTGGACATGCCCACGCAGTTCCAGCTATAGCCCAGCGTCAGGAGGGCTCTGCCTGTGCTGCTATAGATGCTCAGATCTCCAATTCAATCCAAAACAATGGTTTGTGATACTTTGACAATTGACAATTTCGGCCAACCAGTACATATAGGCACCGGCGAATTGAATGCGCAAGATGCGTACGACTGTCTCCGAGCTATACCTTTCGACGCGGGAAAAGGTGTCACCTTCGTTCAAGAAGCACGGAAGCATCTCGAGTGGCAATCCAACATCGATTCTCTGAGAGGTCAGTCAACCAGAGACGACAAAACCCTCCCATTGACCACCTTCAGACCCTCCTTCGCCTGCTGCGACTGCCTTCGGCCACGTAGATCTGCTACAAGGTCTGTCAGACATTGAACAAAAGGCTCAAGCCAAGGGCTACGCTAGTCAGGTCGACTTTGACACCGCAATCAGAACCCTACTCAGCTCTGCTAATGATGGACATCTTGGTATTGCTGGCCTATGCACAGACAGCATATTTTCCTTCCGTTTTGATACCATCCTGGTCTCAGTAGCCAACTCTAGTACTTCCGCACCAGGGGTCTACGAATATGGTAAGACCAAATAGCCCGCTCCCGCGTACGCGTACTGATGCATCATTCCCAGACTCCCTCGGATCGGGGAATGATAGCGACACGGCCATCTCACCAATATCAACCATTGACGGTCGCCCTGCTGCTGAGTTCCTGAGCGAATACGCCTCCCTCATAACTTTGCGAGATGCTGATGCGCGGTAAGCTCGCAAGATACTGGGTAAAAGCATGCCTGTCTGACGTGTTTGTCAGATACAATGCGCTATTTGCGTCAGCCGCACGTCATGGCGGTGTACAGACCCTGCGAGGAATGTTCCGGTCCCTGAATACCCTGTGGACTGGATATCCTGTTCTTAACTATACATATGCCAACGGCACTGAGAGTAGTTGGCATACGGCGGCTTTTCTTAACAGTAACCCAAGCCGGTGGAACTATACTACCGGTGATGAGCTCTTCGACGCATTCTGTGCGCCGGCAATTAAGCCATCATCAACCTCTAACGAAACCACATCATCGAACTCCACCAGTCCGGAGGAGCCGTCTACGGCACCCACTCAGACAGCTTTCTCGGAAGCATATCCCAAGCCTGTTGTACGCGATCCATTCAATACGCTTGCAGGATTCTACCTTCCTGCTCCATATGACGATACTGCGGTGCTCTTCATTCCAGACTTTCACACCGATGGCGAAGACGTCTACACAGGATTAGCACTACCGGACGACGAACCAGCCAACTTTGGAAAGGCTGCCGCCGAGTTTATCTCTCGTGCCAAATCCGACAAGAAAATGCGTCTCGTCATTGACCTCACAGGTAACGGTGGCGGGACCAGCCTCCAGGGATTCAACCTCTTCAAGCTCTTCTTCCCCACTACGCCGATCTATAACGGGAACCGCTATCGCAATCACGACTTCTCACGTCTACTCATGAAGTCACTTGACACTTACGGTGAGGACTACACTGACGAGTTCACTTACCCTCTCGCCCGCCACTTCGCCTGGCAAGGTCAAGTCTCACCAACCCAAACTGCCCTGGACTGGACCTCATACCGCAATTTCACTGGTGGAGAAACGTCGAACCTGACCGCGCTCACGTCCTTTCAGAATTTTACCGCGAATTCAAACCCGGCTCTTCCAGTTCAAGGCTACTCAAACGCCACCACAACATTCACATCCGCGCCTTTCGCACCAGAGGACATCCTGATCGTCACGGACGGCTACTGTGCCTCTACCTGCTCGATCTTCGTAGATCTGATGACCTCGCAAGGTGGCGTAAACAAGACACTTGTCTTTGGCGGTCGTCCACCTTCCTCCTCCCGCGAGTCCAACGAATCCATCAAACCCATGCAACTCGTTGGCGGCACTCGTGGCACCGAACAATACGACTGGGCCACCCTGGCCGATGTGGCCGGTGGGGCGCTCGACTATGCCCAGGAGCGCCTCAACGCAAGCAAGCCCACGCTATCAGAGGAGGAGATTGCACGGTTCAAGGAGCTGATGCCCCTTCCACCCTCTGAGTTCCCGCTGCAGTTCCAGAGCGGTAGTGTGAATCTGCGCAACGGATACGACAAGGGCAGTGATGTGCCGTTGGAGTTTGAGAGCCTGGAGGCGAAGTGTCGCCTGTACTATACCAAGGAGAATATTCTGGAGCCCGCGACAACCTGGCGGGACGCGGTAGATGCGGTCTGGGGCGGGAAAAGCTGCGCAGCTGTGGGCGGTGGTGGTGTAGATGGAGATCGATCGCAGAGTCAGTCGAGCCAGGATGAGACGCAAAGTAACAGAGCCTCCGCTATGACACGTGGAGGTCCAGGAGTCGGGGCGGCCGTATTGTTCACAGCGGCGTCCATTGCTGCCGTCGCAACTGTACCGGGGTGGTAGTGTGTTAGTATACAGAACCACAGCAAACGCGAAGTATTCTTCTTCTACCCGTAGCATGAGCCTGGGCGGCTTTCTTCTTCTTCATCCGCCCAGTCTGCACTTTTCTTGCCCAGTTGCTCGCACTTCAAGAGCCGCAAGTCGCCAACATGGGTCTGCCATCCGTACTGCAAGGACGAGTACCACTCTCGTGAGCAGTATGGGTGTCGCTTGAGCCGTGGACTCCATGTTCCGATGCTATCTGAGTGCCGAGCGAGACAACAGGGATTTGCCAAGGTGAAAACACTACTGACCTGACGGTAGTAACGGAACATGATGTTTGGCGTAGCTAGAGAGTTGTATAGGGAATGCAGAGCACATAACCGACTCGGTCTAAACAAGCCTCCTTGATTGGAGTGTGGCGGTATCGGCCCGGCTGAACGGGCAGGCGGGCCAGCCCGCAGCCGGTCGGGAAGTGAACAACTGACGTTTTGAGGCCTTTTGGTACTGACACAGCAGCATGAACCAGCAAACGCGTCAGGTAGACAGCCGGATTCGCATAAGCGTTGAATTTCATTCGCGCGCTAGTTCTATGGAAATAGGTATAGATAGATAATTACACTGACACGTTCGATTGCTGGCGGCGGCACGATCATTGGTCAGCAGTACACGAGACGATACACCGCAGCATCGTCTTCCCACCCCAGTCCGCCGGCACGAGCAGCTAGGTACGCTCGCCTGAGAAGTCTTGCGCGTCATTTCATCACAACCTACTGCCACGTACGCATCTCCTAAACGTCCCCTTCCTCATCATCCAAGCCATCACCAAGCAATTCATCATCCTCAACGACCTGGCTGTAATCCTGCCGTCGATTCGCAAACGCGTCGCGACTGCGATAAGGCCCTTGACCTCCCAGACCAAAGCGTCCTCGACTGCCTCCACCACCACCAGACAGGGGCATGAACCCCTGTGCGCTCCGCCACAAACTCGTTAGTACCATCGGTATCGCCCGCGAAACCGCAACCACTGCACTGATGACTGCCACTGGCACTGTAATCCATGGGCTCTCGCCAGGACCGCCGGAGCCCATCGATTCGCCTAGTCGGATCTGGCCGAACGATCCAAAGCCCTCGCGGTGCTTGGTGAAGACCCAGTAGCCGACGCCACACGCGGCCGCGATGGGGATGATAATGACAAAGAAGAGCCCTGCGCCGCTGAGGCCGTGCTTTTTGTTGAACTCGTCCTCATGTCCGGGACATGGCTGCGCGACTGTCTTGTCCAGCTCCTGGCCTCCCTGGCACGTGGTGAGGGGCACACGCCGATACCCGCTGGGGTAGTAGTACTCTTCGCGGTCCGGATCCTTGGCACATTGCTGCGCATGATCCGGTGGGTCGAGGCCCGGCACGAGTGCACAGGAGCCGTCGGGCTTGAGCTGATAGTTATAGTCGCACTCAAAGTCAGACCTGGTGCAGGAGCAGTTGGTCTTGATGTTGTGCAGCTGGGGCAGGGGAGCCTTGCCATTATGGCACTTGGCATCCAGGCGTTTGCGATGGTACTGCGCCACGTGCCCAAAGAGGCAGTTGTCGGACTGGAGAGGGTGTTTGGGCTCCCAGAGGAAGTAGTCTTTGTTCTCAGGTTTTTCTTCATTGAAGTCACAGGCGCGCTCCCGGTCCTGTAGCGCAGAGAAGTCCAGCGCCACTGTAAATATGTTCTTGCCGGAGCCAACTTCTTTACCCCAGAGCAGGAAGTTCATACTGCGGTCGGAAGGAACGGTTGTGATAGCATCAATCTGCATATCAACCTCAGAGAAGATGTGTTCGTTCCACGAATCACCTTCGTCAAGAGTGTAGAGAAGCGCTCGGGTCGGTGTGGACTCTTGCACGATCACGATGATGGAGCCCTGATCGCCGTACTCGAAAAGGTATGAGCCCTTCTTGATCGACTTCCACGTGATCCCCGCGTCTCGGGTGATGAATGTGTCAGTAGTATCGTGGTCGCGCGGTAAAAGTTCGGACCCGACGTTACCAACCCCGAGCATCACACCAACAGCGCTTGGCGACGAGAATGTCGCACTCTTGTCGCTGCGCTCGGTGTAGGAGTGGAGGTGCAGTGAACAACCCTCGGTTGCTTTGTTGGTCTCTTTCACGCATTTGTAAGAGCCGCCTTCCGCGCGCGCTTTAGGCGGAGGGATGTATCCCCATTGCGCGCCATCATTATGGGTGATCATAGACTTCAGCTTCTTGTCGCCGCCCTTTTCGACTTTATCAATGTTAGACACAACGTTGACCATCGCGACACCCTCAAGACCGTGCATCTTCTCAAAGTCGACAAAGCCGGCAGTATCGCGGTTCACCCCGTTCAGAGTGAGCACATACGAGGTACCGTTACTGTTCGACTTGAGGATGCTGCCATACTCCTGACCGTGAGTGGGATTGACAGTCACGTGCAAGAAGACAGCGTGCGTAGAACTGTCCATCACGGTGTACGCCTGCTGAAGGTCGACCTGGAAGTTCTTGGGGAAGCGTGCGGCAGCAAAGGTGCGGCCATCAACACTTGCATCAACTTTGAGTCCATTTCCATCTTCCTCTTTGGCTGCAACGATGATAAACTCGGACATCGTTGCATAGGCCAATATGTCGTCGAAATGGACTTCGGGCGATTCGCGGAAAAAGTCATCGCTCGAGACAAGTTGGAGATTCTTGGACGGATCCTCGGCCTCGTACTGTTCGCAGTATACAAGCTGTTTGAGCTTCTCAGCCTCTTTCTTGTCCGACATGTTGTCATCACCCTTGGGAATGAAGTCACACGAGCGGACGTAACGACGAAGAGTCTTCCAATCATCTCCTCGATCCTCGGACCAGAAGACATTAGTGTGGTCATCGACTTGTCCAGACCAAAGCAGCCAGTCCTTGTAATCGGGATGAAACTTTAATTTTGGGTAATCCAGCTCGCTCGGTTTCTCTGGCGCTTCGAACTGATCGAATCGATTGCCCCGGTCGAATGTGTAGTGGACGGTTTTGCCCCTGGTCAAGAAGTAGACTGTCTCAAAGAAGTGCGGGTTTGGCACAATCTGCGTAATGTCCTTGTGCTTGAGGATCGGTGCCCAAGTCTTACCATGATCTTTGGTCAGATAGATCTCACCGTCGCTGGTGCGCAGGATGAGCGACTCATCCTCGCTGTTAATGTTGCCGCCCTGCTCAAGGTAGTACCATTCTGCGAACTTTTGGGACCTAAACTCGGTTTTCTCAACCCCGATCTTTCCGGTTCCCATTCCGGGTTTTGTGATCGATTCATCGCAAGGCCTCTCAATATCTTTGTCGAGACTTTCGCCGCCATCACGTTCGCACTCATTGCCCGGAATAAGGCGCCATCCAGAGGATGCTTTAAAAGTGTCATCTTTGCTCTTGCAGACACCTTCCGGCACAGATATGGGAGCCGCCGGCTTGCAGTCTTTGCGATCATCTGATCGTACAAAGTTGAAGTCACACTCGAAATCAGCTTTGGTACACTTGCAGGCCTCGAATTGGGGCTCCGGGTCTTTGAACTCTTCGTCGATGAAGCAATCTGCATCTGCCTTGCGCCGACGATAGAACTGTTTGTGACCCATTATGCAGCTTGTCTTACCATCCTCATCCACGCGCGCAGGCCATTTCTCGAAGTCATCCTTCTTGCAGGATCGCTCGTGGAGACCTTCGAAATCGACTTTGAAGATATGCCAGCCATCTTGTTTGACGCCCATAACCAGAAACTTGAGCGTGGTTGAGTCAGGTGCTGTGGTAATAAATTTGGCACGGACTTTGACCCCGAGGTCGGCTTTCTGCCAGTTCTTGCCGTGATCAATAGAGAACCGCAGAGTGTCAGTCTCATCGTCATCGTCCATAGCCACAATTACAGCACCTTGATTGCCGAATTCGTAGAGTTGAGGACCATCCAAAGCCTTCGTCCAGCTTACGCCTGCATCATCTGAAACAAACAAGTCGCCCTTTTCGTAGGGTTTAAGATGCTTTCCAGTGTTGCCGACACCCATAACGATACCTGGAGCCGGACTTGAGAAGACTCGTCCACCTTGTCTCGCATCCGTCACGGAGTGAAGATGTAGCTTGTCATCTTTGATCGAGAGATCCTGGAATGTCCGACCATCATCAAAACTGATCTGCGACTTGACGTCCTTGTCGGCCAAGGTGGAGCCTTCGACCTCCCTGAAGTTGTCAACCACATTGACGAGGACGATACCTTGAATGTTGGATATCTTCTCAAAATCAACGCGTCCGTGCACGTTGCGGTTCGTGTGGTCGATATTCCGGGTGAAATAAGTGCCGTTCGAATTAGACGTGAATAAGTACCCCATCGGATTCATAGGCCTCGATCCCAGAACATCAACTTGCATGCTGTAATTCGTACTCTCGAGGATAGTGTATGCGCCCTCTTCAATGCGATGCTGGCCGAACTCGCAGCGGTGCCAGTGATCACCATCGACAGTCACGAAAAGCGCAAGCTCGTCTGTACCCTCGGATTTCGCGGCGGCTACAAGATAGCTTTTGACGGCCGCCATGCTGATGACACCCGTGATAGCGCGTCCTTCGTCCAGGCCGACCTCGATTCCCGCGTGACCATCGAAGTAGTTGTCTGACACAAGCAATCTGTTATCCGTCTGCCAAGGCGAATAGAGTCCCTCTGCAATACAGAAGATCCGGTCCTCGTTGACATCTTCCACACCTTTGCCAAATTGCTCAGTACCAACCGCCCATTGACATCCTCTTGTCATGGTGCCCATGATGTGGACAGTCTCGAAGTCGTCATCGGTATAATACGCAGCTTGTTCGCACAGGAAGCCGGCACAGGTTTCTCCGTTCCAGATGACCTTCTTTGCGTCGCGCCCGTGAAAGTTGAGGGGGCTGGCGCGAAAGATGTCAGGACTGGACTTGGAGTTGAACTTTCGCCACGTCTCGCCGCGGTCGGTGGTGATCCAATGATCCTCGCCAGCGCCGAGAATGTATGCCCTGTGCTTGTCCCATGGGTGCGGCCATAGATCCCAAGCTTTGCCTTCTTGCCCTTCGCCCTCGACTTTGTGCCATGTTTCACCAGCGTCGGGGCTGCGCCAGACATCGCCGGCGTCTGCGTCACGGCCCAATATTACATCGGAGTCGTCGAAGTAGAACAGGCCTTCCAGGGGCTGCTCAAACTCCTTGCCCGTAATCGTTGGGCCATCTTTTTTTGCATAGCTGCCAGGAGGTAGCAAGGTCAAGATAAGGCATGCAGCCAGAAGGGTGGCAGCCACGGACTGATATAGGTATCGGATTATCATGATAGCGACATGGGTGCTAAGGTTACAACAAGGAAAGAAAGGGATCGGGATCCGCAATTCAGAAATAGCTATGGTACAAGGCGCTGATAGTTGGAAGAGTAGTGATGGTGAATACAATGCAGCCTGCGGCGCATCCGATCTGGCCTGAATGACGCAGCCTTGCGTCAGCCTCGTTCAAGTCAATAAAGTCGCACCTGTCCATGTACGAACCTAACTACCTAGGCAGGCAGTACCTAGCTGCCACAACCTTCCAAACTCGCGAGCAACATAAAGATTTTCTGGATTACTGTGAACTCATGTATCTTCAGACGAGAAGTCCTCAAGTAGTTCTCATTGAATATGTGTAGCTACAACCATGTTCGCTACCAAAAGCGTAGTTGTTCTCCGTGCCTGAACGCCATCGCTCTCAATTGGGAAACCAAGCCAACCCCTGTGGCGGTCGTCGACATTAGGGATTATGAATCAAAAATATGCTCAAGCCATCTTCAACCTTCTCCAGAGGTTCTTCACTCTGGACGGACGAGGCGCTGGTAGCTCATTCCAAACCGCTGCAGGGTTGTCAAGGGGCGGTAATGGTGGTTGCTCGAGTGGTTGTGCATTGATATGTCGTGAAGATGGACGATAGTCGGATGGCGAGCGTAGATCAGGCCGAGTGAGAGTCATATGAATGGTCATCTCACGATCAAAGGTGGTGGAGTGGGCATAAGGCTCGTGGCGCACGACTTGTGGCTTGACAGAGGTACGGTCAACACTGCTCTTCTGGGAACGTCGGATTTCCCGGAACTCGCTGTCATCAGGAGTTCTCGGGTCTGGAAAAGCGTCGCCCTGTGAAGAGCCATCATCTCCAGCGAGCGAGGGGGTGTCATCGGGTGAGAAACTCCGCCCTGAGTCGTTGGTTGTGCGTGGGCTTGTTTTGGGCCGCTCTGAGGCTTTGCTGAGCTTGTCCTGCATAGAGGGAAAACCGAACTCGACGGCCTCATCGAACTTTGATGGACTGGCAAGGTATACCCGTAGCTTCATCCGTGCCGCAGGGTCTTGATAATGTGTAGCTCTTGGGTCGATGCTTGAGACTGACGATTTCGTGCCATGTTGCATTGACTGTCGGTTAGGCGTAGCAGGAGCTTGTGCGGGTTTGGGGGGCACAGGCGGTGTGGACCCGCGGGTCACCGATTTGGTGGGCGACGAGATAGAGCTTCGTCGGAGAGACATGTTACTCAGGGATAGAGTCCGTCGATAGGACTGGCGGTGAGGTGCAGCTGCTTGTCGCTGATTTGTTTCAGCGATGGCGGTATGATAGTCATCAAGCCGCAGGTCGAGTTCATCTCCCTCATCGAGCCAGCTGAGGCTGTCCACTAGCTGCTTGGGTTCCATCTCTTCAACGTCACTTTCTTGTGGCGACCAGTCGTTTGCAGGATCACGTTCAGAATCGAAGTCGTCGAAGGAGAAATACCGTTCCGAGCAAGCGTCCGAATATGAAGTGTGCGGTCGCAGAGTGAGAGAGGCGCTATCTAGAGGTGCGACCTGCCTCTGCAGTAGCTCATCAGCTGCGTCAAGGATGACGGTCTGACGTTCGTTGGCAAGCAGGACCTGCTCCTCTTTGGAGAAGTGCTTGCGCCGTATAGCAGAGGGTAAGGAGGCGAACCACGCGGCTGTGTCGGGGTTGACTGAGGTAGCAGGTCGGCGACTATTGCTGCGAGGCAAGCGGAGTTTCGCGTTGAAAGGAGGGTGGAAAGCAGTGAGCGGAGGTAGGACGTCGAAGGACGATTCTAGAAGGGTTTTGGTTCTTTCAGAGAAGGTGGACCGCCGGTGAGAGTGTCCTCTGGATTTCGGAGAGTAGTGGGAGCCATCGTGAGCCAGGCGAAGGCGTTCCAGGCTCGAAAAGTACTGGTACCAGGCACAAGAATGTTAGCTAATCTAGCCCGTGGACAAGCGATCAACAGAGGTTAAAGAGAGTTTCAGATGTTTTGCGCGTGGAGGAAGACGCGGCCGCATTGGGCAGTGGTTGACGGGCCTGGGGATGGGGATTGGAGAGATAAGTGCCGGGCTGGGACCGGCGCGACGCCTAGCAGGACGCCTAGTCTCGCTTCCCCTAGGGGCGCTTGCGCAAGGGCAGCCAGCCAACGCGACCCCTTTGCTCATCATCAGGCGTCGCCACACGTTGTGCTGTGGATTGGAGTGTGTGATGAACATTTGCAATTTTGCCACACAAGCAAGCGACGACTGAAAGATGACACGAACTCACCTTGCGTTGCAGAGCTGGTGGGAGAGCTTCGTATTCCAGCTCGGTGATTTGGTGCGTTGGCGTCCTAGGCATACTGACTAGTTGCTGGGGCGTCGTGAGCGATGAATGCGGCGCTGGAGCGTGGCGTGACTTCGAGTGAAGAGTCGGTCAAGGTCATGGCCTGGAAAGTACGGGGACGAGGACCATTTCTGCAGCTGATGGCGCTTTTCGATGGCTGCAGAACAAGCGACTCTGGCATAGGCAGTTGTGGGTGCCGTCTGCCTTGGACGTGAAATAGGTGTCTTGGTTGACGAGGTTTACCGAAGCAATAGCATCCGGGGAAGTTCGATAGTGATTCAATATGAACGAGTCCGATATGATTGATTTACAAGAAAGTGTCATGCTCCTGGGCACAGGAGGCTCTTGCACGTAATATACAATTCCCGAGAAGCGTCTCCCTTGCAATGGCTTGATAGGTATGCGGCCTCTTCCTTCCGGGCTGTCACAAAATTGTGGCACCTATGGTTAAGCGTCGAAGCATGGAGCATTCTCCCCGGGCATCTTGTTCGCCAACAACACGACCGGCGGCCAATGAGTGTGTCTGCTAGGCCGCCCAGAATCCATTTCAGGCCTGAAGGATATCGGCTGTTCAAGAACCTTGCGGCTCGTCAGAAGTATGAAACCTGCAGCGGTCCATCCACAGGTGATGAACAGACTGCAAGGGTTGCCGAAGGCGATAGTGCTGACAGGGATGTCCCAAGGAACCAGGGCCGTAAGAGGGGCCTACTGTACTCCATGTACCGGAACCACCGCCTGGACGATGTGGCACACGGTCATTGCAGCTGTCAATCCGACGAACTGAAACGGATCAGCTGCACCACCGCTGCCGATGGCCTTAGACGCTCCACATGTCTGGGCAGTCGAGTCAACAACGACTGAGGTTTCCTTTGTTGCGATCCGGCCATCTGCTCACGAGCTGTGCATACAGTATCAGGCCGGAGCTCGACTGGCGGGCATGAAATTGCAGTAAACGTTAGCAACGCCTCGCAGCTTGCTTCATGCGGAAAATTGACAGCGGGTTTCGGATGGCTTGAAAGTGTAAACCATCGACGCTTTTGGCACGCACATCCCGACATACGCCCATGGACACTTTGCTTCAGCAACATTGCCAATGATACAGGCTTACACGACAAGGTCTGGACTGCTGCCATATGATACGGTACTCATAGCCTCTCTCACGTCTTGAGCAAGAAGTCGGAAGGCAGCCCAATGGGGGTATGAGAATATTATTGCACCAGCCAGGGCCGGCAGAATCACTGCAAGTGAGGACAAGGTTCTTGCAGCTTCGGCCCGCCTGCCGAACACATGGCTCCTCTGGGCTTGCGCCAGGCCAGTCGAGAAGCCTCTTGTTCCCAGCTTCGTATTGCGTGGCTTTAAGGCCCAGGGAGACTATTTCTGATCGCTTTTATTCCTTCTGTGCTTCCTTCTTGTTGGACCAGAAAGCAACTCACTTGAGATTGTTCGAAATCACGTGCAGCACTCCTGCACTGGCGGTGGGCACGCCCAGCATCCCTTGGCGCACTATGTGCGGTTCCGAGTTGCAGTGCCACCGCCTCACCCTCAGACAATGCTGATGTACAGGAGTAGAAAGGCTTGAATTGGGTGGTCCGTTCCGACCTGATCGTGCATTAGTGACGCTTTCACGCAGATGTATTCTTCGCACTACTAGCCCGAGCCTTGCTTGCATTGAATGACTGATGACAGAAACGACGGACTTACCGCGTACTCTAGAACGTGCACTCTGTGAGCTGCAGAGGAGCTATCTCATCTCAGTGAACGTGTGTCTGGGTACACCAACCCTCACCCAACCAGTATTTACCCGAAACAGACGGGCTCTGAAGCTAGCCTAACGTGGCCCCTCTCCCACTTGACAGTCTTGTGGACGAAACTTGAGACGAACACCTTGCTACAACCATTCGGCCATGATGAAACCACGAATCTACAGGCGAAGGGCATGTGCATAAGCTTAGTCTTCAAGCTGACAGGCGGATTCAGCACAAGCTACGTGCATCAGCTTGAATACGATCAGTTGTTCTCGACGCACGTCAAAATAGTTCTTTATGCATGACCGGTCCGATCGGACTCGAGGGCAGGCAACCTCGTCGTGTCCGAAGCTGCCCTCGGCTACGCCCTGCAGCTTGCATGTCCAGCTCCATCTTGGCGTGGCAATTAGGTTGATTTCCCCAGAAACCACTCTTGCATCATCGCCCCTGGGTTTTGTCAACACCCGGGCCGAAAATATTCAGCCGAAGTGTATCGGGGGGCGCGTACCAATAGCGGTGGGCTATCCCCCTACCAACGCCCCCACCATCTGAGCCGCTAACCCTTTTCTTCGTATTGACAACCGCTCGGCGACGCGACCAGCGCCTCCCGGCGACTTCAAGATGACCATGTCTCAAATTACTTCATTGCGGTCGGCCGCCTCCCTCTCTCTCTGTTCCACGGTGGACACGCGCATATTCTGATTCTCTGTCTCAACCCCGTTATATACATTCTATCCTCTAATCCTTGAACCCGGCCTACATCCACAAAGATGCGCTTCTCCCTCGCTACCATTTCGTTCTACGCAGCCCTGGTCCTCGGCCAGGAGAATGCCATCAACATTCCCAGCGGCGAGTCTACGCTGGACGTCACCGCTGGCCAGCCCACTACCATCACTTGGACCAACCCCTCTGATGGCACCGTGACCATCCGCCTGCAGTACTCTGGCACAGACCAGCTGGCTGACAGCGGTATCGTCGTTGCATGTGAGCGACCCCTGACCGCGCGTGGTATCTCTTATTAATGCTGCACAGCTTCCGTTCCTGCCGCGGCCGGTAGCGCATCATTCACCATCCCTGCCGATGCAGTAACTGCCGACGGCTCATATACCCTCCGCATCACTGACGACGAGGACCCAAATAACTTCAACTTTGCTCCTGCGTTCACTGTCGCTGGTGCGGAGGGAACTGCCTCCCTTCCTGCGTCCTCGGGCGCATCCACTGCCTCCGGCTCCTCCACCGCTAGCGGAAGCAGCACCACTGACGCTTCTACCACTACCGACTCCACCTCAAGCGCCACTGACAGCTCCACCACCGACGATAGCAGCACCAGCTCGACCAGTTCGCAGTCATCACGCACCAGCAGCAGCACTGCTGCCGCCGAAACTACCGAAGCACCTGACAGCGGGAACGGCGCCATTGGGCTACAGGTGCAGGGCGGTTTGGTCGCTGCCGCGGCCGTAGTCGCCGCTATGCTGTAAGAGCTCCGCGCGATCAGACAACCAGAAAAGCAGAAACTTTGGCATAAGCGCGGTCGGGAGGTGGAGCTAGTTTTCCCTGGCGCACCTACCATTTGGTTGTTGACTATCGAAGAGCACAGAATTGTACATCTAGTTGACTTGGGAAAAAAGGGGTGGCAAGCTGTACAGCTATCTTTCGCTTCAACTGCTGTACCTTTCTACATATCTCACTCATGGTCACGTGGAGCAGCGAAGGTGTTGTCATACGGGCGGCAGATGCATTCAACAAAGATCTTCAAAACTTGTTGCTCATGTGTTTCAAGTGCTCTTCTCGCTGTGCTCTCTGATGTCTACTTTACCCCAATCCTCCCAAATCACCTTGCCTTGGCGTGAACAACGTTCTACGAGCCGTCCGCGATCCATCGGGTGGGATTCAGAGGGTGCGGCTGACGATCACTGCCTCGTGTCGCCCTGACCACCAACAAGGACACACACTATCTTCTGACGACTCCCGTGGAAATCATCTGGGCAAACTCACTCTTCAGAACCGGACCATGAACCACTGGCCACCAAATGCGCCGTTTCCCATCACCTGCCAACGCGCGCCGTCAAGCAAACCAGGCTCCATTGAACTGTACCCGTCAGTTCACCGCCTCTCCTTGCGGCTTTGCACAGCGACCCAGAATATCTCGCAGCTGACCGTGTGTGCTGCATGGTCGCCCCACGTGGACCTGCATCTTGCATCCTGTGAGTGCGTCGGCCAGCGAAGAGAGGTGCATATTGTGAACACGAGGCAAAAAGGAAGTTGTTTGATGCAAATATAGGTACAACGTGCTGCCTCTTATTGGCTGTGGACCGAACTTCGTCAGCTCGCATGTTGTTTCGGCACGGACTACCTCGAGCGGGCGAGCTGACATTTCTCTTAGGACGCTAAGACTCCGCTGGAAGCCGTGTACTATGGAAGAACTCCAAGTCCGAGTCTAGCTCCTGTAGTTTTCATTCGGGATCTTCCGTGGGCTCTACATTCTGGGGGGACTTTGGCTGATCTATCGGTTGCACTTGGCAAACGCATAGGAGTAGGAGTCTACAGCTTGAGGGCCGCGCGGTGCGATGCACTGAGTTCGACGAGGCTATCAGGTGTCCTCGGACCCGCTGATTTGGCCATTTCGAGGCCTTCGGCCGCAGCAACTGCTTAAGGGAAACCATTCATGTTATTGTTATGGTATTGCCAATCTCGCAGTAACGTAGCGTCAGATGACTTCAGTCATCGATCTGCTTTTACCAAGAGCGACACCTCAGATCATATACCTATACCCCTTCTGCAGCCGACGAGCTGTCGCAATGTCCAGGCCTTCCTGCTCAGCGGTTCTTCGCAGTCTCTTCATATCCTTGTCCGACAGTGGAACATCCTCGTTCTCCAATCTTTCAAGTTCCCGATTCTGTTTCTTCAGATACCATCGCAGCAGCAATCCACAAATCATCGCCAGACATTCGAGGATGATGTTGATGACCATAGCTGGAAGGTAGTGCGGAGAGTCCTGGACCCGGTACGTGAACGGAGTCCAAACGCTCGCCGAGTTCCCGACAGAGTTGATGAACGCAAGTGCCACCGCTCGCTTCGCTGGTGGGCGAGGAATGGATGAAGATGCCCACGAAAGCGTTGTGGCGATCGTCGATGCCTGGATCAGAAACAAGAAGCAGGAAAGGTAGCGAGGCCCAAACGTGTCGGTTGCCATGAAGACTGCGAAGCCAACGATGGCGATCGGAGCCGGATACATGAAGAACCAGAAGCGGTTGTTCAGCCGGTCCGAATAGTAGCAATGAGTGACGCTGTAGACGACCACCAACAGGTATGGTGGAGCAACCAGTACGAGCGAAATGATCCGGCTGTAGCCCAAGGTCGCCGTGAGCGTGGGGAAGTAGTTCTGGAAGCCTCCGGCCCCGACTATCGCCATGTACGCAACTGCCAAGATGTAGGTTTTGGGGTCTTGAAAAGCGAGTTTCATCCCCTTGATCTGGCTCATTGCTCCTTCATCATCCAGGTCAGCATCGGCCGCTTCCATGGCGAGGCGACGAGTCGCGATCTGGCGGAGCTCTGGAGAGAGAGCTTTCCAGGTATCGGGAAAGTCAGGGAGATAGTAGGACACGAACAGGCCGATTGTGACTGTGATACTCCCTTCGATGATGTAAAGCCACTGCCAGGCTGAGAGTCCACGTGCGCCCGCTAGACCGCTCAGTATGCCTGCGGCGATGAGATTGCCAAAGGCGCCGCTGATGAGTGATCCGCAATAGAAGATGCTCATTCGAAATGCCAGTTCGTTCTTGGTGTACCATTTGCTCAGATAGAATAGAACGCCAGGGAAGAATGGTGCTTCTGTTCGAGCGCGTTAGGCTAGAGGTAGAGAATCGGATGATGCATGCAATAACAGGCTACAGGCGAGACAGCCCACCAAGACTTACCCACAAAGCCCAAGAAGAATCTGCATGCCACTATCGAACCGTAACCCTTTACTAGACATGTAAGCGCTGAGACAAGTCCCCAGGCGACCGTGAAGAAGCCAAGATACAATGACGGCTTGCCGATGTAGTTAAGTGCCATATTCGAGGGAATCTGGGCCAGAATGTAGCCGACGAAGAGGATCGACAGTCCCACCTGATACTGGCTATCGGTGAGATTTAGGTCTTCCTGTAGGCCTTGTAGTCGTGCAGCAGGATAATTGTTCCTGTTGTGCCACGACGTCCGCATCAGTCATGGTAGTTATCGAAGATGGTGCAGAGCAAAGGTCGCGAGCATACCTATCGATATAGTTCATAAGGTAGATCAAAACAACCATAGGGAGAATCAGAGAGTCAATCTTGCGCAAGAGTTTCTTCTCCAGCATCTTCTCTTCTTCGGTGAAGGCACGTATCGAAGCCAGCTCTCCATGGTTGATCTGGGTTTTGTCGCCCATGATGACGGAGTCTTGTAGGGTCTCCTTCTCCATTTTGTATTCTTTGCAAGTTAAACGGTTCTACGCACTCGAACTGAAGAGACAGGGGGGACTCGGATAGCCATAAACGCGGGGGACCACGCGACTTATCAGCCCGATAGAGAGGCCTTGTCCTTTGGACACACCCGCGGTCCTGTGGCTTGCTTCTCCATCGCGGAGACGGAGAGTCTCCGTAATATCTAACTGCCGACGACGACGAAACATTGGCGAGAAGATGTGCAAGTGAGGATTGGAGCAAGGACAAAGCCAAGCAAGACTTACTCGCGCCTTGAGCTGTGCCAAGCATCTCACTGTTGCACCCGTGGGGTTCCCCCGCATTTTCTCCTCTCCAGTCACTTGGCACTTCCCATGGATGAGGCAGTGCTGACACGCCAGGTACAGACACCATGTAACACACGACATGGCTGGCAAACTGGAGATATCATCATCCGGGGCTAACCCCAAGTCTCTAGGCCCGACGTTGGGGTGTGAGAACATCCCACAGGACTATTGCAGACACAGACGATTCTCTGCTTGCTTCATGGGAGGCCGCGAGGATGAGTTGCTGCCCCAGACTTTGGAGTAAGGTATAAATCAATGCGTCCAGAGGTGGTACACTCCAGGACTCTTCGTTTGAGGAAGAAGACATATCTCCATCTCTGCATACTCCAGCATGTTTGCAGAGAATATAGTATCTGCATTTATACGCTTCGTTTTGTAGGATGTCTGCACGATTAATTGAACGGAACTTTTATCACACGGAAGATCCGGGATCTTTGAAGAAGTGTCACTGACAACCAACCCAATGACTGGTACCTACCACGGACCCATCAGAGTTTCAGGCTCAGCTCCAAGAGACCCTAGTATATCTTACGCCCCGAGGATACCGCGAGACTTCAGGGTCTCTCGGTCCTTGTTGTACATTCGGGGAGACTGTCTTTCTCCCCGTGCCGCAGCGCTTGGCACTCCGCTGTTCCCCAGCCCGGTACCCTCTTGTTCCGCCCTCCGCCAAGGCACTGTGACCTCACCATTGTCAGAGGCTTAGTAGGAACTCCGCCGTTCGTGTAGGGAAAGATTAGGGCTAACACAACAAGACTTTTAGGGTCATCCGATACCCTGACTACTTCAGTCGATGTCACTATGATCTTCAAGCCACCCAGCACCAGAAGAGAGGATGGAAACCCATCGGAGAATGCAAGTAGACCCTTTGTTACATAGACACAATTGTCGGGGACAAGCTCCTGCGTCCCCGTCAAGGCTGTAGTTCCGGCGTCTAGAAATGTTATATAACAGTCGTTAATGCCTTCTAAGTGTGAACATCTAAAACACGATTGTACCGGGTCACCATCACGAGTGACCACTGTGAACATGGGTACCTCTCAGAAAACCACCACCCTTTCCGGGCCGCGCCTGCGCGGAGCCATCGCCATCACCTGTGGAGCAGCCTTCCTCGTATGCTTTCTCAAAACACTGGATGACCGAGACTAACATCAACAGCTCTTCGGATACGACCAAGGGGTCTTTGGAGCCGTTGTGAGCCTTCCGTCGTTCCGCCAGCAATTTGACGAGCCGAGCCCCAATCTCGAGGGTATCATGGCCGCAATATATGACATCGGCTGCTTTGTGGGCTGCATTGTGGCCTTCCTAGGTGCGGAAAAGTTCGGTCGCAAAGGCAGTCTGATGTGGGGAACATGGATCATGGTTGTGGGTACAATCCTTCAGGCTGCGGCCTTCGAAGAGATCCAGATGATCATCTCTCGTATCATCAGTGGTATTGGGAATGGCATTAATACGTGCGCGGTATGGTTCACTTCCCGCAAACAAAGTCTTAACCGGCTCACGAACTGGACCAGGTGCCTATGTGGCAAGCGGAATGCTTTCAGGCCCACAACAGAGGCGTAAGTTTTGTCCTTACGCAGACTCTTGGAGCAGCACTAACTCACGCAGGCGATGCTCGTAATTCAAAGTGCCCTCATTGCCCTTGGTCATCCCCTCAGCACATTCATGGGGCTTGCCTCAAGCCAGAGTGAGCCTTCCGAATTCTCCTGGCGTTGGCCAATCGCCTTCCAGGGTGTGTTTTGCATCCTTATCCTCGTGGCACTACCTTTCCTCCCTGAGTCACCTCGTTGGCTAGTTGCTCATGACCGAGCCGATGAAGCGCAAGAAGTGTTCGCCAGACTCGCCGGGAGGAGTGGTCTGCCGCCACAGCATCCACACGTTGTTGCTCAGCTTAACGACATCAAGGCAAATGTCGCCGAAGAACGCCGCATCGGAGAGGCGTCATGGACAGAAGTGTTCACTGAGGGTAAGCTCCGTAATTTGAGCCGTGTCCTGCTCGGAGCTGGGCCTTACATGTTCAATCAGTGGTCAGGAATCAACTCTCTCGCCTACTTCCTGCCCATTACGTTTGAGAGAAACATTGGTCTATCCCGCCAGCTCAGTCTAATACTTGCTGGCGTTCTTGGCCTCCAGTACTTCCTGGTATCCTGGCTGTAAGTCGTCGATGCCCTTCTCAAGAGTGAGTTACTAACAATCGTCAGGCCTTACTTCTTCATGGACCGAGTCGGCCGCCGCACCCTACTGATATGGTCCTCGGCCGCCTGCTCCTTATGCATGGTCATCATTGCAGTAATGCTCCGCATCAACACGACTGCGTCTCAATGGGTTTTCGTCGCTTTCTGCTTCCTCTTCTTCGACGTCTTCTCTTGGGGCATCCTGCCAGTCTCGTGGATGTATGCCTCTGAGATCATGCCCTTGCGCACTCGCAACAAGGGAGTTGCTCTAGGAGTGAGCACGCACTGGCTTTCGAACTTTGTGGTCGTCTACGTTACTCCTCAGGCTATCGAGAATCTTGGGTATCGGTTGTACATTATCTGGGCAGCACTGAACGCAAGCTTTGTCCCGATCACATGGTTCTTTTATCCAGAGGTAAGTCTCACACCGCAGAAGAAAAGTGCAAATGCTGATCCAATGGCCAGACTGCGCGACGATCTCTGGAAGAAGTCGACGAAATCTTCTTGAACGAGAAGTTCGGCATCACTCATACTCGCAAGCCTGCGCCTAAGAGGCGACAGGAGTCTTTCTCTAGCCCAGAGTACAATGGCGACCATGTTGATGAGAAAACAAAGGTTGCGAACGAAGAAGATGAATATGCTTCGGCTCGATGATTGTCTGTCGTATATGAGTCAAGTGCCAGAGGCAAGCGTTCGTGGTCTTGGGACACACAGACCCAAACATGAAGAGTGTAGTAAAGTCCTGGAGTAGAAGTGGACTACCCAGTGGATTGCAAAGGTACAATTATATGTTGTTCATACGGGGTATGGAATATGCTCGGCGTTCCTTTCCTGCCATCTCGACCTTCTTGCGGTCTTGTGGCTCACGCATGGGCAAACGGTGATCTAAGGCAAAGGAAAAAAAAGGACATAGAAAGGGAACCACTATCTCTACGACTCTGAATCAAAGGTCCGATATCATGCCCAACAGTTTTACTGCTCCCGAAGCTCATCACAAATCTGGATCAATCTCTCCGAAGTCTGGGGTTCCTAAGTAGGCATTAGAACGGTACATCTGGGGTGGGGAATTAATGCTTCACTCACCATTGCGCTATGGCCTGACATTGAAGACCAGTATAGCTTCGACTGCGGCAGTGCTTTGTGGACTAGCCATGCCGCTCTGGGCGGACACACGATGTCGTAACGCCCTTGTACAATATAGGCTGGGACATGTCAGGTCTCTTGAACTTTGTGGAGGAAATGAATGCTTACCTGGGATACGGGCAATCTTATCCATATTTTCCTTCTTCAAAAGAGCCCTGTCACCTCTTAAGAAGTTGCCATTGACAAAGTAATGAGTCTCCACGCGAGCATGCTGCAGATTCCAGTCGTCATCATCCGCTTTCTCGAACGCATCTGGAGGCGGGACCAAGTTTGAGATGGAGATCTCCCAGTTGTTCCAACTCCTTGCTGCTTTGAGCCGTGTTTCGGGATCCTCGGCGGTCAGTAGCTTGTGGTAAGCAGCGAGGGGATCCTTCCGCTCGTCCTCAGGTAGATGGCTGAGGAATGTCTCCCAACAATCGGGAAACAATAGCGCAGCACCGGCCCCTCTCAATGTCCAATCAAACTCCCACTCCTCGCCAAGGAAGATTCCACGTAGTACCAAATGGCGAACTTTGTCCGGGTGTGCTTGTGCATATGCTAGGGAGAGGGTTGACCCCCAAGATCCGCCGAAGACGATGTCCCAACTGCTAATACCAAGTCGGGATCGCAGTAGCTCGATGTCAGATATGAGTAGCTGTGTGGTATTCTCGCGGAGCTCTGCCACTGGGGTTGACTTCCCACTGCCCCGCTGATCCAACAGTACGACGCGATACACAGACGGATCAAAGTATCTGGTGTCTTGTTTTGATGTGCGGGCGCCGGGACCGCCATGAAGATAGATCACTATTGGCATCGCGAATCAGTCTGCTTGTGCAGCATTAAATTGTAAATATTGCGGCTTACCTGGCCTGCCGTTTGGCTTCCCATATTGTGCGTAGTAGATCTTGTGCAAATCACTGACGTCGATGAATCCCTCGTCGATCAGGTCTTTGTGAAGATATCCTTGCATGGCGTTTGAGCGTTTCGACTGTGGCAGGTCAGGCTGTCCGACTTTTTGGCGGGGTATTTCGTTGGTTGGCAATTTAGGAGTGGTCGTGGATGCAGTAAAGTCCAACTCATGGGCTTGCCGCGTATCAGAGGATTTGATAGCAAGTTGATGGAGATGACCGCCTTTTTACTTTGGATGATATGAGCAATGTGTTGAATTTGTGCATTTCGACTCACCTCAGGGTAGTACTGAGCCACTTTGCGGGGCATGTTGCCAAGCTCTGATCCGCCTAAGAGAATACGCCATGCCTGACCCAACCTTGCTCATTCGTACCGCAAATGGGAGAAAATCGTCCCTCAACTTATCTCTATAACTTCTGTCTGCAACGAGCCTTCTTCAGGTGCAATAGACTCCAGCCAAAATGATTTGAAAGTGCCTGGTTGGTTCCGCTTGAACCCATAGGTTAGTTTGCACTTCTGATCAGACAGAAGCTGGATGTCAGTGACAATGAACCTGAAACCGCTGTGTTGATCCTCCTCAGCTGCTGCATTGCCCCGTTGCTTTAGCAGAACCACTTTCTCCGCCAGAAGGGCTGCGACGCGACTGTCCCAGATCCCTTCTCTCCTGTTCGACAGACGCATCAGTTGCAATGCTTCGTTACGCAGCATCGAATCGTTGGTCCGCGTGGCGATCTCAAACAGCAGCGACACAATGCCGAGTGTTGATGTGAACGTGAACGGAGCGGCTGCACGACTGAGCGAGTAGGCTCCTGTCTGTGGAGATATTGGATCTCTTGGCCTATCGCTGCCTCCTTGGACTTGAAACAGTACTTCGACGAGTTTCAGGATGCCGAAGTTGTCCGCTTTGAAGTCATCGTAGACTGTTTCGCCGTGAACAAAAACCTCCAGATCTATCTTGAGGGAGGCCCGAAATATTTGGAGAATCAGATATCCTTGATACTGGTCACCACTTTCGTTGCGGACTATGCTCTCGATTTGCGAGGCCGCGCGGCTCCAGGCGTCGAAATTCGTACGGAGAGTGGTGTATTCGGCCAGTAACATTGGTGAAACTGAGGAGGGAATCCAGGTTTCGGTCTTGTGATGTGTTTCGGCAATGTCGAAAAGGTGGATGACCTGATAAGATATTATCTGAAGATATGGCAAGGCGTGTTCCACACTTGCAAACGTGGCCGGAATGACGTCCAGGTTCTTGAGTAAATCCGGATGCCATGTGCGATATTCGTCGCTATTTGCCTCCATAACCTGCCCTTGAAGTAATAAGCATAGCTGTAATAGTATGTCGTTCGAAATGGCAGACGTGCTATCACGCGACGAGCCGGCGCTTTTCCGGCTTGCGATTATATTGACACCGGCAACGGCGTGCTGTGTAGCCTCGTCAAATCCCCCTCGCAGGCTTTCAAAAACACAGAAGACCATACATGCAATCAGAATTGAATCAAACGAGGCATCTGGCGATTTGAGCCTCACGATCTGTCGTAGGGCTTTCTGATAGTAATGCAGAGCATAGTTGATTGAACTCGACACGGCGAATGCTTGATCCAGGTAGTGTTCATGCATTTGACTCAACGCGAAGACAGCATAACGGACAATCGCATCATGTTGCACTAGCTGAGGCACGATGACGGACCAAAAATCGGATTTGAACGGCCCCTGAATTTGGTGGAGGGTGCGACTTTGAAAATGATGGAGTGTTCGCCGCTCGTAGGGTGGAAGTTGTAAAGCTGGAGCCGGTGTCTTGGTAAGCGTAAACGCCACGAACTTGGTAGGGGTAGGAGGAGGGTTTGGATCTGGATAGAAACAGGTCCTTTTGGCAGAAGTACACCGTCTGCACACTGGAAGACCCTCATCGCACTTGACATGTCTGACTGAGCACGGCGTCAATTGATGCCCTAGTTTGGCAGCAGCAAACACAAAAAGTCAAGCTTTCGGCTAACTCACGTTTGCAGGTCTGGCAGCCTTTAGAAGAGCGGTGCCCTTGGACACGTTGAAGCTTGTCTTGACGTCCTTTCTCCATGGTCGATGCAAGTAGAGCTTGGCCTACAGCCCGGACGAGACATTGAGAAGCGATGTGGATCTTGCAATGGTGAAAACCGCGCTGTGTTTTAAGGTGTCAAAACGCGGCCGACAGGGGCACGTGGAGGCCGTGTGTGAATGACGTCATACTGGGGCTTTGTCGAGTTGGTCGTCTTCGCTGCAAACAGCTTGGGTATTATTGAAAACCGCAATGTCATATAAATATCACGTCAACTTCTAAATAATCCGCAACAGTATCTCCGAGTCTGCAGCTTTAAGGTGACTCACGAAACCTCAGCATACGACGTATGCGAACTTCCTATGAGGCTTGAAAACACATGGCTCATCGTAGCACCATCAACTATACCGCCACCAGATCCTCTCAACAACTGTCCGACTTGCAAGTATTCTCTGTTCATTGGAAGTAGGGTTGTGAAGGGGTCAAACTTAATTCCTCTCCCGGGAGAAGTAAGGTAGTTGTGGATAAGGACAAGCCAAATGAGTACGGCGAATATCCTGGAGACCGAATCTACCCATCTAATGGTGCCAGCATTCATTCTACTGTTGTAAACTCCACCATTTTTGGCCAGAACATCGACTGGGCAATGCATTCGCTGTATGCTCTACGGCGCACAGACACCTAACCCTGGTTCTACGTACTTGTACAGCTTAACCAACATCAACGACCCGCTGGTCGACTTCTATGACTTTTTCAACGGCGAAGATCTTCAGCAGAAGGATCTGGTGCTATACTTGAACTTCGGCATGCATCACGTGCCAGATACATCCGATCTGTCAACCACGGTTTTTACAAACGCACAGCCAGGTGCTACAATTCGCCCGCAGAATTATTTCGCTAGAGACGCCTCAAGGGCGACGAAGCAGCAGGCTAACATTGCCGAGGATGGTGTAGTAACGTTTTATGGACAGAAGCGGGCACAAGGCCAAGTGGATCTGAATAAGAGGGAGACAGATTTAGAGACCATTTTCAAACTCACTGATGAAAGTTACCTCCCATAGTAGCTTAAGGTAGGAAGTCCCACGCCCCTTTATGTCTGCTGCTTCCTACTTTTTCGATAAAGTGGTAGAGTAACCGGTGCCCAAGCAATAGACGCTGATCGATAAAGCACGCTAGTGAAAGACCGTTGTAGACAGCTTCAGTGTTGTCTTTATACTCTGCACGTCTCCTCTCGGTTGCTTTCTCATCGTACCGAATGTGTGCGGAACATGCCCCAAGACACAAAAATACGGGGGCTGCGGCACAGATATCGGGACTTTGTGCTTTGGTTCAAGACCAAGCTTTGAGTCCCAGACAGGGTCAAAGTGAGCCGCGCCAATCAGACAACAACTGCCCACGTCGTTTGCGGAGTGACTTCCATCCGCAACCGAGCCCTTGACATAAGCCGCCTGCAGCATCAGGTAAGATGTGCCAAATTTCACAAAGCCAAGGCATGCGTCGTGACGTAAAATCAAGGTGTCGGCGGTTGGGTACGTTGCACCTGCTAAAAAGAGGGCGGGTGCTTGAGCTCAAAGACACCCCGCTTTGAAAGGTATTCATCTCACGGACTGCACACCACCATGCCTTATATCACCGTCAAAGATGGCACCGAAATATACTACAAAGATTGGGGCAATAAGTCAGGCCAGCCAGTCACTTTTAGTCACGGATGGCCGCTGAGCTCCGACGACTGGGAGAACCAGATGTTCTTCCTGGCCAATAAAGGCTACCGAGTGATTGCTCATGATCGTCGCGGGCATGGACGCTCATCACAGCCCTGGGAAGGCAATGATATGGACACATACACCGACGACCTCAATGCACTATTTGAGCATCTCGACCTGAAGAATGTCATGATGGTCGGTCACTCAACCGGCGGGGGCGAAGTTGCGAGGTTTATAGGCAGACATGGTACCAAGCGAGTGTCCAAGGCTGTACTCGTCTCAGCCACCGCTCCGGGCCTTCTGAAGAGCGACTCCAATCCACACGGTGTGGGCATGGATGTGTTCGAGTCCTTTCGTGATTCCATGGTCAAAGACCGAGCACAGTTCTTCATCGATGTGCCCTCCGGACCGTTCTTTGGCTTCAATCGTGAAGGCGCTGAAGTCAGCCAGGGTTTGATCTGGAATTGGTATAAGCAGGGAATGTCGTGCGGGTTCAAGGCGGCGTACGATTGTGTCAAAGCCTTCTCCGAGACAGACACAACTGAAGCTATCCAGAACGCCGATGTCCCCATATTGGTATGCTTTCCATTCTGTATCCCAGATCCCAAAGCCTGGTGTCTAATCTCTTGCAGGTGTTGCACGGAACTGACGATCAGGTTGTCCCGATTGACGCGACAGGAAGGCGCTCGGCTAAGCTGGCAAAGAAGGGCAAGATTAAAGAGTTTGAGGGTGCCTCGCATGCATTGCCGACCACACGCATAAATGAGGTTAACCAGGCACTGCTAGAGTTTCTTCAATCCTGACTCTGATCCAATTCCTCACTGTGGGCAGCACTGGTGAACATTTCGTGAAGAGAACGGCCACATAAATTGCAATGAAATGTAGGCAGGGATCGGCGTCCCTCAAGGGTGATCGCATACTCCTTGCGCCGGATATTTTCAGATAGGCACTGGCAAATTTCTGCCCCAGGTAGTCAATACACCATCTTTATGTAGTACTCGCTAATTGCCAATGAAGATCATCAGAACAACTCCTTGGGCTTGGAATGTAGATGTTCGCCGGGCTGATGCTTCTGGTGGGGCACCCAAGGGGAGAACTAGTCTTTTAGTACATCATTATGCCACTTCTATGCTCGCAAGCCGCCACGAGGATCATTTCCTGGGTGAACGTCAAGATGTCGCGAAAGACTCGATTATGTCGCAGAATAGCGAGTGCTGTGGCGGAATGTTATATAGCATTGATCATCATTGGTCCTGCCTATACTAGATCCAGCTCTGAGATTGCATTCCCAGCGCGATGAGGCCGCGTTAATTCGTCCCATAGCTTTGATATCCTGCTAGACGATCATTCTGATGTTCATTACTCGGAAGCTATGTACTTGATAGCCTCTCCACAGTGTCACAACCAAAATGCTTAGCCCCCTAAGCGGCATGTACGATGTACCATATACTTGGGTGCAGCTGCACCTCTGTACCTTTGTGATACCAAGTTGTCCGCTTCAGAAAACGCCACAATGTTCAAGCTGCCGGTTCTGTACTCGCTCTTACAACTCTACGCGGTAGTAAATGCTTCTGCAGTTGTTCGCCGAGACACGCTGTATCAGCCTCTCTCTACGAGATGTTCGGTATCAGACCCGCCTCCAGCGTACCATAAGTCGCTCCGGTACTTTGACGAGCAAGAACGCCAGTAGGTGTTCCTTCTGGCAACATCTGAGCAAACACTCATCGCTAGGCTAGATCGACAGCGCTCTGGAACTCGACTTCAGTTGAGAGGCTGCTCCTGGATCCATTGAAACGTCTTTTTGACCGCGAGACCGCGATTCAAGTTGACACTTATATTCACGTTGTGTCAACCAACAGCTCGTCGCAACCAGGTTCAGAAGGTTATGTGTCGGAATTGCAACTAATCAACACATTCGCCTACCTAGGAAACTCTTTCAACAGGACCGCCATCAACTTCAATCTGAAGAACATTACCCGAACAGTCAACGACACTTGGGCAGTCAACGGCGATGATTTGACGATGAAGACCGCACTGCGACAAGGATCGTACTCGTCACTTAATATCTATTATCAATCGAAACTCGACCGTAGCGGCAGCATGCTCGGCTTCAGCACACTCCCAAAGGACTACGCAAATGTCACTTCTTCGGACTTCATCACAGATGGCTGTAACATCCTCGCGAGCACGGTTGCTGGCGGCACTGAAACGGACTTCGACGAAGGTGCGACAACAGTTCACGAGGTTGGACACTTCTTCGGCCTGCTACATACTTTCGAAGGCAACACCTGCTCGAAAGACAGCTGGGGAGATTATGTCAGCGATACACCACAGCAAAGAGATGCAACTGTCGGGTGCCCACAGTATCAAGACACGTGTCCAGTCTCTGGGATTTCGATCACCTCGTCGCGTGTTCCAGGACCACAGGGGTATGCAGGGCCGGACCCGGTCCATAATTTCATGGACTACTCGACTGATGCGTGCCTTACGGAGTTTACCCCGGGCCAGACGGCCAGAATGCTGAATATGTGGGAGCAGTATAGGAAAGGCCGGTGATGGCGACGTTCGAAAAAACAGTGGTTCCAAGCTTCGACGGAACCCATAGAGCCGCTGTCCATGATGGTTGAATCTAGATCATCAATTCCGTGTAGATACGTTGAACTTTTAGTCATTCCACCTGTGACGCAGTGCACACCAAGAGAACCTAGATGACGTTTTCATTAAGAAACCGGAGTCAGTCTCGTGCCAGATAACGAAAGCATTGGGAAGGGACCCAGCACGTCGTTCTAGACTATGTCCCCTTCGTGTCTCCTTTGGCAGCAAGTAGCTACTCGACATCTTTCTGGACTTGAAAACCTCTTTTGAGCACGCCTCAATATTACCGTACTACCTTCTGTTCGAACTTCTCACTTCATTTGTGCCACCTTACGCCCAAGAGAAATGTTCCAAGTGCAAATAGACACCTCCGGACTTTGGACTTCTCACGATCTCAAGATTCTCTGCTGCAACAGCGTTTCGAACATCATTCTGCATGGTCAGAGGCCCACAGACGAAGACTCCGAGAGTCTGGCCCGCATCTGCAACCTTCGATGCTTCTTCATGGACGATTGACGGCAAGTCCGGACGGTGCCGAAGTTCTTGTTTGACAACGCTGCTTCGTCTGGAGGTTTTGTCTTCATGGAAATGCTTCTGTGCGAGAACGTCTTCTGATGAGGACGGTTCAGATCGCTCGAGGTCCCCGATGACCTTGACTGAGTTCATATGGTCATCGGCTTCACCAGTCAAGTAGACCTGCAGATCCAGGTTCGCAGGTGGATGGGTTGAAGAGTATCGTGACAGGAGATCCTTCACGGTCCTATGGAACCAGACACGGGTGGCAGTATCTCTTGTGGCGAGTACGAGTCTGAGTGATCTGGGCCTAAATTGAAAGGGTTGAACTTGACCAGCATCCTTGAAACCACCTCCTTTCTCACCGAGCTCCGCCTCCGTCCGATGCTCCTCAATTGACATGGCAAGACAGTTTCGGGCGAACAGCTCAATGAAAGGCAAGATCCAACCCGCGCCAGAGCCGCCCGCAATTACCAGTAGCCGGTCGCTGTTATGACATTTCAATGGGTCGATGCCGCCGTACGGTCCATCGACTAGCACAGGTACTGCCATACCTGGATGTTTCATCGCCTGGTTATACAGCCGGGCTGTGAAGCCGCCACGATGACGGATGTAGAATGTGATTGTGGACTTCTCATGTGGCGATGATGCTGGTAAAGAGCAGATCGTGAACGGGTGCGAGGTAAGTGCGTGAAGACCGAAGCCCCTAAAGCGTAGAAAGCAGTGCTGGCCAGGGACCCAGTGGAAATTTGCTGGGATGGTTATTCGCGTAAAGCCGTTGTCTTCAACGAAGATCTGCGCCTTTTGTCTGAGTCCGTACTCGAAACAGGTACGTAGCCATGGGTAAACTAGGCAAGGTACGTAGACAGCAGCGGTTGCGATGAAATAGTCCCTGGTTGCAAGTTAACCATACTAATTCGTTTTGTGCAGAATCGCTTAGGTCCGTGCCTGCTTACCATGAGGTCAAAGTATAGTCGCAATGCCAGAAGAAGATCAGCACGAACACGACGACGGAAAGGAAGTGCGACGCCTTGAAGAACTCATAGCTCATGCTTCTGAGAACGAGGTCAGTACCAGTGGTAGGGTGAGTGGACCCGCAAATGCTTACCGAAACCAGCTGAACGATGCCAACGTCAACCAGGCCTGGAAGATGAGAGCGACGATACCTGTCCAATAGAACAGCAAGCTCATCTCAAAATGCATGACCATGTCGTGGAATCGGATGTGGTAGACAATGAACGGAAACGTATGCATCAAAGCGAGGACGAAGAATGCATACGCGGTCCATCGGTGAAAGACTTGGAGTTTCTCATGAGGGACACCCGTCAGGAGCGTGATCCAATTCGTCTTGCTGGCAGTTGCACTGGGTTATGTCAGCATTGCTATCACTTGGGACAGGACCGACGAACAATACAAAAGGCATACATGCCAGAGCCATCCACCCAGACCGAGTTCCAAGCGGTGGCGAGCCGCCGAAATCTAGACTTGACCAGTAATATGGACTCGGGATGAGGTCCATACCTAAGAACATCAGCACTTAGTTCCAGTTTGCCAAAGGCGTCGTGTTCACTTACAGGAGAAGAAGATCGTGCCAACAGCTGCGATGAGTAACAGCCCAACCGGTGCAGAGTTCCACCGGAATGCTCGCACATGGAAGCCACGGTAAGACAAGTAGCGTACTGCAGCTGTCATCCTGCGCCATAAAGGAAAGGCTTGCTCTCCCCTGGAGCCCATTGTCTGTGATATGAGGTGTCCGACGATGAATATGCCAATAGTGCACATGAAGAACGCTATCGTGGAAAGCCCGAAGACATGGTCGGCTTCATACCTAAGGGAAAATCAGTTGGCATCTGCCCTACTATCGAGTTGTTTCGTCTCACCAGAAATGCCAACGTTGGCGATAGTACTGGCACTGCTCAGACGTGAAATCGTCACAGCTGAAGGCCCGGCTGCCATGCAGCTGGACCGGTGATGTTAGCCATGCGGCCATATTGTGTCGACCGTGAGACGTGGATGTTCTTGTTCTTCCTTGTCGAGATGTCGCGAGGATTGAGTATGGTCAGCGAGTACAAGAATATAGGCGAAGCTTTGATGGCACGAACCTCCCTATTGCTTGGAACTTCTTGCTACTGCTTATCAGGTTGAAGCTTTTCTTCGGCCCCAGGAAAACGCAACCGGCAAACCGATAGTCTGCAACTTGACTGCAGGATCACGTTTGGCAAGGTCCTTATTCGCTCAACGACGATGGTTACCAGCCACGCGAACGGGCCTAACCTTGCCAAGCTTTGGAAAACGTGCTCAAGATGGAGCGTTCGTAGGCTTTTTCGAGAGGATCGGCGACCATCAAACCAATAAGACCGAATGCAACGCCAACCTGAGCAAGTTAACAGCAGTGTGCAGCCGAGGTTCTGCGGGTATAGGCCAGAGTGCTGATGTGGCTCAGATGCCGACTTCCACCATCAGAATAAATGGTAACTTCATCTTCAGACCGATCTCGTGCTGCCACAGCTCACTCACAAAACACCCCTTAAGCGTCTAACGAAAAGATTACACGATGGACATGTCCAGTATGTCCATGTCAGGGGCGCCCAGCCCAACGATGTCGGGAACGTCGATGAGCAGCTCAACCGGAGGTGCCATAGACATGTCTTCCTCAACCCCATTAATGGGTATGAGTTCGATGGCTATGGTGTTCTTTACCTCAATCCATACACCACTGTATTCGAGTGCCTGGACACCTAGCAACGCGGGCCAGTACGCCGGGACATGCATATTCCTCATCACGCTTGCGGCTATCTTTCGAGCGCTCCTGGCGATTCGCGTGAGGTTCCACGAGATCTGTGCGATCTCCCGCCGTCGACGCGGTAGAGGGTTTGATTATGAACCACCCAGTATCGATAAGCCAACCTCTCACCCCTGGAGAGCCAGCGATGCGGTGCTGCTAGCAGGATTCGATGTCGTCCTTGCTGGTGTCAGTTACCTACTGTGAGTATCAAACATTGATGCCATACTCTCATACTCTAGTTGCGAGCTAACCTCATGTCCAACAGCATGCTGGCTGTGATGACGATGAACGTCGGGTACTTCCTTTCCATATTGGGCGGTGTTTTCGTTGGAAGTTTGGCGTTTGGTCATTTCATAGCGAGCTCGTCGGCACATTGAATAGCTTGACGGCTAGCAATGAGCAATCTCAAGTCAGTCTCTTAGTGCTTGGGTGGTAGGTTGATGACGACGAGTTGCTGCCAAGATTTTCACTGCCTGAGCTGGCGCTAGAGCATGTGTTGCGGCGACAGCACTGTGACCGAGTGAGCACGCTGATACATACGAACACCTGGAGCGGAATGGTACCAGCTTTGGTTGTATAGTCCCCCGGCAAGCCTCAGTAAATGGGTTCTCCAAATGAGTTAAAGCGGCAGACTTGCGCCTCAACACCTTGGTCGTACGTCGGCCCAATGAATGACCACGTCCTAGAGTTATAGCCAAACCGACGCTAAAACCTACTCGAAAGCAGTGTGACATGTGCGCAGATCTTCCAACTTTGCCAAATCGAGATCCTCAATCTGCTACGGCGCTGCAGTATGCTGTTGTAACTTGTCTGCTTGGCTTCGTCTACAACCTGTTGAAGTTTCGCCTCGATGTTGAGAATTAGTTTGCTTCTCAACTCTCTCAACTGATGGTTGTGGGACGAATGTGGTTGAATACGATTGCGACGATTTCAATAAAGTCGTTGTCCTGTGGACTGCCTGTATCAACCACAGAACGCTTTCTTGTAGGCAAATCTCGAATTCAAAAACGCTGAATAACCATAAGGTGAACGTGGCCAAGATGGGGTTTCGAAAATCCCAGGGTCAGCAGCAGTCACAGATGGCGCTGGAGCAAGATCCAATGCTCGAGCAGGAGCAGGTTTAGCAGCTCCAACAACTCTCAGGCGGCAGCATGACAGGGACTCCCCCACGCCATTGATGCTCATGAAACGAAAATCACCTTATCATACGGCGGGGCCGAACAGCCGCATCTCACATGTGATCGCCATCCGTTCCAGCGAGCAGACGCGCAGCGCAGGATCCTATCACGCCATTGACCTATGTTCTTCGGGAGTTGGAGAGCCACGATGATGGCATATGTGAAGACACAGGTTATCAAAAATATGGCCCCCGGTGTTAATGTGGAGTCTCTAACGTGAAAGCACAGGTGCTGGGAGTAGAAGAAACAGATCAATTTCATGTGGGGATAACATGCGCATGAATCTCTAGCAGCTAGTACAACGGATGTGGGTTTAAGTGGTGGACCAACGGAGTGCATTTGTTGGATACGCCAGCGCTTGGAGAGAGATGCTGGAGTCCGCCGAGAAGTCAGCACGCCAAGGGCACGGTTCGTTGCATGACATTTGCATCGAGAGAGGGGGGATTTCATGATGTGCATATGAAAGTCGAAATTCGCCGGGATGGTCGATAGGGGCGGATCCAAGGTGCCCATCCAGTGGACCACGCTATTGCGTTGTGCAGATGGGGCGGGTCAGTGGGTAGCACACCATGCTTTGTCATTGTTTGCCAGCTGCCACGCCTTCGGCCTGGTGGCATCTCGATGACTGATCAGATCAATCGACTGAGCACGAGACGTTGGACACATGTCGCGCACAAACATCCAGCCAACCCAGCGGCAGGTACAAAGCGATCACTGCTGGCATAGTCTCCGTACAAGCGACAAGTCGAGGCTAAGGCGCTCAATCGCGACGAATCGAACCAATACAGAGCCACCGTGCCTGATCCATCGGGACGTCCAAGTCCCAAGCACGTGTTCCACCCGTCCACCGCCGCCGAGCAAGCCTGGGGACCCAGCCAAGCATGACATAACAGTTCCACAGGATCTACAGCGGGATTTACTTTTCTTCACACCGTGAAGACTCGAGATTCTTTGCGCCTGGGGAGCTGGAGACTCAACACGCATGCCCACGGGGAGACAGAACAAGAACCTCCACCGCCATTTGTGGAATCTATCGCGATCCCCCAGGCTGTTTCTCCAGAAGCAAAGACTTGTCGGAATCCATACGGGCTCACCCGACCTCTGGTCTCCGGTTTTCTCCGGGCGAGCGTGGTGCCGGCGGAGGTCGGAATAGAGTTTAGAGCTGGCTTCCAGCCCGCACCACGATCTGGGTTGCGGGTTGCAGAGGGGAGGAGAGGTCTCTACTCGAGGTGTTTTCTTCCCCAGGACCTGAGAGCCTTGGTCGTTATCGGCGCTTCAATGTTCTGGCAGGGTGCCCGTGTGATGTACCCTGAAATACGGCACGAAATCTACAAAGACGGGACATTTGGATCCGATGGTACGCTCCTTTGCGAGATCATAACCGGCGAAAACAAGAGTTCTGTGGACTCAAGTGTAATAATTGTATACTGAAGTTAGTCACATTCGTCTCGAGCCCAGAGAATTCGACCATTGCTACGTGAACTTCCATATGCGAATCCCCCTCTGCCTGTCAAAAGACCACTGATGTCTATCCCGTCTATTACCCAGTAACAGCAATGCACCAGTCTATCTGGCGCCTTGGAACCACAACCCAGCCTCTCCCTGGTAGACCGCTTGATGTCCCTGTAGTCCTTTCCGCCAGGATTGAACCTCCCTTGTTCCATATATATCCGTCTTGATTGGTCGTCAAATCGTGTAAAAGCGTCCAAAGCGCTCAAAAACCCGCCCAACACCACGCTATGCTGAAGCTTTTGGTAAAATAGGTACAGAGAATGAAGTTGAATGTGAAAATGACAGAGCATATCAGTGGTTGTCGGTGGACTTGTACCAACCAACGTTCCATACCACATGCGCGATATCCTTGAACGTATTGACAGCATTCAAGGCTTGGCCGAAAATGCTGTTGCGTGGAGGGCCGTCATCCTCGTCATATGGCATAAACATGCCAGATTCAGTCCGCCGCAACCCAGGACCTGGTTCGTATGAGGCATCTTGGGAAGGTGCTTTCCAGGGTTCATCACTCACTTCGGGATCATCATCCAAGAGAAAGTTATGAGACGGTCTCGGAGGCCGTAAGGTTTCTTGTGATGGAGAGGGCGACAGTTTACGGCCTCCTGACCATAGCCCCGACTGGGTTTGAATCTCGGGCGGCTCGGGTGTGTCGGTTCTATATTTGAGTGTCGTAGATGGAAGAGGAACGATAGTCTTGTTGTCGTTGCTGAAACTGCTCCTCGGGGTTGTGAGTTTGCTTCGCAGAGCTGGCGCCATCATCAGGCCGCCGTCATCATCTTCATCGGACTCCATGGCAGCCACTTCTTCTGGCTCCTGCTTGGTGTCGTCATCCGATTCCACAGCTTGAACCTGCTTGACTTCTTCGTCGAACAAGACGTGCTTACACTCAGCCGGTGTAGGAGTTTCGGAGTATGAGTATGGTGTTCGTGAACTGGTAGAGACTTCGCCTTCCTGTTCGGCGGGCGAAGGTGCCACGGAGGTATTCGTTCTGGATGATGAAAGGGTGAAGGCAGAGCAATGGCGCTTAAAAGCTGGCCTGCCACCCGCTGGGCTGCTGGCTTTTTGAACCTCGATAATATCACTCACACGCTGCAGGAGTGATTGTTGTGATCTTGATCGTTCCAGCATGACGGCAGAAGCCGACTTCTTCTTAAGGTTCGACTTCTTGTTAATGAAAGAAGAATGATGAGACATCCGGCTTGGTGGTGGGGTCACTGTGGTTAACGACTTGGATCCAACCTGTAATGGACCGTATAGCCAAGTGACGTCGCAGTCCTTGAGCCAGTTGAGAGACTCAGGCGAGACGGTTTTAAGGTTCTTTTTGGTCTTGATCCATTGCCGCCAGGAAGCATTCTCGAGTCTGGTGCAGTTGGCGATGCTTTGCCTCCGCTTCACTACATAGCTCCAGGAGGCCCAGATGTCCTCTTCTCGCCATTCGTGTGATAGGTAGTCGACGTGCTGCGTAGGCTCGATCTGAACTGCCTGGTCGTCGTTGACCTTAGACGGTAGATCTGCATCGTGCGGAGTAGATGAAACAGCCGTCGTCTTTTGGGAGGGTTCGGACTTGATCGTGATACTCTGCTCCTCAGTACCACTTCCGAAGGAAGGGAAGTCCATATCACCATGGTCGTCATCCGACTCTTCCGATAGACTACTCTTGGACGAAGGCTGGGTGGCGTGGTATGTATAGCTAGCAGGAGGGTCGTAGCCTCGACTGGGAGTGGACGAGTAGTACCGCTGGTCAGACCTGTACGGGTATGCAGGTCGAGATGAGTGATAATCGAGTGAGGGTTCGTAGGAGATCGTAGAATATGACGGTGAATCGAGGGTGTTCTGAGTGAAATGATCGGCCCCGGGAAGAGGAGCCTGGAGCAGTGTGGTCATGACTGGAACATAGGTCGTATAGCGACAGATTCGAGGGCTGTATCTGTTATGAGAAGCGCCAGAGTGAAGTGTTACAGTCGCTGTTGCGTTGATTGCAGAGGAGTTCAGAGGCTTAGACAGCAGTCATAGAGCGCAGCGGGTAAGGAGCAACCGCCATCAAAGTCAAAGTTGGTGCCAGTGTAGTGCTCGTGACTGCTTGCGCTCTGGCTCAGGTAGAAAAGAGTACTAGATTGTGGCCGTAGGCAGTGGAGGCGGGGAAAGAGCAAGCCGGGAAAAGCAGGGAGCAAGCCTGGCTAAGTCATAGTGAAAGAGAGGTCCGACAAGCAGGGTAGGCCCAAAAGGTAAGGTTTTAGACAGAATGCTCAGTGGCGGCCACTCAATGTCGCAAAAGGTTAAAACAGAAGTCGACCAGAGGGGAATCCAAGTCTCGATTGACGGTGGTGACAGTGGAGTCAGGGTTCAAGGCCCTTGGCACTGGAGGAGGAGACGATGGAGATGACGGGCGTGGGGAGCAGATTGCATGGATAAAGATGGAGCAGCTGCAAGGCAGGCGTGGGATCGAACGGAAGGCGCGAGGGCAAAAAATTCAGCAATGCAGAAATCGCCCAAAGCCTGAACTCGGGCGCCGAAGCACTGCACTGCGGGGAACAAACACGCAACAGCCGTCGATCTGTGGCCCAGACCACCTCCGCGGGCAAAGCCAATCGGCAGCACTCGGCCACCTGTGCCGCTTACCATCACCCAAGGACTCCAGGCCCCAAGGGGCTCCAGGGGTCGCAACCTCTGCTATGCGCTCGCTCGCTTAACTCAAGGTCCTGAAACCAGCCAAACCGCAACCTGTCGCCTCTGGTTGATGCACAGCAAGAAAGCGATCGGCTGTTGTCATGATCGCCTGTTCATCGTCGTTAGTAGTCATGTTGGCAATGCATCGTACAATGACACATTCCACAATCTGAACCACAGTTGAGTGCTGGCTATCTCCAGATACCCCGGCAGCCGTCTCCAGCTGATAGGCATATCAACTGCCACCCCGACCCGCTGTCAGTGTCACACCTGTCTACCGCAGACGGTTGCACAGGGGTTCCACTACAGCAAGGATCAAAGAAGTCTGCTATCAACAGCTCTTTCACCATAGCTTGCCTCCGGCACCTCATCGCCTGTCCTTCCGTACACGAGGCTCTAGGTCAGCTTATGCTCCGTCAACGTCTCTATTGCGAAGTCTTATTGGGTTTGCCTTTGGTCTCCCTGAGGCAGAGAGCCTCTCAAACTCAAGATACCGCTCGTATATTCCACCTGTCGATATTGGTCTGCTCCAACGTCGCAGCATAACGCTGTGGTTGCGCAATCTGTTTGGCAGTCGTGTTCACATTGCTCCCACGTTATTTTCCGCTAAGCTTCCGTTGCATGCATAACACGACGACGCCTACGACAACTTCCTTATCGCCTCGCCCATGCCGGTCGTGTTGATTCAGCACTGCTTGCCATTGGTCTGAATTCCATCTGCTATCAGCTTGGGATCTTTACGAAGGACTGGACTCACTGGAGCATTCCCTGCCCTTTGTTAGCGACATGGAACACCCTTCCGTGCCACAAGCGTTCAATGGTCGCTCGTCACGAGGTGGCTTGTGCAGCGTGGCTGCATCATTGGCTGCCGTTTGACGCGCAGAGGTGGCTCTGCAAAATCTCAGTCTGCATATTGGCCACCACTGGGTCGCAATCTTTTATCAATCGGAATTGAAAAATTCCTTGATGTTACGCTTGATGTTAGGCTAGGGCGGATCCTCCTCAGTTGCTTCTATGAGCTCTGGATCATCGGCGATGGTGGATCGATATTATCCTCAGCCACGCAATGGGCCCCTCTTTTTTACAGCATTGAACTTCTGGCTAACGCCAAGTGACCCCATCTACAAATAGACCTGTCGCATCCATACAGTACCATGCACGGATAGGATCTTTGCCTCTGGAGACGGTGGGTATCGGCATCTTCAGTCGGGCCGTTCGCTTGGGCATATCTTGTTTTCCCCCGATGATGAGGATGCTAGCACGTTGCATGGGATAAGCATACCAAAGTGTCGAAAATTTCTGCTCAGGCCACCGATCACATATGTTGTCCCTGTCAGTCTCTAGACAGATCATCTAACATGCATGCTTCTCTAACCATAGGCGCTCCTGTATCACGATGCTGCAGTGGAAAACTCCGGGGAGATACAGCTATGATACAGAGCAACAAACTCTAACCTCGTACTGATTCCTTGTCTCGAGATTGAGCACCGCAATAAATGTGGACCAACTTCGCATGTGTATTCTCCTTGCGAATGACCAGTCGCAAATAATCCCGCACATGAGCTGCTGCTGCCCATCGGCACGACATCCACTCATACGAGCCGGAAGCAGCCTCTTCCTCACTCTGCCGGGCCCCCAAGGTTACAAGCAGATAGCCTATTAAGGTTCTCACAATGCCTCCAAAGCAAGCCATTCTGGAAGCATAACTCACTACAGCAGTACCTGAGTCTCATTAATCTCTTACTATTTACGCAGCTCCGAATTAATAACCGTCCTTACCATCGGAAGCGGGCCGTTAGCCCAACGGTTGTGGCTTTGCACTTATGCAAGCCTGAGCAGGTCGACTCTCAACCACACTTCCACCCTCAAGTTGACCATTTGTAGTCCTTTCATGTGAAAGTCGACTGCTCGTTGCCTACAGCTCGACCCACCACGCCTAAGATTTGCCCCAGCTTTCAAGCTTCAAACGAACTTCCACATGCGAGAGCTACTGCTCACCTACCCTGGCGGCTCACGAGTCAGGATACCAACCTAACATCGCCCGCACGACCTGCAAGGAGTGACGCCAAACAAGGATGAGCTTGCTACATGTCCACAGCTGATAACAGGCGGCAGGTACGGATATTCCTAGCTTGGCGAGCATAATGACCTTTCCGCGAGAAGATGCCCTGTTGTCTGCATGCATGGTTCGGTTGAAAACAGCTTTCGGGGATAATTACCGAACTTGTCGCTATCTGCTTCACGTCACCGAGCCTCGTCAAAGAGGGCCTGTTGTGAGCTTGCACCGCTGAATGCAGGGGCTGGTATCTGAAGGCGGGGTAAAACGTGAGAAGGCTGCCTTCGCTGCTGGTGCTGCAAGCCATGCAGTACAGAAGACATCTTAGTGGTCCATCGAACACAGAGCCAGGATTCTAGCCTACGATAGGGTATCCGTGAGACGCACCGGTGCTGCTCGAGGAAAGCTCGTGCCTAGATGCCAGACATAGAGCCGTAGTCAAGCAAGGAAAGATGGTGCAGAAGACTCGGAGACTGTGTGCCTGTACCGTAGTCATTAATGGCGGAGATACGATTCCCACAGCGGGGAATACAGAAGGCGCACGAGCGTTCTTGCGCCCTGTTTTCGTCTGATCAGCTATTGGAGTACGTTCACCAACGGGCTGATCTTGGCCAGAGCGGGCTCGAACAAAGCGGTTGGGCAACGACAGGTGAAGTCTGCGGAAATCCATGGGAATCCGAGCCTCAAAATAGGATTCAGTGTGTCTTCACTCCCTATACGCATTCCCCTGCTGCGAGTGTGGGGGTCATGCAGTGAGCGCGGTGGTACCACGGCGGCCAGAAGTCGTAATCGGGAAACGACTGTATATGCTTAGTAGCCTCGACGAGGGTTCTTTACATGGATCACGTCCTATCTCATTGTGATTCCGATGGACCCACGCGGATCACACGGTAAATGTGGCCATGTAGGGCAAGGCTGCTTGCGAAGTGCAGCGTCATCATGTTGGGCCGAGTTGAGATTCTCGGTCTCGGCCGATGTTTTGACCGGCCTTGGCGTCCCGCGTCTGCGTTTTGTTCCAGTACATCCTCGACAGCCCCACCGTCGCAGTCACGCTTGTTTGACGACTCGTGCATGCAGCAGTGTAGATATCCATCTCTAGCCTCACGTTGCTGATTCAGCCGTCCGCTTCAGTATCATTGATTACCTCAAGTCCAAGGTATCTAGCAAACGGCAAATATCATGGACAACGAGGGAGCCGCAGGCACTGCCGCCGCTCCTCGCCAGGTGCTCTACTGTGGAGGTGCGCAACACCATGCAACATCTGGCGGATGTTGATGACCCAATGCTGATGCTGGAAGGTATGTAGTCTGCTCACTTCCGCCCGAGGTAAGACCGTTCTTTCACCGCCGGCTACTGGCGTCAACCACTGCACCATCACTATGAAGGGTGCGGTCATCCTAACGCCCAAACACAGTATTGCGAGTTCGGTGGCACTACAAAGAAGTGTGAAGAATGGTTACAGAAGAATCATCCGGACCTCCACCAAAGGTTATACTCTGAAGGTCCGCGCATCGTAGATCTTCGGCTTGCTATATACTAAATCCCACCAGAAGCAATCAACGCCGGCCTAGCTGCTCTCTCCGTCGACGCCCAGAAGCGCGCCGAGAAGGATGCCGCAAAGAAGTCGGCCAAAGCCGCAGCTGTCGAGCAACGTGAAGCGGAGCGCAAAGCCGATGCAATGGTCTACATCAAACGAGTCGAACGTCAGAAGCGCAAGTATGTCACGGTGGTGATTGGCTTGGAGCAACACGGGCTGGATCTTAAAAAGGTAGCAAAAGAGTTTGGCAAGAAGTTTGCAACAGGAAGCAGTGTCACCAAGACGCCATCCGGCACCGAAGAGATAACAGTGCAGGGAGATGTGAGTGATGATCTCTTCGATTTTCTGGAGGAGAAATATGGAGATATCATTCCGGAGGACAATGTGGAATGCATAGAGGACAAGAAGAACAAGAAGGCTGCCGGCTGAGCAGGTGGACACTTGTTCAGGTTTCCGAAATAGAATTGTTGAAGTTAAGGGGATCATACAGACCATTGCAAACCCCAGCATCTTGATACTACTCCCGGCTCGACGGCCAGTGAGTAGTTCAAGGCTTGCCAAATTCATAGTAATACTGAAAGCCTGAACGTCGTGTTCTCACAAATGTAGATGAAATCTGCCGACTCGCCAGGCGCCCAACGTGGCTAGGACACATAAAGAGTTCTACTCTTCAAGTGTGCAAAGTTGTTTCATTTTCACACGATCGCATAAGTTGGACCTCTCACTTCTGGCCCTGACATTCACAACTACTTCAACAAGTTTAAGAGAATCCTGAGGAGAGTCTTAGTCCAGGATTGAGAGCATCGGCTATGACTTCTCATTTGGGTGCCCAGCCTTATTGGTGAGCGGGAGATCTACCAGCCTTGCGCACAGGCCACATACATGGTTTTGGCTAACTGTTCATGTTCAGGAGCGAGGATGCACACTTCTCGACCGCGACCGAAAGTCCGGCTACCCTCGACTTGACTGCGCACGAAGCCTTTGGCGAAGACGACGACGTACTATCTTTGCATGATGCCCGGACTTCGTCGCCGACATCCCTCCACGCTACGCTCACCCTTCCCATAAATCATCTCGCCGCGATCGAGCACTTGCGCGCTGCGCAGACCGTGGTACACCGAATCATGGATCTCACCAACCCCACACAAACTCCCAACGTCAGCGAGTTGCTCAAGAGTTTGGGCAGTCGTGATGATGCGACGCGCAAGATGGCAGCCTTCAAGCTGCAATCTCTCATAAACGACCCCTCCTTTGCTGAACTGTTCGTCCAGCAAGGCGGTTTGCCCATGCTACGCCTCCTAATATTGGAGAGCAGTGGTAACACCCTCGCCTACGGCCTTGCCAGTTTTGCGCGGCTTCTCGATGTCGACCAAGGTTGGGAGGCTGTGGACAATGCGGTAGTCGAAAAGGTACGGGTGAATACCTGACAGTCTGCACACGACATGACTGACATTTCCACTGTAGGTTGTTGAATTGGTCGTGTGCCAACCCTTGGTCAACATTCTGCGTGGTGCAATGGCCATTCTTGTTGCTATCGTTTCAAAACCTTACAATGAGGACCAGAGTCTTGAATCTTCCCGTCCGAAACAGCAAATCGGAGGATTTTCCGCTCTGAAGCCGGCCATCAGCACCTACCCTCAGTTCCTCGAGATGCTCGTCAGTCGTCTCTCTTCCGCTGACCATGCTTTATGCGCAAACGCACTGCAGCTCATCAACTCACTCATGCGCGATGCAATTACTAACGATCTCGAGACGGAGTGGCCTAAGTTCATCAAAAGAATTCAAGACCTCGGCGTCATTAAGGCTGTCTACATGCTGATGAAGGGTTCGGCCTTGTCTGATCTGGCTCACCCCCTTCTCGAATTTCAGAACCTAACCAAGATCCTGCTTCGTCGCTGGCGCGATGTACCTGTCGATTTGCAGAAGCCCGAGCACCGCCGGACCATCAAGGCCATACACCTGTCTAGCAACCCCGAGAAGACGCCCGGCACAGATGCTGATGCTGATGAGCCTCGTAAGCACCACCCACGCAAGTGGCGTCGCCTTGGCTTTAGCAGTGAGCAGCCCGAGACCGACTTCGAGACGATGGGATTTCTCGGCATGATGGACTTGTCAGACTATGTGCGTAAGAATCAGGAAGAGTTCCAACACTATCTTATGGAGCAGCTCATTGGTCCAGAAGACGAACGCTGTCCTGTCGCCCAGGCTAGCCTCACCATGACATTGATTCTGTTCGAACACTTCGAAGTCGAGAAGAATGAAGACGAAGAGTCTAAGGATTACATGGCCCTCGAAAGCCGCTCTCATAATTTCGAAAAGGTCTTCAAACCTCTCCTTCTACATTGGTCCCGTCTGCATGTTGCTGGCCTGTATGCCTTCTTTCGGCTTTGGAAGGCTGCAGGTGCTAAGACCAGTGACTTTACCAAGATTGCCGATGTTGTGCGCATTCTGGTCGAAAGTGTCGTGGGAGGCTCTGACCGGACTAGGACGATTGAGGAGATGGAGAAGGAGATGGCTGCCTCTGAGCTGAAACAGCTGCGCCAGCTCCAGATGGAAATTTCTGACCTACAATTCGAGGATGTTTGGGGTCACCACCTTCAAGCCTCCAAGGAAGAGCTACAGAGTGAAGCGACTCAGCTTATGAGCGAGCAGCGCATTCGCTGCATGATGGCTGGTCAATGGTTTCCTCTTGAGGACGGATACACCACCACAGACCTTGGAGGCCCTGTTCACGAGGACGATCTTCACGCCCGGGTTTACCACTATCGCTTCGTTCGACTCGCTGCTGACCGCTGCTTCCTGCACTGGGGTGATTTCGAGCAGCGTGAAGGTCCGTCGCCAACCACGGATCAGCTGCCTGACAGAGTCGACACTCGTGTTATCTCTTCTGTGACTTCTGGGATGGGCGATACAGCTTCGATGAGCTCAGGAGTAGCTGCCCCGCAAGGACAGCTCGCTAAAGTCACTATCCACGGTTATCTTCCTCGATCGCGGGACGGCCAGTCGAACCACAATCGCACCATGTCCAAGACCTCGAAAGTTTCTAGCCGCCAAGAGCGGGAGACGGTGCTTCTCAGCTTCATGCCACCCAACCAAGATAGCGCATCCGAGTGGGTCGATGGACTGCTCTTTCTTCTTAAGCAACAGCCTATCACTGCGCCGACGAACAAGTACATCAACCAGATGTCAGACATGGCGTTAAAGGTTCGCTTGCTGAACTTGCGATACAACGAAGAAGACGGAATGATTGGAGGAATGCAAGGTACGGAGATGCCACAGCTTCCCAGTCGAGAGGGTCTGGACGAGGACTACTACTACCAAATTTGAGGCAGCGATGCCAAAGAGAGTTGAGCAGATGGTTGCAATTGGCGAGCCCCGAGGTTGGCTAACTTGTTTTTATGATACCCCCATGATCAGGTCCTAGATAGTGCCCTGCATCAGCAAGTGACGACAGATACGGAATGAAAATCAGTTGATTCTCAACAACTCATCGCCTCTTCGTTTCTTCTATAGAGACAACTTGTGTCCGGGCGGTGAAGCCTCGCGATAAACCATCTGCCCCTCCCCCACCAATCGGACTGAGCTGGCGGGGTCTTTGCCAAGATTTTGCGAATAACTCCAAAATTTTTGGGAATAAGTCTTCACCTCGAGAATCTGCTTTTTCGTGCCAACTGCGACCTGCGATTTCTGTACCCTCTTACCTCTTGTAGCCCTTAAACTATCCTTTCTTACCGTCAATATGGCTGACGAGGTCTACGACGGTGCCATTGGCATCGATCTGGGTACGGCACCTTATTCTCGCCTTGCCCGACTTGTGCGCAGCGCAGCTAACGCCTCATAGGTACTACCTACTCTTGCGTTGCCAACTACGAAGGCACCAATGTCGAAATCAGTATGCTCTTCGACCTGTCGGATCACGATTCAAGTCCTATACTAACAGCGACAAGTTGCCAACGAGCAGGGTAGTTTCACCACTCCCTCTTTCGTTTCTTTCACCGATGAAGAGCGCCTCATCGGTGAGGCGGCCAAGAATCAGGCTGCGATGAACCCCGAGAACACTGTCTTCGATGTCAAGTATGTATTCTATGGCCTATCTTCTGCGCAAAGTCTGACAACTTTCGCAGGCGCCTGATCGGCCGCCGCTTCGATGACCCCACGGTCAAGAAGGATATTGAGTCATGGCCATTCAAGATTGTCGACCAGGGCGGCAGCCCCATGGTCCAAGTTCAATATCTGAAAGAGACCAAGACCTTCTCCCCTCAGGAGATCTCCTCCATGGTTTTGACCAAGGTGCGCTCTGTTCACCCGACGCAGAAGTTCAAGCTGACACCTCATAGATGAAGGAGGTCGCTGAGACCAAGCTCGGCAAGAAGGTTTCTAAAGCTGTCGTTACTGTGCCTGCCTACTTCAACGACAACCAGAGACAAGCCACCAAGGATGCTGGCGCCATTGCGGGCCTCAACGTTCTCCGCATCATCAACGAGCCTACCGCTGCGGCCATTGCCTACGGTCTTGGGTCTGGACGGTCTGAGAAGGAGCGCAACGTCTTGATTTACGATCTCGGCGGTGGCACCTTCGATGTGTCGCTCTTGAACATCCAGGGCGGTGTCTTCACCGTCAAGGCTACCGCTGGTGATACTCACTTGGGTGGTCAGGATTTCGATACCAACCTGCTCGAGCACTTCAAGAAGGAGTTCCAGCGCAAGACCAAGAAGGACCTTTCAGGTGATGCCCGTGCTCTCCGAAGACTCCGGACTGCTTGCGAGCGTGCCAAGCGTACCTTGTCCAACGGCACCCAGACCACTGTTGAGATTGACTCTCTGTTCGACGGTGAGGATTTCAACGCTCAGATCACTCGTGCCCGTTTCGAGGACCTGAACGCCAAGGCTTTCCAGGCCACCATCGACCCCGTCGCCCAGGTCCTCAAGGACGCTAACATCGAGAAAAAGGCCGTCGACGACCTTGTACTTGTTGGTGGCTCCACCCGCATTCCCCGTATCCAGAAGCTTCTCAGTGACTTCTTCGACGGCAAGAAGCTCGAGAAGAGCATCAACCCCGACGAGGCTGTCGCCTACGGTGCCGCTGTTCAGGCCGGTATCCTGTCCGGAAAGGCTCAATCAGCTGAGACCGCTGACCTTCTCCTTCTCGATGTTGTTCCTCTGTCTCTTGGCGTTGCCATGGAGGGCAACATCTTTGCTCCCGTTGTTCCTCGTGGTCAGACAGTCGTAAGTTTTCTTCGGAGTCTCCCTTTTTCATCTCACTGACTTCACCTTAGCCCACCATCAAGAAAAGGTACCAGAATCCATTTCCTTTACTCTCCCCTCACCTTTTTCTCATAGAAACTTGGTAAGTCCGGATTTCTGGATTTCTGGATCCGGACTCGTGGAGGCCACCTGCCTCAAATACCTGGCCCAGATATTCGGACTCGTGGAGGCCACCTGCCTCAAACACCTGGCCCAGATATCCGGACTCGTGGAGGCCACCTGCCTCAAACACCTGGCCCAGATATCCGGACTCGTGGAGGCCACCTGCCTCAAACGCCCGGCCACCAATGTGGCATGTGCCCCTCCGCAAATACTGACGGCCTCCGGAAAGCTTTTCATCCATCAATCACTCCTTTCAATCCATCAAAAAGCTCTCACTTTCATCATCTCAGCATCCTCCTGCAATCGAGGACCTCAACGAGTCAATCGTTGTCTACTGGTGCCTTCCTGACCATGGCGTTCTCGGCTACCAACATGTTCGACCTTATCGTCTTCCTTACATGGAGGTGCATTTGTATGCCTGTCCACCAATTCCCTCTCTTCAAAGAGATATTCTACGCCCAAGATGTCCTTCTCAGCATCGCTTCCGTCGCCAACCTCTCATTCGCCCCCGGCCTCTTCGACGCTATCAATGCGTCTGCACCGCCAACAGTCCATTTCTTCAAGAATCTGCCTTCTCACTGCTTCAAGATATGGGCTGTGTACGTCCTGGTCTTCCAGAAAAAGGGTCATACCACACGCATCTATATCGGCTCCGGTACCAACTGTGCGGGTAGAGTCCGTACTAGGTGGACCGGATATGATAGACGCGACCCGAGCGTGATGCCTCGCTTCGTCGACAAAGCCTTCAAGGACGGCTACAAGATTGTACACAAGGGGCTACTCGTTTGGGCTCCAATGCCTGCGGCTGCTAATGTTCCCATCTTTCGTCTACTGTTCGTGGCCATGGAAGCCGCCCTTTCTTTCGTCTTCTGGGCCATGGTATCCAGGACCAAGGACTACAAAATGGGATCCGCTTGTCCATGGCCACGCAGGGCTTTCACCTATCACGGCCTGTGCAGTCACAATGCACTGCTCGATGGCATCAAAGGTAACTTCGACCTTACCCAAGAGCAACTTGAGCACATGGCCGAAGTGGCCCGGGAACGGAAGCGCAGGCAGACTAGAGAGTCGTATGCCCGTATGTACGCAATGAACCCCGAACCATGGCTGGCCCGCTCCCGGGAGTACGACGCCAAAGTCAAGGCCGAGAATCCGGAGAAGCTACTGGAAAAGGCTGCTCGGAGCAAGGAGAAGATGAGGGACCTTAAGAGATTTCATTGTGTCGAGTGCAACATGTCTCTCTCCTGCCAGACTGACTTGGACAAACACCTTAATAGCAAGCGCCACAAGCTGAGGTTCGCCAATAAGCAGGCGGGGGTCGTTCACAACTTCTTCTGCGACCTTTGTGGCTACTCCAGCGTCTACCAGACTGGACTCGATCGTCATAACACTGGGGCCACCCATAAGAAGCGGGCGGCCGCGGCTGCCAAACTTGCGGCCACCGAGTCGCTCGACTCGGACTGAATGTATTACTCATTACATCTATCTTTTCACCTGCACCGATAATTCAGCATCGCCTACAATCGAGGACCTCGATTCCAAGGACCTTCACAGGACGCTCACCACCTTCTCGTCGGCATCAATTATCTTTGCATCATCGGACTTCCCGGACCTCGCCGGACCGGACCGGACCTGCATCTCTTATGTCGTCGTCGACTACCCTCATCGACATGTACTAACATCTACACCTTCAGAACCTTTACGACCGTCGTTGATGGGCAGTCTACCGTGCAATTTCCCGTGTATCAAGGCGGCAAGTGCATTCAATCCTGAAATCTCGCTTATCTGCTAACCATTTTGACAGAGCGCACCAACTGCGAAGACAATACTTCTCTCGGCGAGTTTACGCTTGCTCCGATTCCACCTATGAAAGCCGGTGACGCTCAGCTTGAGTGCGTTTTCGAAGTGGATGTGAATGGTATTCTCCGCGTCACGGCGACCGAGCGAAGCTCCGGCCGCAGCGCCAACATCACCATTTCCAACGCGGTCGGCAAGCTCTCTACCTCTGAGATCGAGGCCATGGTTGAGGATGCGGCCAAGTTCAAGACCAAGGACGAGGCTTTCACCAAGAAGTTCGAGGCTAAGCAGCAGCTTGAGAGCTACATCGGCCGTGTCGAGGAGCTCATCAACGACCCCGGCCTATCGATGCGCATGAAGAAGGGCAACAAGAACAAGATCGAGGAGGCCCTTTCTGATGCCATGTCCCAGCTTGAGATCGAGGAGAGCAGCCCCGAGGACCTCAAGAAGAAGGAGCTGGCCCTCAAGCGTGCGATGACCAAGGCTATGGCCACCCGCTAAGTCATCCAGTCACCAAATCTTGAGGAGAATGTAAGCCGAAGTGGGCTGCCTTCATGAAGAGCTGTATCGCTGTGTGGGTGGCTCCAAACGATCGACGTGTATTGAGATCGTGGATGGCAGCTTTTGATCTTACGACATGCATTGGCATCTACAATGGTGCGCGGCGTTTGTTGCTTCCTCCTTTCCGGATAGTTACGATCAAAAAGCTGCTGCCGAGAATAGAAATCTTCCGGAGACACTTGTTGGTGTCTTCCTCTACTCCAAATTCTGCTTCTGCTGTGCGGTCTGTGCTAAACAACTGGTTGATATGCTCACGGGGAGTGCACCAGCAATTTTCAGCGACCCTTTGAAAGTTTGGATGATCCTTCTAGGGAGTGCACCCTGCTATACCGGCGACCGTTTCGAGGTTGTCTCCATTTCTCATCCCACCGAGGCATAACCACATACCTCCCATGCTCTCCCCTGACTAACCTCAGGCTCACTCTCCCCTCCTTTTCACCAAAAGCACCACCCCCTCCACCCCACCATTAACACGCTCCTCTCCTTCCTTCACACCCGCCTCCCTCAACAAGCGACCAATGTCAGCAACGAGCTTACACACCGGATCAGCCTCAGTGCCCGCCAATTCCGGATTCGCCTCCCGCCAACGAGTAATAGCGCTCCCCGTCCCCATCATCTTCTCCGCCGTCTTCAAATCCACACCAGAGCCTTCCGCCTGCCCCTCATAAAATGGCTCGGTGACTGGCCACTGTTGACGCACAAAGTCCTTCTCATCAAACGCCGGCACGCCACAGTGCCACGGCAGGGGCAGGGACGCGTACCCGCCACGCACCATCCTATTCCCCTCCTCCATATAGGGCTCGAGATTCTCGTCGTCCACGTGGGCCTCCATGACAGCCTGGATCTTCTCCGCATTGGGCAGGTCCGGGAGGGCGCGGAAATGGCTGCCGGTCCAGAGGGCGACGGTGCCGTTGGGCCGCACGACCTCGGCGGCGCGGGCCCAGAAGTGCGGCATGCTGCTGAACCAGTGGGCGGCATTGGCGACGGTGAGGAGGTCGATGGATGCGGCGGGGATGGAGTTCAGGGCTTCGGCGCTGGAGACAGTGTACTGGATGGGAGAGCCGCTCAAGGTGGTGCCGCCGAGGGTGCGTGCCGTGTCGATCATGCCCGGCGAGGGGTCGAGGCCGAGGGCGTGCTGGAAGTGGGTGGCGAGTGTGCGAGTGGCGAGGCCAGGGCCGCAGCCGACGTCCAGGACAGTGTCCAGTTGGCCGCCGGTGGTGGTGTGGGAGGTGATGATGAAATTGTAGACCGAGGGGTGGTAGTTGCGGCGGAATTGGGTGTAGGTGGAGGCTTGGTCGGGCGTGTACTTGGTGAAGGTCTTTTCGGTGGGCGCTGGCGCCCGAGAAGAAGTCGTAGCTTGTGCCATAGCAGCTGCGGTGGTCTACTCTGAGGAAGATTTCAACACAAATGATTCTCAATATACTTGAACTTGTCTAGGGAAAGTTGAATATAACAGTCGTAAACCTCATCCAGCAGGGACTTGTCTCCTTTTATGTACGTACAAGTCTCTTGAAGGTCACTCTGGGCGATTGTCACCTGATGTACGACTTTCTCCTAGATTCCTCGTAGTCGTAAATGTTTCAGAGACATTGTGCAGAAGCGACGCAGTCTAGGCAACGTCTGCTGGCGGTTGACCTTCAGCCTCGTCGAGTGGGCCTAGCGAATGGCTCTCGACCAATCAATCTGAACTAAATCATGACTGACGGAGACCACCGGCTTTCCGCCTTACCCGAAGCAGGGTACGAGAGCGACGCTAAGAAGGAAGGGAACGTCAGCCCTCCCATCTTTCGTGTCCGAAATCGCCGCTGCAACGCCCTCAAAGTATAGGTTGGTCGTGAGTCAAAGGGGACAATGTCCGACCCCAAAGCGACGGGCCAGATACTTGCCAACCTCAGCGCTGCTCCTATCAGGTGTGAGGTGGAAAGTCGCTCGAGGCCTCAAGACTTTAGGCCAATCGATGATCTGGCTGTAGTCCTCACTTGCAAGGCTTTCAGGCTCCGATGGTTTACTATGGTGCTGCTAGCAAAGGATGCGAGTGTTGCCGCAAGCGAAAAGTCAAGGTACGTCGCAGTCTTGGTCTGTTTATGGTAGGAGATCCGACTCTAATAACTGCATGCGATTCAGTGTGACGAACAGAGACCACAGTGTTTTAAATGTATCAAGCTTGGGATAATCTGTCCAGGCTATCGGGATTTGCAAGATGTCTTGTTTCGGGATGAATCATCTAGGATCATCAGAAACGCTACTCGATGCGTCCCGAACGTTGCCAGTGGTCAGCCGGCCACAATCGATGTGCCTGACCCAATATCAACGGCGAGCTCTACGACCAGTGGATTCACCCACAACTTGAGCTTGTCCATCAGCCCTTCACAACCCCTGGAAGAGATAGGAGCCAACTTCTTCTTTACCAAATATGGATTTGAGCTTCCGCCAACGTTCGCAGGTCACACGACTTGGCTCTCACAGACATACTTCAGTGGCCATCATGTTCTCCGACCGACCATCGAAGCAGTCGGAATGGCTGGGCTCTCAAACATCAGAGACGAGCCATCGATAATGTCACTGGCCAAACGACGATCCCAAGAGGCTGTAATCGCCACCAAAAAAGCGTTGAACGATCCTGTTGAAGGCCTGGCAGATGAGACGTTTATGGCAGTGATATTGCTCGCTTTCTTCGAGTTCATTAGCTTCGAGGACTGGACTCGCTATGGGTACTGGCTGGAACATATCAAGGCCGCCACCGCCCTTCTTGAGCTGCGAGGTCCTAAACAATTCACGCGAGTGCGAGGCGCCCAGCTGCTTGTTCAGGTACGCTCGCCGATTCTCGCCGCGTGTCTGCAACAGCGCTTAGTTGCACCGCCCGCAATTGTGCAGGCGACTTGGCAATTTGAAACCGCACCCATCCGGGACTCGCTGAAGTCTCGATACATTGCCAGCCCAGCCTCAATCAGCGAGATCTCGTTGAGGCTGGTAAACCTCCGAGCAGCTGCCAAGAACCTTCACAAGGACATCGAAAGCGTTCGTAGGGCGGCGCTAGTGATCGACAATGACTTGAAAGCATGGCGTGAGGTGGTGTCACCAGCCTGGCTGTATCAAACGGTTGAAAGTTCTACAGCTGACGACACGTTTGGCGGAAAGAAACAGGTCTACAATATTCCCTGGGTTGCAGAGGTTTGGAACAACTGGCGTGCGTTGCGAATCGCTGTGTACCAGGTTGTTCTGCTTGGCGAGAACATTCACACTCCGGGAATGGACAAGGTGAACGATGCTGCAGTGGAAGTCATACGACAAATGTCCGAGGAGATTTGCATCTCGGTCTCCGCATTCACCGAAAATCGTTAGTGTTCCCTTACCATACAAATATTGACTGGACTAATCGCGATAATGCAGGCAAAATCTCACTTGTACGACCTCTGTACCTTGTGGCAACCGAGCAGCGAAACAGCGTTGAAGTTCGTCGGTTTGCAGTGAACCAGTTGCGTCGTATCGGCATTGAAATGGGTGCCCGACAGGCGGTCATGCTTGCAGATACGATTGGCCGGATTCTCCATGACTCGATCGCATCGGATGGGCGTGATTGCGTTGCTATTGACTGTGAGAGCATACCCTTAGCTGCTCCTTACTAAACGTGGCCAAGATTCGAGGCGGATATCCGGCTCGAGGGCAATACTGCAGCTATGTGATGCAAAGCGTTGTAGCACCTCTAGGTGGGCTATCATGCTTAAGGGTGCCTCAAACTCCTGTCCTGTCTCTTGAAATATCATTGATGACCAGCCACACACAATGTTGTAGACGAATAGGCACCCGAAGTTGGCGAAGTTGGACATATTCTTGGACAAGGCTGCACACAAGGCGTCGAATCGGCAGATCAGCCAATCACACACGAGAACCCAACCCCACCTTAACTCATCAGCCAAGAGCTATTGCGCGTCATATGTCTTCACTCTCTCTAATTTACGACTCGTACGACCCTTGAAAATGCTACAGCAAGGCTTGATAATATCATAGAAGAAAGTATTGTTGCTGCTCTGAAGATCGAACATAACAGATTGAGCCAGGCCTTCTCCCAACCATACCAAACATGTCAGCTGTTACCTCAGCCTTCTCCAAGTTGAATCCATTCTCCTCCAAGTCCAAACGCACACACGAAGATGACGAAGAGGATGACGGAGAGGAGATTGATCAAACCACTTTGGCCGGAGGTGGTCATGCTGGCCGCCAGACTGACATTACCAAGAACCAGCTACGCGTGCCCCACGCACTGAAGTCATTCCTAGTTTCTCAAGGCGTCCTTAGCGAAGAAGCTGCCGCACTTGATAAGGAAGAGGAGCTGACAGATGCTTTGCACGAGCTTCTGGACAGACCGCATATCAAGGTGCCACTGGAGCTGACAGATCGTTCCCACCCTCTGCCAAACTACTTCATCAGCTCTTCGCACAATACCTATCTCTTGGCACACCAGCTTTACGGCAGCTCATCGGCCACAGCCTACGAGCGCGCGCTCAAAGCCGGTGCCAGATGTGTTGAGATTGATGCCTGGGACGGCGATGATCCCGAGGAGCCAAAGGTAACTCACGGATACACTTTGACCTCCAACATCCCCTTCCGTGCTGTCTGCGAAGCTATCCGTGATGTCGTCGACCAAGAAGCCCGCGAAGCCGTTGATGCTCAGGGCTACAGAGCAGCCCCTATTATGCTTTCCCTAGAGAACCACTGTGATGCCCACGGCCAGCAACGCCTCGCGGCAATCATGCGCGAGGTCTTCGGCGATCGCCTCCTCACCAAGGCCATTCGAGATAAGGGCACCCGCGAACAAGAGGGCACCGGAGAGCATGTGACCCTCGGCGAGCTTCAGTCCAAGATCACTGTCATGGTCGAATACCACTTCCCCAACGAGCCAGACTCTGACTCTGATTCCGCCTCTTCCGACAGCGAAGACGAAGACGAAAAGAAAGCCCGCCACGATTACAAGGACAAGAAGAAAGCCGCAGCTACCACCGTCATTGTTCCTGAGCTCGCCGAACTTGGCATCTACGCGCAGTCAGTCAAGCCCCCGAACAACGCGTGGTTCGAAAGCGGCGTGCTAGAAAACTCTCCTCACCACCCACTCATCAACGTCTCCGAATCCGGCCTATCCGCACACATGCCCGCCCACAACGCTCCCATCGCGCAACACAACGCCAACCACTTGATGCGCGTCTACCCCAAAGGCACCCGCATCTCCAGTCGCAACCTCAAACCGGTGCCCTACTGGGGCGTGGGCGCGCAAGTCTGCGCCATGAACTGGCAGACCTTCGGCGCGAGCATGCAGCTCAACGAAGCCCTCTTCAGCGGCACCGACGGCTACGTCCTCAAACCCGCCCCGCTCCGCACCGGCGGCTCCGGAAAACTCGACTCGTACAAGCGCGTGAAGCTACGCCTGCACGTTGCCGGCGCAAGTGATATCCCTTGCCCTGAAGACCGGAAGGAGGACATCAAGCCCTACCTGACCTGCACGCTCGTGCACCCGGACGACCTGGAGCAGAAGCCGCCGAAGCGCAAGACCAGCCCGTACAAGCAGCACACGTTCACTTTCATGCACAAGGGAGACAACCCCCCCGTCACGGACCCCGTCTGGGATGAGATTCTCGAGTGGGAGTACCAGGACAACGAGCTGGTGTTCCTGCGCATGCTGATTAAGAGCGACGACAGTTTCGCCAGGAACCCGATCTACGCGGTCGGTACAGTGAGGTTGCTGTACGTGCAGAACGGGTGGGTGTTTGTGCGCATGCTGGATTTGAAGGGCCGCGAGACCAAGTGTGGGCTGTGCGTCAAGTTTGAGTTTACCGAGGTCGATGGGCGGACGTAAGAGCGACGGCAGCACGCGGAGGGGGGAAGCCGTGAAAGTGGAATCGTTGAGACAAGGGAACAGGCATGAACTAAGAAATTATGAATACATAGATGAGATACGCTAAGAGGCTACGGGTTTGGCTGTCATCGTCTTGACTTACTGCTGCCCGCGCAGTAGGGACTGGAAAGGAAGGCAAAAGTCCCGGCTCAAAATGGAAGAAAAAATCCGACATTGTTAAGTACTAGCACAATGAAGATAAAATCATACCGACAAATCGAAACCATTCCCCCTCTTTCCTGTACCCTGAATAGCACGGGGACTCAAATATCCCCTTGCCCTGCCCGGCTGTCCTCAGCACTCCATCCCCTACCATTGGTCGTACCCTCACCCCCTCCTCCCCCACCAAACCCCCACTTTAAAACCAACATCCAATGCCTTGCAGGCGGTAACGCCACCGTGAACGAAGGCGTTGTCGGTTCTTCCTGCACATGCTCTACATCCGCGTCCAGCACCACCGCGGACTCCTCCAGTGTTGACCACGTCGGCGCCGGGCCTGGAGGCGGAGATGGGTCCCACAGTGGAATTACGGGGCGCGTCTTGGTGAGGAGCGTTGTTGGAGCAGGAGCTGTGGGCTCGGTCGTGCGGGGGCGGCCCAGAAGATGCCGCTGGCGGAGGCGGAGAGGGAGGCGATGGGGGCGTTGGTGTCTAGATGCGTGAGTTCGGAGGGGGGAGAGGGGAGGACTAGGTCGGAGAGGTGTTTCGGTGGGGTTGGTGTGGTTGTTGGCGAGGTTGAGGGGTCTGCTGGCGGTGGTGATGGCGGTGGTAGTGGAGGTAGTGGGGAAGTCAACCTTGTGGGCATTGCATAGGCTTCTTCTGTCACAGCAAGACTAGATCCATCGGAAGCGGTGAGAGATTCTGGTTCCATAGTTTCGGATCCTGAGATAGCGAGCCATCCAACATTGTCTGCACTGCTGGAGGTCGCGGCTCCGGCCGGCAGAGCGGCTTCAATGCCAGCATCTGGCAGCGGAAGAGTGTCGTCGAAGATAGGTGACACATCGGATCAGAGACCTGGGCCACGCATAGAGGTGCTAAGGTCCTGCGCAACAGCTTCGCCAACAGCTTCGCCTACCAGGGCGAGCTAGAAGAATCGAACGGTATGGGACGCTCGCATTCCTCAGTCCATGAGAAGAACAACCGCACCCAGAACGAATGGCAGAGGAAGGCGAAAACGCAGTCGACCTAACATAAGCTCAGAGGGGGGCCAGAGACCTACAAAAGTGCGCGCGTGGCGACAGATTCAGGACGGGGACATCTTGGTTCGCTTGTGTTGTTAGCGGCGATGAACGTGGTTACATGGAAGTAGTGATCTGCCAAGATCGCACTGGCCAGATGCAACTCATGTAGATTTCGTGAACGCTTGCCGGGCTTTGTTTCAGGTTGAGGCTGAAGGCTTGAAGAAGTGGGAGCATGGTGTTTGATGGCGAGCTGTGTGGTCTGCGTGCAGAGGGCGACAAAGTAACTTTCTGTCACGATGATCTCTGCAATGCCCCTGACTGGGACTCGGTGAGCCCTGACCATTAGTTGTCCATCGAATTGACTGGAGAAATCGGTTTGTCCGTCCTTGATGGTCCAGGTGGACGATGCCATGACTTGCTCTGCCTCGGCGCTTGAGATGGCCCTGGCGAGCACACGGACATAGTTGACGTTCTCACGCAGGAGGATCGGTTGCAGGGGCGCCTGTCAGTCGTCAAGCATTTCTTTGTGACATATGCGAATGTGGCCTATCCGTCCGAGTCTTCCAATATCTGGGCCCAGCCTTCTCTCACCAATGCATCCAGGCCATCCTGAAAAGTCGTGGATTCAGCCTGACGGTTAGTCTTGGGCTTCGGCAGCTGAACATGCTGTTTCAACATCTTTCATCTTTGATGCCTGCCAAAGGGCTGTGTACTGGGCAGCCAGTTCGTCTCTGGAGCAGCTCCGATGTTGTCGGGTTCATCAAGGCAACCACCAATGACCTGCATGTAATCGTCTCACCGGTATTGCTGTACCTCTTACCAAACTGCTAACCCGACTTAGCCAACTCTCATTGGCATACTCAGGCTCTATCTCCGTATCTCGCCCTTCGATAATCGAAATCACTGCGCAGGGGACCTCCTATATCTTTACCAGCCTCAGACCAGTATCATGTGAACCTGAGCAGAGACTCGAGACCGATCACCAGCAGACGATGTTCTATAGCCACGGTTGCTTCGCTTACTACGAAACTTTCTCGGGTATTCTGAACAAACTTGGACGAGACGACGAATCTTGCTCTGGCAGTTGCTTGTGATCAGCCCCATAAATGAGTATCGTTTCTCGTGGTAGCAAATGTGCATCTTCATTCGCCCAGCATGGAGTTGCTTTAGCGTGTCTTCACACAAATGCCTGTACACAGCACCATGTGCACATTTGATAGGTACCGTCGCCTATCACAGACGTGCTGGCAAGGTTCCGTCAGAGCCGAACTGCATACCCAGCCTACCTATGCTTCGGTACCTGCGGCATTACGACGAGCTTTATTGGCTGGCAACGATGTTGCGTCTGCTCTTCGGTGGCACCCGATGAAGGGCCATTACCGAGATAGCACTCACGTGGCGCAGAAGAAGTTCTAATTCGCCAGTCCTCGATTCATCGCGATAGGCCTTAGCCGTATGCGGCAGGCAGTGGCTGCCATGACTTCATCGTGTAATTCACAAGCTCAACAAGCTTCCAACTTGCAGAGACAAGCTTGTAGCTTGACATCTTTAAAGAGCTTGTATCTGTGTAGCTGGCGAGCGAAATGTTCTCATCCCACTTCCAGAAACCATAGTCTCTTGTGGCCAGCATGCGTTCCTCACTCATCCTCGCGGCTTTCGCTGCTACTTCTGCATCTGCCCTTAACATCTTACTTGGTAACGATGACGGCTTTGGCAGCGCTCAGCTGCGTCAACTCAACGATCTGCTCAAGGCAGATGGCCACAAGACGATCGTGGTAGCTCCCGTCGATAATGAATCGGGCCAAGGTGGCCGTGCAGTCTACACCACAAGCCCAAACTTGACCGTGGCGTCCGAGTTCGGGCTTGTGTCAGCTGGTGCGCCCTCCCTCGGTCGTGACCCGAAAGACCCTGACGTTTGGTATTACAACGGCACTCCCGCTGCATGCACCTTTGTCGCACTCGACTATGTCATTCCCAAATACTACAACAACGTCAGCATCGATCTCTACACCGGCGGACCCAACTTCGGCGGCAATCTAGGACCTTTCCTGTACACTCTGAGCGGAACCATGGGCGGCACGTATGCTGCCATTGGGCGCAGCATTCCTGGTATCGCCTTTTCCGCCGCCAACTCCGAGCAGCGCTCCTACACCTGGATCAATGAGACCACCAAGTCCGGCCACCCTGACCCAGCTGTCATCCAAGCCCAGCTAGCCTACACGATTGTCTCACAGCTGATCAATTCAACCAAACCGGGCGAGCGTATTCTCCCTTACGGCTACGGCATCGGCGTCAACACACCAGTCATCACGTCCCTGAGTAACGACTCCTGCATTGCTCCGCCGTTTGTCCAGACTCGTCTCACTGGTGGCGCCTTCACCGACACGGCCGTGTACAATGCCACCCGCGGCACTTTCACCTACGGCAACCTCCAGACCGAGGGTCTTAACCGCTGCATCAATGGCGACTGCGCTCTACCAGGCGAGACCGATGTCGTTGATGGTGGATGCTATTCTTCAGTTTCTGTCTTTACCATCGATTACGATGCGCCTACCGGACAAGATCAGACGAGTATTCGCTCCGCGCTTGAGCCAGTAGTTCCGTTCCAGAACAAAGACGGGTGGGCGTCAGTCAAGAAGCGGGACACACAAATCTGGGAAGCGAGTGCGCCGCTTAGACACGAATAGACTGCCATGGGGAGTATTGCCCTCACAACATATTTAGCTTTAGGCACAAGGAACAACTGAAACCTGCTACAAGTCTTCCAAATATTCTCAGGCAGTGAAAGTCTTGGCGCGTGTATGGTCCAGAGTTCATCTTGTGGATTCATGCAGTTGCATATGTCTATCGAATAACTATAGCTTGATTCCGTTACCTGCAGACTTTGTAATGGTAGAAAACCGAGACTATTACTTGTTTCACAAGCACCAGCATGCTCGGGTATGGTAGAAGACTTCCCAATCGCCTGCAATCGAGAGGATCCTTAGCATTCTTGGCACGTCCGTAACCTTTCTGGCACTCTGAGCGTCGAACACAATCGAGGTTGTTTAGGTGCACAATGCCCTGTCTCGCTCTGCGCTAATTCCAAAAGACTCTGAGGAGTTGACTGAGAAAATGACGGACTTGACTCGCGTTCAAGCCCCAGTTCGTCACACTTCCCACGGCAAATGCTGTATAGCGATATGTCGCGAACGTTGCGACTACATCTTGCAACACCGAAAGAGCCAGTGATGACTACGATGTAGTCAACGGGGTGACAATAACGTATCACTAGATAGTAACGTCGGGCATCAAACGATTGCAGTGGCGTGCATTTCAGTGGGCCGACCAAAATTGTTGTAGCTCAGTAGCCCACCAGGAGACTGTGTTTGAGTTATGATGGAGCTAGAGCTTGCTGGATCGGCGCGAGGCAACAGCGCGATACTGTTCGAATGAGCAAAACCACCCAACATAGAAGGCTGACGAGGGTGGAGCGGAAACTGAATCCCGCCCGTGTGCCAAGCATTTCCCCCGAAACCTCCAACTTTTGAAGCTGCAACAGCTGCCCCGAATCAAACGATTGCAGCACGTCACACAGGCAGTTCTCAACGTCTCTACAATGTCGCCGACTGCCCGCGCCGTCACTCATCTCTCGCGGCTCCTCAGTCCCACAACGGCACCCTCGGTTCGCACGCCCTTCGTCTGTGCCCGCTGCCTCGCCCTTCCTTCAACTGGCACCTCGTACCGCACCTTCAGCAGCACCATCCGCCCGCAGAAGAAATCCGCCTCCAACCCCAAATCCGCACGCAAATCTCCCCACGTAGACTCCCCAGACATCAGCCGCCACGTGCCCGACAACCAAGCAACGCGCGAACGCGATGCCGAAATCGATCCCTACGACTTCACCGAGCTCCAGGCCGGCATCGACAAAGCGCTTCTGCGCCTCAAAGACGCCCTCACCAAGACACGCGACGCCGGCCGCGTCTCCACCGACATGCTCGAGAGCCTGCCCGTGGAGCTAAGTGTCAAAGACCCCGGCGAGCACACCGGCGCCTCCTCCTCCTCCTCCGGGCGCGCACCACAAAAAGAAAAGACACGGCTCGGCGACATCGCGTCCGTGGTGCCGCGGGGCGGCCGCAGCATGCAGGTCTTCGCCGCCGAAGCCGCGCACGTCAAGCCGCTGCTCACGGCGATCCGCGCGTCGGACTACAGCCTGGCGCCCGAGCAGGCGCGGCCCGAGGACCCGAACCCGCTGTGCATCACGGTGCCGGTGCCGCCCGTGACGGCGGAGACGCGGCAGCAGGCGGCGGGGGAGGCGAAGAAGTGTCTGGAGCGGGCGCAGCTGGAGGTGCGGAACGCGAGGGGGGAGGCGCAGAAGCGGCACCGCAAGATGGAGATCAAGAAGTTGGTCATTGTGGACGAGTTGCGGAAGGCGCATAAGGCGATGGAGGAGGTGGTCAAGAAGGGAAGTGAGGAGGCAAGGAAGATTTACGAGGGCGCGCTCAAGGCGTTGGAGAGGTAGGAGTGTTCGTCGAGACGCTGTATATTATGGGGAAGAATTGTAGATCAGGATGAACGTGGTCTGGTATAAAGGGTCGTCCTAAAGGCGGACCGCTGTAGGATTACATCACATGAAAGCGAGTCTGCGAGTATAGATCCGTGCGTAGCAGTAGGCTGGTAGTAATGTGGCGCACAGCTGTGCCCAGGTGGTCAAACCGTGGACACTTTGACTCTCCCAAGTTCATTCCAGGCTCCACATGATTTCCCTCCTGATATCCCAACTACCAAAGCTGCTTGGTTAGTGGTCTACTCTCCCGCATTCCATGCTCGTTGTCCCCCAATGAATACTTTCTCAAGCCCCGCCCATTGAAGCCATCGCATACCGAGCCTCAGTATCGGTCAGCCATAACCCAAGGAGCCGCCACAGCCCCGCAGCACCACACCATCAAGTCCATGACCTCCCACCGCGACCACGTCCATGCTCGCGTCCGTCTCGCCACAATGCATCTCTGACTCCACCCCTTACAAGAAGTGCTGTGCCGGATTATGATGCGCCGGCCGTGAATATAGAGAACGGACACGCCTGTGGCGATATCAACAAGTTGGCCAGGCAGCCGTCATATGTTTTTGTTTGACATCGCCAATGGAAGCCAATAGTAATGTGGAAGGCAGAGCAAACGGCCGTCTGCAGTCGCTTCGACGGCAATGAGCTAGTTGGAATTCGGTGTGTTGGCAGCAATCGATTATATGATGACCGGATCCTCGTTATTCTGCACGCATTGATATCTTCTGCCCTGTTTCACAAACAATTCATAGTGTCTGATGCTGTCGCGTGTTGGCGGCAAACTCCCGTATCTTGTGTTTGATATTGATGTTACCAAGCTCATTTCCCAGTCTCTTTTCCAGTGGCAGGTTCCTTTTCCGAAGGTACCGGTGCAGACTCTGGTCGCTTTCCTGGAGAGTGAGAGGATGGTTCTTGATGCGGATTGGAAGGCTGTTGAGCACTAGTTACGAGCGAAGGTAGACGGTTCTCGACCTTGACTTTGGCGAAATCGTGTAGGACGTAGGCCCTTTTGATAATAGGAGGCCCAATGAAAGCATCTTCGCGTGGAAGATACCATCCAGAAACTTCGACTCGATACTTCCCTTTCTCTCCTTTCCAGTCGTAGTGTCCCACAATATTGACTGCGCCTGGCGTGGAATATTGCTGGGCTTCCAGTTGCCCTTTGACCCATTCGCGCTTGAACATGTCAATTGAATGCTGCAGAGCATGCTCATGCGTGATAGTCTGGACGGCGGACCGCAGAGCGTTGTTCGGCGACTCTTTGGTAAGCGAGCCTTGGAGAAAAGGAAATCTTCTCTTTGTCAACTCGTCTGAGTACTGGGCAGACGGCAGCTTGGTAATGACTTCCTGCTCGTGAGTCAGTCCAGATTGACCAGTGATCTTGGCCAAGACGTTGTGCCCCTTCCAGTGAATATATTGAAAGTTGTAGGTCCATGTGCGCTCGGGATACACAATGTCCATAACCTTGGCTCTAGTAATAGCGGTGGTTGTCGTGCTGAAAGCCCACACGCCCTTGGCAAAAGCTTTGCCCAATACCACAGGCTGACGTAGCCTCTGCATTCTGGTGCCATCGACGTGCTCAAGCTCTTTCCATCCCAAGCTCACCCCACTGGGCTTGATAACGAGACAACGCATTGCATATCTGGGCGGACGAGAGAGCATCAACTGAAGGCTGAGGTCGCGGCCGATTCGACCCGTGTATCTGATGTAAGCGAGGTTCTTGAGATGTGTATTGCTGTGCTGCACCTGCTTCGTAATCGCGGCGTCGAACTCACGGTATAACTTTTGTGTAGCTCTCTCATCATGTTGCAAGGTCACGAAGGCCTTCCATTCCGGATCGGTCTCGCTATAAGCTTGCTTGTCCAATTGTTTCAGCCAACCATATATCGGGATGATGGTGGTCTCTCCAGACTCTTCTGAACTGTCTGAGGCCTTGTCGTTCTTTACCTTACTGGACTGACAGGGCTCTGGCTTCAGGTGGTCTGATTGTGTAGGCTTGTTCTTAGCCGCTTCTCGTTCTTTGCGCAGTCCATCTAAACGCTTTTGCATTTCTGGGTCTGGCCCGTTGATCCATAATTTAACCGTATGAAACGCGCAGTAGAACAGAACAGCATTCAACGCGAATCTTCCCACTACCATTGAAGGGCTGCTACATACGGTCAGTACACAGAAAATGCAGCGCAATTTCACGCATACCTCGTCCTCTGAGTCACCTCGACTCTCCGCAGGCCGACTGTGCCACCATCCGCCGGTATTCTGACCGCGCGCGGCCGTCGAAAGAGGGATCGAAGCATTGGATCGGAATAGAAGCACTCATGGTAGCGGCACGATCGTTAGGGCAAGGTCGAGAGGGTCTAAGATTTGGATTGCGAAGTCGACTGGCCCCTCTGCAGTCAACACCTACTATAGCATGGACAGCTATCTGACTGCAGGGAAAGGTACAGACCTGAAGTTGGCGGGACAATCGATGCATGTGGAATCTCCGCATCATGACCCCTGCACATGCTTGGCACCAGCGAGCTGCAGCCTTACCTTGTTGCTTCAATGTTCATCCGCAGCACTTCTTCTCCTCGGAACTGACCACCATCCCGCCGACGTCAGCTCACTATCGCTATGAAATTGACAACACTGCTGGCGTGCGGAGCTGCGCTGGCCGGTTCTGCCGCTGCCCAAGGCGGCTACATCTACACGATCGACAAGTCCGTCATCTCCTCCTCTACTGCGTCTATCGATGCGGAGACAGCGAGCGCTATCCTCGCCCGGAGAAGAGGCCTTACCGGAGGACGAACACTAGGTACATCTGACGACAGCATCTTGGAGGCACTGAAGAATTATGGTGGCTGGCAGCAACCATTATTTGGCGCGACAGACGAAGAGGCGCCGGGGAAGCTCTTCATTAGAATACCTGGATTCGATGGGCAGATTATGGATCTTACCGCAGCCATGCCCGATCTTTGGGTGGAAGGCCCGACAACAGATCTCAAGTCCGACTTCAAGGCACAGCCACAGCGCGAGGATGGCATCTGCGAATATGCCGTCCCGATCAGCAACTCCAACAAAGACATTGAGGTCGTCTTCTCGTACCCAGCCGAAGGCGTAGGCCACCCTCTTCCTATACAAGAGACCCCTACTTACATCTCACAGGATCTAGGCTGCCTCGATCCCTCTGAAGTCCCTCACCTCCCCATCACGCTGGCCGTGCAATCCGTGCTACCCACCAGCCCCTCCAGCATTCCCAGCACCATCATGCCCCTCAAGCGCATCCTCACGCACCTCCTCGCCACCCAAGGCGTCGAATCCACTATCCTCCTCCTCCCCTCCTCCCTCTCCCTCTCAAAACCCAAATCCCACGAAGCCGCGCATGAGCTCCGCCGGCGCACCCAGCCCGAAGAAACCCCTCTCGCCCTCTCCCCCGACATCAAAAGCCACTCCACACTCCTCGCCTCCAACAACACCTCCAACACCACACAACCTCTTCCCCGCAACATCCCAGCCTGCTTCACCTCCCTCGCATCCTGCAGCAACACTACCAACAGCTGCTCAGGCCACGGCGACTGCTTCGAGGCGCGCCCCAAGTGCTTCCGTTGCAAGTGCGGCACGACCGTCGTGCGCGAGGACAGCGAGGGCCGCAAGAAGACGGTACAGTGGGGCGGCGGCGCGTGCGAGAAGAAGGACGTCAGTGTCCCGTTCGTGTTGTTCGCCAGCTTCGCCGTCGTTATCGCGGCGCTGATTGCTGGCGTCATCGGTATGATGGCCAGCATGGGCGCGCAGAAGCTGCCGAGCGTGCTGAGTGCCGGAGTTGCGGGACCGACGGCTAGGAAGTAGAGGACGGCAAGAGTTTAGGCGTGGGAAACGGGTGAATGTGAGACGAGCGCTTTGTATACAATAGGCTCTACGTACGATTCAGGGCGAAGCAGATCTCGACTGGTAGTCGACGTCGGCGGATGGCGTGAGATGAGCGGATGATAAGCAGGAGAGTGTCTTGCAATTAGTTACACCCGCACCAAGTGTCGAGGTATATAGCTGCCTCGAATGACGTGGCGTTCGCAAATGAATCAGCTTAGATATTTCTATCACGTACTGAACTATCCGGAGAAGCATCGCTTCAGTCCTGACACGACTTCCATACTGCTATCTATGCTCTGCCTTATGAATTCATGATATGAGATAGTGACCCGTCCGACTTCAGTAGAGCAAGATAGCGCTACCTGACCGTCATAGATCTTGTTGATCTCCACGGCTGGGGGGCACTCTCTGACGCAGTAACATATCTCCGGTGTTGACGTGGGATCCACCAAACGTGGGATCCACCAAACGTGGGATCCACCAAACGTGGGATCCACCAGTCGTGGCGTACCCGTAAAGCTGTGAGGTGCACCTTCATCACTGAAAGTTGGCGCTGAGAGTGTCTCTTCCAGTAAGCCGGCACATTGGGACGGTGGCCGCCATGAGACTCGTACAGCACATGAATCAGCCAGAGAAAGCGTTGTATAGGGTTGGACGTGGCGATGGCTTGGAACAGTAGGGTCGCTGAGGCTGGCCTCAAGGATTGCCGCTTGCCAACGGGAACATCCGATATATATTGGTAGAAAGTAAATTGGGCAGTTAGTTGACGGCCTAAGCGCAAGAGTATACGCTTCAGTCCGACTTCTTCGTCTCTGGCTGCAGCTTGGTCGTCCAGCCATTTAGGTGGCCCGTGCCGGCAGTGAGGTACGTGGCAAAACCGAGCCATGCCACATAAGGTGCCATGCAGTACGCCGACACCTGATCAACTTTGTTCCAGATGTATGCGAGATAGCCCACACAACCTGTCAGCGTAGTGATATCTAGTAGCGCCTCAATCGGTCTGCCCATCCCGAAAAACAGCGGCATGAACAGCAGATTCAGGCCAAGTTGTACGGTGTACAGTGTAGCGGCCCTTCTCGTATCCTCAACGATTCGCGGGTTCATGCTCGCCATACCGTTGACCCAGGCACGGTGCGAGGCGTATCCCATGAGTATATACAGGGTCGACCAGGCAGGGGCGAACAGCCATGGCGGCGGACGGAATGGTGGCTGCTTCAGAGCCATGTATCTTTCCTGGGTGGGCTTCCATGTGCCGCGGTCCTGGGATGCCTTGTCCGAAACACTCTTGGGTTTGCTCGCACCGGGCTGGGACACGAGGCCGGAGCCCATACCGAGTCCTAGTGGTAGAAGGATGGCGACAGGCGCATTGCTGAAGATGCTCGCGGGAAGCGTGAGACTCGGTATATAAGACATGGTAGTGGGGTCCAGGTCGTGCTGGGAGGACAACTATGGTGCGGGTGTGCAGGAACGGAGAAGAGAAGCTTGGGACGTTTATGAGCTGCTGCGATACATCAGGTGATGGTTGGGCCACGGTGTACAGATACCAGGTCACGAGCAGGCAAAGTGCAGGACAGCGAGGCGCAGGCAAGGTAGAGCGTTGAGTCGTCGAGACGCCGGGCCGAGGCCGCCAAGACCGTGTCGGCCAATGACATCACTGAGTAATCCGAGACTCATTCATGTCTTGTCCGCGAACAACACTGAATGCGCATATGACTACATCTGTACGAGATCAAACCGGTAATTTTTGAACAGATGTCTCAGCCAACTCTTGCATCAGCGTACTCCGTACCCGCTCATCTATCTGAAGTGTCATACAGATGCAGGCGTCTGCTCTACGGGCGGCTCCTCTCAAGTCGATGTAGGACCTTGTGAGCACGAGGCACGCCCTTGACCTGAGAAAGGACGAGCAGCTCTATCTCCCACCAGCAAAGCCATGCAAGACCTTTACTTGATGACCAATTTCCCGATTCAAAGCAATTTGAAAAGGACAACTGTAGCGAGACATTGCCGAAGGCTGGGAGACGATTTCTGCTACAAATGTGATCTTGACGCTTTTACACGGTCCCCCTTAGTGGATTTCTCTGTCCCGTATGGCATCCTGAGATCGCAAGGAAGCTCGTGCGGCGACGCAGATATGACAACTCCCAACCGTGATGTGTGACGATTGGCATCCTCTGTATAACAGCGAAGGCATCAGGAGACGTTTCTCGCACTCTACAGGGTGCGGCACTCTTCTACAGCCAGGGGCTTGACATCATGGATCTTAGCCCACAGCGTGCCCAAGCTGGAGACGTGCTTGTCCTGCGGCCTGGTGGCGAGGGGTGCTACGAAGTCGTGGGCGATGCCTATGCTCATCGATCCGATTGGGACCAAATATTCCAAGCATGGCAGACCCGAAGCGGCGGTATTGACGCGATTGGCAACAGCCAGGACATCGTGCTGTACTGAAAAGCCTCAGGCAAGTGTAGATCCAAGGAAGATACGTGAGCACAAGTCTCACGGTTCTGTCCTAGACGGAGAGTCGTCCCAGAATGTTCATGTTCACGCATCGCCTTTCTACCGTAAACTGATCACCAGAAAGATTTCTCTGTCTCTCTGCTTCCCTGCACCCTTTCTATTTAGCCGGGACGCCCTCTGCCTGCTTCGCCAAATCCTCCTGCTCCTTCTCGCCCAACTCATCCCTCCCCTCGGCAAACACCTGATCGAAGTCATACTCAAACCACCTGATATCCGGGCTCAGCCCCGCAAACTTCCACACGCCATCCACCTTCTTGTACCAATGGGTGTTTGTACTATGCGCATGGCCCTTGACCTTCACCGTACTCAGCGTATCATCCGTGTACTTTTGATGCGGGACGCGCAATTGGTGCCAGCCCATGATTTCGGTGTCGGAAACTTTCTCGAACTTGGAGCCGCCGCAGAAGTGCTGGGTCTTGAGCTTCTTGTCGCCCAGCACCTTGGGGTCGGAGATCATGGCGATGAAGTCCTCGGCCGGCATGGCTTCCCAGAGCTTGTTGAGGAAGGAGCGGTAGTCGATACGGACGGTAGGGGCGATGATTTTGCGAAGGCGGTCCCAGTCCTGTTCGTGAGGGTGGCTGTTAGATTGCTGGGGAGGCTGTCGGGGACAGGGGAGGGCGTAGAGGCGAACGAACCTTGCTGTCGTAGCTGTCCGCCCACTCGAAGTAGGCGGTGAGGACACCTTGGTAGTCTGCGCTCGCGGGTTAGTGTTTTTGTTTCTGTTACGTGCATACTGCCTGCGAGGCGCGAACTCACCCTCGAAAGAGATCATCTTGTCCTTGGTCAACGCCATGATGAACGCTTGAGATACGTGAGATCGAAGATTGCACAAGAAACTACGCAATGGACTTTTGAGGAGCAAGCAGAGAGGGAAGGAAATAAGTGAGGGTGAACAGGAGGGGTGGAGGGGTGGAGGGGGGTATATCAAGACGGCACTGTTCATGTTCCCCTTATCCACTCATCATGTGGGATCTATGCAGTTTGCGGTGCGACCGAAGACTCCGGAGTCGTATCGTGCCTCCAGCATGGCTGATTCGCACACCGCCTGGTCTGCCCGCGCCGTCTTGTCCGTTAAGCAAGTCCCTGAAAACAAGTGCAGGGTCGGTGCGCTAAATCGGGGTGGCTCGCGGGGCCTTGAACGGCTATTGGTGTTCCTGAACTACTGGGCAAGTTGAGGGGTCATGATAGGGTCGAGGGGCAGACTTGGCTTAGGCGCGGACGGTGTCGGAGATTCATCAGCTGTTTTTGGGCCCGTCCGCAGGACTCCGAAAACCATGTGCTCGCTCCGCTGCTGACGCCCCGCCACCAGAGGGACTCTGAATAGAGTGTGGTTGGGGGAGTTGATAGTAGCTTGGTCGCTACGCACTTGAAGTCTCGACAGCATCAAGCTGGTGACCATGGATGATCAGATGAAGGCTTCTGACTTCTTACAGACACTAGAGCCACCTAAAGATTCTCACCGGCAGCATTCTTGTCATCCATCTCGGGTCAGTGAGTTGTAGAGGGAATGCGAACCGGGCAAGGCATGTTCTACGACTTGTGTCTGTCTAATGGCGAATACATATCCACTGGCCTCAACAGTCCTTCGCAATCGACCATAGAACAGGCAATGCACCGGATCCCGTCTGATCTCCGCAAGTGAACGCCTGTGTCGCTGGATCAGTAGTTGAGTGGGTGACCATCAGCGAATCCCCAGTGTTGATTGTTCGCATTTTTTGCGCTGCTCCAGGTCCTGGTAGTAAGTAAGGTGTGTGGATGTTGGTCCTACTCCGAGAGCATACACCTCCTGCTCAGGTGTGCGGGCTGGCTTGCGGATATGGTCCAGCCGAGACGTTCGGTTTGAGTCTTGCTATTCTATGAAGGTCGTGCAGCCCAGTGATGACGAAATGGAAGGCACTCTGAAGCTGCCAGACCGTGGCAAAACCTGAAGGTGAGACGTGCAGGACATGACCTGAGCACGAAGTACGCCATCAAGTGCCGAGCCGCACTACGCCGTCTTATGTTATCAAGCAGCTCGCGGATGGTTGATTTTGCATTGTGCGCCATTCTCGACAATGCCAACCGGCTAAGAGGCATGGTACGTGTCGAAAACAGAGAATTCATTTTCTCACTTAAGAGCGGTGCGGTCACTCTAACACTCATCAGCTTCACCATTATCTTTTGGGTTTGGTATGATAAGGATGGTCATTCTCGGCACTGGTATATAGAGCAGACTTCAACATGTTGTCAGTACGGCAAGAGCGTCCGCAGAGCTGAATGATAATCACCTCTACCTGGATGATGTCTCTACCTCCCGATGGTGCATGTCGAAAGCACTCCCAAGCAGAATCAGGAACGGGGAAATGTTACACACTAGTGGTTCCGCCGTGCCATAAAACCCTACGAATCTGATGGCTTGACGTAGCTCACACTGCTTAGTGCATAGCGCATCGTTGGAAAGTCGCGAGTCTAGTGCTAGCTGAAGTCATGACCCTAGAAGATCTACCAAAGATAATTATCTAGCAGATGCCGCGGGCAAAGTTGTGATGTTGGCAGGTACGACCTCATGGTTTTCCTGCGCCATGCTGTGAACTCAACTTCTTCTCTCCTCCGTCAGAACGCCATCATAATCCTGAGACCTTGAAGGCCCATATCACCACCAATGTATCTCAAGTCGACGCCTTCTGGCCGCCTACTTGCAGCCACGCGCCTCAATACTCGAGCCTCGGCCTCGCTTAGGATTACCGATCGATCGATGCCCATAAGCTCTTCCCGCACCTCGTTGACCGTCTCGAAACCTTACCTGAACGTTGAGACCAAAATACCCGACGAAGCATGCCAGCCCTGATTCCAAATCCTGTTTCTGACCAAGCATCAATCATGCATCGCACGTGTACACACTCTCTCTCTGCATCGCTGTCTGTGCCCAGGCCTCCCGGCCGTCGGTTGCGGTGGTCCAGACCCCGCGATCACCATCCACTCATGCGCACTGGAAATGATATCCGGCCCTACTTCGTACCTTGCATCGCTTTCCGTCCACACGTTGTCTACGGGGTACCCAGCGCCGCCTCGGCACTTCCGGAACTCCTCATCAACGATGATCCCCCAGCATCTTCATTATGCTGCCAATGTTTCCAGATTGTACTGTTGGTCCGCTCGCCGGCCCGTCTGCCCCTGGACCAACCCTCCGTCAGATACGCCGCGTAATTTTTTCCTGGCCAGTAAGCATGCAGTCGCTTTTCACGCGATCTCGATCGTTTGGTCTCGAACATCACAAGAGGGAAGCTGCCCTTCCCAACACGGACCATGGAATGCTTTCAACGGCGAGATCGCTTTTTTTTTCCGGTGGTGGCTTAAGTTTCTGAGTGGTTGGTGTTTGTATTGGGGAGACACGCACTGCAGGGAACCCGAATATCGGTGCTCAGATCGCCGTTGACTTCGGCGACAACCGATATTGAGTAAGCGGCAAGTCTCCTTCCCTTTCAAGCCTTTGCAGAGCTTTCGTCGAAGTTCATCGCTTCGTTTTGCCCCATGAATATTGAAACGTCGTAGGCTCTGTGCTGCAAGAGAGCTTGATGGAGTACCATGCGTTTGTGTGGAGTGACGAAATGTGGACCAGCGAGCAAAGGCGGACAGGTCCTCGGCCTTCATTGCGAAGGTGCCCTCTTAGCCATTATTGAGCGGGAATTGTGGCCGCGACAGCAGCATCGCCCCCTCTGGAAAATGGTAGTCAGGTCAAAGTTCCTTCGGCGAATAGACGTCGCAGCGCCGGCCGCATATGCTGGAACAATGTACCCACTAGTACTTCGGGTCTTAGCATGCATCCATCGATGTGTTTGCTGATCAGGCTTCAGAAGTATTACCGGTCCGTGTGAACTAGGTATTGAGCAAACAGCATTCTCAAGGAGGCACAGCCTGTGTGCCCATCATCTTGACCAACTAGCCGACCACCCTGCCAGCCATCTCGTCCGACGTTCCCAAGGGTCGTACTTACATGGACTCGTGGGGGAAGAGGCGAACAGTCAAGATTCTCATGCCGGGCGATTACAGTTCCGACTTTTTAGGACGGCCGCAGAACCCACGACAACAGCGGCGTCCCTTCCCCACCCCCCCTCCTCTCCCCGACATGCACGAGTTTACTTCCTCCACTCCGTCCGGAAGAACCATCCAGTCCGAATAACACGCACCGGAGAAGGTAGCCTGACAATTCCGCCAGGCCGTCGAAAGCTCACGTCCTCGACCCGGCTAGGAAACCGACTTACCCTTCGCGACCACGGTTCCTATCCTTTTCCAATCCGAAACTCGAACAGACCAGGCGCTCGTGCCTTTCTCCGGCCGCTTCTCCGGATCTTTCTCAAATGTCATTTCTAGCCTGACTCCACATCTGGGAGATGCAGCCTCCGGAATCTTCCAAAAACTCCACATGTTGGATCGCCAACGGCAAGGTACTTGGGCAGGACGAGGTCGGATGACGGGGGCTGTGTTTCTGGCGTCGCCCGACAGCAGCCTGGGGGGCCCCGGAGATGTGGAACTATTGGCCGGAAATATGCAAGTACTCCGTATCAAGCACGAATGCAGAACTAGTAACAGTAGTAGTCTGCAGGACTAGGACCATGGTCGGGTCTTGCCGCCGCTGGTGCTACGTTTTTGTCAACTCAGCCGGAAGACTTTAGGGAAGCCCTCAGGTAGAGCAAACGCTACGGAAGATGGATGCTGTTGGGGACGAAAAGCACGAAATTACTGACACAAGGTCGGAAACGGGAGGACATCTGTGTTGCGGGCAGTCAATCCCAATGGCACGGAGACGGGGGAAATGGTAATCAGGAGAAATGAAAGGTTGGGACCTCCTATACCTGGGAGATGTATCTCCGGGACGGTGGCGAAGTGACAGGTCAAAGTGACAGGAAGGTGACAGAGACCAAAGTACTAGTGTCTGGCAAATGGGCTGCAGGAGGCCGCCTTAGTCACGAACGACGCAAGACGCGAACCGAAGTCTCCCGGAGTTGGGAGTTCCAAGATGTTGAAAAGCGGAAAGGGGAAAGTGGGTAATACGCATGAACATGAGAGCTGCATCTTTCTTTGGTGGTGGCACACCATCAGAACCATAAGGCAACATTGAGGAATAGTGGAAAATTCTGATAGTATTCGCTTTTTTGAGCACGCTGACGCCCCCGTTGCCGCGACACGTACCAATATAGTAATACAGAGCAAGCAGGTCATTAAAAACACCGGTCGTGCAAGAGTCTCGCTTAATACGCGGAAGTCCAAGCAGGCAGGCAAAGCAAGCAAGCAAGCCAGCGCTTATTCACCGACATGCAACCTCGATAGTGCTCGTGGTGGTGTTCGGTGATAGCTCTTTGACGTCGCGCTTTCATATCTCCGTGTCCCTTTTCCGCCGGCGGCGGGACCTCTGACTTGACTTGATTGCATCTTCGGTCCGATACTCTTCGGGCAAGATGAAATCCTGCTCTCCAAGATCCGGGATGGGGTGGCCAAAGGCAAGGACCGTTCGACCACGCTGCCGTCCGGACACGGCGGCATCCCTGAGGTGCTTCTTGGCAAAGAAGGAAACGAATGGCTTATGTACAGGTGGAGGGGGTGGAACCACATCTGGGGGAGCCGTTTTCCTGCGCTTGTTGGCAGACTTGGCCTCCTCGAGCAACTGCTGAGATGCCAGAGCGTCCAATTCACTCGAGTTGGGCGGTTGAGTCGAAGCACTTCGCTGGCTGCTTCCGCCAGTCTCTGATACGTCTTCAGCTTCAAGTTCAGCGGCTTCTTCAGCAAGAGCTTGCTCGCGTTCCACCTTTCGGCGCTTCTCCTCTTCCTTCCACCACTTGAACTTGTTGATCAATGCTTGTGTCTCACGAACGAAGAGAGACCGTTTAGGTTCGTATCGCCTCTTTTCAGTCTCGGTGATGCCGGAGATACCAAGAGTCTTGAGCCAGTCAGGGCCGCGTAGATCATCAAGGAGACGCTCCAGCTGATATTTCTCGTGTTGTGCACGTTCCCGGTCACCATTCTTCATCTGCTTCTCGTGCCTTTCAGCCTTGCGATGGATCTTGAGATACGCATCCCCGCCTAGGGGGTCTAGTGCTGCTGCACGCCTGGGCGCCTTCAAAGATGGCAGATCAATTATTTGCGCGTTATGTAACGGCTTATGGGTGCCGAATGGGTCGTCCCGGCCAGGCGGTGGCACAAAGTTCGGCGTATTATCAATGAGGATGATCTTGGTACGGCCGGTCAAGGCTGCTGTAGGATGTATAAGCAACGAAAGGGCCAGACTGAAGAAGCTAGGTTTGAACTGACCTGGATCTGAGGGTTCGAGACTGAGCATCTCCTCGAAGTTGGGAAAGTATTGAGCAAGCTCTGTTTTGGATCGAGAGCCTCCATGCTCAGAACGCAGTTTCCTACGTTCATCGTGTTTAGTATCCTCATGGTCATGGTCGCGGATCGAGGCTCTAGCTTTCTCCTCGACTCTCCTGAATTGATCATATTGTGGCTTCGGGGTGGGCGAATCGATCGAGGTAGCCGGGGTCGGAAGTTCTGGAGCGGGCGCAGGCTCGAATTTGGGCACAACAGCACGAGCACGGACAGGGATGCGTAGCTTCTGTGGGTGGTTGTCACCTAGTTTGCGACGTTTGTGAAGCTCTTGCTGGTCGTGTAATGTGGCCGCTCGATTTCGTTTGGCTCGTAAGGATAACTGGTGGTCGGAGTCGTGTTCGTCGTTGTTCGCGTGATGTTGCGGGTGCGGGTTTTGATGCCGCCTCATGACCACCATGATATTATACGGATTCTGAAGCTCATGATTGTCTCTATAGTACCTCAAGGGGTCGAAATAGAGACGCCGGCGTGTTTGGAAGGGGCTTGCCTGATATGTCGACGCTGTCGCCTGCCTCAGTATTTCTCCTGCTGTGATGTAATCGCCGACAACGGCCACAGGGTTCAACTTCGTTTGAAATGTGCTTCAGCCTTCTAGCGCCAGTGTTCGGAAGGAGACGGCTCCCTCAGCGTGTAATTTGATCAATGTTCAGTCTTATAGAATCGTGTTGTTTGGAGTGAGGATTAGACATGATCTCTCAGGGGGGCGCAGGCCGCAGTCCGCAGTCCGCAGGCCTGGAATGACTTCACCCAGTCTACTGACTTGATACGCCCCATCCACAGCTACGAAATAACGCCATCTCTCAGTCTTTGAGCCGTTGCCTATGTGACCATCGCTGCTGAGCGCAGATTCTCGCACTTCAAGCTTCCTCTACTAGGCCGACGGCCTTCTAGGATGGGAAGAGGTGAGTGGGATAAAATCCATCGAGAGCAGCCTGGCTGTCAACCTTCAGTCATTATACGTGGCATTTTTGCTTCAAAAAGACGTCCTCATCTCAACACACGATACTGTTCGTCATTTGCGTCCTCAATGCTCTTCAATCCTGCCAAAAGACAGCCGCAAACCAAAGTGAATCCATTTGATGGTGGCACCTCTGGAAAGGCGTGTCAAATGACGCCTTTTACGAACGCATTTGGCCTTGCTGTAAACTGTTCAGTTCAAATGACATCCTGACATATCTTGCATCCTGCTATACCCCGAGACATCTCGCTCTCGTCGCAGTCCACTTTTGCCTGCTACAGCCTGGCTTTCAACAATCAGAGCTATCGTTGGAAGCTATTTAAGTATACAGCTTGCTCCTACGTGACGACGCCATAGATCAGGGGAACGTCCAGCTAGGCCGTGGCTTATTTTGCTGCAAGCCATGATTGGGTCGCTTGCTCGGCCTCTCATGAGCCTCACGTTCCTTCAAGAGTACTTCCTGCTTGGAAGTCATTGTGTAAACAACAGAACCCAAATACCACGCATCACCGGCCTCTTAATCCGTGGAGCAGCTTATCGCCACGATGTCACCAGCACGAGCCCTCCAGGGCGCCAGCGACGGCCTCGCGTATGACTATGTTATCTGGTGAGTTTCCCGACAACGATGCCGTCCATATCGACTGCGACACAGCGACAGCCCAGTCTCTTTCTCACTATCAACACACTTACCTTCATTGCAGCGGAGGTGGAACTTCAGGCTGTGTCATAGCCGCCCGTCTTGCTGAGTCCTTTCCTCCCAATGGCCCCTCAATCCTCGTCATCGAAGGCGGACCAGACTCCAAGGACCTCGAGCTCGTCTCAAGGGTCGGAGGACTCTTCGAGGCAATGGGAGGTGATCTGGATTGGAACTTCGAGACAGTCCCACAGAAGCGCCTCAACAACCGAGTCATCAACCTCGCGAGGGGCAAATTCCTCGGGGGGAGCAGGTAAATCTACATCCCAAGCGGAACTGCCGGCACGTCAGACGCTGAGTACTCTAGCGGCTTCAACGGAACGCTCTGCATCCGGGGATGCAAGGACGACTACGACGAATGGAGGATCCCAGGGTGGAAAGGGGAGGATGTCTTCCAAGCGATGAAGAAGGCAGAATCCTTCCATGGCAAGGAGTGGTTCAAGGCGGCCAATGACGAACACGGGGTAGACGGGCCGCTGCATACGGAGCCTCACGACGGCGCTCCCATCTCTCACTTGATCCTCGAGGCCATGCAAGAACAAGGCATGCCCCAGATCGACGACATGTTCACGACTGGCGAGTCCGCCCAGGGGTGTGGCCATGTGCCTCGCACAGTTCATCAAGGAGTCCGCACTTTCGCTGCAGATTACCTCCGGAGGCACCAAGACAGAGTTGACATCATGACAAGCGCTATTGTTGACAAAGTAATCGTCGAGGAACGCTCAGGAAAACTTACCGCAACTGGCGTGGCAGTAGTGAATACGTCTGGAACTTCAGCCACAATCAAAGCTCGTCACGAAGTTATCATCTCTGCAGGTATTTCCTCGCTCTCACATATCTCATGCATTCCCACTCACATTCCGTTTTCACTGACCATCCAGGTGCATACTGTTCTCCCACGATTCTCTTGCGTTCGGGTATTGGGCCCGCCTGCGAGCTTGATGCGCACAGCATAACCTGCCGTGTAGACCTCCCCGGCGTCGGCAAGAACCTGCAAGACCATCTCGTGGCCTTCGTCCCATACGAAGTTACAACACCAAACCTTACCAATGACGCGCACCTCTACCATCCCGGCGGCGCCCAAGCCTCTCTCGCCAGCTACGCCGCCGACAAATCTGGTGTCTTCTCCGCCTTTCCGTTCGGAGTATTCGCATTCGCCCGCCTCGATGAACAACTTGGATCCTCACCACTCTGGGCCAACGCACCCAAGCATGACAACACCACCGCTGCCACTCCTCCCCGCGACCCCACAGGCCGCCTCCCCACGCAACCTCACATCGAGCTCATGCACACCGAGCTCTACAGCGGCCACATCCACGGCCAACACCACATCATGTTCCCCACCCCCACCAACCCCGCCCGCCACGCCTTCGAGATGATGACCCTCCTCTTTGCCCAACAATCCCACGGCACCGTCACGCTCCGCAGCCCCTCCCCCCACGATCCACCGCTAATCGACCCGGCCTACCTCTCCCACCCCCTCGACGCCCTCGCCCTCGCCGAAGGCGCCCGCCTCGCCCACCGCGTCGCCACGCACTCCGCCGCCCTAGCTCCACATCTTTCCGGCCTCCTGCGACCCGTCCTGCCGGAGCGCTTCGCGAACTTGAGCGCCAGCGGCACCCAGCAGCCCGAGGATAGCACGCAGGAACGAGAGGAGTGGATCGCCTACGTCCGTGAATACAGCGCCACGGGCCACCACCCAGCGGGCACGTGCCGTATGGGCAATGCCACCACCCCGGCAGAAGCGGCAGAAGCGGAAGAGGGCGAGGGTGAGGGCGTGGTCGTGGACCCCCGCCTGCGTGTGCTGGGCGTGACAGGCCTGCGCGTCGCGGACGTGAGCGTCATGCCGAGGCTGAGCGGGGCGCATACGCAGATGGTGGCGTATGCGGTGGGAGAGAAGGCGGCGGAGATGATCGTGCAGGATTGGTGGGCGGCAAAGGGTCGAGGAGAAGAAGGAGAAGAGTGGTGATTGAGCCCTATGGCCGGACTACCTGTAGAGTCGCCTGGGTAGTTTGCTCGGCTTTGGGTTTCTTGAGATTGATGCACCTCATCTTGCCTGCCCCTGGTAGAATGGAATGTTCGCGTTATTCCTGTCCGATGAGGGACGGGCGCATGAGAAGCGGAGGGGGGAATGGTGGGGGGATGGTAGACCATGAAGTGTGCGATGTGGTGTGAACAGAGACCGATGAGGATATCTTGCGGCAGGGTGAAGCCGTATTGTCTAGACCTATGTAGATAGCAAGACCAAGAAACAGCGCCACGCAATGCAGTGTTTACTTTTACTATCCGGACATCAACCAGTCCGATGCAGGTTTTGGGGCCCCTACGTCCCATTGCCCTTCTCATTGACCCCTCTCCCCGCGCCCGCGCCCCCACTACCGCCGGTTCCGCTCCCACCGCTGCTCCCACTCGGCGTATCTTCATACCTCTCATCACCGCTCTCCTCCTCATCGGCCGAGTACAAGTCCTCATCACTGTCTGCTGCAAATGCGTTGTACAGATCGCCGCCACGCCTGGGCCGTTTGAGTCCGCGCCTGGCATCTTCGTCGTCCTCGGTGTTGACCATCTCAAACTCGTAGCCATCGCGCGTGCTGTTGAGGCGCTTGCGTCGCTGGACAAGGAAGTAGGCGCCGAGGCCAGCACAGAAGACGATTATCAGGCCGAGAGAGCCGTAGATCCAGATTTGTGTCTTCTTGGAGACACCGAACGTGGGGAAGAAGGAGGGCAGGAAAGAAGATGATGAAGTGTGTGTGGGTGAGGGGGAGGAAGAGGCGGTTGTATCAGCCTCGGATGGGGAGGTGGATGTGGGAGAGGCGGAAGGTCCATCGCTAGGCTTGGGTTTGCTGGGACGGTCGATGTGATCGGTAGGGTTGCCCGGGGGTGGTGTCGAATGCGAGCCGGGATCAGCGGAGATGCTGGTGGTACTGATATCTGCTGGTGCAGTTTCGTGGTCATCATCGTGCTCGTCGGGCATAGGATGAAGCTCTTGGATCGATGCATCGATGGCTTCACCCCAAAGATTGAGTCGCCAGTCGATGAATGTGCCATTATGCTCATTCAGATTCGTGTCTTTGGCGATAATGGTCCACGTACCCACGCCTTTCTCGCCCCTGGAAAGAACATTAGCGTGACCTCGAAATGAAAGATATGAATCTTTACCAATGCACGACAGACATGAAGGTCCAATCGACGTAGCCTTCTTGTGCAGCGTCATTACGGCGGGCAGTGGCAAGATGGCTAACGATACCCTCTGGGCTGCGCAGCTCTACGCTAAGATCGCCCCTCCTGGTGTGTTTGACATTCATGGTCACCGTCACATGCTCCAACCGTTCGAGGTTGGCTTTCGTCAGCATGTCCTGAGTCACATCGAAGGACGCAGCAAGGCCAACATCGCCCTCCGGGATTGCATGCTGTACGCCGATCCACGGCGAATGCCACCAAGCTTGTGGTTTTACGCTCTGGAAATCTTTGGCCGCTTGCACAAATTGATATGCATCAACCTTGCCGTACCCATACATATGGCTAAATTTCTTACCGATGGCTGTATCTTGCCACTCGCCATCCGCCTCGTGGATTGGAATAGCAGTCAGGACACAGAGCCACTGCAAGTCGCGCCAGGTCAGATCCGGTCGAACACTCAACGCAAGAGCAACTGTGCCGACTACCAAAGGTCCTGCTGCTGATGTGCCTCCATGGCCAGTGTTACACTTGTCCTTTCCGACATCAGTGGTGTGAATGGCATCATTATGTCCGGAGCTGTAGGTGACGACCAGTTGAGCCGAGCAAGATTCGGAATAGTACGGATGGTCGCCGGCTCGATCGATGGCTCCGACCGTAATACTGTAGATGCTGTTTGTGTAGCCATCAAAATTGCAGTTGTCGTCGTTGTTCGCGCCATTGCCGGCGGCGAAGACGAATACAGAGCCAAGACCATCGCGACCCTTCTGGATTCCCTGGACCATGGCTTTCTGAATAAGGATTCCTGGACCTTCCATCGTCTTGCCGTCATCCGGCGGTCCCCAAGAGCAAGAATAGATGTGGTTCTCCTGATAATGATAATTGATGGCAAGGGCTTCGTCTTCGTCACTAATAGGCTTGGACAGAATGCGAATACCAGCCACTTTGCTGTCATAAGCCATTCCTACACCACAAACGTTGTTTCTGACTGCGGCAATCTCACCAGCGCACCTTGTGCCGTGCTTGTCATCGAATAGTCGGGGTTTCGGCTCGGGGCCTGGATCGTTGAAATCGTAGGAGCCGGCGGCGTAGTAATTGTCCTTCAGATCATCGCTGTACATATCAAGACCGTCATCAATGATGGCGGAGATGACACCTTGCCCGGTAATGCCCTCCTTCCAGATGCCAGTCACGTTCAAATCGTGACCCAGCTGGAGAGGGTTGAAAAGATGCCACTGCTCTTTAAAGATAGGATCTAGGATTTGCAGCTCGTTTGCCACCTGGTCCAAGTGTTGTATGGCTTCTTGCTGCTCGAGGCTCTGGTCTTTGCCCTGGCCATCTGCGGACTCCTGTCTTTCCTGCACCACGGGAGGTGGAGGTCTCTTCACAAGTCGCTTGCGCTGCTCTTGTTTCTGCGACCATCGAACTCCTTCGAGCCCTTCAGTACGCTTTCGTAAGATGTCGTCAACTGCAATGTTTGCCTCTGATCTTTTCCGCCTCCGACGCCGTAGCTCTGTCAATGTTATGTCCACATCCTCACTCGACCCCTTCGGAGTTGAGAAGGTGTAGTGGTCGGGTAGTTCGCCAATAGGACCTTCGTATTTCACACCTAGCCTATGGGCGACTTGTGATGGCGATAGACTGTCTTCTAGATGTAGGGCGAAGTAGTCGTTGGCGTTGTAATCTCGATGTGGAATCTGCGCACATGCTTGCTGAACGCCGAGCAGCAGGCCTGCCCAGTGCGACCAGCGCATGATGCAAGATGTAGAAGTGTCGTAACTGATATCCTTATTCCGTCATGTCATCCAACAGAATCCTGATTTCAAGCTGAAAGCGAGCGAGGCTACTGTATAGTACGGTGGAAGGCTTGGATGGCTTCGTCCGAAGGAGCGTGATGCCTTGATGGCGGAAGGGATGCGGAAGGGGTCCCTGTGGCTGGAGAGGCTGCGCCCTGCGAGAGTATTTCGTCCTATGTTCGCAAAACGAGCAGGATGGAAGGCGTGAGCAACCGCGTGTGCTTGAATCTAGAGTGTTGACTGTGTCCCTTACGCCTTCAAGGACGGGCTCGGGAATCCGGGGGCTCCACCACTTAGGCAGATTCACTTTCACGCGAGTCACAGGCCCTGCAGATAGCCAAGACCGGAGCCTCGTCCTGCCAGGCGCAAGGCTGGCCCCCTGGACCACGAGTGTAGTGTTTTAAATGGGACAACGAGCTCCAGAGCTTATATTGGCTGTAGTGAATTGGTTACGGGCATAAATGATCAAGACCGCTGCGGGGTCGGATTCATGGACTTTGCAATAGGCATATGGCAGCGCAAATACTACCCGCTCTACGCAGTGGAAGGCAAGGATGAAAAACCATCGATGGGAGAGTCGCCAGTTTGGTTGCTCTAGACTTGGTTTGGGTCTCGCTGCTTGCGCATACAGTTCGGACATTTTGCTAGGTCGAACTTGTGCCTCCTTGGACCAGACTTCGTTATGAACTGCGCATGGTGCATCTGCGTGCCGCCTGGAACCGCATCCTCAGGCCACGTAGCAAATCAGTTGCAGTGGCTTAATCCGCGCGATCCAGCAGAGGTAGCCCTTCGTATTTGATGGTGTCTAGAAACTTGGATCCTTCGCCAACTTTGTGAATGACGCCAATCAAGCTTCTGGAGGTCCTAGACTTCTTAGCTTTCTTCTCTGTTTTGCGGAAAAGCACTGCGAAACGGGCTGCATCAGCCACCCTGTATTCAGTGCCCTTATCCCCCTCCTTAGCGATCACAGCCTTCACCATGCTGTATCGCGTACGTGTCATGTCAATTAATACGCGTTGGAAACTGTAGATGTTTACGACATCGTGGCTGTCGAACGGGAGACAGCGACCGGCTTCGAACCCACCCCTTGCGGCGTCAAAATGGTAGATCATGATGTCGAGCTTGGGTGATTCTGTACTGGTGCGCATTTCGTCCTTGATGACACCGGCGTCGAAGGTAATTTCCGAGGCACTATTCAGTGGCTTGCTTGGTATGTCGGACGTGTTGGCCATGACTGTTCTGCCTGAAAGATTATGTGGCTCCGGAGAATAGGTGGAACTTGACTCGGCCTGTTGATCTCTGCTCTCTGTGCTATTTTGGCTGCAACCCAGTTGTGCAGTGGCGTAGCTATGCGACATGGTTGGTAGTGTTTGACGTGGACACAAAAGCTGTGTTGCAAGATTCCAGATGGACGTACAACAAAGATGGCAGGCAGCGGCAAAGTGGCCGAGTGAATAGCCAGGCTGGGGCTCTGCAGACGCAGTGACAAAAGGCGGAGAAGACAAGTGTGCCTTGTACCGCAAGTGAAGCACCCGTCGCACTGCACGACGCGTCTGACGCCCTCATGACCATCATTTCCCAGGCGGCTTGACCGTCTGACCCAATGAATATTGGTGCGACGGCTAACCTGAGTTCGACTTGCCGTTGTGATATCTGTTTGTTGCTGTCGGCTTCGGCTTCTTCTGCGCATCGAACTTGTATAAACATATATCTCGAGCTGCTGCCAAGCATCCTCGAGACCAAGGTACACTTGCAGAACTGAATTTGCATTCAGTCAAAAAGCGGCGGCCGGTTGGTGCAGGGCAACAAGAGCGGTTTCGCGCCCTCGGTACGACACAGCTTTGATTGATATCCTTGCGGACAGCGCAAAGATTGGAAGAAACCATACCGTCGAGCAGGACGCAGATTTCAGAGGGCTGATACTTCCACATCCCTACCAAGTGGGGCGGGCAGGAGTTAGTGGCCTGCTGTCTACTTTGCGGGCACAAGGATGGAGCTCTTTGGTTTCAACAAAGACAGCAAAGACTTCTGCACAAGAATATTCAGGCAGATACGTTACCATGATGCTGGACGCCTCCATGACCTTCCAGACTGTGCGCACAATGGCAGGGATTGCGGTACATGCAGGGTTGGTGTGCCATTGCCACAACTGCCAACATGCTATCTTCGGTTGATTAACATAGCGATGCAGACAGGTCGGATTCAAAAGTAGAGATGAGGTTGGCCAGATTGGAGTCGTGAGTAAGGGATCTGCTACGGCTGCCCGCAACTACATCATCGAACATCATCGAACTCGACGAACCTTTTATGTATTGCTCAATTTCCTCGCCCTCGCCTTCGTCAGCTATGTCTAGATGTCCAGACCTCTTATGAGGATACCCTACACCGGGGTTCTTCCTCCACCACTGATTGTGCCCGCCACAGCCTCTACTGTGCATGGCGTCATCGACGCCCTCAGCAACTTTCTCCGCCCACCCAGGCACGATGTACCTCCAAAGACCGCCCTCCTAACAGGCGCAGGCATCTCTGTCGCGTCGGGTCTGGCAGACTACCGTGGAAAAGATGGCACATATACCTCCAATCCGAGCTATCGGCCTGTATACTACCATGAATTCTTGTCCTCTCATTCGTGGCGGAAACGCTACTGGGCTCGATCATTCTTGGGTTATCCGTCCCTGCTGAGTTCGAAGCCCAACTTGTCCCACCGCGCCGTTGCTTCCTTGCACTCTTTGGGCCTGCTGTCGTCTTGCATCACTCAGAACGTGGACAGCTTCCACCCAAAGGCGCATCCAGACCTACCGACTATTGAACTTCACGGATATCTGCGTGCTCTTCTCTGCCTGTCGTGCGGAACGCTACACCCTCGAGATCAGTTTCAGGAATCTCTGGCCGCACTGAATCCCGCATGGAAGACTTTCCTGGCATCCCTACTGGCTAGCGGCGCCCTGTCCACCGAGGATCCCAAGCGGAGGGAGAAGCTGGGCTATCGTACCAACCCCGATGGTGATGCCGATGTCCCCGGCGCGCCATACACCACCTTCCGCTATCCACCGTGCCCAAAATGTCTCAAAACTCCGCCGATACTGCCAGATGGGAGCAAAGGTAGGGTGGTGGCCGACGATGACGGCGCATGGAGTGAAAGATCCAATGCAGGTATCTTGAAGCCTAATGTCATCATGTTTGGCGAGTCGATTCCCTCGAACGTCAAGATGGCTGCAGAAGACGCCATCAACTCTGCTGATCGGCTGTTGGTCATTGGTAGCTCTTTGGCGACGTATTCAGCCTTCAGGTTAGCTAAGCAAGCATTCGACCGAGGCATCCCCATCGGTATACTCAATCTGGGTGGCGTGCGGAAGGAAGAGGCTTTCTTCACGCCTGAGAGTCGAGACGAATGGGATAGGATAGGCAACATGGGTGAGAAGGCTTTCCGAGCAAGCTGGGCCTGTGAAGACGTGCTACCGAAAGTGGTCGAGCGTTTCAAGGCCTGACAAGGACTTTACACTTTGAAAATATTGTGCATTAGGGGAGCTCATAGATACGAGTTATTGGCATCTTAACCCTCGCTCATCTGGCAAAAGCAAAGCTCAATATACAGTGAACGTGTCTTTGAAACAGACGAGACTGGGCACTCGAAATCTCCTTGACCAAAAGACATGCCAAACTTTTCATGCAATCCCCGAATCTCTCCTCTCCTGGGGTCTGCCATTCGGCTTCCCATTGACACTCAAATCCTTCAAATCTGGCACGATCGCACTCGCGTCGCCGTCCGAGCCCGCGACCGGCGGTGCCAGGTACTCTTTCCTCCCTGCTTTATGGACGCGGCCATTGATCATGATGATATTCATCCGGTCGTGATCTTGCAACACCTCGATCTCCTTCAATGGGTTCCCATCGATCAGAACGCAATCAGCATAGTTGCCAACCTTGACCTGGCCCATCTCGTTTTCCCGCATCATTAACTTGGCCACCCCGTACGTGGCGGCGATGATGCTTTCGTGCGCGGTGAAGCCGATCAGGTCTTTGAAGTGGGCGAGGTCTCGCGCGTATGTGCCGTGCTATTGCGTGCTGTGGTCAGATGAGGGAGCTAGAGCAATGGGGATGTTGTGCCACGTACAGGTGTCCATGCGAAGCCGTAATCGCTGTTCGGAATTAGCAGTCTGCCATAGCCAGGGGAAATGGACGTCACTTACCCTCCTGGGAGCACCACGATTCCACGTCGATGCATCTCGCGCAGGCCTCGGATCGCTGTCTCGAGTTCTTTCTTGTATCCGACCTGTTCGGCTTTCTCGTGTGTGTATCCGAACTGTTGAAATCAGTATTGGAGCTTGTATCAACTCTGAGGTCCTACAGCTTCAGCATCATGCAGGGTAGCAACCAGCCAGTTGATGCCCGGCGCGACGATATGTTTGGTCTTGGCCTGCTCCAGCATGTCCATTCCTTCCTACGACTGCGTCAGTGACAATCATGGGTTAGTGGCCGTACAAACCTCATCGATATACGAGGCGTGGTAGATGACGTCCACGCCGTGCTTGACGCACATCTTGACGCTGTCTCGGGCCCGAGCATGGGCGCAGAGCCTCTTGCCTTGTTTGTGTGCTTCATCGACGCAAGCAGCAGTCTCCGCGTCCGTGAAGTAGCAGTCCTGTGCGGAGCGAATCTCGCATATCTGCAAGGTCAGTTTGGAATTGTGCCTCTGCTGGCACGGGACCAACCTCTTCTCCAGACATGGACAATTTGATCTGATCAACACCCAGCTTGATGTGGTGATCAATAACCTCACGCATCTCTTCGGGACCATCGGCAAAGGCCGTGATGCTTGCCACCAGCTCCCCCTCGCGCCGCGCCATCTCTTTCCCGTTGGCGAGATACCGTGGCCCCGGGATGTCTCCAGCATTGATGGCATCTCTGATGACGATGTCTAGGCGCTCCTTCGCAGATGCTGCACCGAAACACATGGTGTATCCGCTGTCTATATACGTTCGTGCTGATCGGGCCGTCAGTAAGGTGTGTTCCTCGACCCCAAGGTCTCCCAGTGCATTCAGGTCGCCCCCGTTCCAGCTGCAATGGGTATGCGCATCGCCCAGCCCACTCATCAGCGTCCTGCCACGGCCATGAAACACTCGAACGCTCGGGTCTCTCATCAAGGCGTCTTTGTTCTCGACCTTGCCCACTGCCGTATATCGCTTGCCTGTCTCCGTCAGCTGAAACTGTCTTCCGGAAACAATGCTCAGCAGGACCTACCTTCAATCAATACATCTCCCCTGTATGGAAGCCTTCCCGTCGAGTCCAAGATCTCCACATCAACAAAGAGCACTTTGGAGTCCGGATCCGTGCCGGCGATCTCGTAATGCTTGGGCTGCAAAGATGGGTCGAACTGAACGCCCTGGATCGCGGCGACATTCCGTGGCGGTCCATCATAGATGGAGATCGGATGTGCCGGAGACGACCAGGGAATCTCTTCGAGTACTCTCGCTGGAGCCATCGTGAATAGTCTCAAGGGTGTCTTTGCACGGATACGGTACAACGCCCACTCGAACGACTTGGTTAATGAGGGTAAGCTTGTGTTCATAAGAACGCTTTCCTCAGCTCGAGGCCCCCTCCCTCCGGCTACTATACCAACCGATCGCTCCTTGATTCGCTACACACCTGTCTACCCCTCATTCGGCAGTGCTCGAACAAGCACCTGGCTAATGCCCCGGTGTCTCGATAGTAACCCCACACATACCCCGGATTCTCCTCATTCTCGGGATCGGGTGGCTGGCCAATCACTTTTTACCGAGTCCGAGTTGGCATGCTTGTTTACACGTTCATCTATGCCTGTCAAGCATGGTATAGCAACTTCAAAAGCAAGACCATCACCTTTCCAGAAAGTACCTTAGAAATTGTGTCGCATCAATGGCTGCATTTTTACCATCACCAGCCAACGGCATAAATATCACACGCCGTCGCTAGGCTACAAGTGCCTCCAGCCCTGTACAACCTACCAAGTCGCTGGCACTGATAGACAATAAATGGCTTTGTCCTCTGCCTTGTGTGTCCAGGTCGCTATGTTCTTCGTCAATGTTGTATGGCATGGCAATGACATGTCTCTATGTTTCGACCAGCACCGCAGTCCACAACTGTCACCGTCATCAAATGGGTTTCCAACCTCGAAGCATAGGAACGGCGTGCTGTCTTTCGTACCTTCAGATAAGCCGCGTCAGTCGAATAACAGCTTTATCACGCACCAGAACTAGCTCAGACCAAGTCTTATTTGTATTCCCAAGAACCTGCATCAACTTGCTACAAAAGAGATTATGCTATCCTTTACAATCTATCCAAGCTACGTCAATTGCAATCTCAGATCCGCCCACTACCCAAACTCCATCCCATAACGCACGTACAACACAGACTCCTTCCCTTCCCCTATCGAGCTGCCATCGCCACCGCCGTCGCCACAGTCACGCCAAAGGCCACCACGAACAAGATCACGGCCCCCAGCAGGATCATTACGCAGTACCAGGTCGGAAACCACACCTCCTGGCTCAAGTAGCGCCTCAACACCTCCCATCGCCTCTTAGCCACCCCAGCCCACCCTCTGATCAACTCCACCCCTCGCCCCCTCATCTCCTCCCACCCCCCTCCCTCACCCCTTTTCCTTTCCCTTCCCCCATCCCTTCCCGCCAGCCCCTTCTGCCGCACCTCACCAAGCTCAACATCCACCCACGCCCCTTCGTCCCCCTCCGATCTCCCCCGCCCCGCCGCCCCACCCCGATCTCCCTCTCTCCAGGCCTCCCCAAAAGACACGCCCCCCCTCCTCACCACCTCCGTCCCCACCCGCCCCACCAACACCCTCACCCTCGCCAAATGCGCCTTCTGCTCCGACGCTTCCCTCACCCGCCGTCTCCGCGTCACCAGCATCAGCGCCCTCTGCCGCGCTGTCTTCACGCCCTTTTGCAGGCGGCGACGCATCGCTCGCGCCGCCTTGCTCATTCGTGGCTTTGGGGGGTTTGGGGTTGGGGTTGTGGTTGTGCGTCGAAGCGCCGGGCTTGGGCGGGAAAGAGGAGCGTTGCCGGGCTTGGGGAGGCGCAGCGCTGATGCTTTGATGTTCTTCTCGTTCCCGTTCCCGTTGACGTTGAAGCTGGCGTTGTTCGCGATGAATGATGATGGTGATGGTGATGATATTGGGTGCACCACTTTTTCTTCCGGGATGGTGAGCAGCATCTGCGAGAAGCGCGTGAGCGGGGATGTCAGGTTGCGAGTCGACTGTCGGCGGCGAAGGCTTCGGCGGTAATGCACATGAAGAGGGGCGGGGCGGGAGGCGCGGGCGCGGACTTGGATGAGGGAAGGGCGCTGCTGCCTTTGCGATGGCGTTGGTTTGCGGAATGGTGGGCTGATGATCGGGCTGATTAGCGAGGAGGTGGAGGTTGAGGTGGGCTTGGAGAGAGGGTGGGCTTGCGCGAGCGTGGCGTCGATGAGTGTTGGTGGGGGCGGTGGCGGCGGTGGCGGCAGGAAGGGTGTTGCAGGCCTTAGGAATGTCGCCGACTCGTTGGATCTAGAGGCACTATTGCTGCTTCTGCGGTGGTGAGGATGGGGTGACGCAACGCGCGGAGGCGACTGGAGCTTGCGGGAGGCTCGGGCGGGTTGAGTGTGAGGCATACTGATTTGGCTGCTGGTCTTGTACTAGTACTTGTCGAGTAGGATCTGTAGACTGTCTGTTTGAAGTGGCTGCTGGGATTGAAACCGAAATGTAGAGTGCTGAGAAGTCTGCTCGCTGTCACGAAGCATGGCCTCTATATACGTCCCATTCGCCAGCAGCTAGCGGCTGTCTTCCAGGCAGTGGTTCGGCCATGCCTTTGTCCCTGCGGGAAAGAGTCTCACTGCCGTTGTCTGAGGTCAAGACATGTCTCTCAGGCCTACTTGAGACCGGGAGGTAGTTGCAATGAGACAAGGAAACAAAGGAGGAGGCTGATGGGAACAGGTCAATACAAAAATAGTGCCAAGGCTTTTACTGCCTGGCAATTGCTTGGCGTTTAGTAGAGTAGAAGAGACATGAGCGTGAGTAGGAACGTGACTTTAGGAGACCCTTTGCGTATATCTCCGGGGTCGAGTATCTGACTGCTTGCGTCTGGATATATATGGTCGGTTAAAGCTCAGGGCAGGGCAAAGGCAAAGCGCAAGAAGTGCAACGGCATGAAGAGCACTGACACGGGGGCAACCACAACATAATATTGAGGCTAATGGCCGTCACAGGCATCGTCATTTTAGTCATTCGGGATCGCGACTACCGACTACCGCCACCCTCCCTTCATCACGAGAAGAATTGAAAGAGTTCTGAGCCAGTGAAAATGGGTCCTTGCACATGCCCCTCGTCCATCAGATGCCGCTCTAGTCCCCCTCCTCCTGTTCATCCCCGCCCCATCAGAAGTCGAAGATGGACTTTACGCAGCGGTGCAGTTATACAACGCAGGACGGAAGTACTCGACAAAAGTGTCCGCGATCTTGCCATCGGCTGTGATGTTCATCATGGTGAGGCCGCGGACCGGTAAGCCCTCGGGCGAAGTGCCCAGCCAGCGCCAGGCGATCTTGTCGCACGAGTGGAACATGTCGAGCGTCTGGGTCCCGTCGGTTGGGGGTTGCGCGCTGAAGACGGCCTTGAAGGCTGTGGGGGAGGGGATGGTCATGGCCTCGAGCTGCGAGGGGTAGGCGTGTTAGCATTGGATGGTCCTTTCCATTTTATGCCTCGCCGCTAAGTCCAAGGAATGTGCGCTGTGGCACGGGCTGGAAAGGATATGTGACTTACGGGCTTGCGGATCTCGGCGTTGATTGAGTTGGACATGGTGAAGAAGCTGTCGGCGAGGATACTGTCGGCCGTGGCATTGAATTCCGCACCTGTGACCGAACGCGAGATGAGCGTCTCGTAGACGGCGACGATCTCTTCGGCTTGGGTATCGGTAAGGCAGTCGCCAACCGTGTCAGGGCAGTTTCCGTTGTCGGTCCAGCCCTTGGGAGCGGCGGCAGCGAGGCCGGCCAGGACGGCAGTGGCAGCGGCGAAGGTGAAACGCATGATGAATGCTTTGTTTTTGATGAGTATGGAAAACGAATGTGGGTGGCAATTATTAGTGCCGAACTATTGATCAGCTGTAGCGAGTAGCGATGATGGCATGCTGGAAGTAGGCAAGACCAGAACATACGGCGTTATATATCCTGGCCTTGGGGTCTCCTCTAATGAGCACCGACAGCCGGGGGCCTTTGCGAGACCCGGCAAGGACCAGGCGATGGGTGGTCATGACGGCCCATGGTCAGCAAGTCGAAATTCAAACTTGGCGGGAATGGATATCAGATGTGGGAATAGTCGCTTGTGATTAGTGGGACAGGCAATAATGCTCGTTGGAACTGGCCAGTCCCAAGACTGACGATCAGATATGCCTGCGAATGCACTGCCTCGCCGTCCTGGGTTTCGAGAACCTGGTCAGATCTCGGCCGTCTTGGCTCATCCGGGGTTCAGGCTCTAGCAGCTCGCAGGGATAAGACTCCTCGACGTGTGTGTTGGTCAACATCACAACATTGACGCAAGGACGTGTCATCCAGTATACTCAGTCGTCGCCCGCTAGAGATAAGTAATCACTCCCAGCACAGACAATTCGCTTGACGCCAGCCGCAGTCCCATATGTCGTCTACGTCACCTCAGAGGAGACAACCATTCTGCTGGGTGAACGAGGCGGAAGAATTGGACATTGGTAAGGTAATCTGCCAAGCGGGCGGAAACTGAACAGTCATGTTTCACCATTGTCCATCCAAACCATCAAGCACCTGTCATGTCTTGGCCTCTGACGATCTTGGGAGTGCTTAATCTCGTACACGACAACTCGAGCTCAGCTTCTCCTTGATCGTGCATAATCCAAGCCCTTGGCGGCGGTCGATGCTGAAATCAAGTGTGGGCGCCTAACGCCGACTGCCGCCCGAGGGGGCCGTATTCAAGCAATGGTCGATGACCAACTGCTGAGTATCCAGCCTGAGACGAACGCCACGCCGCCGCCATCATATCTAGTTGGTGACGTAAGTGAGCCCAAGTAACGGATGCATACAGTCCTTGTGCTAGATGAGGATGCAGCAGGCCAAGACATCCCGCTCTTATTCGAATTTCGGTACAAGTTGGATCTGCATTCGGTAAGCACTGTTGCACAGGCCTGCACTACTCGTGAGCCTCCACGGCCGTGATGCAATGGATTTGCACATTCTTTTCCTCACTCCAAATCTTCCGCACATCTGAGTCGGCGAATTGCTTTACGCGAATGCCATCAAAGTGCGGTACTGCGCTGTTAACGTGCTCGTCATGGAGGGCAGATCGATCAAGACCATCAGTGGAGTTATCGTCGAGTAGTTGCGTGGATTATTCATCTCTTCTATCGGTAAAGGCGCAATCGGAAGCTAGGTATTGTGTTTGCTTGAGGGAGTTGGCGCAGTGACGGCTGATGGAGATTGGTGGAAGTCTATCTCGTCGGCGGCCTGACCGTCCTGCTGATTCCCCGAGACTGCCCTGGAGTTCCTGGTGACCTTCCAAGAGTACATTTCATGATCTACTAACGACTGCGGCTGTTCATTGCGTTGGGCTAGGTGAAAGCGGTGGGATTCTTGCTGGGTGTGGGTGATGGAAGTCACCATTGGCGGTGATGTCGAGGGAACCAGCCGTGGAGAGCGTGTCATAAGGACAACGGCAAGGAACTGGCATGGGAACTGTGCCGCCAGGCACGATTGCAGGGACCATCACGAGCATGACAGTGGAACTTTGCCGCCAGACACGATGCCAAAGACCCAGGACTCGTCCAGGCGGACCCGGGAAGCCGCGAACCCGCGAAAGGTAGCCTGGCTGCAGCTACGACTTCCTCCGGAAGCGCGGCGACAGGTCGGGTGAACAGCATTCTTGCAGACATCAAGCTCATCGCAACAACCAGGTCCACGCTGGTGCCTAGCACATTTGTCAGTGCAGTAGGTCCACCGCAGTCGCGAATTAGGGTGGCTATGTTTCTCATGCCGCCCATGGTACTTTCCGGAATCCTTCTGTGACCTCTTGCGAGACCGCGTGGAGCTACTGCTGCGGATGGCCTCCGCAGCGGCCAGAGGATTGTAATGCGATGCGAAGGAAGCGCGGCGGCAACTTTGAAGGGACGTGGACCGATTGCATGCACCCTTTCTAGTCGTGATGGACTTGGGAACAGGACTTGACTCGTGTGTGTCTAATGTGGGTGGCAGTACTGAAATAACCATGGCGGGGCGCCGAATTTTGGCCTTATTGTTGCTAATGAACAGTGGCAACGAGGAAGGCGAATGATGTCAGGCACTGCTTCTTACCATCTTGCCTACTACGGGTGCAAGCCCTTGGGACATGTGTGTAGCGACCAGGTCCCTAAAGCGCACTCCCGCGTGAGAAGGCAATGCAGTTTGGCGATGCTTTAGACAGCAAGTGACTTGCTTCTGTCAGGGTTAGGAACTTGTGGACAGCTGAGCAAAGCACTGCCGCTTCACGACCGAGAGCGGCAGGCTCTCGCACCTTTGCTGTGGAGAGGGCGACCGCTAAGGGGGGGGGCATTGCATTGGGTTTGACGATGCGAGACAACAGAGCTTTCACCCTCTCCTGCTTTCTGCCATTCGGGTAGCCTGTCGACTAGCTGGTACTCATATCTCATGACAATTCCATACCAGCCCCTTAGTCGGGGAAGTCAATACCCTGCTCTGATTGCAGGGTAGAAGGGACGTGAGGCCAAGAACAGCAGCTGAGGTTGCGGATCAGTAAGGCTTGGGTGTCACGGCACCGAATTGGTGCTGGTGAGGCCCTACAAAGTTGTGAGCAGCATCACATCCAGGCCCATGCCTGCCTCAGGCTTCAGTCCTTCCGAGCAGTGACGCGTCGGCCGAGGCAAAGGCGGAACGGCACTGCATCGAAGCCACAAGCATGTCTCACCATCACAGGAAATGGAAAGAAAGAGACCTTGTACGGCTGAAGTAGCTTGGTCAAAGCAGAAGGCATAGCTATCAGGCGTGCCGCTGGTCGGAGATGGGAGGATGCCAAAGTTATTTTCACAGCCTGTTTTCAAACACTCTGTGAGGCTGACTGCGGCGTGGTGGCGGCCCGAATCACCCGCCACAGCATCAGCCACACGGTTCAACGCCTAAAGCGCCTAACGCACGGCGCTTAAAGCGATTGTGGGGGCCCGACGGCCGGCGCTTCGGGGCGGTTCGCCGGCTACCTGCAGGCGGTGGGTTCCTATCATACCAGATGAACCCGTCAACGCGCTACAGTCCCTGCACAGGATGGCCGACGAGCGCACACTATGTCCTCAGCTCCGCGCACCAGTCGCTCCTGCGCCAAAGCAGCTACTGTGTGTCTATATTCGTTGTAGCGCGAGGCAGACCGTGCCAGCCCGCAGCAGACAAACGTCCAACCCCGGTTTGCACAGCCACGATCGACAACCAAAGTTCCATGCCCCGTCCTCAACCCCTCTCAAACAGGTTTCCCCTCCTCTACTGTAGACTCTACACACTCTCAAGAAGAAGTTGCTTTGGCCCCATTGCCGTTCCTCATTCAAGAGCAATCGCCGAGTGCGGCTAAGGCTCCTGGAACTTGTGTGCAGCGAGACACACCGAGCAAGGCATGGTGTCCACCCACCGTCCCAATTCCGACACCCACTTGCTCACCACCATCCCTCCAGCCTTGGGGCCGAAACAACGGCAAATATCGTTTGCAAACATGAGGTCACCAGATGGTGACGAACAGAACAAACTCGGCTACTGACTAATACAGCTTGTGGTCATCGCGTGCCATCTCGAGGGGCTTGGAACTCAGAAGAGAGTCCCCACCATGCTGCCAAAATCCCTCGATAGCTTGTTGCCTTATTTTCTACGTCCACTCGACCCCTGCTCAGTGGGCCGCAGTGGCCTCTCTCCCAGCCTTGACCACTGGGGTCGCATGAGGTGGCGAGATTTCCCTCCCTTCTTCCTTTCACTGAATTGCAGTATACACGCCCCCTTGGCTCACCCTTGGTTTGACTCCCCCGTGCTGCTCGTCCACCTCAGTGCTGCCCCTCTCCACTCAAAGAATTTTGGTACCCACCCAGTAGGCGACCACTCTTTGGCTCGGACTTCCTCGAACTGGGGCCGATACTGGATACTGGAAAGTATCCTACTGGTGGTACCCTAACCAACAATCGTGCGAACGATGGGGGATTATATAAATCGCGCCTCCACCTGATCATCTTTCATGCAGGGCGTCTGCATATACGACGAACGCTTCTTCAACATACCTGCTATCGACTGCTTTACTACTGCTTCACCTCATCCTCGGCCAACCGCCACTGGCTGATCCTTCATACTCATCGTCTTGTTATTTTGCATGTCGGATCGCTACTACCGACCGCGATACCGAAGCCTGTCACCAGAACCCTACTACATCGAACGTCTGCCTCGATACATAACAAGGTCACCATCACCTCACACAGTACGCTCATCACCGGGACCACGAAGAGTATCTTTCGGGGTCGCTACCGACCCTCGCTCGAAGAAGACCGTCGTCTTCAAAGAGAGCACCTATCGACGAAAGCGGCGATCTAGCCGTCGCTCACGCACTGCTTCACCACCACCTGCTCCACGGGGACGCAATCCGCTCATCATCATGAGTGACCGCGCAGCAGAGGAGCACGTTCCGCTCCCTCCTCCTGTGCGCAAGGAAGGGGAACGGTCCTCGAGTAGCGAGGATGGCGACGGCAAGAGGAAGGAGCGTCGCCGCAAAGGCAAGTCGTATGACAAGCGAGCACCCTTGGTGCACAACCCTCTTGACGAGGACTACCCGGTGATCGAAGACACCTCGACACCCTCGTCTGACCGTCGCGACAGTGGTGTCTTCTCCGGCCGTGGCTCGCCCCGAAACGCCAAATACCACGAGACCAAGGGCAAGTTCCTTCTGCCAGCCGAGCGTCGCTCGCCGGTCGATGACAGCCACGTGCAAGAACTCACCCAGCAGTTCAACCACATCCTCCAGAACGAGCACCTCGACAAGCTCAACGCCGAAGCCCGTGCCAACCGCCTAGAGGAACAGCTCAACCGCGCCAAAGCCGAGATCGACCAAAACAAACGGGCTGACTACCTTGACCAGCGCGAACGCCGCATCTCGGACCGCGAGAAGTCGCACCGTGACGAGCAGAAGCGCTTGAGCCAGACTTCACTGCGTGGCAATCTTCCGCCACCGCGGCGTGATGTCGTCGTCACTCAGCCGCAGCTCCCTATCCAACCCTCCGGCGGCTACTATGCCACTCCTCCTCCCGCTGCTGACCCGGCAGCCGAGGCGCTGGCCAAGGCAAAGTCCGACTGGAACAAGCGAAAGAGTGGCGGCGGCTACGGCGACAGGAGAAGGTCGCCATAGCAAGTTGTTATACGTTTGTGTATACATCGATCCGACCTATGTACAACGCCAAAAGAAGACGGAAAGCCTCACGGCACGCGGCACCGACACACTGGGTTGGCGTTTTTCATTGGGGGTAAGAGTATTGGGCATCTTTGAATCACCGGCGTCCATACCGACCACAATTCACTCGCTTCGTTGGACATCATCTCTCATCTTCTTTTCATGATCGCGAGAGGCTCACCATCATTTTCAGACAGCGACAGCGCCAGAGACAGGACATGGGCTGCACGCATCGCACAGCCAGATAGATAGCAGAATTAGATAGGGCGGACAAGCCGTAATCCAAGCCAATGACTTTTATCATGAGTTATGCATTTCCCTCCCCATCTTTACCTGCAGACCATTTCGTAAGCACGGTGGAGCTGGAACCCTTGTGTTTCCTCTTGGGTGCTGATCGCTGCAAAGGCCGACTCAAGCCCGAAGAGGAGCGGGGGCCACACTCGGCATGGGTGCACTCCAGCTTGGGCGCAGCTGGGCTGTTGTTCGCCCCAAACGACCAACCGGGTGGTCTAGATTCGTCCTCCTCTTTAATTCTGGATACTCTGGGTGGCACCGTAGATCGCTTCCTGCGCAGAAACGGAGCCGCTGGGGCGTCCAGAGCTCGTGGTGGGCTGAAGGCGCGTGACCACGTTGATTCTGCCAGGTACGGCTGTCATGGTCTGATATAAATGTGAATCATTTCCTCAATGGCTTACTTGGCGACGTGTAAAAGTCGTACGCTGCCATATCGCAAAAAAGCTGAACCTTGAATGGGCAAAAGAGGGTGTGTGTGCTAACCGTACAGTGCGGTTGCGATCTTGTATGCACCGTGCCTAGGGGAGATCTGCATTTGCCTCTCTCCCGCCCGCGCCTCGCCAATCCCCCATCCCCATCCCAGCCGCCTCTCGCCTTGCATTACCTCAGCCTGTTTTCCTGACGAGTCCAATTGCATTTGCGTCACTCCCAGCCGGTACGAAGAACTCGACGAGGCTGTACTTTCACAGAGTCTGTAGAAATTCGAGCTCTCTCCCTACACCCCTCCGTTGCTGCAGCCACCACCCCATATCGCGCCTGTTCCATGACTGCGACCCTGCACGCGAGCATCGCATGAGAGAATGTGGCAGCTCCAGCTCCAGCCACTCTTACAGCCGATAGCCACCGCTGCGCGCACAGCACGACCCATGGGTGAAGTCACCTGAAGAGAGCCCAAGCCGAGCCACGCTACCCCCCTCCTTCATAAACAACGAAGCGGTCCCCCTTTACAATGGGCGAGGAACCGCCGCAGGCACATGATGAATGCCAACAGAAAGAGAAAGAGCCTACACCTCCCTTGCCCCCCGCGCCACAGCCTGAAAAGGATTCAGGCATTGTGCCCTCCGTCAAGAGCCCGGATCCAGACAGCGCCGATGCCGTCGATCCAGACAGTGTCGACGTTTTCCAGATGACGCCGATCCAAGCCCTCAAGCTGCTGTGTAACTTCGTTGAGACGCTGGTTCGAATGACGGGCGATGTACCTCCCACTCCTCCCGTCCGCAGTGGTGGGCAGTCGCCTGCGCCTGGCATGTCTGGCCTCCGCTACGCTGTAGACCCCGAGCAGGCGAAGGAGAACGCGGGATTTGGCCCTAGCCCTCCGGCTCAGGTCGACGGCGTAGCTTTTGTCAAGGCACACATCGGATCGCCCGAAGCGCACCCACAAGAGCCCACGTCCGTCATTGGCGCAGACGCCCAACCGGTACACGTCCAGCACGGCATCATTGCGAGGAAATTCTGGTCTAAGCGGCCACCGGGGATTCCGCTCATGGAATATCTGATGCGCATGCACAAGTACTGCGCCATGTCGACCGCGGTCTACCTCGCTACAGCATACTACATCGCACGGCTGGCGGTGCACGACCGCCTTCTACCTGTCACGCCGCGCAATGTGCACCGCCTCGTCTTGGCAGGCCTGCGCGTGTCGATGAAGGCGCTGGAGGACATGTGCTGGCCACACAGCCGCTTTGCCAAAGTCGGCGGTGTCACCGAGTCCGAGCTGGGTCGGCTGGAGGTCACCTTCCTCTTCCTCATGGCATTTGAGCTCAAGGTGGACGAGGCGACGCTGGCCCGCGAGGCCGAAAGTCTTGCGCGCGGTGCACGCGGCGCGTCCGACTTGGTGCTCCTGGACGGGCCCAGCGCCATGGAGCTGACACTGCCAACGGAGCGGCGTCAATCCAAGGGCGGGGAAAAGAGAAAGGCCAGTAGCGTGCTTCCCAGCCGGCCGGCTATACAGGTCAACAATGGAGCGATGGGCAGTGCGGCGATCGAGGTCATGGGTCAGTCCTAGCTCGTCCCCGGCCGGGTCGTTGGGTGACACCGCAGGGAGTACGGAAATGGAAAATCACGCCACGGGCGTTTTTGGGGATCGTCGAAATCACACTTGAGCATTTTTGCTGCGTCGCTTTGATATACAACATGCTGCTGCTGCTATACTCTGGATGGCAAGCAGGCAATGAAATCGCCATTCTCTTTCTATCAATACCACTTTTTCGTGATTCTCCCTCCTCGATGTGCCTCATGCGCAGGCCTATCAAGTAGTAGGGATAGCCTATAGTGGTGGCTTGCATCCTCGCGGCTCTCATTAGAGTTGGAGAAAGTTGTAGACACTGCTATAACTTACTGCGTAAGACGGTCGGCCAATAGGGCGCATGATTGGGCGGCTGACACACTTCAGGGGCCAAGACGTAGGTCTCTACAAGGTATGGATGTACCTCTACCAAACGCTACGAGTACCAAGACTGCGTACGCGAGCGCGCAGTGGCGGGGCGCTGTTATAAAGCAATCGCGAACCTCCAAAGTGCTGACCTCCTGTATCTCTGTATCTCTGTCAACACTCTGTAGCCCAATCCCACCGCCCCTGCTCACCATGCACTGGCTGACGCTCGCCCTGCTGGCCCTGCCGGTCGCCTATCTCGTGCAGAAATCTCTGCAGCTGTACCGCAACTACCTGCTCGTACGGAAAACGGGCTTCCAGTACCTCATCTGTCCCGTCGACACCGTCTCGCCTGTATGGATCATCGTGGGGCCCATCTTCCTGAAGCAGCTGGAGCGCCACCTGCCGGATTGGCTGTGGCAGCCCATCCGCTTCACCATCTACGGCTGGGAGTTCCGCAGCGGATACGAACCGCACGAGAAGTACGGGCCCGTCTTCATGATGGCCACCGCGGGCCACCCGGAACTCTTCGTGGCTGACCCGGACGTCGCGCACGACATTCTCAAGCGGCCCAACGACTTCATCATGTCCGATGCGGGCCAGCTGATCTTGGGCAAGTTCGGCGACAATCTCTTGCTGGCTCAGGGAAAGACGTGGGAGCGCATGCGGCGGTTCATTGCGCCGCTCATTAATGAGCGCATTTCTGCTACGGTGTTTCAGGAGACCAAGGCGCAGGCGGAGCAGATGATTCGGCATCTCGAGAGCGTCAAGGGCGCTACTAACGATGCCGCCGAGGGGCTTAAGCAGATCGCCGTCAATGTCTTGGGCGCGGCGGGATACGGCAAGCCGCGTGCCTGGAGTACCGGCGACGATGAAGAAAAGCCATCGCCGGGGTTTCACGTCACGTATGTGCAGGCGGTGCGCTACCTGATGGATAATCTCATCGAGATGGCTTTCGTGCCCACGCGCATCCTCCTGTTGCCGTTCATGCCCCATCGCCTCAACCAGACGGCGCATTCGATCAAGGAGCTGACGGCGCTGACGCGGCAGTTGCTAGACGAGGAGCGAAACGCGCCGAATAGTGCTGGGGCCAGGGCTAACATCGTGAAGCTCTTGGTTCAGGAGCAAAACGCCACTGAAAAGGGAACCATTACACTCCAGGATGACGAGATCGTTGGCAACATGTTCATCTTCTCCGCCGCCGGCACCGACACGACCGCGAATACCATGGCGTACGCCATCTTCCTCCTCGCCGGCTACCCTGAATGGCAAGACTGGATCATCGAAGAGATCGACGAGGTGCTCGCCGGCAAGACCGATGAGCTAGAGTACACCGACATCCACCCCAAGCTGATCCGCACTCTGGCTCTTATGGTAAGCAGCATATTCTCTATACCCTTTCCACTGCTGTTGTTCTCCAACCACTGACCCCCGCCGTGCTTCCCATGCAGTACGAAACCCTTCGCCTCTTCGCCCCCCTAACGCACATCGCGCGCACCACCACCTCCCCCAAGACCATCACCACCTCCGCCGGCCACACGCATACCATCCCCGCCCACTGCAACATCTACCTCAACTCCTACGCCCTCCAATGTGACCCCGCCGTCTGGTCCGACTCCGCCCCACCCCAGACCTTCCACCCACCGCGCTTCGTGGCCTTCGACCCCACCACCCACAAACCCTCCATCAAACCCCTCCGCAAGGGGAGTTTCTTGGCCTGGAGCGCTGGCCCAAGGATCTGTCCCGGGCAGAAGATGAGTCAGGTCGAGTTCGTGACGACGTTCATGATGCTTTTCCGCAGGTATAGAGTTGAGGTGGCGTTGGAGGAGGGCGAGGATGTGGAGAGTGGGTTGGCGAGGGTGAGGGGGGCGATGAAGGATAGTTTCCCGAGGTTGACGATGCAGATGAATCGGCCGGAGGATGTTACGCTGAGGTTTGTGGCGCGATGAGGATGCTGGGGGAAAGGGGGCGGGGAAGCGGTGTCTAGAAGAGAGATCGAAGGGGGGCGAGATGGTTGGGGAGCTTTGTGAAGATGGACGTGGGTGTGTTGGGCGGTGCATCGTGGGATATGAGTGCCGGCCGCAGTCGATCGCTGCGTGCTTCAAGCGAGGCGGGGAACGACGGCATTAGCTCAGGCTATCTGAGAGGCAGGGAAACTTGCACTTGAATCGCGCCCGACTCCCAGTCTCGGTTCCTAGTGCCGTTGAACTCATCTACCGAAGCCACGGCCTGGATGGATGCTTGGATAAAGCCAAGTATCAGTATCCAGCCGCAGAACACAAGGAGGTTCACCACCCACACTGTCTCTGCAATCGGACCAGACCACGAGCTTTTGCACCGAACCAGAGGGTTTCTCGCTTGGCGAGGTTCATTGTTTCTATCCGCAACAATGATATCTCGGTGCAGGCCATCTTCCCAGTCAAGGCACATCACAGGTTTCGATGGATGCATGCCGTGTGTCTCACAACGAACAAAGCATAGTAGAGACATCGCTGCCTCGGCGCCAGTGACAAGTGCAGCATTATGTGCTGCGGCGCAGAGATATAACAAGGCAGAGTCTACGAATATACTGACCGTTCTTGCTCACATCGCACCATCAGTAGAAAGTTCTCGCTGACACCGACGAAAACAACTTGGTTTTGCTGTCTGGACAGTACAGTAGCTCTTGACATCAACGCAAACACAGCCAAATTTTCTCCCAATTCTTCCCAGAACTCAGATCCCATCCCACGGTTGAGGCCAGCGGCAGACGATGAAGCAACCCATTCACATCTGCGGTGGCAGTCCCTTGGGACACCAGCCCTTCTTCATCGCCAACCACCATCACTACCTGGGGTATCTCTTCGGCAACAGGACCGACCATGCCACCCGCGCCGACCGACGCATGCCGACCCAGACCATTCCACCGTACCCCGGCCCACAACACGACCCGGTCTGCGCCGCCGACAATGCCTTCTCCTTGCCGCAAATCGCCGGGTCCATCAATGCCGCTTTCCCTCGAGACGAACCGAACGCGTCGATTCCCGGGCTGCCAATCGAACAACACGATAGCACCACAATCTCGACGATTCCCAACCTCAAGCGCGAGGCAAGGAGTGAGACCGCCACCAACGACAACGATGAGAACGACCGCGATACCGCGCCTCTAAAGCTGCTTCCGCTCTATCGCAAAGCACAACGCTTCGTCACGTCGGCTGATGGAGCCGGCGAATGCGCTGCAGACGCTCTTCACGTTCCTTACAGCGGCGTGGAACTGGATTACATGGGCCTGTGATCGCGTCAACCGGCTGCGTAGGTGGTGGGCGGTTCTGTGTCATGCTCGACGGATGCGAGATGAGGTGAGGCCTGAGTTCGTGTGTGGAGATGGAGACGAAGGTCGAGGGCGTGCTAGGGCTGGAAGGCCAGGGAGGAAGGAGAGAAAGGGCAGAGGGAGAAGTGCGAGGCGGGAGAAGCGATGGGCCGCTCGGAAGGGAGGAAGGGGACCGGGATCAAGGAACAGCGCGAGGCAATGGCGAGGAGGAACAGGCGGCGCTGCTGCTGCTGCTGCTACCGTTGCTGCAGGAGCTGTCTCGGCGGCTGTCGTTGTCGTTGTTAGTTGATTAGGAGAAGCTGTGTCTCGGCCCGCGGCGGGAGATTTTGGATGGAGACTGTGAAGCAGTCACGAGAGATGAATCTGGACGAAGCAGGAGGCTCGGGTTGGTCAGGTGGATTGTGTAGTTTCCAGTGAGACCAGTATTCTGAAAAAGGTGATCTACCTCCACCGAGAAGCGTCGTGTATTCCTCCAGTAACTTCAATCACCATTACACACGAGCTGCTCGCATATTAGCGAGAAGATGTCTGGCCCGATACGACATGCCGGGTTCTGCGCCAGCGGTTTCCCACAGAGCATGTACGTCTAGCTCGCCCGCTGCTTCGAATTGGAGAGCCATTTCTTCGCCCTCTTTGTTTCCCTCCACCAGACCAAACAACGAGCATGGCACAGCGATCAACGAGAAAAGCGGAAGCGTGAAACCCGTCCCCAATGCGATGATGATAGGCGCGAGGACGCTGAGTGACACGTGTACCATCGTTGACACAAAACTTGAGTTGACCTGATAATCGATTGCAACCTCGACCCAGCGCGCGAATCGGAACCTCGCCGTAGGCATGGCTGGCGTTCGGAATGTGTTGGCCACTCTGCGGCGGAATGCCCACGATCTTAGCGTTAGTACAGCGGTGCTCTGGAGCAGCAGTAATATTGCATACGCAAGCAGATAGGGATAGCATCTCGAAGGGCTCTGCCTGAACTTTGCATCGTCGGCCGGAACTAGTCCCACAAGAAACATTATAGTGAAAAATAACAAGGTAAACCCTGTGATAGACCGACCAAGCGGAGGGATGGTGTCGTGAGCCTTAAAGAAAGGACCCAGTTGCTGGACAGTTATTGAGTTCAAGCCCGGTAATGAGTGAGACGCATCGTCACCAAGGTAGAGAGGGCCGACCGATTTCGCACTGGAACCTGCTTCTCGTGCACGTCCAAGGCTCGGCTGATCTGTAATGTACGTGTTAGTGGTGGTACGTCGCAAAATATGCCCTTGGGACCACAGCTACCGTAGAGCATGCTGATCGTATCGGGTCCGGTATAGGCAGCATCAATCGTCGACAACCGCGATGATTTGCCGTCGTCTATTTTACGCGCCATCAATGAGCAATAAAAGATTGTTTGTATGTTTTTGCCATCCTCTTCCTGAAGAGCGAGTGCTGCCCCTTTGATAGAGCTCGACGTTGAGTTGAATAGCATGCTTTCACCTGCGAAGATGAAGCATATGCCGATAGTCCCAGCTTCAATTGGTTGCAGGTCCTCTAGGTCGCCGTCATCCCAGAGAGCTTCGACAACGCTGGGCCGGTCTGGGGACCTGGCGTTACGAAGCAGGAACTGACGTGGTAGTTTGCTTACGCCACGTGCGATAAAGACCGTGCAGCCAGGCTCTTTGTCTCTGCGGTGCAGGTGGAGACATCCTCCGCGAACATAGAAAGCAGGTCCCCTGCTGAGAAGCGGACCACTCATGGCACGTGGTACCCATCTGTTTAAATGCAACTCTGGCACGGACCGGGAATGCTCACCAGCTGCGAGTGTACCCTCGGTGAGGCTGTGAAGTTGAAGAGAGTCGCAGCCTATGCTGGGCTTGACATCGAATAGATAAGCGATAGGTATTCGTTGCAGACTGCCAGACAGTGTCAGAAGCCCTATACCCGAGGATGTTAGCCAACACGACGATCAGATCTTTGGAATAAGTCGTATGTCGGTGGATTAGACCATTCCACGCAATGAGTAGCATCTCGTGCTCCCAGTTGTCGCGTTTACCTAAAGCTTGAACAAAGATTTTGTGCCGCGACCAATCGAGTAGTAAGATGTCTTCGTAATTGAGGCAGCCAGCGGACTGGCTCTTGAACTCTGGCTCGAATGTCGACAGAGAAAGCCTGCGGGTCTCGGTACATGGTGGCAAGAATAGGGCTTCGGCAAGGCGATGCAGCAGGCTGGCAATGAGAACGCTGAGTTCATACTCTGGAGTTTCGGGCCGGTCAACTTCGAGGATCCCGTCACTCAAGGCAAAGACGACACGTCTGGATAGACTGCCCTCTTGAAGTGTCCAAGCGCGCGTGGTCCATCCACAATGACTTGCGTATGCCATCAAGGTTGGAACATGCATGTGCTTGGAGAGAGTGAGCATTTCAGCGTCAAGAACTAGAGTCAGTGATGCATATGCGTATGTAATATTCATGCTGTCAATTGCCGTCGTCCTGGCTTGAGTAAAAGCCTCCTTTGCATGTGTAGCGTCGTCCGCCGCAGCAACAGGGATGCAGAGACTGTCGATCCAGAACCAACGCTTCTTTAGTGCCAGGAGCCCGTCGAACGCGGCGTAGCGAGACACTCGGAGACGAGTAGGCACTTTATCCATTATGTGCTGAAGTTCAACGAGCCGGCACTCAGGCAGTGCGTTACTGGTGCTGTTGCCCAAGTCCGTCGGCCCAAACATGGGAGATGGTAGTATATGGGGTAAACCTGTGGTACATAAGCCTGGGTCTCAAGAGCTACACGGTCATCGGAGTCCAGTCGCCACCAGCATCTACAAGACAATCACTCACCAGTCCCACTACTCTAGTTTCAGCATTGTATGCCCAGCTCGGCTAGCACGTATCGAGATCAGCGGAATGCCGCCTTCGCGGATTATAGATGATACTTCGTCCGTCGAAACACCGACCATATCGCAACTACAGTCCGTTGTGGCATGTAATATTGGAGGTGACGAAAAGGCTCCACTAGAGTATGTCCACGCGGTGCATAGCACTTCAGTACAACTATCATGCTTGATGATGCTGCGTGTTCTTCGAGGGGTCATGGCAAAGGTGTAGAGCGCATCAACGCTATACAGATGCGTCAGGGTGTGGCAGTCGCGTTTACACCAACCCTTTGCCTGTAAATGTCGCATCAAAAGTCGTATCGAAGGGGAGACGTCCGTGGCGTTGAGATCAAAAGTTCTTGCTCTGCCCAGCGAGGCTAACAAAACTTCAATCGAGAGCACTATCAAATCAATGACAGGGCTATCAAATTTCGAGATCGAAGGCTCGAGGGATCGAAGAATCTGGTCTGCCTTGAACAAAATATCGGAAAGCGTCATGATATGCGTCCGCCTTTTCTGACGACTTCGTATACTTAGGCCCATCACGGCCCGTACACTCGTAAGTTCAACATCTTGTAGCGAAGTGGGCAAATCTGGGTCGGTTGCAGGCAGCCGAGTTTCGTCTGGAATCTGTGGTGACAGGGCGCCTGAGGTGCAGATCTGGTCGTCCGTGTATTCTGCATCGTGATGTGGCAGTGGTGTTGTCGACAGAGGTCCTCTTTCCAATGTCTTTGAGTTCTGATGCAATAATTTGTTTGAGGCACCGTGGTCGTTCCGCTTTGAGCTCTTCAGCGCGTTTCCAATGATTGAATCATTCAGCCCAAGTTGAGCGAGCCCAGCTGCGAACCATCTCGCGCAAAAACACAGATCTGCTCTAATAAAAAAGTGCCGCCTAAAGCGCGTGTGTGCTGACAGGCAAAGTAAATGAACTATCGGCTCTCAGCCGTTGAAGAACCGATAAGTGGGTCCTCGAGACCCAAGGAATGACACACAGCTCGATCTCCCGGATCAGCCCGACCGTTCTCTAGCGTATGACGGAGTATCTGCATGCCCAATGGCGGTCGAGATTGGATCGCAAGGCAAGGCAAGGCAAGGCAACCACGCTAAGCCGAGAACGGCAAATATCAAATATCGCCCAATAACGGCAAAAGCAGAGGCGGAAAGGAAGGGGTGCCTCGCGCCAACCAGCACCAGCACCAGCACCAGTACCAGCAGTCTGGCCCGAAGGATAGATAAGACAAAATGACTGCCTTTTGAAGGGATAAGGTTGACGGACGGCCGCGCCTTTCGAGCAGCTCATTCGGTCTTTCCTCTTCTTCAATCACAACCCGGTACCCTACGGATCTCCGACCTTCCCCCAGAATTTCCCGTTCTCAGCTATCCGGCATCCGGATACACCAGGCCATGAGTTGACTGACACTGGGAGAAAGACTCTGTGAGAAAACATAATTCCGCGAATGAGAACATAGTTATCGAGATTGAGGGAACACAAAATGGAACCAGTGGCAGGCGCCACGGCTAGGACTCAAAGAGTATATGATCAATCAGGCACAGAAGCGGCTATCTTCCTGCTATGATCCCCGACTGCGCGAGCCTCGTCAACTCAGTGTTCAGTGTGCGTACGTGTGGCTCTTGTCTATTGCTGCTCGCGTCTTTCTCTCAGCTCTCAGAACCCCAAAAATTCTACGGGCGCAGAAAACGTGGTACCGACGCGCTTGCATCTAAACATCAATCAACCCAGCGAATATTGAAACCGAGAAACGCAAGTGCTGGCTGGCTGGCTGGCTGTCTCACAAAGTCCGTCTGTCCCCTTTCACTCGCTCAGAACCATACGGATCATGGCCAAGAATCCTTCACGCATTTTCAACACTTCGCTGACCTCGGGCTTCACGGGCTCGCCCGCGCGTGCCCTTAAGCGATCCTGCGCCTTCTTTCTGCGCCGCCGCTCAGCCTGGATGGGGTCCAAGTCGTCGTCGGCTTCCTCGTCACTGCTCTCTTCGTCCGCCTCCTCATCCGAGATGCGCATGTCTGCGAGATCCGACTGCCGTTTGTTAGTACAAAGTGGAGGTCCATTGGGTTCAAGACATACCTCGTTTAGCCCAAAATCGCTGCTTCTGAATGCTGAGCCAGGCATGCCGGAATCCGGCGTGATACCTTCCGCTGCCATCTTCTGCCGTGTCTTGTCGCTGTGCCACTTCTTGCGATCCTCTTGCCACCTGATCAGCGTATTGATCTCGGTAATACACTTTTCCTTCTCCACTGTGCCCATGTCCAGGGCACCCTGGAAAATGGCATTCATGTCCAGTTTTCCGCCTTTGGGTCCGGTGCGGAGGAAGTCGAGAATTCCCTCGATCCAGCCCATGAGCGCGCCAAACAAGCCGTTGTCGTGTAAATGTACTTCGTGGATGAACTTATAGAAGTTGTGTTCGTGGCGAGCGCAGACATCGATGAACATCTGAACGGTCTGGTTGGGGTCGGCTGACACGTCTTGACGTTGGGCCGATTCGATGACCTTGATAGCGTCATCGGCGAAGACTGCAAAGTCGGTAATGCTGCTGTAGATGTTGGCGGATTTATAGACACGCACAAGCGGTTCGTAGAAGATGGTGAACAGATCCCGGAAGAGACGAAGCGTAGTGGGCTCTTCAATCATACTGGCCATCATGGCCTTGTCGCGTTGGCGTGTCATCAGTTTCACCAACTGCTTCAGTCTAGAGAATAGCTCCGCGCCTTCTTTGAGTTCCTGGTCTGTGTTCTCAATGGCGCTGTTCCAGGCGACGTAAGCGTTGAAGATGGTGCCGATTTGCTTAGCATTCAATTCAGGAGTCAGAGCTTCTGATCGAAGGATTGCGACAATGATGTCGACTTGGTCTGCCTCAGCATCCGACCTGATGGCTGCCTTGACGTCTTCATCACTGTCAACGAACTGCTTCAGCTTCCCCACAAGGACTGGGTCCTCAACTTTGGCTGACAGATCATCAATCGACTTTTGTAATTGTCGAATACCATCGTGAATAGCTTGCGAGAAGATTCGCTGTAGCAGGGATCTTGTCCCGAACGGTTGCGCTAGGAACAGATCCAGAACACCAGCCATAACAGCAGCGGGATTCGCTATCCGTATGACATTCTTCAGCATGCCGTAAGGTATCAGCGAATGTATCCTCTTGAACTGGGCGAAAAGCTCGGGTGAATTGTCCTCTGCAAGAAATAGGTGGTACAAAGTGGCTGCGACTTCTATCCGGAGCCACTCTGCAAACTTCTGGTATTCCGGACTGAGCTCCTGAATGGTGTTCTTCACTTTGATTTCGGCGAAGAGCTTAGTCAGTCCATTTCTCTCAACAATGTCGCGACGAAACTTCTCCATGTAGATATCGAGTTCAGCAGCTCGTTTGCGTGCGATTTCATAGAACTGCTTTTGCTCCTCAATGCGGCGTGCATCCATCTCTTTGCGTCGCTCCATGTCCTCCGCCTCTTCTTCGTTCAGCTTGATCGGATTGGCGGTCAGGAATTCTTCCATTGCGTGTGACTCGGCAATCTGCTCATTCTGAAGGACTGTGCGAAGAAAGGCACGTAGAGATACGCGTTGATCCTCACGATGCAACCGCACAGGATTTGGGCTATCGCTCCGTTCATCGATGCTCGGTCTTGGCGAGTTTCGACCTGAACCGCGACCGGGAGAACTGCTGAGCGACCCAGCCTTCAGTCGGCGGGCGGCACTCGGCATGAGGTTACGTGCCGACGAGTGGTCTTCGGTTGTCTCCTTACCGGTGTCCATGGTGGATACGGAGGAGACAGATGAGGCATCATCGTCATTCGACCCACCCAGACCGATGGCTGACATCGTTGAGGACTTGTTCTTGCGAGGCAAGGGTTGTAGCACCTTGCCAGGCATCTCGGTACGCAACCTCTTGTGCAGCCTTTGAAAGTCGCCATACCTGCGGCCAATGTAGAATTCGGGTCGATCTGGTCTTTTGACGCGAACGAGAAACTCTGCATGTTGATGATATCGGATCGTGCGCTTCACAGAAGTAGTCCTAACACCAGCCACATTTACATCCCAGTTGTGAATGAAATTGCCTTCCGGTATGTTGACGACAAGGCCCTGCTCATTAGCCGACCTGTCCACGACCTCCATCTCTGCGAAACGGATGCGTTCTTCATATCCAGAGGCGGTTGGAATTCCCGACACCATCATCAACTCGACAAGCTTCTCGCATTTCTTTGCGAGTTTCCGTCTCTTGGTCTCCTCGAGTCTGTCCTCGGAGGATGAGATGTATTTGCTCGCAAAGGACTCAAGGAAGACCTGCAGTTTATCCTGCCAGAATTCACGCTCTTTTGCTTGGTCGAGGAAGGGGAAATTCCGGACATGGTTAACGAAGATGTATCGGAGAATTGGGAGCTCTGAATCAACAGGAGCTACCTCCCCCAGCGGCGATCTGAAAGGTGCGCCAAAGCGCTGTAGGGCGGTGGGACTGTTGAGCTCGTTGATTTCATCATGGACCTCGCGGGAGATGAGTTCGCGTTTGAGGTAGTGCTCTTGCTTGCCGGTGAGTAGATGGCCGTCCGGTGGAATGGACTTTTGAGAAGGTGCCCGCTCTACCATTGTAGCAGGTACTTTGATGGTGCCATTCGCAGAGGGACTCCCGTTGGATACGGTGCGGCCAGTGGTTGCAGCCATTTCTACGAAACTGTGGTATAGTTGGAGGGGTCGCGGCGTTGATGCGGGCGTGTTATTGGGATGCGGGGAGACAGTACATCACCGGTATTCAAACGAAGGACACAACTGTCAACAGGAAGGAAGAAAATGCGATCTAGAGGACCCAACTGGTCTTGTGAGCAAACTGCTCATGGGGCGCAGACGGAGTGACCAAATATTCTATGTCCGGTAACCTGCCTGGCTGCAGGCTCAGGCGATGTCATGGGTTTTCGCAGGATGCTGGCCCGCCGCGAAACTCTTTCCGAAGTTCGACTGGCGTCACACTCGCCGGGAGCTTGGCTGGGGTTAAGGCTATCGAATCAGACAGGCGCGGGCGAGGCGTGTGGGCGCCCCAAGCGACAGCTGCCATGGTGGCACCGCTGCGACGAGTCCATTACGCGTGCCCAGCCTGCCCATAGCCTGCCACGCCCGCAGCAGCTGACGACGACTTTAGGCCTTTCTTCGCGAAGACAATGCCTGTTCCTCTTCTCAATGTTTAACCATAGTCATTTTTGGAGGTAAAATAATCTAACAGCGGAAATGAATGCCAGCATTACACTGCGGTGGCGAGGCTCAAACATCTTAGGCTCCAAGTTGGTGTCCTTCCGCTCATGGCAGACAGCCCATGTCGCGGTTGTCGCGATTCTAGCCAAGTCAAGAATGCAGTAGGGGTAGATCACTGCCTTGCGTCGTCTTGTGAACCATTGACTAAAATCTCACGGCATGCCTCGATGGGAATGAAATCGAGTTAAAAGCCGTTCTATAGCTCCTTGCAGACTCAGATGTCAACATGTCAAGGCTACTGTGATAACAAACATCGCACACAGTACAGTCGTCGACGACGCTCGCACCGAGTCCGATGCGCCCTCTGGTCCCAGACTGTCCGGACCCAAGCTGCCAGAGTTTGGTGAGCCTGGGTCCAGGATGCCACCGTTGTTGTTCCCGTTTCCTCCATTCAATAAATCGTCGTCGCCGCTCCCACCGCCAGTCCCACCGTTCAGCAGGTCGTTGCCGCCCCCGCCATTGTTCCCGCCATCACCACTGTTGCCATTACCATTTCCATTTCCATTCTGGCCATTATTACCAAAGGTACCTCCAAGGAGCGGTGGGGTTGGCGGTGCATTAATCGCCTGGTTACGCTCGGGAACGGATATGAGTGGATTGTTTCGAAGATCACAGCGTGGCCGGACCTGACTGCCAGCAAGATCCGTGTTTCTGGGAATGGAATTAGTTACCCGGATTGGTAGGTCGACAATCGTGTAAAAAGCGTCGCCGTTAACTCGAAATGCCTCATGGAAGGATATCTGTCCGCCCTGTCAATATGTGCGCGACAGCTATACCGGTCACCTACATTGTAAGGTCCCCTTGCTGTTCCACCAAGGCAGTCTTCTAGTGGAGCACCCGAATTGCAGTTGCCGTTGTCTGCGCCGCCGTTACCAATTAGACAGTCGGGCCAGACCCAATTGACGTGCTTGACAGTACTGCTGCTTTCCTGGAGCATGATCTGCTGGCATCCTGCATTTTCAAAGTCGTCATTGGTGGTGGAATTGCAAAGGAATTCTGGCGTGTCCAGAGTATCTCTGCTCCAACCATCAAAAGTACCGTTGGAGATGGTAAGGTTCAACCCCGTTACCGTGCTGGTCAGAAACATGGTAAGACTGGCAATACCATTGTCGAAGTTGTCCGCATACGGTGGCAGATCCAGCCGACCATTGCCAGAAACATCTATCGACACATGTAGCGTGTCTCGGTCCGTCAGCATGGTTCCTTGAGCAGCGACAGTAGACTGCTTACCACCGCCCAATGGAGTATCTGGCTGAGGCGAATTAATGATAGCTAACCTGCAGCCGATTCAGTCATCAGCCAATCTGGTTCCAAAACTGACGGTCGACAATGTTTGCGAGGTATTGAACCGTTCCGATGCAGAACGGCTTCGGCACCATCGTCCGCAGTTGGACTCACCCGGGAGTAAATATCTGCCCATTGACCTCCTGAAGATCCTGCGCTGCAGAAGTCACACCAAGGCTTGCAATTAGTAGCGCACTGCGCACGAATACGAAAAACAGCATTATAGTAAATAGAAAACAACTGGGGGCACAATCAAGAGAGCGAGTGGGAGGTGTCCGCAATATCAGTCGTCTGGCGAAGGAAGCATGAAAAAATCGCAACAGACAAGCCGGCAAACCCTGTCCCGTGATCCGTGAAGCTGAGATTTCAGTGCTTGACTGCAAGTAGTCGCCATCAGTAGCTGCTGATTGTTACCGGTCTAATGGCACCCGGGGTGGTGAAACGTATCCTCTGACCCTGGTCGAGTCATCCTGGGTTGCACGCTTCGAGACTGCTGTTACTCAGGGAGGGCTCGTGCGGCATCTAGCCATGGCCGGTAGATCGGTCTGCACTCTGGCATGCCGCCATCCACAAATCACCCATTCGCATGAGGCAGGAAAGTTCATGCTGAGCACTGACCTGGATGACCCTTCGAGCAGGTTTGGTCAAAGCAAGCTCCAACCCCGGCACAGTGTCTTGGCCAGTGTCCGGGTGAACCTCGGGCCTAAATCCAGTCCCCGCTCTCCGCTCAGAAAAAAAGTTGAGGCGTGATGGTCAAGTCGTCTCATCGTACCTTTTCGCGTTTTGGTCAGCAACGGTGCAAGTGCAGTAACGAAAAGCGCCTTTTGTTCCGAAAGACCTTTGTGAACGTCAACGATTCGCGTCACAGAACGCTGCGCATAGATATATCCCAACACCCAACATGGTCCGCAAACTCAAGCACCACGAGTCGCGCCTCCTTCGCAAAGTCGATCTCCTCACCTACAAATCCGATTCTTCAAACCACCGTGAAGCTGCCGTACGTCGGCGCTATCATTTGACACATCCTTTGGATTATCAAAAATACAATGTGCTCTGCGGGAAACTACGTCAGCTGGCGCACCTACTCTCCAACCTCGAGCCCGATGATCCGTATCGACGGCAGATGGAGACGGTGATGCTTGAGAAACTCTTTCAAATTGGCATCTTGAAGCAGTCTCGTGAGCAAGGTGCTGCATTATCAGCAATCGAAAATGATATTACGGTGTCCGCCATTTGTCGGAGGCGCCTGGGTGTACTTCTGGTTCGCTCAGGCATGGTCGAGAACATCACAACCGCCCATAAATTTATTGAGCAAGGCCATGTCAGAGTCGGCACCGATGTCGTTACAGACCCCGCGTACCTGATTTCTCGAGGTCAAGAAGACTTCATCACCTGGACGGAAGGCAGCAAGATACAGCGACAAGTGGCCAGCTACAGAGACAAACTAGATGACTTCGACCTGCTGTGATTATACTGGGCTCTTCGCAGTATTTTGAGCACCAAAGTTCATCTATGGCGCTAACGAAATAAGACAATCGACTCGGAATAAAACTCCAACAGCGCACGGCTAAGGGCCATTACGAGTGCAGACGGCCCAGCTTTGAGTTCAAGTCTCCGTCAGGCCTTGAACAGATGAAGACATCACAAGCAACAACGAGAACAGTGTTGCGACCACTACAATCGGCCATTGACTGATGGCCAGTTCTTGTACCAGCTCGCAGGTTCCGACTCTCAGGAGACACGCGGATATTCTATACACCTCATCCGGCCGAAATTATTTGGGCCAAACGAGATCGGTGTTCAATGGTCAACCCTGACAACCATTGTCGTCGAGGATTACCGATGTCACACAATAACCTGCATTTCCACATCAGGCTCCATATCTGGCAGATCGCCTACCGACACAAGCTTCCTTGGCTATCATGCTTGACAGTTCAATGCCGCTTGGCAGGGCCATTGCAGGGGAGTAAGACGGGCTTGATGCATGTTCCGGGGTAGTATACAGGGTCACTCCACCGGCCTGGCCTAGCCTCTCGGCCTTGTATGTTGAACCACAAGTTTCCATGATGTTGTCCGTTGTCAGCAGAGGAAAGGCGTTGTTCATGCATGTAAATGAAATCCACGGGGGCTCCCACCCAGCTTGACGTATGGATTTTCTGGAATGTGCTCCGTTCTCGACCTGAGCTGGAACGCTGCCGGCAGAGGCCAATCTAAACTCCCAGATTCGGCTGCCGATTGTGTTCCAGGCTTCTGGACTCATAGAATGCGCTCACGGCGTTAGTCCACCACTTTGTATGAACAGTGCATATGCCGAGGTGACTGCCGATATCAGCGTTTCCAAGGCAGGGGCTTTTAACGAAGCGAGCACCTAGCTTGCCACCACTCACCCTATTCGCTCCACGCTTTGTTCTGACTTGCCGACTTGCGTAAATGTTGTTGGAGCTGCTCGTGGGCTTTCTCCGCACGTGGCTCCCTGAGGACTAAACCCAATCAACGCATTCACCACCTCGAAGATCTGGGGCCCCGGCTCGTGGTCTTGAGACGGCATGATGCAAGCATTTGTGCATTATCCGATCGCGATTGCGCGTCAAGTACATATGCGCTTCCCATCTCTTCCTTGCCGTTCAAACGACTCCGATCCACCCATCTCGACTGCGAAGCATCACGACCATTATCTTCCATCATGGAGATGAACTACACGAGCCGGGTAAGCTTGATCACCAGCATATTTTATCCCAGCTGACAAGCTTGTAGGAGCTCCGGGCCATTGAGGATGAGCTCCATGTTGAATTGCTTCCGGGCACAGAGGTTATGGCTGATGTTGGAACCGTTCACTTTGTCAAGTCTGGCGACAGAACTCACAAGGTCCTTGTTCCTCAGCCTAGCGCGGATAAGCACGATCCATTGAATTGGTCGTTGAAGTGGAAGCTCATCACCATCATCTCAGCGTCGCTGGTCACATTTTCCCAGGTACTTGGCAACCCTCCTCCGAGCCCTTTACACTATTGCCACGCCCTCACAACCTTTTTCTCCTAGGCTTCTGCAGTGCTAATAGATAAAAGGGCTTTGGTCCGTTGGCCCTCGCTCCTATGTTCGAAGACTACATCAAAGAATTCGATTGCACACTGGCCCAGGCCGTACAATTCACTGGTGTGCCTATCCTCATCCTCGGCTTCAGCAATTTTATTTGGGTCCCGATTAGCACTTCCTTCGGACGTCGTCCTGTGTATCTCGCTTCACAACTCATCTGCTTGGCTTCGTGCATATGGAGAGCACGGGCAACGACCTACAACAGCTTCATGGGTGCTTGCGCATTGAATGGCGTAGGTGCCGGGCCTGCTGAGACAATACAGCCCGCGGTTATTGCCGATATCTTCTTCTTGCACGATCGTGGCAAATGGAACACCCTATATTGGGTTGTTTATATGGGATCGTTGATGGTCGGACCTATCATCTCGGGTCCCATGGCATTGACTGTCGGATGGAGAAATTTCTGGTGGCTTAATGTGGCTTTGCTAGGCTTCTCATTTCTTCTCGTTGCCTTCGGCTTCCCGGAGACCAAGTGGCACCGCAACCATCCTGGCGAGAAGTTTGATTCACCTATCGATACCTCGCCACCCAATGAGAAAATTGATCCTGCCACGGAGCAGTCCCCTGAAAAGCCTTCAACGTCGACCCACGAAGCGATCGGCCAACAGCCTGTCACTGTAGAGTCTGCTGAGCACACGGACCCTTGGCTCGGACGGGGAGGACCGAAAAAGTTACAATGGGCGTTATTCCAACCTAACGCACACCCCTTCAAGTCGATCTTACTTGACGTCTGGATCCCTTGGAAGATGATGGCTTTTCCGATCGTACAGTTCGCCTCGTTCGTCGTTTCATGGAGCTGCTCATCGTTCCTCACAATCAATCTCACACAAACACAGGCATTTGCGCCTCGTGGATTCACCAGCCTTCAGATCGGTTTCATGAACTTCGCCATTCTGATTGGAGCCATGATCGGCCTCTTCACTGCTGGACCACTCAGCGATTGGGTAGCTGCTCGCTTGACGAAACGAAATAACGGTATTCGAGAACCTGAGATGCGTCTGCCAGCCATGATTCCCTACGTCATCATCATGTATCTGGGTAACATTATCACCTCCGTTGGATTCCAGAAGAAGTGGCCGTGGGAGGCAACCGTGATCATCGGCTGGACTTGTGCTGGAATCCAAGTTGCGGCTCTACCGTCCATGGTAAGTCTCCCTCTTGACGGATGGCTTATTACAGGTAGCCTTTTCTGAGGCAGAAGGAGGCCCATGATCCATGGACATGTGGCTCCTGACTAACCTGTGCCCAATACCCCATAAAGTCAACATTGGTAACAACTCTCAGGCAAGTACCTACGCAGTCGACAGCTACAAACCCGTCGCCGGCAGTCTATTCGTTTCAATCACGGTCAACAAGTACGCTTTCTCGCCCCCACCCCGGCCTTGGCCCGTCTCATGCTTGTGATTGAGATAGAGATACTGACCACTTCTACCAGAAACGTTTGGGGCTACGGCTTTTCGAAGTTCATCACTCCATGGGCCGAGGAGGCCGGCTTCATCCCTCCTATTATGACCAATGCGTCGTTAATTCTGCTCTGGTGCCTCTTCGGCATCCTGTTCTACTTCAAGGGCAAGACCTTCCGAAAGTGGTCGAAGAACAGCAGTGTGCATCGCATGTGAAGAGCCCACCGAGTTGTACCTCACTGGGATGTTGGGATCTCTCGAGCGTTTCCTGTTCCAAATCGATTCAGGAGCGATCCGTTCCAAGGCGTTGCGAGTCGAGTATGGGTATCAGCAAAGGCTAATTGTTCATCAACTTATCAGAATTGACAAATGAAAGCTGCTTGTCCGGCTCATCGATCTCGCTACCGCATGATTCTTCCATTTCTTGGCCTTTAAGGCAACAACCAAAAATCAGCCACAGGCTGCTTCTAAACGAATACGAGGTGTTCAAGGCAATGCTGAACTGGCACCACCCTTGTTCACCGCTATCAGCCACGTTCGCGCCCGGATTCCTAACCGTGTTTAGGACTAAACACATGCAGCACAATGACCAAGTATATAGATTGCACTCATCTGCCCTTCTGCCCTTCCATGCCCTCCTTACGACAAGCTCCTCCACGCATCCGAGCCCCCCACTATAATCAGCAATCCAAACGCCACCCATCCCACCACCTGTCACCATGCCAAAGCCCACCACAGGCAGCACGACTTCGATACCCCCTCCCAAACCCAACGAAGCCCTCCTCCCCCTGCCCCCCACTCGCCAACTCCACTACGCTACCACGGGCCCACCCACCTCCCGCACCGCCATCCTCTTCTTCTCCGGCTACCTCTCCATCGGCACCGCCGACCACCTCCCCGCCCCGCTCGCGACCCTGTCCCCCACACCCGCACACTGGATCGCGCCCACCCTCCCAGGAAACGGCGAGTCCAGCCCCACGGCGCGCGGCCTGCCGTACCACACCTCCCTCGTGCGCGACATGTGCGCGCTGCTGCAGCACCTCTACCCCGCCGGCCCGGAGGCGGCCCTGGACGCGCTGTACGTCGCCGGGGGCAGCTATGGGAGCGTGGCGGCGCAGACGGTGTATGGCGCTAGCCGGGAGGCGTTCCCCTGGGGCGCGAAAGTTAGGGGGTTGCTGCTGTTGGCGCCGTTCTCGCCGTTCAGGTTGCATGACGGGTATGCGAGGGAGATGACGTGGGCGAATTGGGTGGGGGTGGGGCCGTTGAGTGTGTGGGTGCCGGGGAGGGTGGTGCCGAGGTTGGCGAGCTGGGCTGTGTGGTGGATGGTGAGGGATGTAGCTAGTGCGGAGGGGTTTATGAAAGGGTTTGTATTGGGGAGGATGGGAGGGGAGGAGAGGAGGGAGTGTGATGCGTGGTTGGGGAGGAGGGGGTTGACGGAGGAGATGTGGATTAGGGGGATGGCGGAGGGGGCGGTCAGGTGTGTGAGGGGGAGGCAGGGAGGGTGCCGCGGGTTTTTGGAGGGGCCGGATGTGTTGCATTCGGATTGGGGGTTTGATCCCAGAGAGATGGAGGGTAGGGCGCCGGTGCTGGTGGTGGGGGCTGATGAGGATGATTTGGGGCTGGGGATGTGTCGGTGGTTGCGGGATAGTTACCCGGAGGCAAGGCTGAAGGTGATCCAGGGTGGACATGTGGCCGCTATCTGGAAGATGGACGAGATCTGGGAAGAGATGCTGGAAATGGCATCGAGAAATCATGGGCCTGAGGTAGCATGATGGTGGTGCAGCCGAGGAGGCTGTCGGTTTCATGCCGTCGTGAAGGTCAGGATAATGTTAACGCTCACGACGGGACATCTCGAAGACGATTCACTTCCTTCATTCGGTACAAAATCTCGTTTGTGTATGTATATCTTTGGACAGCTCAAGCTATGTGGTAAGCATAGTTCAGTCTTTTGTGTCTCGCTTGCGTATAGAACCCCATCCATCATAGTACCACTGCTGAAACCCCCGTAGTCGATCCAAGAGACCAATATACAGCCAACGGCCGTTCTCCACCCTGTCTACATACTCACATACACAACTATCTCCCTCTAGTTCCTTGCCTGCTTTCTGCGTTCCCCACTTCCGCTTCCTGGTTCAAGAGTGACAATGATACACCCATCCACCACCCGCATAGCCATAAACCACGAGCTGTCCATTACAAGAGCCTTTCCTGCTGCAGGTTGGGCGCTTGCCTTTGATTGGAAGCAGCAGCAGCAGCTGCTGCAGCAGGGCTGCCGGCTGGCCAGTTACAGCCCGGCGTACCGGGGTGTCCTTGATATGGTACAGAACTCGGGTCCACCAGCTGTGTCTGCGGCTGCTGTTGGAAAGCAGCCTGTGGTTGCTGAGGATGGCCGGCCTTCGAGGCTTGGTTTTGAGCCAGTGCGTAGGCGCCTTGGAGGTAGTACTGTGGAGTACCGGGGTAGACAATGGGCATGCTGTTGATTGCGGCGCGGATGGAGAAGGGATTGTAAGGAGATATATGGCGTGGACTAGTCTTGGGTGCAAGTAGTCTTGTATATTGGTTCGGCGTTAGAGATAGGGAAAACGGGAGACATATACCTAGCAAACGTTGCAGGAAACGTATTTATAGAGACCACAAAAGCGTTGCTGATGTTGTGCCACAAGACATCGCGTGATGGAGATGATGTGGGCATCGTGACTACGCTCTGCGGTCGTGGTGGTAAGAGGCGAAGATGGAGTGCCGGATGGGCGAGATGTCGTCGACGATAGAGTATTTCCTACCAGTTATCATTTGCTTCACCCTTGGTAAATGGACCACAGGTCCTAGACCAGCAAGAGCTCCGGTTTAATTATCAGCTATATCATCTCCCAATATCAATTTCACCTACATACGGATGTTTGGCATCAGTCCACCATGCCAATATAACGCATCGGGCCCCCACTGTCAGGCTCCATCAGCGGTCAACCGGCTATTGCTGCGGGTTGATACAGAAAGATCCGTCTTCACGGATGTGAACCACGACCCATGGCTGGGGCTGTCCAGAAACTTGAATCAGCTGGCCAACTTGGGGCTCGTAAGCCGGAGCCTGGCCTTGCCAAGGCTGAGCTACATAAGCGCCTCCGGCAGCAGCAGGATAGCTGGAGTACGGCGGCGGAGCTGCTGGCCCTGGCATTGACGTTTGATGTGACTGATTCTGAGGGTGATTCTGGAACCGCATTTGAGAAGGATTGAAAGTCTGACCGCCTTCGAAACACACCGGGCCGTTGTACCGCGAGTAATCAAAAGGCGCCCCTTCTGCGGCCAAAGGTCCAGTCTGGGGGTTAGAAGACTGGGCTGGCGCGTTCTGGGCGGGGTACTTGCTGTAGTCGCTGCAAAATTCAGTCAGTAAATGAGAGTGCGGCACGTCCTGGTGGGACCTACTAGTATGGTAGGGTCATGTTGGGCCTTGGCTCCAAAGATGCTTCCGCAGAGGAGGTTGAGTGTCTGACTTAGAGCCAAGGAAGGTGTAGCAGTATCCCAATCGTGCAGTATCTTGGTCCGGTAGGAGTATCGATGTTCAACATGCACTTCGAGGTTTTCAATAGAAGCGTGTGATATGGAGCACAAATGCAAAGCATGAACTCAACCTCTGACTGTTATATACATGTAGAGAAAAGGCGTACACCTCAATCTTAGGGCCAGGCGTTGCAAGTGACGCCCGAGCGAGCGCGCTTCTGAGCCGGACTCTCGCCTGGACCGTCGCTTGGAAACTAGGAAAGATGCCCCAGAATGATTGCGGCTCGCGCCTTTGTTAGCGGAATGGTCTGGAGTAGTAACGTGATGCCATCAGGCGTGTCAGACCGAGCCGCGGACCCGATTGGTAGATTACTAGGAGCAACACTACAGGGACACCAAGTACTCGGCATGTCATGTCTATAGTAAGGAGGTCAAGAAGGGTGGAGGATACTGTTAGGGGTGCAGCCTTACCGCCAAGGCCACCCAGCCTCGCGCTGTGCCCCGCCGCGCCGCCTCATCCACCAACGTCAGATGCGACACCACGGCAGGCCGCAGTCGAACCGTTGTTGACGTGTTCACGTCGACACCTACGAGACCTACGAGACCTTCTTGATTCGCTCAACGCCCTACCCGTCGACGCTGCTCTGAGCAGCCACCGTCACCATGCTGCTTATTTCCTTCGAGAACACACTCCTGCAATCCATCCTCACAGAGCGCCTGCTCGCGAACCCTCCGCTGCCTCCGAGCTCGATTGATCAGATCGCTTCCGACTTTGATGGGGTGACATTCCATATCTCGACCCCTCAGTCAAAGACCCAGATCCTGGTCTCGTTGTCCGTCAAGTGCTACCGAGAGCTCGTCACATATGGTGCAGAGGAAGTGCTACAGCGGGAGTATGGCGCCTACATCACTCAGCCCGAGGCTGGCTACGACTTCAGCATCCTGATCGATCTCGAGAACCTTCCTCCGTCTCAGGAGGAGAGGGAAGAGCTGGTACGCCGGGTCGCCCTTCTTAAGCGCAATGTCATGGCTGCCCCCTTTGAGAAGGCGTTTGAGGAGTTTGACCAGTTGTCTGAAGAGGCTGCGAAGTATACCTCCGAGTCTGCGCCTCAGGGTGTGGCAGAAGGTGGTGAGGTCAAAGCGATCCACTACCGTGAGGAAGAGGCCTTTTACATCAAGGCATCTCACGATCGCGTGACTGTCATCTTCAGCACTCTGTTCAAGGACGAAGTCGACAGGATCTTTGGCAAGGTCTTCCTCCAGGAGTTCGTGGATGCGCGACGAAGAGCTATCCAGAATGCACCACAAGTGCTCTTCCGGTCAGATCCGCCGCTCGAGTTGCAAGGGATGCGCGGTATAGGCAATACTGGCGAGAAGGGTGAAATGGGATTTATCACTTTCGTCTTGTTCCCACGCCACCTGAAGAAGTCTCGGCGGGCCGAGAACATCAGCCACATCCAGACGTTTAGAGACTACTTCCATTATCATATCAAAGCCAGCAAAGCCTACATTCACAGCCGAATGCGGCGGCGGACTGCTGACTTCCTGCAAGGTATGATACCACTGCCTCGAGTTCAACAAGATCGTATGCTAATGGTCGAACAGTCCTCAACAGAGCCCGTCCAGAGAATGAAGAGCGCGAGCGTAAGACTGCCAGTGGCCGCACATTCAGGGTGCAAGGATAGACAACGTCCCCGCAACCGGAGATGGTGTGCACTAAACACCCAACCTGCAATTGTGATGTCTTGGGAGTCGTCCTGCGACTACTCTTGCAGGGCCCAGCTCTGGACATAGCAGTGCTGCTCGTCTACGAGCCAACCGGCTGCAAAGTGTTGTATTAGCCATGATGAGTAAAGTCATAGATACGAAAAGAGCGACATCCGCCAGTAACTTGATGCGTACAAACCGTTAAACGTTACATGACAGGCGGGCGCCTGCAGAGCTGGATGGCCAACATGGTGTCCCCTGAGTGATCTTTCAGGGTAAATACTTCCTCAAACCTTGACAGTAACATTTCTAATGCTGCACCTGGCATTTACCCGGCATATAGGCGAGCTTTCCACTCTTGGCAACTCACCATTTGCCATTGACGTGTATATGAACTACATTCTCCGATTGTCCCATGCTATGGACATCTTGACTCTGGAAAGACCATCTAAGTCCTGCATTGTCCAAGCTTCCACCTTACATCCAACAAACGTCTCGCAAATATGGCCAAAGAAATCCGCTGGGGAATTCTAGGTCAGTCCTTTCGCACTGTTCCCCCACCACTAACCACCCCGCGTCCCCACAAAGCCCTAATAGACCTTGCTCTGACCACCATCCCACAGCGACTGGCGGCATCGCCAAGACCTTCACTCGTGACCTTCTCGTCGACCCAACCACTCGCGATGTCCAGGATGTCAAGCACACCGTCACCGCGGCGGCCTCGTCCAGCAGTGCCTCCCGCGCCCAGGACTTCTTGAAGGAGGTCGGCGCCCCATCATCCGCCAAAGCCTACGGAAGCTACGACGAACTAGTCAAAGACTCCAACGTCGACATCATCTACGTCGCCACCCCGCACTCGCACCACTACCAGAACGTGATGCTCTGCCTCAACGCCGGCAAGAACGTCCTCTGCGAGAAAGCATTCACCGTCAATGCGGCTCAAGCGCGCAAACTCGTCGACCTGGCCAAGGAGAAAGGTCTGTTCCTCATGGAAGCCGTCTGGACGCGATACTTTCCCTTGAGCATCTACGTGCGCGACCTGATCAGCAGCGGCAAGCTGGGCAATGTCACACGGTGCTTCGCCGACCTGGCCCTCAGTTCAGATCCGGAGAAGACGTTCGCCGATGGGAAGCACCGCATGGTCAACCCGGACCTGGCTGGCGGGCCCTTGTTGGATTTGGGTGTCTATGCGCTGAATTGGGTGATGCAGTGTCTGTACCACACGCAAGATCCCAAAACCCGGCAGAGGCCAGGCGTGCTGGCGAGCGTGAAGCGCTACGAGCCGACGGGGTGCGATGAGATGTGCACCATGCTGCTCACGTTCCCGCGGAAGGAGGGCGGGGATGCTCATGGCGTGGCAACGACGAGTATTAGGGCTGCTAGTGCGCCTGGTGGGAATAATGATACGCCGGCGGTGAGGGTGCAGGGTGATAAGGGAGAGATACAAGTCTACCCCATGATATACAGGCCACTCAAGACTAAGCTCATTCTCACTGATGGGACGGTAGAGGAGAAGCACTGGCCTCAGCCTGGCCCGGGGAAGGGCAGTGGTTGGAAGAATGGGTTTGGAGACGGATGGAATAGTGAAGGAGAAGGTCATGGCATGTTCTGGGAAGCGGACGACGCCGCCAGGGCGTTGGTCTCGGGCAGGAAAGAAGGCAGCTTTCTCGGCTGGGACGAGTCTGTGCTGATCATGGAGGTAAGTGCCCTTGTCTATCCTGCATTCTGATAGCTTCGGTTCGCTAACTTTGCGCAGATCATGGATGAGGTACGCAAGGCAGGCGATCTCAAGTACCCAGAGAAGATTGAGACGCTGGACTACCCAGTCGATCTTTAAGAGATATGAACTACTGATGAGTAGATGTGAGGTCAAGTGAAGTCAAGCTCAGATGACGAAGCGTCTCTGTGCTTTGGGAATCATGAGCTTCACTTTCACCAGCTTATCTAGATCAGACAAAGATATAGCCTTCCCAACACTCCCAGTTCCCCCCATCCCACGCACCCCGATGCCAAAAGCGTCCAACTCGAAACTCGAGCATGTCTTCCACCACTCCCTCATGCATCTCTCCTCTCCGCCGCTCCTCCACCGACCCCGTCTACTCCTCCCCTCACCTCCACCTCGTCCGCAACACCAGCCCAGCCGCAGCAAGCGACACAACCAACACGGCCACCGAAACCGACATCTCCACCATCACCACCGCCAACGCAGCCCGCTTCCACCACTCCTCCCTGCAAGCGCGCAGCTACACCTCGCCCGACCTCCGCCCCAGCCCCATCTCCTCGCGCGTTCGCTCCTACGAACGACAGACCCACGAGCCACGCCGCCCGGCCTTCGAGCCGCTCTGGGGGCCATCCTGCACGTTCAGCGAGGCGCAGCTGCTGGAGTTTCGGGAGCGGGGACAGGCGATCAATGCGAAGGTTAGGAGGCTGAAGAGAGTGTTGGGTGGGGAGAGGTTTGGGAGGGGGGATGTGGGTGGGGCCTTTGAGGTGAGTTTTTTCTTTGCTTATGAGGCTTGTGACGGCCTGGGGGAGGCCTGCGAGACATTCTGGTGTGCTGTGTCTCGTGTTTGCTGGCGTGGGTTGTGGTGTGTGAGACTGGTGTCAGTCCGGCTTTGCGATATGGAGGCACCTTTGTCTTTGAGTTTCCTTTGTTCGCCCCATAATGTGTTTGAGCGCAAGGTAAGGGTCGAGGTGGGTTTGCTCTGGAGCATTGTCCGTGAGTGATACCAGCTTGGGTGACGGTGATTTGCTACGCCTTTGTGGTGCAGTGTGCTGCGGTCTCCAAAGGCGGTAGAAGACAGTGACATTGAGAGAGACAAATTTGGGTTGCGCCAGGGGCAGGTCATCGGAATGAGTACCTCAAAAAGCCAGATGCTGCTTGATGGGTGAAAGCATCTGCAGCAGCATCAGAGACACTCTCGTCAGCACAGTTACCAACACCATCACATCCTCGCCCAACAACAACACCCGCATGCGGGTCGATCCAGCTGACCTCCGCCCCCAGATATTCCGACAATCCGTCCACCTGTCGTCCAGCAAGCACCCAATGTGCTACGTCGAAGACATCTATCACGCCCGCTGCGGCCACTGGGCGACCCAGCCGCGTGTCTATCACCAATGCTCGCGTGTCAGCAAGGACCTCACGCCTGCCCAGAACAACACCGTCATCGGCCGCACCTGCTACAACAAAAAGACTTGCGGGAGTCGCGAGGAAGACAGCATCTGCCAAAAATGCGTCAATGCCGAGCGGGAGAAGTTGAAAAGGCCTGGTACGTGCATGAGCGTGTTTGAGGAAGGAGGCAAGGTGAAGATCTTGAAAAGTCGCGAGTTCGAGGCTAGAATGGAGCAGGGGAAGAAGCGGAGGAGTGGTGAGGCTGGAGAACGTAGGGAGAAGTGCCCCAGCGGATTCTTTAGTTGGGGGATAAAGTGAGGGACCATGTCGATTATCCATGGTTGAGCACATTTGAGCACCCGTTCGACGCGACTAGCCTTTGATCATGTTTTGCTTGGTTGACGACTACTGACTCCATGATCAGTAGAGGAGGTTTTCGCGTGTGGCGAGTGCGGCCGGCGAAAGAAGTATGGGTCGTTCTTGTCGCTACGGTCTGTCATGACTGAGCCGATTGCGCAACCGGACTTCAGTCGTCTTCCAACCGTCTTTGAGCTGGAGATTGAGTCTGAGGAAGGAGTTACCGAGTTGGGGAGGCACGCTGATGGAAACAGTTTCTGGAAAGTGCAGGAAAACGACCCGCGACGACAAGCACTTTTGAGCGTGTTTCTGCGTGGGCGGAGAGGCTTGGTCGAACTTTGAGAAGAGGTCAGAAGTGAAGGGCTGTCGATCTGGCCGGTGTAATGGAGAAAATCGAAGCATGAGCAGTCTGAGGACCTACCTGGAAGGTCTAGACCGAGCTGTAGCATTTCTGCGTTGAATTAGCAGGTCAACATTCAACACTCATGATAGAATGTCTTTTCCTCTGTTCGCAACCCCATCACAGAGTAGGATTTAAGACAGTGCCTTCCCGCAGAATTTCAACAACGTATTATATCGAGCCTGGAAGAAAGGACCCGGAAGGTCAAGCGTGTCAGTCAGATCATACGTCTCTTGAATCACTTTGCTGACAAGGACACTGCAGAATCGAGCAGCGTCAATGGAGCTATTATCGATAACGATACGCTAATGACGACATCGATTTCAACAGCGACATGGCGACAGTCACGCTGCGGCTGGAAGCGAGCTTCAGCGCATCTATAAGTGACACTGGATTGCGCAAGATGTTCTCAATATGAAGCGAAATTGCACGAGCGCAGATGCGCCACAAGGACGCGTACCTGACGATCGGTTCAAAGTCCGTGGCGTCGGCGGGCAGTCGCAGCTGCCTGCCCATCGGAGGAATGCGTCATTGGGAACCACATTGCTCCACATCTGGGGTGAAGGACGCTTGCCAGTTTCATCTCGAAGCTGCCACATACACCTGAGGCAACATTGCTTTCAGTAGTATCATTATTTGATGCAAAGAGTGATTAGCAAAGCACAAGTGGCAACGGTACTTTGACTACAAGCAGCACAAACCTTTGTGTTGTTCCATGATTTTGCCGAAGAGTCACGAGGTAACGAGGCTGACTTTCCACAAGCTTCTCTCCACATTAGCGGGCTTGGCAGTGGCAGGGCAGGCGCCCGCCTCCCTCCGACTTACTTAAACCTCTCTTACTCACCACTCTCCATCCTTCCTCCTCATCCACTACCACTCTCTCGATCACGCATAACCTCAAGCGTCTGATCATTCCATCCCTTAACACTGTCTTACACTCTTACTAGACGACCGTAATCATGCAGATCTTCGTCAAGACCCGTGAGTCATTCCCCGCATCTGCTTATCGCCACCTGATAACAGATCACTAACATGCTGCAGTTACCGGCAAGACCATCACCCTTGAGGTCGAGTCCAGCGATACCATCGACAATGTCAAGAGCAAGATTCAGGACAAGGAAGGCATTCCTCCTGACCAGCAGCGTCTTATCTTCGCCGGCAAGCAACTCGAAGATGGTCGCACCTTGAGCGATTACAACATTCAGAAGGAGTCTACTCTCCACTTGGTGCTCCGTCTCCGCGGTGGCATGCAGATCTTTGTTAAGACCCTCACTGGAAAGACCATCACCCTGGAGGTCGAGTCCAGCGACACCATCGACAATGTCAAGTCCAAGATTCAAGATAAGGAGGGCATTCCTCCCGACCAGCAGCGCCTGATCTTTGCTGGAAAGCAACTTGAGGATGGCCGTACCCTGTCTGACTACAACATTCAGAAGGAGTCCACCCTCCACCTTGTCCTCCGTCTTCGTGGCGGTATGCAAATCTTCGTCAAGACTCTCACCGGCAAGACCATCACTCTCGAGGTCGAATCATCAGACACCATCGACAATGTCAAGTCCAAGATTCAGGATAAAGAGGGTATCCCACCCGACCAGCAGCGATTGATCTTTGCTGGTAAGCAGCTCGAGGATGGCCGTACTCTCTCAGACTACAACATTCAGAAGGAGTCGACTCTGCACCTTGTCCTCAGATTGCGTGGTGGTATGCAGATCTTCGTTAAGACTCTGACTGGAAAGACCATTACTCTTGAAGTTGAATCATCCGACACCATTGATAATGTGAAGTCCAAGATCCAAGACAAGGAGGGTATTCCTCCTGACCAGCAACGCTTGATCTTTGCTGGTAAGCAGCTTGAGGATGGTCGTACGCTCTCGGATTACAACATCCAGAAGGAGAGCACTTTGCACTTGGTGCTGCGCCTGCGTGGTGGTCAGTAAGCACAGACTGACATCAGCAATGATTTCACGACACGGAATGGGCGCGGGAAATAGGAACTCATGATCTTCGACATTAGCATAGCTTGAGGGCTTCGGCAGGAAATGCCAAGCGAATAGGGTAGACAATCAAACTACTTCTGCATCCTCACCTCTGCTCTTCTTCTTTTGCGTTTGCGTGACGCTCGAATCCTGCCTGTAAATCATGTCAAATTACTCACGTGGCGAGCAAGACGTTTTCTGGCTGATTCTGTGTCCATTTGGTCGCCACCCGAATACATCTGTCTTGAAGAGCGCGTGCCTGCGCCGCCCAGCCGACGCATCCTGACCCCTCCGACTGTTTGCACTGGCAAACATCAGGGCTTCTTGCGCTTTAATGATGCATGGAAATTATGCCTGATTACTTCTTCCATGTGGCTATCGAAGTGTGCTCTAACCCAGACCTGACCGTAAAACAAGCAGAACCGCCGAACCTATCCTATTTCTTCAAGTCGTTGAGACCGTTCACGAACCGCAGCCCACGAACGACTCGGGATCATCACTTGGACAGAAAACGTGAATTTCACACGCAGCAGGCCCAAAACATACGTGGTGCAGCCGAAGAGCCTGCTTCCAACAGAATACCTCATAATCCGTCTATCCGCCCCTCTGCTGCGGATGACCACCGTTTCGACACAGTCTACGTGGACAGCGTGGATATGACAGGCGCAAGCAAAGACCTAACAACAGAAGACCCCGATGGAAAATCGGAAGATCTCTTGAACCGCGGGATCGGATCGAATATCTCAACCTCGTACCTCAAAGGCCGCTTCTCGCACACCTCATATGATGACAGCACCGCCGCTTCCTGGGGAATCGTTCATCTGTACCGCGATGCGGCTCCTACGCCATCTCTCGCCGTCTCATCCTCTCGTCCCTACCAGTCCTCAGATCTTTGGTCAAACACACCGCAGCTTGGACAAGCGAAAACACCACATCCCCCACCAACGGACGCCGAATGTACAACTCTTTGTATTCTGGCCGTGCCTAGCTACATGACACCCTCAGACTTCCTCGCCTTTGTTGGTCCCGGTACCCGCGAAGCCGTCTCGCACTTCCGCATGCTGCGAACGCAGCGCCAGAACCGCTATATGGTTCTCATGAAATTTCGCGAAGGCAAGATTGCAAGAAAATGGCAAGCAGAATGGAACGGCAAGGTGTGGAATGCCATGGAGCCGGAGACATGCCATGTAGTATTCTTGAAGAGCGTTGAATTGGTGGCGACAACTTCTACAACTATGAAGAGCCATGTAACTGGTACCGAGAGTTCCTATCCAGAAGTGGCAGGCGACCCATTCATGCCATCCAGCGCCACATCCTCAACACGACCATTGGCACCGCCTACACCCTCACTCGTCGAACTCCCGACCTGCCCCGTCTGCCTGGAACGCATGGATGAAACTACGGGTCTCCTCACCATACCGTGCCAGCATGTCTTCCACTGCACCTGTCTTCAGAAATGGTCTGGAGGCGGTTGCCCCGTCTGCCGATACACTCACGATGACTTCTCTTCACGCAGCGGCTTCGGTAAGAAGACCAAGAAAACCAAGAAGCTAGGTAAGGACGGTAGTTGGGAAGAATACGAAGTTGATGACGGCGTTCTGGAGTGTGAGACCTGTCATGAAGATGGCGGGAGCTTGTGGCAGTGTCTGATATGCGGAAAGGTGGGATGCGGACGGTATGAGGGCAAGCACGCGTTCACACATTACGAGGAAAGTGGACATCTGTTTGCCATGGACCTGGCGAGCAAGCGTGTATGGGACTATGCTGGGGATGGCTATGTCCACCGTATCATGGTCGAAGAGCGAAGCGCGGATAAGGACGGTGTCGAAGTAGGTGTGCGCGAGGTTACTGATTCCGAGTATGGCGATAGCCTGCCTGGGAAGGGTGACCCAAGCGCCGATATCGAGAATTTGGCCCTTGAGTACACGCATCTCCTGACCAGTCAGCTCGACTCGCAGCGAGTTTACTTTGAGGAAATCGTGGAGCGAGCCGTCGACAAAGCGACTGAAGCTTCCAAGAAGGCGGAGCATGCCGAAGCGGAAGCCAGAGGTGCCACCGACCGCTTGCGCAAGTTAGAGGCGGACAACGACTTTGTTACAAAAGGCAAGGTGCCGGAGCTCGAGAAGGAGCGTGATCGTTGGCAAGCCAAGGCGCGCAAGCTGGAGGATATGGCCAAGGACATCAACTCTAAGTATCTCGAGGAGAAAGCTGCAGTCAAAGGCTTGATGTCACGGATACAACATCTTGAGTCTACGGAACTTGCAGGCCTCAGAAACCAAATCCAGAGCTTACAAGAGGATAATGCGACCAAGGATCTCCTGATGGAGGGCTTGAGAGAGGAGCATCGCGATGCGATGGTGCAGGTGAGCGCCGAGCGGCAGCTCCGGGAGATGGTTGAAAGAGGCGAAATCGAAGTGGGCGAGCTCGAGGGCGCTGAGGTGTCGGTGGGCAAGCGGCCATTGACAGCGCGAGAGCGCCTGCAGGAGCGCATCCAGACGGAGCGCCAGGTTCGGAGCGGCAAGAAAGGCATCGCCAAAGCAGCTGACGAGAAGCCGAAGAGCAAGCAGCAATCTCAGGCTGCTGAGGTCCCCAGTTCAGAGCGCGGGCTCAGCGCAACCGACTCGTTGTTGGACACATTACTAGCATCCAGCAGCGACGGCGAGGTTCTCACCCGTGGCGATGCTTACGACAACGATCGGGCCCGGGGGCTGCTCGCGGAAATGCGGCAGAAGATGCTTGATCTAGGCCTGTTGAAACTTCCCCCGACCACAGACAAGGCTGACCATCGGGCTGTCGATGAAGGTGGGGCGGCAGGGGAGAAGCAAAAGCAAACCAGCGGTGAAGATGTCGGTCTGCAGGACCTGCACGAGGCTGGCCTTGGCGCGTCCTCCGCTGCGCCGGGCGGAGACGGTGCTGGTAGGCGTAAGGGAAGGAAAGGCAAGGGACGGCGCTGATTCGATCCACTTTCCGTGGGTCGGGTACTTACTCTGTACGGAGTACTGATGCTGATGCAATTTTGGAGGGCTCACGCGACCTGCAAACATGCGTGTGTCAGGATTTTTTTCTCTTTGCATAAGGATATGCATTGGGGGAAGGGATTTGGTTGGGTGCATAGCGTGGGGTAGTATGGCAAGGCCCGTTGCAAGGCATGGCATGGCAATCTGCATAGCGGCATGTATCCTGCACAATGTGCATATGATCTTCGGACGCCTCCTGTACACCTCTTGCCTACACGCACTCGGCTCGGGATGTGAGTAATACAACTTTTGCACCGGAGGTCCAGACATGCGGACTTACAGTACAACATGCAGCATGCAGCACGCGCCGTGTATGCGGGCACCGCCGAGAGGGATCTGCGCTTTCCCTTCCCCAGTCTTCACAGACGGGGCTTCGGACGGCGGAGATGCCAAGACTTCCGCTGCCATGCACAATGCACGGGAATGGAGTACGCTGATCTGCATGCATACATAGATGCACAGGAGACAGAGAGATGCGGAGGAGGAGACCCCTACTTGAGTCGGCTGCTGGTCTGGTCGTTTGGGCGGATATGGAGACAGCCGAGACTGTAGCACAGAAGCAAAAGCACTGGAATATTTCCGTGGATGTTCAGCAGTGGGCATTGAGCATCGGCGGAGGAAAAGGAACAGGTCTGGGCATAGCATATAAAGCATGAAGCATGGTGTGGCATGGTACTGTATGGTGTTGGTTTTGTCGTCGGCAGACATCGTGGATTAACGAAAGGATATTCATGCGTACTCTGTCAGAGTTCCCATGCCGCTCGCGACAGCCAAATTTTTGGTTGCGTAGTGGTACAATCTATTGTAGTGTTTTGTACATACTCACACCTCGCCTTCTGATGATAGCAGTTCACTGGCAGTAATATAAGCCAGGCTTGCGTTCGCTCAAGTATACAGCACCGCCAATTTATTGCTCTCAAGTCGATAGCGGCGGCAACTTCTGCGCCGCAAAGAAGTAGTTCCCATAGCTTTCACTGCCCTGCACGACCTTCCAGCCTAGCGCCGGCACATAAATGACTCCCCTTGTAGTGAATGATCCCCATCGATGCGCCCCAGGACCGCCAACGGCGGCGCTTTCGGTCTGCTTTTCGAACCAGCCTCGCAGCTCATCTGGATTGATGTACTGATTCCAGTCGTGTGTGCCGGCTGGCACGACGCCGACAAGCGGCGCCTCGGCTACCAGCTTAGTGGTGATGTACGATACGGGCGAGCGCGCGATCGTACTACCCACCAGCCAGCCGCCGGGTTTGAGGTGCTCTGCGGCATTCTGAAGAAAAGCGGCAGGGGAAGAAATGTGCTCGATGACCTCGAAGAGGGTAATGACGTCGAAGGTCTGTCTGTTGCCGTTTTTGTCTTCAGGTATATTTTCAAGAGCGGTATTGAGGTAGGTGAGCTTCGGTGGCTGGATAGCAGGGTCGCGGCGCTGGTGGGCTTGTGCAACGGCTACACAAGCAGGTGTTGGGTCGATGGCAAGGACCGACGAGGTGCCAGGGTGGCGGGCGCAGGCGGATGCAAAGATGCCGCCGCCGCATCCGACATCAAGATATGTCCGCTGCTGATTTGCCGTATGGTCTTGCGTGAAGAGAGATTGGAGGAAGTCGAAGCGGAGCGGGTTCATAAGATGGAGGAGTCGTGAAGGGCCGTGGGGATCCCACCAGCTTGAGGCTAGGCGGGAAAAGTGGTCGACTTCGCTCGAGGAGACGGACGAGGTTGAAATGGGGGATGCAGATGCAGCATCAGGTCCATGACGGGCTCGGGAGGAGGTGCTGAAGCATTTGCTTGCAGCCTCCCGAGAATTGGTCAGTGTTTGTGTCTTGTCATGTGGCAGGGCTATTGCACTGTCACGGACTGTGGTATGTACGAGGCGGGATTTCTGCAACGGCAGGCGTATCGTGGAAGCACAGATGCGGAAAGGTATTCGAGACAGCGTAAAGCTTACCGCATCATTGCGAGGAGGAACTGCTTGGCCCAGAGTGCGCCTTACCGAAGCCCTGAACTTCGTAGACATGCTTATGCCCACCTCAGGTCGACGCGGGCTCGGCCATGATGTGATGGTAGCTCCGAGAGGGATCCGAGTCAACCGTCACAGCCCCTTTGGAAAAGCCGAGGCGGTGGCAATGATTCCGCGCCAGTCGAGAGACGCTCGCGAATTTGCCTCAGGCTGACCTTGATGAGGCTTGTGTGGTGAACAGCGGAGCGCAGTCGTGGGCAGAGGGAGAAAGTGGCAAGAGCACCGAGGCACCGACCCCGGAACGGCCCCGAGAGATCTTGGCCGCCAAGAGCCAAGAGCCAAGAGCCGAGGCGGTGGCAAAACCAATCACGGCGGCCTCCTTCCTGCGAGGTGAAGTTTTTGACAACCGCTGCATTCCTTTCTTTTGCCTGCTCGAGTGGTCTGAGCTGAGGCTGACCCGACTACCGTTGCGCATCTCCGTCCATAACGAAAATTGTGCTCGCCCGACATCCGATCAGCGATGCTTGGCTTGCTTAGCCCAATAACACTATGACCAATGGTTGTACTCCCGCTCCGCCCAGCTGGGGTGATATGAGCCCAATGCATCAGCGTGGCGCTCTCGGAAGCTTGGCAGACTGGGTTGTGACACAAAGAAGTCTCGGAAGAGTCTTGTATCAGGTGGGGAAACGTCGACATAACGTGCATTGAAAGCCGTTGCTATCTTTCCTTGACCCTCGTGACCAGGCTATATAGGACCCCCGCATCCCTCTCTCCTGTGTCTGAAGTGTCAATCAAGCAGTAGTCATTGTGCCGTTCTGAGATGCTGACACAAGACCTCTTTGTATATTATTCACTCATTTAGGAACGACAGACTTAACACCACGACATTTATCTCACTACTTTCACCCTGGCACCGCATACCAGCACCTGTACCCAAAATGGGTAAGCCTCAGAGAGAAGAGCAAAACTACACCAAACAACCATTTCTACTGTCAACCGACGACATTCTCCAGCACCTCCAAACCAACACAGATTCAGGCCTCACGTCAGCTCAGGTCAAGCAATACCAAGAGAAATATGGAACCAACAAGCTTGATGGAGATGGAGGCATACCTTGGTATGCCTTGCTCATGAAGCAGATTGCTAATGCCATGATCCTGGTATTGCTTCTCGCCATGGCCTTAGCTTTTGGAGTCGAGGACTACATTGAGGGCTCTGTCATTACCGCAATCATTGTAGCCAATGTTCTCATTGGTTTCTGGCAAGAATTCAAAGCCGAGAAAAAGATGGATGCCCTCCGATCGCTCTCATCTCCATCGGCCGCTGTGGTGCGAGATGGCAATGAAATCACTATTCCCTCAGCCGAGGTTGTGCCTGGTGATATAGTCTCCATCAAAGTCGGCGACACTGTGCCAGCAGACCTTCGTATGTTCGACGTCATGAACCTGGAGTGTGATGAAGCCATCTTGACCGGGGAAGCTCTCCCAGTGGCCAAAGAGGTCGAAGCCCTGGACAAAGAAGAACTCGGCCTTGGAGATCGACTGAATATTGCGTACTCTTCCTCGGCAGTCACAAAAGGCCGCGGACGAGGAGTTGTCGTTTACACTGGTATGTCGACGGCTATCGGAGGGATCGCCGCCTCTATGCAGAAGACGCGTCGCAAGCCCAACCGATCTATGTCCCGCAAGAAGTACGGAACAATGCAGCCTATCAAAGGCGGCGCTCTACGCACCTGGGACGGCGTTGGCAAATTTCTCGGACTGACCTCAGGCACTCCTTTGCAAATCAAGCTGAGCAAGCTAGCCTACACGTTGTTCGGATGTGCTCTCCTGCTGGCCATCATCGTGTTTGGTGTGAACAGATTCAATGTAACAAATGAAGTGGCTATTTACGCCATCTCTACTGGGATCGCAATCATCCCAGAGGCTCTTATCGCCGTCCTAACGATTACATTTGTCGTCGGTATGACCGCCATGCGCAAACGAGCGGTCGTTGTTCGACAGCTAAGCGCCTTGGAAGCACTAGGGGGCGTCACAAACATCTGCTCCGACAAGACAGGCACCCTTACCCAAGGAAAAATGGTCACTCGCAAGGCTTGGATCCCTGGAACCGGAATTTACAGCGTTGAGAAGTCCAACAATGCTTCTGATCCTACGGAGGGCACCGTTGTCTTTGGCACCGCCCCGAAGTCCAGAAAAGAAGTGGACGCTGCGAAAGCTGCCCGCGAAGAGGAGCTAGATGCCAAGCGCAGTGTTGCGGCCATTTCATTCGACGTACCAAAGGAGAAGCTCGACAAAGCTGCCGACAAAGGAGACGAGACCCCGGAAGACACTGAGAAACCCATTGCGGAAGATCCCGAAGTCACAGCCGAGCTACAGGCTTTCCTCGAAGGCGCTGCCCTCTGCAACTTGGCTACGGTTCGTCTGGTCATGGAAGAGAACCAGCAGCGTTGGAAGACAGCCGGCGACCCCACCGAAATCGCCTTGCAAGTATTCGCCACTCGATTCAACTACGGCAAGCCCGAATTGGAGGGCAGCGTGGGCTGGAAGCAAGCTATGGAATACCCGTTCGACAGCACAATCAAGCGTATGACTGTCGTATACAACCGACCGGGTCTTGACGAGTCCGTAATCTACACCAAAGGCGCCGTTGAGCGAGTTATCGACCTGTGCACCTCGTCTGGTGTGGGCGAGCACAATCAGCCCATGACTCCGGAATTGAAAGAGGGCATTCTCGAACAAATGACCCTCCTTGCCGAGCAAGGCCTACGTGTACTCGCCGTGGCACGCAAATTCACCAAGGCAAACATTGCCGAACATGACGACACTCCGCGCAGTGAGGTCGAACAAGACCTTTGCTTGCTCGGTCTGGCTGGGCTCTACGATCCGCCACGGCTCGAGACGAAGGCTGCTGTGCAAGCTTGCGCAACTGCAGGCATAGAGGTCACAATGCTTACAGGCGACCATCCTTCCACGGCGACTGCCATTGCGAAGGAAGTTGGCATCATTCCAAAGAACTTTGGAACCCTTTCTCCTGACGTTGCAGCGTCGATCGTCAAGACAGCTATGGAGTTTGACAAGATGACGGACGAGGAAATTGACGCCATGCCTACCTTGCCATTGGTAGTTGCCCGATGTGCTCCAGAGACCAAAGTGCGTATGATCGAAGCCTTGCACCGGCGACGGAGGTTCTGTGCCATGACTGGTGACGGCGTGAACGATTCTCCTTCTCTGAAGCTAGCTGACGTGGGCATTGCTATGGGACTCAACGGCAGCGACGTCGCCAAGTCTGCTTCCGATATCGTCTTGACGGATGACAACTTTGCCTCTATCGTAAACGCAGTTGAAGAAGGCCGCCGCATGTTCGACAACATCCAGCGTTTCATTTTACACCTTCTCACCTCCAATGTCGGCGAAGTTATCCTCCTCATCTGTGGTCTTGGCTTCCAGGACGACAACGGTTACTCTGTCTTTCCATTATCACCCTTACAGATTCTCTGGATCAACATGCTTACGTCGTCCTTCCCTGCGTTCGGCCTCGGCCGGGAAAAGGCAGCGCCAGATGTCATGGAGCGCCCACCGCACGACAACCGCAAAGGCGTCTTCACGTGGGAACTTATCACCGATATGCTCGTCTACGGCACGATCCAAGGCACGTGCTGCCTCATGACGTTTGTGCTGATCGTCTACGGACCGGGTCCCGATGGCCTAGGCGAGAACTGCAACAAGAGCGACAACGCGACCTGCGACGTTGTGTTCCGAGCCCGTGCCGCCGTATTTGCGGAATTGACATGGCTGATCCTGGTCTCGGCATGGGAGCTTAAAGCCATGCGTCGGAGCATGTTCCGCATCAACCCGCACGACACGCACCCGTTTCCCGTCTTCAAGGACCTGTGGGCCAACCAATTCCTGTTCTGGTCGGTGGTCATCGCCGGAGCCTCGGTTTTCCTGGCCATCTACATCCCTGGTCTTAGCAACGCGGCGCTCAAACACAAGGGCATCACGTGGGAGTGGATCCCCTGCGTGGTGTGCCTGTTCATCTTCGTCGCGGGGATGGAATGCTGGAAATGGATCAAGCGATCTTTCCACCTGTTTGAAGCGGAAGAGACGGAGGGCATGAAGGCAAAGCGCCGTGCAGGTGGCAGCCGTTTGGGTCTGAGACAGGGCTTCTTTACTATGGCCAGGAGTTTTACCAAGTCGAGGAGCGAGGAGAAGAGTGTGAGGAGCTTAAGCGGGGTGACGGCGGCGGAGAAGGGTCCCGAGTCGGGCTTGAGGGAGAAGAATGGAAGTGGGAGTGATGATAGCAGGGGAGAAGTTAGAGCTATGCCGCCTGTGAGGGAGGAGGTATGAACCGTGGCGGTGAAGGCACCCGGCCTCTTACTCTTTTGCGACAGATAGCTGGACTGCGGAGAGGTTCAGATTAATGACTTGACGATTTGTGCTATTGCCCCTTGCTTTCGTACTTTCCTCAACAAATTCTGGAATGTTGCCTCTTTCGTTGATCACACACTTCGAGCGTGTTCACAACCTTGGTGGCTGGTGTTGCCGCGCGCCACCGTATCTCCGTTAACAGAGTGACTTGAGGAGTACCAATTCTGCACACCGCTGCAGCCCGACAAGGCAACAACCATGCCTTCAATCAGGGCACTGACTGTTTCCACGGCTGCACGGACGATTTCCCTGCTAGTTGAAGAGGCTCACAGATTCTCCAGCCACGTTGCACGAAAGGGGGATACCTTCTGTCTACCCTGATACGAAGCTGTACAGTGAATGGCACGAAGACCACGAGGATCTAACGCGAAACGCAAGCCGAAGGGGGAATCTCAATCACCATTACGACTGCCTCCAGCTGCTATACTTGGCTGACCGTTGTGCCCGCAGCACGTGGCATGTATCATGTGGCGGGCCGCGCTACTCAGGGCGGGTAGTCCTCCAGCAATTCGAGGGCGCTGCGGGTCAAGCTCGCTACTCAAGCTCGCTACGCAGTCTGCCCGGTGCGGACCAAAACATGCGTCGGCAGAACGCTTCGCATCCTCGAACACAGCTTCACAGATAGTGACAGGAGTTGCCCCTGCGGGCTTGCGAGGTTTCAGAGGCGCATGAGAACGTGCATGCCGCGCCGAAACTAAAGAAGATGATCACAAATTGCAGAGGTTGGTTACCAATGACGTCCAGTCGCCTCGTACTGCCAGCAGGCCGTTGTTGCTGATCGGTGACCTACCAAAGGAAGCGAACTCTAGCCCGCCCCCGCGCTTAGGCGGCGGAGCGTGCAGCGCCTGAAACACGCTAAGTTGAGGCCTGCCAGGTCGCTATCTCGCGGCTGCGGCACCGGGGCAAGCTCCCCCGAAGGGATGGCGAGCTCCTCGCTACGGAGTACCAGCTTCTGACGACATCGCTTCTGACCGGCCGGGCTGTGGCGCGTGTGGACAAACGCAATGATTACTCCTACCACTTGCTATCAAACGCGTGTTATCGACCTAAGGGCCCGGGCTGAACGTATTCAGGTGTTTCTTCCTGCTTACAAAATCTTGAGCACGTTCCCGCCGCATTGATAGTAAGGCTGAGAACGTACAGGTGTCCTGGCCATGGTCGCCCGGTCCGTTTACAGGAGCGCTTGCAATCCAAGATTCCACATAGGGAAGGACTCAGCCTGAACCACAGTACGAACCGACGAACGGCTGATGGACACGCGAGGGGCGGAGTCGATACCAAGCACACGCTACTGGCTGTCGCTCCGACGGCTGCTTCCTTTCCCATTCAACCCGGATGCAGTAGTTGTTGTGTCCTGGTGAACCCCAGATGATAACGACACGGCGTGCATATCACCCAACTTCGACCCCTGCATATAAGCGGCGCGGCATCACTGCAGGTCAAACGCCCACGTGCTCGTTCCTCGATTTCGAACCACCTCGACATCACCAGCACCGTTAAATGCAGCAGATAGCTGGCATTTCTGCCGATGCTGTTCCTCGCTTAAAGAAACGCGCAATTTTGGAGAGTTGAACATCTCAACACTCTCAACGCTTCCGTCCATTGATTGCCGTTCTGGCAATCTCATCTCCTCTCGAGTCAGCGAGTTTGAGCCAAGCTGTCACATCTCATTCCATCTGCCGCCTCCCCTCTGTACCCTTGACTATGTGGCGTCCACTAGCATCCTTCATGACCTCGACAGGCTTTCGGGCAGGACTTCCCTGAAGATCATCAGTCGAATCGAAACGCTAGAAACACTCCTCCCAACCGGCCCCTGGCTAGTGTTCAATCAAAAGTTCTTCATTCTCTCCCGGCTGCCGAGCCACGTGTGATGGTATGCTATCTGTAGCCATTAACTCTGCCGCAAACTAGCTTTCGAAACGCACGCTACAGCACTTCGGGTGGTGTTGCCACAAGCGCCGCCAGCTAGCGTTTGTCGAGCACCGGCCTAGTTTCTAGAAGCAGATCAGACGACTTAGCGTGTTGTCTGCATGGCCCTCACGTCAGCCACGTAGACAATGAGACGCCCTACCCTGGTAGGCTGGGCGTCTCCAGGTGCAAAACACATCACAAGGGCCTCAGTCATAAGAACAACGGCCATGCGGCACTTCCGGAATCTACAATCCCATATCCTCCTAGATGGAGTCAGCCGCCGCTGCCCTAGGCCTGGTAGCAGGTGTTGGCAGTGTCATCACAATAGTGAGCAAAACCATTACCTCCCTGAACACAGCACGCATCAAATTCTCTGAGGCAGATCTGAGCGTCGAGCTTCTCGTGGGCCAGCTCTATACGGTCCGGACGGCTTTGACTCAGGTCGAAGCATTTGTGAGGGAATCTCCTTTCTTCGACGAAAACCATGAGGAGTTTGCTACCGATCTCTGTGTGGCTGTGGAGCACTGTAAGCTCCTGGTGCAGCATATCGATGACCAAATATCTCGTCTCGACTGGGTTGCGGGAGACCCTCTCAACAACCAGAGCAAAGCTCGTCTGCTGCTGGAAGAGCGCATATTGCGTGACAACATGATGCTCCTTAACAACCAGATATCGGCCCTGAACCTTTGTTTGACAGCCTTTCGATGGTGAGTACATCCACCGATACCACAACACCAGCCAACTGACAGCTCTAGCCGTCCAAGCCTCCCAGCCAAGGAAGCGTTCGAGCGCGAGCTCGCTCAATATCGAGAACGCCAACTTGCCGATGACGCAGCCTCCGCAAAGCTGGCGGCCGACCTCATGAGCTTTCCGCCCCCACTGGACCCAGCGTCGAGTCCACAGACCACTTCACGACCTAGCCTGATCAAGAAATTCGACCTTGATAAAATATCCTTGAAAGCCAACTTCTACGAACACGGTCTCCGCTCTCTTAGCAGATCTAGTAGTCTGGGTACACACGAATCTCAAAGGCAGTCGTCCGTCACTCTGAAGAGCTCAATACTACGCCTCTCAAATTCGGTTGCCCAGTCCGCGCGGCTGGACTCTCTCATTAAGCGCGAGGCTACGCAGAGGGACAGACAAGTCAAGCTTCTTGCCTTCGGTCAACGGCCGTCAACTGTCATTAAAAGGCTTCGTTTTGCATTGGCATCCCCGCCTCAGCCCGAAGAGGTGGAGCGTTGTCGACGTATGGTCGTACCGTCAGCCGTCAAATCTCTTCTCTCACTAGCAGAGTACGTCGGTAACTCCGTTGCACTCTTCCACATCGTCAAAAAGCAGAGTGACATCCAGGTGCTCGAGTCATTCGTCGAAGCCGGCGGCCCGGCCTGGGAGGTTTCAGTAGAGGTCAGCAAGGCCGCAATGTCGCTCTGGACTAGCCCGCGTGTCCAGGAGTGTTTCAAGAACATGAACCAGGACTACCCGTCTGCATACTTTCTGAGGGCCACCGAACGTGTTCTGCAGCCTGACTACGAGCCTACGCTCACGGATATTGTCAAATCCGATGAGGATCAAAAAGCGACTGCCACAGAAGCCAAACTGGCAGTCGAAGACATCTCCGTTGACATCATTGACGCCCCGCAACCCAAGCTGCAACGCTTCATGCGCCACTTCGACGACGCCGACGCCTTCCTGATCACCCTCGACCTCAGCACGTACGACCACTACCCCGAAGGCTCAAACTTGAGCTCCCTCGAGTTGACGCTCCAGGAAGTCAAGAACCGCTGCCGCCACAACTGGCACGGCGAAAAGCCCGTCATCGTCGTCATGTACAATACCGCCGTCTTCCGGCGCAAGGTCGCCGTCTCATCCAACCACTTCTCCGACTGCCGTCCGCCAAAGGACTTCCAGGCCGCCAAGGACTACGTCTTACAGCGCTGCCGCCGTGTCATCCATCCAGAACAGCCGCTGTTCTACCATTACTCTGAGGATGACGCCGAGGATCCGTTGATTGTGGATTTCTTCAAGAAAAGCGTGCTCGAGCTGCCGCACCTCATTGCCTGTATTAAGAACTTGAATCATTTGGTTGGCATTACGCCCAAGCCGGGCGTGTATATGAGGAGGCACACTAAGGCCAGATCGACGCCCAAGGGGCAGCGGTCGGCTTCGTTACCGATTTTGTAAAAGGGTGTGGGCAGGGGATGCTCTGGGCAGGCCTGCATGCGGGCAGTAAGTATGCTGTTGAACGGGGATGTTCGCGGAAGGAAGAGAGAAGAGATATGGGGAGCAAGGCCTGAGGTGGGACGAGGGAACAGCGTGGTAACCGAGCGAGCGTTTCTGGTAATTCGTAACGAAATCACGACAACAACGGATATGTATACTAGCAGATAGTTTCTAATAACTCGTGGGTGGACCAGCAATACCGGGTCGATAGTAACTCGTTGGCTTTTATTCTAGTCGTGCATCTGCGCCTCTCCGCTCCAGATTGGTGGCACGGTCAGAGTTTCGGGACGTGGGCTAGGATGCCTTGGTTGCCTCGTTGCCTGAGCGTGCTCCACGAGCATATTTTTTCCGGCGAAGGTTAATTTGGTATGGCCAAGCGATATCACAGTATTTTGGCCGCCACCTTTATTGCGCCCGCGTTACCCCCTCCAAAGCTCCCAATCATCCCGCCAAGCCGTCATGTCGACCATACAGGTGTTTCTGACCGATGGCCAAACACATCAATTGCGCAGCAGAGTCGTCTCCGCGACACCTTTCAGTACTCTGGACTCGGCCGATCAGACACTCTTCCCCCGAGCCGAACAAGACCACCGGGTGGTGGTGACTACAGAGACCATCTTCCACCCTCAAGGCGGCGGGCAGCCCTCCGACACAGGAGAGATTACGTCAACCGCCGCCACCACCACCACAACCACCACCACCACTGCCGCCAGATTCAGCGTCGAGATGACCCGGCTGAGTCCCAGCAGCGGCAAAGTCCTCCACTTGGGGAGATTCCAAGATACTTTGACTTTATTCAAGCCCGAGGAGGAGATCCTGCAAACACTCGACACGGAGAAACGAGAACTCTATTCACGCTATCACACGGCCGGCCACACACTCGACGCCGCGGTACGGCATGTCTGCGGCACAACCGTCGCCAACTTTGATAAATTGAAGGCGTCACATGTGCCGGGCTCGGCGGCCTGCGAGTTCACGGGCTTGATCCCCGGCGAGCGGAAAGCGGCGATTCAGGCACGGTTGAATGAGCTGCTCGCTACGAAGGCCGAGGTCAAGATTGAATACTGGGCCAAGGACGAGATTGAGAGGGTCAGTCAGGAGATGTGCATTCACTTGGATGATGTGACGTTGGCGGAAAATGGGAGGTGCAGAGTGGTGAATATTGAGGGTATTGATGTGTGTCCGTGTGGAGGCACGCATGTGGCGAGTCTTGACAAGTGTGGCAGGATTACTGTAACGAAGATCAGTCGCAGTAATGGGAATAGTAGGGTTAGCTATAGACTGGAGTAGCGGTCAGTTTCTTAGATCTGTCGAACACCGGGATGGGTTGTCGGGTTGGTAGCATCGGGTCAAGTAGACAGTAAGAAGTGGTCGGACATTGCAAGGCTGCATCACAGCCTCGTCATGCGCCCTTAACGACCTCACCTCTTGGCACTGGCCGAGTGCCTGGGGCACAACGACGTACTCTGAGTATGTATGCGATGCTATGAGCGGAACGAGTCGACACAATCCACTTGCCTTGATAGCTCCCCAGCCGTCATTCCGATACCCCTAGCAAGCTCTGCGTCGCAAAATTCAGGCGTCGCCGATGCTCGACGACAACACCTTCCTCCTACAGGAGCCGGAGGGACTCGGTCCCCGCCCAAACTCCCCAGCCGTGCCCCTGTTCCTCATCCACGATGGCGGCGGCACCGTCTTCCAGTACTTCAGTCTGGGCGACCTGGATCGACCCGTCTACGCCATCGGCAACCCGCGCTTCGAGTCTGGCGAGCCCTGGAGCGGGGGCATTCCTGAGATGGCCAGGGCGTACGCTGACTTAGTGCACGCGGCGCTGCCACCCGGAGGCGGTGGACAGGTCATTCTGGGAGGTGTGTGATTCCTGCTGTTACCGTTGAGACAGCGCGAGCAACTTTGCTTAGCCTGGGTCCTGTGGGCTAGACTACCTACCGGCCCTAGCCGGCCTCTGTTTCGTGCTGTGATATCTGCTCCACCATTCCACCCCCGCCGTCTGCCCCTCCTCCAATTACTTCGCACAGCTACATCCACGCGCCCCAAGACCTGGCCTGTCACCCTGACACTGACGACTTTCTCCCTCCAAACAGGCTGGTCCCTCGGCGGCCTCATAGCGCTCGAACTCGCGCACCTCCTCTCGAACCCGACCTCCAACTCTGACTCTGCCCCCACCACCCAACCGCAACCTGGTATACAAGTGTTGGGAGTCGTCATGATCGACAGCGCGCACCCCAGCATCTCCAGCCGCAATGATGTTGAGCGCGACAACAACGACGACGACGACACCCCAACCTTCCAGCCCACCACTAAGCCACACATCCGCGAGAAGATCACGCGCTGCTTCCGCGAAGCGCGGAGGATGATTCGAGAGTATGAGCCGCCGCTGCAACCGCGGGTGCAGGGTGAATTAGGAGGGGTGAAGGTCAAACTGTTGCGTGCTAGAGAGGGCCGGAGGAGGCGCGGGATGCAGACGGGGCTGACGACGGATGATGGGATGATGGGTTGGGGCAGGTCAGGTGTGGTCGGTGAGGAGGATGTTGTTGAGATCGCGGGGAGCCATTTCAAGGTTTTTGAGGATGGGAATGTAAGTTTCCCACCTGGGGGGGTTCTCTCAGAGGGCTTTTTTGTTCTTTTCTCAATCGTACGGTGTACTATGCGATGTCTATGCTGACAAGTTTTCCGGTGTGTTAGGTCGATAGCGTGACGAAGGCGCTGAAGGAGAGCTGTGATGCGCTGGCGGCGGCGAGGCCTTCATGAACCAGAGAGCGCAGCAGCAGAGCAGAGACAGGAGTGGGACAACAGGCCCTAGTTACGATAGAAACCATCGCACTCTCGGCGTCATCACCAAGACTCCTCGCAAGCTTTCCCCCGGGCCAACATTTTCTACATCGATCTCCCCCAGGCCAGGCCAGGCCAGGCTAGCCCGGCTGCTGACTCTTTTCAAAGCATCCCCATGGTCCCATTCCCATTCCCCCTCCCCCTCGCCGCCTCATACAACGCCCCAATGTCCCTCCGCCACTGCTCGCGCTCCGTCCTCAGCACCCTTCGATCATACGTCAACAACCCATTAACCTCGCCCTCGACATCCGTCGTCTGCGTCCACACGCCCCCACTGCACTCAAACAACTCGACCTGCTCGCGCAGCTCGTCGAGCAGGCGGTGCGCCCGATAATTCCAGGCCTGGAGCGTCTCGTCGATCTCGTAGGTCTCGTTGATGGCGTTGAATGCGTCGGCGACTTTCCAGAGGTGGTCGAGCGTGGTGTTGTGGCCGACGCCGCCGAATTCGCCTTGTAGGGCGATGCGGGAGGGGTCGTGGGGGCTGGAGGGCGTGGAGTACTAATGAGGCACAAAAGTCAGTGAGAGGAGGGTCTCGGGGGGAGGGCTTGATGGGAAGGTCTGGCTGGCTTACGAAAGGTGTCCCGCATTGCGGATTGGCGTAGTGGTGGTTGTCGGAGAAGTCGCCGGCGCCGTGGTCGTTCCAGCCGGACGTGCTGCTGATGAGGCGCGTGGGATCCAGGGAGCGGACGAGGTCGGTTAGCGCGAATTCCGGGTAACCTTCTTCGAGCTGGCCCCAGCCTTCGTTGTAGATGACCCATGCGAAGATGCTGGGGTAGCTCTTGTGCTGCTCCACGAGCAATTGCAGCTGCCGCACAAACTCGGCCTGCTCGGCTTCGTTGGGGAGGTATGTCACCTCGGTGCAGTTTGGCAGGTAGTAGCTCTGCAGCGCGCGGAGGCTGGGCATGTCCTGGATGAGCATGACGCCCATCTCGTCGCAGGCTTGGTAGAAGAGTGCGTTCTCGACTTTGATGTGCTTGCGGAGCATGTTGAAGCCGAGGCCCTTCAGGGTCTGCAGGTCGAATACCATGGCTTCGCGATTAGGCGGCGTGTAGATGCCGTCCGGCCAGAAACCTTGGTCGAGTGTGCCGAAGGGGAAGACGAACTCGCCGTTGAGGAGTGGTCGCATGATGCCGTTCACGTAGCCGGAGGAAATGGTGCGGAAGCCCATGTAGGAGGTGATGCTGTCACCACCGCTCAGGGTAACGGTAACGTCGTAGAGGGTGGGCGAGTCGGGAGACCAGAGGTCGGCATCTTGCACAGAAAACTGGATTTGTGTGTTGGTGGTACCTTCGAAGCTAGCAACGGATGTGCTCGAGTTCTTCTCGTATACAGTGATTTCCACTGCTTCTTGGCCTTGGGATGCGGTATGTACCGTGGCCGTCACTGGCTGCAATTAGTGCTTTGGTAGAGTCTGGTTTCAGAGTACGAACCTTGACCGTCCATATCACCGCTCAGATCTAGTTGGGTGATGTAGTCTGACTGTGGCGCCGCTTCGATCCAGACGCTCTGCCAGATGCCGCTGCATGGCGTGTAGAAGATGTGTGACGGCCGTAAGGTTTGCTTACCCACAGGAATGTTCACATCATCTGTATCGGTCGGGTCATATACGAACACGAGCCTATGAATGTGAGCCATGGTTTGCTAGGCAGATGAGTTTACTTACAGCTCATTGGTGCCGTTGCTCAGAGACACGTAGTCTGTCACATCGATTGTGAAACGGAAGTACCCACCTCGATTGGATCCAACTTGCTGTCCGTTCACGTAGACAGTGGCTTCGTAGTCGACGGCTCCGAAATTCAGGAGTACTCGCTGATTAGCCCAGTTGCTGGGCACAGTGAAAGTCGTCTGGAGCCAAGAGAAAATGGTAAAGTTGCCTTGGATGCCTGGAAATGTCAGCTATGTCAGCACATGTCGTAGCGTTATCACGTGCCTGACAGTCCGCTCTCCAAGCATGACGGCACCATCACCTGATGAGGAAGGGTTGCACCGAACGGAGGTGCTTCATATCCATTCGTGGCGTTCCGGTACCGCCAGATGCCGTTCAGGTTCTGCCAGTTCGACCGTTGAAGTTGTGGTCTTGGATACTCTGGCCAGGGATTGGTCCCGAGACTATACGTCCAAGGCGTATCTAGCGGAGGCGTTTGGACGGAGTAAGGGGTGTAGGCGTCGCCGGTCACATTGGGGTAGCTTGGAAATGGGTCGTTCTTGGGCGTGTCTTGCGGAATAGCTTGCGATGAGCTCCGCGAATAGCCCGGCGGGACGGTTTGAGTCCAGTCTGCGGAGTTATGAGGGTTGTACTGCGGTACACTTGGCGACGAAGTCTGTGAGTAGCCAGGTGGAATGGTTTGTGTCTCTTGTTGCGAATGCTGCCATGGCGGTGGATATTGCCGTTTTTGTTCATCAGCAACGATCCCTGCGATGACTGAGCTTGCTAAGGGAAGACACAGGATCAAGTCAAAACGCATTCTTCGATCCTTGAACAGCTCACAGCTGCAGCCACGGGGTCTGTTTCCTTCTAAGATGAGGACCTCTGTTGAGGTGTATGAAATTAACAAACGAAATTCGCTTGCAGAGGCGCGGGGAAGCAGCTTTTAGATCATTGAGCTCGGAAGACAGAACAGCCATTGTGCTGACGAGATGAGCAGGGTTCGCCTGGCTGCCTTATGGTACGTTGAGGTCACGGCGTGACATCGGTGAGTTCTTGCCCATGCCGCATGCTGTAAGCACCTCCACCTGAATTGCCGTGGTGCGATTCGATCGGAGGGCCACATCTCGCCATCTGGATAGCCAGATGAGGTTGTATCAACTAGCATGAATGAATGCACAGACTTTGAACTACTCACAGCATCAGCGTCGAGCGATGTATGGCTGTGGGCGATCATGGGACCATTCTGTTCGGGGAGGACCCTGTATATGTCTTCGGGTGCGGGAAGATCATCCGTATGCTTACACACCACTGGTTCTTTCTCTATGCCAAGAGCATTAGGTGATTTCCAGGGACACCTTCACGTCTGCGTGTAACACAGAACGGTGCCGGTGCAAACCATAATGATCAGCCTGTTAACAGTGTTGTGCATAACTAGCCGAATGAGGAGATCAAAGGCCTTGGTAGAATAAGTATTATGCAGCTCCGCCTCAACTCCAGATGACCGGGTTACTGAATCGAGAAGGTAGGTCAGAAGTGCAGCGATTCCGGTGGTCGAAATTTGACAGAACTCTCAAGGTGCCATTGAGAACTCCACAAAGGACCCCGCGATCCCCGCGCGTAGTACCTGATGCGCCTGTGGGGTGTGAATCTCTGACCTGATGGCACTCCGCCATGGGAAAAGCGGGATGAAGACGTGGGGCGTTCAAGGCAGGTTGAAGGCTCTGTGCTCGGTACAAATCCGGGCATGCATCTGTGCGGAGAATTTTACCAGGAAGAACTGCCGCGACCAGTCGGATGGGCTAGTTGAGCCGTCACTGCGTTAGTGAAGGTACTTCTCTGGGATCAATCGTGATGGAACGGTCGTTGGGAAGTTCGGCACTGATGAAGGACTGAATGGCCGTTGTCGGACACCATACATGGGTCCATGAGATGGCAGCCGATTTCAGGCGCGCAATACTACAACAAAGAGGGGTAATGACACGCACAAAAGCTCGGCGTGAAAGTGAGGAACGATTCGAGAAAATGATCTAATGGAATGGCTCGATGAAGCGTTGCAATTGAGCAGGTTGGAGCTGAGGTTCATTCAAGGTTGATTCACTGCCTGCGATTTCTTGGCACTGCTAGGCGAATCTGTACAGCACCTTTGCCATCAACTTATGGAACAGATGACTCTCTGTTCATGGCTCTGTTTCTCTCCTCGAACACGCATGTGTATTGTAGGCTTAGATTATACGTGTAGGATGAATATGGGTATCATTACCGCCCGAACGCTTAGACTCATCCTCTCATTATCGTCGTAACCTAGGCCACCGCCTTCACGCCCTCTTTCATCTCAAGTCCCCAACGATCTGCAAACCCTTGCACGACCTCTCGACACGTCTTTGCGGCTTGGCGCTCCCTGAGTCTCCGGTCCCAGTCTTGCGCCTGTATAATCAAGATGCTGTTTTCAACCAGATCTTCCTCTGTCTGCATATCATCCACCATGTCTTTCACACTTTTGAGTTTCCTGGTTGCAGCATTCGCAGCGAGCCTGTTCTCTTGTAACTGATCTGTAAGGCTTTGCAACGTTTGTGTCAGTTCACTCGTCTGGCTGGCCAAGATCTGTAGTGAAAGTAGTGGATTTTGGGTCGGCAGGAATGGAATGGCAGAACCAAGTGATTGGATCTCGTCGATGAGCAGATCGATGAATTCTTCTGGCAAGTACATTGCTGAATTGCCATAGAGTAACGAGTGGCTCTGGGCGAATACATCCCGCTGCTTGTGAGTGCGGTGTGTCGCCATCGATGTGTAGGCGGTGACCATTCTTGTGACCCCGTATTCGATATTGCTCTGTGGCGGACCGAGATCACGTAGCGCGGCAACAGTACGCTTGACCACGCCACCACCTTCGGACACGGCATCATCACTGTGCTGGAAATCACGGGCCAGCTTTTCAATCTCACGCATACGCTTGCGCAGTAAAGGCGGCAATCCTTCGGCCTGGTCTTCGTAATCGGATTCGGGCCCGTAGTCACTCCCGTCGTACGCCGAATCCATCCGTTTGTGGCCAGATTGTCTGGATGGAGGCTCCAGGGTGTTTGACCAGGTTGTATGCAGTGGCATACCATCTTGCGGTAAGGGCGAATGTAATGTGACACCATAGCCAAAATCATGCATGTCATTCATTTCGTATGGTGTCTGAAGAGAGAGATTTCCCTCCCCTGTTTCGCCTTCTCTTAAGTCTGCTAGCAGTGAATTGCCGTTTTCGTCTTCGTCGTCGTCCCAGGCGTGGCCCAGCTCGTCAGCGAGGTTTCCTAGTCCACCAACGGTTTGAGGACCGTTAGGTGCACCGCCAGATGCAGCACTGTTGATACTGGCAGTGCGGGAGTGTTTCCGGCCGTGAAAGGAATTGCGTGAGGAGCGTGCGGACATAGGCCGAGGAGTCACCGGCGACTGTGGTTGGAACGAGGTTTGTGAAGTACGTGAGCTACGTCGCGAGTATGTTGTCGTGCCGCTGGTATGCGGAGATGGGGAGGTCGACTCTTGCGTTTTTGAGTCCAGGCTCGCGAGGCGGAGAGAGCGCCGCTTGAGGCTTGAGGAAGACGAAGGCGAGGTCGGCGAAGACGGGGCGGTCATGGTTTCATGCGTGGCCAGGAGTCCACTGTAAGGGAGGGTTCGGGCGCCACACGCGGCGGTGGATCTCGTGGAGTCGAGAGAATATCTAGGGTATCGCGTAGTCAATGAAGATGCGCGCAGGGCCTTTGGAGTTTTGTTGTACAGCAAAATTCAGCAGACTTTGGATTGGAATGTTGTTTGCAGCAATGGTTTTGAGACGCGGAACTGTAACAGGTGCACCAGTGCTGCAGCCGGGTGACGCTCCCCTGTCAACTCTGAACCGCGCGCCGCTCCGCACCGCGGGGCCACATCAAAACCTGCCTCCGTCAACGTGTCGAACTTATCTATCACTCGGGCATTTCTTCATCTTCGCCAGCGGCGTCATTATCACCACCTCTTTGTCTCTGGCTGTTGTCGACAAGGGGATATAGCAGACGACAATGCCCGTCATCCGTCGCGTAAAGCCGTCGGACCTCTTCCACCTCAATCTTTGCAATCTCGATCCCTACACAGAAAACTATGACATCGGCTTCTACATGCACTACCTGATGAAATGGCCGTCATTATTCCAGTGTGTCGAGGAGCACGGCCAGATTGTTGGGTACATCATCGGAAAGGTCGAGAGCTCACCGCCTCAGCTTCAGTAAGTCGCTCTCCTGATCAGTAAGTATCATTTCCTTACTCTTGCTGCCAAGAAATTCACCACACGCACTCCCCTGGCATGGTCACATTACGGCTCTCACCATCGCTCCGGAATATCGACGCCTAGGATATGGTAAGCTCTTGTCCGAGGCTCTGGAAAAAGCTTGCAACGCCCAAAATGCCTGGTTCGTGGACCTCTTTGTACGAGAAAGCAATAAAAACGCCATCAAAATGTACGAGAGCATGGGCTATTCGACGTTCCGAGTTGTCGTCGACTACTACGCCGACAATCCGTCCAATCCGGACACTGGGCTGGGAGAAAGTGCTCTGGATATGCGCAAGCCATTGGATCGAGACAAGAAGAGAGAGCACGTCCGCGAGAACGGACATGACTTTGCAGTCTTTCCAGAGGACGTGTTCTGAATGAAGTGGTATAAACGAGAGCTATCCGCAATCCAGTACGAGACTTCCACTTGAGGACGATCCAGAGACTTCTGATCCAGTGCTTTGCTCTTCGTTGGATATGACCAGGTCCGGCCTACTCCTTTCCAACGTAGTTCTCCGCCGGCATCCACACCGTCTCGATGATATGGCCATCCGGATCCCTGAGGACGCGGCCGTACATGCCCGATTTCTCCATTTCCTTCTCCATGGCGGTTTTCTCCCTCACATCTTTGCTTCCACCAGACGCAGCCGCCGTCTCGGCGATCTCGTCCACCGCCTCCTTGCTCTCTCTGGTGAGGCACATGATACACTGCGCCGCCTTCTGGGGATCGCCCATCTGCACGCCTGGAGGCAGGAAGCTGGAGTAGAAGTCATAGGTGAGCAGCATGATCTTGATGGTGCCCCCGTGTGCAGCCGGCCCGGTCGTCGACGGCGTGGGCGGCAGAGACATCGTGCCTGCCTCTGGCGAGGAGAAAGTTTCGTTCTTCACGAAGCCGATGGCGGTGTAAAAGGCAATGGACCTTGTGAGGTCCGCCACAGGGATGTTAAGGAAGAGACTGTTCTGGTACGGCGATGCCATGTTGTCGTTGGTCTTCTTGAGTATCCGGAGGTTACATGAACTCTGCGCCAGGAGCTGTTGTCGTGATCTGTCACTGAGACTTCGTATTTGTGGAACGATACTGCATTCTTCTCAACCGTTGGGGCTCTCCACCTCTTTATAGCTCGAGGACTCGTATAGACGGATCCATCCCAGCCAGATATGTCGCGCCGCTGATGCCGTACAAACCAAACGCTCTCGCACCGTTCATCAGCCAAGTAGGGTAAAATCTGCGTCGCGCGCACCCCGCGTTGGGACGCGGGTGAGGCCGCTTTACGCGCACCCGCCCCTCACCCGCGGCGCGCGACGCCCAGGTGCGCCCTCACCCTGAATCCCGGTCGCGCTGAGACACCGGCGCCTGGGCGCGGCCGATGACTGGCCGCACGTGCCAGGCAGCAGCGGCATCCCGATCCACCTCGCAGCGGCTGTGCAAGGGTGAGCAGGTTCACTGGACGCTATTCTTCATCGTGTTCATTATTAAAGCGGCGGAACGGCGAGGGCCACGCCGGACAAAGACCCTTCGGCTAACCTGCCATGTTTTTCTGTGCTTTCCGCGCCCTCTCTCTTTGTCAACGTACTTCAGATGTCAGTACTCGCTCGCCGCGGACCGCTTTCAAATCCTCCGTCGCCTCCTCGCCGCTTTGATCCTCTTGATGTCTTTTCGACACGCTGCTGAGCATGCTGGGCACATCAATCTCCGCTTGTAAGATCCTCTTCCTGGACTTACGACGGTCATCGATCCTGCACCACCCAATCACTGCGCCGTCCTCTGCCTAGTGTCCCATCACAAGCGTCTCTCCACTGCTACATACCTCGTCCGAGTGATGCAAGAACGATGAATACAGCTAGTCATCCAAGAGCCGAGCCGCCCTTGGAAGCTCGATTGGCTGCGCTCAGCGGATGTTCCGTGTTCGCCCAGAGGTGGTGCTACGCGAAGGAGGGCAGGCACCGTGTACTGAGCCTACCTTGGGTCTGCCTTGAGTCTGCCTTGAGTCTGCCTTGAGTCTGCCTTGAGCCTGCCCCAAGAGGTGTGGGACCCCAGGCTGGGCCAGAAGAATGGCGCCCATCGGGGTGTTGCGTCAAGAACTCTGGCGATGCCGAACCATTTCTGTGCGCCTGTATCATTCCGCAAGCAGTCTTGCTGCTGGTCTGAGAGTGTGTATGCTGCATCAAGGTCAACGTCTGTCCTCAGGCCGCAAGTCGTCCTCCGAAGCGAACGCCCGACAATCGTGGGCAAAACTCTCTGCACCGCAATGCATCCGTGCGCCAGGGTCGGTGACACTGCCTTCCTGCTTACTCCAGTCTCCCCTTCATGGCAGCAGACCAGGACTGAACTGCTTGGGCCTTGCCTACAAACAGGCCAGCAGTGGGCGCGCCGAGCGCCAGCCGAAGCGCCAACGATGACTCCGTTCCATCCCATCCGATGCGGCCCTGTAGTGCGGCCCTGTACAGGCCACGCTCGGCAATATATTCTCGTCGGCGGTAGACTATGGCGAAGCTGCGTTCCTGGGGCGGCACTTTGGTTGTAGCTGGAAGTCCGTCACCGCTTCTACGGCAATACACTGCGGTCTTGACTCATGGTTGCAAGATCGGTCGGCCAGGGTCCAATTCGCGTTCAAGAATCGACCGGTCCAGCGCTCTCTGCTGCTGATCTTTCACTATGGAGATCTCGTAGAGGGTTTCTGGAGATGCTGGTCCGTAGGCGTAGGCGAGGGGACATCGTGGTAACTTGGTCTTGGCACTGATATGTGGTAAGCTTTCGTCCAATGGAGTTTGGGGATATTGACGGGCTTATGGCACCTTCAGCACTTCGTGTCTCGTTGGTCACCCCTTGCTCCTCGATGATGCTCGTCTCTTTTCTTTCGCTGCGATTCGCGACCGTATGTGATTTCCGTGGAGTGAACATCGTCGTCTTCGCAGTCGACGGATCGGGAACTCCGTAGATGTGCAGAGATCTCTGCGGGAAAGATCTGGCCGATAATGGGGGGGCCCTATGTTGTTTGTCTTTTCAGATCTTCTGGCATAAAGACTCGCTCCTCTTCCTCCTCAAGACCTGCTAGTAGAGGTCGAGGGCAAGGGCCGTTTTCTCTTGCGTTTTCCAGGCGAAAGGCTTGCTCTCGGCCGATAAAGGTTCGTACCATTGGCGCGGAGGCTATGTTCAGCAATGCCCTCGTGAGATGGTTCCGCTTGAACTACTGCAGGCGGTAGGATCTTGATATTCCAAGACCGCGAATGGTCATGATACCAGAACGACATTCTCAGATGACGCGAGAAGGTGTTGGACTGATTGGTGGTGACAATAGGGCCTTTGTTTGCTAAGGGTGTATAAATCATGTGACTGTACCCCCGCAAGTATGACGTAGTTAGGCTTGCCTAAGTGCACCGGAAACGATTCGCGGGCACAACTCGGTGGAGCTTGGGAGCAATCCAGAGGTCTAAGTCGACCGATCAAAGAAGCCTCGTGCGGTAAGCCCTCGTTTGGCGCTGGCATTCTCATTCATCCCCTAAAAGAATTAGAGTCGGGCGCGAAGATCTAGGAGGGGCAAACTTCCTCCCGTCACTTCCAGTGGGACAAATATGGCAATGATAGTGCCCTGAAGCTCTTCCAGTGATGCCATTAGGCCCATAGAGCTGTTTTCTATGGAACACGGCCACGGGTAGCGAGAGAAGGCGGCGTGACCAGCCTAAGCCCCAGCACGGCCAGCCTACAGGTGCAGCGTTCGGTGTGTGTGCACATACAGCGCGCCGCACTGTTATGGACACTCTTCGGCCAGCCTCCCTCGTCACTCCCTTCGGATGGCGCTCGCTATCTAGCCAACTCATGCGAATGGCGCGTACCGCCTATATGCTGGCACGGTTCAGGGGCCACAGCCAACGACTTGCTGCAGAGTTGGGCTTATCGCTCTGATTCCGGTGGACTGGGACCCAGAAATTTCAATAGCCTTTCAACTTCTTCTTCTTCATCCTCGATTTCAATGAATGGCTTGGTCCAGAATGGAGCTTCAAAGTACGTCGGATAGAAACCGGCGAACTCCCAATCGATGACTGCCATGACTTTGCCCGTTGTTGGATTGCACAAAAAGTTGTGTTGGGAGAGGTCGTTGTGGGTGAAGTGGAAGATCTCTCCTGATGTTTGGGGAACCCACTGTCCCGGAAACCGCTCGAACACTCGACGAGGCGGTATCACAGTCCCTTTAAGAGTGCCCGAGATGTGGGACGTTAGAGCACCCAGTTCCGGGAGTATGAATGAACGGACATATTGGTCGAGATATGTTTCAGACCGAATCCCCGGATCAAGGTCATCGAAGGGAACCCCATCAATCCACTCTGTAGTCAATGTGAGGCACCCATCCACGCTTTCGAGACTGTATGGCCTTGGCACAGGAATATTGGTCATTTTTCCAATGTAGGTCAGGACGGCGTACTCATTCTCCAAACGCTGCCTTGACATCCACGGGTGCTGTGTTATGCCCGCAATATCCTGCCATGACGGGATCTCGATCTTGGTGAAAGTCCGGAGGCTTGAATTGCTTTGGTATCTTCTCTCCTGTGCTTGCCATTCTTCAGACATGTTGCGGAATCTGAAAATTGACGGTTGATGCAGAGTTTTGGAAAGGCATGACCTGTCCTATGAGTGTAGCTACTCCTGGCGTAAATCACACTAACCTCCTTGGGTTAGTACCCGTTAAGTAGCTTTGTGCTCTGCACGGCTGCTGCACTACAGTTTCGGGGATCTAGGTAGGAAGCGCAATCCAAAGACTTTATTTGAGAGATTGCCGGCCGGCATGGATTTACATATACTGGTGCTAAGCGAGTGTACTGCAGTCAAAAGACAGCACTGTGTGCCATTGACCTTTAGCCAACGGCTCCTTTGCAGGCGTTCAGATTAGCTTAGGCCTATTGGTCCGAAGGAAACAAGACCTACCAAAGACAATAAATCTCAGTTATTTCTTGGTCTTGAATGGCGCCTTATGGCAGACACCGCACAACTTCTGTGATTTTGACACTTGAGCATTGCAGTGGTCGCATCTGAGCGTCGGACTCTTCTTATGGAGCCCACCGGCGGGGATTTTGCGAGGTGGCGAGGGAGTGCGCTCTCGTTCGCCTTGTTCGCCTTTCCCGCCTTTCCCGCCTTTCCCGCCTTCTCCGCCCTTTCCGCCTTTAGGAATATCTTTTGCTTGAGTCGGCATTGTGGTTGATCAGGAGTTCGCTACCATACTGAAAGAATGGAAGTGGAAGATGTCGAAGAAGATGGGAAGATTCTTATACTTACTTGTTTTGATTTCATAAGTGACCGGATGCATGGAGGGCGATCAGGCAGTCATGCAGAGTTCCCAACCTGGCATAGCATCAAGCCAGAATACTGACTTCTGACCATGCGGGAAGTCGAGACGTGCCTAGGAGGAGATCCATCTCATTTGTCACACGCCCGCTTTCTGCACGCCCGCTTTCGGCACGCCCGCTTTCGACACGCCCGCTTTCGACACGCCCGCTTTCGGCACGCCCGCTTCCTGCACGTCCTACTGCTTGCGCACCCACTTTTGTGTCCCCACTCTTCCGCCTATCCACTTTTTGCACGGGCACTTTTCAGGAGGCCCGCTTCCAGGACAACTGCTTTTTGCATGCCCACTTCTTGCGCGCTCACTTCCTGCAGCGCGATTTTCTCTCGACCGCTTCCTGTTGTCAAATCTTCTACTGCAATCTGCCACCAGAAACTTCTTATGGATACCCCTGTCGAGCAATTGAGCAAACTAGTCGGTCATTTGGATCCTCTGATTTCTGGTCTCAACACTCCAGCAATAACTAAGGATGAGCTTCCCATACTGAACAGCCTGGCTTTAAGACTCGGAAATGCAGCCCTGACTCTTCAGAAGACAACAGGCTACTTTACGCCGTTCCGCGAAGATCCAGCACAGACTAGAAGTTCGGCGCTTATGAACGAAGCCCAGAGAACTATCGCGAACCTTGTTGACAGTGGGACGCTGGAGAATCCATCTGCTTTTAGAAGGAGTATCCTCTTGATATTTCAAGGCCCCAAGTCTGACAACTTCAACTCGAAAGACGTTAAGTCCAGGAAAGCTATTACGGAACGCAGGTGCGCCGAAATACGGAAGCTCAGTCCCGATGGGATAGTTGCATGGGCTGTTGCATTCAACACGTCCTCTTGGATCGGAGGTACCATGGGACAGAACATATTCGACTACCTCATCGACGATATCGAGCCAAATAATGCACTGCCCTGGCCGAGTCAGATCTCCGAGACTTTGGGAAAGCTCCAAAGCCACGAAGACTTGCAGAAATCCGTCGAATATGGCCAATTCCTCAACTGTAAGTGCTTGTGCCAACAAGGCGGGGTCTGTGCATTGATGGAAGCAGCTATCCTCAACCAACCTCGAAACACAACTGTAATTGAAGAAGCAGTTGAACATGTAGTAACGAACAATTTTTCTTCGCAGGCCCCGGCTGAACAGAACAGAGGTGAGTTAACATCCGTTATATTGCTGAGAAATTGACTGTGTGTCGACAGAGATGAAGCATATTTTCACGAATGGAATAGCCACTCACATCCGCAAAATGCCGCAGCCATTTAGGAGGTTTATTCAAAACAGCAAGTTGTGGAAATGGGAAAGGAGCCAGGGATATAGAACGACAGCCTGCTGGTCAACGCTGTTCCCGAAGGACGAAATGCAGGACGTTTCCGTGACAATCTGGTGTGGTCATAAGGACGGGTATCGGTTGAATGATATCTTCGAACTAGAACATGCAATGTCGTCTAATCGCTGAAGGAAACCACTTTGACCCCTCTCACAAAGGTACTATAGCCCTTGGGAACATCAAAATATTGCTCCTCTTCCACATTCTCTTCACGAGTCGACCGTTGCTGCGTAATTTCGTTATAGACCGAGATGTACAAGCCTCGAAACTTCACCTTTCGGTCTCGGCTATCGTCTGGAGGGAAAATGTGACTCGAAATGTCGTGTTCATCTCGCCCAGCCAGGGCTTCATCCCCTTTCTAAGACAGACAGTTAGTGGAGGTTCGTTAAACAACGCGGGAGAGAACCTGACAGCCATGCTTGCGTGGTCTATGGCGGCGAAGATGTGGCCCGTTGGGTAAGGCCGGCAGAATCACTAGAGGCTCTCGTCGCTCAGAACTTTCCTTTGGTCCGTAACGTCTGAAGAAGTGCTAAGGTGAAAACAAAATCGTGAGACTGCTTGCGCCATGCGAAAATGAATCAGTGCAGTCGGGTTGGCGGGGATTTGCATCAAAGTGTAGTTTTGCTCCGCCGTAGGATGGGCTCCAAGGTCGTTGGGCAGCAGAAACGGTGAGGCTCGCCTGGGCGATTGGTTTAGAGACCTGTTGTTTGAGATCGCCGTAAAAAGTTCAGTAAGTAGATCAGAACACCAGTTATTAGGCTGATTTGGGTACCCAGCCGTCCAGCCTTCAACCTTTGTAAAACTTTTGAGGCTGGGTTGGGTGTTGATGACCTCCGGACACCCTGGTGCCGACGAAGGAAGCATGACCTACGGGCAGTACGTCATTCACAACAAGCCCAAGAATGACGTAAGCCAGTGGCTGAGGTAGGTTGATTAAGCAGACACATCCTGTGCACGCAAATTCCAAGGATCACATGATTTTAGGACACAGAGACTATGCACGCAAGAATTGGGTGTGCAGGATTTGTGTTCGCCCGACCGACGTTCAACCAGTGAGGTGCCAGGCGTAGCTAAACCTTGATTCCATCCCCACAAGTAAACCAAGGAGAGCCAAGCATTGTCGACATGGGACAGTACAGGGATCTTTTCTATGTATGCGATATGCGGCTTTCCAGGAACGCATGGAGGAACTGAATCCGGTGTCGAGATTCTGCAGAGGACTAGGGTCTGAAGAGCAGTCTGTGGAGATTAGCAGGCGCTGGCAAGACCACCACTACCACTCTTGTCGCACGCTTTGACTCGCTACATCTACTTATGGAGTGCTTTTCAGGTTTCTTCTACGCGGGGCGGCTGCGTCTGTTCCCAAAATGCAGGCTACGACCATGGTTCTTCAACAGAGTGTGCTCATTGACTCTTGAGCTAGTCTAAGCGGGTATAATGTGGGTAGTACATGTACGAGATGGTTTAGTGAACGGAAGACTACGTGACTGTCGCTGGCCGAGGAATAGAAACGAGCTAGCTTCGTCATGCGAAGGCGTATTAAGCAGGCACGGCTCGGACCTGCCGGAGCTTGTGACATCGTAAGGAGTCGAAGTCTCCTCAGGTACGCCTCTGGCACCCCACATTGTTGATAGATAGTTGCCCGGACCTTCAACTTGAGAGCTGTCGGATGGTATGCAGCATTGATTCGCTACGGGGATGCCACTAGATCGGTTGACGGCTCGCTTCGACCACATAACACAGTATTCTTTCCCTCGATCCGCTCCCCTCGAGATCCATCTTACTCTACTTGCCTGGAAGTGACTATCGAAGCCGGACACGATGTCTGACTATTCATCAGCAAAAAAGCCCGCTGCTAGTAAGCAGCTGCATGATCCATCGGACGCAATGGCCAAACTACAGTCCAACACTACTGGGAAACCCTCCGATGCTTCAAAATCCACTCCAGTCAACGATGCTACCAAAGGCAAATTCGGTGAGTATCTCATGGATTGAGCCCTAAATCGTCATTGACTTCACCTATAGCTCCGGGAAATCAGGGATGGAACGCCAGCATTGATGTGGTGTCTAAGGCTAAATGAACATGACAATAATGAAGATGCCATTATCGAGACATGTTCTATCCTGAAAGGAGATGCCAGATATGTTTGCATTGCAGGTCAGCAAAAGTATCAGTGGTCACAACTTGGTCGTCTGGAATATCATCTCAAGTGCTTCTTCGCCATCTTCTCCCGATATCAGTAACTCTATGAACCGCAGCACCCTTATCAGAAGAGTCTCTCCCAAGGTCCCCTGCATTGCCCATGCCATGTGAGGATACGATGGGCAGGAATAGTGGGTGACATCGCAGTTGTAGTCGTTCAGTACATCCACAAACCTCGTAGCATCTTCTCGTAGAATGTCGCATCCCATGCTCGCGATGAAAGTGCGGACTGTTTTGGCGTCATCAAATAGCTTTCGTGGAGCATACACGGGGCTTGCTCTCCAGTTGTCGCTCGATCGATCCTTGCTCCTTGGGAGGAACGTATCTTGGTATAGCTTCATTCTTTCCGGCGTGAGCCAAGGGGCTTCGACAGGGGCCCAATCCAAATGGCTGTCAGCAGTATTGATTAGGGAAGGTGCTACAAGTAGTATCCCCAGTGGAGGAATTCGGTGCTGAGACATCTCCAGCATGGTGACCACCGCCAACAGAGCCCCACTGCGAAATAGTCAGCGTTCAAACAGATCAATGCTGTACTGAGGCTCACGCGGAGACCCCTCCAAGGATGACCTTTATGGGGCCGCACTGCTGCTGAACCCACTGCATAGCTTGAGCAGCATCGTCTAGTGGAGTCGGGAAAGCCTTTCGACGGTACGCGACGTTGAACACTCGGATTTGGGCCTCTTTGTGGCTTGTCAGCAAGGCATTCTCGAATCTCGACAACTGAACTATACCATTGCAAATGTTGCTCAGTATGTTGTGGTCGCTTTCAATGCCACCCAGCATCCAACCACCTGTATACACTGTTAGAGATGCTGGCTATAGGAGACACGACAGCACACACCCCCAGCGAACCATACGAGAATCGTGGTATGCACAATTTGGGCTGAGTCGTATCCGCAAGGGTTGTATTCCCTAATCTTCAAGTCATCTCCGAGATCGTGGTCAGAAGTTGAGGCGGTTGTCGCTGCGATATCGCTCTCGGAAAACGGCGACTCAAGATGAATGGTTGCATTGGAAGCATCTTGAGGATAGAACTGTAGGACCTGGTCATGGTAGCGAGCATACTCGGGAACAAGTTCCGCTCGCATCGTGGAGTGCAAGGGTGAGAGAGTAATCCCAAGGTAGGTCAGCAGATCGCCGTTTGTGGCTTGGGTATAGGGTAGCAAGACAGGGCTTGTTCGACTGGTTGGCGGGCTCAACACTGTCTGCCACTCTTTCAAGCACTTCCCCAGCTCGAAGACTTTGATATTGAAATCGTTGCCCTGATTTAGGCAAGTGTGGGCGTCCTGAAAGGGGATTTTGACCGGCTCCCGTAAAATAGGCCTTGTCGGCTTCTTTCCGCATGACAGGAGGAACACCGTGACGACGGTCTCCAGCCAACACGCAGTGTTCGGGATTGGAGCGATCCTCGCAGAATCCGCGCCTTCGACATACTGTTTGGCACGCTTGAGTTCGTCCATCCATCCATCTGTTTCAAGGTGCGGGCATCTCAGCACCTCCAGGAGCGTCTGATTTTATGTAGACCTCGTATCCTCTTTAACATCGAGATTCCATATGGTGTCCAAGTCTGGGAGAGTGCCTGTACATACGAGATTTGCGATGCATCCCAGCATGTGAAGGCGTATGAACGTAGGTCGATCCTGCAACTGTCATTTTGGATCAAGCGAACGAGGACAGTACCAACCATCTCGTGTTCTGTTAGAAGGATTCCAGTAAGCTTCTTGAGGCTTTGTGAACGGTCTTGCCGACCTCATATACCTTCGCTGACGTGGGCGCTGATCAGCCCGTTGACCAGCCCAAACCCAACAGGCAACACGTACATCTAGCATGTCTCCAGATGGCTTCGCCCTTTTGGGAAATGCGCCAGCCCATTGCCCACACAGTCTCCGCCTCGCTGCCACAGTCACTTAAGTCAAGCTTGCAGGGTTTCCCGACAGCCGTGCAGGTGTGTCCTGCTTTGAATGGACGCAGATCTCGCAGCCTAAGAAAATGAGCCGCAGCAGATGATATGACGACAACGTGCTACTTGTCGTGGCCCCGTTTGTATAGGCCTTGACCGCCCTGAACAGGGATGAGTGTGAGTCATTATGCTTAAGGAACGTATAAGGTGTTGGTGCTTCCCAGCACAGCTGTCACGATACACCTATTCACCATGGCCCAAACGTTCGGGTCCCAAGAGACGCCAAGACTGGACACGACCGGGTTCCGGTGCATGTTCCCACTTTTGGAACCTGGTTTGACCCCGCGTCATACAGGACCTGCCAACCTCTGCACGCCTTCACAATATCTCGTTATGGACGTTGCAACGTCAGCTGATGCCAGAACCATCGAGACTGCTGGCGAATGCGCGGAACAGGTGACGAAACTCCCATTTGAACCGCTTGATGAGGAGACATGTCCAGGGACCGATGTTTGCAGCGACCCGCCGTCCGTTCGCAAGTTCGTCAATCCCTTTGTCGGTGCCTTCGTGTCACAATACTGGCCGGTGAGTGGGGCCAATGTGCTTTCAAAGGAAAACACTAATACAGCGGATTGATCCTACAGCGCAATGATAACAATGAGCTCCTTCCCTTTAAACGCCGAGCCCAGCTTTTTCGAGCGACCAACCCGGCGGTTTTCGATGTGCCCCAGCATGGCACATGCACTATCGTCCCGTTGATTCATGCCATGTGTGTTAATGAGGTCACCATCAATGCTGCCACCCCCAACCAAGTCTACTACGGCCACATCACCCGGACGTCGTTGATTGGAGGTACTAAGGAGGATGTGAAGCATTACTACTTTATTGCCATCTATCAAGATCTCAGTCCCCAAGGGCTGTAGTTCATTGTTCCAGGGAAGGCATGTGGGCGGTCGAAGATCTCCAAGCTCGCTTCCCATCCCTGGCGCCCTGGGTTGCACGGGGCATGTTCCACGTACGGAACAGAATCAATCCGACCTGCCGCCGTCTCTGCCCGGGCAAACAGACTTTCCCCGATCGCTTCTGCCATTGGGTTCAACATTGAAGCGAACGTCAGGAAATTGATAGACTTCAGGTGTGACAGCACCGCCTTCCGCTGATGACCTGTCTTGTTGATTCGGTGTTCCCATCTGTACACGTACACGTTAGCCTCTTGCATGCTTGAGTCAAGAAACATACAGATCTGTAAAGCCTTGACCTATCGCGTAAATGAATCCGGGGCAAGTGTCTTGGACGAAAGCCTCGAGGACAGATCCTCTGCGAAGGAGCTCTGTGACCTTCCGGATGAGGTCCTCTTTGGAGTAGCTGGCAAAATGTGGCTGTAGCATCTCCACCATGTTCTCCACCGGGAGGTCGAACTTCTTCTGCATCCGAGAGAAGTTCACCAGGTGTGCACGACGTATCATGGCGCCCCAGGCGTCATGCTTGTCCCGCCAAAGGCACTGGCCTGCTGCAGCAGCCAGCGGGTGTGAGACTCCCTGGAGCGGCGCCAGGCATTGGGTGAAGAAATGGGCGGGATTATGGGTCCACCAGGCTCGATATTCAGTCAGAAGGACGGTGGTGTCCATGTCGGGTCCGCGGAATTGATAGATCTGGTGCCAACGGGGGGCCTTCTTGAGCTGTATCGAGAACCTCAGCTTGGCTGCGAGGTCCTTGTCCTCCTCCGCCTTCGTTGCGATGATTTCTAGAATCTGATTGTATTCCTCAGCCAGCTGCTCCGTGTTGTCTATCATCGTGCCGCCGGCGGTGGCTTGCATAGCGTCAATACCCGATCGTGGATTGGCGGTAAAAGAGACAAAGTGGGCTGAAGTCGGGATGGTAGAGATGGGAGAGGCAATCAGCTCTTGGAAGATGGACAACATCTATGTGTACCGGCTCACGGACGCCCTCAGGCTGATGAGAGTGGCGCTAATGCGTACCAAACTTGACATGGCAAGTTTAGTACGCATTAGCGCCGAACCCCGGAGGCGTTGCGTCCCTTGGCCACTTCGCCTGGCTTCTCGTATCGGGGTCATGCTCGACAATTGCTTTTGAACTATTGATCCTGAGCTTGGGTGACGCGGGAAATGGCCATCTCATGTTATCTCATGGTGGGTCTGGACGATGGGGACACCTGTTTGCCAGGCGATTGGGCCGACAACGCCACCGTGCACCCCCGTACTACTGCCAAAAGGAAGCACGGACAGCAGCTATATTACGTGGCTTCGTACGCCCGAAATGCATGGCTCTAGCCTCGTCGTTACGCTCACCGCTCTTTCTTCTTCTGCACGCTCCGTCTCACCGTGGTAGGCAGCAACACTTGGACATCGATCTTCGTCTGCAATGGGAAACCGTAGCATTGTCGTTCTCGGCGATGCAGCGGTGGGTAAGACGGCCCTTATTCTTCAGGTGCGTAATGATGCTGTTCGAGCCTCCTTTTAATCATTCGGGGCAGTACCTCTTTGGCACTTTTCAAGATGACTATGATGGTACGATTGAGGACTCATACAAGGCACCCACACGAGTGGAATCAGAGGTTGTCTGGCTGGAGTTGCTCGATACCGGAGGCGATGCCAGTCTCGAGCACTTGCGCACTCAGTGGTGTCGAGCGGGGGCCGCTTTCATCATTGTCTTCAGTTGCGCCTCGCGGGATTCTTTCAACAGTGTACGCTTGTTTGGACAAGAGATTGCAAAGCATCACCGACCGGGTTATCCGTTAGCCCTTGTGGCAACCAAAACCGACCTGAGGCACGAAGTATCCTGTCAGGAAGGCCAGGAGATGGCCAAGAAGCTAGGAGCTGAGTACTTCCAGGTCTCGGGAAAGAATACAGAGGAGGCCAAGGGACCATTTGCATACATTGCTCGCCATTTCGTGGGCTTGAGCACGGGCACGACTGATGCATCGAAACCGACAAGTGAAGGCTCCGATAGACTGGATCTCACCACAAGGAGATGGACATGGTCAGCGATGCAGAGAGGCATGATTGCTTTGGTGGAGTCAGCCATTGGCCCATGCATAGGCTGGAGCCGGAGATAGGTTCAGGTTGGCAGTAGCTAAGGTCAAGATACTGGCGGCTTCAAGAAGCAACAGTCTCAGGCCCTTCAAATTACTTGGCTAGTCGCCATCATCTTTGCTAAATATGGTTCATCGCTCTTGTCGCTGCTCCAATGGTCATACTCTTGTTGCTCGGACTGATAACCATTGCTCGTTTTCTACGAGCGACTCTCTGATCGTTTTCCTACTTTTTCTACTCTTCATAGGACACGAAACCCCCATCGACACCAGGAGAATCACAGTAGAAAATGGGCGCAGGTTCCGAGAGAGATGGCTCAAGTGGAAAAGCCGGCCGCAAGAAAAACATCACTGCTGAGACCGAGGTTGGGGACAGTGGCACTGGGGAAAGGAAAGGGCTCCCACGAAAGCGCAAGTCCGAAGATGATTTAGGCAACTACCTAAGAAGACGACAGAGGGTCAATTCCCCCGACAAATCACTTGACCTGATCAAAGACGACCATACTGCATCTGTTTTTCACACCTATGCGAATGATTCTGGGAAGAACGGCTCTCTAGGAGACAAAGGAGGAGCCGTAATCGTTGGGTTGGGTGACAACGGGAGAATCGGTCTAGTGAGGCATAGCGTCCTGCAACCCAGCTCGGATGCAAAGGAAGCTCGCGGTATGCCGATGCAAGCGAGTGGTGCTGAAGAGATTATAGAGGTGGACTCGAGCCAAGGATCCATTCCGCAAGGGCTAAGGCCAGTGTTTGTCAACGCGAGAAATCGACCAAGGGGAACCGGCTGGGTGCGAAACGAACAGTGGGAGTGTTGCATCTGCCGGGAAATCGTATTCGGCAGGAAAGTCTGTAAATGCATAGGACAGGGGCACGAAAAGTGCAGTGATTGCGTTGACCTGCATCATACTGGCAGCTAGTGCAGCGTCGCAATCTTCCGCAGGCTATATAAGACTTGCTACCATTGTTCATACCATTGCATCCGCTGCGAGAAGTCACGACTCGCAAAGAAGCACCCACCATGCAAGGCCCGGAACCCGAACAGCTCTCAACATACCGAAGCTCACCAAAACCTCAACTCTCAAATGCCCTGTACTGGGAAGCTCTGCAGTTGGAAGCGATGCGGAGTGTGGTATCTCACTATTTGACCACGGAATCTTACAGCCGAGGCGTCAACATCCACTGGGTTCAAGGGTCCCATCCTATTGTCAGGGTGCTTGATCCCGTGCGGCAGAAGCTGGAAGAGCATTGTCAGATGCCTATCCCAGAGGAAACCTTGAGGATTGACAAAGCACTTAGACTGTTCATGATGGCTTGAGCCAGAGACGGAGACGAAGGAGCGAGATTCCGCCAAGCTACTCAAGCCAAGATGTGCACAATGTTAACGATGACAATTCAGTGGATATCGACGGAGACCGAATTCCAGTCCAAGCTCTGGTGGGAGGTATTTCCTGTCTGTTAGCAGGGATTAGTACATGTTCGGGCCCGACAATTGTCGATCGAAGAGCTCGCAGGCCTACCAGAGCTATTCCACCAGACGTACTATATACTCGACCAGCAGGGCGAGTATTTCACGGGACTGCTGGGCCTTTGACTGGTTAAGAATGGTTCTATCTTATTCCGGCTGGGAGATCTTGTGATTGTAACAACCGTGGATTTTCTGGAAAAGCATCCTATAATCTTCTTGTGCGCAAGAGAACAGAGACACCATGGCAAGTCTGTGTCCAAGAGTAAACAGATGGAACAGTCAGACTCAGAGAAAGCGGGGAATTTCGACTTCATGAGGCCGTATAACTGGAACAAGTAGCATCGTTGTCAATAACATATTGACTCCTAAGCCCTTCCATCCCAGTTACACCATTGATTGGATTAAGGCTGGGTATGGAGCTGCTGAAGTTGTTCTTCCCGGTCTTTCTAGATAGGACCATCTCGTCTCGTCTTGCCGTTGCCGACATTGACAGTAGCGGTAATCTAGCAACTGTTGCGGCGCTGAGTCATTACCCCCACAGACATTGGTCTGTGCCTCGCGCCTTTCTTCAATACACTGACGGTGCTAGACGAAGACACAAGGACGAATCTCCCTGGCTCTTTTCGGAACGCATGGAGTTCTATCAACAGACGCTCGTACCTTGAACACGGATTTTCCAACATTCGTCGGCTGGCTTAACCTATTTCCGCAGTCCTGGCACCAGCACCGACCGAGAGACGAATCTGGCAACTACATGTAGCTTGAACAGGCGCTCACCTGAGCTTACATTAGCCCCTTGCAGCATATCGCCACGACGTTCGGCATATAGCATGCCTCAACGTCCGATATCCTTGCGCTACATCCCGCTAGTACGGGAGATAGGAAACGATGGCGAGTCCACAAATGTTAGACCTCGACCTCGGCATGCTCCTTTGCTAGTATTGTCCCCAACACGAGTACAAATGCTGAAAGGTAGAGCTCACAGCTTGGCAGCACAGCCGCGGCGCAGCCAGACCTTTCTACGCACGGGCCACAAGGAAGTCTGCTTCGTTGTGGTCCGTGCACATACAGGCAATGCTCAGCTACTCACTTATGAGTGGCTTTGGCCGCCAAGCCGTGGGATGGGTTGCCAAGGATTGGCTTGAGGTAGCTCTCGTGCATTGGCAGTATTTCTTGGTCATTTAGAGTTTACGCCTGCACCCGGGTTTTATGCCACCACGCCTCTTGCTTTGCACTTTCCAAGCAGGTTGCCATGCTCAGCTCACCCGGTAAGTCGCACATAGCCTATGGACTTGTGGTCTATTTACGGCTCCACCACGCGTCCGCGAAGCGAAGCAAATTATGAAGGACGTGGCAAGGACGCCTGTCCCCTCCTCGCCTGTAAACAGGAACACGCTGTTTTGCTATCGCACAACCGGCACTTTTTGGGACTCTTGTGGCACTCATGGGCAGGGACACCGACTCTTGATCCCCGGGACAGCTCAATTGTCCTGTCGAGGATCGGAGCTCGCTGCAATCAGGATTTATAACATCATTCAGACTGGTGATCCGGTGCCAACGAGTACCAGTCAGGGTTGTCCTGTTCAGCATTCAGAGCACTCTGCTCAAGTCACTCCGGAGTTCCTTCGAATATTCGAGCCGAACCAGTCGCCTCCTTTGCCATGGTATGCTTCGTTTCGACACAATCGTACCAAGCTGACGGTGGCAGGAGTATGAAAGAGGATTACCCCGTCCGCTGGCCGGTTTGCAAGCGTGGATGGAGTGTATGTATGGGAACAGTGGTGCCAGAAATTCTACGTCCAGCTGCTCTCCTCACTCCTCCAAGATGTCCGCACGGGTCGGGCCCTTCGCCTCACACTCGTGTCCATATCTGTCCAGCGTTGACAATGTCCAGTGATTTGACTCCAATCCTAAGACAAAGTACTTGTCGATCTAACTATCCTACAATTCTATGCTGCCGGGGGCAGCACGCAGACCACACACCTGTGATGTCCGCACGACGCGCAGCAGGCTTCGATCTCTCCCTCGGTGGCCTTGCACTCAGTATTTATCAACACCAAGCTCCATGTGAGCCTAGCCATGGTGCGGGCCTGCCAAAAAGGTGCACTACGGTTCGCTGCATGCTATCAGACAGGCTGCTGTCTTCCGAGTACTGTAAGTAGATGCGTCAGGTCTCGATCTCGATGTGGTGGTTGAGCAGTCTTCGTGCCTTGGCCCTCTCGCTGTAAAACTGGCCGGTGAGGTCCGCCTTCCGCTTCCGCTTCCCTGTGCACTGACCATCGACCACGTTCGTGCATCGTTCGGCGAGGGGCGATCGCTGGACAATGACAGCCCGATCGAAATCATGCCACAACAACTGTTTAGTCCGCGCATTCCACAAGATGTTCCGCACCGCAACGTCGCCATGTAAGACGCCCGCCGCGTGAATCGCCGTTAATCCAGTGAGCGCTTGCTTCTGCCGACTATTCGTCATGACAACGGGCTGCCGCAAGAGTGCGAACAAATTCAGCGAATTGCCACCAAAGCTGAGCACCAGCACATGTACTATGGGCACCGTGCCGAGATACCGAAACGGTCTGGGAACCTTGAACGATCCGAGGTAGACGGGGACATGGATGCCTTGTATAGTCTTGAGCTGTCTGTAAACTCTGGCCTCTCGCTGAAGGTCCTTGACGAATTGTGGCCGGGTCCCCTTGGCCACCATCGTGTAGCCGGAGTCCGGGAGTCGGATACGGTAGAGAAAGCCTTTATAACCATAGAAGAAGAGCTCTTCTACGTGGCACCGGTCGCGGAGAACGCGCCGTATCTGGCTTCGGAATTCGATCGCGTTCATTGCGTGATGCGTACGATGCGTGACCGAGCGTGGATGCAGTTGGAGATTCGGACACGTTGTGTCCAGCGGGAATGCACCGATTACTCCCTGCAGGCATAACGCCGTACAGTAGGGTCCGAGACCGTGCGTGTGGAGGGCCGAAGTGAGCCGCTGCGAGGCTCCTTGCGAATCAGTCTGGCTCCTGTTGCCACCGCGAGATCCCTTTGAGGTTCGCGAGCGGGCTAGGGCGATCGATCGGCTGGGAGTGTTATTAGCAAATGCGCGTGCGCCGCTGGGACCCTGGTCGTTCACGTCGTCGCCATCGTCGTCATCACCCTCGCTTGCTGGATGCACTGTCTCCTCATGCTCGGGGGTGGAGCGTGAACGTCGTGGGCGAAGTCGTCGACAGATTGGGGATTGAATCAACAAGCTGTCCCAATCGGAGGAGGGAGGTTGGTAGTCCGATGATGGCACCTCGCTCTCGAGGATGCTGTCTTCCACCGCTTCCACCAACACCTCCCATCGCTTCAGCTGATTTTCTGCCTGTTGTCGCCATTGCTCACTGCGGATGGGCGATCGCGTTGCATTCAAGCTGAACGCCAAGAGCTGACCCACCGCCGTCAAGTGAAGCCGATTAGCCTCCTCCAAGTCATCCGTATACCCTGTTTCCAGCCCAACATCCCCGTGCGGCACTGACAGCGCATACTCAACTGTGGTACAGTCGTTTTCCGGCACACGTACGAAGATCATAGCCACCCCTGTAAACACGCAGCCGTATTCCAAGCCGGCTTGGATCATGTAGGAGAATAACTGCGTAATCACCGCCGCCACCAGCCGCTGGCATCGGCGCTCCACGTCCTCCTCGAGCTGTTCGTGCACGATGTCATCCAGGTCCATCGCCGTCAGCCCCACATTGATATGGCCTAGCATCAACTTGTGCGGCGCCTTGAACTCCATGATATAGATCGGCACTCGGTACACGTCTCCCGATGTCCCTGTGATGCCGTATACGGCAAATTGATCGGCCCGTGGCCGCGGAGTTGTGCGTGGTCCAGATGATGAGGAACGCGATCGTGGTCCGAGCGCGTTGCGTTGAGATTGCAGCCGTGGTGACCGGCGGCGCGACACCAACCGGCGCACGCCTTCGACAGGTGACTCAGGGCTCAGCGTGTTGCCGTGGTTATCGAAATGGATCGAACCGCGCAGACCAAGGCGACGACAGAGCTCTGCATCGCGCGATACTCGGTTCACCAGCGACGTTACTGGTCCGTCAATGGCAGTATCGGTGAAAATATGGAGGTCTAGCTCGGAGCCTAGTTGTTTCCGTTTTAACTGTTCCCCTGTCTCTTCTAAGGTATGCATTGACGTGAAGAGTCGCCGATCGATGAAGTCGGACTCCATCAAGATATCCCATACGCGAGCTTGGTGGTCGGCGAAGCCATGCCATGGCACAATGCGGTTGGGCCGGAGCTTTCTATCGGCGTTCGCAGGAGTGCCTGAGGTGGACTGACTGGAATCGCTTTGAATGGTCAGGCCGAGGTAGAGGTGATTATGGCAGTAATGGAGGAACTCTGGGAAGGTCGTATTGCTCGTTCGGCTTTCCACCTCTTCTCGTCGTCGCTGTTCTGCGGTAGCTCTCTCGTCCGCCGCTTCACGTAGTCGTTGTTCTTCCTCGCGTCGTCGCTGTTCTTCCTCGCGCCGTCGCTGTTCTTCCTCGCGCCGTCGCTGTTCCGTTAATGCCCTCTCTTCCGCTTCCTCTCGTCGCCGCCGTTCCTCCCTTCGCAGTCTTTGTTCTTCTTCAAGCGCTGCTCGGAGATCCTCCATGTCAAGACTGTTGCGTTCTGGATGAATTTGCCTTGGAGAGATCCGTACCACGCCTGCAGTCCGGCTTGTTTGCTGATGGCCAAATCGGGTTAGGTCGATTTCGTAGCGGGGTAAGTCTCTCGGCGCGAGTCGAGCCTTTGCAAAACAGCGTGGCTTCCGCGACGTTCTTTTACGCGGAAGAGTGTTCTCTGCACCCACAGATGCGATCGCCCTGTTTTTCTAGCACGTCATGATGCTTCGGCGGTACAGTAAAAAGAAAAATTTGAGGAACGTCACGGTTTTAGACATACGATGAATACAGCCTCGTCTTGAGGAGACTTGGAACATGAAGAAAACGCCACTAGCATATCATCACCTACAGAGCATTAAAATTGGAGCTGGCTCCCACTCTTTGGCCAGCTTCGCACAGGACGGCCATGTCTTGGGCATGCCTGTTAGTGGATAGGTACTATAGACCTTGGTCAATGAGCCGCCAAGAGCCAGACCCTGTTATTAGCAATGACCTCCTGCCATTCGTTCCACAATGTGACCACAGGCTCGTTACGCCTGCATAGGCGGCGGTCGCTGATGCCCGGTATGGCACATCACAGACTCGAATGACTGAACGAGGTGGTAGACCCGGAAAACCATCGAAGTCAACAAGATTCTGCTACTGTAACAAAATTGACACTCCGCGATCTACACACATCGGGGCAGCAGACGACGGCGATGACGACAGGGATGATTTCGATATGCCTGTTGCTGATATTATACAAGCCATCTGTAGTACGTTGGAGCGGGATGTATTGACAGCCCCTGAGGCCGTTTGGTTGTGGACGCCCTCGAACTCTGATGGCTGATGCGGCTGACTATTACTGTTTTCTTGACTGGAAGTCTAGTCTAGAGCAGAATGCCGAGACCTAGCCGGGTGAAAACCAGGAGCCAGCTTAGGTAGTGCCGATCGCGTTCCCGTAGGTAATTGGCAATCAAGTTGGAGTTTTCGGCAGTTCTGGTCTGCGACCAGGTTAGTATGACGTTACAAGATACTTCACTCAGTTTTCCATGAACCCATGGATACAATGTCTTCCTCGCAAAAACACTCACAACATCGAGCGGAGCCTAAACTTTGCTCGCACAAATAGCTGAGCCTCTACAAAAGAAACGTGTTGCAGGCTCACAGATACCAAAGAATGGCGCAGCATTGCGGTGAGGACTTATGCTGGTTACTGTGGTGGTCTTTTTCGCTGCAGCCACTATAGGATTTTGCTTCTGCAATAAGGAAAACCAGTGAATGTAGAATCTCTAGCAGATAAAGAACTTGTCCTCTGCGGTGGCATCCCTGATGTCTCTTTGTCCCTCAGATATGCTGCTCGGGAGAGCTGCTTCATAGCCGGCCCAGCCGCATCAGGCAAAGAATAAATCTGAGCCAATCGAGAACTGTCGAGGTCGCATTATGTGACAGTGACGACCAAGTATTCACGAATTAGGTCGCACGGATCCAAGGCAAGGCCTCTTCCAAGACACTTGGACCCGAGTCATGGCGCCACCCATACGGGATTGCTGTAGTTCCCGATGCTTGTGGTAAAAGTGAGAACCAAAGACGATATGCAAGACTATGTTACAAATATGGTCCATATGCTCCTTTACCAGGAGCCTATGTGGCATAACTGCACAGCGACATTGATAGGCGGTCGTCTAGGCTTTGGACATTACACGTGCCAATCCACTTCCAAGGCTGGTCATGATAGCCGACGTATTGTAGTATATACAAAAGGCCTTACCTACACTCGCCTGCGTCACGCTGGCCCGTCTTCGCTGTCTGAGAATCATGACCCAGCTTCGAGATCCGCTCCCAGTGCGGGGCCTCCTCAGGGTGATCCTTGACCCACTTGTCCACGTCACTCGCGTGCACTTCGCTGCACCCGTGCGCTCTGCCGATGCGCTTGTTTTCGTCTGCACGCCCGTGTGGCTCGGGTTAGCCGCGCGGAAATGTTGGAAAGGAACCTGGGCTATGCCGCGTTTTAGGGGAGGGGAAAGGGAGAGCAGTGGAATCGAGATAAGATCTGAAACTGACCCTGGAGTTTCTGTCTCATGGCCGCGGAGTGGGCGCCTTGCTGATGAGGGTCGAAGTACTGGAGGGCCAGATAAGTCGTCAGTGCCGAGGGAACGGCAATCTTGAGCCAACCGGAGTTCATGTTGGCGAGTTTTGTGGGGCGGTAAGGTGCGAATGAGTGACTTCAAGGTCGATAGTTTTCGAACGCGGTAAGAAAAGGTTCGTCGTCTGAATGGAGGATGTTGACCACCATGCCACGTTCCAGTGAATAGAACGGAGTACACACGCCAAACGACGCAACAAAACTCGGGATATTCAGTGATGCTTTTGTTTGCTATGCCATATTTTTGGCGTCTCGTGACGTTACCCTGCCGCAGCGCAGGGCCTTGGCAAATCGGGAGCGCGGGAGTGACGTCAAACAAAAGGGGCGGATGGAGACTCCTTTCGTATGCTGTACGCGAAGGATCCCAGCACAACTGTTGTTATTTCAACGAATGGCGTCGCCCTCCGGACGCCGTTTTGAAATCGTTTGAGCACTCCCTGCAATTCGAGGATATGGTTGATTTAAGCACATAAGCCACGAAATAGTGACCATCCCGGTCCAGAAGGCGGACGAACTGAAGCTCGCGTCCTCGCAGAGATTGTGATTCCTTCTTCGCTCGAGTCGGTGCATCGGAGTGGCTCAGTAACAGCCCAGGAACGGCCCTATCTGTGAGTCCTCGCGTTGCGCGAGTTTCTTCGTTTTTCAGGTCGTCGCGGTCTCGGTCTCTTGTGCGGGTGTCGGAGCTACCAACTCGGTCAGGGCGGCATCTTTGCCTTCGATGGTATCGTGCCGCCTTCAGTTGGTGGGCACCTGGGCTTATTCAAGGTCGTCTTGATCGGATGTCTCCTTGTATCGTAATCATGTTCGCTCTGGAGACTGCTCGCACCAATCTATGACCACTTTCTTCCAACGTCTTGGAATGTTCAATTTACCACTGACAAAAGTCCCCCCAAAAAATCTCTATATCGTGTCTGAGTGAAGTGTCGACTCTGCAGCTGTTGAGCCTTATGCTTGGATATGCCATATCTGCCAATCGACTATTCCACAACAGGTGAGAGTAAAGCGATGCTCTCTGGGGATGCATTAAGTCATGCCGATAGTTCCGATCCCAGGACTGTACAAGTCTTGTGCAGGGTGGCCCTTTGACCGGCCACAGCGGCACCGTCAGTCCGTCCATGGCCACCAATCACGCATACTGAATTATTTAGAGGACAGAGTTCCCGGTTGCCCATTGCGCATGGGAGCAGCACAAGTTGATGGATACAAGTATGTTTGAGGATATGCGCCGAGACCCTTTTTTCGCCTTCTCCAACGTTGAAGGTGTTTGCAAAAACTTAGAGCAAGCATTATCATGCCATATTCGCCGTGCTTGCCAATTGACATACCCACATCCTACGAAGTCACAGTCTTCCGTTTCCTCAGCTCCAGAAAGGTACACGAGGAGCTGCAAAGAGCGGACCCTGACCTCCGTAAGGTGGTCGGACACAGCCATGTACATGCCGCGACCGAAAAACGATTTGAACGCCAAACGAGGCACAAAAGGTGCATTCAACTGCCCACATACCCAGACTGCAGCAACCCTAGAGCGGACAGCCAGGAAATTATTCATCTCGTTGAGTCCCTGTCCTCACTACAGCTTCTCGACGATGACAGCAACGGCGATATCTCCAACGCAGGGCAGGCCACAGAGTCGGATGACCCAGATTGCTGTGACCGTCTACCCACTTTGACTGACCACGCATCATACACCAACGTCGCACGATATGCGTCATCAAAGGTTCGTGTGACCTATGTCCCGGGTGGGGCATCTTGAACAGGGATTGCTGATTTTGGCTGCTCCAGTCTGAGAACGAGAATCAGAATACTAACCAGCCGTTGCTCAAAGAACATCTTCACGAATCAGTAAGCCTCCAGCCACCCTCGAATAAGGCCACCGATGCCCCTCCCGCCAGCACTGTCATTCACACCAACTACTCCCCGAAACGCCGTTGCTACTTGAGCAGGGACAGGCAATCTGTACCAAGAGTACAACAGAGAACATGGAGAGACCGCAGACCAATGACGATCCTTTCACGGCAGTGGCGCTATTTTGTCGCCGCCATGTGGACGTTTCAGCTGGTCCTCATTGGTCTGCGATACGCTGCGGTAGAATTGAACAGGAACCTTCTGCAGCGCACGAGGCGTTGACGGCTGCAACAGTCGAGACTCTGTTTCCTTTGGAACACCTCTATGATATTTGATGTGCTAGGCGGATGACGAGTTTGTCCAGGAGGATGGAGATACACGGAAAAGATCAAAACGCAATTTCTCTGCCATGGTGAGCTCGCTTCTTCTCTTTGAATGTGGGATGATCCCGCCGAACGCGGAACGGGGTCTTCTTTGGTAACATGTCTCTGGCACCTTACCCTGTCAGAAAGCAGAGGCGCTACAAGTGAATACCGTGGGGCTTGATGAGAGAAAGATGTAAAACCTCTACTAGTATCTCCCATCGCGACGCCCCTGGAGAACAATGCCAGGTGAGGAGGATGCAATGCCAGGTCAGCAGGATTCACTTGTCCAGACAAATCGGCGAGCATCGAGCGCGCCTTGGATCTCTCCGCTGCAGCAGTGCAATGGGCCTTTGAGAAATAAAGAGCAAGCCTAATATCAGCGGAACAATGTTTCTGGCGGCCGTTTGGAGTAGCTGAGCCAGGGCGACGCACACCGTGCAGCACCGGTGGAGAACTGTCCAAGAGCGCCACGCTCCGCTTGAGGCCTGATGTGCGGCCGGGAGATCGGGTCTGCCTGTGATTTGCTGAGCGCTCGGATACAGGCTCAGCTTTCACACCAGGCCTTTGTGCGGAGAAGCGGCGATGACGTACTTTCGCTAATCTAGGGACGTTCTTGAGGCGAAATGAATCTCTCACTCCTTTAACGAGATAACATCACCGTCACTTACTTGAAGAGCTCTGCGACCGTGTCCTTGTCTGCCCACTCTCCTCAAACCCATCGGAACACGCCATCATATGGATCCATCGGCAGCATTCACCGACTGCTCGCAGAACCGAATTAACGAGGATTACCACGAATGCGCTCATGGAATCACCCAGACCGCTGTCGAGCAGCTCAAGAGAAGCACCCACGAGCACAACAACCATGGCTGGCGGCGGGTCGTGCTAAACTTCACGCCGTCATGGTTCTCCATCACGATGGGCACAGGGATCGTGTCGATCCTCCTACACAACCTGCCTTACAACGGCAGGTGGCTGTACTGGATTTCCGTGGGTATTTTCGGCCTCAACGTCCTCCTCTTCACCGTATTCTTCGTAATATCTCTCGCACGATACACCATGTTCCGGGGCCTTTTCCGGTTCATGATCCGCCACCCCGTTCAGTCCCTCTTTACCGGTACATTTCCCATGGGCTTAGCAACCATTGTCAACATGGTGACATTTGTCTGCGTCCCGACTTGGGGACCCTGGGCGACAACGCTGGCCTGGACACTGTGGTGGATTGACGCCGCCATCGCCGTGTCGACCTGCTTCTATCTGCCGTTTGTCATTATGCACAAACACGAAAGTGAGCTGTCGCGCATGACCGCGGCCTGGCTCCTACCTATTGTGTCGACTATTGTGGCCGCAGCGTCCGGTGGCATCGTTGCGGAAGTCCTCCCGAATCCGCAACACCAGCTCTGGACCGTCATCATGTCGTACATCCTTTGGGGTACCGGGTTTCCGCTTGCCATGGTGGTGCTGGTCATGTATTTCCACCGACTAACCGTGCACAAGCTGCCGCCTCGAGAGGTCATTGTCTCCGTCTTTCTTCCGCTCGGCCCTCTAGGCCAGGGAAGCTTTGCCATCATGCAGCTGGGCAAGGTGGCAAAAGAGGTATTTCCAGTTACGAGAACGCTCGGCGCCAATACCGGCGCTGTCTTCTACGACCTGGGCATCGCCGCTGCGCTTGTCATCTGGGGCTACGGCCTCGTCTGGCTATTTTTCGCCCTGGCCAGTGTCACTCGCAGCAAGTTTCCCTTCAATATGGGATGGTGGGGCTTCACCTTCCCTCTCGGCGTCTACAGTGTCGCGACGACAACTCTGGCCAAAGATCTCCCCAGTGCCTTCTTCCGGATCCTGGGCACCATCTTCTCTTTGACTGTTGTCATCCTGTGGGCGGTGGTCTCTATCGTAACACTGGCCAGAGTCTGCAAGGGTGAATTGTTTTACGCTCCGTGTGTACAAGCATACGAAAAAGAACAAGCGTTCAGAGACCTGCAAAGAAGGCAGTCTGACACAATCGTCAAGAACACGGGTGATGTGGAAGCTTAGCAATCAGCAGAATCATATTGTCTCAATCTATTGTGAGGTCCACAGCCATCGGGCGCAGCCACGTCGTTTGAAAACCCATCCGCTCTCCTCCACATCATCCCTAACCCTCTGTCCATCGCTAGCATCGCTATCACGTTCAAGATAACGGTGCGCGGGCAGGGCGGCCAGTGCACAATGGCACACAAATATGGATTAGAGTGAGGTGGCGTGGCGTGGGAGCGCAGACGGCGCTTCAGCATTGAAATAGGACCACAGGCACGCGCCGAAGAAAATAAGAAAATGATCCATCTGCCGCCGTCACCTTCTACAAACAACGCTCCCCCCCCAAAGATTTTCAATCTCATTTCTCTAGCGATTTTGTCGATTTTGGACGGGGCCGACGTTTGGGCCTCATGTGGCACAGCGCTGCTTGTATTGAAAGATCTGGGGCGGCCAAAACGTCCAATCAACAGAAACCGAGCTTCCTAAGTTTCAGCGAGCTAGCCAGAACCGGGGCCATGGCGGATCACGCTCCACTTTGTCCATACGTGCCACACCAGCAAGCGCGGGACCTCGGGAGTGACGTGACCGATATAGAGTACAAATGCCAGGCAAGCACACTATACATAGTCTTGACCGCATACCCGCGACCGTCCCTTTCGTCGAGTTTCGCCACGCGGCCTACCGTGATCAACTGCCCGGTCCGCGAATGGGGGATGCCCTTCGCCTCACGTTCGAGGATGAGAGCGTCGCGAAGCCGATCGAGACGCTGCAGGCATTACTCTAGGGCAACAGATCTGATGGCCGCGCCCAAAGAACGTCATCATTCGGCAGGAGCCCCGGCGGCTGATTAGCAGGAGGGAAGCGATCGCTAAGATGCATGCCCGCATTCGATATGGACGGACTCTTCGGTCTTAGGACCATCGATTATTCGTGTCTGGATTGCTGTGGTATCTAATCGTTGCTGTAGCTGGCAAGTCCTGTCCGTCAGAATGGCTTGCCTATTAGGAGACGTACTTGATTGCACACTGCTGCTACTCGACATGCATGCGTCGTTCAGGCTGCTTGCCGTATCGTAGTCCCTTCGTACCGCGGCAATTTCGAAGGGCGCTATTGATCAGTGGACTAATCGAGGTGAGGCACTTTTCCTTAGCAACACGCGGCTCTCGAGGTAGAGAACTTATGATGAGGGCGGACGTGCTTTTGAGCCTGAGATTCAGCAACAGTTCATGTGGTTGACATCACCAACCAATGGAAGAGCTTCACTGAGCTCCATCGAGTGCCCAGTACCAAGCATTGGCAATCATGTGGTTATAGAAATGAGCTTGGGTGGGAATATCTCTGACCCTGAGACGCACCACGACAATTCGTGGACTGTTTGCGCAGCCAATCGTAGCAATTCCTGTGTCTAAAGTTGTGTGACTTTTTCTGAAACACGAGCTGTTACCCATGAGTCTGAGGTGTGCACAACGGTCGCTTTGCGGCCGCATACCCCGACCCACATTGCCCCCATCATTCTAGGTGGCGGAGTGGCCTCCCTCCATCCGGATTCTACCCCGCCCCGGCCAGCGTGGTTGTCGCTCAGCTGATGTCGCCGTCTATTGGCCAGCTTCTATACACCTTGGAAAATAGTGGGCCGAAAGTTGTGGTTCGAGATTGCGCCACCAGCCTAGGCATCAACTGCCACCCATCATTCTACGAGGATTATGAGCGGTTACAATTACGCGATTGTCTAATCTGAAACGCGCTAGCACCCATCATTTTACGTCGTGTGCAAAAGTGGTCGTAACATGGCCGCATAACCTGAACACACAGCTGCCACCATCTTTTCGTGAGGTGTACAAAAGTGGTTACAATATAACATTTATGGTGACTTGTGCAATGTTCCACGCGACCTCGTCAACAACGCTAAAGAGCTATTGATGCACAGTACTTAGTTCCCAGTCTCTCGCAGCCTCCAGGGAGAGCAGTATCTCACCGCCAACGATAAAGCCAGACATGGAAAGAATCGCGCTCCAGACGGCCTCGATACTGGGCAATGCTTTGGCACATGGCACTCTCTAGCTTTTTCCTACTAACTCTGACCGGGTTTATCGGCTGGATACTCTTCCAGGTCTCGGGTCCGCACAAGACGCTGCCGTTGGCTTGCGAAAAGGAGGTCAGCATTGATGATCTGAAAAAGGTCGAAGAAACGTTTGCTATAGCGAAACCGCCCCTCCAAATGCTAAAGCGATCAGCTAAGACCGGAATGTTGCGATTAAGTGATAAACGGGACTTCACTGCTCCTCAAATTCCAAGCGTGGCCAATCTTCTGGTCAATCGTGAGACGATTTCTAATTTCTTCCGCACTCGTCACTCAGTCTGCGAGAATTTCCAGCCGTTCTCGATCTCGTCGGAGATCTGCAGCAACAGTCTCGAGAGATCGGTCATTACTGCTTTCGAAACCGTACGGCAATTACGGAGCGGTGATCAAGTTTGTCGCCTTCTTTCGCGGTTTGCATCTATTCGACTGTCGTCATTGATTGACACATACAAAGCTGTGGCAGCCACTGACCGTACCCAGTATGATAGCGGCAGAAGGCGTGGTTGTGGAGATGCCACAGTCGCCATAGAATTGTATCTCCAAGCAAAGCGACAGGTTTCCGATGACACATCGGAAAGAGCCCGGATTCTAGGGTACTGCCGGACGGGTCGACGTTGGAAAGCGATAGCTGGTCGAGCACCGATCCTGGTATTTATGTTTCCCAACATTGCGGAGACAAGTGTGTATGTTCGGTCCGATTTATTTTGTTTGAGTCTCGCAAGTTTGACAGGCAGAATAAGTCCATGTGGATTACGACTCTCAAGGCCCTGGCAACCCGAATTGAGCGCAACCATCCGAGACTCTTGAGTGTCTTGGAGTTGGCTGGGGAGGATGCTGGTGTGGCAGACTCAGCAACAGCAGGGATCACATCACACACATCACAGGATGGCACGGACAGCATCTTCCAAGAATTGAGTGCAGTTTGGAAAGCAATCCTGCATGATCTGCTAGATGTGATCGGTCCCGTGAATGAATCTTAGTAAGGATGATAGGGTGACAATAGAGTTAGCATGCTCCAAAAGCCCTGTGTATAGTTTCGGCCTGCTGCACTATAAGCCTGTAAAGGGTCCTCGTACAGTACATCTTTTTGGGGTAGGTCGAGTGGGATAAGGAACCTGCACATGACTGCAAGGTGGTTGGGTGGTTGGGTGGTTGTGTGGTTGTGTGGTTGTGTGGTTGTGTGGTTGTGTGGTTGTGTGGTTGTGTGGCATTAATAGCAACTTGGCCCCATGAACATACTTCTGCACTGCCAGCCATCGCCAGGAGTAAAACATGTCGTCCGCCTTTCCATATACTGTACTAGAAGAGGACTTGGGAGGAGGAAGGCGAGCGAAGAAATTGGTTGGACAATTTGACCTCGTCATCAGCCTCAGAATTAAGGGATCGGCTCGTCTTGATGTGGGCGCGGAAGAGCGTGCGAATTGTACGTGTAACAGATCAAGGCTCATCGCTCTCGGCACCGGACAGATATAGATCGAACAGTACGGTTGAAGGTGGTACGCAGCAGGCAGCCAGAGGGCTGCAAAATAAATAGCAGGAGTCGAGTGCTAGCGTCCCATGGGGTCGAGAGGAGAGAGCATCTCTTCGTGTCTATGCTTGCATTGTGTGCGTGATCAGCGGCCATCCGCGCCTTCATGCTTGAGGTAGAGTTGTACGCGACATCCGGTGATCAGAACGCGCTCGCCTCTATCTTCGAGTATACTTTACATGAGCCCTTTATGGCTGCTAGTATGTCTGGTCACCTATCCCTACAGTTTCTCTGGGTACTAAAGGCTCTGTTTACATTACTAGAGTCTACCCTGGTTAAGATTGAACTGCTCTATGCTCTTATTTTTAAGATGTAAGCAGTACATCTATATGATGATGGAGCCTTGTCGATACTTGCTTCGTCCTCGTGGCACAGCTAGTTGTTATGGCTGGTGTTATCACTATAGGATGGGCTTTATTTGTTGCAGCCTACCACATCACTAACAATATAGTGGTCTTCTAAAAGCTAAGAGCTGAGCTTAAAGAGGCGCTACCTAATCCCAGAGCACTATTAAGCTGGATAGAATTAGAAAAGCTACCTTACCTCTCTGGCTGCGTTTATAAGAGCGTCTGTATGTCTTATGCCATTACTATACAGAATCTAAGACTGTTCACTAAACTGCTCGCCTACCAGGACTGGACAATTCTACCGAGGACGCCAGTGAGCATGACTATTGTTGACGTTTTCGACGATAAGGAAATCTTTCCTAATCCATGAACTTTCGATCTAGAAAGGTGGATTGGTAATCCTAAGGCCAAGAATGGATAGAGCCTCGAGAGGTATTTCGTTAGGTTTAGTAAAGGTACTAGGAGTTGCCTAGGCATCAAGTCAGTTTATGCCTTAGGAACTCTGACTGACTAGAGAGCTGACTCAGAATTGTAGTCTCGCGCATGCAGAGCTCTTCATCGCCATGGCTGCAGTTTTCCGCAACTTTGAATTCAAACTCTACCAGACTGAACCTAGCGATGTAAAGCTAGCCCACGACTTCTTCTTGCCTAGCCCAAGACTGGATTCTAAGGGCGTCAGGGTCTTGATGAAAGCATGAACATGAGCGGTGAAATTTATATGCTCTGTATCGTCGACGTTCTTTATGTTCGACAAACCCTCAAGGGGACAAGCCACCTCAACTTAGCGGTCAACACACGCCATTCGAGGAGTTCTCGGTTAGCTTTCGACGATATACAAATGCTCCCTTGAATATAGCAGCCTGGACAATGATCTGCGGACAACGCGCTGCATCAATGGTCTGTCCTCCAGGCGGGTGCGGTTCAGCCTCGCCGATACAGTCTGCCCAGCGATGCACTGAAGCGCCATGTGAATACTGACCCTTTGAAAGCTCTCCGGCCAGCAATGACTTCAAAGCTTGCTGGCCCGGTGAACGATGAAAGAAAGCATTGTTCGCACATCGAGGATGAAGATGCCTGGGGCAAAATCAACCGATGGTCCGCCCACTAAATTTGAGGAACGTCACGGTTTTAGACATTCTATGAATACAAGGCCGTAGTAGTGACTGCGAACTGTCACGAAGGACTACTGGCAACACAATACCCAATACGATGTAAATGAATGCCTGTAGACGCTCAGAGGAAAGACAACACGTAGTCTGCTCAACACTGCCGACTCTAGGCATATCAGGCACGAATCATGCATCGCGATGATCCCTTGTCACACTTGATTACCGTCGCGCCCCGGCAGTGCTATGTTTATATTGAGGGACGTTTTCCTAAGTGCGTACTTGGGAAATATCGGCGGTCGGCGCCACGGGTCTTGGCATACGGCTCAATTCCGGTTGCTACCTGGAGCACCGGAAATTACGGTCGACGAGGTGACTGCTTGCGCACTTCGGATATAGTCACAGCGCATGCTAAATCAACCACGCTTTGTACCTGGGTTCTTCTCCTGCTCAAGCGTATCCTCTCGACACATATGTCGATCCGCGTCGTCATAGGACGTGAAGAAATGTCAATTTTCTCTACCTTACGGGCCAGTCACCGGTGCGCGTCACCGTGGTTCTCGCTATTCCTCTCCCGTGCCGAAGCAACCACTAGAATGCGTGGTTCAACAGCCTGCGGTTCAGCTATTCTAGGAATCCGCGAACGTTGATTAAACTAGGGATGCGGCCACCGTGTCGACGTGACATCCTCCTCGTGTTCCTCCCCAGCCATCGATGCACCAGTGTTCTAAATCATCTGTTCGATTTGCCCACCATCGATCGCCATGTTTCACAATGATGAGATCGACGAAGTGTTCCTAGAGTTTCGTAAATTGAGTCGCCGCTTAGGTAGTTCGAGTACGCCCATCATCCGGGATATGATCAGGTCCATCAAACGGGCCACCAACGAGATCCGGCGCAGCCATTGGCGAGAGGAGGATAGGCCTCAAGACGGAGTGGCGGAAGAGGCCCATAGTGGAAGGTTCGAAGATGGGCAATCGCGCGTCAACAACTCTTTGCTGGGGCATAAGGTGTTGTCAGTGGGATTAGTGTGTAAGAGTTCCCGCAGCAAGATCTTCTGAACTAAGATTGATACGGTCTCTAACACAGTACCCGGACACATGCGTGCAGGTCTCGACTCCGCTCCTAGGGCTCCTGTCGATGACAATCGCTTATATCGAATTGGTGAACAGTATATGGTTGGTGAAGCGATCGCTACGCACACAACAGACAGGGGGAACAATCGAGTACCGCAAAATCAAGACATATCAAATGTGGGCGGTCGAGAATGGGGATCATATCAAGAGACGGGACAGGGAATACATGTGGATCACGAAACAGGATCTCCTAGCGCAGAGACCTTTGAGAGTGCCGGTCCCACTCAGTTTAGCCAGAGAGGAGACGCCACGCGCATTGGATTACGTTCGCATAGTGCTAACCTAGAACACAATATCACACAACAGAATCTTCCGAACGACACTGGCCAAGGTGAAGAACGGACACAGGACCGGATACAACCCTGGATGCAAGACCAGCCGCAGGAGCAGAAATTGCGGAGGTCATCGCGAAAACAGAAGCCGCCCACAGAAGACGATAGCAACGGCTGTGGCCCTGAGGCTCATCCAGCACAGCGAGCCACGAAGCCGTTTCCAAGACAGCCAGCTCTCCTTACCCAGGACAAACAAAGGAAGCATACCAAAGATAAGCCCAAAGGGGTGGATAACCTCCCTCATTTTAAATCACAACTAGGGAACGAAGCCACTTTGAACGCATTGCGTGAAGCGAAAATGAGTTGGCCGCCCACGTCCCAGACTAATGTGGTAATAGACAACGATCCCGGGCATAGCGCCTCTAACAGTCTGTCTTTCATAATCTCTCTTGGAAGACAGTTAAGTGTGAGCCCGGCCGGAGCCTGGGCAAGTAGGATATTTCACCGCATCCGATATGCACATTTCCATCAACTATACATAGCTGCCATCAAGGATTCTCGGAGAGGCGATGAGTCTTCATTTTTCAGGTTGAGCGATGAGTTCCTCCGCTATTATAGAGATACCCCCATTCGACAATATGGCAAAGGGTTTAGTGTATCGTCCGCAGTTAAGGACCGGCTAGTCGACTTGATTCTCTTAGACCCGCGACTACACCTGCAACTCTCCAAGGATCGGTGCCGGCAAATTCTTCAGGATACTGAACAGAACGGGAGACGATGGAGCGGACCAATCCAGAGATTGGGCTACGAAATCTTGCTGCTCATTCCGGACAAGCTCAGCGATAGAAAGTGAGTCTGCAAGCTGCCAGATGATTTTGCCTTGCCCGATTGGGTATTGGCGTCCACAATCTTACTCCCGCACTGACACAAAAGCATTGCAGAATGAAACTCCTCACAGACGGACAAAGGGACTGGTTAATAAGTGGCTGGAAGACCCGTTTCAGGCAACTCAACGAGGCCGACCGTGAAGAAATTCAACAGACGCTAGATATCATGTTCATGCCTCATATCAAGCCCTATTTGCAGATTTACAATGTCAGAGGAGGCTTTTCCTTCCTCCCGTCTTTAGGAGAAGGAGGTCTCAGTGCGTACATACAAGGAACGCCGCATTCGGAGACGGAAGAGCCAATTCTTGATAGGCTGGGCATTGCCAGAACCTCGTGCTCACCCGTTGCAAGTGAAGGAACACCTAGTGATGATAACACGTCGAGCTCCGAAGGAAACGCACGATCGTCAGATTAGTTGGACTTGAGTTCCTCTACGACCCCTCTGCAGAGCCTTTTCAGTATTACTTCAGCGGATGAGCTCCAGCTAGAAGATGGCGGTTTAGAAGATACAAATCAGGGATTCTTCGACGAGGCGCTTACTGCGCTAGATTACCGCGGTCTGTAGTGCATCAGTTCAGAGTGCATCAGAAACCCTAAGTGGAGTGTGGTCAAAAGGCCGCACTGGTGCCCTGCGAATTGAGTTAATACAACCTGATATACGCACAATACGAGGTGGGTCCTCTTCTTGGTGACAGGTCCGTATGTTCGACAAACCACTAAGGAAGGGAGTCGAATAGGGAACGGACCCCGGATGTTTGCCCAGTCTATTCCGGTATTGTTTGCGCATGTTCTAGGAGGGTCTCTCGCCATCTCAATTTGAGCCGATGTATTCCAGAATGATTAGCCAAGTTTAGATCAATCACCACTTGAGGCTGATCGATCATTCTCGACAACACATAATCTTCTCCTGGCAGAAGATCCTCCACGGCAATGGTTGCAATAGCCTCTAGTTTGTCCTCGGGCAATGCAATGTATTCCAGTCGCGCATGTCCCGTGCATGGGCGCTCTGCCTCTACTGTACCAATATCTCGACCTGGGACGCTTGGGGAAAGATCCAGCGGTGTGCAGCCGCAGCCACGGCCATGGACTGTCCACCTGACCAGCTGCTGCTTGTTCCGCTGATCGAAAGCGCCGAGAAGCTTGGAGCACTAGACTCGCCCAGAGCAAGGTTCGGGACTGCGTCATCAGTACCGCCAATTGAACTTCCCATACTTGTCGCACGTGAGCTCTCACTGTTCTTAGTCGTGCATAGCGAATGCAAGTGCGACCCTTCCGCGGACAAGGTTGGTACCTCATCAATGTGTACGCGACTTGTCAGAGGGAAAGGTTTGAAACGTAATCCTTCTTCAAGAGATGCATAATGCTGATGTTCATGAGGTCGATGGTTTGACGGAGCCTTGTTACAACTCCTTTGTCGAACTGGGCCAGGTCGGGCACTGTCCACTGATCGAAGATCTGGCCGTGGGGCAGTGGCGGCTCTAAGCCGCCATAGCCAGCTCGATGCCCCCATTACCCGCGGGAGGCGACAATCTGCTGTGGGCTGCTCAAGTACATAGTGGCACAGGAGCTGGATTTCAGCATAAACAAAGCAGTTCACTTGATGCTTCCGAGGTGAAACCTTCTGCGAAATATCAGATTGTACCAGCCGATAGGGCGCTAACGTGCTGATTTCAAGTTCCACATTCGTTATCGCCAATACGTTCAATATCTCCCTATACACCTGTACAAGGGTCTTCGCCACGCGCCAGTAGGCCCCGATCTTGTCGACCTCGGCAAGGGACTTGTTCTCAAGCCAGGACCTCACGTCAACTCCCGCTTGCTCAAGGACTTCGCTAAAAAGGACGCCGGTGGCATTCTGTCCTGTTGTTGTTAGCTGGAAGGCCTGCTTCAAAATAGCTTGCAATCTCTTGGCCACTCCAGCGTCCGGGTTCAGAGCAGCATCTTCCAGGGTCCAGCGGGCACTGATAGCGCAGAACTCCTGCTCCAATTTCGCCAGCTCCGCTGCAAAAGAGTGACCAAAGGCTGTTAGGTGCCTCATCCGACAGATTGACTGAGCAGACTGCTTCAGCTTATTTGTCGAAGCTGTTAGCACTCCCGGTCGCACAGGGAGAAATCCTGGCGGGTAGCCAAGCGCATTCCTTATGCGCTGCAGTATTAGGGCGCTGTTTAGACGGACAATCTTTGTGAATATCGCATCCCGAACGGCCCTGGATCTACTGCCTACTGGACACTGTAGACTTAGCAGCCGAATATCTACCAGCGCTCCGGCTAGAGCTCTGAAGCCACTCACTTACCTGGTCCTGCGCCTGTCTGGACAGTCCGCCAAATGTCCTCCAGCGCGCTTCGCACCTTATCGGGAATGCCTCCGTTCGTAGCGAGGCGCAGGGTGAGCGTCATCTCCGCGCTAGTGTTGCTATTGCAGTTGCTGATCTTCTGCTTAATGCACGCTGTGGTAACACAATGCACACCCTCCTGCGCGGCCGCTATAAACGCGAAGTCGTTGCTGAGCCGTTTCTCAACCGCCAAAGGCAGACAATACTCGCTCGAGTGCAGCGTTCCCCAATCAGGGACCACAATCTTGCTAGCGATCGGTTGTGTCGTTCGCGTTACGACATCTGTCGCCCACACGACGCCCTTGCATGCTCGGCCTAAGCTGACAACATTCCGACGGAAAGTTTCTTCGCTTGTGACGTGCCATATCGACTGCTGAGATGCCGCTGTGCGTGGGTTCAGGCGCCCGCTGTTCGGGACAGCAGCCATTGCGTCTTTCTCACGAGTCAAATAGACTAATGTACATAACTTTCTTTTGTATCTGAGAACGGGCGCTAACAACCCCTCAGACGCGTGAGAAGTCCGTGCAAGTGGTGACTGCTACATCGTAGCGAGTAAAATGCGAGTAGCCAGCTGTCTCGTACTAAATCTTTGCCTATTACAAGCTGCTAGCTAGCGTATCTGCATCCAGGTAGTCAAGCGCGGTGTGCTGCGTATACAACCCGATACACCATTGTAATTGGCCATCGAAATTATTAGCATGCGCTGGCAGCTTGCGGTTCAAGTTGATCCTACAAGCTGAAGTGTAGTGCAGACGTGGCGAGAAAGGTGGTCCCCATGTTGTTTGGACAGACATGACCTTGATTGCTTCTTATCAGTCATCAAGGCTGTCTAGCTGTAGAAGAGCCCTGACTAGATGAACTAACTCAGTTTCAATGTATTTGCACCCTCTTTGTGCCCATGTGAGCGGCATCGCATCTGCAACAATTCCACTACCACCTGGCTGGCCACAGCCTTATACAAGAGCATAAACATAGCTCAGCTGTGCTGGCAGAAAGCGCAAGCTTTCATGACATTGTTCCATTGAAAGCCGAGCCGATAGGGCAGCGCAAGCGACAGGAATCTCCACGTTTTAATAGAGACCTGCCCCAACAAGTCTAGTTCTAGGTACGATAGAGAGGGCTCTTGGCATTGTCGGTAGCACCCAGTAGCGCTCTCATCATCCGGGCGACAGGAAAGAAAGAGCGGTAGGAATAACGCAAATAGCGAACAATAATAAAGCAATAAAACCTTCCTCACACCGTGCGCTACTCCTTGCGGACACCGCTGCCCTTTATCTATCACTTCAAGCCATCTGAGTCCGCACTGTCTGCCTGGTCGTACATATGCACAGCACCTGGACTTAACTTACTCAATGCTGACATTGCCTTCTTCACTCCGCTATCAGCGTGACCAAGTCTTTTCTTTAGTCGCTTTACTGTTGAGCTCAACTAAATGTTCTTTTGGTTCGATAAGTTCTGCTTAATCCGTTCAGTGGCCAGCTGGTCTTCAAGCTAACTGGATCTAACCTCGGCGCACTGCCGTGCTGCATCTCCAGCCTGCGCCCTTTCCACGGACTGAGCGAGCTCATTTCTAAGTCTTTCGTTCTCTGCTTGTAATTCATTGACACTTGACCTTAGACTCATGATTGAAGTAGCCTTATTCGCGCTCTACAAGAGCCGTAAGCATTCGTCAGATAACGGTCAGGACGAATTGTTGGAAATATACCTTCCCATTCCATTCAGACTCCTCGTCAGTCAATGCCGACTTTGGGATGGCTTCGAAGGAGATCCCGATCTCGCGATAAAGTTCCATATACGCCCCGTAGCTATGCTTACTCAACTGTTTTTCGAACAGATGCTCTCGCTCAGGTTGGCGCGACCAAAGGTATCCGTCGTCAGCGGTCGGAATTAGACGGACAACGTCAGGATCGACCACAATCCCTAACCTGGACCCTGTAGACTGGTTAAGGTTTGGATCGGGTGGCTTCAGTTATGGCTAATCTCACTAAGATGATCCGATAGAATCTGGCGACAGCGTTTCCGTGCAGCCGCCCTTCTCTGATTACTCAATCTCGCATTGTTGGCGCCAGTGTCAACGGCCATTAGCAGTTAAGGTTTTTTGAACAGACCAGCTGTCTGTGGATCAGTTGTCGGCAGAGCCAGCTCTATCACATTACTGGAACAAAAAGACAAAGCACGAAGAATGCAGTACTGTACAGTTCAATACAGGACTGTACGAGCATTAATAGCAAGACTTACTGTGCATTTCAGAACCTTCTAGAAAGCCTGGATTTGAGGGGGACCGAAACCAGAACACAGACAACAACGGGTGCCAGATTTGGGCCATGCTAAAGAGTGACTGAGACGCTTTCGTTGAGAGGCCACGGAACTGGCGAGTAGAGAAATACTCGCGGAGCGGTGGGAGCTAAGGCTTGCCTCTCTTCATGCGTGGGGAAGTTCTCCATGACACGCAGTAATTTATAGAACATGGCCCCACTTACCCGAAATATCCCCAGTTCGGGGACTTCCCAATGAAACCGGGGGTTAGCTTACAGTACCCTGCATCAACTTGGGGGGCTGAGGCACTGAAAACGTTTCACAACGTGAGTGGAAAATAGGGCTCTACAATAAGAAGTGAATCTAATCACATGAGATACAGAGAGGCAACCCAAAACAGTATCTAGGTCTAGGCTTCCCGTTACTGGGTATACTTGTAACGTCCCCGAGCACAAACCTGGGCCAATGAGATCAATCCAGTGAGAGATCTTTTGTTCCACGGACGAGTCAAGAGCGGGTGCTACAACAATTAGAGGACTGTATCACAGATGTTGCGACCGATACTCACTTTGAGCAACTCTGCCGCAGACGCGGCAGAAGTTGTTGCAGAGAGCAGACCAACGGCATCTGAGCTGGATTGCCAGCGATGCAGATCATCGATACCTATGGCAGCGTCTTCTTTTACGTACTTCTGCATCAACTCCATCATGATAGATGAGAGGGCACGTAAGTCGTCACGCCCGTCCTTTGACCGGCTCATCACGCCACAGCATTCTTGATTTGCTTCCGTCGAAATCAGTTAGGAGTGGCTTGTAAGCAGGAGTTTGACTCACAAATCTTGAGGGTTCCGTCCGTATCTAGGAGAATGTTCGAGCAACAGAGAGATCCGTGCTCAAGCCCTTCCGCTTCAAGGTAAGCTATGCCCTTCAGGAGCTGTGATGGTCAATTCGAGCCTGCTGCGGATAAGATCACCGCACCTGTCCCATGATTGCAGCAAGTTGCGCCTCGTTAGGATATGCGGGAGATTGTACCATCCGTTCCAGAGAAATTGGCATAGCTTCTACGACAAGGAAGAGGCCAGTATCTGTTGTGAAGGCATCCAGGGCAGTGACAATATTGGCATGTTGGAGGTGCTGATATCGATAGAGTGCTTTCTCCGCTCCAGGACTAGTGAATGTTCTCACGTGGACGAGCTCGTTTGGATCTGCCTTCCGAACCGCAACTTCCACCTCGCCAGCCAGCTCCAGATCATAGATCTTTTCGTAATATTTCCACGGCGATTCTTTGATGGCTTTGGGGCGGAGAGGTTCTGTCGCCTGAATTCGGTCCAATCTCGAAGTCTTCTTGCTTGTGTCCGACACCATTTCCGGGACGTCCTCCGGTGAACGGGCTCGCTTCTTGTTCAGCGTCTTCTCTTCCAACATGCCAGCAGGGTGTTGCGTTTGGGCAACTTCCGAAGACGAGGCGTTGGAATCGGTTCCTGCTAAACCGAGCAGGTTAAATTGTGTGTGACGGTTGCTGGGAAGGGACATCGTACATCAAGTACTGAGGAGAGGAAGACGACCTGTGCTTGAAACAATTGCAGTAGGATCTTCAGGTTACTGTACTTGTGGTCCAACCATAGAAGGTTCTAGAGAGTAGAATAGGCATTCTCAGGCTTGTGATTGATCGAGGTACAGTACCCTGGGCATGGGTGCCAAATTTGGCACCCTTACAGGACAAGGAATTGACCATCCCTCGCCTTCCCTATAAAAGTGCATGTGGTCCCAGGACCAGAGACCTGTTCTACTGAACACATGTCCTCACAATGAGTCGATCTGCTTTTTTCGAGCAGGAGCGCAGACTTCAGGCGGAGAGATATATCAAGTACAGAGGAACAGCACGGGTCAGACTTGAACACATGCATTTTGAGTGGAATGAGACCAGAGAGCTTAATCGCAAAAATGTACAGAGGCTGAGAGAGGTATTTCGAACAGAGAACGTTCGTCGACTGGAACCCAGAAATCATATCCCAGCTGTAGTTGACCAAGCTGAGCTCGACAGTGCCCTGCAGCTTTCAAAGTGCTCAGCAGAGACGCTGCTGAGTAATACGAACGCCGAGCCTCCGGAGCTAAAGTTTCCTGCACGCCATCGCGTTACTTGTCTTCACGGGCGCCACCGCGTCCAGGCAGCCCGAGAGACGCTTCCTCCAACGGATGCCTGGTGGGTTGTGGATTTCTACCTCAAAGGTATGCGCCTCATCTCATTGAAGAATTGAACAAGGCTTGCTAATTGTGCCCAAGACTCCAACCCGGGGTTCCGAACGACGTTAATCGAAGAATATTCGAATGAAGAGAAGCCATCCGATGGAGAGATCTATCGAAAGATCCGTCAGTATGAGCGAGAGGGAAATATATGTTTCAAGAAGCGTTGGAAGGCTCTTCTCTCTAAACATGGCCGTCGCAGCCTCCAACAACTCTCCAACCATCGGGAGGGAGAGCTCGCTGCGGCATTTGACAATCTTTTGGACATTCCGGGACTTTGGGCCGGCATGAGGATCAGCACCTTGCATAAGATCATGCAGATGAAATGCGACGAGGTGTGTCTACATGCCTTCATGGCTGCTGCTTACTGACACGACCTGCAGGAAGTGATTCACTACCTCTTTCACATCAAGAATATTTGGGATGGGCTCCTGCGCAGAGACAAGGCTGCGCTTCAGAGAGTCGATGAAGCTACCGTGGAAGCCTTGGAAACCAGAGCTCCAAGGTGCTCGAGACAAGATGCTCTACTCCTAGAGGGCCAACTGCTGAGCGGCCAGATCTTCACTGCGTTTAGTAGAGCGGAGCGTGAAGAGATATGGCACGCGCTACAGTCCATCGACTGCGTCATCCCTTCTTTATACACCTTCTTTGAAGACGTCAAATACCTTCACGACTGTGCCAACTGCTTGAAGCGGCTGATCAAATTGCCGCGAGGGAGTACAATCTCACTTGCCTTACAACGGAACTTTCCTTACAACTATAATGCAGATGGACAGTGTGTCATAGAGACTGCTGAATCTACCTTCGTCGTCAGGTCACAACCAACCGATGCCCTCAATCTAGGGTACCGGCAATTATGGGCCTTTGCAATGCGCCATTATCGGGAGATGCCTGCGGAAGCGAAGAAGGATAGCAAAGACCTACTGGCGAGGGCCGCGGTGGAGCGAGCAGACGAGGGAGTTCTATCTGAGTTTGCTGCTCTTGCCGATCGGTTAGGATTCCATTCCAGCAAGATCCAAGCGCTGAAGCAGCTGTCGTCGGATGCCCAGATTGCACGGAATGCCTTGCTCAAGGCTCGTAAACCCAGCCGCTATCAATACGACCAGGCGGCAATGGAGGCCCATGTGGCGCAAATAATGAGAATGTTCACAACTGCTACCCCGATCTCCCGTCAGAATTCAAACCCGACGCTTGTTTCCGACAACCCAGATGCACCAGGGAAGCGATGTGGCTTTCCCGATGGGGATTCTCAGCAACGGGACAAAGAGTATTTGTTTATACCTCATCTGCACCAAAGAGAGGAGGAACAAGGTGAGTACATAACGTCTTTCTTTGTGCGTCGATCTGTCTATCTGGCCTTTCTTGGTAAACTGGAGGACTCAGAAAATGGTTACGGCTATGGAATGTCCTTGCCTCAAGTTACAGAAATGGATGGAATCGAACGATCGAAGGGACACAAATCAGTGCCTGCCGAAGAGGGTCGAGACCCTGCTCGGCATGGGCGGAGCCGAGACCAAGATCGAGAAAGTTGGCAACAGCTAGAACGCGAACGGCGTGGACAAGAGCGGCTGGAGCAGGAGCGGTCCGAACAAGAAGGGCTCGAACAAGAAGGGCTCGAACAAGAAGGGCTCGAACAAGAAGGGCTCGAACAAGAAGGGCTCGAACA